GTTTAGCCACGTCTCCGGATCACGGCGGAGTCGACAACACTGTTCAGCTAGCTAACGCAGACGAAATCTCCGTGCTGGAGAGTTACCAGCCCGGGGATAACCTTGCGCTGCAAGAATATCACGAGTCTATGCTAGATGATCAGTTGAGCTACCCTATCTATAAGGTGCGCCTGCTCCATATGTTTATCATCGTGATTCGGCTAATCTCGCCTTCATCCATCAGGTCTCCTGTCCCACTATTTCCCTTGACGGATCGGAGGCGTCGATATCCGAGAAGACATATCTTATCGGACGATACGCATTCGGCCACTACGCGCCTGTGGGGAGGTGCACCAAAGGTTACCCGGCGCTGGATATGCAGACCAAGCGGCTGGTGTGGTTCAAGGACCAGTGGCGCTGCGCTGCTCGTCCTCATACGGAGCTGGACGCTTACATGCGACTTCACAAGCACCACGTCACGTATATCGCTACGCCAGTGGCGGGTGGAGACGTAATGGAACACCGAACGGTCACGCAAGACTATCTGACGCATTTGGCGGACAGTTGGAGGCCTTCTGAACGAGTACATACTCGTCTGGTGACGAAGGAGGTAGGAAGACTGCTCGAGACATATAAGGACTCCTGGGAACTATTAAACGTATGCGCCGAGGCGTTCTTCGGTGAGCTTTTGTCAGAATGCCCTCAGCGCGTCGGCTAATGTTTGTGCTAGCTCACCAGGAAGCGTGGGAGGATGCGCGCATTCTTCATCGCGACATAAGTGTTGGAAATATCATGATTGACACCGAGACGGGCCAGGGTTTTTTGAACGATTGGGACCTCTGCAGATATCGCGAGGATATGGAGACCAAGCAGCCGGCTTCTGAGCCTTCTGGTATATCAGTGAGTCCCATCACCCAGTCATGTCAGCTGCCATTCTGAGCATGCGTGCCATTATTCAGGGGACTTGGATCTTCAAATCTGCCCTAGCTCAACGATATCCACGCAAGCCTCCAGAGCTCGCCGACGATTTGGAATCTTTCATCTACGTCATCACATTCCTCGCATACCGTTTTCACCATCACGAGCTGTCCTCGGAGCCTCTCGAGGACACAGAAGATGCGCGGATCACAGCCAACGCGAATAATCAGGAGCTCATGGGTTTTGTTAACATATTTTTTTACGCTCAGAAGCGCGTCGGGAACGGATTCTTCACGGGTGGAAGACTAAAGTACCAAACTATTTTCTCTGGCGCCCCACCCGCACCGTTCAAGCCATTCAAGAATGGCAAGCACTCTCTCGTGGAGACGTTCCTTCTCAAGGCATATCGGCTCCTACAGGAGCATTACTGGTCTTTGGACGAATCGGAGTTCGCGGAATACGCAGCACATGAAGGCGATTGCGCTGCTCCTGACGAAGTCGACGAAGTAGGAACCTCGGCTCCTCCTCCCATTCCTGCCGAAGTGCCGACCAAATTATCAGGCCGGGGCTCCATCTTCACCAGCATGCGGGCGCGGAACGCTCGCCGCACTGTCAAGTCCTCGAAGGGCAAGGAGGTGTTCTGGGAGACTGTCGTCCAGGAGAAGCCCTTCTGCCCTTTCGACGACCCTCAGCCGGTGCTCGAGTCACACACTGACCTAACCTTCCTGTTCCTGAGCGTCGCGCAGGACGAGCACGGCCACGATCTCGATATCCAGGCCTACAGGAACGACAAGCGTTTCGACCAGTTTTTGAGCTGGCGGATGATTGGTTATCTGAACAGGAAGGGGAAGACGGGGCAGTGGAAAGGAATCCCGAGCTGGTCGAGCGATTATGCAGCGAAGCGGAAACGGGATGTGGAAGATACCGGTGAGGACGAAGCTCTGACCCCGCCGAAAAGGCCCACTGTTCTCCAAACTGAAGGGCCACGAACCCGAGCTCTTGCGAAGGCTATAGAGCAGGCGGTGGCTCTACAGGAGGCGGTGGTCAGGAGAGCAGTGACCAGAAACCGGAAAACAGCGACGGCAACAGCAGCTAGTCGGTCTGCGAAAACCGCACCCCCGAAGAAGGCTACAAGTGCCCAGCCGAAAAAGCACACGGCGAAAGTGCCCACATCGCGTGCTGTTCCGAAGAAGGGCGGCAAGCCTCAACCGACGAAGACCGTGACAAAAGCGTCAGCTTCGCGCAAGGCGCAGGCCGCTCGCAAGTCTCCCAGTCCCCGACGTTCAGCCGCTGTGAAGGCGGAAACCACAGGGCGGCGGTCGAAGGTCACGAAAGCCGAGGCGCCGCCGCCGCCTGCACCGACGAGGCGACCCAAGCGGTTGGCCAAGAAAAGCTGACAGGCTGGGCTTTATTTCTACACTAGAGCCATTCTATTGCGTAGCATGTACTACCTAATTGCACTCGCTTTCTGTATCCCGCGTGTTTGCGTTATGTCTGGCTGGGCGAGAACGGTGAGGGGACGGCTGCTGATGCGCTGATGAGACGTGAGCGAATAAGACTATCGCAGATCTTGGGCTAAGAAGCCGCTCTTTCCATTCGCCCCAGCTTGACGGACTGGCTACATTTACCGCATATACAGCGCAGATTACCTTCTCTACGCCAGCTTCACATAGGCGTGGCCTATGTAAAGTCTACATGTGTGTCAACACGAACTCGACTCTACTCTGAGAGTTGCCCACCTGCCTCCTGCGTCTGGTATTCTGAGGTGCGCTTATACTCATCTCACGCGATATCACGGCGGAGCAGAACGCGAACGCGACCAGAGCGTGAGATGCAAGATGGCGATAGGATGCTCGAGTAACGGGAGATAATACACTAGAAACTATAACACAGACCAGATAAGCCAAGCGACAACGATATCATACCTCGACCGACCCCCAATCTTGCCTGTACCCATCCTCTCCGGGTGCAGGCGTCCATTCGACAAGGTCCATGACAACCTTTCTTGATCTTGACATGCCGCCTCCGCGTCCCCCGCCGCGCATGTACGCCTTGGCCGGTCGGTGCACCTGCGGAAAAATCTTGGAGCTTTCTTCCGCCCACTGGGGCTCGACTATTTGGACGGGTGGGGAGATCTCAACCACGTCGTCGTCGTCCGTGACCTCTTCCACCACGACTTCCTCTACCTCCTCTACCTCCTCCTTGCCCTTGCCCTTTTCATCCGCCTTTTCCTCCTCATCCGCGTCCTTCTTTTTTCCATTCTTCGTGCCCTCGTCATCAGTACTATCCATCTCCACGAGCCCACTTTTCGTGAGCCGCTGCATGCGCCTCTCCGCGCGGCGCACGCGTTTCTGATGGAGTGGATGCGCGGGGTACGGCGTCAGCGCGCTGAGCGCGAGAGGATACAGCGCTGAGTCCGAGTATGCTAAGTGCACGCTCGCTGAGCTGAACTGGCTCGCGTCCGAGCCGGGCTCGCTGAGCGGGAAGGGGTGGTCGTCTGAGGACGACACTTCGGAGAATACGCGCGTCGGCGATTCGGTCAGGTCGATAGTCAGAGGAGGCGAGGCATGCCGCTGCAAAGCGCGCTCACGCGCGGCCTCGCGGGCGAGGAAACGCGGAAACACGCCCTCGACGTTCCAGCGCTCGATTTGTGTCGTGCTGAGCGGGCCGTTGAACTGTGGTTCCCCGTCCGAGAGGTCAAATGCGGCCTCGCCGCCGTCGGGTGCTGGCACCACATGCGCGATACGCACGGTCCCACCGGCGGTGCCCTGCGCGGCAAATACGTAGGGCTCGTTGCTTATGCCGCGTCGCGAAGGCATAGGGAGCGTGTTTACGGCTATATGCACCGAGATGTGCGGCTGGTGGTGCTGGTGACGCGTCTCAGGACTTGAATAAGGGCTGTTGGCGCGAGAGTACTTACATAGATGACACCCCTATCCAGCATCGGGCCGCGCGTGTACAGCTGCCCAAGCGTGAAATCGTCCTCGGCTTCCCAGCTCCAGTCCTCGTTCTCGATGTCCTCGTCCTCAAGAGTCTTTGGTAGCGCTCCCTCATCTTCGGTGTTGTCGGGATCGAGCAGGTCGCGGAAGAGTCGCCGCTCGCGCACGCTGCTGAGTTTGTGGCAAAGTTTCGCGCCAGTCTTGATCATGCCACGCTTTGATGAGTTGTCGCGATGGAGGTACGCGTTCTTGAGGACCTCAAAGAAGTGCCCGCCCCATTCTGAGGCACTCGTGTAGCCCGGACCGCGTGCGCGACCTTTGCCTTTGCCTTCCGCAGTAGCGTCACGCATTGCACGTTTGATGCGATTTGAGTGCATCTCACCCATATCAGACGCGAAGAGATAGAGGATGAGCTTGTGTAGGTGTCTGAAGGAGTAGTTTAGGGGAACCTGCACGACCCGGAAGATACCATCGCGATCCCTGCGTTTCGAGAGAGCCGCGCTGTTCAATCTGTCGTCACAGAGCTGAAACCGCAGACAAATGTGTTTGCCGAAGCTAGTTGCGCGTGGCAGCTCGAGCGCGGCCAGTGATCGCTTCAGACCAAACGGGTTCGTTGGCGAGTCCTGAGGAACAGACATGGGTGTGCGGAGGCTGTACGCGAATGGCGAGGAGAACGTCGAAGATGATCTTGGGCGAGGACCAAGAGGGGAGGACATTGCATTACGGACGGCATGGGTACGCTTTGCAGGAGGGGAAGACGGTGTCGGTGACTCGCAGTCGTAGAGGTCTCGAGAGCGCTTGCCCATAATGTGAGTAGGGTGCTTTGAGGGTGTCGCGGGGTGTTATATACGGCAGCCGGGCGGGGGATGCGAATATTTTATGTAAAACAGCAGAGGGTTGTCCAGGTGGTTTGGGTCAAGCGCGGCTTTGATTGGCGGCGGCTCATCAGTCAACAAACGCGGTCACGCGTTTTCAGCCCACCTCTTACGTCACGCGTCACATGGACCCTACTCCCTCCGTCTTTCACTCTCATACACCGCATCCTATACCTTATGATCATCCCTACGTCGTATCTCTGGTCTTAGGAATAACATAGACACCTGAAGCTTCCGAATACTTGCACGATTGACGTGCAAAGGATCGTGATTTATCATAGTTGATCATGCGTCGACTTGCATCAATTCGCCTTCTAAGGGCGGGGACGTTGTCCACAGCAGCTGTAGAACATCAGGAGCTGTACAATCCTACTGCGATCACCGTACACGGCAATACGCACACGAAGCACTATAACCCAACCCGTCGGAGACAGGCCCCAACAATTGCATCATGTCGCAAATACTATAGCCCGCTGCGGTAAGTATATATGCAGCACGATGCACATATCCGTTTTCGAGCTAACTTTTAACGATCTCCGACGATTACTATTTTCACACTACTCCTCCCAGCATGAACACCTCAGGTTATTTCAAGTCAACGGCTGGACCTACAGAGTTCGACCGAAATCGTGTGTGTGAGCCTGATCATACTTTTGCCTTCGTCTGACTAGCTGCCTTGCTACACAGAGGGCGCCGGATAAGAAGGTACAGAGACCATTCGTGACGTTGGCACTGGCCTCGTCCGCAGTGGCGGAGGCGGGCCCGTTCATCCAGCTGACTACGCGGCTGACAAGCGCGTCAGCGGCGGCCCTCTCGACTTCTCTCCAGAGAACGCCATCGGTGCAGGTGCGGGCACCGCTGCTTCTACCATGACTGTCGCCGCAGGAGCATGCCCCTCTGGTATCCCCGCGGGTGCTGGGGCCGGCGGTGATACTGTGTCGGGTATAGCAGACATGCCGTCGACCGGAGCAGCTGCGTCTAGTGGAGGACTGAAGGCTGCCGGTAACATGTGAAGCAACCTACAAACCAACTTGTAATGTAGCAAAAATGTGGCCCCAAACCGGACGTTAAACGGAGCTCCTGATGCCATATTGGTTCCTCGACTTGACTGCCTGCCACAGATGTCCCATTCCAAAAGGCAGACTCACTCGTCTTCTAAGCACGGAAGGCAGGCTGTTTGGCGCGCTTCTCCGGATGAACATAAACCTGAGTTCACGGCTTATGGCTTCTAGGTGGAGAACACGTCCTAGTGCGCAGCTCCCCACTGATCTGCTCGGCACATCATTGACATGTTAGAATTGAAGACCGGATAGTCTGGGGCCGCGATGGATCCAGGTCTTCGTCAGGTGAACGGCTCTCGAAGCACTGTCTGGAGCGGATCCAATTTCGTCGAGGCAGGCTCGATAGTTACATCATATCGCGAAGGCAAAATCAATCGGAAAGGGGCTCCGCTGCAGCACATATAAAGCGGGAGGCTACAGGGGTTCATCGAAGACAATTGCCCAATCCTCACGATGAACTCCTCTAGCCACCCCAGACCATCACCATCGGAGTTCGACCGCAAGCGTACGTGACTGTCCTTCTCACACACTCTGAATGTTACTGACTGGCCGTGCGCTGGTACAGAAGGCGTCGGCTACCAAGGTACAGAGACCATCCGCAGCGACGCTGACAAGCGCGGCCGCGGGCCCCTCAAATTTTCGCCCGAGAATGTGGCGGGCGTAGGGACTGCGGCAAGCACGAAGACTGCTGCCGCAGGGGCAGATCGCCCCGATGATGTTGAATGCGACGGCACGTCTGGCCTTCCAGGGATGACTGGAGCAGTCTAAATTACCGGTCTTGGAGTTTTGTGACGCTGCTGCCAGTGGCCAGTAAAGATATCTGAATCTGCAGTGCTAGTAGGTCAATAAGCCCGTGATGTTGCTCAGTCAGCCTATCTCGATGTTGTCTGGCGACAGAATATGGCAAAACTTTCTCCGCTATGCGTCTAAGTCGCGGTTCGGTGACCCACCGCTGGCATCGGAATTGATCAGGCCGCCACTAGTACTCATCGTCAATTATTCTAATACGTGTACACGAGCTCGGCATTGATCACAATACCGTGACATGGCCTGTCGTGGTCGTCAATCCGCCACTGCGGCCCTTCAGTCATCGTCTCAAAGCGAGATGCTCGGATGTGAGAGACGATGGCAAGTGCGACTCGGACTCTTCCCCAGTGCGTTTCGCAAAGATTTTGACTATGCCGTCTGTCTGGTCCATGCACAGCTTTCAATAGATCTGCAAATGCCTCCAGAACAAGCATTCTGTTGCTGTGTGCAGATATCAGCTCAAACCCCATTGTTTGCGGCCGCAGTGCGGATAATGGGTCTGGGATGTCTAGAAAAAAGATTACATCCCCCCACGTCTCGCTACATCTGCCACATCTGCGACTACAAAAGTGGTGAGCAACCGAAGTGCATGGCCAACCAGGGCTCCCCGGCAAGACTCTTAGACGCAAACTAGGCGCAAGGATCTGTGGACTGCGTATCAAAGTTTCCAGATGCCTGTGTCACCCAACCCGCCTTCGTGCATACGCCTTCGCTTCTCTTGGAAGAGCAAGGTCTCCACGACTAGGTCCTGGATGTCCTTCGCCCGAGGATTCAGCTTCAGTTCCTCGGGTGTGTGGATTACGATGTGATCTCCATCGCTCGACTCGTTTGGCTCAAGTTTGCGGTAGGACCGAGTATACCGGGCGATGACGACCTTGAAGTTGTCATCCTCGCCGCGGAGCTGGGCACGGACACCTATCAATGACGTTCTCGGGCTACAAATTCGTTCGCATGCACCTCGATATAACGTCCGGGGCCTATGCCCTTCCATTTGTATCTCCGTCCTTGATCGTCCTTGAACGATGTTTCGCTATGAGAGGCGGCAGTAATCGGCCAGCTATCTCTGACAGTCTGGGAAGGACACGTACTCCTTGAACGGTATGCGACTCTTCTTCACCCAGTCCGATAGCGACATAGGCTTATGACCCTTCAGGATCACCCTATCCGAGAAGGCGCTCCGCCATTCGAGAGAGGCGATGACTTCATGGCTCGCGTCGTAAACTTGAGTCACAGGCTCTTTCGCAGAGGTGTCGGTCGTGACGCGGTAGAGCACGTCGCCTGTGGAAGATGTAATAGTGGTGTTGCAAGGATTGTCCGGAGTGAATGACAGCGTGGTGATCGCGATATCTTCTGAAGACGCCATATCGCGAGGATATAAGCTGGCTTGGGATAGAGCAGTGTGGAGTCTGCGCGTAGGATACTTACAGCTCTATATTCCTGTGGACCTCTTGTACAGCTGTCTAATTGCTCTCAGGTCGTGCCCAGGATCACAGGACTGGTATAGCCTCGAGCTCGGTTCAATACTGTGTTTGCCGTAACCATTGCATTATCACAAAGGAAGAGATGCAAGCTCGCACATTCAGATGGATGACATGAAAGGCCAACTTGTATTGCTGAATTTTAGTGAGAGACAACCGGTCTACTCGTACAGCCTCACTATATTACACAATAATCCACTGCGAGTCGTTGATACTGCTAAAGGTCGCGGAGACTACTTCAAACTGTTATGCAGCGTTATACGAGGATCATTGGCAGATCACAAGCGTCGTCAGGTCCGCCGGCATCCATGAACAGCCCGTTTAGAATCCCAGCAAGCCTGATGCCGGCCATAGCCATGAGCCGTTCGACGACCCACTCTCCGTAAATCTTGCCAGAGTACTCGGGCGTGTCGAGCTCGAGGAGGTCGGGGTGGGGCCTGGGAGGACGAGAGAAGAAGTCGTCCAAGTGCTCGTCGTGGTCGTAGTCATCGTCGCGATCGCCCGAGTTGATGCGCGTCTCATTATACGGTGGTAGGTCGAGCTCCGCGGGCCAGACGGGCAGGTCGCAGTTCAACTTGTGTAGCTCCTTGCCCCACGCGAACGGACAGAGGACGTCGTCGTCCCAGCGCTCCTCGTCCGCGGCGGCACGGAGGCCGAGCGTCGACTGCATGGCGTCCCAGAGGCCGTAGTCTGCTTGTGCTTTCTCAGGACAATTGAGCCACTCGAATGCCTCCGCCTCGAAGCGGCCGGGTGCTTTGCCGACGCCCATGCCCTCCCACATTACGCGACGGATGTACGGATCGTAGATCGTATCGCGAAGGTGCGGTTCGAGTTCGATGGACGTCGAACCGTGCGGGAAGCGGCGTGTGTAATTCGAAGGGATAGTGCGCAGTGATTTGGAGATGAGCAAGCTATCCCAGAGGGAGTGCAAGTCTGCAGGGTTGGTCGGTAAAAGACCCCGGTCAAGGCCAATAAGGGCAGCACGTACTCGTAACGCGACCATCAAAAGTGACTCTGGCACCGTTTCCGCCCCTCTCCCTTCCAGTCAAATGCAAAGGCATGTGCATGTCGCCCATATAATGGATAAGGAACTTCACAGCGTCCTCCATGGTGCTCTGTTCGTAGTACCCGTCTATGTATCCGACGAGCACCTCCGTCATGTTCCTCACAGCACCAAGCACGTTCACGTCGCGCTTCCCCGCCCAACCGCGCGCGCCGGGGAACAAGCAGGTCTCGCTCGGATGGTCACCAAGGGCGCCGACGTAGTGCATCGCGGACGTATAGCGGTACTGCGGGCTCCGCTTGACCTGGTCGGCCCAGGAAGCGACGCGGGACAAGTGGCATGGCGGCCAGAGCTGGAGCTTATAGCCGGGGTGGAGAATCTCGCAGACGTTCGCGAGCGTTGAGGGATGGAGGTATACCTGCGCGATTGTCGCGACGATTTCGTGTCCCACGCTTCCCCAGGCCAACGTGGAAGGAACAGACGCGAAGGTGGCCGCAAGTAGCGCTAGACTGCGAGAAAGCTTCATGTCGTCGTGTCTAGCGTCGTATTGACGGCGGGCTGAAAGGGAAGATGAACAGAGAGTATGTGGAAAACCTCCACAAGTTGGAGGTACTTGAGGGAGCTGAGAACCCTGGCGTCCCAGCACCAGCCGCTTTAGTGCAGCTCTGAGGGTGAGCCATCAAACGATTGAGAGCTTCTCATCTAGCGTCGTGGCCGCAGCTATATTTCGCGCTCTGCCACATCATGGTCGTGGAGACAAGAGGATGGTGGCGAACGTGCGTAAGACGCCGGCGCGCGAGCAGCTTAACATCGATAACCAGGTTGCAAGAGTTACTATGATACAAACATGTACAGTAGCGAGGGAAAACAGGGCGCAAGAGTACATCGAGGAAACGGATACAATTTTCTATGGCGGTGCGATGTTAACCGATGGACATTGCGGTGTCCACAACCTCCGATGCCTGGCTCAAGACAGCATTGGTACCGTCCGATCCTGGTCGCATCGAGAAGATGACGTCCTTGATGACCTGGGCAATGAGACCGTGCTGAGCTTCGACGGCGATCTTGTTGCTGCGGCAGTTTTCAACATTAGTGTGCGATATATGGAAACAAAATTGCGAACCTGTCCTTGACGCTCTTCACCAATTGGCTCTCTTCCTGCTTCTTCTCGGTCTTCTGCAGCACAGCAAGTGTTATGAGAGGACAAGAAGGAGCTAAAGCTCGCGCGTACCTTGCCAAGAGTCTTCTCCTCCTTGATAACAGGAGGCGGCGCATGTGAGGTCGGGACGGACTGCCCTGCTTTCGCCAATTTCTGATGCAAGTCAGACAGCTGAGATACGGCGTAGGCCCGATTCTACGCTGACATTAGCACTGCAGGTTGTCGGTAGACACCGTTCCACGCACAGAGATCAGTGGGCTCTGACTGAGCGTATTAACCCAGTACTTGTTCCATAGGAGACCGAGCAGCTCGTTGTCAAGACTGGACTTGAAGATCTGCACCTCAAGCGGATAGTACTGATTGGCATGTACACCGAAATCCTCGATCTTGTTTAATGGGATCGACTGGTATTCAGACGCTACGGCATCTGGTGGTGTGTAGTTCTCTGGGTAAGTGCGGAAGGCGCCGATGTCGACCTTGCCAGCAGAGATGGTGCGGTTGGGGTCAATCTGACAGGACATCAGAGGATTACCCAAATGACAGTTGTAGGGAACATACGACGACAGCGACGAAAGGGTCTTGGTACTTCTGGTTCGTCATCTGGGTGTTCACGTCGATGCCCGATAGCCAGCACCCGTAACCTGGATGGGAGTGATACCATCCAACGGCATGCTCCAGTCTTGATACCTGAACACAAGGACGACTAAAGTTAGGCAGTACAGGAGCGATGTGAGATTATAGGCACGCACCCGGTTGCTACTCTCAACGTATTGCACCATGTACTCATTCGCCTCGTTCGCAGCATTGACTCGTGTCTCTGTCCCTTGTACGGGAAGTGCAAAAGAGTCGACGATGACCAGCGACGTCCCTACAACCTTGCCCTGCATCATGCCCATGATCTCGTGTGGCACACCTGAACGCGCATGTATGACCTGTCAATACGAAACTTAAGAAGAGTTACTTCGTCCATAAAGACTAGGGAATAACCATCTTGATCAGGGCGACAGCAGAAATCTTGCATGTCTTGAAGTAATGCGGGCTACGAACGCGATACAACCTCAGTGTGCCTGCCCTCATTAGCCCGTCTGCATACGTACTCCTTCGCCCACGGTGCCTCGCGGTTGAGCCGTTTGTTGGCCTCTGGGTCAAACTTGAATATCTCGTCCTGCGGCGACACCTCGAGGATGTCGTTCGCGAGCGAGAAGCTCTTGAACGCCGTGCCCGACGCCATCGATGCTCGCCGTGCAGTGCCAAGGCAGGTACGCCAGCGTCTGTGGCGTTGCGCGTCCGTGTGCGGCACGCGTGGGAACGGCCTGCCCTTTCTGTCCCGCCGTCTTCTCCGCGCTTTGCGCTCCGCACCGCTCTTCACGCTCTTACTCATGCATACACTCAAGCTTGGATGTTGCGACTCGCGGCCCGTCGTGCACTCTCTTCACTGCCACATGCGCCCATAATACGCCAACGACATACGTCTACAGTTGCTGCAGCCCGCGTGCTACCGACGTCGACGCTGCCAGGCAGATACCCTACCCGAGGTGGCCAGAACCTGACTGACCGTTTCCGGAGACTAGAGAAGTCCGCGCGGGGCAAAGGGACGTATCAAAGCGACATAGCGGAGCTTTCCAGGGAAATCCAAGATAATGGTCCGAAGGCCGGGCTTCGCGTGCGACCCGCGAAAAGAGAAGTGAAGACGTTTATGGGCTTCACTATACCGGGGGAACCTAAACCTCCAGAACCAGATGGTGAGTGAGAACCTTTTTGTGCGCGATAATGCCTAATGTCATGATATAGAATGCTGCATGTCGGGATGCGCCTTCTGCGTGCAAGACCTCTATATGGAGGCTCTGGACGAATACAAGAAAGCCGTAGACTCTGTCCGCTTTTCCCTTCGCACACTTCACATACCTGAAGAGCGCTGGCCATCAGAGATACAGACCTCTGCAGCAAAGAAGTTGGAGCCGAAGAAGAACCCAGTATACGACGCGTTCGCTGAACTGGAGAGAAAGCTGCAGGAGAAACACCGGGCTGAATCCCACGACGGGGGTTAGTTGGGCTCGGAGAGTGCCTCACTTGCTCTGCTCTAACCCTGTATGCTGCCACAGCTCTGCCTAAGCCCCTCACGGAAGATAGGACGCGGAGACAGAAAGAGAAGTTGCCAGACGCGGCTTTGCTTTATGAGGGCCTTCGATGGGTGCTGTTTAGCAATCGTTGATGCGGCGGGTAGAAGATATAGACGTGAGTAGTCTAATTGAGAAATATCATTTTGTGATATCGATGTGTATCATGACTGCCCGTGGCTCGTCTCCCGCTCCCTTTCTTCCTCCGGATGATGGTCAATCTACGCTCTTCTTCGCTCGTGTATACGCCAAGTTTCACCGCTTCTTGCAATATCTTCGCCTGTGTTTGCTTCTCTTTATCTCCCTCGACTCGTTGCTGCGACCGTTGCCCTCTATTCCACCTTTCCTCGGCGACCTCTCGATCTTTATCGCGCCAGCCCTTCCACTCTCCTCCGCCCTTCACCCATTCGCTCGCACGTTTCCAAGCCCTCAAACTCTTCTGAGGCGGAGCTTTGAAGATCGTGCTTACTCTGTGCCCCGCCTTGCCACAGCTCGGGCAACGAGCTTCGAATTTCTTCCACCATGCCTCTGGTGTAAGCTGTTTGAGATCGTCTAACTCTTCTTGGTCCAACGATTTCGAAGATTCCTGCTTATATAGCGAGTCCCAATGTTGCTGGATCCCTGCCTTCACATATGCCCATGTCTCCTGGTCCTCTGATATCTGAGAATCTCGGAGTTTGTGGGCCGTCCGACAGATCGCTAGGACTCGACTAGAGCACGGGCTGACAAGGAGCGGTCTTCCCCGTGTGTAGCAGTTGTCCTGGCGCAGAACATGACTGAAGACCCTTCTGCAGTCGAAACACGCGAACTTTTCTCGTTCGGTGAACGACCCTGGATGCAATCCCCGGAGACCACCCCGGTGCACATCGTAGACGTGCGGTCGGTCGACCCTGCCACGACAAAACACACAAATCCGTGTTAGTTTCCTCGGCGAGAGATGCGGCCTCCGCACCTTCGTCGAAACAGCTCCGTCATAACGTTCATGCGCGAGCGTATCGCGATGGCTATAAAGGCACCGGCTTTGCCGCTATGAAACCATTCATCTAACTACGCGGTCAAAGCGCGGCACCGACGCCGAATCCGACTTGACCCACAGCGTGCTCGCACTTGGCCTCGAGCGTCGAACTTCTGATCACAGTATTTTTCCGGGGCTGCGAGGCACGGATCGACGTCAGCATTTTTCGCACATGCAGGAGCGCGGTATCAGATCTGCACTGCGGACAGGCAGATCTCTGGTAATCCCACGGCAACGACGACGTGTTGTCGATCCGACTCGCAAGTAGTACACACAGCGAACACGAACGCGACCAGCGGGCGGCGCGGAGAGTTGGCGAAGGGCAGTTCATCATGCGTCATGATCATGTATCTGTCAAGGACCAATCACGTATGTCGGTGTAGAGGAAGGATTTCGAATTCGCGTCCAGTCCACTAGACCGCCGCTTGCGCGCGCTCAAAACACGCTACATCAAACTTCGTGGCTGTGACATAGTATGTATACCAGCCCTGGGTCCAGCTCGCCACTTGTCATGTTCGCCCTCCTGGGCCCCCGACACTCTGCTTGCTTTACACTCCACGTTGACATCACCGAGGCCCTCTCTAAGCTGCGCCGGTTGGCACCTGACTGCAGACGCGAGCGCGGCGGTCGTTTATGAGCGTGACTGGATCCTGGGACGTCGCAGATCTCGTCGCTGCGTTCAGGTACGCACACGGACGGCTCGGGTGTGCAGCGACTCAGGTTTTTTTTCCTTCTATGCAGAGACGCGTGGTGGAACCGTTCCCTTACCATTGCTCCATTCGGTATGCCGCTCGAAGTTTTGCAGCGCCCGGAGAGTTTGAACTGAGTCGCAGCTTTGCAGCCCTCCTCTACTACGACTACCTGCTCACACTTCCGGCGGAGGTCGAAAGGTACTGGACCGCGGATCTCAACCTCCGGCGAAGCCCCATCTGGTTCCTCATTTGTCGATACTTGTCGCTTGTTGGGAACATCCCGGTTTTGGTCCAAGCGGCCTGGCCCGTTAACGATCAGCGTGTGAGTCCGCTCACTTGTTTCGAAGGGTTTTCTCACTTAGTATGATTATCACAGTTGTAAGAACTCAGTTGCCGGCGGAAATGGATGTCTGACCATTACTCTAGATGTCCGGAGCTGATAGCATACCACCAAATCTACATCATCGCTTCACAAACACTCGTTGCCAGTGAGTCCAGATCCTTATTGTAACCTGCTTTTCATCGATTCAGCCTCTTCTAGTACTTCTCAACATTCGAACTTATGCACTGTATGAGCGGGGTCGTAGAATTTCTTGGCTGCTATGGGCGGTATCTGTGATACTCTTTGGCGGCTGCTGCGTACGTTCACTCTTTCCGTCCAGTCTTCAGTTCCTTGACGTCTTGGCATCCAGTTCGCCGTAGCGAGACATCATGCACCGGCTCCAGCAGAGCCGGCGGCCATAGGATGCAACGTTGCTACCTCGTCGGCCTTGTGGGTAATCCGCCTCTCATAATTTATTACCACTTACACATGGCTTCAGGGGATCCGGTTTGTAACATTTATGCCCAGAAATCGGCAATGGTTCTCAACAGCCTCTTGTGCTCTTGCAGACTTAGCTATCGCTTGGGGCGGGATGCTCTGCCATGACATAGTGATATTTACTTTGACACTCTATAAAGCGCTGTCACTACGTGGTGGGTCGAGGAACCTCGTTGACATCATTCTTCGTGACGGTGCGTGTCCCGTGCACGATGATCTGCCGTTTCTCGTGAAAGTTACTAACTCTGCCACAAGGTACTATGTACTTCGGGTATGTGTTATTAGTCACAGACCCGCCTGCAAAAGTTCACACGTCATCCAGGCTTATAATGTGTTCGACGAGTATTACGGCTTTCACGTTCCAGGTGGGTCTTGCATTGGAATGCTTCCGGCAACGGCTGACAGATGCTTCCAGTTTGCACGAGTAAGCTCTGTCCGATGTACATTAGCCTTCATGACGCGCTTATAGCATGCTGCAGCCAATCATCAAAGGAGTTACATCTACATTCACTAATATGTAAGATTTTCGGCTGTCTCGCGCGATTATTCCTGAGGTTCACGGTCTTACAGCTTATCGACAACGCTAATCGCTCGCCTCATGTTGAACATACGCGACCCAAAGCTAATGAAGGACAGCCGCTACTCTACTTCCCGACTTCAGCGCACCACCAGCTCAGGCTCAGATGATCCAATTGTCACGTCGGCCCTGGACACTGCCGGCATGCCAGAATGGACCGAGTTGAGCTACGAGTTGGAGGTATATCAAGACGAGGGCCCTACGCACGGCACGCGACACGACGGTCAGGCTTTTGCTTGACTTTGTAGTTTCACGCTGATTATGAGGATCAGTTATTGAGCTGGTTCGGAGAGACCACCCTCCAGAGAGGTCGAAAGGCAAGACGGTCTCATGGAGTCGGACAGAGATGCCGAGCGCAAACACCAGCGAAGCTTAAATATACGCTGTCTTGGCAAACCTGTTACTACTTACGCAGTTCTCGATGCTTGTACTGAGGCTTTGATTTCGTATACGTGCAGATACCGATACTGTATTTTTACGACCATACCGGATGAAAGTGCCGAAATTGGGGTTTCTCGACAGCTCGCCAAAGTCGCCATAAATCGAGAAAAAACTATGGCGGTGTCAGCGGAAAATTGGTATGACGTGTGACGTCCGGCATGGTCGTAAAAGTACAGTACATGTCGGCCATGATCATTGCGAGATGCGGCAGATGCATCTTCGTCGGACGTCGGGGCAAATGCGGCGCAACCTCTGTAAAGGCACCAACTTGCCACGATGAAACTTTTATGTAATTACACTTGAATTACCCGGTCGGAGCGCGACATTAACGCTGAAATCGTGGCTTGCTCCGCGATGTATGGACTGGCTCGGCACGCGTCCCTCAATATTCTTCAGGGCCTCCCCTGGTCAACATCAGCAAAGTTCTCACACGGAGGCGCGGTACGAAGGGGACAGATGTGGGCACAGTATGGTGCAGATCCCTGCTAGTCTCACGGCAACTACGACGCGATGGCGATCCGGCTTGCACGTAGTACACATATCGTGGAAAGCCTTTGGCGGACGGTGAGAGGAGCTAGTTTGTCAAGCGCTAAGCACGATCATAGATCTGCCAAGGGCGAGGTCAAATCTGCGCCTGTTGGCGCCACATCATCCCGTTCGAAATATGCCGCATCAAACATTGTGACAGCGACATGCGGCACGGCGACACAGAATGTATTATATACCAGTCTGAATTCAACTCGCCATTTGTTGTGTTCGCTCTCCTGGACTCTGGGCCCTCGCTTGCTACCTTACGTTGACGTCGCCAGGGCCCTCTACAGGCCGACTCAGGGTTGCATCGGCCCAGATCCGGTTACAGGCCTGAGCGTGGTGGTTATTCATGAGAGTACCCGAGTATTGGAGCGTCGCTGAAGTTACCATTGCGTTCAGGTGCGCAGATGTTGGGCTTGAGGATTCAGTGCTCACATTTCCTATCTCCTCTGTACAGAGACGCGCGGTTGAGCCGCTCCCTCAATATTCTCCCATTCGGTATGGCCGCTGTTCTTCTGCGCTTAGACGGTGCTGAGCGGTAACCCCGCAGTCATCCTCTACTACGACTACTTGCTCACGCTTCCAACGGAGATCGAGAGGTACTGGACCGCGGACCTCAGCCCCCGGCGAGGCCCCGTCTGGTTCCTCTTCTGCCGGTACTTGTCACTAGTCGGCAACGTACCAGTTTTGATGCGGGTAGCCTGGCCCTTAGACGACCATCGCGTGAGTCCATTCGCCTGTGTTTGAAAAATCTTCTCACTCAACGTCGTCGCTCCAGTTGTAAGAGATCTGCCAACGGCGAGATGTGTGTCTGAGTATTATTCTAGATGCCCCCAGCTGACAGCATACCATCAATTTTACATCCTTGCTTCGCAATCGCTCGTGGCTAGTAGGTCCACATTGCTATTGTGTGGCTTATCTGCAACTAAAACCTGCGTCTCTTCTTTCAGTCATTCTCAACATACGAACGTATGCACTGTATGGACGGAGTCGTAGAATCCTGTGGCTACTATGGACAGTGTCCGTGATCGTCCTGGGCGTTTGCTGTGTATGTCCATTATTTTACGCAACCCCTAATTTTCTGATCTCCTGCGTTCCAGTTCTCCTTAGTGAGGCACCGCACACCGGCGCCAGAGGAGCCGGCGGCCATAGGGTGCAACGTTGCTACTTCATCGGCCATGTGGGTCACTCACTTCTCAGAACCATACCCCTACTCATACATAGCTACAGGGGATATAGTATGTAACTCTATTGGGGCTAAAGCTGCACTTTAGTTACCGATATCCTTCCGTGCTCTTCAGATTTGGCCATCACCTGGAGTGCCATGCTTTGTCATGACATCATGATATTTACGTTGACACTCTACAAAGCACTGTCACTCCGCGGCGGGTCAAGAACTATAGTCGACGTCCTTCTGCGTGATGGTGCGTGTTTTTTTTGCAGTGACTTGTCATCTGCTCTCCGTTCTCATGAAGATTGTTTTCTCTGCCATAGGCACTATGTATTTTGGGTACGTGCCCTAGTATCAGACGTGTTGGCAGAAGCTCATGCGTCATCTAGTCTTATAGCTTGTTCAACGAGCACTACGCTTCTTACGTACCTAGTAGGTATTATTTCGAGCAATTTCTCGCAGCGACTGATTTGTACCCGCAGTTTGCACGAGTAAGAAGCGTCCGGTATGCAACAGCCTTCGGGAGTGCTCATGATATACTGTAGCCGATGATCAAAGGAATTACAGCTACATTTACTAATATGTAAGATTTTTAATCGCCTCACGCGCTGCGTTCCCAAGTTTATAGTCCTACAGCTTGTCCACGACACTAATCGCTCGCCTAATGTTGAATATACGCGATCCCAAGATAATCCAGCAAACCCGCTACTCTAATTCTCCAGTCCAGCGCACCACAAGCACTGTCTCGGATGACCCAATTGTCACGTCAGCTCTTGACACCGCTGGCCAGCCGGAATGGACCGAGTTCAACCACGAGCTGACAGAAATCTATCAAGACGAGGGCGAGACTCCATATGGCACGCGACACGATGGTAAGGTTTTTCTTAATCGGTTAGCTTTTTGTTGCGCTGATTCCGTGGAGTAGTTATTGAGCTGGTCCAGAGAGATCATCCTCCAGAGAAGTCGAAAGGCAAAGCTTGGAGGGCGGGGGCCTGGCTTAAGTACCAGCGCCAGCGAAGTTTAACATGCGCTGTCTCAGCATAGCTGTTACTATTCATGCATCTCTTGACATTTATATATTGACTTCGATCTCGTATACGGTATGGGTGCCGATGTATATATCTGTGGGTGTAGTTGTGGTAGAGATCTCAAGTTTGCGCGCTTATCAAATGACGCCACCAAGCTCGCGGTTCCTGCATTCGGCAGTGCTCTCTTCGTCCCAAACCACCATGATCACCACGATGCAGAGCCTGCGCGATCCAGACTTCATTTCGTGCAGGCCCTCGAGATCCCATGCTTTGCGCAGCGGAGATTGACAATAAACAGCCTGCGGTCAAATTTTCAATTACGCGCTTCCGAAGATTCGCCCCGGGGTCCCTCTACATCATAGCTGCCGGCGCCGGGCGTTCCTGTGCGTGCGAAGGTATATAACCTGCATCGTGTGCGCACACCCGCCGCAGGAAGGTTTCTGTCTTCTCGAAGCTTGCTACCGACGATGACTACTGCTGCTAAGCTCCCCAAATCGTTCGCCTGGGGCTATGCCACCGGTAAGTAACGTCGTCTCTCCGAGCTCTTCCGCGAACGCTGAAACCGCCAAACTCTCTAATAGCTGCGTACCAAATCGAGGGTGCCGCTAACAAGGATGGGCGTGAGCCGTCAATTTGGGACACATTCGCCAAGATACAAGGGAAGATCGCGGACGGCTCGAGTGGAGATGTTGCCACGGATTCCTACAATAGATGGCAGGAAGACGTGCAGCTTTTGAAGTCTTATGGAGTCAAAGCGTATAGATTCTCGCTTTCGTGGTCGCGGATTATACCCAAAGGAGGGCGGGAGGACCCAGTAAACGAACAGGGAATCAAGCATTACCGTACGCTCATTGAAGAGCTGTTGAAGGAGGGGATCATCCCGTTTGTAGTGAGTTATATTGAGACATCTAGTGACGACTTGGAGACTCACTGTAGTAAGACATTATACCATTGGGATCTACCACAAGCACTAGACGACCGATATGGAGGCTGGCTCGATAAGGCAGAGATTGTTCAAGACTTCGCGAACTACGCGAAGGTCGGTAGTAGCGAAACTTCTATGCAGTCTCTTGACGTATGAGTTCATAGCTTTGCTTCGAGTCGTTCGGAGACCTCGTACAGAACTGGCAAGTGCGAGAATTCTGGATGAAGTTGCGAGTTCTCACTCTGGCGCAGGATTACTTTCAACGAGCCGTGGGTTATCTCCATTCTAGGGTATGGTAACGGCATCTTCGCTCCCGGACACGTCAGCAACACCGAACCTTGGATGTATGTCACACTTCTGCTTGTGACGAATGCGCACCCTGACGACCCAGCTCACAGAGTGGCACATAACATCATACTCGCACATGCCCATGCGGTCAAGCTCTACAGGGACGAGTTCAAAGAGAAGCAGGGCGGCCAGATCGGTATCACCCTCGACTCTACCTGGCTCATACCGTACGACGACACAGACGCAAGTGAGCACCTATGATTGCACTCTGCCAAACGCACCTGAGCCTCGTTTGTCCAGGCAAAGAAGCGACGCTCCGAGCAATGGAGTTCAGACTCGGCCGCTTTGCAGTAGGCATACGCGCAGATCAAATAGATTTCCCAGCAAATCTGAAGCGAATTTTAGGATCCAATATACAAGGGTTATTATCCTTCGCGTGTTAAAGACGTTCTCGGAGACCGTCTACCGGAATTCACACCGGAAGAAGTAGAAATTGTGAAGGGCTCATCCGACTTCTTTGGGCTAAATACGTATACGACGCATCTAGTTCGTAAGTCCTGCCTTTGCCCTCACATAAGCATGAATCTAATTTTCGCGGTAGAGGACGGAGGAGACGACGAGCTCAATGGATTAGTCAAGACCACACACGCCAGAATTGACGGGACGCAGCTAGGAACGCAATGTCAGTATAGCAGACTACATCGTACGGGGCTGGATCATGTTGACGGTGTCGGACAGCGGACCTTGGCTGGTTGCAGACATGTAAGTCTACTAGGTAGCCGTAAGTGTTCCGGATTGACTAGATTCTCGCAATACAAGACGGACCCGGATTCCGATGGGTACGTATTGCCAACACGTCACTAGCCGATGTTGGTCCTAATGCCGTCTCTAGCTCCTGAATTACTTGTGGAAGGTGTGTTACCAGGCTGCATCCGGTCTTGTCACGACGTTCAATGCTCGTCGGCCCCTCAGGCATACGAGAAACCTATATAGTGAGCCAACATACTTGGATCCTGTACGTCGGCTTCATACCCGCGTAGTGTCACAGAGAACGGCTTTCCAGTCAAAGGCGAGAATGATCTTTTCGTGGAGGAAGCCGTCAACGACATCGACAGGCAGGAATACTTTCGCGAGTATGCAGAAGCTCTGTTGCAAGCCGTAACGGAAGATGGAGCTGATGTTCGAGGGTACTTCGGATGGAGTAAGTATAAGCAACCTCTTGCTGGCGTTCGTAATCTCATTTGTATGTGCAGGTCTCCTTGACAATTTCGAGTGGTGAGCCAAATCAGCGCCAACCAGTCTATTCCCCACGCTTGACATTGCGCTGCAGGGCAGAGGGGTACAAGATCCGCTTTGGAGTCACCCACGTTGACTACACGACGCAGAAGCGGACACCGAAGAAATCTGCCGAGTTCTTGACTCAGGTATGCAGCCTATCTTTGCCGAGCGCGTGGAACAGAGCTGAACGTTTCGCACAGTGGTTCAAAGAGCACATCGAAGAGTAAATTTCCTTCCCCGTCCCTGAGCGAAACTACAAATACAGTTCGACGAAACATCATATCGTAGTCAATTACCCACTCCGTGTTCCAAACGATCTCTGTGGGCGCATACCGCTTTGGCAATGGCGCGCAGCTCATCGTCTGTGACGTTCGGGATGCCAAGAAGCTCGAAAGTGGCTTTTACCAGTTGGCCACGCCATATCCCACGTCCTAATGTCCGAAGAACGACGGCAATGGTCAGCTGAGACAAGCCGAAATCGACGAATGCTAGGAACTTAATGACGTGGCGCCTGACGTTGATCTATATGGTAACATGTTGTCAGCTGCTTCAAGGCTTGCTTATGAGGCTGGGACGGAACCACTCAGAACATGTCAAGGCAGGCAGATGGTTCCTACCCTCCTTGCCTCCGAGCAGTGCTACAATTTGCGATTGTGCGCTGCCGCGCCCACTATAGCTGTCCGGTGTTGAACATATCAAGTTGTATATGCAGCGTCTTGGTTGAGCCCACCACCATGATAACGCGGATATCCTCCACCTTTGCAAATTTCCTGACTGCCAAGGCATGCGCGATGAACGATGAACTTCTGAATGCTGAGTATCGGCTAATCATGCCGGCCCCAAACCAGCGCAACCAGTATCCACACCCAAAAGTCACACGGGGTCGTCGCAAATGCTGATAACTGTCATTCACTTGAACTTTAATACAAATACATCGCTAGAGATTTTATGCGATTTCGTGTGGTACCGGCCAACGTTCTACTCTTCCCTCCAGCCTGACAGGTCAACGCCATCCCTGTTCATCAGGTTAGCTGAAGTGCCGTACTGGTCGTGACCCTGCATTGCCCGCTTGCGGTGCTGGTGGCCGTCATGGTGAATCTCAGCGCTCGACTGACCCATCATAGGCTTTCCGATGCCGCTGTAGAGGTCCTGGGATGTTGCACCGGTCATAGTCTCTGCAGCGGTGGGAGGGTCATCGAATGGATCGTTATCGACAATCGTCCGCGAGTCGGGCGCGGGAGCTAAGGGTTGTGGCTGCGAGCTTTGGAGCTGCGGGGCGAGCGCCGCTCGGCTTCCCACAGTAGTGAGACGTTCTGTTGGACCACCTTGCTCTGCCATGCCGTTATCAGCACCTTTCAGTTTATGCGCTGCGCGAGGTCACTTACCTGCAGGGACGGCCTGGTTGACACCTCGTGGTGGTCTATCCCGACCAGTTGGAGGTGGTAGATGCTCATCTGGCCGCTTCTCAGTGTGACTCTGTTTAGGAGGACCCTCTGTTAATGTGGGGTTAGCCATCGACCAATGTTTACTTCCGAAGCCATCCTACTCACCCTTCGGGAAAATCTCCACGAAATGATGACCGGTGGTTGCCTTGTCAGCACCAGGAATACGACCGATGTTCGCGTCGCTGCCAACGTAGTCGTTGTGACGTTGGTCAGTGATGCCAGCAGAGTTGGACATGATGCAAAGTGAGTGAAGCTGGATGAAGTGCGCAGTTATAAAACAAGTCGTGTGCTCGATAGGGTTGAGACGTGAGTTGGGGGCGCATCGTGAGGAGGGAGAGATATATATTCCTCAGGCGGTGGCTTCGTTGAGGAGCTCGATGAGGAGCGTTTGCGTCAACGGCGAGCGCGCTTTTTTAGCTTTCTCCCTCGACCCCAACACTGGAGGTTGAGTCGGTAATGACGTCAAGGCGCTTGATGTCCTGTCCGGGGTCTTGCTACTGGGGACTTCGGTCACCACCGCACGTCGTTCAGTTCGACGCTACATTCATGGAGGATCCCGTTTTGCAATTTCTCATGGACGTGGTTTGAGCTCGAGATGAATACATAGCTCCAATATTCTGAGTTGAAAGAAACAACAGTTCTAGTGGGCTACTTTCCGCAAGACCGTCCGCAGAACGCCGTCTTGCATGACACGTTCGGGCACGATGCTGTAGCCTTGCTTACGAGGAAGCCATCTACACCGTAAATACCAATAAATTACCCCAATGAAGGACATCGCAAACCCAGTGAAGACGTGAAGCTAGCACGCCGATGAGTGCACTATACGCGGCACGATTGTCAGATGGAACGTACCCAATACGGTAGGCTCTGATACGGCTTGAATCCAGGGGCAGGCGGGACAAGAGGTGCGAAGACCAGGAATAGGTTCGACGCAAAGAAGAATGCGATCACGTGAAGGTACGTCTGAAAGGGCGGACTCCACTTGTATGATTTGTCCAGGCCAATGCTTGGAATATGCAATAAGAGTAATCCACCAGAGACTAGTGTGTTAATCAACGACAGTGGATAGGAAGACACTAGATGCAGAGTGAGCAGAATTCTGGCAACAAATAGTGAGAGTAGCTTACTGCTCAGCATGAAAAGGTACGCGTCGCCGGCCGGAACTGCTGCGATTAGGAAAGCGGTGACGAGGAACTGGGCAAACAAGCCTGCCATTGGGGCATCGAATGGCTTGTTGCTTGCGAAGAACTTCGAGAATGGCAGAACGCCTTCTTTCCCGAGCTCCTGAATGACTAAGGGTGCTTCATCGTCAGGAACGAGCCGAATAAATTGTCTGATGGACGCAACCTTACCTCGTCCATGAGAGAACAGGACAGCCAAGACATTTCCAAGCGACGACAACGCCACAATTGCACTCAGGATCTGTGACGATTATGTAAGCTCTCTGTGGACACAATTCCGCGAAGAAGGTACCGACCCTCTCCGTTCGTTGTCCCCATAGCCTTCCGAAGAACAAAGCGGCGGCGATTCTTCCGCTGCTCAGGATCGTGTCCTTGTCAACGACGGCGTAATACGCGATATTAACTAGCATATATACGACGGTAATCGCGATCATGGCTATTGGGGCAGCGAATTTGATTGTCCGCACTGGATCTCTGATCTCTGACAGCGCATAGTTGGCATTGGAGTACCCTATAAAACACCTAAGCGATGTCAGATGTCAGTATGAGAAGCTGCCAGAGGGCGCGCCAAATAACTGACCAAATAATGGTATAAAGACCGGTGACAAAGGCATTTGCCCCACCGCTTCCGCTCCCTCTCCACATTGTGTCCCATCTAAAGTTATCAGGAGGCTGAAATAAGCCATCAGCTGCATCCTCTGCCGTGGAACTTGTTTACTTACGTTCTGTAGCTTGAACCCAGGAATGCCTGCTAACGCCGCCAGTCCACTGAACGCCATACCGGTCAGGATGATCAATTTGAACGCGCCCAAGAAGTTCTGCAACCGGACTCCCCATTTGATATGTGTACCATGCAGCACGAAGGCGAATGTGATGCAAAGCAGGCTTGCGAGCCGAGAAAAGACGGGGGATGATGGGTGCATCGGGTCGATAGCATGCATTATATCTGAACAAAAAAATCGGCCACGACGCACACTGCGAGGACCGTCTTCTGCTCACATTCGCCAAAGACGGTGACTGAGGCAGACTGCCAGCCCTTCATAGTTTTTAGTTGACTAAAAACCGTTGAGATGAACGTGTAACTCACTATGAACACCGCATACATCGCGTACACACACGTCGACAGGAATACTGGCCGTCTAAAGATGAATTCTAGATAGTTCTTCTCACCGCCATTGCGTGGTATGCCCTTCATTTCTCGCCTGAGCTTGGACGGCGTGGCTTGCGACGAATAATCACTCACAGTTCCTAGCTCGATGTACACAGCAGTCCCACAGGCCGCAACAAGTGCCCCCAATAGCCACATTACAAGTGACAGCCCGACACTACCCGACGAGCGCAAAATCACGCTTGGAGTTGCGAATATCCTGGCAATGGCTCAATTTCAGCTGGGCTGAGGTCCAACAAGCCCCAAAACGCACCCAGTGCCGATAACACGATTGAATATCAGGAACGATGCGCTTACGAATCCTGCAGGCAAGCAGAGTGGATTTAATATTCATGTATGAGTTGAACATGGTCTAACACGGACCTAGCTTGCGCTTCTCATGGTCCTGGTGTACCTCTTCAACCCAGCTCTCGTCCCGCTCTAGCCTAAGGATGGGCGATGGTGGACGCCCCCGCGCACCGGAGTCCTCAGCATGTGCACTCCCGGGCCCGTAGTGCCTTCTTCTCTGTTCCGAAGTCAAGAGCGGCTGCTCTTCGAGGCCATCGCTTCTTGCAGGGTCATCTTCATTCTCTATCATATTGGTTGGTCCAGAGGAGAGGGAGGAAGCAGAACGTTATCGTAAAATTGTTGTAGAGGCACGAAGCGGACGCGGGTTCGACGTTTCGCGGATGCATGGTCGTTAGTAAGTGCACAGCGCTATCGCGCGAGAAAGTGCCCATATCGCGTCTGAATTGCTAGCTTTAGGGTGGCAGCGCACTAGCAGCGCACGCCTACAGGACCGATCTCGATGAAATGAACATGATCTTATAGGCGGATATGAACCTGTGAACTGTACACGAAAAGTGCGAGACCTTGAAAAGAACCCTTTCACTCTTAAAGAATGGACAACCTCGAACTCTGTAACTGTTCAAGTACCATAGCATCTAGGATCATCTCCTGAGCCGCACTAAGCCAAGTGTATTGCTTTAGGTGTTATACAGCTTTGTATTCCGTCTCATGATACAGTATTTGCTTGTCTTGATGCTCCAGATTACACAACACCGGACTTGGTGATCTTGATTGGCTGGGTAGGCTTGCCAGAAGCGGAGCCGAAAGTCTCAATTTTCTCGACGAGGTCCATGCCTTGAATGACCTCACCTGAGCGAAAAGTTAGTCTCAGGTCAGATCAGCCCGATGAGAGTATGACGTACCAAAAACGACGTGGTTGTTGTCGAGCCAGCTGGTGGCGACAGTAGTGACAAAGAACTGCGAGCCGTTGGTGTTGCGGCCAGCGTTCGCCATTGAGAGGAGACCGGCGCGGTCGTGCTTGAGGGTGAAGTTCTCATCCTCGAACTTCTCGCCGTAGATGGACTTGCCACCAGTGCCATTGTGGCGGGTGAAATCGCCACCCTGCAACATGAACTGCGCAAACCCCGAAGGTTAGTGACCGTGGCTAATTAGTTGCACGGGTGCAGACGTACTTGAGGGATGATACGGTGGAAGCCGGAGCCCTCGTAGCCGAATCCGTTCTGACCGGTGGCAAGCTCACGGAAGTTGCGAGCGGTCTTGGGTACGACGTCGTCACGTAGCCTGAAGACGATGCGGCCGGCGGGCTCGCCATTGATACTGATTTCGAACTGTGTGTAGAAAGCGCGTCAGTTGATTTCTACGGTCCGGACTTGCGGGAAGAGAGGGCGAAAAGCACGGCCGAGGCGACAGTGCAAGCGAGACACTTACAAAGACGTTGGACATGGTGATGACAGTTACAGAGAAAGGAGAGGGTGGGAGGAGCGCTATGCCGATGGTGCAGTCTTAAGTGTGCGGGCACTGCCGATCAGAGCACATCACCCATAAAAATCGAAATGGGATTATCTAACCGCGCGTGACAATCCATCTGAATCTGTCACTCAAGTCACACTTTCCCAACTTGCTTATGACAACATGACGAGCGCAGTTGGAGGTCGCGAAACACGTTCGTGCAAACATGCAAGGCGCAAAAGGGGTCGACGAGCAGGGCTGTGCCGCTGTAAGTCTGCATAGAGCGGTCTTATCCACCCAGTTGATGCGCGATTTCACCAATTCCCAAAATACGTATGTCATCTTCCGATGACCCTCCACAGGCCGTCCTAGGCTTGTGGAGCTGTTATGGGGTTCACCGGGTCTACATAGTCCTTTGGCGTCCATCATAGGAACAAACGGATGCTGGTCTACGGATGAGCGATGAGCTCTCATGGGAGCTTTCTCCCAAGGGACCGATTTGCTAGCAGCGGCCACCTTGGAGGATCAGGTGCTGTATGGCCTTGACATCTCCTGCAAGTCCGCACATGGACGGATGACGCCGACCCTTCTTTGGCGGACCCTTTCTGGAAGCAAGTTAACTAGCCAAACAGGATCTCGCAAAAGACTGGATACCGGATGTTCATGTCTCCCTTCTCCGATGGTTCCCAATTTCCACGTCAAGCTAATCCAGACTGAGCGCCGTACTTGTGCTGGTTACAGTCTATCTCCGTCTGCATGACTTTCATCTCAGGATGCTGTTGTATTCGCCTTCGGCGGCTGTCACAGTTCAGCCATTTACTGGAATCCAATCGCATCGAACAAAGCTACCGTTTAGATTGTGTAGGGTCAGATTCGTATCGCGGCCCCTGCTGAGCTTGTCCGCTGCGTGAGCGTACTCGTTCAGTTTCCTTCAGACTTCTGTTACAGAAGTAGGCGGCTTTCCATGCCTGGTATTTCACCTCCACGAGAACCCCCTTTGATTGACATCTCGCCGTCGAACTGTCATGAGTTGGAAGCCGCGAGGCAACCTCCCCCGCTAACAAAGCCAGCAGCTGTGCAAGGGACTCGCTATCATCGTGAACATGGCTCGAAGCTGTGCGCCAAGCTAGCTACCGTCAATCTTCATGTTAATCAAGGTGGCCCGACCAGCCAGGTTGGGAGGGGCACCCTCACCCGTGAGAAACAGGCATCATCCCCCATCGTGCACCCACGGATCACCGCGTCTTTTCCTGAGCTAGAATGTTGCCTCGAGCCCTCTTCGAATGCACACACAACAATGCACCCTTGTGTACACAGCTTTCACGTTGCCAGCGCCAGCGGGGCCCATCATCTTCCCATATGCAAAGGGTATAAGGGTAAGGGTGGGAAAACAGTGCAGCTCCGTCTTTCTCCCGTGTTACCGTTGTGTGCGCTGCAGCATGCCAGCCCGATTATCGTGCTAATCAGCCCACCGAGCCCACGAGACCATGGACGACGGCGACGCGATACCACTGTCTCAAGTGTAAGATCCAGTGCAGCCCACTAAACCCGCTGCAGTACTAAACACGGTTGTCTTAGGTATGTGCATAACTACCTGCACCTCCTCGGCATTGGTAAGTTTCTGGCGCGTAGGACATTCAGCTATTAACTTTGGTGCCTTTAGTCATACTATTCTATGACCACGCGATCACATTCGATGGCGAGTTTTGGCGCGTGTGGCGAACTCCACGCTCTGGTGCCTCCATTCTCTTCTTCGTCAATCGCTACTTTGCGTTCTTCTCGGTAAGGCTTGAGGGGAATGTCATGACACCCGCTGATGATGCGCCCAGAACATAGCCATTACTGCGGGCAACTTCGCCTTATTCCAAACTATCCAAGTTAGCGCGCGAGCCGCTGTTATTTGCATATCTAGTTGCTAACCTTTCACGCAGGGGTTAGCCTCTCCCCTCCGTCGGTCGATTCTTCACTGATTAATTGTGACGGGATTCAGCTGCGCGCATTACGCGTTCTACCGACAGTTGAGCTTGATCGTCGCACAAGTCATTGTTGCGGGTATGATCTTCTGTCATGCTACGAGTGATCTTCCTGATCGCATTCTAAAGTTATCCAGTTCCTGAGAACCTATGCACTCTACGGACGCGACCGCCGGATAGTGATCGCTGTACTTTCCGTCGCAGCAATCCTCTTATCCCTCTCAATTGTATGTGCGACTAAACCCGCCTGAAGGTTACCGTTCCTGATATGCGTCCCCGCAGTGGGCTGTCGTAGGCCAAACGTCCACATACACGCTTGCACAAGGATGCCATGCAGCATCTTCCCGAACATCGTACGTCTTGAACCTCTCAATACTGGGCTCACTTGAAAGTCTTCTGTCTCGCAGAGCTATCCATATCGCCGTCGCATGGGAAGCCCTGTTCATCTGGGATCTCATGATCTTTTCTTTAACTTTCTTCAAGTCTATCCAAAACCGTGGTCAGTACGCAGGCGGACGTAATGACCTCGTCAGTTTGATGATTCGAGACGGTGAGCTTGACGTGTTTTGAAGCGCGTAGTTGTGGAACTCGGGGCTGACGAAGCACCAGGAGCGATATATTTCGGGTGCGTATTTGCTTTCAGAGAGACGAGTGTATAATCCCTGAGTTGGTCCAGGGTGATGGCGTGTGCTCAGTGCTCGAATACGTTGACCTTCTACGTATGTACTCTACTTCCCTGCACGTGTGATTTAATCTCACTTCTTTAGCTCTCTCCGGTGTGTATACGAGCAATGACGTCGAAATTGTGCGCCGCAAGCTAACAACAACTCGTTTTCAGCCGGCACTTCGTGGCTGCCTGTCGACTTTTGCAAGCAAGTACGCACCGTCCGTCTCGCTTTCCCTCTCCCCCGCCATTAACGCCCTGTTGCTCAGCATGTCCGTAACAATGATGTCCCGTCTCATGCTCAACCTCCACCGCACTACAATGAACGGGTCGCGCAACTACGACGCGACGACGACAGAGTTCGGGAGTGTCATGTCGACGAACATGCGCTTCACGTCGCGTTTCGGAACGACGAATGTACATACAAATGGTGCACACGAAGAGGACGCACCATCCAACAGTCGTAGTGCGGGAGGGAGCAGTGTCACCGCAGCCACGAGCGAGGATTACGAGATGCGCGACATGCGGACGTTGACATGACGCTTGCATATTTCAGTCTTCATGTACTGTAATACCAAAATACCTGTAGCATCTCAGATGAATGGCCTATGCGACTCTGGGTAATATTAATGTAGTTGCTGACATAAAGAGAAGAGAAAAATGAGAAAAAGAAATATCTCAGACAGGATTCGAGCTCCCGAAGGCAGCAGCATGAGCACATTCTGTTTTTCGCAAGCTGATATTAGATTGGACATACAGATTTGACTTTCGCTCTAAACACCTCATTCTAACGCGCTAGTAGAAGTCTAGGCTTTCTCTGGTCTGCAATGCGTCCGGATAGGTGAACAACCTCTGCGGTGGGATGCCAATTGAACAGCAAGTGCTTGCCAAACACGAAGCGACATTCCGGATCGCTGGTGCCACTCCCAACAATTGCGGTATGTTCAGTAGTGGCGTCGCTGTTGAAGACCATTGCCCAGACATGACAGATGATAGCAAAACAGAAAAGTCAAAATTTATCTTGTAGGTGGGGCTACAAGCCTACACATGGTCTGAGCCAACAGGTGCTTTGCCGACTGCTTTTAGATGTCCGACTCTTTTGACCTGTCAACTGATTGTCAGGTCTGACCTGAGCATCCCATTTTCATTTGAGTCACTTCCCAGCACTGTACAGTAATGTACAAAAAAAAGCATGTCCCATGCAGGAGTCGAGCCTGCGTCTTCACGGATTTCCCACGGTCAGGTGAGACCACAACGTGATGATCTAACCACTAATCGAAAGGGACCAGCAGTCAAGCCTCGTTGTAAATATATAGACCTTTTATCTTGCGTAGCAAAGGCAATCGAACCTCGCTCTCAAGGCCTCAACTCTCACCTTACCATCGACGTCCATACCGCTGGTTAGCTCCGGGCAAAGATGAGAAAAACATCCTATGTGATCGCTTTTTTTGCCGTCATGGTAACGCTTACGCTGGTGCGTATTGCGACGACGAGATTCTAATGAATTCGTAACGTCGTGAAGAATGCTGAGCTCGTCCGCAGAATGTGATATCTATTCGTCGCCCTAACTGGTAAGCACACAACAGCAGAGTTGTGTCGCGGTCTGGCTTAAGCATGTGTGTGCAGGCTGGTCGTGCACACCGACTTCCTCGGTGCCAAGTCCACTGTCCAGTATGGTATCACACGGCTCTGTGAGCGGGACATCATCAGGATTCCCGGCGCGTTTTTCCCACGGTTATGTGAGATCACAATGTGATGATCTAACCACTAATCGAAAGGGACCAACAATAGGGCCCAATTGAAAATATATCAGCCTCTCATTACGCAAAACAAGTTTTATCCTGACAAGGCCTCTCTAGCTCTTCTCGTCGTATCATCGACGTCCATACCGCTTGTTATCTCCGGGAAAGATGAGAAAAAATCCCATGTGGCTGCTTTTTTCGCCGTCATGTTTATGTTTACGCCTACGCCGGTGCGCGTCGCGATGATGATTCTAATGAGCTTAGAAATTCCTCGTCTCCCGGCACCGCTCCGCGGGAGTTACATACGCCTATCATAGTTCTTTTTATCAGTTTACAGAGTCTCGAACCGGCTCCGCTAATCGATAAGGACCAACATCCGAGTCGTGAACGACATATATGAGTAGATATTACACTCAAATTCTCCGTGCCTGTCAGGCGTGTCTCACGGAACGTATCGCGAGATGACTTTACATAACTCACGCAACGTCCCTCCTACATACTCTGGAATATTCCGGAGACCTATGATAGCAGGGATCCCACATGTGATGAAGCGTTCGCTCTCAGCCCGCGCATAAAGGCCAGCGTATAGAGACACCTACAAGCCTCAACAGAGCTGCCGACGAGTCAGCTCATGGCCTTAATTCTGAAGAGGTCGTCAATGTGCCACCAAACTGTGAAAACATAGGTGCCCAGCTCTCCGACGTAAGATACGAACTCCCTCGTCTTCTAGCATCGTTCTGCAAGTTACAGGACAATACACCTGTTATAACTTTTCTGTCAATTTACAGAGTCTTTAAAGCCTCGGAATGTACGTCGTTTCAAGGTATGGCGGATGGCTATACTGGTTCATCTCCCCAGTAGTATAGACTTCGTATCGTAACAGGCGCTCAGATGTCGTGAAAATCAGCGCGCAATCATCTGAGGAAATTTTTCAATTAAAGACGCGCCTTTCCACTGCCTGCCTAAACACTCGCGGCGTCACATGGCTCGAAAGGATCCTTGAATAAACTTTCCGACGTGCCCAAGGGTGTATGAGCCCGTTGTGTCTCAAGCCAGCGTGCAGTGGCACAAGTGCCAGTGATTAGTTAGCGAACGTGTTATATAAAGGAGTGTGATTACAAGCGTTGTAAGGACGAGGAAGCAGAATATCGGGACCGACAAATGTACGAATGCCTCTTATCGGTCCTCATATACCTAAGAAAAAGAAATAAAATCCCTGGCGAGAGTGCAGAGAAACAGAGTCCATCGCCGTGTGCCTACAGAGAGGGAGAGAGTATTAAGCGAACATCAGACCGAAGACACCGGCAACAACAGCGACGACGGAAGCAACCGAACCGGTCAGGCCGGAAGCGCTGTTGGCTGGCGCGCTGGTCTGGGCAGCAGCACCGCTGCCGCTGCCGCTGCCAGAAGCGGAGGGTGAGCCGGAACTGGAGCCAGAAGCAGTCGCAGAGGCGCCGCCCTCAGTCGGTGTAGCGGACGTGGCGGGGTATGCGGAGCCAAGAGGCTTGATTTCGAATGGCTGGGACTGAGCGTACACCTGGATGCCAAAAAATGTAAGAGCTTAAATACGACCGCTAAGAAATATGCATACGTCGGTAGAGTTCAGCGTGTTCCCAAATTGGATGAAGTAGCCGTCGCCAGCAGCAAAGCTCTCCTGGTCTGGCGTGATAGTCTTCGAGCAGTCAAAGTTGTTCTCTACAGCGATGATGGCTTGCGGCTGGTTGAGAACAGCAGGGTTGGAGTTGCCAACGCTATCGCGGACGATAGTGAGGAACGAAAGACGTGGAGATAAGGTGTGTGGCTTACGAAACCGTGAAGTTGAGGAACTCGGTGTTCTGCTGGCAATTCCAGGCAATGGTGTTGATCGAGCCGGCAACTAGAGTGAGCGGAGGTTAACGTGCGCAGGCTACCCTCGACGACCCGAACTCTGAAAGCAACATACCCCACCACAAGTTAGGTCCTCCAGGGGAGATGATTTGGAGGTCCGCTGCAGCGGTGGAAACGAGTGCAGCGAGGGTCGCAGAGAGGGCCAAGCGGGGAGAGATCATCGCGGAAGAGAGACTCGAAGAGGTCGAAAGGAGAGACGAGGAAAGGACTCAGGCGGGGAAGCAAAAAGGCTAGGCTGGCGGGAGGCTGCTGAGAAGATTCTTGCCAGCACCGTGACCACTGTCATGGCGATGTTTGGCCGATGCAAATAAACTGCCGCATCAGCCGAAACTTGCCCGCTCGCTTCCTGTCCTTCATCTCCCGCTCGGCGCACAGCACGCTGAACTCGATGAACACGGTCTGCGTGTGTTCGACAGCGATGTCTGAGTGCAGCTGCGCAGCACAGAGGTGCGCCTGTGTCAGCTCTCTCGGCGTCGAACCCCCACGGCGGAAGCATCTCTTGCTGGGCTTCGTTTCGCATGCCCAACGTGTGAAATTCTCGCGAGACCGAACGCGAGACGTCTAGTGCGCATGGTGCGCATCGCGAAGACCTGAGCGATAGGAGCAAATGGGCCGCGGTAAGGTGATTTGCGTGATATGCGCCGTTAGTAAACTTTACATTGCCCCGGGATCTCTGGGGTGAGTCTGTTGCTCATTTCCGCGGTTCGCTGTGATCTCTCATAGTTCTCGCTAGACGGCGCCGTGCTGGTTTGTGGCAGCACTGTCAGCTGGCGTCGAGGCCTGGAGAGGCTTGTTGATTGCTTGCGCATAGCCAGGACTGCCTCTTAATTGGCGGCAGTAAGCTCTCGCCCGATGATATTGACATGCCTACGGAGCAGACTATCAATGCCCTCAAACCGCGTTCGGCACTGCTAGATTACTCAGTCCTCGTGATGGTCATTCGTCAGGATGTAGAGAGGTCTTGCCCCAACCAGGCTCACTACGCACCGTCCACACGTGTCGGTCCCGACATGCAGAAATACTGTGGACATCGTCTGCTTCTGAACCTTTCCCATTCCCCCAAACCCACGCAAGGCTGGCCCTTCAAATATCATCTCTTTTCCATACCACCACTTTATGTGCCAGACACGACAATCTGACCCTTCAGAGTTGATAGGTACCCACGCGCCAGACGAGTTTTGCTTTGACTCTACTCTCGGAAATGGACTATTCGCGCTTCAGCGGAGAGATACCCTCCGACTCCTTTGTTCTTAATGCGAAGCTTGCATTACAGCTTGCAGACGATGATGCTCCTACCCTGGCGGACTTGCAGGTAGCCGATACAGGCAACAGGTTCCTCTTGCGGCGCATGTCCAAGTCAACACCGACACTGAGTAGGCCAGCCTCAAAGGCGGGCTGGTCCCGCATACCGGACTTGTGAGTTCTGTACTGATCATACTCTTGCTGTTATCTGACGTCGTGGCTAGGAATGCAGAAGACGACATCAAGAAACTACACAACGAGCTCTTGAGGCCTGTGCGCCGACAACAGCCGGATGCTCCCGGCTCAGCTGTACGATTATTCTTGCGTCGGTCAATGTGAGTCTCACAATGCACGCTATATATCTATCTTTACTCATTTTTCGATGCAAGACATGGCTGCTTGAAGAAACCCCGCGACTGTGTCGGCTGCAGAGCCCTTATCGCCGGAGACGCTGTACGTCTCATATGTGGGCATTTCTTCGAGAAGCCCTGCCTTGTTTCGATGGTTAGAACATGCCTCTCCAGCGAGTCGCTGTTTCCGCCCAAGTGCTGTGACCAACCCATTCCGAAGGCAGCGTTCGAGCCACTCATGGATGCCGCGCTTGCGACGCTCTATGCCGAGAAGAGCATGGAATACGGCACGCTTGAGCGAGTGTACTGTGCCAGAGCCGCCTGCCGTCGCTTCCTCGGACCACAAGCGAAGGGCATACACCACGTCTATACATGCCCTGCACCCGGGTGCGGCACGCGGACGTGCAGCCGGTGTAAGATAGAGGTGAAGAAGGCAGTCCTTCACGCATGCAGGCCAGACTTGCCGCGCAAGCCGTCAGTGTCCAGTCAGAAGCCGCTCGTTGCTCAGGCACCAGCCCGACCGGAGCCCAAGGCAAAGCCGCCACCTCCACCTCTAACACGAAAGCCGACGCAGGTGAAGAAGACGTCGTCGTTCCAAAGCCTGGAGAGCATCACAAAGGCGCCTATCCTGGCGGTTGCACGTAAGATCTCGCAGAGCCTCAAAGCACCTTCTACAATCTCTCTCGACAATCGCCCGTCCAAGGGCAAGTCTTCGCCGACTCCTCTGGTCAAACGAGTGCCATCGAATCAGTCGATAGACGATAAAACGAAGTCGCCTTTGGTGCGCAAGGCTTCTCACAGCCTAAAGCCGCCCCCGGCCTCGCCGCCCAGCCCTCCCAGATCCAAGTTCAAACCCCCGCCTCCGCCGCCGCCTCCCAAACCTCAGATTCAGATCGTCCAGGCAGCTCCTCTAGCATTATCGGACAAGCCGAAGTCCAAGCCTCCACCCCCACCGCCCCCACCGAAGCCTGTCCAAGTCCGGGCGCCGCCGCCGCCAGTGCCGCCCCGCGTCGGAGAGATGTGGATCCATATATCCGCAGGTGCCTCTCCGCCACGGGCAGGCCCGCTACCGCCGCGGAGCCCTCCACGGCCCAGCCAGCCAGCTCCTCCACCGCGGCACAGCCCCCCGCTGCGACCAGTACCACCAGCCCCACCACCGAGAACAATCACACCTGCAGCACCTCCCCCGGTTCCGAATAAGCCACGGCGCCACCGTACCAGTGCGCCTGCGGAGCCTCCGCGGGACCAGGGGCGTCACGTTGTGCGGGAGCACGCCGTCGAGCATGGGCACCATGCGCACGCGCACGAGCGGCGCGTGAGACGGCACGAGACGGCGCCTCCTTATGCGCCTCCCTACACTCCTCCCTATGCTCCTCCGACCTCGAATCATTATCCCCACAGCGCTCAGCCACCGAGACCCTTCGCGGCGCCGCGCAAGGGCTCATACGAGGCTCCTCCGAGAAGGGTCGCTGAACCGTTGACGCCGGTGGGCGCTCACCGGCTGACAATGCTTGACGCCCACGTCGACCGGATGCTCCGTGTCGTGGAGTGCTACCCGTGCCGGCACGAGTGGCGTGTCGACTTGAAGCGCGAGGTGTGCGACACATGTGCGCGGCGGTGTGTCGTAATTTATGTGAGTGATTGATTGATGAAATGCGAGGTGTACTTATATGAAATCATGCAGGGATGCACGAAGTGCGTGACGAAGCTATGCAAGGAGTGCCAGATGAGACGAGGATAAGGAGGTGACAGGGTACTTACTCTGTTTGTTGGAGATGCATGCGTCCTCTGGCACGTATATTATTAGTATGTTATATGTCCGTATGCAGGCCTCTGTCTGATTACACATGTACACTATGTCAGGTAATATGCATTATGAATAATATATGCCTCCCTTCATAAAAATCGTATGGCCGTTACGCCATATGGTGTGCTATGGCTACAAAATATTATTACAGATTACAGAGTCCGGTGCATCAAAAGCCGTATTTGTTGAAGCTCCTCAGCCCTCGACACTCGTCCAGCTGCTGCGCATATACCGTCCGTGTCTCCACCCAGACCCGTCCCCAGTACTCCATCTCGTCGCGGAACAAGCCGCTGTAGGACCGCGCGGCCTCGTCGACGCGCTCCTGCATCCGATCGAGAGGAACAGTGTCCCACTTCTTGGTGATGAACGGCTTGACGAGCGTGTAGTGGATGATGCGCATCTCGCTCCGGACGCCGCTCCATACGTGGGGGCTGCGAGACTTGAGAGCCAGGTTCCCGTTGTAGGCGTATGGGAGGCGGAGCGCGTCGGTGGCGAAGTACTGGTTGAGGAACGCCTGCTCAGCCATCGTGCGCGGGTAGCGCGCGGCGGGGAAGGCGTCGAGCATCGCGGCGAAGAGCGCGCTGTCCGGGCGGAGGAACATGACGCCGGCGTTGAAATTCGTCGTGAAGCCGCGCACGTCGCCGTACACGTCCGGCACGGCCGCGAACGCATACGGTAGCGCGAAGAGCTCGTCAAAGTTGCGCAGTGCGAGCGCGTCCGCATCGATGTACACTAGCGCGCGCACCGGCTCCGGCAGGCGGTCGAGCGTCCAGAGCGTCAGCTTGGTGTACTGATCCAGGAAGCGTGGGGTTACGCCGCTGCCATTGTGCGGCGGCGCAATGCGCTGGACGGGGTGTGGGACGAAGCCTGAGGAGGAGGCGAGGCAAAGGGCGCTCGCGGAGACTTGCGAAGGGATGTAGAGCAGGATGAGTCGCGCAAGGGTGTCGACCTTGCGTAGCGAGTGTCCGAGCGCAGCGACGGCGGGCGCATATGAGTCGGAGTAAAGCGTCGTCACGACCGCATTTTCGCTCGGCTTGGACAGGAGAGTCATGTTCGAGCGGACGAGGGTTGTGTTGACGAGTGGATATTGTTTCCTATCATCAGAGTGAGGACTCTAGCTCATGCTTGTAGCTGCGGGAGCCACTCACAGTTCTTGATAGTTGTCTAACGGGCTGATGAAGCGCGTGCGGTACTTGTTGATAAAAACCAGGTTCAGCACGAGGGAGAGAGCACATAATGCTCCGGCAAAGAGCATGCCTCCGCTCACCCGTTTCTGTGGGTGTGTCCCGAGAGGGGAATAGCCATTGTAGTAGCGGGAGATCAGGCGGTTCCAAGCGACCATGGAGGAAAAATGAAAGAGGGTTGGAAACCAAGGCGGGAGGAGGTGGGCGAGGCAGCGGGTAGGATATAGGGGTGCTGCGATACACGGCATTTTTGTCGTAAAATGGACACAGAACGAAGTATGGCCTCCGTCTTCGGTCTAAGCACTACGGGAAGTGAGCCCATTTCTCCCAAATGGTCGGCTGTCAGACTCCCCGGCCGGGGCTGGTGTCTCGATCTACCTACGCGCCGCGCCGCTCATAAGTAGTGCTTCGTGTACCACTCTCATTCCTCACGCTTCCCGCTGTAAGTTGTACCCAAAGCAGAAGCGGCAGGATTGCAGAAGATGTCGTGCCTAAGACAGGAAGATCAGTGGCTTTCCCCTTCAAAGATATGATATTTACATCGTTTATGCGGGAGTTTTCCTCTTGAAATATTCAAACCACTTCTCACAGCGATGGGTCAGTGTTGCGTATTAGGGGAAGTTCACTCAGGGTCACGCGCGAAAGAGTACAGGTGGGTGCTGGAATTCGAAAGCGCATGACGTCACATGGACCACGACTTCAGATCCCGCACCGCCGGCCAGTCGCAAACTACGCCACATCTTAAATCAGACTCGCATATCTCGAGAGCAGCTGTGCAATTTCCGGCGCTCTGCTTGCTAGATCTTCCGGTCGAGTTTCGTGGGCCATAAGTACAGCTCCCGTTCGGGCCCTGACCCAGAAACTCCCACTGTCGACCCGCACTTCGCCCCACCTCCGAATACGGTCTGTTCGCGAGTAATTAATCAAGGCCGTCGCCCTGTGTTGTCACATTCGGTGATATGAAGTTCAATCTACTTTTAACTGAGAGCCTCTGCGACGCTAGACATGTAGCAACCATTTACCTGCCCTCGGGGGGACATTATACTCGAAATCATGCGTTTAGTAGGTTTCGACGATCGACGCCTCTTCGGTGCCACGATCGATCCCACACATATACTTCCGCCGATTCTCGACGGACGCCGCGCAAGGCGCAATCCTGCGCAATCATGGGTTGTGTCTCGACCACCTCACGACGATCGCAACAATGCGTACGCTCCCTTATTCACTTTCGGACGCACGCCCAGCGAGATTTCACTTGCTCACGGCGCGTGCCTTGCCCTTGCGGCTGCTGCTACTCGTATCGTACAGCCCGCTCTCGAGCGCGCCCCAGAGGCTGGGAGCCATGCTCTTCAGCTCCTCCTCTGTCTCCGTCTCCGTTTCTGCGGCTACCACGAACCCGAAGTCACTCGTCATCATGTAGCCCGGCGGTGTCGTGGCCGTCGTGGCGTGGCCCGACGGCGCGGTGCGCCGCAGGTTGAGCATGAGTCGTGACATCATGCTCACGGAGATCGCGCTCGCGAATGTGCAGAGCGTGCCTATCAGGGCGGGCTGTGCGGTCTGTCAGCGGTGCGGGAGCCGGGTAAAGAGGGGGGAATGCGTACTGGACAGAACTAGTTGGGGTGTCAGGTAAGGTAAGGTCTGGGTTGTGGGATGGAACGAGGAGACGTACATAGTATGTTAGGCTGTTGGCACACTGCGCACAGGCCATGATGCTGTCGGTCTGTCAGTTACTAGGTCCTGCTCCACATGACCTAGGTACATACGCAAAATATATTGCGCCTGTCACGTCGTTTGTCAGCTCGCTTCAGGCCCGAAAACATGTCACGGCACGCACCGTCTCGCACAATCAGCGACAGCAAGTCGTTTCCCCGCGCAACGGCGGCGTATCGAAAGCGCTCTTTGTACGTCTTCAGTATCGTAAGCGAGAAGATGAAAGAGTCCCAGATGAAGAGCGCTTCCCATGCGACAGCATATCCTGTTTCGGACGGATCAGCAATGAGCCATATGAGGCAAAGCGAGTAATACAGACGGATGGACCTGTCAGACAAGCTCGTTAGTCCAGGGCCCCAGGACCAAAGTTGGGGATACTCACGTATGCCGCGGCGAAGCGATGGTGCACCCTATCTCAAGGGACACATCCGGCGTAGGCCCTATCGCGCACCACTGTCATACATGCTCACGTCAGTGCCACAGCCCTCTGACAGTGCGAGAAGGCATTCTCACAATAGCGACTGCCGCCAGGATAACGGCGACGACGATCATGAGTATCCCTATCCGTTTCTTTCGTCCGTACAACGCGAAAGTCCGTAGGGCTTGGATTACTGTCGACACTAGTCAGTGCCGGGACGGGCAAGTTAATAAGGAAGACTTACTTCCGACTATGATTTGTGCGCCGATGAGGCTGGCTAGTCGGTATGTGGAATAATGTTCGCAGCTACGCCCGAGGCACCGTAAGAAACCACGGCAGGGACGCGATAGAATGTTTTACCAACCTCTGGAGGCCAATTAGCACGACCAGGTCTCGAATACACCTGCCCAACCTACCTCTACGGAGTGAAAGCGAACAAATTTCGCGATGGTCATTGCAATATTCTAGCACGCGTATTTATAAGCTTCCCTTCAGAGGGGACACGCTAGACCAAGATGAAATCACTTACAGAGAAGAATGCGAAGTAACGGTTGAGCATGAAGAGCATCGATGCGCCACTTCGCGGGGTGGTCCATACGTATGTGTATTCGTCGCCGAAAGTAAGGGTATGGTCGTAATACAGTATCGCTGGCGAGTACAATTTTGTTAGTCCACGCAGTCTTGGCGAGGAATGCAGGGCTGCAGGGACGCACCGATGCCGACGAGGTGAAAGTAGTTATCGAGATATCTGTCAGCTGTCAGTTGCACAAGTCCGCGCCGCGGCGATCCAGGGATGCGAGGAAGACGTACATTTGCGAGATGGGGATCTGCATGGTGGGGAGTGGTGCACAGACGGCCTAGAGACAGAGACGGAGTAATACTACGGATACGATATAGGGATTAATGCAGTGGGTATGGCGAGGGTATGGCGATAAGAGAGGGGGGCCCAGATCAGAAGTGAAGTGGGCACTAGACTCCGCGGCGTACGCGCATCTGGCTGTTGCGGTCGTGGGCGAAGAGAAATCCGTCTTCCTGATATCCGCACGCCGCGAAGTATAAAGGCAGGACGGCGGGGTGAGCGGCTAAAAAGTGTGAGTGATTCGCCGACAGGGGTACACATGCCTGGGGAGTGGGTAGCCCCAGGCAGGTGCGTTTCACTTTGAATCAAGGCACTGATGAGCAGTGAGAACGGGGACCTGCCCTTCCGGCGCGACACAGGCCTTCGACGCGTGCGAAGGGCGAAAAAGCTTGTCTCGCGCGTTGCCAGCGGGCGGGGGCTGAGTGGTCTGGAGCCCGCAAGCGCCCTGCGTGGACAGAGCGGCCCCGAGAACACCGCTTTGCATAGTCTGAACCTACACAGAATGTCCATCGGAAGCTAGCAGTCCTTGTATTTTTTAGACTTTGGAGTAGTACCCGTCAAACGTGCGCGAGATGCGTCCATGCAGGGAGGATGGTTTGGGTTTGGCCGCCAGGCAGTGCGCACCCGCTTCGTGCGTGAAGAAGATGGACACGGATGCTGTCGCAAAAGTACTTCCGGGAAGCTCAGCACCGCGTTCTTCGGCTAGCAAAAATTTCGGGAACACGCTGAATTTGAAAGACGCACTTCGTGGCGTCCGTCATAGCCCGACAAGTCCTTTTCGAGCACTTGCTGCAAGAAATCCCCAATTAATTTTGAAGAGTTTGATAGACTTGACACAACTGGCGGAGCACGACGTGGGTTAGACCTCCGCCTAACAAGGCTAGAAGGATCGTGGAGCGCAAACCTTACGTGAATTTATGCGTTTTGCACTGATCGTCGCTCGCATCCCCATACTCATGCACTCCTGGCGATCACCGCCCCGAAGTGTCTAGGTCGGGGGCCGTACGTGAGCTCGGAGAATTAGTAATACGATTCGACAACACTTGATGGGCGCGTGGGCAATCCATGTGCAGTAAGTAAGAAACTACTGAGTTCTGTTGGTCGCGCTGTAGATCCGAACACAGCTTTGAGCCTGTCTTTCGCTCCGGATAGTACGGTGATGGTATCGCCGTGTGCTCAGGCATCCAAGCGGAAGGGCGTACTCTGCGATTGCAGGCCAAAAATTTCAGTACCGCCTTCGGCAGTTCATTTAATCTCATCGGTCTCAGGTTAACCTCAGCAAAGGACATATTGGCTCGGGCAATGACGCCGGGCCCTTATTTGCCTTTAAGGTATGTAATAATATATGGCCGAAGTCCTGTGCAAACGGGCTCGCGGGTTGCCCTGCAGCAATCTCGACTTCAGTTGGTCTAGAGGGAGAGGTTGAGCACACCCGAATCCACAGCTGCCAAGGTAAAGCCGGACTGTTCCTCTACTTTGTTGCTTCTGAAAAATTATAAACAATGCAGTCTCGCATCTCTGAACACCAAAGGGGCCAACGCAGGAGGCGACATCGTCACCTCGGCTGACAGTCCACGGCAGATCTCCAGCGGTGCGAGGCTGTCGGAAGGCCGCAGAGGTCTCATTTCGAGTACCCCATGGCCCGTCGCCACCAGTCTTCCAGGCCAGTCTGCCGCATGAGTGTTCCAACCTCGTTCATCTTCTCTACCAGGACCACCCCTGGCCCTGTAAATGATATGAACTCGGAGAGCGTCTTGTGCATCCTCAAATCGACGTCAGCGAGCCCCGTTGAGTGGTCTGCAAGTGTGCAGGAGGCCCATCTCAGCGACTATAGGCCTTTATAATTAGCCACGACCATGAAAGCATAAACCAATTACAGACATGACTGTACCTTAATTCCGTACGCATACGTGCTCACGTTTTCCTCCTTCCCTTCAACGGCAAGCACGCCTGGGTAGCCGATTTTGCAAATTCCGTACAATCCCAGCTCGCGTGCCTCCTTGCGTATGAAGGCTTTCTTTTTTTCAGATAGAATGTGATGAAAGGTCAGCAGCAGACGAGCATTGAGGCCCGTGGACTTGGGCATACAGACGGTTGTCGGTGTATAGCAGGAACAGTTATTGCGATGCCGTCCTTCGTGGCGGCCACGTGCAGGCGCCTGAGGCGACGCTGGCGCTGATCGGACCGGCAAGCCCAGCCTGAGCCTCGTCCTGGGCGGCCTTGCCATGGAACAAGCTGGTCAAGGCTACTTCATCCCCGTCGCCTGCAGATTTGGTGCGTAAAACACGTTTTGGGTGTCGAAATACCCTCAGTTTATTCTTCCAAAAGTGCCGACAGACCAATGGCTTAGTACCCACCTGCATACATCCTGGAGGATATCTGAGGTCAAATCCTGGCTGCTCGCAAAATGTCTTCCTTCATTGTTCACCCCGATACCCCCTATACCCCGCCAACGATATACCCACCGTCGTCGTCGGATGTCGCCCATCACGTTTGCGACGCGCGAAGAGATCAGCGATGACGAGCAAGTCCTAGAAGAGGACGCGCACGACATGCACACGGACGACGCCGATCCGCTGATCGACCTCTCAGACCCTCTGTTATCTGACAAGTATAAATACGTCCCCAGGCCTGCCACGGCGGACTCGCCGAACAAGAGTCTCATCCCCAAGGCAACCTCGGCCTCGACGTCCTCGGACCCGTCGTACTACGTCCTGCTCGTCTTCTCGACCGGTCAGATCCTCGAAGACCACTACAAACTCGCATGGTATCCGACGCATCCTCATGAGCTGCTTGAGCTGCATGCACATCCATTCCTTGTCAGCTTGCCACGCGCTCTGGTTGAAGACTATGTCAGGCCGTACTTAGAGGTTCACGCTTGGGTCCTGCGCCTCCTCGACGACTTCGGCAGTGGTAGCGGCGTGGGGGAGAGGCTGGGTAAGGTCTTGGAGGTGGCGGATCAGGAGAGGGACAAAATTGCCAAGAAGCGGAGGCTGAAGGTGTCTCCATGGCAGGAGCGTTGGGTTATCGTTCGTGAGGGACACTTCCAAGTCTGCAAAGAACGCAAGGTACGATATGCTGTCTTTTAGATATAAGCTCTAACATAGGTTCCTCCATAGGACTCGACCCTGTTGCACTCGATACCTTTGTCTTCAATGGTGTCATTGCGTGGTGCGGACTACATCAGAGAAATTCGCAAGAACTCGATTGACGCGTCGCGCGTCGGGATCACTGACAAGCGTATTATATGCGTGAGATTCCGCTACGAACAGCGTTCCGCGGCATGGTTCAGGCGGGGATCACGAGATGCCACTGCCGGTGAGGAGCCTCGTAAGGTGGTCAGCACGTATGTGGAAGAAGACGAGACAATCGCAGAAGACGGCGACACGATGGTGTTCGCCATACAGGTGCATGACGAGACTGGTGAGTCTGCCCTCTAGAATTGTGGCAACGGTGCTGAACTGCTGATAAGCATACGACAACCTGTTGAGAATACTACATAGAGATAGCCACTCCGCACCGTCTAGCTTCTTCCCTACACCAGCCACGAATCGCTCTCGAAGGCGCTCATACTCACCCATTTCCTTTGCTTCCGTCTCATCAGGAGAAACACCACCTAGCTCGCCGGAGACATTTTCTCCGCCTCGGAGTCTCTCCCCGGATAAACCTAAGCCGACCGGAGTCCAGTATCCAGAATGGCGAATGGAGGTCGTTCGCAAAGCACGTCGAGCCGGTCTGGGAGATGTCGGTCGTGCGATGGAACTGGCGATGTTCGGTGCCGATATCCACGAGAATAGCGGCGTACCAGAAAGCGAGAGCCACCAGCCGAAGCAGGGGCGACGTCGGGGCCGCCAGCCGAACGACGGGTGGAATGGCTTGCTCGAAAGTGACAGCGACCAGGAGAGTGCTGAGGACAGCGGGAGCGAGCGCGAGTGGGAAGGCTGGGAAGCAGATTTCACCAATCCCCGCAAACATCGCCGCAGCCTCCCCCCAGACTCGGGCGTGCAGTGGGAGTCTGGCTGGCATTGGAGCAGCACCACGAGCCCGAGCAAGCTGAACGGGCTCGTCAGTCCGACTGGCACCAACTTTGACGACTACGACTTCCCCGCGAAGCCTGTTGCAGCTGTCGACGCCGCCGCCAGGTCAAACTGCGCATCGCTTAACGTTCCCCCTCGCACACTTTCTAGTTATGCGTCAGCAGACTCCCTACTGAAGCGGAGTCTCCAGAGCGGCAGCCTGCGGCGTCCCAGGCGGCCAGAGTCTCCCTCATCGTACCTCACCCACGCTCGCGCCCGATCCCCTCTCGCGGGCGAGCTCGACGACACAGAGTACTATGGGTCGGAATCTGGCTTTGCGGTACCCTCGCCACCTCAATACATGCCCGACACCGCCTACCCGTCGCGTGTTCCGGCCGAGATAAGCCTTCGGCAGGCTTCGTCAGGCTACCCAACCCAGCGCGTCCCGATGTCCATGGCCATGACGACGATCACGAGCACCGTCACCGCCGGCGACGACGCAGGGCCGGGCAGGAAGGGCAAGGGCAAGGGCAAGGCTCGGGCCCTCGAGACGCCGCCGAGGCCGGCGCGGAAGCGCTCCTTGACGGTGCAGGGCGCGCTCTCCCCGCGCCCGTCGACGGTCGACAGCCTCAGAGACAGCCCCGGCACCGGCACGCTGCATACGCCGGAAGGCGGCGGGGAGAGGTCAGCGAAGCCTGGCAGGCTCAAGCTCGCGAAGCTGTCGTTTGCGCAGGTGGCAGCGGTGAGCTCTGGGTCGTCCTACCTGGGCTCGAGGAACCTTGCCCCGCCACCTCTTAGTGCAACCAGCACAAGCAGTTTCGAGAGTCCACAATTTGCACGTCCCGAGGAAAGCGACTGATTTATGTTATACAGGCGAGAGCTATGATTATTGTGCTATAGTAGTCGGTCCTGACATGTTCGCAGGTCACGTTCATTCTTCTTGAGCGGTCTGGGGTGTAATGTATTCTTGACCCAGTCCTCATTTTTCGTCTGTTGCTGTGCAAGGCGTCATGCTATCGATTCTTGCTTTCGAGATGCAGCCCTCAACGATTTATTGTACATTACCGCATGCATCCTAATATCTCATATTTCTTGAGATCATTCGGAATACAATCTCACTGCCTGCATCGCAGAATTGAGGTGTATGCGTAGACGTCCGGTGATGAGCGACAGTCATGTGAAGCGCCGTGTTAATTGTAATCAGACCGGAATCGGATATCATACAACATGCAAAACAAACGAGACAAGGTCTATCGGCCGTATCTGTATGGCGGCGTCAGGATATAGCTGAATGGACATTGATCGGATAGACGTACTTCTGCAGCTCCCACTCCCGATTGTCCAGAGGACATACGTTACGGGTTTTGAGCCATCGAGAGATGCAATGGAAGTGAAAGGCGTGCTTTGTTAGTCGATGTATGGTCAGGATTCGAGGATATTGGGAGCATCGTGTGACTAGGACATACATTACAAATCCCCCATGCGGCATTACACTCGTCGTTAGTGGCGGATACCTGGTTCGCTTGGCACTCAATACCTTCATAAAAGCGTCAGCTAGATCCAACCTAGGATCAGCAAAAGGCTTACAGAGGTCCATGATGTGATTCCTGCAGATGGCGCAGTTGTCGACGACGATATCTGGAGCATAATGTAAGATACCAGGTCGACATTTGGGAGCGCAAACACGTACCCCATGCCCATAACGCTACAGCGTTCCACTAACACCGAACAGACTGTGAGATCTCTTGATAACCGTGGCTGGGAGCGTACGTACCTTCTTGACCTCGAATCGCTTCTTGCCGCCCTTGCTGTCCTCGCCGGCCTTTCCCTTGACCTTGGGCTCAATCTCGTCGGGGACATCAACATCCATGTCAGCCATATTTTCTATGTGCGGCGGCGAGGTCTGATAAAGAGTGGTGGCCGGAGGTGGATGGGAGTCCAATACAGCGTGCGGACGCGCGCCTCGCACACAGTAATGAGGCGTGATGCTCATCACGTCACGCGTTACGCGTCACGACTGACTGCGTTTTCACTTCGAGCTTGAAGCCGCACGCACTGGCAATATTCTAGATCCTGCATACCCCTCCTTCACGCGTTCTGAGGATGCCGACGGAGACGAGCATACTACAGACTTCTTTGGAAGCGCACAATGGCACGTTCGAGGCTCTGCTAAGCCTCATCCCTGCCAAATACTATCTAGTGCAAGACCTCTCCGAGGAGCAGGTTAGTACAGCATGCACTGGCTAAGTTTTTTGAGTCGCATTGCTTAACTATTCGAGAAGATAGCCTCCAAGTTTCAAAAGAATAGCAAGAAGCAAAAGGCTCCTAAGCAGGCTATAAAAGAGGCATCCAAGAAAGCAAAGAGGGACAAGGTGCGTTTTCATTTCAATATTCGAGGGACTCAGGCTCAAAAACTGCACAAATACTGATAGCTTGATCCTGCTAATAATAAGACTCTCCTTGAGATACAGCAGGAGAACGCGCTACAGAAAGAGCAGGAAGCAGGAGGTTCAAGCATTCGCAAGGGCAAGCAGAAGGCTGCCGTGGTAGACTCAGACGGCGACTCAGATGGTATGCAACTAGACCAATCACTGGCTGTCGACGATTCCGACGATGGGGACGCCGTAGTACACGACGTTCCCCTCGTGCCAATGTCAGCCTCAGGTGGCATCCAACAGCTCCGGGAGAGGCTTCACTCGAAGATGGCTGCTCTTCGGCGAGGGAATCGTCTGGAGGGGGAGGCTGGAAGCAGAGATGAGCTGCTGGAAGAGAGGAGAAAACAAAGGGCTGAGCTGAGAGAGCGGAGGAGGAAAGAGACGAAGGAGAAGATAAAGCGTGAGCAGGAGGCGAAGGCGAAGAAGGGCAGAGAGAAGGATCAGCAGAAGGTCAAAGGTCCACACACAAAAGTATGTCTAGCTGCCCGAGCGCCACTATATTTTGAGATACTTACGAAACTGCTTTAGACGCAGCTGCTTGTTCCTGATCAATCGTCGGCATCAAGCTCAAAGCAGCCACCATCCGGCTTCGCCAATGTCAGCTATGCCATCTCTGGCACAAGCAAGAAGTCTCACACGCATGTTAAGACCTCCTCGAACCCGACGCAAGCACTATCCCAGCTCGCCGCACGCAAGGAGAAGCTCGGGAAGGTGCCCGAGGAAAAGCGGAAAGAAATTCAAGAGAAGGAGAAATGGGAGAAGGCGGAGGCCCGTATGGAAGGTATCAAGGTGCACGACGACGAATCGCGGCTCAAGAAGGCGGCGAAGCGCATGGAGAAGCAAAAGCAGAAGAGTAAGAAGGCCTGGTATGTCTGTCTTGTCTTGCGTGATGATCAAGGAACACTCACCGGGTATGCAGGGACGAGCGGAAGGAGCAGCTTACGGCATCTATGGCTGCGAAGCAGAAGAAAAGGACGGACAATATCGCTACGCGCAACGAACGGAGGAAGGACAAGGCTAAGGGTGTCAAGTCAAAAGACAAGGGCCGGCCCGGCTTTGAGGGCAAGTCCTTTGGGAAGGGCAAGGCCAAGGGCAAAGGTGTCGGCAAAAAATAGTCTCGTCAGGCTGCTCGCGTCTGTACATCCTTCCTGCATCCTGCCATTGATTACTTTGTTTTGAAATACTGTACGATGTGATTGACGTGAAGGAAACTAAGGTATGTAGGATGATGTGCCGTGAATGCGAAATGGATGAAACGAAGGAATCACGAAACGGAAATCCAACTAAATCTACCTCTGGACTCCCGAAAAGTAGAAAATTGCACCAGGTAAAGATTGTGGGTCGCCCCACGAATCAGCCACGTACTACGCCAATTGTGACGTCCGCCTCGCCCTCACCCCCGCCCTCGCGAGAGCCATAGCGCAGCGCGGTCTTGCAGCGCTCGGACGCCCAAGCCGTAAGTTTTAGCAGGTCGTCGTCCGTGAGATCGCGTGGGACGTGCAGCTCGAGCGTGACGACGAGAGACTGAGCCGGTCCGTCCCACTTTACGAGCGACGGAATGTACGAAGGCCGCGATAAGTGCGGCGTGAGCTGCCAGAAGTGTGGTGCGGGGAGGTGGAGGACGTTTGAATGTCGCTCGATCTGTGCGGTAGAGATATAAGTGGTCCTGCGACGAGAAGGAGTGGGAATACACACCTCCCGCATCGCCCGTAAAAACGCCTCCATTCTTCCCCCTGGTAAGCCGCGCGACGGGGCTGTCTGCAAGAGGACAGCACCCAGCGCTACCGCTGCAGGGTAGGCCAGAGCGAAGGTTACCACGGTCTCGACTCCTGCTAGCAGCAAGTCGAAGGATCCGTGTTTACGACTGTATGCCCATTGGTTAGCCCGGATTGAAGGTGATCAATGTAGTAACACGTACGGCGGAAGTATAGCAAGAGCGCAGAGGATGGACGAACAGAAGAGGATAGGCGCGAGGGTGTACGGGTTGGACAGCAGGTTTGCGATAAGGGAAGGGTATGCGGTTTTGGATGAAATGCTCAGTCGCAGCCGGAACGGCAGTAGGTTGTACAAAGGAGGGACGTAGTTGCCGGTAGCTGCTCAGTCGACGTCAACGGTCTGTCTTCAGCTACGGTCACTGAGTACGCACCACTAACGAGTTTTGCTTGGCTGTTGAACATTACAGCAGTACAGATAAGCGATAATAAGGCGATAGATAGCAGTAATGGTGGAAACTCAATCCTGAGAAAACCATGAGTGATGAGCACGTACGGCAGGCAAGTAAAAATCCAGTACTGACCCGATAACAGAAGAGAGTTCGTCACCGTGATGATGATGATGGCCCTCTCCGGATGCAAGCAGCAGGTGCTCCAATGTCTCCTTGCACACATACACAGACGCGAAAAGCAAGTATACAGATTGCGCATATGTCATGAGCGTCTCGATTCGCGCATTCCTAATGAACGACGTCAGTCTCTCTAACGAACACTCATTGGGTCGACATACCCGTAAGGTCTCCGCATTCCTGCTCGGGTTTCTGCCCGCGCGAGATACCCAGGGAGCACATGTGCAAGACCAACGCCGAACGCATCGAACACGACCCAGTAGCCTAGTCCCGTGCAGGACAATGAACCAATCTGCTGGCCGACAACCCAAAGGGTTGCCCCCAGAATAAACTGTCCGACAGCAGCAATCGTGGCTAGTAGATCGATCTCTGGCACTGCGTGTACGGGTGCGATGGGAGGTTTCTCAGCCGTGTGGACGCCCAGGCCAATCCCGTTCGTGCCTTCCACAGGCGAGATACGGTCCAGCGAGCTGCTACTTGTGCTCGTCTGGAATGGAAATGGCGAGATCGGGTTCCAGGGGCTGAGAGGTGTTGGTGTCGGCTGACTCCGTAGATCTCCGGGCACGCCACCAGGCTCTAGGAACGAGAAGAAGTTATGAGAGAGCGAGTGCTTATGGTGATGCCCTCGTCGGGCAGGTCCTGCGGGAGGTAGTGGTGTAAAGCCGTTGGAATCAGCGTCCGGCGGCGGCTTCGCGCCGAAGGTGAAGCCTTGTCGGAATGTGTGCTGTTCAGGACTAGGTGAGGTTACCAAGGGAATAAGTACTCCATCGTCTCCCAAATACGATGCGTCCGCTTCTACTTCATTATTGCCGTCCTCATCTATCGCCGTGGAAGGAAGGGAGCCCGGCCGAGGAAAGAATATTGAGAGATTGCGCGAATGGAGACGCGAATGTCTGCGGGTATGTGATTGTATGTTCGGTGCAGGTAAAGGTGAAACATCGTCTCCCCAGCTAAACGGACCTTTCCTGGACAGGGAGCTAGGTACAGGGTCCGAGTCCAAGTGCCCCGTGTGTTCTGGAAAACGCACTAGACCGTTGCCGTCAGAGCCTTGTGTAGGCGGGTATGACGCTGATTGAGAGATGGAGAATGACGCCGCGAGAGGAGAAGGGGAGGAGGGAGTAAATGGCCCAGAGACTGATCGAGCACGAGAGTGCGATGAGTGAACGGGGAGTGAGAACGATTGGCGCATTGCGGGAGCTTGGTGCCTGCCATGACCGTTTGAGGCATGGCCATGAGGAAACGCGCCATTCGTGGTCGATGCTCGCGGCAGGGCAAACGACGTGCGGTATGGGCCTGCGGAAGGCGGTTTGGACGGCGGAGAACGTTGCGCAGGGAACTGACCGTTCAGCGGCGAAGGCACCGCTGGCACCGAAGTGACGCGACTCCGCGAGCCTGCAGAGTGCGCCCGTGCACCCCAGCCTCCGTGTTCACCCCCGTTTGCCTGCGGTACAGCCTCTGCTTTGAAGCTGGTCAAATGCGAACCGGACGCATCGTGCTCGTCGCCAGGACCGTTTGTGCGAGCATCAACTCTATTGCCCTTGGGTGGTGGAGCGAGCGATACACTTGGAGTAGACTGGTCATCGGCAGGAAAGACCAGCACGTTATCATCCTCATCTCGACTAGTCTTTCGTCGATGTACTCCGATGCCTGTGTGGCTTGACCCTACGGAGGTCATCCCGTCTGGTCAAGAGCGAGGTAACGCGAGTCGCGGGAAGCTGGCGTCCTGTCGAGTCTCTGCCCCAAATGGTCCAGAGACAATCGGCCAAAAGTTTGTGCAGAGCTACACGGCTCTCGTCCAATGCAGGATTAAGATTCTGGTGAGGTCAGGGACAGCAAAGCGGGGAGAGAGCCAGTGCTGGAGAGATTGATGTGGTCGCAGGTCGTCCGTCAACCGTGCGGCCCATCACACAGACGCCGGAAGCAGATCCAGGATGCAGGTGAAGCACGATTCACAAGGACCGGCACAGAAGGGAAGGCTCGTCCTTGGCAACCACAAGGACCTTACAGTGGTCCCGCTCTATGCCACATATTCCTCCACTAACTCAACGAACTTAACGAGCATTCGTGAGCACCCACGTTCCCACTACACAGGTGAGCCGCAATTTTCAGCCCATGTGGACTGAGCTTTGCGCGTGTGAGCTCGTCGCCTCTAATTGCCAAGCCTCAACTTTGACAGACAAAAGATCCAGGCCTCCTACCCGCTTGGATATATCTCTGGGAATCATACACATGCACATATAGAGTATTGACGCTACCGGACTGCTTCGCTGACCTGAGCGACAGTGTGGAGGGAAGTGAGTGTAGTATGCAAAAGAGTGTTCGTTTTCGTTGTCTGTCTTCGGTTCCTCAACGTGGCCTTTGCGTGGAAGATGTGTTTGTAGCAGCATTCTGTTCCAGGTCCATCGACCGCGACGTTTTCGGCTGGGTATTTACCACCGCCCCGGGGTCCCCATCACCACTAGTACCGAGATCCTTGAGCTCCGCATTGCTTGGATTGCGTGCGGCAAAGTTCATCGACTCTGCCCGCCGCTCGTGGACAGCTGCAGCATCCTCAAACTCCTCGTCGCTCATTCTCGGTTTGCAACACTTGACTGAACGGAAGAGGTGTGAGAGCAGCGAAGGGGCCCGAGAACAATGCACACGCACCGAAAAAGCACCACTGCTGCATAGTCTGAGTGCAGCAAATACCTGCAGCTCTGTCATCATCCGGAGGCGAGGGTAACAGATAAACCGAGGGGGCTTACAGCAAAGTCCACAGCAGAATTCAAGACCGAGGTCAGCCATGGTATTCTCGTCTTCAAGAAGAGAATAAAGGGTACAAAATAGATACCAGCTCACGAACAAGAGACGAGGGTATATGTAGTGGAAGACAGCGGGAAGGAGTGCCCGAGCCCGGCTGTCTTTGAGCTTTTCGAAGAACCATTCCGGTCTCTACTCGCACAGCAATTCGTGTTTACGTTCGCGAGGCGTGCCAAGGTGCCTCCGTCATGAAAGATCGGAACTCGGCACTCAGTACGCGATCAGATCTCGCAGTCCCACGCACGATCGAGATCCGGTATCGTAATAGTGGCCCACTTTGCGGGTCCCTGCAGGCGGTGCACAAAGCGACAGCAGCGTCGGTTTTCTTGTCTGTTAGTCTAGTTGCGATACATGCAGAATAAATCCAACAGAAGCCGTAAGACAAGGAGTTACGGTGGCGGCCGAACAAAGAATCGCTGCAGAAGTATCTGATCCACGCTTTCCGTCTCAGGCGCAGTGAGGTCGATCCAGTCTTCCGGCCGCAAGCGTTCCTCGCTAGTGAGGGGGGACCAGTTGGGAGAGGGCGTCGCCCTGATGTGGGAAAAATCTTGCACAGCAGGAATTTTTTCAGGAGTCTGGACGCTGTAAGTGAACCACGAGGGTTAAAGCAGAGACAGGTAACCTCACCGCCAGCCGATCCTCTCCAACCAGGGAGGTCGGATACGGAGCAAAGCGAAGCTTCGTACAATGTTCGATGATAGGATTTGACTCAATGAGTAGATAAACGTCAACCTGCGTTGATGTATGCATGCGGAACTATTGCCGAGTCAATACGCGCATGTTAAGAGTGGAAACATATTCTCACAAACCTGGTGGCAGCCTAATGCCAAGATACAGTTGCTTATGTCGTGAACCATCGCACTGCCTTGCACAGGCGGCAGGATGAGAATCGAATTTTTCACGTTTCTCATGTGAACTGCCGTGATGGTCGGGATGGAAACAGACGCGGAATTCTGGAGCAGGTCGACGATACAATGGTCTAAGTCCGAGATGCTGAGGTCCGTTGCTAGTGCCGCCACAGAGGGGACTGACGACCATGTGAGGTGCTGACGAGAACAGGCTGCGAGAACAACGGAATTCGATTGTTTCGACGGCTGCGGCGCAAGTAAATCGGTAGTGTTGGCCGCAACAGAAACACTGGAAGATACAGCAGGTTTTGGGACCTTTCGCTTGAAAGAAAACTTGGGCTTGCCTGCGGAGACGGACCGCAGGTCATCCAGAGATTGCTCTAGTGATTTCAGACTCTGGGCAAGGCGGGTTAGAATGGCAAGCAAGCGGTCGATAATTTTCTGCACCTGCTCGTACTGCCGTTGGTCATACGAGGGCAAATATACTGTGGCGTCGCTCAAATCCTTGCGCAGTTTCGCGATCTCCAGAGCCAAGGCATTTACTGCGTCTTGTGATGGAGCTCCCTTAGCCTTCAGGATTGCCAGGCGTGCGAGCAAGTCTAGTTGACAGCCGGCGTCTCCTCAGAACCAAGCGAATGAAAAAAAAAACGAGGAGGTTGGCAGACCAGACTGCGCAGCTTGGAATAAGATGTAGAACTCCTGAATCAGGATCTTGTTCGTGGCGGCCATTGCGAAGAGGAAAGCTGGTAGATGTTACACTAGCCGTCAGGATCTCCGACACGCGCACGTCCGCGAAGTGTGCTGCGGTTTTAGCAGCAAAAGGCTTGTAGTGGAAGCAGCTCGAAAGGAGTTAGGAGGGCCACGGTCGTGTTACCCGTGAACCGGATAGACAAGCCCTGTGGGATAAGACCTTAGCTGGCACAAATAGAAAGGACAACGCCTTGTATGGTATTCTGGATAGAGATTCCCGAATGATGCTTAGTCAGCATCGAGACCAAGGCTGTTTCTTCGCCGTGCTTCAGTTTGTACCAGACATCCACGCCGTCCCTCAAGGCGGCAACAATTGCCCTTTTTCTTCCTCGCCTCTCCTTTTACTTATACATCTTCGTTACCTGCCCTGCCCAACATGAGCCGGCAGTCCACGCTGGGCATGCACCAGCAGTTGGAAGCTGTCACCGATCTTGCGACCCTTCCCTCCGTCTCGGACGACATCGTCGTATCATGTATCCGCGAACGGTTTATGGCCGACACCATTTATACCAATGTCGGCACTTCTGGTCTTGTCGCCGTCAATCCACACAAATACGTCCCAAGTAATTCCGATTCTGTCCTCCAGAAGTATGCTGCCGAGTACCGCGACACAACCCCCTCGAAAGTCCTTCTTCCACCGCATATTTTTCAGCTGGCAAACAATGCCTACTACCACATGCGTCGCACAGCCCAGGATCAATGCATCCTTCTAAGGTCTGATTACTTCCTGTGCTCTTCTGTTATCGTCCGGCTCATCGAATTTCAGCGGAGAGACGGGCAGTGGGAAGTCGGAGAACCGTCGCCTTGCTATCAAGACTCTGCTGGATCTGAGCGTTAACAATCCTGGGAAGAAGGGCTCAAAGCTCGCACACCAGCTCCCCGCTGCCGAATTTGTCCTCGAGTCGTTTGGTAGCGCTCGCACGCTCTTCAATCTCAATGCCTCACGCTTTGGCAAGTACACTGAGTTGCAATTTACCGAACGTGGGCGGCTATGTGGTGTCAAGACCATCGACTACTACCTGGAGCGTGGCCGCGTGGCCTCAGTGCCCTCCGGAGAACGCAACTTCCACATATTCTACTACCTTATGGCCGGTGCATCCCCCGAGGAGCGGCAGCATATGCATCTGAACGAGAAAGCGACATACCGCTATCTCGCCCAGCGTACACTTCCGGGCAGGCCGACCCAAGGCCGCGATGAGGATGCGACGCGCTTTGATCAGCTCAAGATGGCTCTGAAGAATGTTGGCTTTTCAAAACGTCACGTCGCTCAGACCTGTCAGCTCGTCGCTGCCATCCTTCACCTCGGTAACCTCGAATTCACTATCGATCGTCACCGAAACGAAGACGCGGCGGTCGTCCGGAATATGGACGTGCTTGAGATCGTTGCGGAGTTTTTGGGAGTCCAGCCCGCTGCTCTAGAGACAGCGCTAACATACCGGACGAGGCTGATGAAGAAGGAGCTCTGCACAGTCTTCCTCGATCCGGATGGCGCAGCTGACAACCGAGACGAGCTCGCCGTGACTCTGTATTCCCTCCTATTCACTTGGCTTAACGAGTACATCAACCAACGTCTCCACAAGGACGACTTCACCAGTTTCATCGCCTTGCTGGACCTCCCCGGACCGCAGAACCTCACGAGTCGTTCCAATGGCCTCGACCAGTTTTGCGTCAACTTCGCTAATGAGCGACTGCAGAACTTTATCCAAAAACGACTCTTCGAGAGTCACGTCAGCGAGTACAATGCCGAGGGTATCTCAAGATTTGTCCCGCAAGTTCCGTACTTCGACAACTCCGAGTGCATTCGCTTGCTGCAGCACCGACCTGGTGGCCTCATTCACATCATGGACGATCAAGCCCGGCGGATGCCCAGGAAGACGAACCACACTATGGTCGAGGCATTCGCTAAGCGCTGGGGCAACCACTCGTCGTTCAAGGTCGGATCCGCGGATAGGTCCGGCTTCCCCACCTTCACCATCAACCATTTCACAGGACCAGTTACATATTCGGCGGAAGGCTTCCTGGAGAAGAATCAAGATACAATGAGCCCTGACTTCGTTCAGCTTCTTCGTGGCACCAGCACCAACGATACGCCTGCTACCGACGGCTCCGGGTCGATCAACCCCTTCGTCCGTGGCCTATTCACCTCTAAGGCAATCGCAACACAGATGCATCCGAAGAACGAGGAGACTATCATTGCTGCTCAGCAGCCGGTGAAGCCCATGCGTGCGCCGTCCACCCGTCGTAAGAATACGGTCAAACGGATGTCGACCTTGAAGGAGAACGAGATAGACGAGAAGGAAGAGGAGGAAGCCCCCGGGGCGGCCCCTTGCATCGCTGGCCAGTTCCGCGCGACGCTCGACATGCTATTCGAGACGTTGGAGGAAGCGCAGGCGTGGTATGTGTTTTGCATTAGCCCCAACGACTCGCAGCTGCCCAATCAACTCGAAGGTCGCTCGGTCAAGGGTCAGGTGCGCAGCCTCGGTCTGTCGGAAGTTGCACGCCGCTGTGCCAACATGTTCGAGGTGGCGATGACGCCTCAAGAATTTCTGGAGCGCTATCAGGACACCCTGCAGCAGGTCGGTGTACACGAGGGCGAGCCTAAGGAAAAGGTGGAGCGGTCACGAACGGCGCTTGGGCTGGAAGAGAAGGATGTTGTGCTTGGGATGACTATGGTAAGTACATCCTATACGTGCCGGAAGCATTTGATGACTTAAAATATCCGCTTAGGCCTTCTTATCGCACGCTGCCTTCCACCGACTTGAGGATGATCTGCGGGCAAAGGATACCGAGGAGCAGAAGCGCAATAAGCTTCGTGAAGCTGAAGCTGAAGCTGGCCTTGACCCTCGTGGACTTAGCGACCCATACGCTCCATACAGCACCCCTGGTCAGGAAGGCCCTTATGAGGGCGGCTACAACGATCCCTTTGGTCAGTCAAATCAGCAGCTGCCACTTGTTTCCAATGCCTCTCCGTTCCATCGCGGTGGCGGCTACGAGGACTACGACGACCAAAAGTCGATGGACGAGTACGATGTACGCAGTGCACTCACGAGCCATCGAGATGACGAGTCACAGTCCAATTTCGGCACGGAGTCATATGCCCCGTCGCGAAATATGTTCCAAGCCGCGGACAAGGGTCTAGCGGACAAAGAAGCGATTGCGGGCGAGATTCAGGAAGGCGAGACGGTCGAGACTATCAAGGAGACTTCTGCGCGGCGACGATGGGTCGCACTTTGCTGGCTCCTCACCTGGTGGGTACCCAACCCGATCCTTAAATGGGTCGGCCGGATGAAACGTCCCGATGTCCGGCAGGCCTGGCGTGAAAAGCTTGCACTCAATATGCTCATCTGGCTCATGTGCGGAGCTGCTGTCTTCATTATCGCGATTATCGGCCCTCTCATCTGCCCCACGGAACACGTGTTCAGCTCGAGCGAGCTTCAGTCACACTCCTTCCAAAACAGCCCGAACAACGTCTACACTTCGATTCGTGGCGAAGTTTTCGACCTGACACAGATCGCAGCGACCCATCAGCGTATCGTTCCCGTCGTTCCGGAGAAGTCGATACTCAACTATGGAGGCGTTGCGGCGGACAACATCTTCCCCGTCCAGGTCAGCGCTCTTTGCAACGGTGTCAGTGGCACTGTGAGCCCGTACGTCGTTCTGGATTCGAGTAACAACACCGACCCGAATGCCCAATACCACGACTTCCGGGCATGGACCACTGACCCTCGACCTGACTGGTATTTCGAGAGTATGACCTTGATGCGCTGGAACAACCGCGTTGGTTTCGTCGGTATCGACTCCAAGGAGCTGAAGAATATGGCTAATGCACAACACTCCGTCGCGGTTTACCGTGGCCTGATCTACGACCTCACCTCGTACATTGCCAACGGCCCTGCTGTCGCAGCGCCGAAGGGGGAGCAGACACCATCTGGCATTGATACTCAATTTATGGACCAGAGCGTTATCGATGTGTTCCAGTTCAACGCTGGTCAGGACGTCACGAAGAAGATTGATAACCTAAACCTGCCCTCGAATGTGTTGAATTGGCAGAGGACTTGCTTACGGAACTTGTTCCTCATTGGCAGGGTCGACAACCGTAACTCCCCTCAGTGTCTCTTCTCGCAGTATATCCTACTCGCTCTGTCGATCATGATGGTTAGCGTCATTGGCTTCAAGTTCATTGCCTCCATCAACTTCACCTCGGCTCGCGCTCCAGAAGACCATGACAAGTTCGTCATCTGCCAGGTTCCTTGTTATACCGAAGGCCACGCTTCGCTCCGCCGCACAATCGACTCGCTCGCTCAGACCAAGTACGACGACAAGCGCAAGCTGCTCTTCATCATCTGCGACGGTATGGTGGTCGGCGCCGGTAACGATCAGCCCACGCCGCGTATCGTCTTGGATGTCCTCGGCGCCAACCCCAACGTTGATGCTGAGCCTCTTTCCTTCTTGTCACTTGGCGAGGGTGCGAAGCAGCATAATATGGGCAAGGTCTTCTCTGGACTATACGAGACCCGTGGTCACGTTGTGCCGTACATTGTTGTCGTCAAGTGCGGCAAGCCCGGTGAGAAGTCGAGGCCCGGTAACCGTGGTAAACGTGACTCGCAGATGCTGCTCATGCACTTCCTGAACAAGGTATGACATCGCTTGAGAATATTGCTCGCTGTTACTTTTCGCTAATAACCTCCACAGGTCCACTTCAACACCCCCATGAACCCGCTGGAGCTAGAGATGTACCATCAGATCAAGAACGTTATTGGTGTCAACCCCACTTTCTACGAGTACCTATTCATGGTTGATGCCGATACTACTGTCGCGCCATTGGCTCTGAACCGCTTGGTGTCTGCGTGCGTTACTTCTGTTCTCTGTGGTAGTCCGTATAGCTAACGATATCTACAGCATGATTCACGACAAGAAGCTTCTCGGTGTCTGCGGTGAAACAGAGCTGGCCAATGCGAAACAGTCGATCATCACAATGATGCAGGTCTACGAGTACTTCATTTCTCACCACTTGGCCAAGGCGTTCGAGTCTCTCTTCGGTTCCGTCAGCTGTTTGCCCGGTTGTTTCACGCTCTACCGTCTGAGGACGCCTGATACTCACAAGCCGCTCCTCATTTCGAACCAGCTCATCCAGGACTATTCCGAGAATCGTGTGGACACGCTTCATATGAAGAATTTGCTCCACCTGGGTGAAGATCGTTACCTCACGACCTTGCTCCTCAAGCACTTCTCGCACTTCAAGACACAGTTCGTCCGGGACGCTCACGCATATACTATTGCTCCCGACGATTGGAAGGTTTTCCTCTCGCAGCGTCGGCGTTGGATCAACTCCACGGTTCACAACTTGGGGGAGCTGGTGTTCATCGACGAGCTCTGTGGCTTCTGCTGTTTCTCAATGCGCTTTGTCGTCATGATTGACTTGATCTCTACGATCATTCAGCCGGTCACTGTCGCATACGTGAGTGGTATCTTTGTGGTTAACATGCATGTCGCTAATCAGCCCGTGCTAGATCGTTTACCTCATTGTTCTCGTCGCCGCCGAAGGGAAGACCATTCCGACGTTATCGATTGTCATGCTAGCTGCTGTATATGGTCTTCAAGCCCTTGTGTTTATCATGCGCCGCAAATGGGACATGGTCGGATGGATGATCTTTTATATCCTCGGTATTCCTGTGTTCTCACTCTTCTTACCGCTCTATTCCTTCTGGCGCATGGATGACTTCTCCTGGGGTCAAACCCGTATTGTCTTGGGAGAGGCTGGTAAGAAGATGGTGGTTCACGTAAGTTGACACTTCGCAAGCTGGAAATGGCTTGGTTAGTTAACTGCGTTCTCTAGGACGAAGGCAAGTTCGACCCAAGATCGATACCACTGAAATCTTGGAACGACTACGTACGTAGCTTTGACTACTGGCCACGGCCGTTGGGCTGACCTTGGTTGTAGGAGAACGAGTTGTGGGATAAGGAGTCAAACCACAGTATCGGCTCGTGGGTCCCGCCTACCAAGTTCCAGAATGATGGCTACGCAGAGTCGCAGACTGCGTCTATGTACGGCCGCGAGACATACTACGACCCTGCGATGTCTCACGCGTACTCGCCGTCTCCGTCACAAACTGGCATGGCGCATCCTCCACCGGGTTACCAGTCTGGTCGCAACACGCCTATGTCCATGAGCTACATGCCGAGTGTGTTGCACCAGCCAACGCCATCCCGACCCGCCACATCGTACCTTGATGTCCAGATGCCGACATCGCACAGTCCAGAGGACATCGACCTTCCGCCTGGAGCGCCCACAGATGCTGAGATTGACCGCGCAGTTCAGCATATCCTCCAGGACGCCGACCTGACAAGCGTGACCAAACGCGAGATCCGACGGCAGTTGGAGGAGCATTTTGGTATGGACTTGTCGAGTCGCAAAGCAGCGATCAACGCCGCCATTGACCGCGTCCTCCTCGAGCGCGCGGGCTAATGAATATTGGCCGGGACGTTAGCGGGCTACCTTATGGAACTTCTTCACTTCTCGTTTGGACTTGGTTATCATCTCGCGCGTTTGTCGTATTCTCATTGACGGACTACTGCATCTCATGTGTGCTTTCCTACGTACCATTCATAGAATATCACGGACTGTAATATCTCTCATGAACTCCCTCACGCTAACACTTCGCTCGATTGGACAGTCGTATACGTGCACTCTTTTAGGTTTGACTCCGAAATCATTCTACTAATCATTATCACGCGTACATGTGGACTAAACAATACAATGTCGGTGAGCTACAGGTACAAATTGTCAACTCGATGCGAATGTATGACAACGAAGACGAAAGGTGTTAGTGGCTATACTGGTACTTCCGGTGTGTATGCGAAATAATACAAATAACTAGAAATGAGCGTGTAGATAGTTGTGCGGCTAGAAACAAATACAGGGTAGTTAATCCATCCACTCGCCACCGTGTGCGAGTTGAGCAAAGATGCCACGCTTCTCCATGAGTTCGTGATAGGTGCCCTGCTCCGCGAGAGCACCTTCGTGGATGACGAGGATGCGATCACACATTTGCATGACCTGCAGCTTATGAGTGACCATGAGGGTCGTGCGGCCAACCTTAGCGCGCCGGATAGTCTCCATCACGGCCACCTGGTTCGCCGGGTCCAGTGCAGACGTGCACTCGTCGAGAACGAGGATCTTGCTCGGGCGGACAAGTGCGCGAGCGATCTGAAGACGCTGGGCCTGGCCACCGGAGATGAGCGCCGCGTTCTCGCCGACCAGTGTTTCGTAGCCTTTTGGCAGCGAGAGGATGAAGTCATGGACGTTGGCGGCGCGGGCTGCCGCTTCGATCTGCTCCCTCGAGAGACCTTGGGTGCCGTACGCGATGTTCTCGGCGATTGTCGCGTCGAACAGATTTGGTTGCTGACTCACGACCGCGACGTGGTCTCGGAGATAGTGGACGTCGGTGTTGTGGATGGGATGGTGGCCAATGGTAACGGAGCCGGAACTAGGCTCGTAGAGACGTTGGAGAAGGGCGGCGATGGTCGACTTGCCAGAGCCGGACGAGCCGACAATGGCAACACACTCGCCACCAGCGAGGGACAACGAGATATCTTTTAAGACGGGAACGTCCGAGCGTTCGGGGTATGCAAAGGAAACATTGGAGAAGAGTACGTCGCCAGCGACCGGGGGACGTAGAGCGCCTTGCGACTCGTCCGTGTGCTTGTTGAGTTTTAGGAGTTGGTTGAAGTCCTGTGTAGCCTGCACAGACTTCGCGGTGCGTTGTGCTATAGGGTCGTCAGTAAAGAGCAAATGCGAGAACTGTAAAAAGACGCACTGAAAGACATGAGTTGGGAACCAATGGTCACAGTGAAGACGACAAGATTGAGGACTTGAACCATGCGCAGATACTCATATGTACCGTTGGCGACCAAGACTGCGCCAACGTAGAACAGAACAGCCTCAGAGAGGTATATGAGAGAGCTTGCAACACCATGTGTGCAGCCCTCGACGAAGGCTCCTCGCACACCGGATGCGAGGGCATGATCCGCAGACTTCTCGAACTTCTCTTGGAAGACGCTCTCGAAGCCCATGGCGCGAATACCGCGAACGTTAGAGATCGCCTGCAATGTAGACGGTGAGTAACTAGTACAAATATGGTGTGAAAGAGCACATACGTCGTAGTAGCCTTTGGCTACCTCCTCCCGAGCACGCTTGTTGCGAGACTCACACTTCGCGACAAGGTTGGTCTGAACAGCCATCGTGAGACCGAAGACGGGCGCAAGCGCGAAGCCCACGAGCGTTAGCTGCCACCCTTCCACGAGTGCCCAGATGAGGCCGACCCCGAGCATGGCAGTGACAACGAGCGTCTGAGCAAACACCGTCGCGATGAGAGACCTCGAATCGTCGCCGTCCTTGATGAGGATCTGCACGAGGCGCGCGGGGCTGTTCTCGCTCTTGTCGAACCACTTCTTGTCCTGGGCGAGCACGAGGTTGATGCACGTCTTGCGCATTTTGTTGACCCAGTCCATTGCCGTGTACTCCATAACGAAATACTTGAGCCCGATGAGTAGGCCGTCGCCAAAAGCGATCGCGAGCGAGAGGCCACCGAAGAAATTCACGGCGGAGACGTCCGTCGCGCCAGTCGACACCTCGAACTGCAGCCGCGAGAGTACGAAAGAGAATGCAGGCGTCATTGCGCCACTCACGAGGCAGACCAGTATGCCGAAGACGAAGAGCGGCTTGAGGGGCATCGTCGGCCAGACGTCGAGCATCAGGCGCCAGAAAGAGGGCTGGGACGAGGCGGGCTCCTCGGCGAGCTCCCCAGCCTTCTCGACCTTGACATCAGTGAGTTCGATAAGCTTGCCCTGATCCCACTTGATGCGTTCGCGCTTTGGCACCTGTGCCTTGGCGTTCAGGGTGGACATGCTGCGAGACGGGTGTAAAATGCGGTGCTCTAACAGTTTCTTCTCGTCCTCGTCCTCGTCCTCAACAAGGGTAGATGAGAAGAACGACGAGGTAGAGGTCGGTGATGTTGGCGTAAACTGCAAGCTGTATCGTCGGCTGATGGTGCGTGCGGCCGGTGGAGAGGCGAGGGAGGGTATGTCGATGTGCAAAGACTGCCGGCGATGAAGAGAAAAGGGAGAGACTGGGGTCGCAGGCTCCTCGCTGAAAGCTTCGGGAGGTACAAAGCGGCTGATGCGGTGGGTAGTTCGGTTTGGAGTAGGGGTAACGGCTGTGTTTGGAGAGGTTACCGACGGCTTCGTGAGATCAGCGACGACGTCGAACATCCAGTGATTCATCGTCAGCGGCCGGTAGATGCTCTGGCGCTTCAAGTCCTTGGCGGTGACACCCGCAGCCTCAAGATCCTCCTCCTGCTCAGCATCTGTCTGCTCGAGAATGGCCGAGAGCCGAACCTCCTCCTTGGCCAAGTCCTCGTCCGTCCGCTCCTGAAAGCCAACCGCGAGCATGCGAGAGAACTCGTCGCGAGCGGTTTCTAGATCGTAGCGGAAACCCTGCTCGGCAATTTCACCGTTCTTGAGCACGTACACGAAATCCTCTGCGGTGATTTGGGAGAGGTCATGTGTGATGACGATGGTCGTCTTGTTCTCGCGCCACTTCTTAATAGCTTCGAAGACCAGGACGCGGGAAGTCGGGTCGAGCGCAGAGGTCGCCTCGTCTGTGGACAAGAGTTAGCGTCGTCTCGCCTGATACGTGGTTGCGAACATACCGAGAATGAGAATGGTAGGGTCCCGAAGTAGAGCCCGAGCGATAGCAAGTCGCTGCTTCTGGCCACCAGAGAGGTTGGCACCACCGTTGCCGAGCTTGGTGTCGTAGCCGTTCGGAAGATCGCTGATAAACTGGTGCATGAGCGCCGCTCGGCACACAGCCTCGACTTCCTCGCGCGAGACATCCTCCGGGCGACGCTTGCTTGCGGGGCTCGCCAAGCCCATCGCGACATTCTCGTGCACCGTCATGTCGAAGAGGATACATGTTTGCGACACGCCAGCGATCTGCTCGCGGGACCAGCTCATATCAAGGTATGCGAGGTCGTGGTCATCGAACTTGATCATGCCTTGCTCGGAGTGCAGGTGGTACATCCGGAGGAGGAGCTGCCCGACAGTGCTCTTGCCTGAGCCCGACGCGCCAACGATGAACGTCATCTCTTGCGCGGGAATGAAGATGTTGACGTCGCGTAAGACGGGAACGTCCGGCCGTGACGGGTACGCGAAGGTGACATCGCAGAGCTCGAGACCACCCTTGTATGTACCGGGAATGATCTTGCGCAGAGTGCTCGTATGCCGCGCGGGCTTGAGAGGGGTGTACAACGTTGATGCCGAGTGCCCAACAGTGGGCTCCACGCTCGACTGGGCCAGATTAATGAGGGAAGCCATGGAGAACTTGCCCTTTGCGATGATGATGAGCTGCGGGACACACATCTGCAGGTTGCTGGTCGCGATGAGGCAGGCCCAGAACACAGCCATGACGTCTCCAGCGCTGATCGTACCAGAGCGGACGAGCTTGGCACCGAACCAGAAGCCCTGCACGAACATGGCCATCATCGCGAAGTGCGAGAGCGTAGCAGTGAAGCCCCAGACGGTGAGGCATCCGTTGGCGCAAGCCTGGAGCTTGTCAAGGACAACGGACAGGTTCCGCTCCTCGTGCGACTGCGCGTTGAACGCCTTAACGGTGGCGATAGCGGCGACTGCGCGATCGACAAGGGTCGCTGCGGTCGCAGTATGAGCCCGCTCGCCGCTGAGACGTGGCGACACGAGGTTCTGTGATACTGTTTGGATGACCATGAGCACGGGAACGGCAGATAGGATGACGAGTGTGAGGGCCCATGAGCGCGAGAAGCCCAAGGCGAGGCAAACGAGGGTTGTTATGAGATACTGTATTAGCATCCCACATGCTAGAGACGTCGCTGCCCGGACTTCGTCCGTTTCTCTATGGAGAGATGAGTGCCAGTCAGATGGTAAAGTCAGAAAACATACCTTGTGAACTTGGCCATGAGGCCACCCGCACCGAGATTGTCGTCTGCATCTTTACCAGTCCGTGTATCAAACCAGACAAGGTCTTTCCGCGTCACATCGTTGTATACGCGCTTCCTGACTGCAATCAGGTTCCGCTCGCCGGTCCATATCCATAAGCTGGAGGTAAGGCTGCTCAGCACCAACGCCCCGACCGAAAGACCGAGGAGCTCGAGGGCAGTAACACCAACGTCGTGTCTTAGCGTGTTCTTGTCGCTTTGCGTGGCGTTGGATAGCGGGAAGTTCGCGAAGGCGTCGAAGACATTGCCGATGACCAGGGTCATGAAGGGGGCGATGGCTCCGGAAGCCATAGACGCGAGAATGGCAGGGTAAACAAGAAAGTACAAGTCATGTCGTGTAAGAAATGAGAAGAGGAGTTTTATGGATGGTGTCGCCGGTTTCGGTTGTGAGTGGAGTGTTGGTACAGCTGGCAGAGGCAGCTTGGTCGTTGATGTCGTTGGTGTACTCGTCGGGGTCTCGACGTCGTACTCCGTCGAGGGACGGCCCATGGTGATAGTTGGGGTCAGAGTGAAGAGTGCTCTGCCGTCTGCACGGGTTCGCCATAGCTTTTGTCAATCCGGAGGCAGGGGCAGTCGTCAAAGTCTTTTGTTATGCGGCACAATAACGACCTCTCACACTTGCCTAACCGGGACAGCAACACAATAACCACATAGGCGCCCTGTCCGCGTGCCACCTCGTTTTGGAACCCCCGCGCCTCATGCATCGTGGGAAAGCCGCCCTCACCCCAACTTTCGCATTGGCCTCTCTCACTCTCGACAATGTACTTCTCAGGACACCTCCACACTGCATGCCTTTGTCGACCACGACCCATCTGAGGATGTCTTTGCAGCCCTCGCGGATATGAAATGCCTTGCTTTGACGGACCTGCTGAAGCACGGCGAGCCATTGGTGACGATCCTGCGCTACGAGGGGTCATAGTCTTCCACGCAGAACCATGCGGCTATCAGTTCTAGTATCCGTGAGTATGTGCAGTCGCGGATGCCGCTTTTCTCCATCGCTGAGAACAGAGCAGCGACACCTCTGCGGGCGAACAACTGAATCATCCAGCGGACATACCGCGCGCAGAGAGTGCAGAGAGCCGTAATCAGCGACCTGCGCGCATGCACAAACGTCAGCCTTGCATGCAGTAACTATGGATCTCTTTGCTGTGGACGCTTGCGCATTGTCATCTGCCATCCTCCATGATCCGTTGATCATCGTTATCGGCCTCTTTCCGGTCTTTCGGGTATCTGTTCAAATCACAGCCTCCCAGCTTGTCCCTACCCAAAGTACGTACGCTGCACAAAGCTCCGCTTTGCTGACCAGGCGATAAGCATAAGCGCAATGATCTGAAAGGCGACTGGGTGAATCAAGAGGCCTAAGGTGAAGCGGCGTAGACTTTTCCGAACGTAGTTGATGGTAGAGATGCAGGGCGGGAGGATGTAGTCCAGGAAATTTCAGTCTGTACAGTCGAAGGGCACAGTATAACAGGCAGTCCGGTGTTGTACGAGGTTATTGTGCATCGTAGCCGGCGACAATGTTTGTTGCATTATGTCATCGTGCTGACGCTCAAGGTATGGGACAGTAGCAGTCACGACTCGACTGCTTGCAGTCTCCTCCCATCTGTCTGAGCATTCATCATGTCTTTCCATTCACCACGCAAAGTTATATTGACCCCGGACCAGTTGTCGCACTTCCAGCAGTCCAAGACACACCAGGACGTCATCGGCTTCATCGAGGAGCTCAATGAGCGTATCGTAGGCGTGAAGCTCACGGACGAGTGTGCGCAGTCTCCCGTATGTAAGTAACACCATTGTATAGCTTACTATGCTAAGCGTCGTATTATTTATGGCGTAAAGGGCATTATGGCTGTTATGGGCGTGCTTGAGAAAGTTGAGGAGACGGCACGAGGTATTCCGCCAGTCGATAACAAGGCATCGCGCTTCGGGAACCCAGCTTTCAAGACATTCTATGACAAGCTGCAAGAGGTGCGCACCTTGCCATTAAAGACTTCTTCTTATAGCTGAACTTGGTATGAAGCTTGCACCCGAACTGCATACAACACTTCCCAATCTCCCGCCAGAAGCTATCCCCGAAATCTCTGTCTACTTCTGTGAATCATGGGGTAACCGAACACGGATAGACTACGGGAGCGGCATGGAGCTGAACTTTCTGTGTTGGATGTGCGTACTTGCCCTGCACTTTTAACGCGGGAGGTTTTCACGTTCATTAAAAAATGCAGGCTGTGTCTCGAGCGGCTAGGAGTTGTAACGAAGGAGGACCAAGTCGCGCTGGTCACCCGGATCTTTTGGAGGTGTGTGGATATCCCAGGGATGCTTGTATTGAGCTGATAATCGCCTCTAGATATATCCAAGTAATGCGTATCCTACAATCAACGTACTGGCTCGAACCTGCTGGTTCGCATGGCGTGTGGGGCCTCGATGACTACCACTTCCTACCTTTCCTTTGGGGTTCAGCCCAGCTAAAGGGTTGGTCGCATCTTCGCATGCTTTCCTCCTTGCACCTGCTCACTTACGTCAAGGTCACAAACACCTCCGTCCCAAATCAATCCACGACAACGAAATCATGGATGAGTTCGCGAAGGACTACATGTACTTCGCCTGCATTCAGTTCATCAACTCCGTGCGCCCTCTTTCCATCCCTTTACCTCTTTACTCTAATACACCTCTCGTGCACAGATTAAGACCGCCTCCCTCCGCTGGCACTCGCCCATGCTCGACGACATCTCGGCTGTCAAGACATGGGACAAGGTTAACCAAGGTATGCTCAAGATGTACCGTGTCGAGGTGCTCGGCAAGCTGCCCGTCATCCAGCACTTCCTTTTCGGGTCTCTGCTGCCATGGGACGGCCCCATGCCGCCACCACGCACCGACACGGACGAAGCATGCGGACACGGGCACGCACATACGCACGACGACAGAGGCGCTGCGGGCCAGCGGGAGGTCGGGTGGGGAGACTGCTGTGGCATACCTGTACCGTCTGCGTTCGGCGCGGCGGCGGCAGAGAAAAGCAATGCAACAGGACTTGCTGGGCCGAATATTAGGCCGGTGCCATTTGATTAAATGTGATCCGGATGGTTTAATGCGAAGATTCGTGACCATGAACGAAGCATCAAACCCCTCTGGGGAATACAACTCTACGCATAACCACAATACAGGCATATCACATTTTCGACGAAGTGCTGAAAGCATTACAATCCATCGTAGGGACGTTGCCCGTGCAACCGCCCACATTGAAAGTGCAGTCCGTTCGGGTCAGAGAACATACAGTTTGCGGAGAGAATATCGAGAAACAAGAAACGAGTGTGGTGTATTCATTATTTAGTGTGAGTGCGACGGGAGTCGATGAATCTTTTCAATGGCCTGGGGAGACCACCGGCACGAATGCGGAAGATGTACGTGAAGATGTAAGTTGCTGCAATCTGCGAACCACATGGTTCAGCTTCTTGCGGCCGCTATAGACCTGGTGAGAACACTCACGTTAAAGGCAATGAAAGCAACGACAATTCCGATGTTACGCCAGCGGTGCGAGTATTTGATGTTGAACCTCGACTCTAGGTACTGGTCAGAGGAGCGATACGGACAGTACGCGCACGAGCTCGTCGCGCCAGGGTCGGCGAGGTAGCCTCCTGCAATGCTGATGAACGAGTCGAGGTACGCAGAGCAATTGAACCCGGAGGGCGGCTTGAGCTGCACAAACTCTACCTCGGCGCAGTTAATTTCGCTGTGGCCGATGGCTAGAGCACAGTCAGTGACAACGCCTTTAACATACAGCTAGAAGACGTACTAGAGCCTAATAGGCCTTCGATGAAGTAGGAGTACGGCGATAGATGGTACATCCACTTCCACCATCCGAGATAGCTGAAGGGCTGCAAGACGCCGTTGCTGTGCGTGTGTGGTAAGGTTCCGTTCGCAGAGAGAAGGCAGCACACTCACAAGACAAGAACAAAGGAGAACAAGAAGCTGAAGAGCAGAGCGGCGATCTGTGGTGTGGGAGACATCGCAGCGACTGCCTGGGCAATTGTAGTGTAATACCACGGGAAGATGATCCCGAGCGCGAGATAGACATATCCAGACCGCGTAGCCTCAGTCGGAAAGCCGACGGTCCAGTACCAGCAGCAGAAGAAGATCGACGAGGCAAGCATATTCCACGGGACTTCGGACAAGATTTGTGACGTGATAAGGGCAGTCCAGCTGTACATTCTGCTCGGCCGCTCGCGAATCTCGTAGACGTCGCGCATGGCAATGAAGGGCACATGCAGTTGTTGCGCGAGTGGGGTGCTGAGGACGGTGGCTATAAAGCACGCGAAGAGCTTGTCTTGTGTACCCTGCAGTGAGTCCTTGCTCTTGAAGAATGTGAAGCCAACGAGGAGACCGGCGATGATGTTCAACATGATCTTAGACATCACGAACGTCGGATTGCGCCAATGAGCGAGACAGTCGCGATGAATAAGCGTCGCAACCTGGTATAACCACCCAGTGGCGAACTCGGAGTGGATGGTCGTCTCCACCGCTGGTCGCTTCCGGCCCTCGTCGTGGATGGCATTGAGTTCTTGCTGGAGCCAGGACGCCTCGGGCGAATCCGTCCACACCTGGTGCCAATCACGATCTTCGGTAGCCGCAGCACCGGCGCCGATGACCTGGAGGATATACTCGGCTCTGGATAGCATATCAGGATAGATGGTAGAACCGCTGAGAAGTTTCGACTTACGGGTTCTCTTCCGGGTGACACTTCCTTGCTCCATTCCGCTCCAAATACTCGATAAGCGTGGTCGAATTGTAGCCGAGATCACCGAAGTACACCGTCTTTCCACCGACTTTCAAGAGTAACAGCTTATCGAAAACTTGGAAGAGCTCTGCAGAAGGTTGGTGGATCGTGCACAAAATGGCCTGGCCGGCCTTGTCTGCAAGCTCACGCAGAAAGGCGACGATCGCCCAGGCGCTTTGTGAGTCAAGACCTGAGGTGGGTTCATCCAAGAACAGGAGAAGACGAGGCTACATTGGCAGAACGTGAGCGTGCCGTACCCAGTTCAAAATAGAGCCTACACACCTTGGCAACTAGTTCGACAGCAATAGTCGTCCTCTTCTTGAACTCGACATTAAGAGTACCGACAACGGCATCCGCGTAGGCTTCCAAGCCACACATCTCCAGACACTTTTCCACACTAGTCGTCCGTCAGTCATAGCGTTATACCCAAACACCAGGCGACCCACTATTCTTCTTTCTCTTTTAACGGCACACTTGGCGGCTGACGCAGCTTTGCAGAGAATAGAAGCGCCTCGCGCACAGTACTTGTCTCTAGGTGAGTGTCGAGCTGCTGGCAATAGCCACTACATCAAACACAGCGTCAGCTTCTGAACAAGACGTACAGACAAAACAGCGCGCACGTCTGAGCCTGGAAATCTCTCGGGAGTGGCTGGCCGTTGACGAGGCGGTCTCCTCTGACGACGCCCGTGTCCTGTCGCTCAGCGAGCGTGTTCAAGAGCGTCGTCTGAGTGTCGCAGTCAGTCTCACGCATCCGCAAGAATGCATATGCGCCTCACTTTTCCAGCGCCGGACTCGCCCATCAGCGCGGTCAACTTCCCAGGCGCAACAAACCCAGACACGTCGTCCAGCAGCTTGCGCTCTGTGCCGTCCGGCATCGTGACTGTGTACTCGAGATGCTGCCAGGAGAACAAATCTGTCATATTCGGCGCGCCCAACGAAGGTTCGACCTTCATGTGTGTCTTCTCCGCGTCCGCGTCCATGGCGTGCTCTTCAATCTCCCCATGCCCTGCCGTCCCCTCGCTGGTAGAAGACGCCGACTGGGCCGTGCCCTTCTCCTCGTCCCCGGCCTGTGCTTGCGCCTCACGTACCGTGTCGATCTTGGCGCCACGCTTGAACCAGGTGATGGTGCGCTGATCAGCTGTGCGGGTGTTCAACTCGGTGAGCGTACAAAAGGCCACGACAAAGGCGACGCCGTAGGCGCAAATAATGCCAAAGTTCTGTCATCCATGCATTAGCTTCCCGTTTCAATGGACTCGTAAATAAGACTTGCCCTCCAGAGATGACTGAACTGATAATCGTAGTTCAGCTGCGCGTACACGCTGCCATCGACTGTCGTCTGGCCTGGTTGGCTGCCGAGAATAGTGCAGACCTGGTTCGCCAACGAAACATTGCCATCGTAACCAGGGCCGCTCGGGATGAGCGTCGCGCATTGCGCGTTGAGGGTGTGGAATTCGTTGACGATCAATCCTTCGAAGCCGTAGTGCATAGGCTGAATGGATATCAATTTTTGGCTTAATGTCCTCGCAAGGGTCGGGTGGGCCACTTACATTGATGTACGTGATCCATTTCAACGCTCCGATCATGCTTGGTTGCGGAATAGTGTATCCCGTGTACAGCGTCAAGATCAGTATTGACAGCCCCGCCAGTGTCTGTGCAGGGGCTGGATCATTGAACATAGCTGTCAGTGTACGGAACCAGGCCTTCATGGTGATTGTCACGATGAAGACAAACAGGAAGAAAATGCTGCGTTGTTCAATTAGTCGGGCGAATAGCGGGACTTGCGCAGATGAACACTCACAAGAATTGTCCAGCTGTGCGCTGGAGGTCTACGAGGAAATATAGGATGACACAGAAGAATGTGAGAGTGATGAAGGTAATCGGGATGTCGACGAGGGTCAACGCCATCGCCTCGACAAAAGGGTGGTACATGGCTGCGTTGAACTGCCGCAGAACTATCGCACGGCGCGCAAACAGCGCAGGTATCTCGGCCATGCAAGTGAGGGCAGAGAACAAAATTGAGCTGAAGAGCGAAGAAACGTTAGCAGACAGGTCAGGCATCGGAAGAGAACTTGGCCCTACAAGAACAGCACACCTCCACGTGAGTAGAAGGCGGAAGTCGAGTCAGCGAGGTTGTAGAAGATCGAGCCCTGAATGAGAGCTTGCACGACGAAGAGGCTAGAAGATAGGCATTGAGCTGGCTTGCCTGCGACAACCATTCGAGTAACACTCACATCATAGTCAGCCTAAGCGTCAATATGTCGCCTTTCAGAATCTGCGCCCTTCTGCGCATCAGTGCCCTAGCCTGCATCGGGATCGAGATAAGGTACGGGCTCTTCTTGCTGGTGTGTTTCGCATGCTCCATGTATGCGCTCTCGCGGTACTTCGACTCCCGCGTCGGATTTCCGACGAAGTTAGCCTGGTACTCGAGCATATCTTTCCTATTCAGCTCGCAAACGGCAGATCGTTTGAAAGCTTCAGCAAATTCGAATGCTGTACGCGGCCGATTGGTGACTCCAGCACGGGGAATGCGCCCATTGGGGTCGGTCACTGTATGCGCGTTTAGTCAGTTAGGGTTCTCAAACGACGGCTCCAGTAAAGCATTAAAGTACCTGCAACCAAGAAATCAGCCGTTGTCTGCCTGTTTGCTGGTTCATATCCAAGGTCGATGAAGTACTGGCGTGCTCGGTTCGCTGGTCCAAAGTAGGCCATCTTTCCTTCGTAGATAACGCAGACTTTGTCAAAGAGCTCATACAGTGACTCTCCAGCTTGGTAGATGGAAACGATAGTAGCCTGACGTGTCACGTCGGTTGCTATGCGCAGAGCTTGGATGAACTCCAAAGCTGTTGACGCACTGGAGAGACATCGTGAGCTTAGACTAGTGAGCTAAGCGTATGCGCACTTACTCCAAGCCTCGAGTCGAATTGTCCCAGCAATTGAGCAGGCTCCTCGTAGCGAGAGTTTCACTCAGAGATACCCGCTTTCTTTGTCCACCACTGATACCCCGTGTGTACGCGTCGCCGACCTTGGTGTCCTTCACATGGCGCAGACCGAACACTGTGGTCAACACGTCGACCATAAGACATTCGTACTCTTCCCGAGACCTAGAGCCCAGACGAGTGTGGGGGGTTCGCGTGGTCGCAGCAAACTTGAGGGTCTGTTCAACGGTGAGGGTTGGGAAATGAATGTCTTCTTCGGGGCAGTATTGGACATCTCCACGGAAGTGCTTGTCGAGGTCCTCTGGGGACAGAGCGTCGTAATGAACGGCGCCCTGGATATCGTGATAACCCGACCGCTGGTTGGCCAGTACCTTCAGAAGGGTCGAACATCCTGCGCCCGGTCGGCCAAGGACGACTGGGGCGATAGCATATAAGCCCCTAACCTGTATTATTTCATTTCCGATACGAATATAACTTACGAAGCATCTCCCCAGGGCGTACTACGCCTTCGAATCCTGCCAGAAGTTCCCGAGTTGTGGGGTGTCGCTTCTCACGAATAGCTTGAAGGCGAGCACGTATGTCGAAGACGGCTCCCACGGTTGGCTGATACGAGACTGACGGGCCGGTACCGAGAACGCGCAGATCCTGGAAGAGGACACCAAGTTCGCGGGTCTTGATAATTTCCGCTTCGTCAAGTCTGTGCCAGAGACATCAGCATCAAAACCAGCTCGTATAAAACACCGTAATTCGGAATTCCACTCACTGCTTCATGACAGCTCGCAAAAACCTCTCTAAATCAAAAGGCCCATCGCCGACCTCGAGGCCAGGAATCATGAGGTCCGAATGCGAACCGGAGGGGCTGTTCCCCTCTTTGGATGGCTGACTGGAGGTATGCTTGAGCTGCTTCGTATACGATGGATCAGAGTGGTCTGGCTCGACTGCGGTGCGATTGGGGTAGTGCGCGGACGAAGTGGACAAGTGTGTTATCCGCTGGCGAAGCAGAGAATGACCGTCATGGAGGGCATTATCCTCAGACGGCCGCAGAGAAGGAGTGCGTATGTCGCTTTCCTCAGAGCTTTTGCGATCAATGGTACTCTCGTGCTCAGGCGGTACTCGATTGTCGCATCGCGAGCCCGGCGCGTCGTACGCCGTTGTCTGCTCACCAGACGGCGTGGCCATCCCGGGAGTTGGGAGGGTGATAATCAAAAGATGAGGAGCTCCCGGGGATATGAGGCGCACCTGGGAATAGATAAAAGACAGGGCCTGGTGACGGCCTTTGTTCGCGTGCATTCTGACGACTGCACTATCATGTCCTAATGAAGCGGGAGGGTAAGCTCAGCGCGGACTTAGGTATGCACGATTACATGACGTCCGAATATCCAAATATTACACCCAGGGAAGAAAATCGTCCCCAGGATCCTAACTATCCAGAGTGTATCCTCCAAGCATTGAGGAACAACAGACTAGCTTTGCCGGTTACACGGCTTGCTGCCTGCTGTCGCTTTTTGCACATGTCTCGCTGTTTTCTTGGGCTTTTTCTAAGCAAGCTATGCTTAGAGAAGGTGTAGGGAAGCGTGACACCTGCCGTAAATAACGAGCAAGAAGCAGATACCGTTCATGCAGCTGTCAACGTTTCAACTTCAGTCGGACATGATGACGCCTTAAACTGATCGGCGCCCGGCAATTATGTGTTCTTGTTTGTTCGCTGTCACCGTCCAGCGCTCCGCCTCTGCACCCCGCCTGACAGACAAGTATAAACATATTGGTGGCATATGGTAGCACGCAACACGTACTCTGCTGTGAGAAAAGCCATCAAAAGTTGTTACACGAGGATACAAGAAAGGTACATGAAGACAAGATACGGCAACAATGAAATAATTTATCGTAACGACTCGGAGCTCGTTCAACGCGCATGTCACCTCTTCAGACGTTGTCACAGATGTCTGTGGCGCTCTTTTGGTCAACCAGCGATCCTTCACGCGTCCTTGCCTCAACAGCGGAGTGCATCTCTACTGCGATCTCCCTCACCGCGAGAGACGAGTTCCGCGTACGTAGCCGGCTTGAGTAGCCACTCACGATGGGCTGCCTAACAGTGCTTGACTGGCCAGCAAGGGCGAGGCGTGTCGTGATGAGGCATTGGGATATACCCTGTCGAGTGGGACTTATCAGCTCGGAGCTCAAAGAATATACAGTCTTGAACGCACAAAAAATATAGGCAGTATGCAGACCATGACGAATCCAACGTCCAGATGAGTCTACCAAAGCGGCAGATTAGCTTAACGCGCATGTGGCGTGCTACGGAACTGGAACGTACTGTGATATGTCCCGTTGGTGCCACTGTGGAGATCCCATACACCAGCAGGCCAAACCAGGTGACCAAGGCCGACTCAATGATCGCTTCGATAACAGTCGCATACGGCTGGCCTCTAGACAATCGGCTTGAATGTCTGGAGGGTCATTGGAGTAAGGTAACACAGATAACAACAGAGCCGACATACGTAATCCGCCAAATGATGAGGCCTGTGAGCACCGAGTTAATGACAAGCATCGCCCATCCCCAAACGGCGTCGAGCTGAAGCTGGAGCTTTTCAAAACGCTCGGCGTACTGCGGGCCACGGGAAGCCCCAAAAATGAGACAGTCAGCAGCAAACCCAAGCACTAATCTCTGAATTTAATGACACAGCGAGCTCTATAGTGGACGACGTACTTGCGTTGCAAAGGATCGCAAGCCAAGGAACATACAGTGTCCATCTTGCTCTATTGAAAATCACATAAAATCTCCAAGCGAGAAGTCCGTCCGAGATAAGACCCTAGTGGAGAAGTACAGGTTAGGCACAGTCACGGTGCACATGCCGCAGGGGCTTACGGCGAGCGTGGACGTAGAACTGTGAATATGCGATCAGTCGTTGTCGGCACTCAGAGGGAGCGGAATGACTTACCTGGAGATAAAGTTGACAGGGGTAGACCAAGGGTTAAGGACGTTGTTTGAGTTGAGCAACGATCGATGTTGGTGAAAGTCGACGGCTCGCGCAATGTAGTGTAGGAAAATGACAACGAACCTAGTGGCAGAGCGATACGCCATCAGCTCATCATCCGAAGAAATCGAGAGAGATAGACATACAACACAATTGTGACCACTCTGAGCTGCGTATATGCTTTCCCTGCCTGACGATACGTAGACCATACCGCGAACGAGAATAGAACACAATACGCGCCTGGTAGCAGGTCAGCCGCACGTCTACGAGCATTGCGAGACGACACGCACCAGTGAGTGCACTGAGCGACACGAATACCACCGATATAAAGGAGAGGAGGTTGAAGGAATCCTGAAGGAGAACATCGTTGTCCATGTTGGCACAGCACCTCGTTGGGGACCTGATCAATCAACCAGCTTAGGTCCCGTTGAGGCGACATGATCTTATAGGGCCGACAACGCTACCGCATCACTAAGGAATGAGGACATTGACGTCTTGAACCCTGGTATCTTTCACAGCTTCGGAACAGTGAAACACTGATATATGGCGCGCTCGGGCTCGCTAAAGGTAGCGCTGCTCATGAATGGAGGTCAAAACGTAGAACAACAAGATGTCAGCAGCCCGGCCCACCTTGCGGGCAGCGAGACCCTTCACTTGAGACTTACAGGTCGCCAAAGCTCTGACATTCAGAGTGTCAGAGAAGGAGGTGGCAGCATCTGCCGTACATTGTCCTACCCCCGAGTACTTGATGCGTCGGCAGCTAGTGTTGCATGGCGCTACTGCATGGATATGGATCGGCTGATAGCGTGCCTTGAAATGCTCGAAACCATGAGGGCACATACCCCAGCGCATGAGACGCTCACGGCCGCAGGACGGGACATTCGCCAATTTCCAATTTCCGAACAGGCATTGCGTTGCGGTCTGAATGAAGACCTTTCACGAGCGCGTCTTCCCCAGCGTTCCCGGCGCCACATGGAGTTTGAATGATTTCTTTCAGCACGCTCTACGATGTACTAGAATGCGCAGATAGTACCCGTTGTGTCAGGAGAATCTTTGGGATGCAACTAGGGTCAGGAGCTGAAGTTGCCACATGGTTTGTGGAGAGTTGGCAGGTGCGCTTGTGTGCGCTGCTCTTCCTGAGCAGCCAGATTTCATGTCAGGCTGGACCGTATGACCTGCAGAAAGGATCAGCAATCACGTATCTCGACAGATCAACGTCGAAGCGCGACTGGATCTAGCTGTCCCACCGCGAATTTTTGTACACCCAGGGACAGCGTGGGTAACAGAGCGGATGACACGACATATGCGTCTGCGAGCAGATGGAGATGTCAGCAGACGACGTCCTATCTCCAGCCCCCCGCAACAACAATTACGCCCATGACCCGTACCTACATGAAAGTAGTGTCGCAGAGGACGTGAATTGACATTACGAGCAGCTTTCTGAATGCGCGAAGTACCCGAACGTTGCGATGCATTCCTGCGTTCAGACCTGAGCGCAGAGATGTATCGCATCACGCACGATCCGTGCACAGCACCTTCGTTGGAAACACGAACACTCAGATTATGAAACTGGTTTGCTCACCTTCAGTTGGCACCTTCCCTAGCACTAACAGGATCATTCTGATTCTGCTGCGCCTTTGTCCTCTGTATGGACGCCTTGACACTTTGTATTGCCTTCTCTCGTGCAGTAACAAGACGCTTGACTTTGTTTACGTCTGAAGCGGTGAGCAAGGCGTCGTAGTCGGGCTTTTTGATAGTTGTCTTCGCCTCTTTCGACTGCTCCTTCAAAGCTGACAGCTCAGAGCGAAGAGTTGCAAGGATGTCATCCAGTGAGCGGAGCGCGGCGACTTCCTCTTCGACCTCATTTCGCAGCTTGAAGGCTCGACAAGCCTCACGGGCACACCTTTCAATGTGATCGAATCTGACCGGACCGAGCATCTCTCCGCCGAACCTAGGACACAGAATGAGGGCGCAAACAGGTTGTATTGGTGACATGATACGTACCATTGGCTAACGACGACGACTGCATCGGTTACCCTCTCCGCTTGCATGGTCTTCATAATCCTCGCACCCCCTAACTTCTTGCCATCATCCTCATTACCTTGCTTCACCTCAAAATCGTCCTCACCACCCAACCCAGTCTTGCCCTGCTTCACTACCATGCACCTCCATGCATACATCTCGTGTGTCGCGCGTTTCTGCCCATGCGTCACACGCTTGAGGTAGCTAACGGCCCTACGCGCCTCTTCCTCGCTGCCAGCCCGGAATGCGTTGGCTACGAAGATGGATCCTCGATCCCTGACCTCCTGAGAGGTTCCCAGAGGGGCTGGTGGAGGCTTGGACGTACGGACAAACGAATCCAGCGTCGCCATGATTGCTTGTGTGCAATCTGTTCACGCCTGTTTGTCTCTAACAAGTTTGACACTACCGTGGAAGGCGTTGTTGAGACCGCGGCAAGTGCTCGGGGTCCAAGGACATTGCTTTGTGAAGCGAAGTAAGAAATAGAACATATCAAGGTAAGCAATAGTAACACGAGATCAGTCAACGCAGCTTATTTTCTTTGTAAATTGTAACCCACGGTGTATTGTTTTCCGCTCCCATAAGCTCCCACTCCGTTTCGAAGTTACCGCTCACTCAAGCACTCACCGCCCGTCGATACATGGTTTTACTCTAGGAGCACCGAACAAGAGGTCCGAGAACGGGGAAAATTCTAACCTTGAGACAACCCCCGCTCGATTCTCGAAGGCCCTGGATGGACTGGGGCTCGCGCACGTAAAATTCTCGAGACGGAGCGCAAAATCATGGCGATGCCTGTACAAATACACTGTATTGGGTACACAAAATTCTGAATATCCAACAGCAACACACATGTGTGGAGGCATGTTCATGCCATTATAAGTTGATTGGAGGAAGCGCATAGATAGTGCATGTGAGGCCTACACTATATCGGCCACAGTCGATGCTTGCCCGTTGCTGGTGAATATTTTGTTTTTATCCTGCATATAGCTCTCCGACTGAGAGTCCTGGACACTTGTTGCACATAAACAAAAATACCCTTGCCACCATTACCGCCGCTTTGCGTGGATCTGTTCCCGAGGTTTGAGTTTAAGCTGCTCTGAATTCCCAGATGAGCTGTAATCAAACATTGAGAAATTCCCTGGGCATACCACCAGTGTAAAGTAGCAAAGGGTATGATGTGATATCTACGAAGAATATTGGGATGATATAGATCATCATGAAGCCGATGTTCTTATTGGCCTGCAACATAGCTGTCTAATGAGCCAACTCATGCCTTGCCTCAATAGAAAGCAGTTTGAATGTGCTGATTATTGTAGAGTTGGATGTTTCTAGTCAAGTCAACTTTCTGGCAGAAACCTTGGTCCTGGAATCCCCATTCCCCCCAGTTTAACAAAGTTTATTCATGCAGTTTAAAGAGTAAGTACTCTTTCAATGCTCAGCACTGAAAGAACACTCACTCTTTAAACTGTGAGAATAAACTTAGTTAAAACTGGGGAAATGGGGACCAAGGTTTCTGCTGTGGTCTTCCTCTGCTGTCATCTGGAAAAACTCCCAATGCAAATTAGCACTAAATAGCATCAGTTGTTTGTAATTTATATTATTCTTGTTATTTATATGCTACTCTTGTTAACTTCATCTATTTGTATGCTTTCTCTCTGTTATTCTGTTTTTAACTGCTGATAAATAGTAAATCCAATGCTATTCTGTGCTATTTTTATTAAATCACTATTTCAGCTAAATGCCTGCTTTATCTTTGTTGTTTTACTGTCTTTTGATTGCTAGTTCTGTTATAATCACTAATTTTCAGCTAATGGCATGCTATTCCATTATTTCAAGCTTTTTCATTGCTATTTTTATCTGTCTTGTTAACAGCTGCTATTTGCTTGCTATTTGCCTGTTATTTCTATTATTTCAAAGTTTGTTCACTGCTATTTCTGAAAGTTTAGTTTATAACTGCCATCTGCCTGGTATGGTGTTATTTCAAAGTTTTTCCACTTCTATTTCTGCTAATCCTGATAATAGCTGCCATTTATTTGCTATTTGTATACTATTTAAGGAAATGGCTACTGTAAATTAGTGTACAGTAGTAGCACACACCATAAAAACCACTTTGATTTGCTTTAGTGCCACTTATCATGACTAGTTAGCTGCTAGCTCTTACATATGCTGTTGTCTACACTTCCATTTTAATACAACAGCAGGTTCTCATTAGACACTAGCTTAGAAGTTACACAAAACTGACTGCATACTATACAGTGTCACACTAGTATTTTCATGTTGATTATTGCCATTTATTTATAAGCACCACAATATATGTATGAAGTTTCAAGACTAGATATTGAAATTACTACTAAGTTCATCAAGGGTGCATATAAGAACATTGAAGCATGATATTTGTGTAGAACAAATGGCTCAGTGGTTAAAGTGTGCTTGGTTTGGTTAGCAGGCTGAGAGTTCAATTCATACTGAGAACAGCTATTTATAATTTTTAAATTTTTAAATTTTCAAACATATACAATATGACAAATATGCAATATAGTGTTTGTATGGAAGTTCTATATATTTTGGATTTTTGCATACTACTTTTACTCTGGTGAATTAGCCTTCATATAACAAGTACAGCACAAATAGCAAAATAGCACAAACAGTGAGAATAGCATGAAAATAGGTACCAAATAACATTAATAATAAGGGACCATACTATTCCAACGCTATTCTAGCTATTCTGCTATTAAAGTGTATATTAGCACTAAACTATGCTAAACTACACTAATTAGCAATAGAGGTTTTTCCAGATGTGTAGAGATTAGTTGAATGGTGTGGGGTAGTTGGCTACAAGCCAGGGCTCATAACCTGTGAAGATGTGACTGAAATTAGGTTTATTTTGTGCTACCAGTCCAGTATATATACATGGTAAAAGAGACTTCTGATACTGCTGTGAAACCATTGGTACTCTATGTGTAAGCATGTTTAAATAAAATGTATGCATATTACTACAACATAATATCACTCTAGTGTTCAGCCAGAGTATGTCCATGAGGATGATTTACATATGATCTGCTATTATCTGTATATAGACAGATCAAGGACAACAGCATAGTTGTCTAGTTCTGACAAAGACTATTGTAAGTATATTGAGTCTGTGATGCCATTTGCCCAGACAGCCATAGGAATATAGTAGGGAGATACACAGGCTGGCCAGGCTTGTGCCCAGATCATGGCCAGAGCATTTGAGCAATTTAAATAATGAGAGCTCCCAGCACTGGCATCTCCCGATTGATTTTGGCCAGTTGGACCCCCGGCACTGCACTACAAGAGGTTGTATCCTACATCACCGCAGGGTTTAAGCTACCTTTAATCTGCAAATATTGTGCAATGTACAAAGGTAAGATCTGCTTGGAGTGCCAGCAGAATATATATGCAATTCCAACCCAAGGATCAGTTCTAACCGGTCATTTCCTCTGACTTGTAGCTTACACCCTCTCCACTTCAATAGCCGACAATCACTTACTGTCACTTTTAGCAGCCAAGTTGTGATATTTCTCATCCAGGGGGTGTCCTGGGTCATTGTGAACAGTGATCGCTTGTTCGATGCTGACGATAATTCCCTTGGAGCGGCTGGCATCGACATTCTGCATAGGTCCACTCGCAAGGTGCTCCAAGCTTGAAGAGCTTGCAAGCTCGAGCCTCACAGTGATAAGACACTGAAAAATCCCCTGTGATAAGTCCATGATCAGTATTATAAGCTGCATGCTTGCACATTAGCTCACGAAGATGATCGGGACGACATATATCATCACGAATCCAATGTCCATGTTGGTCTAAGTTATGCAAGATGAGCGGAATTGTAGCCACTGGATACACTCTTGACTTGCTGGCTCACTGTGATATGCCCTTGAAGGGCCACTGTTGCGATGCCGTAGAACACAAGACCAAACCAGGTGACAAGCGCAGATTCAACAATGGCGTTAATGAGCTTGGAGTATGCTCCAACTCTCATAGTAGCAAAGTTTTCAACCCTAGCTCTTCTCGTAACATAGCTGTAGAGCAAGTCAGTTACTGAGCTATGCGAGCCAAGAGTGAGCAATGCACACATGATTCTTCTGATGATCGATGCAGTCATCATGGTAGTGATCATAAACATCACCCATCTCCACGCCGCATTGACTTGGAAAGAGATTTTTCATAGTGGTTATTGTAGGAGTTGACACTGTGGTAAGTGTCGAGAACTTGGAAATCGCTCATGAAGCCCACCACTATCGTATCATGTTAGAAACGGACAACTTGATGCGTCTGATGACACATACTCGCTGTCAAGATAACCCCTGATGCTGATATCCAGAGTGCCCACCATGTGCATTCGTAAATCGCATACAGACGCCAGGCAAGCAAGCCATCCGAAATGAGTCCCTGGTGCCACATCAACACGTTAGCATTATGTCTAGCCAGGGGATCAATGCACCGCCGTAGTGGTAGTGATACTGGATGTACTGTTAACCTTGGTTATGGTGCGGAAACGAAAGGAGCTATTGGCTTACCAGGCAACGAAGAAGATAGGAATATACCATACAAGAAACTAGTCTCCTGGGACATTCAGTGACCGGTCCTGAGCCAGAGTAAGTGTGCGCACGATGTAATGAATGCAAAGGTCCAAGAAACTTTGAGTCGTAGTAAGTAGTGTCTGGATGGGTAGCTTGGGGCACGTACAGAAGCAGAGTTATGATTCTGAGCCGTGTATTTGCCTTGCTCAGCCACGTATACAATGACTATATTGCAAGAATGAAAAGAACGAAGTACACCCCTGGCTGAGAGATGACTCAGGGAGTTGGCAAAGGATGTGCTAAGGCATACCGAATAGTGCGCTGCCAGTGAGGGTCGCAAATAGCACTGCCTCAATAGAGAGCATCTCGAAAGCACTGGTGAGCATAGAGTTGGACATTGCTGATCGAGTGGGTATTAATCCCTGCTGAATTGCCCCTGGGATGTGGGTTTTATATTGACACCGGCACAGCCCCAACTGCTGGCCACAAATGACGGTGGGGAAAATGTAGTTGAAATGCACTGATAGTTGCATTCTCGCATGTATACCAAAGGCTGTGCTATGGCAGATAATCATGGCACGACTTCAGGTGCGATGCATATCGTGCGGAAGGGCAGTGCGTATAAAAGCTGGTACGTAGTACTGGCACGTAATCCATTGGCTTCATTGAGGCATCGAGAGAAGTCATCCGTTCTGCGAACAGAGTCCTAAATCATGATCCAAACTGATCGAAGGTGTATTTTGAAATTCCAGCATAGAGTTATCATTTTTATGTTGAAGTCGGTTTGTTGAGATGTCGAGGACGGCTGTTCAGAGCCGCGCCGAGGGCTGAGCTATCTCACGAACAGGGAGAACGGGACGTAAGGGGAAGAACCCGAAGCTTGATTATCTATCTGTGATGAAATATTAGATACCGCAGTCCATGGTTCACAGCAAGTTTTTGAGGCCTTCACTGAACAGATGCTGTATGGGTTAGCCTACTGCCAGGCAAGCTGTAGTACGATAAAAACTCGTACTGATGGAGGTCATCTCGGTTGCAAGTGTAATGAGTCCGCAGTGCTATTTACCGGGTGGCAAACAAAACATTGAGGAGAGTCACGCAGCAGACTCCAGAGTCGGATCAGTGCCATATCGTGGTCGTCTCACAAAGTGAGCGTTCGTCAGATGTTCGCTATTGTCGGCCCGTTGGTCTTCGTGGCGTCGGCGTCTTCCGATCAATCTCATTGGGGGCGAGTCGGACTTTAGCTTAGCTTGGACTTGTCTGAGCCGCTATGGTGGCAGCGCTGCTACTGTCTTGTGTTGAGCCATTACGACTATCGTTGAAACATAGTTCTGCATAGTCTCGCCATTCGATATTCTCCTAGATCCTCTATCATCCCCGGGCCGTGAGCATAGGTAGGTACGTTTTGATCTGACTCCGAGGAAATGTCGAGCCTTACCAGATTTACTTGTGCTTCAATCAAGTTACTCAATGTCTTACCTCATATTGAACCAATTCATCGCAGAGCGTGACCAGCTCGGGAGTTCCACTTCCCTTCGTATGTCACCAAATGCTATTATACGGAGTAATGCTGACAATGCGTCTCACCAGGACTGCCATCGACAGGTCACTCCTGGCACGAGCATGACCTCGCATTGCATCCATGATTTAGCTTTCTACCTCCTTGTTGGCTCCGAAGTGCGTGCTCTCGCAGTTTTACAATGTTCACCAAATGTGCGCAGCGTCGGATCGCTGCTTCCACCGGGCCGCCGTGAGCATGGGAGATGCCGGAGAAGCAGGCCCTTCGATACCCGCACTCCTCACTGTGCTTCTTCCGCGACGCGTGCAATGTCCATGCGTGTGATCACTATGTATTTTTGCCCAGATCCGAACCATTAACCTCATATGTGCTGGCGTCGTACACACACTCTTCTGTGCTCGAACATTCTAAGCACGGATAAATGACACGAGCTTGCAAATGCACAAGGTTGGAGACAGTCATCCTCATTCTGTCATCAAACCAGGCATTTGTTGCTCCAACGCATGGGAAATCGCCAGGCAAGCAGCGCAGCCTTAGTTCGTTTCATTTACCGGTGATTAATTGGTCATTAGCCTTCCGTCGACAAATCACCTGGTTCACGAGGTTTTACCAACGATGTCCCAACGGGTGCTATAATGTCACCAGCTCACGTTGCTCTGGCTGCAGAGCATCAGGTGGCCGTGGGGCGCACCTGTCTTTCATACATGAATTGTATCGTCCATCAAAGTTGTCTCCACTTCGACTTTGCAGAAACTCGTGAGATAGAAAGGTATAAATACCACTGCAGTGACGAGAGCCATGGCCAGGCACTCTCAAGCTCCTCAATCCCTTCAGACAACCAGACAAGCTCGCTATGGCTCTTTCTCTGACGTTTGTGCTGCTCTCCATTGCCCTCCCACTTATTGCTGCCGCCCCAAGCTCTAAGGCGTCCTCAGCATGCACCGGCACGATCTCGTCCATGTCTGACGTATCCTCTGCTGTCGAGTGCACTACCGTGAATGTCAACTCCTTCACAGTGCCTGCTGGGGAAACATTTGAACTGTCCCTTGAAGACAATACCACTGTCAACATGAGTACGTCCAATTCTCACTTGGGGCTAAGGCTGGTCTTGACCATAGTCATATTTGCAGTGGGCGACGTTACCTTTGGTAACAAGACATGGGACGGCCCGCTCTTCCAAGTCAGGTACGTTGATCGTACCGACAGACTTAACATCCACAATCTTACGCGAACCTTACTACAGTGGCAATAACATCGTTTGTATGTCAATATGGAGCGAATGGTCGAAGACTTATTTACTAATCGTATGGCCCTAGTCAACGGTAATGGGCACACTTTTGACGGAAACGGCCCATTCTACTGGGTGAGTCAGTATACCGAAGCTCCAGAACTACGTACTGAAGACATCATCTCTGCAGGACGGCCAAGGCGGTAATGGTGGAGTTACCAAGCCTGCACCTATGATGAAGTAAGTCGCAGCTGATGCGGGTGGCTAGTATAGTGACTTACCTCGAAACTGTCAGGATCAAGATCTCTGGCACTTTCACGGTCAGCCGAGGGCAGACCCCTGTGCGAGACACCGCTGACTGCTCCCGCAGAATGTCAAGGTGCTCAACTCTCCCGAACGTGCATTCAGCGTGTCCAACCCCGGCCCGCTCGTTATATCCCAGGTTACTGTCGACAACTGTAAGCGCACCCGGCCTAATTGACGTCGAAGTCATCTGACAGTAGAGATCCGCAGCTCTGGGTGATCAGCCTAACTCTCAGAGCGACGGCCAACCGGCGGGACACAACACGGATGGATTCGACGTCAGCACCACAGACCTGACGATTGAGGACAGGTATGGGACTGTTCCTGCGGCTTGATCCGGCAGCTTCTGAGTACTGAATCTCGAATCGCAGCACGGTCCTGAACCAGGACGACTGCCTGGCCATCAACAAGGGAAGCAACATTGTCTTCCAGGGGAATACCTGCTCCGGCGGCCATGGCATCTCCATCGTGCGTCGTCCTCGCCCACAGCACACGTGGTCATCTAACGAGCTGTATCTCTAGGGCTCGATCAGCAGCGGCGCGACCGTGTCCGGTGTCGTTATCCAGAACAACAACATCGTGAATAGTCAGCAGGGCCTGCGCATCAAGACCGATTCGGACGCGACGAGTGCATCCGTCACCAATGTCACCTACAGTGGCAACACGGGCTCAGGCCTGCAGCAGTTCGGTATCCTCATTGACCAGGTGAGCATGTCCAGTCCCCACGGTTGGACGGAACGTCTCACACTCTGCAGAGCTACCCCGACACGCTCGGCACACCTGGCACAGGCTGCATCATCTCCGTGCGTGCTGAGAATTGTCTGCTCGATGGCGTAAGTCTCATCCAGATTTGTAACAGGACATCAACTTCGTCGGCTCGAAGACGACCCTGTCTGTAAACAGTGGTGCGGAGCGCGTTGCAGTCAACTGTGGAAAGGGCGCTTGCACCGGTAAGTGGGGAGTACATGCGGTTATTGAATTCTGGCTGAGCATTATTGTAGGCACCTGGGACTGGTCGGATCTCGCCGTCTCCGGAGGCAGTGCTGGGGAAATCGTTAACTTCAGCGGAATTAGTGGGTTCAGTCAGTGAAGAACCTTTCGCATTCCAGACCGTATCTACTTTTGGCTCATGAAACGGCTTATCTGTGTCCGTAAACTGTCTTTGAGAGCAAATAAAACAACAATGCATTGCGATTCCCGACTAACTCTACGCGTATGAGGCCTGGGTTTTACTTGACAAGTCGCTGAAGCCGTAATCCTCCCCCTTGACGAAGGCACGGGTGCACTGCGCCATTGTCACAGATCTAAGAATAACATGGCAATCAGCGCAATTAGAAGAGAAGTGGGAGAAGAAAGCTTACGCTCTTGATATAGGGTCCGTCTGGTAAAAGTTTTCTATTGGCTTCTTAAAGGTTGTACCCGTGACCTTCGAGTTCGCAGTGCCAGAGATCAAAGTCTTGAGGCCTGCAAGCATAACCTCTCTTGATGTTGGCTCGGTAGTGTCGTAGCGGACGAGCGTGGGTGAAATCTCCCACATGCGGTCCCGGAGCGTAAGGACGTCGTCGTACGGCAAAGGGTAGCCGAGAACCTCAGAGAGTGCACTACAAAAACGAGTTAGCCGATGACAGGCGAAACTGAACCATGGGGGACACACCGGACTATCTTCCAATCCTCACGGGAGGCACCTGGTGGTGGAACCGCGGCACGACCTAGTTGCGACCGACCCTCAGTATTGACCCAGGTTGTTGACTTCTCAGTGTAGGCAGCAGCAGGCAAACAGACATCCGCAAGTTGAGCACCAAGATCGCCGTGGTGACCCTGATACACGACGAAGGCGTCGCGAGGAATAGACTTCGGATCGACCTCATCGGCGTTCAGGAGGTAGACAAACTTGGGCTTGACAGATGACGCCTTCTTCGAGGGTACGAAGCCAACGTCGTACGCGGCCGGACGAGATGCGGCCTGTGGACCAAGTTAGTAACAGGACCTGATCTTACTGTGTGAGAGACGTACACGCTGAAGGACGCTGAAGCCATTCCACTCAGTAGTGATGAGCTTCTCATGATTCAGCTCAACAAACTTGGCGAGCGCGTTATACACTGCAGCACCATCAGGATGCTCAGAGAGGGCACTGCCGACGATAATCAAGGGGTACTTCGCGGCCTTGAACTTTTCGGCGAACTCTCCTTTACCAGCGACGAAGTCTGCGACGGCCTTGGCATCGCTGCCAAGATAATCATAGCCGTACGTTGTGTCGACACGATCGCCAATAAGACCGACCTCGAGACCCGTATGAAGCCAGCTCTTGCGGATGCGAGAGTTAAGAACAGCCGCCTCATGCCTTGGGTTAGTGCCGACCAAGAGAATGGCATCAGCACGCTCAACTCCAGGGATAGTTGAGTTGAAGAGGTAGTTCGACCGGACATCGACAGCGTGGATGGGGGCAGCATGACCATTGGCATGATCCAAGGTAAGGTTGTCTGAGCCAAGGCGGTTGACGAGGTCCTTCAGCGCAACAAGAGTCTCTGTGTCCGCGAGGTGACCCGCGAGAGCTTGGATTTCATCGCCTGTAGCACCTGAGCGTGCCAAACCTTCAGCAACGGCCTCCAGCGCCTCTTCCCACGACGCATTCACGAACCTGTCGCCTCGCTTGACGAGAGGTACAGTCAACCGTTGGAATTTCAGGCCGTCGTACGCATAGCGAGTCTTATCGCTGATCCACTCCTCGTTGACATCGTCGTTCGGTCTGGGCTGGACGCGCATGACGAGAACTCCACGAGAGTCAACACGGATGTTGGAGCCCACAGCATCCATGACGTCGACCGAATCGGTGTGCTTGAGCTCCCATGGACGAGCATGGAACGCGTATGGCTTGCTTGTCAGGGCACCTACGGGACAGAGGTCGATGATGTTGCCGGACAGCTCAGAGTTCATCGTCTTCTCCACGTACATGCCGATCTGCATGTCGTTACCTCGCCCAGTCGTACCCAACTCCTCTACACCAGCGACTTCATTCGCGAATCGGACGCAACGAGTGCACTGAATGCAGCGGTTCATGGATGTCTTGACCAACGGTCCAAGGTCCTTGTCTTCAACAGCACGCTTGCCGGTTATTTCGTGAAAGCGTGTGCGGTCAGCACCATACCGCATGGATTGGTCCTGGAGGTCACATTCGCCACCCTGATCGCAAATGGGGCAGTCCAGCGGGTGATTCGCAAGCAAAAACTCCATGACTCCCTCGCTAAAGGAAGTGAAAAAGACGTCCCAAATGCACATATGAAGTACTCACCGGGCCTCGTGGACTAATGGAGTGTTGGTGAAAACCTTCGTTCCTGGCATGGCGGGCATGGCGCTACAGCAGGAATAAGCTCAGAACCTGACAACTTGCAAGCCGCGCACCATGAAGCAACAGGTTTTGGCGAGCGTTCGACTTCTACCAAGCACATACTGAAGTCTAGGTCAGCTAGGCACAATAGAGTAGCATTTCACGAGCTTCACGCACCGACAGTTACCTGCAATCGCGAGTCTACACGTAGCATTTTAAGTCTAATTCCTCTTCTTCATAGCTTAGTCTCGCGTACCTATCATGGTAACAGAATCTAGTGGAAGTACGCGCTTTAGCGCAGGTTCAAAAGGATCAGGTCGCGTACACGTACCGCGGGATCGTCGCTCCGGCTGCCTCGCAAGCTTGAATCAACGCGGAACCTTTCCAGCATGTAATATTTCAGCATATATCCCCATACCTGAGACTAGTTCCCGGCGAACCTTGAGGTACTGTCACCTCTTTCCCGTCGACGGTAAGCGTGATATCTGCTTGGCGGCTCGAGGTGGAAGCAAATGTCCTGCGACCTGCATAATCCAAGGATTAGCACCACACACTTCTGCACTTACTGCTGGGCTCTGCCTACCTTGCCGGGCTGAAGTAGCGGGCGCGACCACTCCGAATATGCCCGTCGACGCAGGCCTTGACGCTGACGAAACCAGCCGGAGCATATTCGGAGAGCAATGGTGTTATATAAAGCTGAGTGGTTAGAAGACGAGCCCAACGTCGAGCAGGAGGGCCTCGGGGCCGGGGATATCTCGTTGGTCGTCGTCGTCGCTCACGCCGACCAGGCTGACTTAGACGCGCATTGAGGCGGAGTTTTAATTAAACAGGGACCTAACGGAATTGATTTGATTGGTTGGATTGTCCGCCTAGACCAAGCGGATGGGGCAGAACGTCACGCGCAGGAAAAGAGAAAATACGCTGAAGATTACATTGAAGAAGTGCTAACAAGGAGGTAATACGAGAGCTACACTGTGGGGGTATGTGATTGTACAGTAAGAGGGTAAAGGTTGGATGGCTATACAACTGAGAAACACGATCCGGAGCAATAATGTTACGTGGGCTGATGGGATGGAAGAGGAAATCAAGGAACATAAACAACGAGCAATGTGTTAACAACGAGCTTCTCCAACTCTCCGTCCTGCGCGAACGGTACCCGCTCCTTTGCAACCCCGCCAGGAGACGTGGGCGCAGAGAGAAGCATGATGCCCGCCTGAGACAAGCGTATCGCACCGCTACGCTCGACCTTCGACCGCAGAACCTCGGTCCGGTCACCAACGTCCGGCACGGTTCCCGCCTTTCGTGGAGGTGAGGGAGTACTCTGGCGAAGACCGTCAACCGCTGGCATCCGAGCACTCTGAGACATGGGACTGCCTTCGAAGTCTGGAGCGAAATCCACACAACGGTCGACAGGCCATATATAGCCGCCTGCACTCCAGTGCAGCTCAGGCTCCAGCTTGTACAGCCGAAGCGCATGGTATAGAACGGAATCACCGCCTTTCAGCTGTGAAGTGAGGGTTAGGCCGCACTGAAGCACACGGAACGAGAAGATAACACGTACGTGTGGCACCAAAGATTCGGCCAGTACTTCTCCTGGAGAAACACCATATTCGTTAGTGAGATGAAACGCGAGCTTCCGTCCGCGAGCTAGGTTGAGAACAGGGGACAACAAGTCAAGGAAATGGTCGCTGGGAGTAATCAGCGGGTCTGGCTGGATGCCAGCTGGGCCAAAGGACTTGATATGCACCGCGTACGAGATCGTTACGCGGCAGCCCTTAGTGACGGGTTCGATTTCGTGATCGCAATCTGCCATGAATGCGGTCCACTCAATGTCGCCTATCTTGCCTCCCCGGGCATGATACCTCTCTTCACCACCATCCGAACTCCGTACAACGAGGTCGCCCCCGCGGAAGCGTACAGGGAGAGTTACGAGGACGGTAGCGACACGCATGTCTGTGGGCTTCAGGGGCGTCCTCATGCCGCTACCTTTCACCCATATCTGGAGCTTGTCCCGGATCACCGTGAGGTAATGCCCAGTTGGTAGTGTAGGGAACAATGTGTTGCGAACAGTTTCCAAGATAGGATGATTAGCAATCTCGAGGGTCGTCGTAAGAGGTAGGTGAGGGGGATAGAACAGAGCCTCGCGTTCGGAGAAGTCCTCGAGCCCTGACACGGACTGTGGGCGACATGCGCCGATGAGCACGTCCAGCGACGGAGGCAGATCGTAGTCGACATCAATGGGGAAGTCCAAAGAATGTGTTATACCACTCTGTACGCAAGGGTCACTGAGCTGGCCTGAGCAGAAAACTTCAATACGTACCTTTGAACGGAAGAACAAGATGAGAGCAGTGGGGTCGACTGGTATCCTGCCACAGACAGCGAACGGACGCGCTTTCGCGGCAAGAAGCATAGCCACGCTGGCACGAAATGCAGCCTCGCTGTCATAGTCGGATGACTGTCTTCGCCTTCGCTGCTTGGTCGGTGAAAAAGATGTCTTTGTCGGCGTGTGTTCCACCTCGAAGTCAGACATATTCCGCGGAAATGGGAGGCCATCTGAGCTGCGACTCGAGGTCGACGAGGCAGATGGGGAGGAGAGGATCGACTTTGTCGAGAGCGACATGGTAGTGGCTGTTGGCATGAGTGAAAGAATATGTTAAGCGAAGTCCTGAGAGTGAGGGGGGTAAACCCGCGTCCAGAGCGCGGCCGCTAGTCTTATGACGGTGGTCGGGGCCTAGGAAGCATTTTGAGTCTGGGGCACTTGATATCTGGACCCGCCACGCATGAGCAGCATGGCTCGGAGATCTCATCAAAAACCACCTTCGTCTTAGATTAACGCTGCACGAGAAAAGCACTAACGGACCGTATCATCCATAGCAGGTGCTGTCAGGTCTGCACCCTTCGTCATGGGCCCCGGGGGCTGTAGTCGCCACTGTGGGTCCCTGATAGCGGCAGCGGCAGCGGTGGGAACGCTTCAGTGCGTTCAAACACCCCGGAAGGTCATGAATATGTCCTGGAATAGGCCAGAACGCGACGCACCCGTCAGCGATGATTGGCCCATCAGCCATGAGTTGGCAACGTGGCAGGGACTACCGCAACGAAGCCGCCAGGAGATAGCGCGTTGGCTTGGGCAGCGTCCGTCCCTCCACACATTAGCCTCTTTGTGTTATGAATTTAATACCTCTCGGCTGTTAGATCTTGCTGAAGCGGAACAAACGGCCACGGGACCAGTCACAAGCTCTTCTAGCACGGACGAGGTACGCGGAGCTCGTGAGAATGCGAGACATTGCTGAGCTGCAAAGGAGCAGTCATGCACCAGCATGACGGTCGAGAGTAACCTTGAGGCGCCGAACATCTGTCGGAAGGAGATCAGCGGTGACACGAAACTTCCTGCTCTCCGCCACCCAGTTTAGTATATCTTCGCAAGCAGAGCGATCCACGCCTTATTAAAGCAGCTAGTAGATTTATGATACGTCCGATGCAACGGCCTGAAGACCATAGAGTTCGAGTAGCACATGATATCACTCAAAAGCTATCACAGAGTAAAGTTCATGGAATCTCTATCATCGGACCACAGTCGTGCGTATTCCAAACAAAGCCTGTAGACATATGCTGTCATAGAAATGAAGTTAGGCACGGCATGGAATTAAATAGAGGCTACAGTGGCCCACCTTCCATGTCCACTCTTCTCCCGAGGGTCCGTTTCCACTGCTTCCCTGCGCGAGCAATCCGACGAAGGCGTCTATCGCCATGCAGTGACCTCCGTTGCGCAGCTGGCAGCTGTAGTGCTGTCGAGTTTGCGGCATGGAGAGTGGAGTCTGTTCCACCTGAGAAGAAAGCGTGGATGTTGTAGATTTCATGGTACGTGGGCGACAACGGGATATAGTGCAACCTGTCAATGACGGCACATGAGCACCAAAATGAGGGAGAGGGTAAAGGAGACGTTGTGGGGGACGCACCAAGGCTGGATCCACTCTTCAAAGAACTCTCGGTACACAGTCGCTTTCAGGACAGCACTGTCAGACTCCAGGAAAGATAAGAAACGGCCAGAATACCCCATGCCGTCGATATCAACAAGGTATTTGTGTTTCCAGTGGTCGCCTAGGTTCACACCACCCTCGTCGAAGCGATGATCCCTGAGCAAAGCGTCTGGCCCACCAGGGAAATTGAAAGAGCCCACGAGCTTGACAAACGCCACGTCCATGACTTCTCTGTTGAGAACCGCAGTTGGCACCTCGGTGAACGTATACGTTGTCGAGCCAGGAGGGTCAGCGAATAGGATGGTACGGTTCGTCATCGAGAGGTCACTCGCCATCTGCACCAGTCTGGATCCAGGGACCTGAGTTCAAGGGCACGAAAGTAGAATGCGCAAGGATTACACACCTGTGGCGTTGATACTGCCCTGCGAAGCCCGGGGGAGAGCTACCGCCGCCAGTGGACGCGCCTCGCCAGAAAACCTTGTCGCTCTTAAGCTCCCATGGCATCTCCATATGGTCGACGTGGTGCCGTTCCAGATTCACCGGGTCCCATCCATACGTATATCGTCGGGTCTGGCCATGGTAGTAATGACTAGGAACTCGAATGTCCAAAAACCCAGAAGCTTTCGCAGGAGAGAATATCGGGAATAGCACAGGGATCGTCCTCCAGTCGGAAAAGAAGTGTCCTTGGCTGTAATGAGCCCACGGGTTCTGACAGAAGGAGAAGTTTCCTTGGACGCTCCGCACGAATGTAACTTCGTCATCAATGGCATCGAGTTGGCTCAATCGGGCTTGCGTGGTGGACGAGGCGCGTGTAGAACTGAATAGACGGCGTGCAGGGGTCTTTGGCTCGCATGTGCGGCGGAAGGCCTCCCAAACAGTACCTTCCCCTCGCCAATCTGGAGAGTATCGCCCGCTCAGTTGCTCAGCAACTCCGCCTGATATATCTTTAGTGAGCACGCGACAACGACGTCGAAGTAGGACAGACCATCAGTGAGATTGGGGTATTGTCGATGCTCCCAGGGTACTAGTATACGCCCCTCTGCCATAGCATTGATAGGGAAGTCCAGGTCTGGAAGCTACAGCCGCATCAGTGAGGAACATTGGCTATAAAACTGACGGAACACGCACCTTGTCCTGAAATTTCTCAATCATCAGTAGAAAACCCTTGGCACGTTCGGAGACACCGTCAGGGCTATCAAATCCATCTTTGACATTCACAGCCTTTCCTTCACCGCCGCGAACCTTCACCAAGTCAACCGAGGGCAAATGGCCCGCCTGAAACCGGGGACAAAGCGTCAAGCCAGGCTGGACACACACCAGCTGTAGACGTACTAAGGATGCCCGTTGCCTGAACTCGGCTGGCGAGAGGTCCCAGAACGGTTCTAGATCCTCGGCAACAGCATTGTATTCATCAACCATCAGGACATCGTTATCCTGCACGAATTTCCACCAGTCGTCAAATCCTTTCGGTGGGTCGCGCTTGAAACGCGTCTTGTACTCTGCCACGGCTTTTACGAGGGTCTTGCTTTGCCGTGTAAGACGTTCGCGGAACTGCACTTCAGCTTCAGCCATGAGCCTCGGGATAGGGTGCTCCTTGATAGTGGTTCTGGATTCGCCCTTGATTAACGAGAAAAGGCTCGGTACTTTTGGTACCAGAGAGTTGTCGGGGAAGACCTCCTGTGTTCTCCTCCTAGCACTCCATAGTCCAGCTTGCATGAAGATCAGGAGGACTGCCGCAACGTAGAAGAAACCCCGCTTGCTGCTAGGGATGCCATCGTGCATTTTGGAAGAGTCCAAGTCGGACCCAGTCGGTGAAGGAGTGTGTGGTTATGAAGTAGCGTCAGAATAACGCGCGCAATGTCGAAGATATTACAGGGTTCTGCCGGGGAGAGTTGCCCAGCAGCAACACCGTCGAGTTAGAAGGTGCCGGTGATCGACCGACGGCCGCCTTAGCACTCGACTCTTTTGCCAGCTATGTTCTCACGCTCAATTATTTCTCGTCACGGTCAATCTCCTAGAAACGGTACGTAACGTGTCACAAAGCGTTGTGGCGGCGCTTTGGTCCTTGCTCGCGTCCGCGGCGGGTGACACCTTAGTTGTCTTTCGACTTTCCGAATCCCAGGGCTCTTCGGACTGTTCTCAGCTGCGGCCTAGCTTATTTCTTCCTCTGTCCAAGAATTTCAGAAATCTCATGCGCAGCGTCCAAAAATTGTCTGTCCGGACTTGACGAACACTGCCGCAGTTATCCAGATTGGGCAGCGCGTATACAGAGCTGACTGGCACTTCTTGTGCTGTGACCATTACCACCGCCAGCAGACGACAATCGCGCCTTCTGCCACTACTCTGTACTATGAGCAGCCCTGTGTACCCAACAGCTTCCCGTACCATACCCAATCACAGCGACGGCAGCCACCCTAGGACAATTGCCGAGCTAGCGGCTATAGCGCAGCACAGTTTGTGGGACCCGAACCGGCCTCTGAAGCATTGGCTGCGTACCGCCGAGAAGGCACGCAAGGTTGGCAACAACTATGTCGACGCTAGGGATTACGAGGCAGCTTTCATCGAATTTGCCAGAGCTGCCACCATTGTGCTCGAGAAGCTGCCAACGCACAGCGAGTATCATGTTCTGCTTAACGCAGACCAGCGAGCGAACTTGGGCATGGTTAGTATCTTATTTCTATCACATCTTTAGCTGTCGTTGGTGCGCGGCATATGCTTCTGCCTGTTGGCTGAGAGCGAGTCTGCAGCATGCTGATCGATCTCGACATGTACAGAATGGACAGGATATCTTGGACAGTCTCAGCAAGCTTAAGCCGATTCTTGTCGAGCGATATGAGAAATGGAGGGCCTACCACGAAGCAAACGGCAGCTCGTCGCAGCCAGACCCAAACGTAATCGCCCAAGAAGAAGCGGCTCGGCGCAAGCGAGAAGAACTCCTACGCGCTCAGGAAGAGCGCACGCGACAGGCTCTCGAAGCTGCACGTATTGAAGACGATTGGCGACGCACGGATGAACAGCAGAAGAGGGTGCACGAAGAGACGGAGTGGGCTAGACGGACAAAGGAAGTTCGTCCGAGGGACACTTCAGAGGCGCAGCGGGCTGCCGAGGCCAGGGAGGCCGCGCAGCAAGAACGTATAGCGAGGCTTCGAGCAGATGACGAAGAAGAGAGGACGCGGAGACGTATAGAAGAACGGAGGCGACACGAGCAGGAAGGGATCTTTCGACGTCAACAAGAAGCTGAAACTGCCGCTCGCGAGGTTCGACGGCAGGTCGCTAGCACTTCAAACGGCTCGGGACAGTCTGGCGTTGACGCAGATGTGTACTATCGTCGGTCGCAGGAACCGGAGACACCTACTCGCCGGGATCGATCGTATGCTGCTTCTCCTTATCCTTCGCGTCCACCAAGCTCGTCGCAGCAGCGAGCCCCCAACGATTCGCATGGTTCTCTGCTGTCAAGAATGCCCGTAGAGAGCCCGGTACCATACTCGGACGATGCCAGTGCAGAGAGTAGGGGCACAGCATGGAATGATCCCCGACAATCTTACCAGATGCTAGCTAAACCAAATCATGCAAATGCGGGGTAAGTATCTCTCGTATTTATGTTGTGTTCTTGTCGTCTCATGAGTCCTTTTTGAGTAGCATATCATACCCACCTCCAGTCACGACAACGTCTCCTACGCCTCATGACGCAGGTCTCGTTGAGTATCCCACTCTTATGTCCCAGCATCAGCTCAAGCAAGGCTATGTCCCATCGCTGCAATCAATGTTCTCCCATCCCCCTGCCGCGCCTCCTGAATCTGCCGCTTTACTTCTGAATACAAAACCTGGAGGCGCCTTGTATACCAACCTTTTACCAAATCGCTCAACGCCTGCGGACGCTGTCATCCCTCCGTATGTGCCAGGCGTGCCTATACCAGACCGCCACCGCCCGTATGATACACAACATGCACGCGGCCCGTCATCGTCGCGTATACCGCCCGCATTACCACCACCACCCGCAGTTCCCAGCGCTCCTCGTATTGTACGCGGAGCCTCCACGGAGTCCGACATCCACGAGCTCAGGCCCGTTCGGCTCCCTCGGGAGTGTCTGCAGCGTTTCGTCTCGATAGCCCGAGTCAACACTGCGAAGAATAGGGAGACGTGTGGGCTCTTACTCGGAAAGGATAAGGGCAGCAAATACGCTGTCACGACGCTTTTGATACCTAAGCAGCACTCGACGAGTGATACTTGCACGATGGACGAGGAAGAACTTGTCTTGCAGTTCACAGAAGAACGGCATCTAATAACGCTAGGCTGGGTGAGCTTATGCTAGCGCACGTAGTGAAGGAAGCTATACTGACTTTCTCATTCCGTAGATTCATACCCACCCAACTCAATCATGTATGTCCAGATTGCTCTGCGAGTTTCTTGGTGGTCTAATAGCCGTCTCCAGGCTTCATGTCTTCAGTGGATTTGCACACGCATTCAGGCTTCCAGAGAATGCTGCCAGAATCATTTGCGGTTGTCTGTGCACCCACCTCTAATCCTGCGTAGGTGCTCGCCAAGTTTGCGTGTAGTACAGGATTGACATCTCACTTTAGCTTTGGCATATTCCGTCTTACCGATCCTGGTGGCCTGCAAGTCATCTTGGACTGCAATGCGAAAGAAGCCTTCCATCCCCACCCAGACGTGTCGGTATACACTGTAAGTACAGCCAAACCGCGTCTGAGGCTCGGAGTTAACCTTTATCTGTAGGACTGTGATAATAATCACGTCCAAATGAAGGATTCAGCATTAGAGATTGTCGACCTGCGAGAAACTTAGTTCTGCCTGGTCTTAATTTACTATCATGTAGCTGTCTTGCACGCACACATCTTGTACTTTGTAGCATTCTTGTCCATCACTATGCATTTCACATAATCCATATCCTGCTTCGCTCGCCGCGCTCTGAGTTGCAGTGTCTCGGTCGATCTTGAGTTGCCTTTTCCGGGAGCACAATAGTTCTCTTCATACCTTCCATCATGCCGCGAAGTTTCGAGCAGGAGGACATTGAAGAGGAACAGAGGCATCTCGCGAACGTCATTGCCACCTTCAATCAGTATGCATCATACTCCGTAAGAATGAGCTTACATACGCTATAAACCAGTGCTCATTCTTGTGCGTGTGTAGCTGTCTGCGAATAACCGCCGCCGAAAGGACATCTACAAGCTCCCGCGAGGCGACCAGGAGCTCCTGACGGTCCTAGGGTACAAGACGAAGCTGCACGAAGTGGACGAGGCGATCATCGCCAACGACAAGTTTTTGAAGCAGATCATCGCAGACCCCGAAATCTTCGGGCATGACGTCGACCCCGAGAACGAGAAGAACGAGGAGCAGGACTACCACGAACAAGAAGGCATACAAGACTCGCAGGCATCGCACTCACATGCACATGGTAGGGCCGTGCACGTGTGAGGCGTACAGGCTTGCGACTGATTACCGTTTGGCAGATGATCCATCGCATTCGCACTCGCACGGTCACGGTGGGCATTCGCACTCACATGCGGCGTCAGGTGGACATGCGGGACATAGCCCCTCTGGGGGCAAGTATCGGCCCACGGAGAACGACGTGGACAAGCTGCGCAGCACGATCAAACAGTTTGTCCGTGACTGGAGCGAGGAGGTAGTGGACGGACGCGGCGCCAATTCTCTTCTGTGAGGCTGACGGCCGCTATGCGCAGGGAAAGGGTGAACGTAATCTTTGCTACGAGCCAATGAAGCAAGCTTTGGTCGAGCATTTTGCTCATGTGCCTGCAGAGGAGAGGTAAGACATGGGCTTATACGTGCTCGGGAGTTGTAGTTGACGGTATGCCAGGTCGAGGTTGCGTGTCCTTGTCCCCGGTGCTGGCCTCTGTCGTCTGGCATGGGACGTAGCAAATTTAGGTCAGTGCATACCGAGTTCAATGACACATTTCTCCGACTGGCACGCTTACATGTATCAGGATTCGCATGTCAGGGTAACGAATTCTCGCACTACATGCTTCTGGCTTCGTTCTTCATCTTGAATAGGTAGTTACCTTCTGGTCTCACTCTTATCTCACGATTAAGCGTAGCCTTGCAGGACGACCAAAGTAAACGAACACACGATCTACCCATACATCCACTCGTTCTCCAATCTCACAGACAAGAACGCCCTCCTGCGACCCATCTCGTTCCCGGACGTGTCACCTTCGTCTCTGCCATCGAATTCCAATTTCTCGCTCGTAGCAGGTGCCCATGCTGCGTTCGCGGAAAAACGACTAACAATACTCACGCTTGGCCAATAGGAGATTTTGAGGAGGTTTATGGTCCAGACGATTACGAGTACGGCGAGCCACAGGCTGGCCTCTGGGATGCGATCCTCACATGCTTTTTCATAGACACTGTAGGTAGCAGTATCTGTCCATCCTTGGATCAGCATTATTAAGGAGATTCTGCAGGCTAAGAACATTGTCAATTACCTTCGTATCATCCATCGCAAACTGGCCCCTGGAGGTGTCTGGATCAATATGGGTACGACTCTTTCGTCGAGACTTCTGAAGACCGTCTCGATTCTAATCAATATTTGCAGGCCCTCTGTTATGGCATTGGGAGAACAATTCCTCGGGAGACACCTCTATAGAACTAAACGTGGAAGAGCTGAAAGAGCTTGCTCGTAAGATTGGATTTGAGATCTGTGTACGTCAGATATATTCCTGTGCACCATAGGCCTGAGGATCTAACGTGACGAGTTGCAGGACGAACGAACCATTGATACAACATATACTAACAATTCGCAAAGCATGCTTGGCTATATTTATCACACAGCCTTCTTCACCGCGACCAAAAAGGCGTAGATGGTCACCTCAGTGCGATGGCAGCTACATATCGTCATTATATCTGGTATATATCAATTGCAGTCGTAGTAGAGTCCCTCTCCGTCGTAGATGCTCATGACAAGACAAATCAAAACATAGAGGTCGTACCATTCATGCCTTCTCGCTCTCGCCCTCCTGCGTCTTCTGGAGCACGGTACGCTTCTCCCTGCGCAGGCGCTCGCCCTCGCGCACGCCGAAGCCGGTGCGGAAGACCATCTGGACCTCCTCGAGGCTGAGCCCGGCGGTCTCGGGGAAGCACGCGGCGACGAAGGCGCAGCCAAGGAGGCAGAGGCCAGCGTAGAAGCCGAACGCGCCCGCGGGCGTGATGCGGTCCATGAGCGAGAGGTACGTCGAGCCGATGAGCAGATTGCCGGCCCAGTTGCAGAACGTCGCGAGCGAGGTGCCGATGCCGCGCACCTCGAGCGCGAAGAGCTCGCCCTGCTGCCACGGCACGTTGCCGAGCCCCGTCGCGTACGAGGCAACGTAGAAGATCATCGACACGAGCACGATCGCGGACCACGCCGTCGAGTAGTGCGCGCCGTCGACGAGGGCACCGCCGGTGTGGCGCGTCAGGTCTGCAGGGCGCACATGTGGTTCAGCTGGGTGAGGATGATTCCAGTTTGGACGGCAGGGGCTCACAGTGGAAAGAGATGCTCGCCAGGACCAGGCCGATGACCATGCCAGGGGCGGAGAAAAGCATGATCTTGCGCCGGCCAATGATGTCGATGTACTTGAGCGCGAACAGCGTGAAGATAAAGTTCGTGCCAGACACGATGAGGCCAACCGCTGTCGGCTGGTTGAAGCCGATCTCTTTGAAGAGCGTCGCGCTATAGTACATGAGCGTGTTGAAGCCGGAGAGCTGCTGGAAGGCCTGCATGCCACAGCTAACGACTGTCCCGCAATACGCTCAGGGGTAGCACAGAGGGAAAGAGGAGAGGACTACTCACTGACAGCGCGGCGGTTCACCGGATTCAAGAAGGTCATGCCCACGCGCTGGATGAGTGTCGTCGAATTGGTAATCTCGATGCTTCTCCGGACGGCGGAGTGCAGTGCTGTGACCTTGAGTGAGACCTGCTGCGGGGTGGCATGCGCATATATCCTCGACATGACAGCCCTTGCAGCGTCCATTTTGCCAAGGCGCATGAGGATACGGGCTGAAGGGAAACTCTAATGTTAGTCTAATGTAGCGGGCGACAGAGATGACACGCACGCGACTCGGGGAGGAAGAACAGTATAAAAAACTGGATCCCTGCGGGCACGGCACCCAGTCCGACCATCCACCGCCACCCTCCGTGCATGTTCTCGAACGCGGCGCCGATACCATACGCGATGACTTGTCCGCCGGTGATCATGACGACGTTTAGGACGACCATGCGGCCGCGCAGGCGTGTTGGGGAGAGCTCTTGGATGTACAGCGGCGCGACGCACGACGCGAGGCCGACGCCGATGCCGACGAGGAAACGGCACCCGATCTGTGATACATGTTGAGCAAGTAAGCAAGCAAGCATCAGGGACAAGAAGGTCGCGCGCACCATGGGCCAGACGGCATGGCAGACGGCCTGCCCTACGGCGCCGCCAATGAAGATGACGTCCGAGATGGCGAGCACGGGCTTCCGTCCGACGAAATCCGAGAGCATGCCTGCGACTAGGCCGCCAATCAGCGCTCCGAGGGTCGTCGCTGAAGTGATAAATTCCTGCAGGGCGGCATGAGCGGGAGACGCTTGACGAGCAGAGTGTGATTAAGCACCTTCTGTCCCGATGAGAGCTCGGAGGGACCGAGATCAGAACCGATGGTGACCAGGGCGCCAGAAATCACACCTGTGTCATAACCTGCAGCCAAAGTGTGTAAGACTTTAGAGGTGATCGAAGCGAAGGCGGGCGGAAACTCACCGAAGAGAAGGCCGGAGATGCTGGTGCAAGCGACGAGAATCCAGACGAACCACGTTATCTTGTCTTCTCCTTCGGCCTTGACTGCAATTTCAGATATTTCGCCCGCCGCATTAAGTTGCGCGATGTCTTCTGTGAGGAAGCTAGGTGTTCATGAGGCTCCAAGCGAGCTGAGTGGATGGCTAGGCGTGCACTCACTCGTCCCTGGGCTCTTTGAGGTCGTCCGAATCACGGCGTTTGTCGAGGGACCCTGCCATGGTCGTCTGTGGAGTGGAGGGGGATTCAAGACGCGAAGAAGTGGGCCGGCCAAGGTGGTTCTTGAGGACTTCGTCTCCGAGATAAAGCGCTGGACAAGGTCATGCGAGTGTCTGGAATGGATTAAGTTTTCGTGCCAAGACCTGGGGTGCCTCTTTTTATCTGATCAATGTAGGCATGCGGTACGGCGCGTCGACCTCCATGGCCAGGTTCAACTTTTTCCAGTACTTCCGATCAGGCGCAATGATTTTGCCCAGCCATGGAAGTTCTGCGCAAGTATCGCCATTTACGCGACGTTCGTGTCTATTCGTGCTGCAGAGGGCGATAGAGAGGACGTTTGTGCAGGACCGCGATAGAAGGCAGAGACCATGTGAGGACGCTGTGGGAGTGCTCCCAATGCAGACGTGGTGATCGAGTGACGTCCCCGGCGCCACGAAGCCCTCAGCTGGCCAAGACAACATCTCCTCGGCGCCCCTCTGAATATTCTTCTCTATCGAAACCTCGGAGGCTCGGACATAACGAGAACGTCCAGGAAAACCACACACAGTCCTGAGTCTGCCGCCCGAATAACCCCAGCCAATATTTCAGTCTTTCAGCCTGTGAGCGCCAAAGGCCCCGGCTTCCTTTCTCGGACGTGTCCCATGTGCGCCATCAATGCAGTAGCGCCCTAGAGCGCACGCGCGCCTGCGCCCTCGCTCACCACGCCCGCCAACTCCGTTCTCTCCGTCTCTCTCTATCGCCTCCATAATTTGCCACAATGGTACTGCATTCATGCTTTTGGCTGTGGCTTTTGCGCTGACAGTGGCTTGCTAGGCCCGTAATGAAGAAAAGGCTCAGTCCATGCTCTACCGTTTCCGCGAAGCCCAGGCGGCCGAGCTTGGGCTGGGGACGCGCGCGGACCGCAGGCCGCGGATGGCGAGTGCTTGCAAGAGTTTGCGGGAATGTGAGCGATGGCGAGGAGAGATTCTCAGGGAGATTAGTCGGAAAGTCTCAAAGATCCAGGACGGTGTGTGGTTGTACTGCCCACTGCTAACGGCTCCCGCTCACCCAAGGGGTTCATGACTAGCTGGTCTAACTGACTATGAAGTCCGAGACCTCAATGACGACATTAACAAGCTGTTGAGGGAGAAGAGGCATTGGGAGAACCAGATCGTCGCGCTTGGAGGTGCGAACTACAGGCGAAATGTCGCAATGTTGGACGACGATGGAAAGGAAGTGCCGGGGACGAAGGGATACAAGTGCGTGATATACACATTCGGCCGTGAACATATTTCTGATGCGGTAGATGCTATGCAGGTACTTCGGTCGAGCAAAAGATCTTCCTGGCGTCCGCGAACTCTTCCAGAGCAAGAAGAAGGAAGAGGACGAAGAGAACCAAGTACAAGCGTACTACAAAAAGTTCATGAACCAAGGGCCCACATATTTCGGCGACCTCGACGAGTCAGACGGCAAGCTGCTCGAGTTTGAGCGGCACGCAGAGGAAGAAGGTACGTCTCAAACCCCCTCCCCTTCCCCGCGCACCACTGACACCGACACGCCTATAGAGTGGGAAGACGCATACGCGCACCTCCGGAAAGCCCTCGGCCTCCCAGAAGACGAGCCAATACCGCCCCTGCCGCGCTCGTCAGCAACAGCAGCGCTGACGATCACAGACTTCGCGAACGGCGAGGCACTGCCCAAGCGCAAAGCCCCCGACGGCGACGCAGACGCCGAGATGGAGGACGAGCAAACCGCAGACGCATCGAAACGGCCAAAGACGGACGGCACGCCACAGCCGGCCGCGAACGAACAAGAGACGAGCCCGGAGGCGGTTGCGCTGGCGCATGCGCGCGCGACGGCGGCGTATATACCCTTCTTGTCCCCGGACCAACTGGTGTCGCCGAAGATGCCAACACGGGAGGAGATGGGTGAGTTCCTGTTGGGTTTGAGGAAGCAAGCGTTGGTAGAAGAGTATTTTGGGGACCAGCAGGCGTAGGCATGTTCTTCACTTTTGTGTATTGTACGGAGATCGATACTTCGCTTTGCTGTACTGACAAGGCTTTCCCGTAACACAAAGTGTGTTAGCAGGCCCTGGGAGCTGTGGTGATGCAAGATGCCGCGAGCGAAGAACTAAAATCTGCTGCGAAGTCCTTTGGTGATGACAGGTACCCCAAGAGACTACTCGACTGCAATCGTTCAATATCACAAGCTTCGAGTTCTCTGCCCGTATGCATTCCCAAAATTACTATCCGCTTGGAAGAAAGTGTACTCCAGCATACTCTCCGGTGTCGTTTCACGGTTCTGCGCCAGTCTCCAGACATCCTGCGTCTTCCACTGCTGCGGAGTCATCCTCTTGGTTCCAAGATTCGTCGTCCCAAGCATCCCGCAGCGTCCCCCCAATATTACCCAACCGACTTGTCGACCTTCTGAACTGCAATGTCGACTGTGCTTGCTGCAGATCGGCAATACACACAGAGCAGTCCGTCGTTTCCTGGCTGGCCGCCCGTAGGTTGATCATGAAGCGATTAATGAGTATCAAGGGCTGCACGTCCAGCTCATGAACACTGAGAGGGCAAACGGAATGTAGGGTACACACCAAGGTCTTGATGAGCGCGGACATGGGGTCCTGGAGTACGCCGTCAGCCCTCGGCTCGCGTACTGATGCTGGAGACGCACCGCAGGGTCGAAGGTCAGCAGTTGGGCTATGTTTGTCGCCAGCAAAGCTCTACATTTATTTTCGCCCGTGAGCAAACCCTTCGGATGGCTTTCTTGCCGTACTCACATAAAATAGAAAGTTCCTGCATGGGCAGCTAGGTTTTCAGCAACGGCGAATACGACGGTGCATGAAGGATTGCCAACCGTCGCGCAGCAGACAAGTTGTCAGCGGCACAGTGATATCGAGGCGGCGGGCGCCCTTCCAATGACCAAATGTCTTAATCCAGGTCAGGACGAGCATGATCGTGTCGGCGAAGATAACCGAGCCGCGAGTCGTGTACAAGACTTAACATGTGATGTCAGTGTCTCTGGAAAGTTAAAGGCTTTACTCGAATAACATACGTCTACGCGGCGACAAATGAGCATCCAGAAACAGGCACAAAGAGATGTGTACACCCACATCCTGTTTGTCCGCGCGGACAATGGCGAATATGAGGCGCACATCACGCCTGAGGATGGCTCTACGTTAGCACTTTCCTTCGACATCACCGCGGAAACCTGCACAGAGGTCTCGGTCAGAGCACACGCGAGGTTTGAACAAGGCGAGCCACACCAGATCCGTCGCAAAGGGCACCATGCTCAGTACGAACACTGCCAACGGCCAGACGCGGCTCCTATTCCAGAGTGCAAATACGCGCAGGGCAGAGAAGACTCGTGTCGAAGTCAGTGGGCATTTCGGACTTGGGGCTGCGTGGGGCATACTTGCGGTCTGGACGAACCCGATGAAGACGAATGCCTCATTCAGGACATCAAGCACCGTGCAGCTGTGTCGAGCCCCAGTCAGCAGTCTATCACGCACGAGCCTCAAAGAGACGGGGTTTACATCTGTAAGAAGCATGGTTCGAGATCTTACATAGTCAGAGAGATTTGAGGCTTACATTAGGACTTGACGGTAAAAGTTGCGAGATACTTGAGAGGAGCAGACACCATCGTATCGAGCCAAGGAGTACGGCAGATACAGTGATAGGTCTTTTCCAGACGATATTTATCTCATCAACGACGGTGATCAAGAATTCGTAGACGACAAGGCCTGAAAGAGAAGTACTGTGAGCAGCACAATGGGAAGCAAAGGACATACTTGCACGAGGCAGCTACAGAGATATGGACTTGCGCGAGACTAGTGGACAAATGTACGAGTATTAGCTTGCCAAGTGTGGACAGGGGTAATGCTTACATTAACGAGTAGGCCTGGACAAGAGTCTGGTCTGACTGCACCGACATATTCAAGGTGAGATGGATGGGGTGGCGAGGATGGGCTGATACTTCTACGTTTTATGGGCGACTTGGCTAGTCGTCTATCAACATCTACACACATGCCATAGTCGTTCCCATCCCTCGCCTACGTTTAACGTTTCGCTAAAGACCACGAAGGACCCCTCGAAAGCTCGGAAAATATCCCTCCAGGGCAGCGGAAGACTGTTGTTACCGGAGATTGTCAGGAAACGAAAATTTTATCTCGTCGCCGCTCCACGCTGCCAGTCATTTCCATCTATACTGTCCACAAGTGCCTGTGGCGTGCACAAGGATGCAGCTGTATATTAGGTTGCGAATATTAACGAGGAATGACCATCTCACCTCGTAGCTCTGCAAGTGGTATATGGCGTGGATTTGACATGTATACTCCACATGCTGCGAAAGTAGATATTTGCATGCGTGTATGTTGGTGCCGACATTTCTCCATGCATGCGAATATTCTGCGGTCTTTCGATCTATGCGCCCTAATCGCCTAAAGCTATGCTAGCGCTAGGGCGATATCCATGTCCATTGTACACAGGTCAGCGTGATACGAGCCCGCGAGTCTCGACGACTCCAGCTTCCACGGACGCCGTGGCGGGCAACAGGGTTCAACGTCCAGCGATGACATCGGATACGCGACGAAAACTGTGCAGCAGGCTGCAAGTTTCCATTTGCACGACCAGCAGCCCTGCTATGATCACGAAAAATTACGGGCAGTTATCAGTAAAATTACACTAGGTGAGTCTTCTTGAACTTCTGTCTTCTGCCGTACCTTGTCTTCCACTGGGCTTGGGCTTTCTCGGTGTCTTTTCCGATACTTTCAGCCCTCTAGTTTATTCGCAGTATAATGCCGATGTGGCCATGCCAAGGTATCCTGATGGAACTCACAGCCCGCTGGATGTGGTTTGCCATCAGGCGTCTGGCAGACTCGTGACTCGTGAGCGACGCCACAAGGTCCACAACGGTGCCTGCGCAGCGGGGCCGGTTCGATAACGTTACTGGACCCTTCTCTTTGATCATGGAATGCATATTGATGAATCAGTAAGAAAAAGAGCTCTCGAGACATTGTTGAACTTGCTGCCCCCTAGCAACCGGCCGGCTCTCTCAGTTCGCGTTTGAAGATCGGACTCCCACAAACCATGTCCCAACAAATTCGAGTCGGGACCTCAGATGGGAGGTCGACACATAGGTGCGTAGTATGCTTTGCTCTGTTATTATTCTAGTCATATCGACATGGTCTGCACAAGCTTGCCTTCAAGAATCTCTCTGGCAGCTTAGAATTTCAACGGATGCACGATAGCTGCAAGACTTTGTAGTGATGGTGTACAATTCTTGTTGCTACCTTCGCCATTGATATCCCCATGCTCTATGCTCGAGCATTGCAGGCGCGATCTCAAGGACGAAGTCTATGAAACGCGAACTCATGCACCCATCTGGCGGCACACATCCAGCCCACACTCCAGCTCCTGCATGGCAACGTTGCACAGCATCCCCAGTGCAACTGAAGTACCAATGAGAGCAAGTACAACGATGACGCGCCGGACCTGGCGGCGAGGTTACAGGTCATGCCCATGCTCGTCATGCCGCTCAGTGGCCCCAGCGCGAGTGTATATGTGCAGCGACAAACGCAGGTTACGATGCCGCCGAGCGTGCATGCCTCTGCGTCCGGCAACGGGCATACGGATGTGACAGTCGAGTGCTCGGCGCACTCGGTGGGCAGCCCTGTCGGGCCGCTAGGTTCAACGAGCCCGATTGCCCGCGTGTGTGCACCGTCGCGATCGCCGTCTGTTGTTAGTCCATCTGTATCTAGCACCCACTGTATTCATCTGGGATGTGTAATATACGTGTGTCTTCTGCCGTCTACGTCAAAACGAGTGCGGAGAAGCTAGTCTTTTCGCGTGTCTTATGAGCATCTTCTCGTGGCTTGTAGAAGTCAGCCATACTTTTATATGCCGGTCGACCTGGCATAAAAAGGACGGGGATGTCTTTTGGACTTATGCGTCTTTTCGCGTCGTTTGCTCTTATGAGAGACAAAAGGTCAGCCATAGTTTTTTGCTAATGGCTAAATGCGAGCTTGATGGCCTGAACAAAGTCACATCGTCTGCTGATTACAGCGCTCTTTTTCTGCGGCGGAAATAGTTTGTGGGTGAGAGTCAAAGTAATCGCCATTGCACCCAGTCAAGAGTCCAAAAATATACAGGTGAGCAGGCCACACTCTAACTAGATACAGTAGGATATTGGACAGCTCCAAAAGTCTGCATATACATGAGGTACATTCCTCATTCTGCACCCTCGAGGGCAGCGACGAGACCGTATGCAGCCGCGGCCGCGGCGCCACCGACCAGCAGCGTTGAGAAGGCGCCCCAGACATACCCACCGAAGCCCTGGCCGGCGGCACCTGTGACACGAGCTTTGACAGCACCAAAGATGATGAGGATGACACCAGTGATGATGCAAGAGTAGATCAGAGCTGTCCGTGCGCGGGGAACTAAAGAACTAATATTAGCCTTACACTACGGTGAACGCAGAGGAGTAACTTACTGAAAAAGTAGGGAAGTAGGGGGATGATCCCACCAATGAGGTAGCCCATACCAATGGTGAAGGCAGAGACATACATCCGTCTCGTCGTGACCTCCTCCAAGCATTCGCCAAACTTCAGCAAAAACGCCGTCAGGCCGACGGACTTGCTCCATTTCAGGGCCTGGCCCTCCTCGACCCGAGTGCGCGAGCTGCCTGCATCGCTGCCCTCTCCGCCAGTGTCCATCTCGACCTCGCGGAGGTTCTTGGCAACGAGGCGACTTGTATGCTCGTCGACTCCAACGGGGCCGAGGACACCGTGAACCTCGCGCTCCATCTCGCCGTCGCAGCTACGCTGCACGCGCGCGGCGGTCAGCTTCTGCTGATAGCGGTAGTGGTCGCGCTCGGCCTGCGCGGCGAGGAAGCCACCGATGCCCATCGAGATCGCACCAGCCACGAGCTCTGCGATGCCACCGAGGATAACGAGCTTGGATTCGCCGAGCGAAGAAAGACCCGCGGTAAGAGCGAAGGGGACGGTCAGGCCGTCAGAGAGTCCGATCACGCTGTTCGCACAGTCGGCCTGACATGTATTAGGGAAATGGGAGGGACACGTACACATCACGGACGACATCTGGATCGACAAGAGTCCGTTCGTCCTCGTCTTTGAGGTCCTTGCAGCAGACCCCGGAACGTCCGAGGACATGCCTGTCGCACTTGGCAGGGAGCGGGACTTCGCCGCATGCCGGCCCTCGCTCGCTAATCGGCCAAACTGGTGGTTTCTTGCTCGTTGCCGTGCCCCCAGCGTTGCGGTGTGGGAGAGGGACGGATGGAGCGGAGGGCTGGGAGGAAGACATATTTCGCGTTCAAAAGTCACTAGAGAGCCGTGAGCAAAGAGAGAACGGTCAACGAAGTGGGGAGATGGTGTGTGTGGTCGCGAGTAAGAGGCTGCGAACGACAAGGTCGCAGGAGGAGGCGGAAGGAGAGGACGGCTGAGCAAGACAGGCACTGCGAAGACCATTTCCACCTGCACGTGATGCGCTTAAATTTGTTAGAGCTCCTAGCCAATCAGCGAGTGGCAAATCCCACTTCCGAGTCGTCGACGTGTATCCTGTTTTAGCAGGTGCTATATTTTTGCTCTCGTCTTCTCGCTCTCTCACCGCCTAACTGCTGCCGCCCCGGTGCATCCTTCTGGCATACTCCCGGCGAGCACACACCAAACATCTCTGTGGCTAGACAGGCTGTAGACCCTTAATCCAGAGGTCGGCGAAGAGGAGTCGAACAATCTGGAGTCGTGCCCCAGAAACTGTCTTGCCCTTACCACCTTCGGGTAAAGCTAGGCAGATTCTGTCGGCTTCGGGTTCTCCTCCTCCGGAATATGGGACATCCGTCGCCCACCGAGACCACCCGCGGGAAGAGTCGGGACGGCATTGAAGTTGCTCATGGCCTGACGATGTGACAATGCACCCTTCAGGCTTCTCAGATTTCTCTACGTAGCAGACTTTCGGGATCCCGCGAGCGCTCTCCTGTCATTCGGGACCCTCGGGTTCCTTTTCCACCTCCCTACTTTTCTCACGATTGTCCATCGTGAACTTGACGCTCAGCGGCTCTTTTCCGCAAGCCGTGAAGACCACATCGAATATCCAGAACCGACGAGTAGTCGCTATTCACGATGCACAACGACAGCTCGCATGAGGCAATTCCCCTCATGACCCAGGGCGAATACGTACACGACTCCCACCAGCCCTTCAAGCTCGAGGAAGACCAGGAGGAGCTCGCGCCCGTCCGCCATCGGTGGTCACGCTCGGCAGTATTCCTCTCACTCGCATGCTTCGTCACCGCCTTCAGCCTCGCATTCAACTCAGTCACGTTTGTTCGAAGCTTCCGCAATAACGGCGTCCCGGAGAAGCTGGATATAAGCAAGCTGCGGCGGCCCAGCCTCTATCTAGGACTTGAGCGTGTGCCGGAGCTACTGCAACACGGGAGTAGTTCTAGCTCCCAGGCTGGACCCCTGAGCTCGCCGGACGTTTCCGGAGCGGGCTGGCCTACGAGAGTAGCCCGGGTGAACTCTGCGCACCCTGATAGTGTGTTTCCCCAAGATGGGTGGGTGCTACTCACGGAACGGGTGCGTGCTAGTCCTCTTCATGCACGGACAAGGTAGCTGAACTCCGGCTCTCTGATACAGGATCATATGATCATAGAGTTCGCCACAACACCAGCTCGCGCGGGTCAGCGATGTGCAATACAAGCCTACTTCCCCGGTCGTCGGGATCTGCGAGACAAGCTTCTCACCATCGAACGCGACGATGGTGTCGCATCAGAGCCTGTTATACATTTTACGGCGCTCTCTTTTTCGCCCGTAGATCTCACCAACCTCACTTGGAGCACACGCCCAAGTGCGGTCCGTCTCATCGACCTACCCCTCACCTTGAATGCTGCCGCATTTGGCAGCAACCAGACTACTGTACTGTTCCCGTGTCCAAGCCATACTCCTCTTAGGGTGGAAGCGATGTGCGCTGGTGGAGGATGCAGGCTCGAGTACGATGCATCAGGAAGTCTCGTCGATGTAGAGCCGCTGCTTGGCATGTATCGTCTCTTTTGTATCTCGAGTGAAACTGAAACTGACTCTTTCTTTCTTTCCAGGCATACGATTAGTCCCTGTATAGCCCCCGGAGTGTGTAATAGCATGAAAACAACAGAGCAGCATTATTCCTTCGTCTATCTTCAGTCCTTAAAGCTTCAATGTTCATTGAAAGTGAAGCAGAGGCCTTATGAAGCTGATAAGTGTACCACGTGTCAGTCTGCTTAGGGGCACTTGGCACAGTGGTAGCGCGCACGCTTCGCATCTTGAATTGCCTGCGTGAGGTCGGGAGTTCAATCCTCCCAGTGTCCAATTTTTTTCCCGCATAGTACAAACTGGTTGGTCAACCCGATCTCTACTACTCTCTAGATTTCTCAGTTATAAGTTCTATCTTTTGCCTTGCAGAGGAACCAGAATTGATGCACAATGGCGCGTTCGACTCGGAGCAAACTCGATAGCAGCCACCCTGGCCATGCTGCGCCTCCTCGTTACTCGATCTGCAGCTACAACCCCGGAAAGCTCTTGAATGATATGTCCGCACATTACCCTGCTTCAAGACGTTCATTCCAAATCATTCGACATCGAGACAGCGGCCAGCTACACGCACATCTTCTCGGCCGTTCAAGAGCACCGCATTGAATGGAACAAGCCATCCCTCCAGCACGACGACATCGTAATTTGCAGCACCAGAGTCGCGTTAGCCTTGCTCGCGAGAACGTGTACGTTTCCGTAGAACCCTGGTGTGTGTGCAAATATGTCATCGGTAGACCACGCGGTTGCTCTGGCGATCGTTGCTACTTCAAGTTTCTTGAACCCCGTGGTGGTTATTCAGGTTCGCCATCTAAATATAATGCAGTTACAATGCTTATGGTTTGCGACAGGCTTTTGCAGCAATCGTGCACCCGAGACTTGGTTGAAACAAGGGAGACAGCGGAGATGCTGGTAGCGACGTGAAGGCCCAAATCGACGAGATCCTGCGACCCGCAGTCCGGCGACCCACAGCTAGCGAAACTCAGTAACCGTGACCTGCGGCTGGTTGAATCTGGCGACCCCGGGCGGCCAGTGAGATCCAGCATTGAACACTCGTCCTATACAGACTCACAACTGAACAATCATATTAGGCTCTTCAAGGCGTGGAACATCGGGGAGCGGTATGCCGTGGCTGTAGATCAATCGTCGGTGTCACAAGTGTGCTGGATGCATCGACCTCGACCTCTGCCAAGAATGCATATCAGTCGTCTCAATTCGGTTTCAACATAATCACACCCATATGCTCCTTCCAATCGAGTATCCTTGGGACCACCGTCCATTTCGTGGTGCATTGGCGGTGTCATGCGATGCCCACCCCGATGTCTGTTCGACGGCTGCAATCAAAGCCAGCCATCGGCGCACGTTACTAGTGCCTCTCATGCGACGACTTCGATTTCTGCTCTGCATGTTTCAATACAATTGAGAAACGCTGCGCACATCACATCACTTACGAGTTCTTTCCTATCCTACTAGTAAGCCCAGGAGAATATGCAAGACAACGCTCATGCTCCTTCGACTTTCCTGGGAGACCACGGCATATCCCTTCCGCAGAGGGATGTGGCAAGATACGCCTCTACGATGGGGCCAGTCGACGTTCTGGCCGAGCATGCAACAGATGCAATAGACTTCCTGCCGAACACCGCTGCGTTGACTGTGGTGACTATGGACTTTGTACCTATTTGCGTGAGCGATCCGCAAGTTTATATGTCCCACAGCCCTCTACATAGCACTACTGCTCTGAAGTCGCCTGCGATGCGGTTTAAATGTCGTCCGAGTTCTATGGCGGTACATTTGTTCAAAAATCTGACTACACGGTTTGAACTTTTCAACAAATGCACCGCCATAATTACCGTGCAAGTCCGCGTTTTCGGAACATATGGATGTCTTATCCCAAATGTTCCATACCGCTTTCTCGAAGTTGGGTTTATGAGCGCATTCCAGGCTGCAGTTGAGGTAGTCGCAGAGCTGTGCTTGCGAGGCGAGAAAGCGCATGATGTGTTCAAGTGGGGTGTGGTTCGAGTGAACTGGCTCGAGGGCGCCGGCAAGAAGTTCATGGCTAAGCCTAGGATGTGAAGGTACGAGGGTAGTATATTGGCGGATGAGGCCTTGTCCAGGAGCAGGTACCCCGGCAAGTTCATGGAACCATTCAATAAGGCAAAGGAGAACTGCAAGGCAGAGAACGGATCGTAATGTATTTATTATACATAGCGAGTATGCACAGCACAAGCTTCGAATCTGCAGGCCGCATGGTAATTTATATTGTAGTAGAGACCTACAGAAGCACCGGATGGTCAGCAGCCCCCTGTCGATCAATCTCTGGAAACACCTGTCAAGGAAAGCACAAACGTGCCGAATCCTTGTCAGCCGCTGGCAAGCAGGGTCGCGCCGGACTTCGTTCCCGTGTTGGAGGTCGGAAGGGTAGATAACAAGGGCATCGCGTCGAGCTGTCACTCACAGCTGGCTTGGGAGCCTTGTGTACCATGTGTAACGTACCAGATGTCCAAGTTAAATTCCGTTATACAGAACCGAAGCTGAAATCCCGGGCGAATAAGTGCCCGCTCACCCACAAATGTTGGGGTACATGAGTTGCGTCGGGTCCTGCGGGATCCAGCCGTTCGCGAGACCGGCCTGGTAGGACCAGTCGTCTGCGCTCTCGGCCTTCCACGTCCACTGAATCCAGCCAGAGCCTTTCTCGAAGGTGAGAGCTTGTGCCTCCCAGTACTGCCGCAAGAAAGTCTTGTAGCTCGCATCGAACAAGGAGGCATTGCCGGTGAGACCGTCACAGCTGCTGACGTAGACTGAGTTGGGGTATGAGCCATCGTAGCGTGCACCGACCCCGCGCCCGTTCAGGTACTTGGCACAGTCGGTCTGTGCAGGAGTCCATTCGCCGACGATCACCCAGAGGTCGAAGGATGACAAGGATGACGCGTGAGCACAGACAGCCGAGATGTGGTCCTCGTAGGAACGCGAAACTTCCTACATGAATTTCAAAATGAGTGAAGCTGGCGCACGAAACACGAATATCACATACATCCTGCGAAAACATCTGATAGATATGCTTGTCCATTGCAACGCCCTGCCATTTCGGAGGAGTTTGGAAGCCCTCCCAGTAGCTACACAGAACAGCTTCAGAATTTCTGCAAATTGCCACGACAAGACGGCGAACCTCAAAGGTTGAAAGGCGTCATGTAGCAATACGACAGTATTGCTCTTTTGCGAAGTGCCATGGGGGTAGCTGTGCCATGTCAGACTCGGGTCACGGAACGATCTGAGATCAAGCATACCGGATGCTATTATAAGAGTCATTCCAGTACTGGCGGACGACATCGAGCACGTCTTGGCCATAGAAACCAGCCGGTCTAACACACGAATTAGTACCAGCGAGTGATGAGTTGATCATTGCGCAACGCACTCGTTTAGTGGAGCAATCGTAGGTACGACGTTCTCCTGACCAGCAAACATCGAAGCGATCCGCTTAATGACGGCATTCGTCCGAGCAACGTTGGTCGAGTTGGAGTGCCAGCCAGGGAACGAGACCCTCTGGCCGGAGTTATCGAAGCTACCAGGATCTAGTATTAGCCTTCATGCACCTTGGAACGTACCGGAACGTACCCATTCTGACTGCCAGGAGCACCGTGCAGATCGACAATAACCTTCAGCCCGTGGTTGCCTGCCCAGGTGACTGCCTTCTGAAGGTAAGGCAGCTGGCCTGTGCAGTACGGTTCGCCGGGGCCAGTCTCGAACGCCCAGAAGCCAATTGGAATGCGAACATGGTTCAATCTAGCAGTAGATGGATAAGGGTCAGTGACTCAGTGCGCGAGAGACGATATCGACGCGATCATGTGCACGTACCCGGCCGCGGCGATGGCAGCGAAATCAGACTCTGTAATCCTAAAACGATCCAGGTCGATTATGGCGTTCAGGGAAGACAGTCAGTTGAGATATACCAGGTATCCCAGTGGTTCCTCAACAGGCTCATTGCCGTATCGCGGTCTTGCAGCTCGCAGAACATCCATTCATCGACGATATCGGCGCTGCCGGTACCATCGAACAAACTGGGCGTGATCCACGGCTAGTTCAAATTCAACAACGATACCAAGACCGAGACGAGACAGCTAGAGACGTACCTCAAGTACGAGCCATCCTCCTAGGTTCACACCGCGGACTGATTGGATTTGTATATAGGTTTCTGACGGTGGTGGTAATGACGGATAATAGATCACCAACCTTTTTCAGACCCATAGGGAAAGCCAGTATTGATCGCATTGCCACCGGGAGTGGGGCGAGACAGTAACCCCAGGGTGACAAACACGCCGACGATTACGACCATAAGGAAGAAAAACCTAGCCCGGTAGTCGTGGAAATCGATACCGCGTGCATAGCGAGGTGCAACACCCTGACATGGACAAGCGACATAAGCAAATGCAATTAATACTTGTTTAAGTTCGTCGACACGGATAACTGGCGCCTACAGCAGCTGATGCGAGGGGCTGGTAGCCATCTGGACGTCGCTCAGCGGACTCCAGGTCGTCGCCTCCCTCGTATATGTCGTCCCGCACCAGCGGTACGGTATCTGATATTTCATTCAAATTCATATTAGTGGCTGCGAGGCGGATGTTCTCAGCTAGTACTACTAAGGACGACTCACCTTGCTTCGATGAGTAGCTCTCCATGTGCATGAGGGACTGGAGATGGTTCGTCTCAGACCATGCGAAGGCTGTGTGAGCTTCGACAGGGACGCCAAGGGGTAATTACCGCGGGCATTCCATCCGTTGCGTCGTGAGAGGACGGCGTTTTGAATCCAGATCTCTTTGAATTTTACTTGGGAGCGCCCATTAATATCCTAATAATATGCCTTATAAGGTAGGCAGAATTCCTGCCGCGCGCTTGCGACGTTCCATGCGAATAAGAATTGGGCATAAATATTCTAGAGAGGCTTTCACCCCAGAAGCAAGCTAGAAAAGACAAGACCGCTCCCTCCCACGACGAGGGCCAAGCGAAGGTTGGGCCGGAGACTGCGGAACTCGAGCAGATGGCTGATTGCAATGGAAAGCAACCCAGTACTGTTCTACATCGCCATACCCCATGCGTTGCATACCCTCCAAAGCCGGTCCTGTTCGACATATCTTGAAGCGCCATCCGGTATTCTGCTCACGCAGCCTGAATCGCGATGGGGAGGCGCAACCTCGTGAAAGGCTCAGACGCGTCTTGTCGAAGTTCTTCTGAAGGACGTAACGAGAAATGGAGTATGTATTCACCTAGTTTCTTTTCGGGGGCGCTTTCGACAAACGCCACAAAGTCCCTATAAGTGTCCAAGTGTAGGAGGTAATATGGCATTCTTCTGGAGTGAATAGCTCCTGAGGCCGAGGACTGGAGGCCGCCGACCGCGAGGAGCGGTGAAATCTTGGGCTAATCAGCAGGAGGCGGTCACTCACCATGAATGTGCATATCAACTCTGACCCGCCGGCCCGCCGCGGGAGACCAGCTGCTCAGTCGATGATGTCGATATACGACAGCGAAGACAAACACGCGTATGGCACACGCTCGCGATGACTTCAACGAAACACGCCTGACGACACTCGTGACAGTGGAATCTTAACAGTGCATCGGGCTCACGAGTATAAGTACCTTCTGGTGCGCATTTGATCGCCGCTGTGCGAGCTGCGTTCTGGCAAAATGCGACCGACAGCATTGCCGTGGATTGCTTCTACAGCTCTAGTCTTTTCGACGCTTTGCTCTGCCGCCAATGCTGTGAAAACATGTACACTTAGTCCCCTTGGTCATGGAAGAGACGATACGGACCAGGCGCGAACAGTGTCATCAGCTGCTTCCGGCTCTCGCTGACGTCCAAATACAGGTCGAAGAAGCGATTGCAAAATGCGGGCAATCTGGGCATACTGTGTTTGAGCCTGGTCAGTATAACATCACTAGGTAGGCCTATGATTTATCAGCAGCATCAATACTGAATTTATCGACCCTTGGAGGAAAATGACCTGGAATCTCGTCGAATCTACCATCGACTTGCACGGATATCTGAATGTAAGTCGAGGTTATGTGCAAGTATCAGACTTCGGAAACTCACCGACGGCAAATTAAGTTTGTCCCTGACATTCAGTATTGGCTCAATCCGAACAATACATATCGAGTTGTCTTCATTCAAGTACGACTTTCACGTCTTTCCGGATTATCGCTTATGCACGCGTCGAATCTAGGACCAGGCATCGTGGTTTGTCGTAACTGGCCGTTCCTTCGAGATTGATGCCCACAGCACCGGAGGTATCATGGGGAACGGCCAGACGTGGTGGTCCTACTACTCCGCAAACAACATTACTCGCTTAGACGGCGACGGTCGACCCATTGCGCTCACCTTGGTCAACGTGACGAACGGCACGGTGAAAAACTTCCGGATCGAGCAGCAGCCTTTCTGGTGCAATGCTGTCGCAGAGTCGCAGAGCGTGGTGTATGACGGAATGTTATGCAACGCCACAAACGAGGATCCTAGGTTTGTGGGTCAAAAGTAAGGCATAGTTCCGCCCGTAGAGGTATATTAATCTCACCATGTATTGCAGCATCGTGCCGAACACTGATGGTGAACGATCAAACTGTCAGGGTTTCCTAGGCAGTGGCTGACATTTGTGGTAGGTATTGATACATATCGATCCGACGACGTAACGATGATAAACTGGGACGTGAGTGTTGCAAGATCTGCCCCTTCATTGATATAAGGTATAACGTGCATAGATTACTTGCGGTGACGACTGTTTAGCTATCAAAGGAGTAAGTGGGCACCCTTGTCCGGAATGCATGTGAACGATCTGACACTGGTTGGAGAACTCGACAAACGTCGTGGCACGCGACATTACTTGTCGCGGGGGAAACGGTATTGCCATAGGCTCCCTAGGACAATACGTGAATCTCGTGAGCACAGAAGAAATGGATCATATGATGACTGTACTTACGAAAGCTGCGCAGCCTGACATCGTGAATAATCTCACTATCGAGAATGTACAGGCCATTCGCCTCGACTCAAACGTGCAGCCGAACATGGGGACAGGTATATATTTCAAAACATGGACAGCAACGGTGCACGGTGTGCCGCCTACCGGAGGGGGTGGGGGCGGAGGTATGCGCAGTTTAATTATTCAATGTTGCGGCTATCTGACAGCTAGCTTGAAACTGCAAAGGGCACGTCTCGAATGTGCTCGCCAGAAACTTCAGCTTAGATCGCGTTAGCTTGCCTATCCATCTCTACCAAACGAATGACGGACAATCGTGAGTATCAGTGTATAGGCCAGAGGACAGTTGATTCATACCAAACGTCACCAGCGGCGATGCGCCCTCGAAGCTGCAGTTTAGCAACCTGGCGTTCGAAGATTTCACCGGGACGTCGTTATCTGACGAAAGTGAGGCATTGTTGCATTCCTCATGACCGAATCTTCTCACGTCCCATTAATAGTCGTGGATATCGAATGCAGTGCCGCGGTGCCGTGCCCAAACATATCTTTCAGGAACATCAATGTCGTTCCCCCTTCGGGAGACGCGCCGGAGTACGTCTTCAAGAATGTCGTGAACGAAACGGGTCTCCCGAGTAGCTAAGGTAGAAACGAATTCATGTTTGGTCTGAGATGCCGCACAACCGACAGGAGGCTGGACATACACAACGCAACCCCCGGATAGCAGCAAGCTTCTTCGGCATGGAGGTTATCAACAACAAAAAAAGCCAGCACGGGGCAACCGATCTTCGTGCGAAGGCTCGTACCTGCACCGCAGGATATCACGGCGGGGCCGGCGCTGCGCAGCATTTCTGTCTAACAACATCAGTGGGCATCACGGCGGCCCGCGGGCGATGGGACGCAAGAGTACGATGCTACCTGCGACCACTATCAGATCTATCCATGTCATAAGCTGCACGAGAAAGACTCACTTTCAGTATCGCACCTCCTCTTCGCGGTAAATGGCATAGTCTACCTTTCAGAACAGAGTCTGCGGCGTCAGGCAGGACATGTAGAGCCATTCGCATTCCTGCGGACTAGGCCAAGCTATAGAGCTGGTTCTCGCTCGGTCGAGATACTTGGAATTCGATATTGCGTTGGGCAACAAAGATCAGTGCCAAAGTAAGAGCAAGGTGATGGTGTACATTGGCATGGTGACGGCGACGGAAGGGGGTGGCCTCACGCATCAAAAGACTGTCTCCCTATCAAGGCGCTCGCTATATACTCACCTCTTCCCCCTCCCTACGACTCTCTCAGGCTTTCCCGCCCTCCCCCCTCTTTGCCCTTCGATTTTATCTTTTTTTTTATTAGAGGCAGCGCCTCGCCACTGTTCTTGGACAACCGGACGTCGACCGTCCGTGCTCTCGGCGTATACCAGGCCAGCCATGTCGTTCTACAACCAGAAGCGTTCCTCCAGCCTCGATTTCTCCGATGGCAAGGTGCCTGCGCTGGAGCAGCACCCGGACATGAACAACCTTGCCTTGGGAGGCAATCAACCGAGCCACTTGCAACGCAATAAGACGGAGCGCAGGCGACTCCAGGGACTGCAGAGATCTAATACGACCACTTCGCACACGAAGGTCGAGCCGTATAAGCCTCGCAGCTGGCGCGAGAAATGGGCACTCTGGATGATCAATGAGGGAGGCAGACGAACGTTCTTCTACGTCTTCATCTTCCTTCATGTGCTCGTCCTCGTCCTCGGGACTTTGCACTACCAGCTCAAGGATAATCTGAACACCGCGCGTGCTACTTTCGGCGTTACCTTCGGTGGGTGCTTCATCAAGCCTCTCAACGCCTCACACTCATATCCCCCTGTCTTTCAGTTATCGCTCGTAGCGCTGCTCTTATTCTGCATGTCGATGTCATCTTTATCCTCCTGCCCGTCTGCCGTAACTTCATCTCCCTCGTCCGGCGCACCCCTCTGAACCATTACATTCCCTTCGACAAGAATATCACCTTCCATAAGGTGACCGCCTGGTCCATCGTCTGGTGGAGTTTCGTTCACATTGCCGCACACATGGTCAACTTTACGAAGCTCGCTTTCGCTGACACTGACGCGAAGACCACCGGTCAGCGTATTGTTGCTTTCTTGGAGGCGAACTTCGCTACCGGTCCTGGTGTGACCGGTTGGATCATGACCGCTGCTTTGGGCATCATGGTGTGGTTTGCGATTGAGAAACGCCGCCGTGCGCACTTCGAGTGGTTCTGGTATTCCCACCACCTCTTCATCGTCTTCTTCATCAACTGGCAACTCCACGGCATGTTCTGCATGATCAAGCCCGATAGGCCTCCGTATTGCTCGTACAACACTATCGGTGTCTTCTGGGTACGTACACATTAGCTCCCCGGCCATACAACGTGCGAACTGAAGAGAACCTCGTATGCAGCGTTACTGGCTCGTCGGTGGTGTTATCTGGATCTTCGAGCGTATCCTTCGCGAAGTTCGTTCCCGTCACAGGACCTACATTCACAAGGTCATCCAACACCCTTCGAACGTGATGGAGCTCCAGATCAAGAAGGAGAAGACCACCACCCGTGCCGGCCAGTACATCTTCCTCTCATGCCCCGAGATCTCCTACTTCCAGTGGCACCCCTTCACGCTTACCAGGTATGTGGCGCCGTTATCCCAGGAGTGACACAAGTTGACACGCGTCCCAGTGCTCCGGAGGAGGATTACATTTCCGTCCACATCCGTGTTGTCGGCGACTTCACCAGGGAGCTGGCCGAGGCTGTTGGGTGCGACTTCGACAAGAAGGAGAAGGGCGAGAAAGGTGGTGACAGCAAAGTTGTCGGCACTGCGGCCAACCCTCCACTCAACCGTGTCCTTCCCCGAGTCATGGTCGATGGTCCGTTTGGCAGCGCAAGTGAGGATTTCCTAAACTATGAGACCGTGCTGCTTGTCGGTGCTGGTATCGGTGTGACACCGTTTGCCTCGTGAGTATCAGCCTCCCAGTGTGACTTGAGACGGTACTTATAATGTTGCCGCAGGATCTTGAAATCGATTTGGTATCGCCTGAACAACTTCAACAGCTCGAAGCCCACTCGCCTGTCCAAGGTGTACTTCACTTGGGTCATCCGTGACTTCGGCAGCGCTGAGTGGTTCCACTCCCTGCTGCACGCCATCGAGGAACAGGACACCCAGAACCGCATCGAGATCAACATCTACCTGACCGCCAAGATTAAGGACGACGACATGACCAACATTATTGTCCAAGACGTCGGCGCAGAGAAGGATGCAATCACGTCGCTTCGGGCTCCAACTCACTTTGGTCGGCCCAACTGGGATCGTGTGTTCGGTTCTATCGCTGAGAAGCATCCTGAAACCGACGTTGGTGTGGTATGTGGGATCATCTTGCAGTCTTGACCTCATCTCACTGTCGTTGGCCAGTTCTTTTGCGGTCCAGCTGTGCTCTCTCGTCAGCTGCACACAATGAGCAACAAGTACTCACACCCTAAGGGCACGAGGTTTTACTTCGGGAAGGGTACGCCTACATCGTTTCTTCCACGCGAGTCGACTCACTAATATATACCCCTCCGACAGAGAACTTCTGATTCGCGAAAGATCTGGTGGAAGAGAAAGGTCCGATGCGGCCTATGTTATTGCTCTATATATTCTAGCATTGATGATTCGGGGAGGCGGAGCGTAGCTTTGAGCGAGTGGGCAAGTAGATCGTTGTGCTCGCACAATATTCATTACCTAAGACGCACTGAAATTCAAGTGGAATCGCTTTCGCTCTGAGTTATATCCCCTGATCTGTTTTGCGGCCGTAAGGCAGGCGCGGCACAGCCGAACAGTCGTTGTGATCCGCTGACTACTGTGCGCTGAGCACGTCGAACTGCATGATCCGACTGTTGTCCTCGACCTCGACGGATGTGTCTTTTACTTGACGTTGGGTGCGGTGTAAGGCTAGTAAAGCCTAGTTCCGGCGGCGGAAGCAATTTGGCCCTCTAGTACACCCTGCGTAGCTTTAGGCCGGTAGAAAAGAAGGGATGTTTGAGTTTACCTTGGTCAACGGACATCTTCTCGCCATCTTCACTTCATGGTATTAGTGTGACACAACAAGGTCAGCTTGACACGCCGGCGTCCCTGATACGCCCAGCTCATCATCGCTGTGCACAGGAACCACATGCCTTCATATTACTGGTAGAAGGATAGGCATGACGCCAGCCTCAACGACTATTTATCTTGCCAAGCTAGCTATCGTTTCTGCCTCCGCGAACCTCTTCTCGTCTTGAGTCCACAAGCTTTCCTGTACTGATGAACGCGATGCCGCTGAACATGGGATACTAGGTAGTTGACACCGAGACCATTGGGGGGCAGGGTGTTATACCAAGGATCTCGGAGTAGTCGGGGTTAGGCTGTACACAAGGCCACATGTCAATACTGTTCTGCCGACGTCTGCATTTACAATAGCCTCGGAGGCCGGGGCTGCGCTCATCTTGCGCTATTTTTCGCAACCAGCGGTCGCGCTCACCGAAAGTTTGCCAGAATGGGCCGCCCGACTCCGCTTTAACGGCCGCTTGCTATGAGTACGCGCCATCCTCGCTCTTGCTTGCTGCACAGGAGAGCGCGCCGACCACGAGCTCAGCTCCGCGGGCATTATTAACCTGATCAGAGTACATTGTGGTAATACGCGAGTCGTGCTGATTAGGCTGCAGTGGTATTAGAGAACACTCACAATGGCTAGGGCCGATTTTTCCTCGGTGTCCGCGGTGCGTATGTGGACCCGAGGAAGAATAAGACATGACATGCGTTCCTCCTCCTGGCCGGCCTTTCGACTGTGAACTCTGCACCACGATGGCGTACAATGAGCCTGTCCTGCGTCGACTCGACTCGCCCTCAGGTGTGTCACTCCGTCGAACGCCGCCTTCTGGCGCCACTTACCTCCGCATAGCCAACGAGATTGATTCCGCAGTCCAAGTGCTCATTGAAGCCTATACAGGAGGTGCGTATGTCAACATGCTGCGTTCTCACCCCGTGGCCTGATTTATTGGGCGCTATTCGCTCTTCCAGACCACACGATTGAGACATTGACCGCCGGACTGAAGTCCGCCGAGTCACTTATGTTTCGAAGGAGCATAGAGGAGGCGTTGAAGGGCGGCGAGTGCCATATTGCTTACGACGGTAGAGACGCATGCGGCGTGGCAGTTTGGTTGTCCCCACGGTCCGATTGGCGGTGCCAGTGAGTCACACACTCGAATGAGACAACCAATGAAGACTCACCCGTTCCCTCTTAGTGAGGATTCATCATTCATTGAAGCCCTCGCCAATGACATGCGAGAGTGGTATGCAGATCACGTACGTGGCCTATGTCACCTGCAGATCATTTCGGCGTTTGTGACCTTGGAAGAATCGTCAGTTCGCGCCAGTTTACGAGAAGCTGTACGCATCCGCCGGTCTCGAGAGCACCGTGGCACGGAAGGGCGCCTGGAAGCTGTTGTGGTTAGGCGTCATTCCAAACCATAGAAGACGCGGGATTGCCAGCAGACTGATCGAGACGGTGACAACCAAGGTTATTTCATTCAGCTGTTTCAGCAAATTTCAGCTCAATCTTCGCCTAGGCCGACGAAGACCGCAAAAAAGTAATCGTGGAAGTCACGGATCCCGAGAGGGTCGGTCTTCTAGATTCACCTCGAAATCACCGCCTGAGTTGCTCTCCTAGGTAAACCAATTCCAACGCTACGGGTTCAAGTACCGCTCCGTGAAAAACATCTCGTGTGGAAGATATCCTGGCTTCCCTATCTGGTATCTCGAGCGGGAGTCCGGTCCCACACCACGCTCAAGCGGCGTGCAACCATAGGAGGGTGCGTCCCTGAGTGTCTTGCCTTGATCTGCAGCAACGCGGAGCTAACGACCTCCGACACGCAGGGAACGCAAGGATGAATGGTATACCCACCGCCCCGTGCGCTGGCTGGCTGAAGTTGGGCCTGGCGACGAATCGCGGAGTCGTTCTATCATACCCATTGAAGATTTCCCCGCCTGCGAACTCTCAAGCATCAGTGCGGCCTAGATCTGAGGGAGACTAGACCAGCTTACAGGTTTGCCCATATGGTGCGAGATCTGTTACGACGGTACACGACTCGTATGTCCCTTGTATCCACTACCCCAACACCACCCACACATGCTTTTCATGAATTGTCAATTAAATTCTCCTCGCGCTTAGACGTCACCAGAACGTCATCTGCAGGGCTGGAAGATGGTTCCGCACAAGACACGAAAGCACACCTTCGTCACAGCAGTGTCAACGTCACCATAGCTCAGGCGAGTAGCATGGATCGTCGGGATCGTCCCCTCGTGACGCGGCGCAGGACGGAGGAGTCCCGGTCGCAGTGTGTGCGCAGCCGCGCTGCGTCACGAAAGGGCGCGCCCTCATGCCGAACTTGGACCGCACGGGCATGATCATCGCTTGAACTCCGAAAGCTCACGGCTCCGTGAAACCTCTATCTGCGGCCCGCTGGGCTGTGGGAGATACAGCGGACAGGCCACGCATGAGACGCAACGTGCCGCAGGCCCGGTATGGCACGTAGGAACCAACACTCGCAGGAAAGCAGTGTGCGGCCTAATCATACCTTGTTGCCCTTCATGGGCTGTGGGCAGCCCAGTTGTCGAGTTGTTGAGGACTTTGTAGGAACTCGTCTCAGACGACTACGGCCGGCCATGGGCTCAAAGTTGCACCGCTCCAGGGCTGTAGAGCTCATCAAAGTGCCATGCGAAGCGAAGATGTCTCACCTGGGCAACAGCTTTGAACGCTCCACCTTCAACATCGCGAAGATGCCTGGATCGCAGCCTGGTGCAATCCGAGGCCATTCATTCAGTGAGCGGGGCCGAGAAAGGGGTCGCAGCGCAGATGGTGCCTGTCCAGAGCAACGTCGTGCAAGCTAGGAACAAGTAGCTTGTTGCCACAAGCCACCGGCGGTTCTCGATGCAAAGTTGGCAGCGGACATCCCGTATGTACAGGCATTTTGTACGGCGTTAGCCGCGTCAAGATGTCAAAAAATGTTATTGGCTTATGAATAAAAAGACTTGTGGAGAGTAAGCGTCGCGCTCGTTCTATATCCCCAAGTAGTTAGACCGATGATCTGACATTGCGAAGCAAGTCAAAGTGCGATGATGCCTGCTTCCCCCGCTCTGGTGCTGATCATCATTTACGCGTTTACTGGGGAGCAACAGTATGACGGTGTGTTATACCCCTACATCATCAGGCATGCTGGTCGAGCCCCCTTGATTTTGCTTGATCCTTTTTGGGTTCCGAACGAGCCACGGCAAACTGCAGGGCGGCCTGGAACAACCGGCGAGACAATGGACAGAAACATTCCCATACATGTCTTGACGCGCATGCACCGGTGGCCATCCCATAGCGCTACACGATGAAGTGTTCCCGAAGCGAAGAGGGGTAGGTACACGGGCCTGCGGCCTGAAAAGCTTGACACACAGGGATGCCGGCCGATCGAGCTCTGCGGCTTGCTGTATACACGACCTAGTTGCTCGGACAGAAGGGTGCGGGCCGGGGGCCTGTGATACAGGCCTGCTGTATGTCCGATGTCAGATGGAGGAATTGGAGGCCAAATCCGCACACGCAATGTCAAGGTTTGAGGAGCAATGCGGAGGTACCTTCGCTCGCTCGCCGGTTCCAGGCGCCGTAGCGTCACGAGTGGGCTGGGCTGTCCGGGTGTAAGCGACGCAGCACGCTGCAGCACGCCGTTCGTTTCGGAGGCGCGCCGCCAGCGGGAGACGGTGGCTGTGTGTGCATCGGTTTTGGTATCTATATCAACAGGGTGAGACCGCCAAAGGGCCCCCGCTTGACGATTTTTCTTCCCTGGAACGACGCTGTCGTGTCGCCGCCGCCGCGGGTCAACGACGGGCCATTCAGCGAAGACACCCTCTACGATGCGGATGTCGCGGGAACGGGAAATATCTGGGCAATACAGTATATCAGTCCTCTCCGTGCTGCGCTGGACTCTGAATTGGAGTGATGGTAGCCATGCAAAGCCGCGGAGCTCCTTGCGAGGGTCCACCCGCCGTGGCCGCGCTTGTCCTGAGGACAGAGTTTTTACTAATTTGAGTGTAATTACTGCATTCAGTTCGGGGGCTATAGTGGATAAATGAGCCAAAGAGTGGTAAAAAGACTAAAAGAGCACCCACCGAGAGGCCGACACGGTGCACATGATACAAGGTTTATGTAGAGTAGCAAGGTTCACGGGAGATAACTGGATATTTCCCACTCCTCAGAGGGGCTCCATGAGCAGGCGCACACTCGGAATTTTGCCTGTAGCGAACGTTGCAGATGCTTGCCTATCGCACTGATCTGGCGGAGAACTCCGTCCGAGCCCCTGCGCGCTAGGGCTGCTAACCACGTTCTCCGCCCGGACAGGATCTCTGCAACGAGGAGGCATCTCAGACATCGGTGAAGCTGCCCCCGGTTTCCAGACAAGACGGATGTTTATGAAGAGAGAAAGAGCGATCAGAAAGACAGGAGCCGCTGAGCTCAAACTTGGGGCGGAGAGGGCAACTTCGCCAGTACTGCGAGACTTCGTGCCTTCGACGAGATCTCGGTCAAACGCTTGCGACCCTGCAGCTGGGATACAACGGAGCCGGATGGTGATGTGCGTATCAAATGCCCGTCCTGCGCAGAGATGCCTTTTGCGACAAAATTCCGTCTGGGTGCGTGGCAACCTGCAGAGCGTGATAGTGCGGGAGAACTGCCCGAAAGGAGAAGACGAGGCACTTCACACATGGAGAAGGCCGCCGACGGTGTTCTTCCTCCAGATGCAACACCGGCAGGAGGCTGCACACGAGCCGAGATGGATGAGATGGCCTCTTGCCTGGGCGGCTACACCGTGCAACATAGGATATAAATGTACGGCAAGCTGATCCCCGACCGTCCTCCCCTCCCGATCACCTTCCGCCCCCGCCCTTACGTTAGGACATGACGCCTTTGCCTCTCTTGACGGTGCCTGCCTCACCAGAACTGCATCAGTCTTCGCCCGACCTGGCTGCAGACAGACCAGAGCGTAGTCGAAACGGTGAGCAGGCTTCTCTCTATCCTGCTCTCTGTGCTCACTCTCGTCCAGCAAAGGCGCAAGCGCGACACCGTGCTAAGCGGAAAGCGTACATCCAGCAGGCAAGTTGCAATACGCTGACAACGTACATAGCAAGCTGATATAGGTGTACAGCTGGAGCAAACGGTGGTGAGACTGCAGCAGGCACTGCAATTATCGCCAGACCAGCATGTGGCGCCTATCCCGCCACCCATCCGCATCCGCGAGCTCGAAGAAGAAAACGTCGCGCTGCACCGCGAAATTGAGATGCTGCGTCGCCAGCTCGACGAGCGAAATGCTCGTCTGAGACCGGATATCCACCAACGAAGTCCCGATGCGCCACCGTTGGATACTCGGATATACGATCGCGAGTACAAGCATCGCCAGTCGTTCTCGTACGAGAACGATCTGCAGGCCCCGACGGTACGCATTTCGTCCCATGCAGCGTTCTTCGTCGACTCACACAGCACTGCAGGCCCCGCCTTCTCAGGTTTCGAGTCCCACGACTTTGGCGATGCAAGGCCTAAATTACAATTATTCACACAGCCCCGCTTCACCTTCCATGGGACAAGAACGATCATCTCCGCTTCCCGCAGCGCCCACTTACGGGTACCCGTACCACATGCCCGAGACACCACCAAGTAGTTCGACGTCGACCCCGTCGACGCCTTCATTTTCGGCGAGTGTTACTTCCCTTTTGGCATTGGCTGTCTAGCAGGCTGTGCACGAATGGAACTCAGGATCCTAGTGTTGATTCCATTTCATAGCCGACGGACCATTATGGGAACTACGCGCAACGTGCACCATTACCCTCGGCTCATGGTGGTCATCCGACCTACCAACAACAGGGCACTGTAGGGCACTATGGTGGCGTGAAGGTCGAGGAAGAAGCCTATGGAGTACGTTCAACCCTATCTGTTCTTATTTACCCTTCGTGACGTTTCTCTTACGGCATTCGAAGCTCGCGCAGCCGTCACATGATATCGCACATGCGAACGGATATTCAGGTGCTATCCCTGTATATGGCACCAACCAGCACGCGTTGAATCAGTGGACATATCCGGACCGAAGTCAGGCTCATGAGACCTACGAAAGGATACCGTGATACAATAACATGCTACTAACAAATACCGCCTTTCCTAACCAATGTTGTCTCGTGCACCTGTCCTTGCTTTCTCGCTTTGTCGAAGTAACCTGCGCTCGCACTTGCTAATGCTATCGTTTCCTGTCATTGGAGCTTGTCAGGTTGCAGTGCAAAACAGCGCCGTGTGCGTGATACGAAACTGCTCGGATCTCTCGAGCGAGTTTTCCTATTCGACACAACACGCGCGCAAGCATTCTCGCGCACTCGGACCGCTGGAACGTAGCCGCAGATGTCCAGGATAGCTGGCGGCTCCAAGGACGCGGACGCCGTTGCTACGATAGGCATGCCTTCGCGCGAAGTGCGCTCCGTTGTTGCGTTGTCCCAGAAGTGGTCCGAGCAGGGGCGCATGACGAGGGCAGCCCTTCGTCTCTTACACTCTCTCGCACTCGAAGCATGGATGCACCGGGGACAATACGCGCAGGCAGGTCCGCGGTTGCTATAATCGCCCATCTGCTTCTGCCATGAGGCCTGGGGGATTCCAACGGCCGCAGATGCCGAGTGCTCGGTGTCTCAACGGGGATTTGGTAGACTTTGCCCGCTATGGGAGTCCTGACCCAGCACCCGCGAGAGCCTACTTCCGCCCAAGCAAGCGCAATTTGATTTCGCGCAGAGTCTGTCGCAGTGATTCGCAGAACCACGCAGCGGTTCCTGTGGCGTCCCCCGCCTTCCAAGCAGACGCCCTCACGGGAAGTGCACCGCCGCGCCCTTGGATGCGACAGAACGCAACGGCCGGCAGCGGCTGCTTGGTGGCGGCGCGCTCGGTGTCCAGGCCACAGTACAGAACAAAGGCTGCGACAGCAGGCAAAGGGCAATGACCACTGACGATGCAAACCTTAAGCAAAGGTGGAGCTAAGCTTGCGCGCATGCTACATCCCCGACGACCACAGTATTGTATCGAACCATGTCTCTGGACGCGAACCCCTGCCAGATAAAGGTCATTAGTGTTTTCGGTGGAGACCGCCCTGCGGAAGAGAATGGCCCTGCCGCATCGCAGGCGAAATGCAGCCGGACAGAGCCCAGAATAAGTCCGGGACCCACCTTGGCCTCCAGCGTACGCCAGCGCTGATGCGCTCAGGCCATCGCATGTCAAGTGTCTCTGCGGAATGCTGTACGGGCACTGGGCACGTCTACGACGGCGCAGACTGCAGACCTCCCCGTCTGTGCTTCTCTAGCTGCGTTGTCGCTCTTCGGCCCGGAGGCGATTCCCCCGCCGATGCGGCCGTGCTAAGTAGCTTCATAGTGTTGGCGGACTTTCCTTTCCAGGAGATGATGCTGGATCCTATGGCTGTGCCCTAAGACTTGTCAGGCCGCACGCATTCTACCACGCATGGGTTGCAGCGAATCACGCAATAGAGAGGTAGGCATATCCGCTGTGTATGGGAAACTCGAGTGCTTAGCTGTCGTTGTACCCGAATTACGGGTCCCCAAACGATGGTATGGGTAGCTTGGCTGTGAGGGCCATGCAGATATCTGTGCGTACCTATTCATTACCGTGGAGAGCCGTCGTATCTGATAATTTGTCCCATAACTCGCTGAATTAGGCACGACCGCGGACATGGTTGAGGGATTCCACTACACGTTCGTGAACCTTCGGCCGTCATTAACCAGCAGGTCCGTAGTCGAACAAGCGCGTCGCCTGCGTCAGCTTTTCTTCGTGAGAAGATTAAGGAGGACGGATGATCATCAGGGTAGAGGGTGTTTCAACACGGTTCTCACCAGCTGCTAACGAAGCGCTCCAGATTCCTGCTGCCTTCAAAAGCATGGTGGCGGCAGAGTAGCTCAGCCCGGAAGAGTCCGCCAGTCAAGGCGAATGTGATTTGATTTGATCCTCTGACTGTGCTCATGCCAGGTTGTAGGCCGAGATCGGAGTGATCACGGTCATCTTCTCTCGCAGCGATGCACTCTATGTCGCAGACTTTGCGGCATGCCACCATACCCGATGCTTGACAGATGCAGAGAAACTGGCTACTCAAAGCTGTCAGCATACCCAGCCGGGAGAGCCAAAGACCGGCGACGACTGACCGGCGGAAATCGAGGTGGCTACACGGTTTCTGCTGCGAGCAACTGCGAGACAAAGACGACATGCGCGGACCTGCGGTATTGTGCGATGAGCGTATCATTCTCCGTGCGATATCGGCGGAAATGTTTCTGACAGATCTGTTACAAGAGATTCTGGGAATTGCCTGCAGGCATCGAGTGCGTCGTCCTTGGAGGCCTCGGGATCGATACTCAGAACTAATCAGTACCACACGCAACCAAAACGCCTTAGAGATAGAACCACAGGGTAGCGTTCCAGAAGAGATGCAGAAAAAAACCACGAGAAGCGACGTGCGATGCTCCGTGGGCTACGAGGTGCTTCGACGCTTGCGCACTGCAGACATGTTAGGCTGATGGTAAACCTAGAGTGAAACTCTGGGTTACGAGCTGAAATACCAGCTGAACATGGTCATGATAGTGCTGCGGAAGTTCCTAGAGACGTATCCAAAGTGGGGACGTAACTGCCTCAGGCTCTACAGCGCACAGCGTGACCAAGCGTCAGCAAGAACGTCTGGTGAACGCAGGCACACTGTTGCCCGGGTGGTCTATCATCAATGCCCGAGTAAACACCCCTGGAGCTAGAAGCATGTCCATTTCAACAGGCTGTTGCAGCGGCGGAAAATGCGACGGCCGTCAAGGCACGAGACCACCTTGCGGCGAAGCGGCCGCAGAAACGACCGCAACTCAAGAGGAGACAAATCTCGTGACTCGTGAGCGCAACAAGGAGCGTACTGGAGCGTGGGTGGATGAACAACCCTCGGACCAAAGGGAGTCAAGTGGCAGCAACGTTGGAGTCTAGAAGAGAACGGAACAAGACTGTCACGCACGAAGCCGAAGGAGCACAGGGATCTCCGAGGCGGAGACCACTTGCGCTCGAACGTACCAGTCAACGAACAGTAGACATGTTCGCTGACTACCGGAAAGCTGTCTAAATAGCCTGTTTTGACTGCTATCCGTTGGAGCCTACGTGCGGTTACCCATCGTGTGAATCGCGGCTAAGTACAGGAAACATACCGAATATTTCTCCAGTGCCTTTGAAGTGTTCAATATCAGATATTTCATTATGCGGTCACAACAAAGGCCTCCCACTGAGTGGCGCGCCGCTGTAGGCAAGAACATCGATGCCGGTGCGTTCTACCGATCATGGAGGCCTGGGAAAGTGTCTGCAGGGCTGCGGACAAGCGTTTCGCCAGCGCACTAACGCTTGAGAGTAGCGCGGTCACTTTGGCTTGCCAGGGAAAGCATCAACCAGGGCAATGGGCAGCTAGGACAATGCACCGCGGCTTTGTCCGACAGGTGTAAGGTAAGTCCCACTAGTCCCATGCTGTCCTACGGTGGAACCGAGTTATGCTTGCGCGTTATGCGAGGTGCGTGTTTTCTGCTCTAATTCATTTCTTCGTCTTCGCTCCACGTGCCATGTGTCCGCGTAAACTGGGGAGGCCAGTTGCCGAGTAGCATGAGTCTGGGATCGACCACGGAAGTGAGATGTGGGGCTCACCTTGAGCGACAAGACTGCTCTGCGAGCCCATGTACCCGTCTGTTACCGCAAGAGAGAGCCCAATTCCGTATGGATATGCACCCGTGAAGGGGTCTCCAGATCACATCAAGAGTCAGACGTGCTATATGCGTATGTCAGATTTTCCACGGTTAAAAATGCCCCAAAGCCTGCACAAGGTTACATCAGTATCAGAATGTAGCAGCAACAGAGTTTCATGGCCAGTGGGAGTTCCAAAGGGTCGCTAGAGAGATTGAACGTTGAGGTTGCAACATGCGACGGGCCCGTGTTCACCAAGCGTTTGAGCGCCCAAGCCCACAAACGCCCACAGTTCCGCTGATTGACGCCTGAGGATGACGCAGGAAATGCGAGCCCAAGCTCGCCCGAGCTGGCTTACTCTGCTCCCGATCTCGCCTCCTGCGCGCGCGAGGCACACAGCCAGTAATCTTGAGCTGAGCGACGCAGAAGATGGCTATTCAGAAAGCCAGAGATGCAAAGGGAAAGATGAAGGCATCCCCCGACCCAACCTCGACACAGCGGCCTCAAAGCGATGCTTCTGCACCCGTCCCAACCTCGTTTTTCCCCTACGCGCGGTACACCTCCGTTGTCGGCGTGCACATGAGTCTCCTCGCGTTTACCGCACTGATCCTGCCGCGCAGCGCGTTCGCAGACCTCTCCTCCCCCTCGGCGGCGCGCCTCAAACCGCGGAAAGACGCGACGGCCATGCTTACGGAGAATCCGGCGCGCACGCTGGCCTGGATGTGTTTTGGCTGCTTTGTATTGCAGCTCTGGTGGGCAGGCTGGGTGCGCGAGTGGAGGTTTGGGGCTACACTTCCGCCGATACCGAAGACTGAGGACGGGAAGCTGCTCGAGACCGAAGCTCAGAAGGCCGAGCGAGAATTGAAGCAGAAAGAGTGGGACAGCCAGAAGGCGAACGTGAGCACCTGCCGAAAACGTGCATCCTTGCCTTATTGTTTGAACTCTTCTGTCCCTTAGGCAAGTGGATATGCCATCCTCGCAACGCTAGCTGTTTCCGTCGCATACCATGTCGTTCTGGTCTTATTCGGTGCGTACTCTACGAGGTAAGCCTATACCATTCCTCGGCGGCGGGGATAACTGAAGACCCGTCACCCGCCAAGCTTTATGTTGCAGACTTATCTTTTGTCGCTCATGCTGGCGCTCTTAACTATCTATACTCCCGTGTATGCCCTCGGAGCTCCCTCGTTCAAAGGAGATACTGAGTCGCTGGTCCGACGACTGGCCTGGGTGCGGCTGTTCGCAGAATTGATGTGAGTTGTGTCGACCCATTCTTGCGGTATGCATCATCCGAATGAACTCTTTCGCGTCTCCACAGGCCGCGGACACCGGTGGAACGCGCGCTCGTATACCCCGCCGTCGGCACCTTTCTGGGGTGCTGGACTGGCGTCATACCCATTGGGCTTGATTGGGATCGTCCATGGCAGGTGTGTCCAACCTCATCAAGCGGCTTTCACCATCAGAATCCTCATCGCCCGATAGGCATGGCCGCTAACACCGGCCTGGGGTGCAATTGGGGGCTACATCCTTGGGTCGCTTTGGGCCCTGACAGTAAGTAGCGTGAAAGAGCTTGTCGACCTTGGTATCACCGCTCGGAGGGACGACGAGAAGCCCTCGAAGAAGAGTAAGAAGAAAAACCAATAGACTGGGCGTCACGCGCACGACTCTCTACACCGCCAAACTCTAGCGTAAATACTTTCTCCACAGCTAAGGTATCTAATAAGTGTCTACAGCTACGTGGATATCTCCGTTTTCCGCTTAGGTATTGTCGTTCAACCTGTCCATTCAGCCCTCATATCAATGCACGAAGGTCTCCAATTGACTGGGTCACAAAGTCTGGCACCGTCGACGATGGCTTCGGACCAAACACTTCTTGCTCCTTGGTGATTCCTACAATGGCACATCAGACTCCGGTGGCCGCAGCAACATCATCACATGCACCCACCCGTGAGGACCAGCAAAGTTGACAGACCGCCATTCTTCCCAAACTCAATGTCCGTGTTCAATCGGTCTCCCACCATAATCGTCCGCTTGGGATCGAAGTTGTGTCTAGCAACCTTCGTCAGAGAGCCGGAGAATGCAGGGGAACTTCTAGCTTACTTCGCTTTGATACACTCGAGCATCGTCCCCGCGGGCTTCCCGATGCTCAGCGGCTCGCGCCCGAGTGCGGTGCTGATCGGCGCAGCACACGCGCCCGCGCCAGGGAGCAAACCGTGCGCGGTGGGGTATGTGCTATCCCCGTTCGTTGCGAGGAAGTTGCATTCAGGGTTGCTGAGGAGGTACTGGAAGGCTTTGGACATCTTGGTGTAGTTCACAGAAGTGTCCAAGCCGCACAGGACGGCTCCCACAGAGGGGTCCGGCGTCCAGTGCTCGAGGCTGAAGGGAGCAAGCGTGTTGTCTTCGGGTGCCTGAGGATGTGCGCGCGTAGCCCGTGGTCAGCGGACCCGCTGCCTGGTGGAAGAACGTGCATACCGTGCCGCCGAGGAAGGAGATGCCTTCTTCGCGCAGTTCCTCCTCGATGCCCGACATGCCCACGACGTACACCTTCTTGTCCTTCGGAAAGCTCAGCACCGTGGAAAGGTAGACAGCGGCCGCGTATGCCGAGCCGAAAATCTCGTCCTGCCCGTGTCTGCATGAGTTATGACACATATGCAATACAGAGTCTACGTACGACATGTGCCTCGACGCCAAGCTTGTCAAACTTGGCCTTGTAGCTCTTGCGGGACTGGGTCGCATTGTTCGTGACAAACAGCACGGACTTTCCTTGTCAGATCTGGGTGATCAGGGGGCTCGCAAGGTGTTGTGTACGGTGTGAGACACATACCGATCTTCCTCAGGTACGCGAGCACCTCGGTCGCACCTGAAATCAGGCGATTGCCTTCCCAGAGCACACCGTCGCAGTCGAACAACCAGGTGTCGTATTGGTCGACGAGAGACTTGTAGTGGGCCTCCGTCGAGAGCTTCTGTGCCATGATCGATTTCTAGATCGCAGCTCACGCTAGCTGGTGGCTCTTATACGCCAGATGAGGGAGAGAGATGAAAGCCTTCGTGGGCCCGAGTCAGCAAAGTCCGCGCGGAACGACCTTCCGAAGTCCGAACGCCATTGGACGGCGGTGAGTCGGTCTACAGCTGCTTGCATAGTCGGGCGACGATTTATAATGAGACGGTTGTACTTGCAGTGCACGCAGCCAACAATAGCAAACGAGAAGAGCCGGGACAACGTAATTGATGCATGTGGCGACTAGCACCCTGATGTCACACCTTTAAGAATTCCGTACTGACCTGGTCAGTCAATGTTTGTCGTCCTGGAAAAGAGCAGGAAGTGGAATACAGATGTGCACGCGATTGCAACATAGAAAGCATGGAGGGAAGCATGTCGTTGCTGTAGTATATAATGGTCGAGGTATAGCAGGACAGCCATCCGTTGCCCCGCGTCGTACAGAACCATACAGCAGCAGAGAAATCAAAGCTCAAGCAGCAGTTTACTTGCGGCCAGCGGGCTTCTGTTGCGATTTAATGACCTTCTTTACAATCTTGGCCTCCTCAACCAAGAAAGCGCGGAGGATTCTATACAGAACGAAACTTTCAGTTTGTGGAGCCTCATGTGGCTAATCCTATGCGTACCTCTGTTTAACGCAGTCACCACACCGCGAGCCACCGTACGCCCGACGAACGGTCTTCTTGGTCTTGGAAATGGTCGCGTACTGGCGGGGGCGAAGAGCGGGAACCTTCATTTTTAATCCGCATTAGAGAGTATTAGAGATCCACCGTGTCACAGTGCTTACACCGGACAGCTTGATGCCGCAGTCACCGCACTTTGGTGCAGAGGGCAGCTTCTTGAGGTGCTGGTAGACGAGTTTGCCACCAGGAGTCTTCACAACCCGTCGACGGGCGGAAGTGGTATTGTACGGTGTGCGCTTGCGAAGGGTGACGCGTTGAGCCATTTTACTAGAAGCCAGTATTCAGCATTGTGTTCTAACGAAGGGAACTGACTGTGCCGTGTCCGGGTGACTTCATTAGGATCTCTTCTTCCAAAGTCCACAGAACCGTCATTATCAGCTTCGAAGTCATCTCCTATCACGCCACCTCCCTCTGGCCGCCTTGCCACTCCTGCACAACTTCATCCACATTCATGAAGCCACCCGGACTTGTAGCGCGAAATATACCCACGTTGAGTGACAGGAAAAGGACGTCTATCTGCAACTGGTGGTAGGTGTCAGCGCGATAAAACATACGAACATAGTCTCGCCTTACCTTGTCTTGAGGATCCTGCTGCCGACACCGACGATGTTGTTGAACAGCACTAAGCGCCAGTCGGTGGTGGCTTGATGGTACTGCCAAGTTATCGGCATCAACCGATGAGGCGCACGGGGCGTGGGAACAGAGTGTCCAAACGCAGGTTCCCTTCTGTTTCTCTTTCGCTCCTATTGGTACCCCCGTGCCCGCTCCGACGCCTTCCAAATGCCCCCAGATGAACGTCCAAGGTGCAGAAAAAGGAGTTAAAACATACAGCCCAGTGAACAGATCTGCTCTACCCTAACCCAATAGTTCCTCGAATGCTGTCCCATGCGGTTATACTGGTACTCGGACTACGCTTGACTGCTAGGGTTCACTGGGTCGCCTAAACCTATACAATACCAACCGAATTATGCAATCACTCCGACAGCAATCACCCTTATCACTTCTGTAGCACTCAGTTCCTTATCACAGTCGGGACCTTACATCGCTTCAAGGTGAAATATGCATAGTTACTAATAAGAAGGCTCATCCACTTGTCAAGTTTGTCCATCGCCTTCGGAAAAGTTGACTGTGCATCAAGGTATTTTTCACTACTGCCGCCAAAGGAGACAATGTACAAAGCCCGCATCCAGTCCGGGGCGGGGCGCGACTGGGCACCATCGATGCATCATCTCCAGTCACGCATCCAGTGGTGCGTCCGGCTGCTTATCTAGTCATGGGAACTTCTGCTTGAGCCCCTCCATAAAGGCAGTGTTGAGTAGCAGAAAGAGAAATGACGTGCCGCCCCAGTGTCCGATGCTGCCCACCCTTGTGCCAGTTAAAATGAATGCTGCGGTACTCAGATATTGATTTGTGAACAGTGTGCATGCGTCTTCAGGCCCTGTGAAACTTGTGTCAAGCCACACAGGTAGTGATACTTTAGGACTACCGGCTTGACACTCCGGCTTGACACAAGTTTCACAGGGTCTGAAGGAAGTGGTCTTGGATGGTTGAAATTGAACTGATGTGTTATTTGCAGATAGCTGGGCATTATTGATTATACTGACACAATGGCGCACTAGAGCTTAGGCGCGCATTACATTTACTTCTTGACCCGGAGGGGCCACTGGATGCATGACTGGTGATGATGTCCAGTCCCGCCCCGCCCTGAACCGAGTGCGGGTTCCGCCCGTTGTGAGAGCGAGAGCGGGCTGCGCAAGGCTATGCGGCGCGAACGACAGAGCTTTCCAATTTTGTCACAGCCACCGGCAAACTCCGGTCCCAGTGAGGTCAGTGCTGTCCGCCTCACGCCGCGCTTTTATAGCACAGACCACGCCTCTTGTTCACGTTCACGACTGACAACGATCCCTGACGACTCTCGATTGTGCGAAGCTACAAAGTATACGTTATGAATTATCGCGCGCCACCCCCGAGTGCGTACACTGGTTGTCATAGCTTCGTGCTTACCGTGATTAACAAAGCATTTGTTGTCCTCGCAACTGTTCGCCGCCCGTGATCACAAATATTGACATATAACGCTCGTTGGCCGCAACACAGGTTCTCGCCCACCCAGGACCATGGTCTCGCGGATGTACAAGTCGAACCTCCGGCCTGTTGTGGTAGTCAGTGAGTCGTGTGCGCCTTGCGCCGCAATCTCGAGCCTCACGCACGCACTCTGCAGCTGGTTTGATATCCGCAGGCTGGACCTTGGTATGGTGAGTCGCCTTACATGCATATTCTTGAGACCTCTGCTGACTGTGGATCAGGGCGGTACGTATGCTGCGATTTGCGCGATAAGCCGAGTAATGACGGCGATGCCTTACAGGTTGGTGCGTTCCAGGATATCAATGTCGATGAAAATCGTACGTCCACCTTGCGTAGGCTCAGAATGCGAAGTGACCTTTGTCGTGTTAGATGCCACACCAAAGTTTGCAACTTTGGATATAGTGCTGGGTTCACTATACATGACGGCATGCGTCATTGAGCTGTTTGGTGTAGTTGCGGCCGTGATGGTGCGTTCCCCATTTAATAATACTCTGGTCGAGGACTAATTTAAAGCACAGCAAACACTCCTTCTCGTCCGACTGTACACTTTCGCGTCTATCGTGAGCGGGCTCGTGGTGGTCGCAGCAGGTTTCGCGAGGACTATCACACACTTCACCTACAAGGTGCGTCAACAGAGTATATTCACTGCCGGCATATACTGATCTTCGCCCAGAATGACCTCATTAGTGAGTGTACGCAGATCGCCCAGGGCGAGGATGTTACCTTCGTACGTGTCGAGGATGTCGAACTTGGGAAAATGGCTCATTGTCGCGCAGAGGTTTGGGATCTGGGGACCTTCAGTACAAGATCAACTCTCTCCCATTGAGGCGGCTGACTGTAAGTTGGTCCAACGACTTCTGTATATCCCGGTTCTGATTCCATGAGCAGTCTGCAAAGATGCCTGGAGTCACGACTCCTTCGGCGAGATTATCTCCTTGCTCATCACGATTGGTGTGTCCTGTTCTCCCTGTCATGCATGCACGTCTCGCTCATAGTGGCATCCAGTGGTCTCGGGCATCTTCATCGCCATTGCCTTCGCTTACTATCGTCAGTGCCTCGACCCCACGTCACCCGCCAACGCTGCCCGTACACCTGCTTCCCAAAACCGTGTACAGGAACCTCAGTTCCCAGACCACTACAACCCGCCGTACATGGCCTACGATGCACCTCAGCAGACATACGCTCCGCCTCCAGGCCCGCCGCCCCAGTTCGGCAAGACGGACATGTACGAGGGCGGTGCTGCTGGCTTCGACCGTCAGCGCGATGCTGACGAAGACACCCTCAAGGGCGATGATCCGTTCGCTGACTTTGATGGACCCGGGCATGGCAAGCTGGGTGGTGAGAGCAAGGATGCGCTGGTTTAAAGGGGCTTTGAGAGAGGCATCAGAAGCATCGCTGCTATGGACTATTGATGGACTGTTCTCCGAGTTATCTTGCGCTTATCGTGGTCGAGCTTTGCATATGCTGCTCTCGCTGCCTTGTAGATTAGCGTCTCTGTATGTAGCGTGTGCTGTAGTCGTGCAGTATTATCCATCTCTATTGACGTTCACCGAACATGTGTACGCAGTGGTTCTCGAAAGATATAGGCTGACGAGATAACAGTTTGGCTGCCACCAATAAGGCCGTCAACATCTCCCGTCGGGCCTCATCGCAAAATGTTGTTCGGTGAACAGTGGACAGCCTGACCACACAGATTGGAACGGGGGGGGCCTCACGTAAGTACCTCTGAGAGCAATTGTTGAGGCCCCATACACATGACACAGCGCCAGGGGCCCTCCCAATCCAAAATATCGGACATACGAAAGCTGAACGTCCAACCTTGAAGTCTAAAAGTAAGAGCCGGATGCGCAGTATGACACCGTTTGAGCGTAAAAAAGAATCTAGGCTACATTGCGGGGTGACAATTATCGACAGTGACAGGTCCAAAATCCGTAGTATCAAGAACTATATACAATATGAATAAAGAATATGCCAAGCTCGTACCCTGTTCGAAGGTGCAGCCCTGCTGTCATGCTACAAGCAAACAGGCTGGACTGTCTAAAGACCGCGGGTCCGCTGTGCAAAACGCCTCAGAGGGTGAAGGCAACCGCCATAGCCGCAGCGGCAGCACCGACAAGAACGTTGATGCCGTTGGACATAGCACCACCAGTGGACTGAGTACTGGAGGAGATGTTTGTCAGGCGAAAATCGAAACTGCTGAGAAGTTTACATACGGAGCAGGCGCAGAGCCAGAGCTGCCTGAGGAGCTGGGAGCAGAGGTCGAAGAGCCAGAGGACCCAGTCGGGGTAGATGAGGCACCGGAAGCGGAGCCAAAAGGCGAAGGCGTCGGCGTGGAGGTCAGCGTGACACCCTGCCCAAAAATAATGAGTCCTCAACGTGCGTCCAAAGCCTACTATAAGACCTACAACAGCAGCACAGAGCTGGCGAGAGAGTGCTTCCGCGCTGGCAGCATCGGCAGCATCGCAGGCATTAACAATGCATTGAGTAGTTTCTGCGACGTATTGCTGGCTGTTGCATAGGCACGTGTCGTCGGTCGCGGTGCAACCGAAGAGGTTAGAAGGGTTGGCGACACAGCTTTCAGAGCAAGCTACACCACAAAGGGATGATCAGCCATCGATGTTGACAGACTGACATCACAGAGAGACGCACTGGGAAAGTTCTGCCTGGCTCGGAGTGAAACGGCGCTGACGGAGAGGGCACCAGCGAAGAGAACGGTGGGGAGAGTGAAGCGCATGTTGGAAACGAGTGTAAAGACAGAAAGGCACGAAGGTTGCGAGGAAAGTCGAATGGTTTGCAACGGGCGTGCAAGGAGGTAACTCGGGGGGAGTCGCTGCGTTCTCTCTAGCTAGCGAGCCTGTCATTTATATGCCGTTCATGTCAAGCGAGATGAATAGAAATGTGCCGTGTGCCTTTTACCAGCCCGCTTCGGGAAAAAGATTCGAAGGGTCGACTATAGACAAACTAGCTGACCAAATTATGAACAAGGGTTTCACGTTCGCTGGGCGAGGGGAGTCTGGAATATCGTCAGCCGCGCGGTGTAACGCACTCGGTGATTTCTGATAGCTACGACGGCATACAGTGCGCTGAGAGACGACTAATAAAGTGGCACTCCGTCTGAGGATAAGGACGACAAGCACAAAGGGAGGACCGAAAGCAGACGTCTTCACATGGGAGTGAGTGCAGAGAAGCCACGTCGTTTGATAGGACGCGGTAGACGCTCAACGCGGAAACAAATGTCTTAAGCGCCAGTAACCAGGCACGCTACCGAATAAGATATTGTTCCCACACTTTGCGCCGAGCACCCGCCGAGGTCAGGCACGTGCTCATATGCTATACAGTACATTCTCACGCTTTGCAGCCACACGCCACCGTCCGAACCTTATTCTGTAACTAGGCGCCCGCTCAGATAGGAAAGCGGAAGGTGTGACCTCGCTCATCGACTCCGATATCCTCAAGACATGGTGCGTCGTCGTGCTGCTCGAGAGCACATACATAATTGCTGAAAGGACATCTGGCGCTACGATAGGCCCCAAAAACTGGCACCAAAAAGGTGTGTTGAACTGCGATAGGATCCGGGACTTGAGCTTACCAGGCCTTCCGCTCGCTGCCGCCTCCGTCTGACCAAATCCTTGCGCTGCTACCTTGCTTGTGCCTGTTAAACTAGACTGGCAAGACGCGCTCCGCCCTCCAGGACGTCGTCACCCGTGAATATACCATTCACCTACACAAACGCGTGCACGGCCGCTCCTTCAAGAAGCGTGCTCCTCATGCCGTCAAGTCGGTAATCGAATTCGCCCAGAAGGCCATGGGCACCCAGGACATCCGCCTCGACCCCAAGCTCAACCAGGCGATTTGGGCCCAGGGTATCAAGAGCGTACCCCACAGGATACGGGTCAAGCTTGAGCGTGAGTGGTGGTTTGCTGGAGGGGCTCAGGGATGCCGGGGCTGACTCGTACGTCCGCAGGGAAACGTAATGACGAGGAGGGTGCCAAGGAAAAGCTTTACACCTACGCTTCTCACGTCATCGTCGAGACCTTCAAGGTGCGTCTCCCTTAGCTTACTCCCTTACAGCGCTGACTAGTTTGAACAGGGTCTCGAGACGACAGTCGTTGAAGCTGACGAGTAAACGTCTCGCATTTCTTTATCGTTTATGAACGAGGAGGAGTCGAAACGCCGGCCATTCCGTCGTGTACACGTGCCGCCATGCTGTTATCCACACGTCCGCTTTGTTATGCATTTCTCGTGTGTTCAGTGTCACTTCGGAATCAAGTCGGCGTGCTTGTGCCGCATATCTCAGTCCGCTCACAGCTGTCTCAACTATGTCTTGGCGGTAAGTCTGATTCTTACATACTTATTATTATCGTAAGACCCATGTACATGGAACGCGGCATATAGTTGTGGTCTAATAAATCAAAGGAGAGCTGGTCTATGCAAGGAGTGAGCCGCGCATTGCGGGTATTGGAAAGTGTGCCAGCGTGCCAGGTTTGTCCGTGTTGAACGCTGAGGGGTACTGGACGCCTCACTAGGAATTGAAGGGGAGAATGCGACAGCACAATCACGTGGAGAAGATACCGATGATCTTGAATGGTGGTACGTTCCTGTCGTCTTCTTCGCCAAGAAGCTGACATTCGACGTAGTGCGAGCCACGCTGGACGTAGTGGTCGATGATCTCAAGCCTGAAAGACAGTGTAAGCGAGAGAAAAAGCCAAAGGGGAAGTAATGTACGTGGGGATAGCTTCCGAGATCTGTGCGGAATTCTCGATGACGACCGCACCCGGGTAGTTATCATCCACCCAGCACTCAATCGCACTTCCCAGGCCGACTTCGCTGGCGGGTTCCTTGAGGTAGTAGATGCCTATGTCACCCGCGCCGACCTGCAAGCCGACTCGGAGCTTGCTCGTGGGCAGACTCGAATACCAGTAGTGCGCGTGGCTGTTCAGCTCCGCGAAGCCGGGCGCGGGGTGGAACACCTCCCAGCCGCTGCCAGAGAACATCGATGGCGGGAGTGGGTTGATGAGGTCGTTCGCACTCACGCAGAACGGCGAGATCTCCTCGAACGAACGCTCAAGGTAGTCGGCAGGGCGCGAACCGATCCGCGCCTGTGGGACCTTGAGGTTGGGGTACAGTTGTTCGGAGAGCTGGCGCGAACCAGGCTCAGCAAACGCAACATGAGCTGGGTTGGCGTTCACGCCTGTATCAGCGGCCTCGGGATCCTCAGGCGCTGCCGCACCTGCTGCGCCCTTCCGCTGCGCTACACCGCCAAACAGGCCGCGAGCGTCGGTCGGGGTCTTGGCTTTCTCTCGGTACACCGCTGGACCGGGACCAGGAGTGAGTTCGGGAGCTGTGCCAACTGCAGAGGCCCATGCAGAGCATGTCTGAGACTGGAAGTAGGAGATGAGGACGTCAGAAAGGAGTTCGTGGCCTTTCGAGTTAGCGAGGATCGGGTCGGCGAAGTACTGTTGTACTTGTGAGGGGTTATGGAGGTACAAGGGATACAACAAAGGTTTGGCGCTAGACCAGAATTAAGCCTCCGTGTGAACGAAGGACACACACGACATACCTAATATGAGGAACGTCATAAAACTGTGCTACGAGGGTGTGCCATCGGTCAGGGCCAAGGAAACCGCTCTCTTCAAGGGCTTGGGGACTTGAGTGTCCAAGTATTAATACAGCAGGCTGGTCTGGACGTATGAGTAATGAGCGAATAAGAAGCTCGAAGTTATCCATTGACTGGCGGTCTCTTTCCAACCGTCAGAGATAATTAGTTTTCGGTAGCAACCCTATAAAGCGAAAAACGCACCCCGCATCCTCCACGTCCAATTCCACGATGACCAGGTCGGTGACTTCTGGTACATGGTGGGTGTTACAAAACGAAAAGTATGCCGAGCTTGTTCGACGCATCGCGCCATTCGTAAGTTCAGAGGCAGGGTGAGGAAACACGCTGTTCCACCAATTGAAGAACAGTGAGGGGTAACATGACGGCGACAAGGGGTCATCGCCAGTACCGTGGCATGCAGATACTGTAAACAGAAGATATCAACATCCCGACGCACAGGCTTGTAGCGAATAGATAACGAATTGCTGGGCGTTTGACGTATGGCACGCGCACATAGCTGACAACTGAGTGACAGCTAGCACCACTGATAGTGCCCACACAGGTGGGCCTATGGACGAGAAACGAGATGGGAGGATAAAGGAGAAATGCAGCTATCTGAGCAAGCGATACTTGTGTCTTGAAGACAGCATGCAGCAGTTTGACCACACACCGCGAAACGAAATAGCATGCAGAGACTCACCAGAGCCACCAACCACGCTTATCGTAACAGGTAGACCCTGCAGAGCTCTGGTGATGACACGCTGTATCCGCGCACCGGTGCCTGTATGAAGTCTCGTCTTCTGAAGTGCAACAGGATCGTACTTGTCGGCCAGCTCGTCACCAGGACCAAGCGCAGGACAGAAGGTGAACGGTACAGGGCTCCCTTCTGTGACATTCAGGTAGTTCCTCGGCTTTGCGTCGATATGCACGGGTCTATATCTTCCGTAGTATGACGTGTCTGACGGCAGTATTGAACGAGTGAAGAGGACAAGTCCGAGGAAGACCACAAGAATGAGCCATATCCTGTTAGTGACACCAAGGGTCTTCTGGTTGAGGCGGGAAGCCGGTTTTTCTGAAAGAGAGCCCATGCGAGATGGCGGTAGTGGAGGAGAGATGTGGGCGAACCCTTTTCCTACGCGTCGCTGCATTCCAGATGGAAGCGGTCTTGGTCGAGGTGAAAGGCCTCGTCAAATATCATTTACCGTATAAGGCTCACATCCGTCGTTTCACACGGCAGTCACTCGCCGTGTGGACTCGTGCACTGAGTGAAAATCCAGCGAATTGACAAGAAAGTAGTTTGCAGCGTTGACCTCCGGTGTTGGAGGCGTATGTCGCCCCCGTCACTGCTCTTGCACAAGCCAAGACCGAAGGAAACATGGTTACCGAGAGAAATCTTGATCCGGCGATCACATAGAGGCTAAAATTGCACTCGGCACCGTGACACTGTAAATCTAAGCTGCGCATAGCTCGACGTGCGCAGCTGGTTGGCCCTCGCCCTCAACACCGCGGACAGCGTGCTCGACATCGTCGGCGACGAAACGAGACGATGAGACGGGGTCGCTTCGCCGTCAATCAGGAGCTGGAGATGCCAAGCCGAAGCGCGACGCTTCGCCCGATCCGGAAGTCGATCAAAATCTAGACTCTTGGTTCCGTCTTCACGTCGCTGGTCGGATTCGCCCGACCACCAGAGGCTGCCGCTCCTTTCTCCACGAACAACGCCGCCTACGACCCACTTGCACGACAGCGATTGCTCACCTCTGTGAGGGCTTCAATCTAGCTTTAGAGGGATCTGCTGGATGTGCGACGAGACGAGGTCGTAGCTTTCGACAGGTACGTGGCTCGCCTGGTCTCCTGCGAATGCTTTCTAATTTCTCTGACCGCAGTCTGCAAGCATGCAACCTAAAAGTAGCAACCCGTTGACCAAACTACCGACATGGGTGTCCATCTCCATCGGCATTTTCATTGGGCTTGCTGTAGCCAACCTATTCACCTCGTCAGACGTGAGTTCCAGGACGCTTTGCTTGCGCTTCTGTTCGCATTAACATTGGAAAGTCCCGCACATTATGGAGAGGCGGCCACTCGCCATTACCGCAGAACATTCACACTAGCTCGAGGCACCCCGTAAGCGTGCCCACGGAGGAACAACGCCTCCGCGTCCTGAAGCTTCTGACGACACTCTCCCCGCATTACACAAAAGAATGCACACGAAACGCACAACCACTTTACAAGGAGCAAGCTCAGGAACGATATGACGCGCTCATTGGCCATCTACCACCAGCGCGGACATCGTGGCTCGACGCTATCCGGATGAGCACTGGCTCTGAGGGCGACTTTGTCCCGCCGTCAAGACCAAGACACCCGGATACCCACAAGTATTTCTTTGCTATCAATCTGTATAACTCATTCGACATCATCCCCGACCTTTTCGCCACTCTCTTCCGCGTATCCTCTGTCTTGGGCTACCAAAACGTATATGTCTCGATATACGAGAATGGTTCGACAGATCAGACGAAGGCCCTGCTGCAAATATTTAACGCTCTGTGCAAATCGGTGGGATTGCGTGTGGATATTCAGACATCTATGCGTACCCGTGGCGCTTTCAACCACCGTATCGAGTACCTGGCTGAAGTCCGGAACGCCGCCTTCGTGCCATTACACGATCTGCGTAATACTCAGAACGAATACTTCGACACGATCATCTTCATGAACGACATCTTGCCATGCGTGGATGATCTCCTGGAGCTGATTTGGCAGAGTCGGAAAAACAACGCAGGTATCACCTGTGCGACGGACTATATGTTCCACGAGGAGCTTGTGAGTGTCCGTATACTCCTGTGTTACTCACATGCTCATACCATGTAGGGATCCCCCGTGTTCTACGACAACTGGGTCGCGCGCGACATCAACGGTACAGCACTTGAGAACGCCCCCTTCGAATCCATTTTTCACCAACCCCAATCTCAAGAACGTTTCCAGCAACATCTTCCCGTCCAGATGCAGTCCTGTTGGAACGGCATTGCCATCATGGACCCTGCGCCGTTTTACGCGCCGCCCCATGTTCGCTTCCGCATGGCACGAATTACAGAGGGAGAGTGTTCGGCGAGTGAATGTAGTTTGATTGCAAACGACTATTGGGAGGCGGACTACGGTCGTATCCTGATGGTTCCCAGAGTGAAATTAGCGTACGACAATGTGAGTAATACATTCTACTCCTCGCTATGAGCTACACTGAAGTTGTTCTATTTGTCCAGCGGGTGTTTGAAATCATTCACCCGCCCCGCAAGAACTTGACGTCAATACGAGGCTACGTCCGGTTAGGCGGGCTTCCCGATAATCCGCGTACAGATCCCCAGGATCGCCAGTGGTTCGGCCCCCATGACCGACTCTTTACTGACGAGGAGAATGAACCGCTAGACTTCCTGCCTGGTCCCGAACACGGTGTGTATCATTAAATTCCGTCGCACGGCATGTAGACTTACTGTGACGCGCAGTATGGTGCTGGGGATGGGACGGTGCAGGCGACCTTGACGGCCCAGATGTTGACCCTATCTGGGAACGCAGGCCGAATCACACCACGATGGTCGATGCCGTTAAGGTGCGGCATCGGCGGAATCTCAACACATAGCTGCGCGAGAACGACTGCGCGCGACTGTCACGGCCTAGGATGAAGTCATGTGTTTTTGGGCCGCGAGCATTTCTCTTTTAGATGCTCTGCATATGCTTTCGATATCTATCATGCAGGGAGTACACTCACCTTAGGACGTATAATCATGAGTATTTAACTAGCCATACCTGAGACCAATCCGAAGAGCAGCTAGCTTGACGCGGTTTCTTTGCTGAGCTTGAGGCTGGGCGCTTCGTACATAGACAACCTTCTCAACGCCCCAGTGTGCTACCCTTTCGTAGTCACGAGTGTCGTTTCTCCAGGGAACACTATCCTGACCGTATCTTCGTCTACTTGCCACCTATAAGAACGCAAGGGCTGCTGCTCCTGGAACGTCTGACCCACCATCTGCGACATATGTGGGAACCCGTCCTTGCTGACGTCTTTCAGCGCGTGTGCGACTTGAACCGCACGCCAACGTCTTCCGTTACCTCTTGTTACCTTTGATACCTTTAGGACGAACGCACCTCATTCTCCGAGCGGTGGAGCTACTCACGCCCGTCGCTCTCCACAACAGAGAAATACCAAGGAGCTTTGCCTTCAAGTACAAATCTGCCGAGCTCTTGGTGGTGCTAGAGACCTCGGGTGTCTAATCGCCCTCTCCTTGCGGCCGCCTAGTCTTCTATCCTCAAATGAGACCGTCTCTTGGACACCTGTTGTCGTACAATGCAGTTGTGCTGGGCAGCGTAGCGTTGCTGTTCTCGGGGCTCATACAGCTCGCCGTATCGTGGATGCAGATGCAGCACCGAGCTTCACAACAGTCCTCATGCGCTCGTTCAGTTCCTGTGTCAAACGATTTTGAGAAAGATTACAGTGCGTTCCGCCTTCACTTCCGGCCTTCTGAGCTCACATCTGCTCTGTGCAGGCTGGGAAGGAGACGACTATCCCCCGTACCTCCCTCTAGATCTCGGCGAGCCCGTTGCGATGGTGCTCGAAGACTCGCGGCACTATTCGCTCAACTCCAGCGAAGCTGACGCAGAGTGGCTCTCGATCTATCCTGGTGGCCAGCTCGGCTTCGTGCATCTAGGTCCGCAGAAGCGCTTCTTCAGCCTGTCGCTTTACCACCAAATTCACTGTCTGGACTCGCTACGCCACGCTATTCTCAATGGGAAGAGTCATGATGGGGAGCAAGGGCACGGACATGGGCACACGAGGAAGCGTGATGTCGAGCATTCGGCGCACTGCTTGAACTACCTGAGGCAGACGATCATGTGTGCCGCAGACTTGACACTAGAGCCTGAAATTGTCTTGGGATCAAGTGATGTGGGAGAGGGCCTGGGAGCTGTACATGTGTGTCGGGACTGGAGCAGAGTCCACGAGTATACGCGGCAGAACTGGCAAGGGTGGATGGAATGGCAGGTTCAAAGCTTGATAGGGGAATCATAACTGCAGGAGATTGTCTATACTCATTGTACTCGAATTCCTGCCAGTTCTTGTTTTTCACCGACATCTCATCCTACTAGTGACCGAGGTTTCATAACACTACGGTCAAAGCTAAACGATAATTCTGAGCAGGTGAAAAGCGGGAAATTTGGAGTCGTGGACCAGCAGATATTTTAATATTTCCAGTTTTATACGCAGGATGCAGCAAAAATGGACACTGGGAGGATTGAACTCCCGACCTCACGCAAGCAGCGACCCAAGATGCGAAGCGTGCGCGCTACCACTGTGCCAAGTGCCCACCTCTTTTCTCAATATTTACGTCCATCTATAGTGATCTAATGCCTGGGATGTGCATCGACGCGCCTTGAGTACATACCTAAGTTGCAGCTAACGCATCTACACAGACCCTCACCACGATGGAGATGGACATCGATGAGCAGCAACAAACCAGGCGCACTGGCGTAATGCGTGTTCTCCCTATTGACGACAATCACCCCTTTGACCTCGACCAATACATATCAAACTATACAGGCAGAGCCCTCGTCGACCGGCTCACCTTCCTTATTCCTCAGTGCCCCACCCTCGCTGTACAAGCTGCACAGGTAGCAGCGAAACATATCAGGAACATGCGCGATACTTCTCTGTACTCTCACCTTTCGATCGCGTATGAACAGGCTCAAACCAACGCTTCATCTGACGCACCCCTACCACCATTCCATGAAGTCGTGAGCATCGATCAGACATGGATCGAAGAAACAAACAGGAAGAACGCAGATGAGCGGACTAAGCTAGAAGTAGAGCTGAAGACATATAGTAGCAACATGATCAAAGAGAGCATACGAGTCGGTGGCGTCTCCTCTGTTACTTGGTCCGTGTTGTGCTTACCTCGTAGATCTATAGATGGCTCATCGCGACCTGGCAGAGTTTCATCGTTCCGTTGGAGATTATCAGACTGCCCTTAAACACTACGCCAAGCTCAGGGAATTCTGCACAACGAGCCAGCATGTATTGGACATGTGTATCGCTGTTCTCGAGCTTCTCATTGAGCAGCGCAACTACACGCATATCCCGACGTATGTCTTCAAAGCAGAACCTGCACTCGACGCATCTACCAATGCGCTACGATCGTCCACACATATTTCCGCTTCGTCTGCAGCTACACCACACGCGGCGGCGACGGCCGCACAAGCAAGCAGAGACCGCCTCATGAGTGAGCGTCAGAAGACGCAAACGAAGCTCGAAGTGGCCACCGGTATTAGTCATCTTGGGCTTGCCTCATACGAGAAAGCTGCCTCAGCATTTGTGAGAGTGGGCAGCGCTGCAAGCCTGGGTGCGTGGGCGACCAAGGTATGCCAGCATGAAGCCAGCAGCCATCGTTATCTCATTCACTTTGCGCATAGGTTATCCATCCATCTGATATCGCAATCTATACCACGTTGTGTGCCCTTGCAACATTGCAAAGATCCCAGATTAAATCACAGGTCTGTCTCAATGACTGCCATACATGCCTACACTTCTCAAGCTGTACCTACCATAGATCATGGAGAACGACACCTTTGTTTCCTCATACCTTGAGTCTGAGCCTTACATCCGCGAACTCGTAGTGAACTGGCTTGGTGGCAAGTTCAAAGCAGTGTTGGAAAGCCTCGAGAAATATTCTGTGAGTACAGCGCAACTCTCCGTTGATAGATTTCCTTGACCACCTGTGACGCACAGACCCGGCATGCGCTATTGCCGCATTTGGCACCACACCTTAGCAGTCTTATGCAACTCATCCGTTCGCGGGCAGTTGCGCTCTACTTCAGGCCTTTTGCGACTGTCAAGCTCGAGAAGATGGCCGCCGCTTTCGGCTGGACTATCAGCCAAGCGGAGTGTGAGGTCGTTCGTCTCATTGGTGAGGGTGACATCAAGGGACGAGTTGATCGTTTGGGCAAGGTGCGTGGTAAGCTTCGTACATAAAGGTATATGCCGAATGACCTTCGCTATCATAGATTCTGAGGGCCCAAGAGACTGATCAGCGTGCCGAGCTGTTTGCGCGAACCATGAAGGCCGGCCAGGACATGCAAAGTGCCAACAGGAAGCTACTGTTGAGGCTCAAGTTGTTCGTTATTAATATTATATCATCGTTGCCGGTCCCCTCACCTTCCTTTTTTCAGGCAACAAGCTGACCTCATTGTCAAAGCTCCCAAGCAATCTAATCAGCCACAGCAAGGCTCGCAGCAACCCATCCAGTCCGCCCCTTCGCAAAGCGGTATAGGCGGGTTCGCAGGCAAGGTGCCGGAGATTTTCACGAACATACTCAGCATGGGTTCTGGGGACTGAACGGGTATGATGATAATTCACACAAGGTCTCTGTCTTGCCGAGCAACTGTTGTATCATACAATGTATGTGTAGACAAATTCTGAATCAGTGCCCTATCATTGCACTGTTGCTAATACGAGGAAGTGATCGACGGTATGCCATAGAAAAGACTTATGGCCTAAAAGACGGAATGTTACGCGTTCCTAGAGATTTTCACTTAGGTCAGCGAAGCTTGCATGCCGGCATGGAAGATGCTGAAGTTTCGCTCGTTGCCACCAGCGCTTCTGCGCTGATTGTTTGTCGCTGTGTGTACGCCATCCTTTAGGATGGGCGTCTAATCGAAAACTTACTTATTCCCCTTTGGCGCGACTTCCTCCCTTGCCGGTTCCATTGTCGAATATGGCGGTCACCTCGAGCTCCAAGGTGGTCACAACATCTGCTGTCACTTCCAAACGGAACGGAAAGAAGAGTCTGAAGTCAGCCATTGGCGCGCCTTCGCAAAGGACGCAGAGCAGCAGGAAGGGTAAGAAGGCATGGAGGAAAAACATCGACATCGATAACGTAGAGGAGGGGCTTGAGGAGCTAAGGGTTGAGGAGAGGGTTACCGGGTGTGTACTAAGAAATCTGTTCTGTTTGAGGTGTTTGTTAAGGAATAAATCTTGTGGACTCGTGGCTTAAAGCTCGACTCTGCACCAAAAGAAGGACGAGGACTTGTTCACCGTCGATGTGAAGGGTGATCACGAAAGTGCGCACATGACATTGTCAAAGATATCGGATGCGCTATTGACTTGGCTACCTTTCACCACGTCATATTGCCTCTCCAGTCCGAAAATCCATTCGTCCACGCTTCAGCACCTCTCAACTCACCTACACCAAGATCCTACAGCAGCGCTCTGCGGTGCCTGCCGTCGCTTCTCGCACGACCTCGTCAACACTGTCATATAAACGGAAGCTCACGCATGAAGAGAAGGATAGACTTTTGCGAATGGGCAAGAAGCCTCGCAAGGGTCCATTCAATGCCATCATGGACCATACAGAGTTGGGCTCCGGCAGTGCACTGCTGGAGCTTAGCGAGGCCGCCAAGAAGAGCGGGGGCTACGACGTCTGGTCGCAACCACAGGAACAGGAGCACGAGGAGACAGAGTTCATACCGAAGAAAGTATTGCCGAAAGTAGGTTCTCTGCTTGTCGGCGTACGTTCGCATAATTGATGTTGAATACCAGAAACCAGAAGTGGACCATCCGAGGAACTACATCGCTGTACCCGCAGTCCCTTCTCCACATGAGGGCACATCGTACAATCCACCGGTCGCCGCACACACCTCGCTGATGCGGCTAGCGGTTGAGGCCGAGGAGAAGCGTGCGAGGGAGGAAGAAGAGCTCAAACGGACGAAGGAGCAAACTGAGCTAGCGCGCAGAACGACGCAGGCAGAGGCTGTGGAAGGTGTTGCTCTTGGCATGGCCGTTCCGGAGATCGTAGATGACGAGGAACAGCGGGAGGTTGCAGAGGTACCGACAAAGAAAATTCCAGAGAGGAAGACGAAGCAGGAGAGGAAAAGGGCTGAGAAGCTGCGGGCAGAGGTATACTCTATAATCACTTTATAGGTCCATCCGGCATTCACCATTGTGTCCTCCTTAGAAACGTCTCCTCGCCGAGCGTGCTGCCCAGAGACGTCTTCTCGCCGCAGTGCCTGCCGCGAAAGCTCTGCGCAAACGCCAAATGAAGCTCCTTCGCGAACGCCAAGCCCAGCTACGCGGGCGCCACGAGCAGCAGACGAAAGTCAAACTTGCCAGGGGTCTCGCGGGTCAGAAGCTTGGAAAGCATACCGTGCCTGAGGGCGAGATTGACGTGCAGCTCGGCGAGGATTTGTCAGAGAGCTTGCGGACGCTCAAGCCGGAGGGGAATCTATTCAAAGATCGGTTCCTTAGCATGCAGCAACGTGCACTCATCGAACCGCGCGTGCCTGTTCTGTACGTATCCCGGAACGCTACATTTAATCATGGCATAATTGACATTATATGCTCCTACAGACCAAAACGCAAGCCGAAGCTCAAGCAGTACGAGAAGCACGCTTGGAAGAAGTTTGACCGTGAGGAGAACGATATTCGGCTTTGAGCGTTAGCTCAATTTGTCCCTTGTTGCCGGAGCTATTTATCGGTCCGTATGTATATCATGCTATTTTACTTCGGCACGTTGTCGGCCAGGGCTAGCCCTCAAGCCCGCAAGGCGTAATGCGACAACGTGTGCCCGTGATTTGTGAACTGCGTTGTGGGACTCCCGGTGACTGTCCAATTATGAGCAAGCTAGCTCCGGAACTTCCAAGCAGATTGATAGAACGCTGCATCCCACGAGAGTCTAAATCCCGTCTTTCTGGGTATATATACGAAAGGCTACAGTGGGCGGTTGTTAGGTGTGGCAGGCAAAATGTAGCTCTAAGTACGAAGCCACGCCGTCTTCGCAATCTTCTTCAGCCGTTTTTGCTCTTTGAATCTCTCCTATATCACACGGCAGTATGAGAACCATAGGAACAGCACCCGAGACAAGGCATCGAACGCACCAAGTCTTTCTTCGTCGGCTTCTTCTTTTTCTTTCCCTCAGCCTCTTCCTGCGCCTTACGCTGTTCAACCTCCTCTTCCCACTCTCCAACGTCAAAGTAAGCCTCGCTCATGCGCCGTGCACGCTCATACTCGGACACATGTGAGGGATCGCGCCCGTCCGGACGCGCAAAAGCACCCGTACGCGCGTTGAACTTCGCCGTGTACGTGAAGGCTTGAGGGGTGGAGGACGTGCCCGCGACGAGCGACGGGTCCAAGTACGCCAACGAGGGATCGATACCCTGCGCCGCCGCAGCTGCCTGGAGCGCCCCGGCCGTGGACGTGAAGGCCTGTGGGTCAGAAGACGAAGATGCGACAGGAGAAGCGGAGGAAGATGCTTCGAGAGGGTTCGTCCACGTCGTCTCCTGGGTCTTGGAGTTGTAGAAGTAGTAGGCGTTGTGCACGGGCGACCATAGGGCTTGCCAGTCGCCTGCGGAGGCCGTTGCCAGGCTCACAGGCAAGGCAGATGTGTCTGGCGCATCGACTGGCGCTGCATTCGGGCCTGTTGATACAGATGCAGCGTTGTCGGAGGCTGCAGTACTGGCAGAAGATAGGTCTGCCTCGCCAGGCTCGGCCGACGGATCTTCAGATTCGCTGCGAGGTTCCGATGAGGCGCTTTCCTCGTCTGCCTCGTGGTCGACCTTTTGGCGTTTCGGGGCGGGTGCACCGTCGGTGGGCGGGGAAGCTTGGCGGGGAGAGGGAGAGGGAGCGGGGCTGGTCATGGTTCCAGGGCAAGAGCGGGCGTCTGTTGAAGCGCCACGACGGGCCTGGCCAAGGCCCAAGTCCCGGGATCTGCTGCCGGGCACTATGCTACGCCTCTTTCCCCGTCTCCACCACCATCCTAGGTCAAGGTGCCCCCGCACACTTTCACCAGACGCCTATTTATCGTGTATTTTCATTCATTTACGACAAAGGTGTGTTACGCGGCACCGTGTAACTCAAAACGCGGCCTGCTAATGAGCTTCAGCAGCATTGTAGAAGACAGATTTCTTTGGAAGACGAATAGACATGTCACGATCGCCAGAGTACCCTCACTACATTCCCCTCCCGCCTCCCCCTCTTCGTTCAGCCATGAAGCATACAGCCCCACGACCGTCCACACCGTCGCATGCATCTAACTCCTCCCCCTTCCGCCTCTCCCAGTCACCTCAAATGGGCCCTTCTTCCTCCAGGCCATCATTCTCTCAGGCGGCAAGCTCTGGCTTCCTGGCGTTGGGGTCTGCTTCAGCCCCACAAAGCCCTCGCGGAGGCTTGTTACCACTGCCAGCTGTGGTTCAACAGGGCTACACACCCAAAGTTGGCTTTGATACCTTTGAGGATCCTCAAGCATCAATGTTCTCCTACACGCTGCATGTACAGAGTGAGGGGTACTCACGGACGAAGAACACTCGCGTGTTCCTTTGCGCCTCAAGCGCGGACGAGAGTGGTATGCAGGCGCTTGAGTGGGCATTGGACAGCCTTGTCCAGGATGGAGACGAGTTCATCGTATTCCGAGGAGTCGACGATGGGGACTTGAGTAAGTCGCAGTTGATTCAAACACGGCGAGTGAAACTTACAGAATGATCTAGACAGGGAACAGGCCGCGTACCGAGAAGAAGCACGCGAGCTGATGCGCCAGGTTCAAGAGAAAGCCTCGGAGTATGATGCCGATCGGAAAGTGCGTTTTCCGGTGCACTCATACCGATCCCACCATCGCTCATTGGCATCAGGTGTCGATCATCATTGAATTCATTGCGGGGAGTGTAACGAGTAGCATCGACCGTCTGATCGCACTCTACCGCCCTGATTCCCTTGTTGTCGGTACCAGGGGGCAGAGAGGTATCATGCAGACTTGGGGAGCTGCGCTTGGCGGCTCAAGTGTCGGCAGTGTGTCGAAGTGCGTCTACGCCACATTGCATGCTCGGGGTCACGCGACTGACTACGCTTTTTCATCAGATATTGCTTAAGCCACTCCCCTATACCTGTCATCGTGGTCAGACCTGAGAGCAAGGTCAAGAAAGTTCTTGCGAAACGGAAAGCTGACCCGAAGCGTGGCAAACACTTTGATGAGTGAGCGCGTTCACGCCATAGCCCTTCTATCTGAGGTGGCTGACTACAAATTTACCTACGTAGGTTAGCGAAGACTGGGAGACAGTCCGTCCCAATGTACTCTGCGTTGACACGATAACGCTGAGTATATCTCTATCGCACGCTTGCGCAACCTTGTCCTGGAGTCATCTGCTGACACCCGCCTACCGCTCCAGAAGCTTCAGCGTGGGATAATCAGCGTATAACCAGATCTTGTAATATACTGAAAGTAGAAGTTTTTATCGCTAAAAATTCGTATCATATTACTTTATCCTCATATTCTTCATCTAGGTGCCCAGAAAGCAGCGTCTCCGTCGTTCCAATTTCCCTAGAATTGAGCGGTTGAGCCGCGCCAGTTTATTAGGCACTCTTCCACGCCTCTTGGCGTCTGGGTGTGCCTGGTAAGGCCCACCGCCTACCCGGCCGGCCGAAAGCCGGCGGTGGGGAGCGCCACGCACGACGGTCATCTTGTGTCCTACGCTCTCGCCTTGGATCCAGCGTTGTAAACTTGCTCGGCGCCGACTTCCGCGGCAAGCGCTCGACGCGAGTTCACGGCCCCTTTCACACACAGTAACGTCACTTCCGCAGACCTTGTCAGTGTTTGGTAGTACAACAAGATACAGCCTGGTATTTGGAATCCATTGTGAAACTACTCATCGACATCTTGCCAGTACCGCAGAGGCTCAACATGCCCGTGCACCAGCCCAATCTTTATCTTCGGCCGCCCAGCAGACATGCCATGGAATACGAAAGCAGACCCAGTGTGAGTTCCCCACTCCCTTAATGGAGTTCGTTCACGCTATACGCCGTGCTTGCTAGCTTGAAGTAATGCCTGCCAGCACACAATATAGAAGGTAGAGAACCGTGCGCACTACTGGGGCCAAGCATCTATCAGATCGGTAATCTGATTTTTAGATGATGCCGTTGCTCCTAACGACCAATCAACATGATGCCACAATTTCGAGGCTCGATTTGCTCCCAAGAGCCGCATGATTTGGCAGTGATAGGCACAGATGTCGGCCTACGATCTGTTTGTCTCCTGCACTAGGCGATATCACCATTGTAAAACATCAAAGAGCCTCCAAGGCGCGAGCGAAGGCCCCCATTTGGCAGTGTTTATTCGACCGGGGATTGCATATATAGGCTGCCATTTGCACCTTGATATAAACATCCCCGCTTGCCACTACGTGCTCTTTTCAACTGTACCACATAGTTCTCAAGCACTGCTGTGCCACTACGCCGTCGAGCTCTCATGTCACAGTCGGCAACGTCAAATATCACAAGCTGTCCTTATTGGCAAGATGGCACGCCGCAGGCTTTCGTAATTATTTACGAACTATTACCGTCTATGTGCTCCGACACCGTTGGTATACTGCAATTTTTGCTGCCTGAGACTGCAATGTTCGGCGAGTAGATCCAGTGTGTTTGATGTAACCAGCTGACACCAGCCTACAGGTGCTTTCTCGCTCTTGATCATTTTATCTACGTTTATCCTTCTGCGAGTAACGTAAAATCAGTTCTGAGGTTCTCGCTGAGTATTTCACCAGACACAACGGCTTCCAGCGAATATCCCGCGTTTTCATGGCGCTTATATGCATGGTTATGTACGCCACAGCAGCCGCACACCTAGCTCTGGCGGTACAGTATTCCTTTCTCAATGCTGCCGCCTCAACGTCGCTGCAAGCTGCCGCCTTCCAATGTGCCATGGAGCTGTTTGGCGTGGCGAACCGCGGCTGTGACAGAGGAGATGCCACCGCGACCGCATCCTATACAGTGCCTTCCTGTACGGCAACCCCTCTGCTCATTGTCAACGTACGTGGGACTTTGCGGTAGCAATGTCGGTATTGATACTCACCATCGGATCGACTTCGCACCACCCCCACAGATGATTCTCAGCGATTCTATCGTCCTGTGGAGGGCTTGGGTTCTGTGGTCTAAGCGGCGTCTTCTCACTGCCGTATCAACTCTCTTAGTCCTTTCCACGCTTAGTGAGCTGCCAGCTGCGCACGCTGGACTGCAAACGGGTATACTAATAAAACATTCTGCTCATAGCCATGTCGATATTGAATGTTCGCAATATCTGTAAGGCAGAACCCCGCACCACGGAAGCTGAATTTACCACCGACGTTTACGGCCTTTCTGCTTTTGTCCTATCACTGCTGACGAACACCTGGACCACATCTCTGATTGCATATAAAGCATGGTAAGCACACCTGTTGTTAGATCAATCATCAGTCTTGACCGGGAATATGGGCTTACAGGGAGCACCGTCAGTCGGTAAGAAAGATGTTCAAGGACGGAAGTATAGGCGTGCGTACGGCCAAGATACTCGTGCTCTTCGTGGATTCTGGACTGTTGTACTGCGGATTTTGGGTATGTAATCGTTCATCCTTGCGCCACTCATATATCGATAACTCGAAGGTTCTCACATGGACTGTCTAGGCAATTCTAGTTGCCTACATTGTCATCGACGAGTACTACTTTATAGGCCCCGGAAATGACTTCACGATCAGATCTGTCAAATGGTACTTTGTTACGCGCATACGACAGGTATTGGGCACAGTTCTCGTTGACGTCATTGTGAGATTACCTTCATCGCAGTTATCTCTCGCTAATCGATCTTTCCCACGACGCAGGGAATGTACCCAACAGTCCTTGTTCTCCTTGTTTTCCTCACAGATTTCACTGTGGAGGGTGCAACAAAAATTATGGGCACGACTACTACACCTATCCAGCCGCTGGAAACGAATAGACCTTGCGGTGTTACACTATCCAGCGACGTGATCGACTCAACAGCAAGGGTGATCACTAGGGACAGCGGATGTGATCCGTACACCCGGAGTATCATCGCCATCCTCAGTGATGATGGCCTTGAGAGGAAGGACCCCACAAAGTCTAGTAATACTGAGCACACCCCATGCACTTAGCGCGGTCTCAGTGGACACACCGGTGCAATTCTAGCTTAGTCTTTGCTGTAGGCTGGGTCGCTGCTTGTGCGACAGAGAACCTCTGGACTACTGGATTTTGTATCTGAGCATGCACCATACTCAGCTCTACATAACAATCAGTTGAGACCATGAATCCTGTCTGCATTTGGGCGGCCCGCCCGCTCTGCCTGACGCGCGTTGTTTGCGCGCCACAAAGCCAACACCAGCGATGTTTGCTCCTTCTCACTTCTGACTGTCCTAAGTCTATTCCAGATGCTCTCAATACATACAGATTCTGAACTATAGCAACTGAAGCTGAAGTCCTGACCGGTGCCTTGCGAAGCTGTAGCATACGTCTTAGTGCTCACGTGAAGTGTGATCGAAAATGAAGCACTTGACCCGGGCCAGTTGGTAAAGTACTTGTTATACTGTCTGTAAGGATATGTGTTGTTGCTACGGAGCAATATCAGCAATATCGACACACCGGGGCGGTAAGTCATGGCCAACCGTCCCACGGACGACGGGGAAGGGCCTGGAAGCCCGCCCGACACGACTCTGACAGCTGTGTCGAATGCGCGCGATCACATGACCCTACGCCACGTGGCTTACCCGAGTCGCGTCGCGTTCAGCGGCCCAGCGCTAAACAGCGACCTTTTGAACGACTTTGTCGATTGTCGAGAAAGCCACAACGACGACACCTGCATACGCGGCGGCAACCGCATGTATTTTAATTTTGAACACTTTGACGACTTGACACGACAGTGCACCCAATGGACGCAAGCGAAGTCGGCATATTCGGCACTCTCCGCCTCATGAAGCGGCTCGAGCCTGACAAGGTCGTGGCCTCATATCCCATCGATGATGAGGAAATCACGTTTGGAAGGGACCCAACATGTAGCATCAGGCTATACTATGAAAGTGTGAGCGGGCTTCACTGCAAGATGATCTTTCGGGAACGCAAGGTGCGTACCCTTCAAGATGCGGATCATGGGTGCTCAACAAACATCTACAACTTTCAGGCATTCTTGGTTGTCTTAGGTGTTAACGGTATCATTGTTGACGCATGTCCTGTATTCCCCGCCACCGATTCCTCTAGTGGGCCCGTTACCGTCCCTCTTCCAAATAACTCGAGTATCGAAATCCACAAGAAACGCTTCCAGTTCTCCTATCCCCCCAAGGAGCTGCGCGAGACCCTTATCAACACTCCAGCGAAACAGAGCGACTCAAATGTTGACCGTCGCCGCAGACGTCGCACCTTGCGGATGTCCATGATTCAGAGTGCGCAGGTCTTCACGCCGCGCCCGAGCCACGACCCGCGCGAGAACCTACGCATCCTGAAGACGCCAATCAAGTCGCCATTCACAGAATCCTATTCTCCTGCAAAGCGTAGAGTGAGCTCACCCTTGAAACGAGGCGCATACATCCCCGAGGAAATTGAAGAGGAAGAGGAGGACGAAAACATCGTGCTCGTGGAGAGCAACCACCCACGAGTTGTCGAGGAGGATCGTGACCTCGTCATCCTAGAACACGTTGTCGTTCGCGAACCAGAGCCTGAACCCGAACCCGAGCAATCACAGCAGCAAACTGCGCAATACCCTATCCCTCCGTCAGCCCAGCCGTCGCCACAAGCCATGCAGACACCAATTCGCCAGCCCCGCTCATCTCTCCATCGTGCTGTACTTTTGCGATCCGCGCACCGGACGGCCTTGCGGCGCGAGATGGAGATGGAGGACGAGAAGGAGGCCGAAGAGGTAGAGGAGATCTTTGAGAGGGTCGAGCAGATGCAAGATCTGCGTGCTGAAGACGACGAAGACGACGAAAACAACGAGGCGCAAGAGGAGCAGGAACAACAAGAGCAACAGCAGGAGACTTCGCGAACGGTCTCGGGATGGCGAAAGAGTTTGGATATTGTGAGGGGATGGGCGTTTGGAGGATCTCCTGCTACGCAGTGTACTGAACGTGACACTCAGGAAGGCAACGAGGAAGATCATGAGCAGGAGCAGACCGTGCCGGAGGCTGAGGTGAGCAGCACTAGAATCAAATTTGGGACCAACGTTGACATGTCGTGGCAGTTCGCAGAAGGTGAAGAACCTGAAGAAACTCCCGCCTCGGAGCCAGATGACGAACAAGCTGAGTATGAAGAGTATGAAGAGGAATACCAGCAGGAGGTTCATGAAGACGATGAAGATACTATCGAGGTTGAAGAGGAAGAAGAGTCCCAGTATGAACCTCCCATGCCGCCTCCTGCCATGCCTAGCCGCGGGCCCTTCGCTGTCCCGCAGAAACCTCTAGGCAAGTTTATGACACCCCAGGCACCGCGTCAAATTGACTTCGGTGGTATGAAGAGCAAGTCTCGCAGCCATGTCCGTTACTCAGTTGGCGGGTTCACAACTGGAGGAATTTACGGTACTGGTACCGTGCCATCGACTCCTGGCTCCTCTCATGGCTTCTCGGGCCCAAGACGTGTGCGTGTCGTTGAGCCATGGAAAGTCGATGAGATCACTGTGCCGCTCAATGATGCAGAGGAGCAGAAGGAGGAGACTCAGCAGAGTGAGACAAGTGCCCCTGGGTGGCCTGCCACGCCTCGACGTAATGTGCCGCTGTCCCCGTCAAAGAGAGAGAGGTTGTCCGAGGAGGAGCGCAAGGTCAGATATGCCACAGCTTCGGAAGTAAATCCTTGCTAACGAAAGAATTCCTCCAGGCAATTATCCAAAGACGGAAATCTCTTCTTACAGAGCCAGACTTCTTTGGCGGACAAACACCTGGTCGTCGTCTGTCACTCCATCCACCTCTGTCCCCCATGAAGTCCCCAACAAAAGCACTCGCCTCTTTCGACGAGTCGCTAGACCCCTCTTCCTCTACTTCGAACAACACATCCGGGGCCCTTGAAGAAGGCAACAGGGAAGACACCTCGATATTGCTCGCACGCATGAAGCACATGGTTGAAGACGCGAAGCGACGGCAGAGCGTGGGCCCGCGGGCGTCGCTCGCGAGCCGCACGCTGCCGATGCCACGCAAGAGTAGCGGTGGCTTCTCTCTACTCGCGCCCGAGACAGATAGCACACCCGTCAGGCAGATCTTCGTCGAGGATGCCCGCAGCGATGAGGACGGAGAGCACGATGAGGAAGAGGACGTGAGCGACAAGGAGAACGGGGGAGCCGCGCCACCGGTGCACACGCAGACGCAGGAGCTCAGCGAAGAGGAGCACGACCAAGACGTGCACATGGCTTCTGGAGACAAGAATGTGCATCCTGAGGAGCAGCCGCGGTTCAAGGCGCCCTACCCAAAGGCAGCCATAGAGACTCCGCGCATGGACGGCCTCAAGCACATGTTTGGTGCTTCTCGCACAGAGGTAGCGACTCCCTCTCTCCGAGGCGTCCGCGAGATGTTCAAGAAGCCGGCGCAGAGTGCGGTGCTGGAGACTCCAGGGCTGAAGGGTGCGCGACAGATGTTTGCTCGCGCTGAGGGCATTGCTGCTGCAGGCTCCTCCCGACTTAGAGGCATGCGTCAGGAAGTCCCGTCGACGCCTGTATTCGAGGGCGTTAGTGAGATGCTGCAGACGCCTTCTGGATACGGGGCGACAGCTCAGACCGAATCGGAGCCTGAGCAGGAGGACGAGATCGAGCAGGGTGTTGAAGCACACGACGAGCAGCACGAAGGAGAGGAAGAGGAAACACCTATTGCTAAACCTCGTTCAAGGAAATCCCCCTCAAAGCAAAAGACCCCAATTACACGTCGCACCTCTCCTCGGAACGCCCCTCCACCTGGACCGACCATCGAAGAGCCCAGCCTGCCCGCAGTGGACGAGGAAGAGGCCGGGCCCGCCCCAACCAAGCGTGGCAGCCGCACGACCCGCGGCAAGGCCCCCGAGAACGACGCCGAGCCAGAGATAGAGTCGGCGGCGGCACGGCCGCGGCGCACACGCAAGACGACGGCGTCGCCCGCACCGGGGGAGGAGGAGCCGGGGACGGCGCCCCGGACGCGGCGCGCGCGCACGAAGACGCCGACGCCGCAGCCCGAAGACGCGCGTGCGACCGCGACGCGGAGCCGGCGGCGCGCGCGCACGCCCATCGCCGAGGCGGACGAGGAAGAGGCAGACGCGAACACGCCCCCCGACTCTGTCCCTCGTGCGCCCTCGCCGGAGGTGCCGCCGCCTCCCGAGGCGGCCCCGGCAAGATCGGAGAGCAAGGTCCGCCGCGCCCCGAGGAGCAGGTTCGTGCTCGAGGTGAAGGAAGAGGAGGAGGAAGAGGACGTCCCTACGCTGCCCGCGAAGCGTGCGGAACCGGGACCTGCTGCGCGGGGCTCGGGCGTCCCGCGCGCCGTGCGCGGGCGGCGGCCTGCTGGTGCGGCGGCGGCGACGGCGGCGAGCCTCGCACGGACCTCGAGCATCCCGCGGAGCGCCCCCGCCGCGGGGCGAGGCACGAAGGCGACAGCGACGGCGCCGACGTCGACACTGCTGCGCCGGCCTGCGACGGTGCCGTCCGCGAAGCAGGGCGCCGTCGCCGAGTCTGCGGCCGCTGCGCGGAACAAGGAGAACACGCCGAGTGGCGACGACGAAGAGCCGGAGAGGCCGGCTGCACGGACGGCGTCGAAGATCGCGCGGGTCGGGACGAGGACGGTCGCGGGAAGGACGCGCGCGGCGTCGGTTGACCAGCCGGAGAAGCCTGGTGAGGTCGGGAAGAGCAGGGTGAGCAGGTCGAAGGGCGCGGCGACACGGAAGTGAGCGCGAGGGCGGGGGGCTGCGTTTCTAGGTTTTTTTTTTTTGTATGTCCGCGCTATGTTTACTCGTTTGGTAGTTGATGAAGTCGCGATGGTTACAACCGTTGTCGAAGGGCTTTGTGGCGCGTGATGTCCAAAGTGTTCAGATCGGGAGAATGCTGGGAAAGACCAGGGACACACAAGTCGCGATCGACAAGCTTATTCCGTTTTGCTTCTGGGCTCGATCGCAAGTTTGAGAGTCGAAATCGAAGAGTCAAATTACGAGGACTAGTAGGTGCACTAAGTACAGACAGCCGCGAAACAACTACGAAGGAGACTAGGTATTATCCAAGACAGCAGAGACGAGAATGAATATTTGATACACTTTTGGGGCCGGTGCAGAACGTAGGTGATACAGTGGGGTATGAGGGAGACATCAGAGAAGGCGAAGAAGGAGAAAAAAAAGACTAGGAGCATCTGCACCGCAAGGCACAGACGAGAGGCTCTAAGGTCGAAGTCCGCGCTGCCAAAGGCAGCCATTCCGGGAGAGAGAGGGAGAGACGAAACCAGCGTCCCTGCCCCGTATGTGTGTGCGTGCGCTCTCACTGCCTGGCCATGCGGTTCAGCGCGGTGAGGAGGATCTCGTACGCGAGGTCGATGACGCCCCAGAGCTCGGTGTCGAAGATGCCGAACGCGCACGTGTTCTTCCAGAGGTTCGTGACGACCTTGGCGTTCGCCATGAGGATCTGGAGCCCGCCCTGGGTGCCGGCCTGCGAGTGCGCGACGGCGGCGAGGTGCTGCGCGAGGCGTGCGAGGCGGTCGCTGGTGAACTGCGCCGTGTAACCGCCGCGCGACGCGCTCGAGGAGGACGAGGAGGACGACGCGCCGTCGGCGCGCGGCAGGCTCTGCGCGAGCGACGGCAGCAGCGCGGCGAGCAGGGCGTCCGCGCGCTTGTTGTGCAGGAACGCGTGCAGGTGCGGGAACGTCGTCGCGTCGGGCACGGTGAGCGGGACGACGGGGAGGGTGAGCGACGTCGCGCGGCCCGAGGGACGCGAGGGCGGCAGCGACGGCAGGTTCGCGCAGTGCGCGGCGAGCACGAGCGAGTGCGTCGGGTAGAGGATCGCCGTGTGCGAGGACTGCGCCTGCGCGGCGGCGAAGGACGCCGCGGTCGGTGTCGTGGGCGACGACGAGGACGGTTTGGTGGAGGTGACGGCGAGGACGTGCGTCGGGAAGGACGCGGAGGCGGGCGCGCTCGGGGACGGGCGCACGGGCGCGTCGAGGGCGGACGGCAGGTGCGACTTGGGGAGCGAGCTCGGGATGGAGAGCAGGTTCACTGCCGCGACCATGCTATTAGAAAAAAAAAAATTGTGGCGCACTGGTGAGCGAGCGAGTACGGCAAGGTTATGACAGCGCCACATACCCATGTGCCTGGCGAGCGAGGTGCTGGCGAATGTACTCGATCGGGACCTCTGCGAGCTCGGGGGCGAGGGCAGCGATCGTGTTGCGGTCGACCTCCATGAACGGTGGACGGGCGAGGGTCCGGGGCATGTTGATGGACGGGGAGGGAGCAGAGTGCGTCGCGCGTTCGATTGACTGCATGGCAAAGTGGGGGACGGGCTGTGCTTGGAGTTGGAACATGTTTAATTTATAAAGTGGGATATTAGGAGAGAGGATGTTTGGTAGAAGCGGGTCAGACAGGCGATCTAGTGGTCGGACGCGAGCCGGGAGTTGAAGTGGCGAAACTTGTTTGGTGGAGATGGTTTGGCATTAGCGTGCAGAGTCTTATACTTTGCAGACGGGCCAAACGGAGGACAAGGCGGGGACAGAAGCCGGGGGGAGACATGGGCGGAGGAATAAGAGGAGGCACGGATTTGGACACTTGCTTGTGTCCCGCCTCGGCAGCCGCGCCACGTGTGGTCCATTCGAGGCTATCGTTGTCGACAAACAAGCTCTGCGCCAATCCGTCGCAGGCCCTGCTTCTGATTCCAAGACACTCTACTCGTAGCCATCGCGACAAACTCAGAGCCTTGTACTACTCTTCCCGCCCAGGCGCCCGCCACGCCCACATCTCTCAGCCGTCGTCTCTCCCAGATACAGCACAAGGCGGACACACGCTCGACGCTCTCAGCCAGGTCTCACCGCACGTCAGCCTCTTTTCTCAGCGTTCCCCGTCCGCACTCGAAAGATGCGCTTCTGCCTGAACAGGCTGTGCAGCACGTCAGGCTTCCTATCAGTCCCCCCAGGCTCGCGTTCACTTTCACTCGCGACCCGGGACACACGGCCTGTCTCTGACGGAGCGCTATCCCCGAGAGGTCGAGCGTCATCTGTGAACTTGAGATCCTCGACAGCCCATGTCTCTGACGGAGCGCTATCCCCGAGAGATCGAGTGTCTTGCGCCGTTGGAGCGTCATCTGCAAGCTTGAGATCCTCGAAGGCCTCGCCATCTTGGCCTTGTTCTTCGGACCGTCGATGCTCCATCTCCACGCCGGACACGGCGAGTCTGTCCGACCACGGCTCCCGACGTGGCTCAGGAGCCGCCGTGGTCTGTTCCTTGAAGGCCCACCGCTGTGCGAAAACGCCTCAGCGCTAGCTGGGACGCGGACAAACCTCGCGCACTCACCACGTTAGCACTCTCCTCGGCGTCGAGGTCGATTTTCTTGCGTGCCGTCGCCGCCAACGCCTCCCAGCTCAGAAAACCGTCAGTTTTGTCGTGCGCGGCCGCTTTGGTGGCAGTGGTCGGACGGCTCCTCCTCGAGGCGCCGTACGTGCCGCTTCGTGCCCTCCTGCGCAGGGGCAGGTCGTCTCTGAGGTCGGCAGAGTCTTCGAGCAACGCAGGCGGCAGGGCCTTCCGGAGCAGCTCCATGACGTCTTCGACGTGTGTGCCGGCCGCCTGTGCCTTTGCCTCTCCCTCCGTGAGCACGCCCCGCTTGATGCGCGCCGTCGAGTATCCGGTCCTGGCCTTCGGTCGCGGTGGCTCGGCCGCCGCCAGGTGCGGCGCTTTCTGATGGGCGCGAGCGGTCCGTGCAGGCGGCCGCGAGCTCCGCCGTCGTTCCTCTTCCAGCTTCCACCGTACCTCGAACCGTCTGCCCTGGTCGCGGACATGGTGCAGGGCCATTCGGAGGGAGCGCACAAGCTGCGGCCACGGCATCCTGTACACCATAGGAAGGGGCGCAATGGCGTACGTCCAGTCTTGGAGGTTTCGTGTGTGACTTTGGGGCAGGGAGGCGCAAGGACAAGGGGAGGGGACGCACCAGCCAAGACGAGGCTCCTGTCGGGCCTGTTCGTGAACGTCAGCACCGGCCTGCCGCCCCCGTCCCTCTTCACGTCCGCGCCGCGCGTGACGATGAGAGACACCGCCTGCGTGATCCTGGCCTTGACGGCGCGGCGGTAGACGATATGCTTGTAGAGGCTGTCGCGCCTGGTGACGGTGACGAGCGACATGTGCACCTGGCGCTCGCGCGGCGCCGCGAGGCGGAACGGCGGGCTGGGCCAGAGGACGTCGGGCCTGAACATCCCGCCCTTGGGGTACGCGCGGAGCACGAAGCCGGGCTGCTTCGCGCTCGGCATGACCTGCTTCATGTACGCCGCCGCGTACTGCGCCGAGGGGTGTGCGGGGTCGACGCGCTCAAAGTCGCCGTCGGTCCAGCCGAGGAAGAGCGTCGGGTTGACGGCCCCCGGCGTGGTGCGCCTGAACTTCAGAGCATGTGTTGGCGCGGCTTGTTCGGTGGGCAGGAGAGGAAGAAGCAGAGCCTTACGTTCACGGACCGCGGCGCGCCGGCCTTGGCTTTTGATAGTCTTGATAGTTCAACGCATTTCTGCATAGAGCTGGTTCTGCGGTCGCACAGCCAGAGTTTTGAAGACAGTGTGATGGTGCAGAGTGAGTGAGTGAGAGTCGCTTGCGAACGGTCGTCTCGGCTGGATCGGTTTGTTGATCCTATCAACGGATCATTCATCGTGACCCGCATAAAGCGAACCGGTCAGAACATCCATTCCACCGACACTCGGTGCGCAGCCTGTCGAGCTGCTTGACAAGCTTTCACCGCTATCTTCAGGTGCACTAAATTTCAGACTTGGGATGAAGAACTTTTGTACAGTATCTTATTTTGGATGTCTAGTATTCCTTTCTGGCTGCTTGTGCTATGTTCAGTTCTCTGTTTGCCATGTTCGCTATGGTCCTGATGCATTCGCAGATGCCACTACTTTTTACGCCTGCTGGCTCGTCGCCTTGCTCGCCACGAACGCGCATCTCTCCTTCTCCGCCGCTGGGATCATCTCGACGGTGCTTCCACTGCTTGTCACCGTTCCCTCCGTGAGGACGACCCGCTGTGTCCCGTCCGTCGTGAACTCGGGCCACGTGGGTGCTCTCGCGAGCTTGAACGTGTTCGGGTTGCCCGAGCGTACGAACGAGAGCCAGTACGCGATGAGTTCGGACGCGAAGGCCTGCTCAGAGGGCGTCATAGGCGAAAACGTCACTGTGCCATTCAACCTGGAGGGCGTTCATGACTGAGCACGCAAGTACTAGAATAAGAGGACAGCGACCGAACACACCCAGTGTTCGACCCGAGGAACATCATCCAGAGTTCAGCCGCGTGTTCCACAAGTGGGTCGCCCGTCGTTGGGTTGGCCGTGTTGTACCTGTACGCGAAGGTCCTGCCCGGGGCTCGCTGTGCCGACGCTCCGCCTATGATCTCCACCTTCGTGAAACATGTCCGTCAGCCACTACACTTAGAGCGTCCCACACAGAAGAAGACCCACCGCACAACGCAGCTCACTCTCGCCTGTGCCAACACGGGCCTGCTGGCTTGAATTGTCGAAGTTGGAGACGGGGTACACCTGGTTGTACGCGGCAAGGTCGGCTTGCGTGAGTGCCGGGAAAAACGATTCGAGCGCGCTGTCCAAATTGGTGGCCCCGGTAGAGAGCGTCTCGTTCGACGTCGAGCTGCGTGCAGACAAAACCACTTAGTGAACGGCAGGAAGGAAGAAAGCACAGAGAACATGCATACCCGATCATCAGCGTGACGTTTGCGAAGTGGCCAGAGAGTACTGCGGGTGTCGGACGCTCAGGGAAGATCTTGCCGTCGAAGACAGGATGGAAAGCGTTGTACGACCCATTGCTGTTCGTGTGGTTAGGTCAGTGTTTGCTACAGGCGAGGATCTCGGAGAGCGCTCACAAAGGTGCATCCTCAGCCGGCGCAAGCGCAGTGACAGGTGCTTTCCGAAGGCAAGTCATGGTGTCAGAAAGTGTGTTCAAGCCGCCACAGCCAGCCTTCTCTGCATAGGAGTTGAACAGCGGCTGTGCGTCATATCAGCGTCGTCTGCGTCCCTCAGATGCCTAGGGTTTCAAAGCCTACTTCTTGTTGCTCCGGACTAGGCAATGGCGTTCGGTAAACACTCTGCGCAATGGCCTGGTGGAACAGACCCTGCTGTCCGCTCGCAACGAGATGCAGCTCTATAGAGGAGCCGCCGGCACTCTGGCCGTCAATCGTCACCTGCCCGGGGTCGCCTCCGAAGGCGTCGATGTGCTCTTGCACCCAGTGCAGCGCAGCAGTCTGGTCGGAGAAGCCGACGTTAAGGTCACCTAGTGAGGGCGACGAAGCGAATGTCGGGTGCGAGAGGAAGCCGAACGAGTCGAGGCGGTAATACACCGAAACAATGACGACGGAGGGGACCTGATGAATCCAATGGTCAAATGGCCAGTCAGCGGGGTTACCCTCGACGTAGGCACCGCCGTGGATGTACACTAGAACCGGGACTGATACAAAGGCTCGCGTCAGCACTTGATTCGAAACGAAGGTCATTGAGACGTACGTTTGTCGCCTTTCTTCGCGTTCTCTGGCGCATAGACATTCACATGTAGACAGTCCTCGCTGCCTGCACCTCCAGCATCGCCCTCTTGCATGTATAGTGAGCGTGGGCTTTGCACGGGAGCAAGGTGATCCCTTACCGCCTTTAGAACCCTGGATGCAGAACTCAGGGTAGGACGTCGCGTCAACGATGGCACCTCCGGCCTGTTGGCTCACGCGTGTCGTGTTCAGCGGAAGAGGAGCCCGCCATCGAAGCTCTCCAACGGGAGGCTCGGCGTACGGGAGACCCAGGTACGCGACTGTGTTCGGGAAGCTGAGGTTGCCCCGGTACTTCGCGTAGCCAAGGTCGACGACCGTGTCGGCCGTAACCAAGCAGAGGAACGAAAGTAGACCTGTGTAGACAAGCAGGCGCATGAGGACTTTGCACGTCTTGTCGAATGGTCCAGCTGAGAATCTGGAGACTCAGGACACGGACGCGATGGTTATATGCTACTGGCTTCAAGTTGCCCACAGCAGGCTTGCATCTGGCCCGGACTCAGCAGATGATTCGTCATGGGGTTACCCTTCTCTGCAGAAGCCTAGCAAACGTGAGCATGAGTCTTGCTATAACGCGAAAGACAGCGGGCGAGAACAGTACGTACCAAGAACGCGGAAGGCAGGCGGATACTCACGTCCCGCGGTGAAGTTGACGCAGCTGAATGTGCGCGCAGGTCACGATGGACCTTGCAGAGAAGACTGGTAGGGGTCGACATGACAGCTGGAGAGGATTGAGGAGCCGAGGGGTCCGGTTTCTCCGGCGTTCGCGTGTTCTACTCGGGGAATATTGAATTGCACCGGGGCGCGGCCACTTCCAGAGGCATCGTAGACAATATCTCAGACGGAAAATATCATGGTATTGGACAGGACTGGTCGAAATAGATTATTCGCGACATCTTGCGTCAAGGTATTTTATAGTAACGAGAGCCTGTAGAACCGCAACATGATTTTCAGCTCACAGAGCCAGCATTTTCAATTCGGATAAGTCGTCAGTCAATGAAGTCGCGCTTCCAAGGCCATAGTGCACGCACCTCTGACAGCCATTGCGTACAGCTTATGGCTCGCCATCTACTCTTGAATTCGGTCTCCTCACACTCTGCGCCTTGTACTGCTCTGTCGCGGCTTCCGACGCTTCAAACTCACCAGTGACGACTCTTCTATCCGCGTGAGCAAAAGTTGCAATTTCCCAGTTTGTCTAACGAGCTGGACGAAACACAGAAAGGTACAATTCTATGGAAGAGCGAATCGCTGGTGGCAGCAGGAATCAAGAGTGGAACAAGTTGTCAGTCCCGCAGAGACTTAGACGACCCCGACAGGGTGTGCTCGGGTCCGTCTCTCAGCCTCCCTCGGATGCATCTTACTTGCGGATCACGCCATTGGTACGGTCGAACAATGTCTAGATTCTGATGAATCACAACAGAATCTGAGGTCGAAAACTTTCCACATTTTATCACTTTTGCACGACTGTAATGTGCTAAGCCTGGCTGCAGGAGTATCAAAAGGCAAGGTGTGGATGCTGAAATTTGAAACCGCGTCCAGGTACGCGTTAGGTCGCGTCTCTCTTGCTGCTAACTGACGGCACGCTAGTCCCAGTTCGTTCTCTACATAGCCCGAAGGTCGAGGCCATCGAATCTCAGGTCTGTCTTCCTCAACAAGTCAATCAATACAGGGTGCATACTCATCCTTTGCATGGTATCGAGCCGTCCGGCTCGTAGCTGCCACGGAAACATTTGATCGTACAGCGCGCGCCCTGTCTCGACACCACCAGAAGTCCGCCATCAAGGCTGCGGTAAGGTGCCAGCAAGGCTGTACGTGCCCGGTTCCGTCCAGCGACGCGTGCTAACTACTAGATGCCGATGGTGTCTTTCCTAGGCTTACAAGACTGGTGGCAGTGTTGCTGCTACTTGGAAGGTCGAGACCTACGCCACTGGCTGCCCTTAAGCTTTCCTGAAGAGGTTACGACGACTCATAACCCAATTTATCGGCGTATTTATCGTGTTCTTTATGGCATAGGTCACGTGTGCGTCGTGAGTCTGGTATGAACAAGCTCACATCCAGAATTATGTTCTCAGATGGTCGCTATTTATCCCCCGATGTGTCAGGATTACCAGTGAGGACTGTGCCAAGCCGAGTGTGCGGTCAGGAAAGCCCGAGAGAATGAGTAGTTCTGTCAACGACCCGGTCCCATCGACAGCGTTGCTGATTCCCTCTGGTCAGTTTGGGGACGGATGACTCGTCGTGGTAACAGAAAACTTAAGCGTCGGTGTCTGTATGTATACGCGGTCTTGGCACTGCAGAATCTTGTGTCGCGCATGTAAACAACCGGAGCCTCGGTAACCGCCAGCATACTCGAGAAGACACAAGCTCGTGGGGCGCACACACACCCTCGACCGGTGAGTTAGTTCGTGCAGCCCATTACAAGAATTAGCAAGATTTTGTGGATGTGCAAAAAGTGCAATAAGGATTTCATGCTAACGCAGAATAATAAAATGATGCGCCCTGGTACGGTTGCCGAGCAGGCTCAGGTCAAATCCCCAAAACCCAAGTCCGGATCACAAAGCTGACGGCCAACCGCATAATGAGCGCCCGAGCACCTTTCCGCACACAAACATTAGTCTGGGTTATGTATGGCATTTTTGGGCCTTTTGGATGTTACGAAAACATGTAAGGTGCTGTATCTGTATACTCTGAGGTCAATAAAGGTAGTAGCGGGCCGAGGACCATTATCTGACCCAAACTTATCGAAGCGGTAATCAAGCGCCCAAAGCTTCGATTATCTTATCTAGAACCTAACCCTAAGTCGGTAGCACAATCTAGCGAGTACGGCATGACTTGTTCTCACTAGGTGATATTGATCATAACTAGGTTAGCAGCTGATAATATATACATTTAGTAAGATAGCTACACAGGAGGGCAAGGTCAAGCACACCTGCAACGACTCCGACGGCAAGGGGGGCCCAAGCCCCGACGCGCTGCTTCTATGGAAAATGGGCGCCTAACGCCGCCATCACTGTTCACCCCACCGCCTGCCCTGCAAACGATGATTGACATGCTTCATTTGACTTCTAACCTCGTATACATGCAATATTAATCGACTATTTATGCTGAAAATACTCAAATGTTCAGAGTAAGAGGCGCCAGTGCACTCGGAGGTTGGTGGTGTACGGCGGTTATCCGAGCGCTGATGGTATCAGATTTGGGTTTCTGACTTGGGTTTTGGGAATTTGACCTGAGCCTGCTCGGCAACCGTACCTGGGCGCATCAAAGCTATCTGAGGCAATTTCGGGGCCGAATTTGACATCGCGAACTTCATCACCTTCCTGCTTCGGCATATAGACGCCCGCGTTATGTTTGCCAAGGCAAGGCACGGGATGTTTTGCACAAGAACGGCGAGGATAAGCGACCACCTCAGGCTGTGGTGGTGATCAGCCCATTGTATATACACCCATAGCTGGCTTATGGTCGTCTGCCTCGTCTCCTCTCAGTGTTCTCCATGAAGCACCGCACTCCGCTCCTTTTTCTGGCTGTGACGGCCCTCAGCGCTGCTCCGGCTGTCCACTCTTTGACAGGCTATGCAAATGTCTTCATTGACCCAACGGATATCCTGAACAAAACATACCCCAATATTGGTCCAGCCAACAAGACCATCTTGAACTGGGCAGAGCAGAGTGCTCAACAAGGCCCATGGAGTAAGTCATATATCGGCGTCCGTGGACCGGAACCTTCTCACACCGCACATTACATTATAGCCGTAAGCAAGAAACCCTTTCCTCCTCCTTCTGGCGATTACCATGACTATATGAGCTGGGCTCCATAGTATGCTGTGATCTCATTCTCATTTCACCACCTATTTAACTCTTAACAGCTGGTGGCCGGACTGCTCTATTAATGTCCATAATACTACTGCCCTGTCTCCGCAGCAGAGTAAGCACTGCACATAAAATGCAAGTTTCTTAGTGGCTGATTCCATGTGAATTAGTCTGGCAACAGTGCAACTATGTTCAGATGGACGGACAGCTCAACCCCGATAATCGCTTGATCAATAATATTGGCGACTTAGGGAGCATGGCTGACGCCATCTTGTATAACTCTCTGTCCTACGTGCTCACGGGCACGACAGAATACGCGGCTAGGGTTGTGACCTACATCAACACATGGTTTCTGAACGGCGACACCAAAATGAATCCCAACTTGAATTACGCTCAGATGCAAGGCGGACCAAACGGCCAGGTCGGCACCCACACCGGTATCCTGTATGTCTCCAGTTCTGTGCCGGCGGCTGCGCGCTGATTCAAGCACAGGGACCTGAAATGCATGAGCAAGATCGTGACTGGCGTGTTGCTCCTGCGTCAAGCGAAGCCTGGTCCCTGGACCTCGGACGTTGACACCGGTCTGAAATCCTGGGCTAAGGAGTATATCCAGTGGTTAACGACCGCTGATATCGCCCTTCAGGAAAGGAAGGCTGTAAAGTAAGCCACGTTCTGGTAATATAGACGATACTGTCAACCAACAGCATTCTCCCCAGCAATCACGGCACATTTTACTTCAACCAGCTGGCGGCCCTTCAAATCTTGGTGGGCGACACCGACGGGGCTCGGCAATCCATTGAGGAATACTTCAATGGTATTTACATGGCGCAGGTCGATGCCAACGGCGACCAGGTTTGCAAGTCTCTTGCATATACTTGCCTTCAATCACTCATTATGCCGCTGTAGAGTTTTGAGTCAGCTCGTACAAGGCCGTACCACTACCGTGCTTACAATCTGGCCGCCATGATCGTACGCGACTGCTTCATCACAACCACACATGTTCTTATGTATCACGCCCTCCCAGACTAACGCCAAGCTCGGCCGGTACGTCGGCGTGAACGTCTGGAACAAGACCACCAGTTCCGGCGCGACGATTAAGACCGCGCTCGACTACGCCATGTCAGTCCCACCAAGCCCTGCCGAGAGAGACTACGCCGCCGAGCTCTACCCAAACGTCGCCGCTGTGGCAGCAATCTACGGCGATCCAAACAACACGTACGCAGGCTTCCTCGCCAAGGCTGAGGGCGCGGGCTACGTCAAGGATGCGTGTTTCCTTTGGAGCCAGCCGCTGAGCGACAGTGGCCTCGCGAACGCGCCGCCCAGCGTCGTGACCTTTTCCGCGAGCGGTGTGACGTATTCGGCGAGCAAGCCTGCAGTGTGGACCGGCGGGCCGACGGCGCCTGCGGCTACTGGCAAGAAGGAGAACGCGGCCTTTAGCTTCACGCTTGCCTCTTGGCGTGCCTATGGTGTGCTCTATGGGGCGTGCATCGTAGTAATGATCGCCTCTTTCGTCGAGTTCTTGTGAAGACGCGTCGGTCGGATACAGTACCTCACTTACGCATCCTTTACTTCCCGTCTTCCGCGCGAGACACTGACATTCCTACTTTATGTTGCCTATTCGCTATATCGCTGTGTACGATCGACGTGCGTTCTCGTATCTGTAAATTCAACCCATGTGGTACCATGTGGTGTCGAGTGGAATTACCGTGAATAGTATGGGGTCTATTATACCTACCAAACTCATACGAAGCTACAGTCGGGGGTTATTAAAACGCAAAGCAGTATTACATGTCGTAAGCTAGGACACCAAGGGCGTCAGCTAAGGGTAGGCACTTGCAAAGAGACAGGACAAACCCTGAAAGAGGTTTTTCCGTAAAATAGCGTCCTCCACTGTGGACCATTTGGAAATTAGTTGCGTTGGACATCTACGTGGTACTTACTGGATACAAGTGCCGCCCTGGTAAGATTCGAATTCTGAGCAATGTCATTTGAACTCAAGTCGCTTGTCACTGCACGAGCACGAGGCACGTACCACTGCACTAGTTACTGCCATATACAGCGACCGAGAGGAAGAGACAGAAGATCTTTTGTGTATGTCGATAAAGCGCTGCCTCATGACTGGCAACGTGCACCAAGGCTCAGCTCAGGATGTGAGCGTTGAATGCATGATGACTTACAAGCGGTATATGCCTCAGCGTCCAAGCCTCCAGTGTATTTCTGTACGTGCCTCGAGGGATCCCGCCCTTCAGCGATCTTCATTCTAACGAGGTCCACCTTATTCAGGAACACTGTAGCACACATCATCAACACCCTTCGTGATCGGTGGGGGGATGCATCGCGTACATATCAAGCTAGTCCTTGCCAGAAGCTTGGCCTTGACGAGGGACTTCCAGAGGTCGACAGAGTCGGTGACGCGGTTGACGCCGGGATCCTCGGCGAGGTTCTCGTCAAAGCAGTGGATCGGTGCCACGAATAGGATGAGCTGCGCGTCATCAAAGTATGGCAGCCATGTCTGTCTCTGCTCGCCGATTAGCAATATTTTTCATTGGGGACGCGAAGGGTATGCGAACCTGATTCCTAGAGCCACCAACGTCGTAGATACGCCACTGCCGTACGCCAAGCTTAGTCCTCAGTTTGAGGAAATGAGGGTCGACTCTGTCGGGGCCTTTGGCTTGAGGTGGATGTGCTTGAGGCTCGGGAAGGTTGATGTTGTACTCCTGCACTCCCATTGTATGCAGACGCGCATGTAAGATGTCGTCGTCCGTGGGGACGTAATCTCGTGCGGCAATACGGCTGACATTATCGAGGAAGCTGCGAAAATTGTATAGGAAGAACGGCAAGATGCAAGGCCTAGAACGCACTATTCTGCCGAACTGTCAAGCGTGACCGCCCGCCTCTTGATCGCAGCTTTGACGACGGGATCCTGCCAAAGTTCCTTGACGCCCCGCTGCTGATACATAATGATATTCGTGGAGATTGAGAGGACGTTGCTGGCCCCAGAGTCAGCAGCTCTGAGCAGAGGCGACACCTTGCTCATCCATTCTTCGTGCGAGCGAACAGTCAGCTCCGCCTGCTGTTCCTGAGATAGATCAATATTTCCAAGAGGTATGTCGTCGAAAGGCGTGGCAACCATGATAGCGTCTCCTGGGGCCCACCCATCGTCCGTGAGCTCCCTAGTCAACAGCTTTTGCAAATCTGCCTCGATCTGCCGGAAGGGCGCGAGCTCGAGCTTGAGGATTCCGTGGCGGATCGTGAAGTCTGGCTGGCACGGCGTCGCGGAAGACATGTACGAGTCCGTCGACGGCCGTCCGGGCCCGTTCCAGGAGCTCCTCGCTGAAAAGGTCGTCGGCGCAGCACGTTCTGTTCGCACAGTCTCTGTAGGTTGAGCGATGGCGTCGCCGAGTGCCCGCGCCACCTCGTTCACCGCGCGAAGGAGGTTGTAGTGCACGACGACGCGCCAGAGCCTGCGCTCTGTCTCCCATTTTCCGGCGTCACCCATGATGCGTATGTCTATGACGGGCCTCAATCTCGCATGTGTGCCATACAGCGAACGCCACTTACTCTTGAGTACGGTCGTCTTGCCTAATAGCGCATACGAAGCGTTAGCAAAAGCCCGTGACACCTGACGAGGACGCACCGCTTCCACTCTGACCGAGCAACAACATCTTCAGTATGCTCTTGTTCTTCTGCCGCCTCTCCTTCGCCTCCTTCGCTATTGCCTCGTCTATCTTTTGGCTCCTCGCCGCTGCTTCGATGCGCGCTTGTTCTTCTTCTTCAGTTTCATCTGGTGGTCGCCACTTTGATGACCTGTGGAAGGGATTATCTCCGGTCATGGAGGACGCTGGCGGGGATTAGTGGATGAAAAGCACGAGAAACGCAGGGTTCATGGGCGGGTTCATATAGGACAGGGACAAGGGAAAGGACAGATAAGGACCGGTCTGTCCCACCATAAGAAGTCTATCAAAGGCACAACAAGAGGCGTGGGTTCAAGACGCCGATTTATGACTGCTGGGACAGCCGCGCTTTGCATAATTCTGACGTTCGTTACCAGGCGCGATAGTGTGACAGAAGACGTAGACAGTGGGTGAAAAGCTTGGTAATAAAGCATCGTGTTGGTTACTCGGGACCGACGCGGCGGATCAGTGAGAGGCGTCGCGCGATGTTAGCGCAAATAATAACCATGAGCGCCCCGCAGTGAAATCGAGACTAGCAGGCGACTGTTAGGCTAGTTGATGTTGTACTAGCACTGAGCAGCTAGCCTCCGAGGATGAATGGGGGTGCCGTATGTTACCGAGGATGTGCCTAAGATCTTCGCGAGGTCACGATAACGAAAGCAGCCGAGACGTTCGTGGAATGGATCGCCAATCATAACCTTATACACGAACGAAAAACCCGCAAAAAGCTAGGAGACGAGGAGAGGGGCAAGTAAGACATCTAGAGTCCGATTTGAGGAGATCGAAGCAATGATGACGTCGGCACCGCTGGCGACGATCGTCATATGAGTTGGACTGGAAAGGATGACAATGAGGTAGAAATTGTGAGCGCGTAACTGGATACGTACCATTTCTCATGCTTTTCTCCAGGACCATCGTTTGTACTAGAGTCGGAAGGATTGATTGGTCGATTAGTAATGCTCGAGTGTTGGAGGACTCACTGCTGGTAAGCGTAACTTTAGTCCGAGTGATGTCCTAGATGATTAAAGCAATTAATTCTCAGTTCGTCGCGCAGGCCATTTGATGAGATACTCACTACGGCGCTCGTGCGGTAGACGAAGCATGTTCGTCTGGATTCTGTCTGATCTACAATCCTTAGGGCAGCTCTGAACTGCTTCTCCAACCCTGCTTAGCCGGACCAAAGTTGTCAGTCTAAAGAGATCGAAGTAAATTCCTGCTTACAAGAAAGGTAGCTGTCTGCGTCTCTGCTATTGTAATGACCAGGTATATGCACCCTTGGGTCCTTGCCCGCAGCAATCTTTCTTTCGAGCAGATCAGTTTTGTTCAAGAACACTAGTCTGAGATTTCAGAGCCAGTCAGCCTCGAGAGTACTACATGCTCACAAATCATTGTCGCTCTTCGCAGCAGCGCGTTGCTGCAGATAGACTGCCACAGTTCAAACATGTCCTTCATGCGGCTGATTGATCTTCTCCCCGAGTCTGCTCTCACGGGTGCTGTAGGTCTATCCTTCGTTCCTAGTCTGCTGACTGGCCTGGTTGCCTCCCCACCAGCTGGCTCATCGAAACAATGCACCGGCGCCAAGAACAGGATGACATGTACATCGTCGAAGTACTGCGCCCATTTAGCTCTCTGGCATCACCCGTCAAACTAACGTTTGTACGCAAAGCTGCGAAGACTTCTTACATGCTTTCTGGTGCCACCAATGTCGTAGATCCACCACTCGTTTAGATTCAAAGCCGCCCGCACCGCTATGCCAGATGAAGTCGACTGTTCTTAGCCTGCTAAAAATATGACTCACCTGGGTCCGAGAACTTTATGCAATACTCCTGGATTCCGAGGGTGGGCAACCGAGCGTGGAGAATGTCGTCATCCGTTGGCATGTAGTTCCGGGTCACGATGCGGTCTAAACCGTTGAGGAAGCTACAAAATACTGCGAGTCAGATAACATTAGATGAACCATATATAAGCAGTACGTACTACTCAGCAGAGCTATCCATTTTGACTCTCCGCCTTTTGAGCACGGCTCTGACGATAACATCATTCCATAGCTGTTTGATCTCGGCGCGTAGCTGTATGACAACGTTCACCACGGCCATGTACTTGTAGAAGCATTTGTCAGCCGCGACGTTGATCATCCATTGCTCCTGAGAACGGACGCGGAATTCCTATGCCAAATGCTCAGGTTGCTGGAAGGTCACAATAACGACACGATCACTTCACCTGATTATTGTTCGTATTGAACTGCCGAGAGCCGTGAAGGATCTCCTCCAGGTCCTCGATGAGGGTTTTCAATGGCCCTAACTTTAACTTTAGTGTGTGGTGGTCGTAAGCGAATTTAGGCGCGGGCGGGACCAAAGAAGTGGTGGATGAATTGGAGACGATGGGATCGAAATCGTCTGAGGTGCTGGTACGCGACTTTGTGGGATTAGGTACGTGGAAGCAAGTCGGTAGTAGTGGGATATGCTCTATTTCCTCCTCTGGGTCGACGATCGCGTCCTGAAGAGCTTGCACTACCAGGTTGACGGCTAGAAGTAGGTTGAGTAGAATAACAGCACGCCATAGGGGGCGCTCCTCGTTCCACTGAGACGGGACCTCCATCATGCGTATGTCTACGACAGGCATTGATATACAGACGCATCGTGCCACGGGCATGACTCACTCTTCAGCACTGTTGTCTTACCTATGCGCGGACATCAGCAGCAAGTCGGCACTGCACAACAAGAGACTATGCACCCACCGCTCCCACTTTGCCCCAATAAAAGCATCTTCAGCACGCCGTTCCTCTGCTCAATCAATTTTTTCCCCGCTTTCTCAAGCGCCTCATCGATGCTCCGGCTTCTCTCTATAGCTATTGCTTCTGCCCGCAGGCGAATTTGTGCTTGTTCGGCGGTTTCGTTTGCAGGTGGAGCGAGCGCTTTCGCGATTGGATCCGAGTCGTAGTGTCCGTACACCATGTTAGCGAGCTGTGGGCGGGCGGCGACTTGAAGAAGTGGCTGATGGAGACGGTATATAGACTAACTGGGCCGAGGGAAGCAGAAGGGCGATCCATCCGGTTGCGAGGTATGCCGTACACGAGACCTATGTTCCTGAGAGACTGCTTAGAGTCGATCGGCCTCTGCCAAGAGGCGCCTGTTTCTCTGCGAACATTGGTCATGAGATACACCACCGATGTCAAGCACACAGTACCGGCCAGTGGGGCTCAGCGACCGAGCGTTTGCGAAGTAGCCTACAGGGCTCGCACGGTAGAACCCATCTGGGCGCTGTTCAATCAAAGGGTAATCTTTCACACAGCTTTCTGAAGGTTCCTGTAGCAACTAAGCTTGTTCGTGTCCCTGCGGGAAAGCAGATGGTACGGTCTAGGTTCAATCAGAAGAATCTCACGTCCTGGATGTGCCATACCTCTTTTTCATAACCCCCGACGGGAGGAACAGAAGCTCGTCTCTTCATGATCTAAGACCATGATGCGTACCCTCCAGTCAGCGGCAGTGCCGACACGGATCCAGGGTTATCAGCCCATCCGACACAAGGAAGCTATTGATCCAGATGAATTAAGTATTCGCACCGGAGTGTGGCAATTCGTTCAGATGAGCATCGTTCGCAGTTGAGGCAGAGACGAAGGCCTATCCGCGGAGATCCCATGTTGAGCTTTATCTCTATTATTATGTGCTGGCCCTGCAGCTATCAGGTTAGCAGGAATGTTCGTATTCCAAATGTGGCCTACGGCGTACGCATTTTCACAAACGCCAAGGCTCGCCCTAAATGAGTCGTGCTTTCACCGTGGCTATGCGGAGAGACATCGGTCATTGGCTGGAGACACGATTGTTACCATGCTGAAACGCATTGAATGCACACACACAGGATGTCACCTGCGAGTGACGGCGCAGCGGGAGCAGCGTGTGCATGTCCAGTAGACTCGTAACAGTAAGAATTAGATCGAGGAGACAGCGATAAACACGGCGCGTCTGCTCCGGGCGTCGAGGCCGCGTCACGTGCAATGCGCGCTAACTGCTTCCACGTCTCTCTGGGGTTCGCAGCCTGGTTACTTGCTCAACTTTTATTTTCTGCCACCCATCTCCGCGGATCCTCACCATGTTCGCAGACGAGCTCAAGACATTGCGGAGACTCGGTGTGCGGCATGTAGGTCGCTTTGCGATCTTGATGACAAGGACGAGCTCATTTACGATCGCGTCATAGGTTTTACTCCAAATCCTGAACTTCGCATCTGTGCTCGCGACCGGACTTATGATGTGGAAAGGTCTTGGGCTCATTTGTAACACGGAGTCACCGATTGTTGTTGTTCTCAGGTGCGCTCTATTTTGTTCTCCGAACGCGCTTTGGATCACTCACTGGGCCTTGGTCTAGTGGTTCTATGGAGCCCGCGTTCTACCGCGGCGATCTACTCTTCCTCACGAACCCCGCTAGCGAACGGTATCACACGGGTGACATAACCGTCTACAGGGTTCCTGGCGCAGATATACCGATCGTACATCGCGTTTTGGAGACACATGATGTTATTTCGAAAGACAAAGGGTCAGTTAGCTCTATGCCAGATGAGCTTCTAATTGTTAACGTGTGTTTCTCCAGATATGTTTCTGCGAGTCCTCTGGGACAGAAACAACTAATCTTGACGAAGGGTGACAACAACCCGGTCGATGACATTGACTTGTACCAAGGGCTAGAATGGCTTGAGCGGAAGCACATTGTAGGGAAAGTGCGAGGGTACGGGGAGTAGCCTCCTGTTTGATCTCCTGCGCTGATATACTTCCGCTAGATTCGTACCATATGTAGGATACGTGACGATTGCGATGGTATGTCGCATCTTCAGTATGTGCACCTGAATACTCACCCAGTCTCTCTAGAACGACTTCCCGCAGCTGAAATACGCTATATTAGGAGGTCTCGGTCTAATGGCCCTCGTACAGCGCGAATGATCCCTCCATTTCTCTTCTGGGCTTCGATTGTACACGTAGTTCTTCAATGCATCAGTCATCGGGTCGTCTTGGGACTCCGGGATTCTTCTTGCCAGAGAAAGCCTCGGGAGCTGTTGACGTCGCCGCGATAACTCTAACTCGGAGCTGCAGCGGTTGCCAGGGCCAGGTACCATGATCTGACTTCAACAGACGAACATAACGCGTAGCAGGTATAGTCCCTCGAGGGCCCACTAAGGAAAGTTCAGAATTATAACGCCGGCCAATCTGAATTACCAGAACAAAGTGCCAGAAGCTTGTTCATATCTGTGCGTGTGCAATCTTCACCTTTATCTCACGAGATGCGCTTCTATCCAGCAGTACGCCGCATGGTTTGTGCGATGTTAGAACGGTATCAGGCATTACAGGGCCACGGACGTCCTGGCGTGGGGCATAAAACACAATCGCGCGTGCTCTTATAGACGCATGCGTCTGAGAGTGTTTGGAGCGTTACCCACCGACCTACTAATTCCCTGGACGCTCACCAAGATGTCTGGCCTCAAGACCCGCTCATCGGTATCGTTGGACTCGAGAGAGAAGGATCCGGAGATTATCACCGGTATACACGAGATAGTGCGGGAGGTCCCGTCTACGAGAAAATTCAAGGGGTACGCCGATAAGTTCAACGCCTGGTTAGCATCGAGGGGACTGGAGGGACACGGGTGCGTACGCTGTCTGTGGTTGTTGGCCTTGCTGACGTGTCGTCATGTAGCATCGAGCCCACGACGGAGGAACAACGAACAGACACACGGATTTTCCAAGTATTTACTGTATGGTTCTCTGCCAACGTCAATGTCCCGGCGTACGCTCTTTGACTGGTTAGAAAATGAACGTTGCTGACTCCAACGCGCAGTTTCGGAGCAGCCAGTATTGGCCCTGCTTTCTTCGGCCTTGGAATGCGGACAACATTCCTTACGTGCGTCGTGACGGATCTAATGTGCGCATTTTGTCCCACCATCACGCTTGTCCACATTAATACGTCGTACAGAACGTGCATCTTCCCTGCATACTTGTACGCCAAAATGAAATTGCCACCATTTGGGATGTCTGCGGCTAACCCGGCGACAGCGCGGTCTTCGGGCCAAAATTGGGAACACGAGCAATGGTTCAGAGTCGCTTTTCCTGGGGCTACTATGGTGCAATCATCCCTAGCTTCCTGAATGTCCTCACGATGCAAGGCTATCTCATCATCAACTGCATCATCGGAGGCCAGACGCTCGGCGCAGTGCTCCCTCATCCCAGTGCAACCCTCGGAATCGTCATCACAGGTCTTATCTCACTTGCCGTCACATTCTGCGGCTATCAGATACTTCATTGGTGAGTTCCCTCACATTGTCGTGAGAGGCAGAGTGCTCACTAAGATGTGTCAGGTACGAGATGTTCTGCTGGATTCCAAATGCTGTTGCCGTGATCGTCATGCTTGCGATCAATAGCAAGACGTTGCGCAGTGTACCCGTTGAGGACCCGACACCGGCATCAGCTGCGTCTATTCTGACTTTTGCGGCCGCTGTCGCTGCCAGCGTGGTCGCATGGTGTCCCATCTCGCCAGACTACGGCGTCTTCCACAGCCACAAAGCTTCTAGGTGGGATGCTTGGGATATGTCGCCAACGGAGGGAAGCTGATAACAGTGATAGCATGAGAATTTTCATTTACGCATACCTTGGGTTCCTGCTCTCTAGCGTGCGTTTATTGAATATCTTCCCGGAGTACGCATCTGACACCTTTCCAGGTCTTGATGCACCTTGTCGGCGGAGCCTTTACCGCGGCTGCGCCTTATGTGCCGGCATGGCAGGCAGGCCTCGGAAACGGCAACGACATCGGTGGACTCGTTGCAGCGGTGCTGGCCGGCGCAGGCGGCTTTGGCAAGTTCCTTGTCGTATGCATGGCGCTGACAACCCCAAGTGCGAGCACGCCGTCGATGTACACAGCGTGCACGAGCCTAATGACGATCTGGCGTGGCTTCGAAAAGGTTCCGCGATTCTTGTTCGCGATCATCTCCACTGCGATGTATGTGCGCCGCTTCTCCGCGACGTCTGTGGGCTGACCTATTGGTGTGCAGACTGATACCGGTGGGCATCGTCGGCGCGACAGAGTTCTACGATACGTTTACACAGATCCTCAGTGCGTGGCTGCGTGCTTCGTGTCGATCCCCCCTCTGACAGCTCCATGATCTTCGGCAGGTTTCATTGGCTACTGGCTGGGACCATTCATGGCAATTGTCCTGACGGAGCACTTCGTCTTCCGGCGTCGGTGGTGCGCATACGCCGTCGCAGATGCATGGAACGTCCCGACGCACCCGCGCCTAGCGCGGGGATACGCCGCAGTGTGGACAATGCTGAGCTCGATTCCGCTCATCGCGGTGTGCATGTCCCAAGTTTGGTGGACGGGCCCCGTCGCACGGGCGGGCACAGGCGACATCGCGATGATGGTCTCGTTCGTGTACAGTGTTCCCATGTACGCCTTTGCCCGCAGGCTCGAGCTGCGCTACACGTCGTCTGCGTGAGCGACGGTATGTGGCACCTTCGGTGTGCACAGCCCGAATGCTCATCCAATCTTCCTAGAACGACTTCCCGCGACTGAAATACGCGCTATTGGGAGGTCTCAGTCTGCTGGCCCCCGTACAGCGCGAAACATCCCTCCATTCCTCTGATTGTACACATAGTTTTCAATGCATCAGTCATCGTATCGTCTTGGGAATTGCCTTACCAGAGAAAGCCTCGGGAATTATTGACGGTCGCCGCAATAGTTCAACTCTGGGCCGCAGCGATTGCCAGGACCAGGTACCATGATCTAATTCCAACGGACGAATATAGCGCGTGGTCAGGTATAGTCTCGAGAGCCTGCCAAGGAAAGCTTAAAATCTCAAGGCCGGCCCATCTCAATTGCCAGAACAAAGTGCCAGAGGCTCGCCGGTATCAGTGCGTGCAATCTCCATCCTTATCTCACGAGGTATGCTTCTATTCTACGGCACATCGTATGGGTTGTGCAATACTGGAACGGTATCAGGCATGACAGGGTCACGGACGTCCTGGCGTGGGGTGCAAAGTCTAATCGCGCGCGCTCTTATAGATGCATGCGTTTGAGAGGGTTCAGAGAGCTGCCCACCGGCCTGTGAGCTCGCCTGGACACCCGTCAAGATGTCTGGTCTCAAAGCTCACTCATCGACATCGTTGAACTCGAAGGAGAAGGACCCAGAGATTCTCGCTGGTACACAGGAGATCGTGCGGGAGGCCCAGCCCACGAATAAGTTCAAGGGGTATGTCGATAAGTTCAACGCTTGGTTAGCCTCGAGGGGATTGGACGGACATGGGTATGTACGTTGTCTATGGGTGTCGACCTCGCTGACGTGTCATCATGTAGCATCGAGCCCACGACAGAGGAGCAACGAAAAGATACACGGATTTTCCAAGTATTTACTGTATGGTTCTCTGGCAACATCAATGTTTTAACGTACGTTCTTCAGCACCTTAGAAAATGACCGATTGCTGACTCCAGCGCGCAGTTTCGGAGCAGCCAGTATTGGCCCTGCTTTCTTCGGCCTCGGAATGCGGACAACATTCCTTACGTGTGTTGTGACGGATCTGATGTGTGTATATTGCTCTGCTATTACTCCCCATTAACATGTTGTACAGAACCTGCGTCTTCCCTGCATACTTGTACGCCAGAATGAAATTGCCACCATTTGGGATGCCTGCTAAAGTAGCAATAGCGCGGTCTTCGGGCCGAAATTGGGAACACGAGCAATGGTTCAGAGTCGCTTTTCCTGGGGCTACTATGGAGCAATCATCCCTACCTTCCTGAATGTCCTCACGATGGTAGGCTATCTCGTCATCAACTGCATCATCGGAGGCCAGACGCTCGGCGCAGTGCTCCCTCATCCTAGCGCAACTCTCGGAATCGTCATCACAGGTCTCATCTCACTTGTCATCACATTCTGCGGCTATCAGATACTTCACTGGTGAGTTCTCTCACATTGCCCTGGGAGTTAGAGGGCTCGCTGACATGCACCAGGTACGAGATGCTCTGCTGGATTCCAAATGCTGTTGCTGTGGTCGTCATGCTTGCGATAAACAGCAAGACATTGCGCAGTGTACCCGTTGGAGACCCGACACCGGCATCAGCTGCGTCTATTCTGAACTTCGCGGCTGCTGTCGCCGTCAGCGTGGTTTCATGGTGTCCCATCTCACCGGACTACGGCATCTTCCACGACCACAAAGCTTCTAGGTGAGATGCTCGGGATGTGTAACAAACGGAAGGAAGCTGATAGCAGTGATAGCATGAGAATTTTCATTTACTCGTACCTTGGATTCTTCCTCTCTAGCGTACGTCTGTCGGACATCTTCCCAGAGTACGCATCTGACATCTTTCCAGGTCGTGATGCACCTTGTCGGTGCGGCATTCACTGCAGCCGTGCCGTATGTGCCGGCATGGCAGGCGGGCCTCGGAAACGGCAACGACGTCGGCGGGCTCATCGCCGCAGTGCTGGCCGGCGTGGGCGGCTTTGGCAAGTTTCTCGTCGTGTGCATGGCGCTGACGACCCCAAGCGCGACCACACCGGTGATGTACACGGCATGCACGAGCCTCATGACGATCTGGCGTGGCTTCGAAAAAGTTCCGCGATTCTTGCTCGCGATTATCTCCACTGCGATGTATGTGCGCCGCTTCTCCGTGACGTTTGTGAGCTGATATCTGTTGGTGCACAGACTGATACCGGTGGGCATCGTCGGCGCGACAGAGTTCTACGATACATTTACACAGATCCTCAGTGCGTGGCTGCGCGCTCCATGTCGATCCCCCCCTCTGACAGCTCCTTGATCTTCGGCAGGTTTCATTGGCTACTGGCTGGGACCATTCATGGCAATTGTCCTGACGGAGCACTTCGTCTTCCGGCGTCGGTGGTGCGCATACGCCGTCGCAGATGCATGGAACGTCCCGACGCACCCGCGCCTAGCGCGGGGATACGCCGCAGTGTGGACAATGCTGAGCTCGATTCCGCTCATCGCGGTGTGCATGTCCCAAGACTGGTGGACGGGCCCCGTCGCGCGTGCGGGCACAGGCGACATCGCGATGATGGTCTCATTCGTGTACAGTGTTCCCATGTACGCCTTCGCCCGCAGGCTCGAGCTGCGCTACACGTCGTCTGCGTAACAGGTCCCTTCCGCCCTTCGGCCCTGTATCACACAAGCAAAGCAAAAAGCAAAAGGCTGATAAACGCCATGTGTGTGAACGTTATCCTCCAGGCTTTCTGCGGCTGTCAAGTGACACACCGCCCCGTGCGCCGCCCGCGTGGATGATAGGCGACGTTCGTGCGCCCGTTGACTGCCAGGCACGCCAGCAGCATGTGCGCGCACGGCAGGTGCCCAGGCAGAAAAATGCCGCAGGGCAGGAAACGGACCAAAGGGCAAGGGCCGAGTTTTGGGTGCGGACGGAGAGGTGATACGTAACGCACTGCCTGGGGTCCGCGCTCTGCTCCCCTGGGATCGCAGGACGCCGTGATGAGAAGCGAAGCTGGGGCCACGGAATGAATGCAGCACGGTGCTGATTGAGTGAGGTTGCGAAGCCGGGCCGGCGACGGGGGAGATGGCAGACACGAGGTTGATCAGAGTTGTGTGTTCTCGGACGACGGATAAGGCGAGAACAGACCAGAGGAAAAAACGCTGGGAACGGCACCGAATAGTAGTGGTATATTGGTGGAGAGAATAAACAAACATTTGTAGCTAGTAGATTCCCACAACAACGACGAGAGGCGATGAGGAACGAAGACTATGAATGTGTACGAGATCCAAGGGAGATGGGGGGATGATCGGAAGCAATATAACGAAACGTAAGTACACAAACGAGAAAGCAACAGTGAGACACGACCAGAACATCGATAGCATGTAAAACAGATCATTTAACTATAGGGGGAGGCGCATTACTGTCCGCCGGGGTTGTAGAATTTGTAGTCCCATATCCCGTTCCCGTCGGAGCGCGGCACATCTGCGGGCTGCCAGCTCTGCACGTATGGCGCCGAGAGCTGCGTCGCAGTCATCTGCATATGCCCGTTGACGTGCGCCGTTGCCGTCGCCGAGTACTCGTGGCCCATCTGTTTGCTGAGGCGGGGATCGAAGCCTGGCGGAGGCGCCTTCTCAGGTGGGAGCGCAAACCGCCCTGCCTCGCCGCGAGGTGTGCCTGGGACCGACGTGCTGAGGGGAGGCGGGAGCTGCGCACCGAGCGCTGAGCCGACGCCGAAGGAGGACATCCCTTGTGAGGACATGCTCGGCGCGTGCTCCACGCCTGGCTCGTACGGCTGTGGTTGCGCAGGCGGGTACTGCATGTAATAATCCGGGGGAGGCGGCGGATGTGATGCCGGCGCCGTCGTCGTATACGGGCTCTTGCTAGAGGAATGTGGGTCGTAGACGTGCGTCGACGTCTGCGGCGAGTTCGAATAGCTGTGCGTCGCTGAGCCGTGATTGCTGAAATCCATGTGGAAGTCGTGCTGCATCGTCTGCATGGTGGGCGGCTGGCCGTCCTGTGCCTGCGGGGGAGGATACGTGAAGCTATTCCCGTCGATAGGCGTCTGCACCGCGGATCCTGGGGCAGTAGGTGACAGGTGAGAAGATGGTCCGACGGCCGGGGTGGGCGGAGAAACCGATGTCGAGCCAGTGCGTTGACGTACAGCCGGAGGTTGTCCGTTGATAATCCGGTGACGAACACCACAAGCGGGATACTTGGTCTTATCCTTCTCTTTGCTGCTCTTCTCCTTCTCCCTCTCCCTCTCCTTCGCCTTTGCCGCCTTCGGGTCCTGTACGTCCGCTCTGGGACCCGCCAACGCGATCTTTGACATGGTAAGCGGCGGACGGCCCTGCGAGACCTTGATAGATGTGACAGACGGCCCAACGTATGGCAGCTGGAAGCCAGACGAGAGCGAGGACATGCAGTGCCAGTCTTCCTCGGCACGCTTGCGTTTCGCGCCGGTGGGCGAGCTGGTAGACGCGCGTGCACGCTCCGCCTTCTCCTTCATCATCTCGACTATCTTGATCGCCTCGTCTGGTGTATCCGGGAAGACCTTGCAACGCACGACGTGCATCTCGCGCATGATGTCGAGCGCATGCGTAATGCCCTTCATGCCTTCGCCTGCAAGGATGCTCGCCGGCTGCTGGATGACGGCGTGCGCACAGATGACGGCCGCGTCGAATAGTGAACGCGTGTAGTCGTAGTACTCGAAGATACCCGGTCGTGTCGCACGCCAGACGGTGTACATGACTCGTAAGGCGTAGATGATCGAATGTGCCGCATTGATAGTGCCCAGCACGGCCTGGTGAGACACCTTTGCGGGGCTCCCTTCGCTTGTGTCCTTCATGAACGGCAGGTAAAGCTTGATGACGACACGGTTTGCGATGACGACGAGGGCAGCACGTTGGGCGATAAGGACGGAATCGCCTTCAAGTGGCTGGGAACAATCAAGCTCCATATTTAGGCGGTACACGGGCGGAAGGTCTTGCAGGAAACCCATGACCTCCTTCTCGAGCATCGCTGCGTGGTCAATGGAAGCCTCGGGTGAGTCTTCAATCACATCTCGCGTGATTTGCCGCCGGATACCCTTGCACAGCTGCGTTAGCTTGCATCGGAAGATGAAATACTGGATGCTCGAGTATTGCCGGTCCTCGGGTGGTGGAGGGACCGTTGTCGACGATGGGCTAAACGAGCTCTCTTCCACGTCCTTCGGGATTTTCGTTGACGATGATGTCTCGGTGATGAGCGACGGATGACCCATGCAGTCGGACACAACCCTAAAGGACAAGTGAGCAAGAAGGGCAAGCACAAGGAGAGAGCTACATACATGTCGTAATAGACGATATCCCACCAGATGCGTCTCCGAGTTTCAGCCTCGAAAAGGCTATAGGTCCCGGGGAACTCGTCAGGGTCTACGGCGAGGCCCATCATCCGCGCAACGTTGATCATCTTGCCAACAAGGGGGAAGACCGTGTGCGCGATCCGCATCGTACCGTCATGCAGCAGATAGAGGACTTGGATTAGCATCGCAATGACACTGTCAACGTCGTACGACGACGTATCCTCGAACAGGCTGAGACTCTGCTTTGAGAGCGCAAAGAGAACGGCCGGGTTGTTCCGTTGCATGACATCTGAGTCCGTGCTTGTCTCGCCAGGGTCCCTCGCCATGACAGCGCCTAGCGCAAACGCGGCGGAAGCAGCGGCAAAGAAGCTGAGCGTTGGTTTCGGTGATGAGGATGCAAAACTTGCGGGCCTCTTCGGTGCGCCGTTAGCTTGACCAAAGAGCTCCCGCGCAAGGTCGCTCTTTTGCTTAGATGGGTCGTTCGCTTCTCCCCACGCCATCATGGCATCTACACGTTGCTCGAAGTGCCGGAAGTTAAAGCATGGGTGGACGAACATGGCGTCGTAAAGACCCTTGAGATACCGTGTTCGCGTTATCGCAGAAGGGGGCAGCCGATGCAATAATGCGGGTGTGACCTGCGGGAGATCGCGCTGTGATATTAAAGAAGCTGAGGATAGATTCCGCAATGAATGAATAGATATAGTCACCTGCTGTGTAGGAGCGCCCCCTGATGCTTCGGGCTGGAATACGTTGAAGGGTATCAGAGGAACATAGACGTTCACATTCTTGAATCCGCTCCCGTGGATGGTGGAAGAATTCAGCGCCGCAGGAGGAGACGACGCTGTCGAAGTAGGCGTCGTCGACGGCGCAAGCACCACAGGTGTCGGCTCGAGTTTAACCCTCGCCGTACCACTTGTGGTGACCGCAGGCCGCGCTACCGAATATGGTGATGTCGACGGTGCTTTCGACGCATCATCAATACCGAGCTGTGCCTGGAGCTCATTGAGCCAGACGCCAGCGGTATCCTCTAAGTTCACCACCAACGAGCTGCCGGACTGTCCCGAGATGAGAAGATAGCGATCGTTGCATTGTCCGCCCAGGGCAGAAGCAGTTGGCCGACTGGAGCCGTGAGATGCACCAGGTGATGGTGCAGAAAAACTGGTCTGTGCTGAGGATACTGGGTACGTAGACCGAAAAGGCGGGATAGAGGGGTTCGACACAGACTGGGTCGCAGTGAGCGTGGCGACCTGACCCTCGACGGCTAGAAGTCGATTGTGCAGCGATTGAACGTCGCTAATGCCAGACACATCATGAAGAAAGTCGCCGCGACTACGTTAGTGTCATGCAGAAAATCCAGACTACACGACGTACATCTTCTCTGCTGCGGCCTGTGAGTAGACACATCGTGTCATAGTATCGCGCTTCATGCAAGATCCACAAGGCGTGCGGCGGTCACACTTGAGCTTGAGTCGTTTGCACTTAATAAGGTCTCTAGATCAGCGACAGAGCGTATACGTGAGTGAAGGGATAAGGAAGGGCTGCGGGTCAACATCAACGGGGTACTGATGCAGCTCCAGAAAGGGCGCGGCTTCGACTCGGCACCAGTACCTTCAAGGCTGCGTGGAAACAAGCTCGTAATCTCTCAGAGACCGTGGCGGCCCTTGCCAACAGCCCAACGCGCAACAATACAGCCGTGTCATATGACGCGCGCAGTATTCCGAGAAAGTCGGGGAGGTGAAATGGAAGATGGAAAATGAGATGCTCACCTCTGCGCACACGACAGTAATGCGAGAGCGAATGTGTCTGTGTGCAAGGAGCGAAAAGATGGTGAATCGAGGTGTCGTAACCGTTTCATCCAGCAATTACGTACGTAGAGTTATTGGCCTTGGACGCCGCATTGCCGGAGGCCTGACCGTTTGGGGTATGTGAGTCTGGAGCATCGCCGTTAAGGTTGCTTGAATTGGTATCGTTATGGTACACAGATGCTCCGTCGTCGAGGTCGAAACTAGGTCCAGGCGTTCCTTCCATCTCGCCACGAAGATAGCGGTAAAGATTTATAAGAGTTCAGTCGTGGTCGGATGGCGGTGCAGGCGTCGGAGTCGTATGGGTCGTCACGGGCAGCAAGATGGCGTGGTCGCGCGTTGGGGAGTGGGGCGGATAAGAGGGGACGGCGACCAGCGACGGCGGGATAATGGAGGGGAGAGGAGAAGAAGCGAGCGAGCACACAGTCGCCAGTCGGACACCATATCAGGATTGGCGTACCGGGACCTCGCCCACCGCCATACGCGACGTCAGGCCCAGATTTGCTCCGCTTGATGGCACGGATTGTACCAAATTATGCGCCATAAACGGATATATGAAGCAAAAACTAGGGTCCTTTTGTTAGGGAGTTCTCTCAAAAGGGCAGCGGACAAGTCCCTGCCTAGGGTTAAGCGCTGCGAGATAGGATGTGGGAACGGCAGCAGTGGGCAGACGCCGCTAAAGGCGCCAAGTCCGCCAGCCCATGTACTTGCCATCGCCCAGCCGGGGCCCACCGTTTGACCCCCTGCTCCGACGCTTGGCTCATGTTGTCCCAAAACCTGCCCGAGGCTCACGGGGAAACTAACCAACCCACCCTCTTCTCGCAGCGGGTGGATCGAATCACACGGCTATTGATGCCTGCGGGCTATCAGGCGAGTCAGTCAGAAAGAAGGCACGCATCCCACGACGCGGCGAGAGCCTGCCGCGGCTCCTAAGAATCGCACCACCTCGGCGGCCCGTCTGTCGCTCATGGGAGATCCGCACATACTCTGCTCGTTGCAAGGTTGTCGCAAAACTGCACGACATTGACCGAAACCGTGTTTCCCATCGTCCGCGGACAACATTGCAACAGGAGACTGATCGTCCACTTATTGTTCCCACGCCTCAGAACGCAGCCACGTACAAGACCTCGAGGGTTTTACCTCCGCCAAAGGTCCCATTGGACACAGCTCAAATACTCTTCAGTGATTCAATTGGAGCTCGTCCTTTTGTTATCGTCGATCGAGCTATATACAATGCACACAGGGGCAACCGCTCTCCACGCTGATTTATCCTCCGTCCGCCACATTGAACGTTAGCATCGGTGCAAAGCATGACCTGGAACCGTGCTCCACGGCCGATCTCTAGGTTTGGTGGCACTGTGCTGCAGCATGACACAGCGCGGAAACAATTTCTAGATCGTAGACCGCTGCAACTGATCTACTCACGGGCCTCGGGCCGACCCAGCAAACTTAGCAAGACGCAGTGTTCAGGGGCACGCCTGCAGCGCAGGTTGTGAGGAATTTGTTTCGAAGCGCTCCCGCACAAAAAGAGTTTGTGTCGGAAAGACACCCCAAGCAGGAGTCAATGCAGAAGGTTGCTGAAACGATTAAATCCATGGACTAGTAAACTACACCAGAGCGAGTCGCCTGGCCTCCTCGACATAGCTCCTCATAAGCCCGACAGTCTTCTTCAAGTTCATGTTGAACTTGGCTGAGATGGGCACGACGTCCAACACCCTCCCGTCGGCGCTCATCTCCTCCCGGACGAAGTGCTCCAGGCGCGCAAGCTTCGCTTTCGCCTCCTGAACCTGCTCCGTGCTCCCGTCCTGTGCGAGCAAATCCGCCTTGTTCGCGACGACCATGCGGGCCTGTGTGCTCATGCCCGACTTGTACTTCTCGAGCTCCGCGCGCAGCACACGCAACTCGTCCCACGGCGCCGAGCCTGCGAGGTCGACGACGTACACGAGCGCAGGCGAGCGCTCGATCGACCGCAGGAACGAATGCCCGAGCCCAACGTTGTCCGACGCGTCCTCGATGAGCCCCGGGTTGTCGGCGACCGTGAAGCGGAAGTCCTCGAGTGGCGCCACAGCGTAGACGCTGTCGTCGCCGGCGCGCTGATTGCGCGTGCGCGCGTCGGCGTAGGCCCCGCTCTCCATAAGCTCGCGTTCGCGTTGCTCCTCGAGCGCTGTCTCGTCGTACACGCTATCCGCGTCCCAGCCCACGAACGTGCCGTCGTCGCGCACGCGCACGACAGCGACGAACGGATTCAGTGTCGTGAAAGCGTACCCCGCGATTGCCGTCTTTGCCCGTCCGCCCGTGACTGCACGCAGAAGCGTACTTTTGCCTGCGTTCGGCATGCCCACGAGACCAATGTCTGCGAGCAACTTGAGCTCGAGTGACAGGCTCGCGCGCTCGCCGTCTCGTCCACGCGTGGCGAACTTCGGCGAGCGATCGTTTGTCCCCAGAAAGTGCGGGTTGCCGTACCCGCCAGCGCCGCCCCGAGCAATGAGATGACCAAAGTTATTTTGGCGGGGCAGCCCCAGAGGTGCATTCGCGTCTCCAGCTCCTTCCATTTCCTCCGCCTTGTCAAGGTCCAGGTATATCGGGTTCTCCGCACGCTTCCTGCGCTGAATGCGATACGCGCGTTCCTCGCGATAGAACATCTTCTCCGCGTCCTTGAACGTGTCTCGCTTCACGTTGTCGTCTTGGTGCGTCGGGTAGTGTACCCATCGTCTTTCTTGCATTCTCATCTTCCGCTCTTCGAGGTCCAGGCCCTCGAGTGCCTCTTCTTCCACTTCAAATTCATCTTTTGTACGTCGTGGATCATCTTTCGCCAGCTGGCGCACCACTGTGCCGAGCGGGACACGAATGATCGTTGGAGGTCCGTTCTTGCCGTTCATCCAGGTGCCTTTGCCATGTCCGCCTGCTTGTGCGGCGACTCGTGCGGGTACAGAGGAAAGGGTCGTGAGATGTGGTGTGGGAAGGATATAGACGTCGCCGCCGTGTCCGCCGTTTCCGCCCGATGGAGGGCCTTGTGGCATAAACTTTTCTCGATGGAAGGCTACGCAACCATCACCCCCGCGACCTGTACGAAGACATCACTTGAGTCTCATGAGGATGTAGAACGGGAGGTGACTGACCTCCCCGTATGTGTATAACGACGTGGTCGAGGAACGTTTCGTGCTAGATTCAACAATTAGGATACAACACTCAAAATATAATGGTTAAACGGGTAGCGGCCTAGTGGCCTTGCAGAATTGCTAACGACTATTCTCTGTGATGCACAAAAGACATCCGCGTAGAAAACCTGCAAGGACTGCACAAACTAAGAAGACAGCCCTTCGTACTGAGCATCGAACAAATTAGTTACTCACACCTTGTCGTCGTTTCCACTCCGTCTGTCTCCGTTTCTTCCTCGCCTCCATATCCATGTCTTTCTCCTCGGCATCTTCGATCGTCACCCTCGACGGTCCCGCCTGAGCCCACTTTTCTGCTTGGCGTGAGGCGTCCTCTATTGGCTGGCTCGACTCTTCCGGTGGGAAGCTCGACTTCAGACTGGGCATGAGACCGAAGGAATACGCGCGGCATGGCGGCAGACGAGCCCACGTCTTCGCAGCGCGGGCGACGAGCATGGCCGCAGGAAGTATGCAGTGGAGGCTGCAGCTCTGGGCGAGGAACCAGAGCTAAAGCGCCGTAAAAGGACGCGCCCGGCGTTTGAGGGGCGCATCAGTTCCGCCATCACTCCCGCCCCTCCTGCTCGCGATCGCTTCGGCTCTCCGGACAGACCACGTTCATTTGAGCGAACGCGGCCCGCGGTACCCATATCCCTAGACCTACGTTCGCGGCTCTATCCGCTAAGGCTGCCTAGACGTATATATATTCCCGAATTTCGCCAATACCCAGCATGCCGATGCCCTCGCGTACGCCATCTCGCTCAGGGACACCGCTGTCCTCGCATCACGCCTCGCCCTCCCGCCTCGGCGTCGTGCCCCCTGTGCTGCACCAGGCGCCGTCTCTCAGTAATTTGCGCGTGTATAGTCATACTGCGTCCGCGGTGGCTTCTCCGGGGATCTCCTCGACCCCGCTCTCGCACACGCCTCTCTCGACTACACCACCCGCGTCGGGCATGCTTGCCTCGGAGACAACGTCATCGGCCGCATCGGTGAACTTCGAGAGTCCCACAGAGGGTATGCTTGTGCAGGATCTCGAAGGAGAGGCCGAAATCGCAGAGGTTGAAGGTGTTGGGCGTGTGGAGGAAGTTGCGGATGAAGAGGTGAAGAAGAATTTGAGGGAACAGTTGCGGCGGACACTGAGTACCAAAAGTGTTGAAGGGCAAGCCTTAGGTGATGATTCTTTTCTATGCTGCGCTGATATACCTGATATTAATCTGTCATAGCTGCAAGTCGACGACCCTCCACAAGCAGACACAGAAGTAGTGTGAGCAAGACGACGCAAGAAGTCCACGAACTTTGTACTTCACTCTTATATTATTGCTGCATCGAAATGCTTATTGTGATGCCTTTCATCAGCTCATACGCCAGACACCACCACCTATCCGCCTCGCCAATATTTCGTCTTGACTGACGCCGGGAAACCCGTCTTCATCAGGTAGTTAATCTCATACTGCCACTTGTTTTGCTTCTACTGATTCTTTGCATGCAGCCCTGACACAGGCCCCGACCATAGCACATCCATTATCGGCCTTATGCAAGCCCTCATATCCGTCTTCCTGGACGACCGTGACAAGATACGCTGTGTAAACGCGGGACGAACGCGCATTACCTTCCTATTGCGTGCTCCGCTATACTACGCATGCGTATCAAGCTGGGGCGAGCCGGAGAGTGTGGTGCGTCGTAATCTCTCTTCGGAAGCTCCTCCAAACGGCACGTAGGACTCACGCGTAAATGTGAAGGAAGACACGTTTCCATCTCGAGTACCTCCATTTGCAGATCCTCAGTGTTATTTCGGCCGGGCAACTCAGGCGTATGTTTGAGAGGCGCAATAACTTTGACCTCCGCCGTCTGCTCTCCGGTGCGGAGCCGTTCATGTACTCGCTCCTCGAGCGGCTCGAGTGGGACCTGGCGATGAGCACGTCGAGCTTACACTGTCTTAAGCTCGATCCTGCCCTCCGAAAACGCATCGCTGATACTCTAGTACCCACGAGCAAGATCAAGGTGCGTTAGCGTGTTTATGTCACGTCCGCGCACTGTGCGCATGTGTACAATTGAAGAGCTGTCGGAGTGGCTGATGTTCCATAACAGGACATCTTGTACGTCGTCCTTGTAGCTCAAGGCCGAGTAGTCACACTCGTCAGGCCCAAGAAGCACTCGATCCACCCCTCAGGTAACGTGCTCGCTACTCACCGGCCTCCCGCTTTCCCTCAAATCTCGTCCACGTACAGATCTCCACATCCTCATCAACACTATTCATTCACCCTCGATCATCAACTCGTCCGCCGCAGCAAGCTGGCTCCCGATTTGCCTCCCGAAGTTCAACTCCGACGCGTTCGTGAATGCGTACGTTAGCTTCCTTCGACGAGGCGACGACCTCCAGGAGCCGGCGACGCCCACGCCCAGTGCAGTCGACCAGAGTGCAGCAAGCCAGTCACAGAGCTCTGAGGCACCGGCCGAGAGTGCGAGTCCGTCGGTGCAAGGCGAGAATGCTGCTAAGAATACAGAGAGTGCAACGAGCCCGCCGGACGCAAAGGAGACAGACGCCAAGAGCGTCGCCGCGAGCGAAAGCTCGGCCACAGAGGCCACGTCCGAGTGGCGGGGCACGCGCATCGAGATCGGCCTCGTGTGCGTCAGCGGGCTCGCCGATTTTGAGGCCGTGCGCGGGTGGTGCGCGACCGCGAGCGAGGTGCGATGTCTCTCTCCTACCCTCTCCTCACCGCCGCCGCTAACCGCACTGCTAACCAGACGCTCGAGCGCGAGCACCTCCTCGGCGCGCTTGTCTCCGCGATCGGGGGCGGCGCGACCGAGTACAGCGTCGGGGACCTCGCGATCCCGGGTCTGCGGCACTTCCTGTACAAGAGCCGCGGCGCGGTGCAGGTGACGACGCCGCGCTTCGAGGAGCCGTACGACGCGCCGCCCGGGCGCCGACGTCTCGTGACGCTCTACCAGACGCTCCACGACGCGATGCACGCCAAGAGCGGCCAGGACGGCACGCTCAAGATGCAGTATATCCGCACCGAGCGGGAGAGCGTCATGGGCTGGGTGCGTGCTTTCGTGTTTGTTGGGTTGGCAGCGGGGCCTGACGAGTGTCCCCGTGCAGATTACGCAGCCGTTTGAGCTGTACCTTGCGATGTCGCCTCTAGTGCCTAAGAGCGCAGTCGTGAACGCTGCGAACGCCATAGCACGCTGGGTACAGCGCGAGGAGAAGAGGCTGTTCCTGAGAGATGCGCCGGTGTTTTAGCCCAGCGACTTCTCCCTGTGGCGTGCGTGTGCTGGTTATACGGTAGTCGTTCGTCCCTGCCTCGTTGGAAACGGATACCCAGAATAACCGCCAGTGTGCAAACCCTCATGAACTTGACGTACGTGGTCATAAACCTCCAAAGCGTGTTATACCCGTTATTGTCACAGTAGCATTACATCCCAAAAGAATAACTCGTGTCTACATTTAAGCTGGCAGTCGCTCACGGCCTGTCCGTCAAAAAAGACCGTCTATGAATAAACATGTAATCCATACGTGCTATCCCCATCCTATCCCTCCATTCCACCTTCGTCCATCCATCCGTCCACCTTTCCAGATAATGTTACACGTAATGTTACACCCACAACCTCCATTATAGGTACATCATGTACAGCCAGGCAGCACAGCCCTAGACGCGTCGCCCGAGCCCAAGCAGCGAGCTTGGCGTCTCCGCATGCATCGGCGTCATGCTCCAGTCGACCTTGGGGTGCCCGCTGCCATTGCTCTCGAGGCTGTTCCCGCGCAGGCGCGAGGACGTTGAGCTCGCGGACGGCGACGAACTCATCGAGAGCAACAGCGACGCGGCGGTCTCGTCCTCGGGCGTCCAGCTCGGCGAGACCGTCGGCGACACACTCGGCGCGTGCGCGGACATGCGCCGCCGAGGCATGCGAATGTGCATCCGGTTCGTCTCGGCGGAAATCGTCGGCGAGGGCATGGGGTGCGCCGGGCCTGGGAGGGCGAGCGCGGGCGGGGCGGACGCCGCGAGCGAGAGGGGGACGCGGAACGAGCCCGAGAGCGGTGGCGTCGGCAGGTGGGAGGGCGGGCCGTTTGGACTCGGAGAGGGCAGCGCGCTCAGACAGCTCGGGTCGACGTATGGGTTTGGAAGCCAGGAGCTGATGGGCGGTAGACAGGGCGACTGGGATGGTGCCTTGCTCTGAGCGCGCACAGATGGTGAAGAGCGAACGGGCCTGGGCGGAGGAGGGAGGGGTGACAAGGGCGACGGAGGAGGGTCTACCTCATCATCCGCGACGGGAATAACATCGACGTCAACGTCGAAGTCCGAAGCCTTGCGCTTGCGAGTCGGGCTCTCCGGCGGTGAGACAGGGGTGGGCGCATTCGGGGTGGGGCAGCGTGCGCAGGAGCGATTCTCGAGAGTCTTGACCTTGTGAATGAGCTCCTCGATGTAGGTCACCGTCTTGACGAGCACATCAAGCTTAAACTCCTTGTCGCCCTTCTTCGTATTTTCCTCGGGCGCGGCGATGCTCTTACCGCCGCGCTGCTTCTCCGCGTCGGCTACGAAGTTGCTCAGTGTCGCGAGCGTTTCATTTATCTTGGTGCGGCGGGCCTTCTCGATGCGCGAGTGGTTGAGCTTGCGCTGGCTCTCGCGTGCGGAGCGTGAGAGAGGACCTGGCTTGCGACCTCGCCGCTTCATTGGCGGCGCGGGGGCGGGCGAGACAGGGTCGTATTCATCTTCCTCGTCGTCCTCCGCGTCTGACGACTCCCGTTCGGCTGAGCTTGGATGGATATCCTTGGGAAGTATGTGCGGTCGCGACCGTTGTTGAGACAACGCGGCTTGTGCAGAAGAGGCAGCTATTTCCGCGTCAGTGCGGGGCCGCTTTGCCTTTCTGGGTGGGTTGCAGCTCGCCGAGTATGCTAGTGTGTCGGTGGTGGGCATGGCGGTGGTCGTCGCCGTCGTCTGTGGCTAGAGAGGCGGCGGGGGGATGGCGGTGGGAGACAGAGCGATGTGTTTCGCCATGGCTCCGGGGGGTCGTCTGCCTAAGTAGTGTGCAGACTAGACTGGAACGGATGGCCGGGCGGAAAAGGGAGTCGTGTGCGCAAAAGAACGTGCGCACAAGACCAGTGCCCTCGCACGACCGCGTTTGAGCGTCCTGATTGGTTAGCGGCGAGACACGTGTATCCTCCCGGTATGCCATTTCCTTTCCCGGCAGGCCCGAGTCGCCTGGTCGCAGCTGCGAGCAATCTTCGAGCAAAGTTGGAAACGCGCATGGGACCCATCAAGACACCGAGGACAGCCCATATTGAGGATGAACGTGAACATTTCTCTCCCCGCCCTCGAGCAGCTTCTCCAGTCTCCAGTCCCCCCTACCCCGCCCGCCTAACGCTGGCCAAATCAGCGCAGATGCCATACGGGCGCACCCGCGTTCAGAACTTTGTTCAACACAAGCCCCGAACAGTACCGGTGGATGGTCAGGGGCATCCATAATAGCATACACGGCCCGAGCGCTTTGATAGACCGCGCAAATCTTTCCGGTCTCACCAAAACCTTGAACAGGGAACGTGGGTCAGCGAACTGGGAGCAATAACGAAGCACTCGGAAAACAGACCTGCACAAAAACGTCATCTACCAACCAGTCTGGCGCTCGTCAATGGGAGAGAAACAACGAATGTGGTTACGCGATGGGGTATCGAAGCCCAAGAAGCTTGCAGGGTTGATAACTTTGTCGGTACCCTGACAGTCGTCGTATGGCTTATCGAACGGTGGGGAACAACGTTGTAGCTATACCACCAGCGAGCCGCTGAAACAGCTGCTGGATCGTATAGAACTTTATACGAGTGAGCAGCACGCCAGCAGGCGAGTTCACAAGACCGTCTTCGCGCCGTCTACGTCAGCTGGACCGGTCAGCACGTTCCACAACGCTTTACACAGCATGTTCTCACCGCCATAATCCAGATCACTGCTCGAGTTCCAGTATTCCGAGAATCCGTCTTCTCTCACACACTCCACTCGGCTTGAGACCACGGGGACTGTCAGCCGTCCAACCTATAAAGTGTATGCTACGACGAGCGGCAGAAATGGAAACATGCCAGAAGCGTCAGCGTTGCACTCACACTTGTCCAGTCTCGAGTGGACGACAAACAACGACCGACCGTCTGGACACTGTCGGAAGCGTTCACATGTCCAACCAGGTGAATACGTCGATCTCCCAATGCAGCCGTGAGATTTGCTCTAGGTGGCATCGCATGCATGTGCCCGGGCACACCAACGTTCAGAAACGAGAATAAGCGACTTGGTTATGGATATTTGAGTGAATAAATATTGAGATAGTCCACGGAGACATCCAGCCGCAGCCACGTCCGCCATTGCGCGAGCATGGTGTGTTTCTATACTCGTGTAGGGTGCACCACGAAGGCAGACTGAGCTCATGGTCAGAAAGCCTTAAACAGGACAATCAGACGGACTCACATTCCACCTATACTCCCTCAATGCTGCTTGCCCACTGCCTCCTTTGATAGCACCCTCGAGTTCACGGCGACAAAGTGGTAGACAACGATCGTGAGCATGGCGAGGGCGCCCAGGCTGTTTGCTAGGTTGTAGAGAGTGTTGTGTCCGATCATTGTTATTCTGCCAACCGTTCGCCGCAAGCGTTAGCCGTAAACCTCTCGCAAGTGACGCATACCACGTACTGCCGTTTGGACGATGCTCACAGTGCGCGTGGCGGGAGGCGGGAGTGAGGCGCCCGCTCTACGTGGTATTTGCGCGTGTTTGTTGCCCGACAGGCGGCAAGCATGCCAGTCGGACAGGCTCGGCGCGTTTCCTCTAAACTACACCTCTCCCTCGTCGTCCCGCTTGCTGTCCCAGACACCTATCAGCCAAAATGAAGCCCACCGCTATGCGCATGAGTGACATGCCTGGACGTATGTGCTTCATTTCTCGGTCCCAAAGACACGGTTTGCCTGACTAGCCCCGCCTTGCAGCAAGGGTCTATGTGAGTGGTGTGTCTGTAGTGTTTAGCCCAGTGGGGCCTTGCCTACGCAATAAAATGCTATGGAGGGTTGGGTGCTGACGGGCGATGCGTGTAGAACCTTTGGTGGGGTGACAAGGGTGTAACGCGCCAGAAGGGTATCGTTACCTACGGTGCGTTCTGTGCATATTTTCGTCTCAGTTGCTGCTCCTCACACCACCTCCCGTAATCTCGCCAGCCGTCTCCCCCTGGCGTCAGCGTGCCGCAAAGAACATGATCCGCAACTACATCTTCAACGGCTACCGCCGTCTCTCCGGGCAGGCTGTGTACTGGATCTTCCCCTTCGCCCTCGGTGCGTCACACATTCCAGCGCTCAACGCATATCGCGTGTATCTGTTCAGACGTGAGCTGATGAGAGAACTTACGCGACAGGCTACGGCACCTACACCTGGGCAAAGAAGTACGACGAATGGCAGAACAGCAAGGCTGCTCACGTCGCTGGTCATGTGCACTGAGGATGTGCATACCTTACTGAACGCTATAGAATGCATAATTTTACCTCATGATCTATCCTTGCGACTACTGCCTCTTCAACATATGGATGTTGGCCTCCTACGCTATTTACCACTGTACAGCGCTTACATCTAAACCCGAGTACCTCCATCTTTTTTTGTGTCCAGCTAACCTACTCTCCAGCATCTTCAAGGGCCCTGTGCAGTGGGAAATATCACTGACCATTTTGCCTATGCCAAAACGCCTCCGCAGTTGAATAGTCCGTTTAGTCATGCTTGAACTTCGATGATCCACTTTGCAAAATCGACGAAATGCTCCAAGATACTGCAGTGCGACCACCTCTCTTCCTGATTACCATCTATGTAAGGGCGAAACACAAAGTAATCTGTAATACAACGTCGACTTTATCTCATGCTTCGCGTGCACTTCGTCGTTCGTGCGCTTTATGCCCTTGTACAGTTCGTTCGAGTCGAGGATTGAAAGCTAAAGACACGAATGATTTTGACAATCTTCCGCCGTAAATCTAACGACCTGATACTCTCCATTTGGCTGACACGCTGGATATACATTCAGCTGCAGACAGTGCACGTATTTGGAGAGCAGAAGCGTTGTGGCGTCAAGCGACTCTCGAGCGCTTTGAGCCACAGACGGCTCGGTACGAGTGGTCACGCTTAACGCAGAACCACCATCTTCCTTACGACCTCATGACTTAGAACTCGGGCTATCTCGTCTCATACTTGCACTCATCTCGTATATCGCTTGTCTGATTATCTCCATCTTGCTGCTGGACTTTATTCCGGCCCTAATATTCACGCACGCAGCACCATCTCTACTCTCTGACGTGAACACTCTTGAGAATTGCTGATTCGCGTTCGACCTTGGTGAGGTTCTTTGACCCAGAACTTTGCAGAACCATTCATTCTTGAGCAAAACCTCCCCTACAACATGGGCCATGCGCAGAGTCTCATCCGGACTAGTGGTGCATTGGATTCGTTTGTAGCAGAATTGGGCCCTGATGTGATCTACGAGAGGAGGTACGATCCCTGGCCATCTTGCACACGATCTCTGCCTTACCATCTATAGTATGGGATCCGCGCGTTTCTTAAAGACCGTCAAATGTCGCCACAAGAATGGATACCTCGTGGTGAAGATCTTCATTAAGCCTGACCCGGGACTGAGCCTCCGGAAGTACCATAGGAGGCTGAAAGGTGTGCTGTAGCATGCTGTTTTGTATTTATTATGCTTAGACCATCTCCATAGTCGAGCGTGATGCACTTGCGGACATCCCCAATGTTTACACATACCAATCCTTCGTCGAGACAGACAAGGCAGGATATCTCATCCGGCAATGGGTGGCAAGTAGCCTTTACGATCGCATAAGGTACGTTTCATATATGTATACGCCATGTACAGACCTGATACGCGTGCAGTACCCGACCTTTCCTCTCTCACATCGAGAAGAAGTGGCTTGCATACCAGTTACTCACCGCGCTGCGCGACGCTCGGAACCGCAAAGTCTCCCACGGCGACTTGAAGACGTCCAATATTCTCATCACATCCTGGAATTGGCTCCTAGTCTCGGACTTTGCGCCGCACAAGCCTGCATACCTCCCGCTGGACGACCCGGCCGACTTCTCATTCTTCTTCGACACGAGCGGCCGGCGGACGTGCTACATCGCGCCGGAGCGCTTCTATTCCGCGGAGGAGAATCCAGAGGCGAGCAGGCGGAGGGAGAAGGAGCGCGAGGGAGAAGGAAAGCGTGAGGGCAGGGTCACCGAGGCCATGGACTGCTTCAGCGCAGGCTGCGTACTCGCAGAGCTGTTCCTCGAAGGCACGCCGCTCTTCTCGCTGAGCCAGCTTTTCAAGTATCGTGCAGGGGAGCTGAATGTTGATGCGCAGTTGGCCGCGATTGATGATGAGGGCGTGAGGGTGCGTGCATCTCAAAATCTCGGTTAACGTGAGCCTGAGGGAAGGTGTCATTTGGAAACTACAGGACTTGACCAAGTCGATGATTGCCATTGACCCGTCGCAGAGACCGACGTTCGACAGTCTGTTGCACAACGCAAGAGGGACAGTCTTTCCAGAGATGTTCTACTCCTTCCTGCATAACTACGTTGCCTCCGTGAACGAACTGTCGAGCCCCTCTCCGTTCTCCTTCCCCAACCACTCACACCCTTCCACAACTGCACCCACGCCAACGAACACGACCCCTACGACCGCAAAGCCGCCAGTACTCCCTAATGCTGCACACCCAGTGCTATCTGGTGACGGTGACCGGCTGACAGACCAACTACCGAGCGACTCTGATCACCGAATGGAGCGCTTGTGGTCTGACTACGAGAGCGTAGAGCCGTATCTGCTGCCAGCCGTGGAACTGGGAGATCTGGCGGATACTGTCAAAGATCCCGTCAGGATAGAGTTCGCGACGCCCAATGTGGTTGGGAAACCGGTGCAGGTGTGCCACCTTGTTTACAATACTCCACCTCGTGTTGACAGCTCTTCAAGGATATCTTTCCCGTGGAGCTAGAGGTCCCGAATCGGGACAGTAAACTCTTGAAGGGGTATGGAGACGGTAGAAAGGCTGCTAAAGAGGGTGAGCAGGCCAATACATCATTCATTCCACGATGTATTGAACAGCTGTTTCAGATGGGCCTGCACTGATCCTGTTAGCGCTGCTTACGGCCAACATACGCAACTGCAATCTGCCCTCGTCGAAGCTCAAAGCGTTGGATGTTTGTCTCGCCCTGGCACCTCTCCTCACGGACGAGGCGAAGCTCGATCGCATGGTGCCCTCCATCGTGGAACTACTTTTAGATGATGCTCCAGCTGTTCGTGCGGCTGCAATTCGAACGTTGATGCAGATAGTGAGTTATATTCTGGCTGCTTTCTACTAGCAGGATACTGAATCTAGATAGCTGATGCTGGTGACTGTGATTACACCCTCAAATGCCTCCATCTTCCCCGAGTACATTATCCCTGCCTTAAGCCCGCTTGTACGCGATCCGGAGGTGTCTGTGAGATGTATGTATGCACAGTGTGTAGTAGCACTTGCGGACACAGCTGTGCGATACCTCGAAATGGGACAGGCCCTTCGAGCGCACGGTGCGTACAAGATTGGCGCGACGGCAGCCCTCACAGAAGGACAAGACTATGACGAGGCGCACTTTGAGGTACGACTTGTCACGCTTGAAATACACTACCGCGCTCATGCATATATGAAGGTATCTTACGACGCCTCAATGCAAGAACTGCAGAACGCCGTGCAAGAGCAGCTCTCAGCCCTGCTAGTCGACCCCTCTCCTGTCGTGAAGCGGTCAATCCTGCACAATATCTCCGCCCTGTGCATCTTCCTCGGCAAGCAGCGCACGAACGACGTGCTCCTCAGCCATATGATCACGTACCTCAATGACCGTGACTGGTTGCTGCGCTACGCCTTCTTCGACTCGATAGTCGAGGTCGCGGCATGTGCGGGTGGAAGGAGTCTTGAAGACTACATCCTGCCACTGATGATACAAGCGTTGTCTGGTAAGTTGTTGTTAGCTACCATGGTGTAGATATAGAGACTGAGCCCCACGTTGGCAGATATCGAAGAGACGGTTGTCGCGAGGGTGCTGGCATCCTTGCGGAGCTTGTGTGAGCTCGGCCTCTTCCAGAAGATGCGCATATGGGAGCTGCTCAGCGCAACTCTGGCATTCTTGTTCCACCCAAATATCTGGATTAGACAAGGCGCAGCAGCGTTTATCGCGGCCGCAGCCAAGCATCTGCCACCAAGCGATGTGTGGTGCATTTTGTACCCGTCGCTTAAGCATTTCCTGCGGTCTGACATACAGGACGTGGACGAGCGGAGCTTGTTGCTGGCGCTTAAGCCCCCAGTAAGTCTCTACTGTTCATATCATAAGCCCCGTAAACCCCGCTTATTCTACTTTAGCTATCTCGACACATCTTCGATGCTGCAAAATCCTGGGCGAAGGCCGCTGACAAGTCCGTCTTCTGGAGAACGCAAAGAGCCGCAAGATCGGATTCTCCCAAGGACAGCTTGGCATCGGTGAAGCCAAATGCAGCATCACGATCGAAGTCTGAGGAGTGCGTGAAGCCGACTCCTATCCTAAACATTGCTGACTTGTAAACAGGGATGATGCCCAAATGACGAAGTTGCAGCAGCTTGGGATGACAACAGCGGATGAGGGCAAACTCCATGCAATGCGCGACTTCGTCTCGAAGCTCGCTCGTAATATCGCAAGGTAAACATAGTCTTCACAGAGATATGGAATGGACGATACTGACCTACAATTGCCAGTTTTGAGACTAGAGTGCGCGTCGAGCCAGAGGTTGAGGGGCTCAAGGTCTCCAGTACCATCGAACTTCAAAAGCTTGGGGTGGTCCCACAAACAGTCTTCTTGAAGGCACCCAGCGATAATGCCACTGCTATGCGATCTGCAAAACCAATGCTGGCTCAGCGTGCTATATCTGACGCAGTGCGAAGCCCTGTGCTATCGGGAACACCTCGTTCGAACCGCACTATGAGTGCAGACTTCAATCTGGGCGCTCCGGGCACGCCTTTCGAGGACCTCCGACGTAGACTCGCTATCATTAATGGTTCGACAACATCTCTGTCCGTTCCACCAACAGCACGCGACGTCCGCAGTCCCACTGCTCCAGTTGCAGAGAGTCTTTCCCCCACAAGCTCGAACACCGCTGTGTCTGACGTACCACTTGAGCGTCCGAGCAGTCCAACGGACTCGGTTACCTCTGGTGCTAACTCGTCCTTCCGCACACATCGACTGCAGATTGGAAGCACGGACGGTCAGAAGGCACCGCCTGCAGTTGGATCATCGAAGGCGAATGCCACGGGTTTGCTGGAGTCGCTTTCAAAACTGCGGGACGGCTCTCCCGAGCGTTCGGGCAGGTCGTCACCTGTCTCTGTTGCCGGTACCATCCGAGGGGAACGTCCGCGGATATCCACCTCGGTGCCTATCTCGACTTATGGTATGTGAGATGTATCTAGTTCGGAGCTGTTGCTGAACTTTAGTATAGACGGCCAAGAACCTGGAATCAGTAACCTGCTCGAGCATATGTACCTCGAGAACAACCGCGATCTGCACGCAGACTTTGGGCCTCGTGTGCACGAAGGGCCGGTCCGCCGGAGGAACGCTGCTCGACATAGCTACATGCCCCGAGATGGCAGCAACCGCCGCCTCGAGACGGCGCTTATTGCCAACCTCAGCTCGCATACAGACGCGGTCACCGGTCTGTCTGTCTCGCCGGACCATATGTTCTTCGTCTCTGCGTCTGACGACAAGACGGTGAAGGTCTGGGACACAGCGCGGCTCGAGCGTAATGTGACAAGCAAGCCACGGCACACGTACAACCAGCATCATGCACGGGTCAAAGCTATATGCTTCGTCGAGGCTACACATTGCTTCGTTAGTGCGGCGGAAGATGGAAGCGTACACGTCGTACGAGTACATGTGAGCGGGAACCAGGGGCCAGGCGCCGGGCTGCCGAAATATGGGAAGTTGCAGACTATCCGGGAGTATCGATTGGATGTCCCAGGACAGTATGTAACATGCATGGCTCATTATAACACCGGTACGTACATAGAAGGTATTAGATGACTATCATACTCATATCAGTTCACAGCGACTGCATCCAATTTACTTTTCGGTACCACGCATTCAGTCATCACCATCTTGGATCTACGCACAACACGCGTGCTCCGAACGATGGAAAACCCACGACACTATGGTCCTATCACATGTCTCTGTCTCGACCGCAAGCGTACGTGGGTTGTGTGCGGCACGTCTACGGGCGTCCTGTCGCTGTGGGATCTCCGGTTTGGCATCCTCATCAAGAGCTGGGAAACCGGGGCCGCGGCGCGAGGCATGTCGGCGTGCATACACCAATGCGTCGTGCATCCGACGAAGGGCAAGGGTAGATGGGTCGTTGTCGCTCTCGAGGGTGCAAAGAGTGCGAGAAGCGTCGGTGCCGGAGGCACAGTGCCTGAGGTGACAACTCTTGTCGAAGTCTGGGACATCGAGAAGTCGGCGCTCGTCGAGACATTCGTGACGCGTTCTGCGCCTGTGCCCTCCGCGCTTATGCCACAGCCGCAAGAAGTCACAGCGCAGAGCGCGGAAGCAAGCCCCGCAGCCGCCATCGCGGCGCTCGTGCGTGCGCGGCAAGACGGCACGAGCGCCCCCGCCGATTTCGTGTCGTCGCGGCGGAGGGGCAGCGGCGCGGCACCGATCCCCATGCCTGTGGAGGCGCCGTCGCCGGACGTCCACGCGCTCGTGCTCGGCTCCGAGTTCGGCGGCCATGGTGCGTTGTACCGCTCCCCAATGGCAGAGCTCGACAACGGCTCGCTGGGGCGCGGCGCCGGGCGCGGGTTCATGCTCTGTGGGTCCGAAGACCGCAGGATCCGGCTGTGGGATTTGGAGAAGACAGAGCGCTCAGCGGTGCTCAGCGGGCCTGACGCAGAGAGCGAAAAGCCGGTGTACAGGTAAGTGTACTCGGCGACTCGTGAGACGACTATTATTCACTGTGCCTTCCTCGCAGCGCCGTGCAGTCGGACGGCGGGTCGGCGTTGGCGTATGTCGAAACGTGGGTCAGCTCGCCGAGCGCAAGCCAAGCCAGCCGCCCGCCGCAGCGGCTGTCACTCATCAACCACAGCCAGCAGAACCTATTAAAGGCCCACCAAGACACCATCAACGCCCTCGTGTGCATCGACTCGCCCTTTCGCGGAGGCATTGTCAGCGGCGACCGCGCGGGCATAATCAAGGTGTGGCGAGTCGAGAGTGCCGAGTGATATGATACCCCTGCGAATATCTAGATAGATACTGTAACAGCACCACGTTGTCCTTGGAATGTAGTCATTATAAGTGCTAAAATTGCAAAGATCCTGGGAAAGACCCTGAGAAGACCGAATGATACACGGAAGCTGAGTAGTGGTGTTGGTACAACAGGAGATGGAAGGAAAGGGGTGATGGTGATTAACGAAATCCGGATAGAAGTGCATAGAATGGAAAGGGAGATGTCTAGGACAGCCACAAACATTACAGACAGCATGTAGAGACGAATAATGATATGTGCTGCGCGTGACTGAGAGGGTATAGCGATGAATATGTAGCAGGACAGAATGCTAGACGGGGCGTGCATTCGAGCGGCCCATCGAAAAGCCCGAGGCGCGAGGCCATGAGATGAGCAACATCCCATCGCACAGCTCTGCAGTAATCTGCGTGGTCTGAAAGTATCCGTCAGCGAATTTGTTAGCGAGAGCCAAAGATAACAGAACTTACGTCTATGCCGACGGGTACGTCTATCTCACGGCGAAAAGAGCCAAACTTGAGCTCGCGCACCTTGAACTTCTGAGAGGCGACGGACGTCTGCCGACCAGCGGCCGCTTCCTGCAGCTTGAAAGCCAAAGGAGAGGCCCGTTCGCCTTGGACGATGAGTTTGTCGCCCTGGACCTGAAGCGAAAGCGTGTGCCGGCTCACGCCTGGCAGCTCGAGCATGGCGGACACGTTCGGCAGCGCTTCGTCGTCGTATAAATCCATCCTAGAAGATTCACCGGTCATTATCGGCTGTTTTGTGATGAGATTGGTAAGACATACCTAGGGGTATACTGGAGAGGCTCGGGGCGCAGACGTAAGGCCTGCTCTCGCTGAAGACGATGGTAATGATACAGTCTCGCGATCGCGAGACGCGGATCAATAGTGTGCTGAGCACGGCTCGAGGAGACCTTCTTCGAGGCGTTCTTCGAGTTTTGGATGTTCGACATTGTAGCAACGGTCATAATCGTCCTTAAAGGAGCAAAGTTGCGCGGATGGTGAGTCCTGAGCGAGGTCTTGAGAGAGGGTTTGCGAACAAGCGAGAGACCCCCCAGCTGCATTTATATGGGGGCCCGGAGGCAAATGACTCGGCATCGTGCGAGGGTGTGCGCGGGGAGTCAGTATGAACAAAACAGGACGTATCATGATCCTCCGCTCCTTGGTTCAGGATCATCCGCGCTGCTGCGGCGATGACTCGACCGCCGCTGCCATTTTACACAGCAAAAACAACGCAGCACGGCGTGAGTATATTTCTACTGCCGTACCGAGTTGTGTGGGCTGTCACTGCAGTGTACGACGGGCGGCGGCCGTGCTGACTACGCGAGACGGGAACACAAATGCGAAACCCCCGCGAGGCAATGCAGCCAATGCTCCGAGCCTCCGCAGCCGGCACCGCCCAGCTGACAGGTATTATTTTTCGCCGGACAAGCTTAGGCGCTAGTTTACTCCGGGTCTGGGCAAGGGCTTATAAGGGGTTATGTTTCATAATTAATATCGTCATCGGCCATTGCCGGCATAGACTTTTCGCACCGACACTCGCCCCGACGTCGGTTTCTCATCCTCGTTCACATAGCCGACACTTGCGTCGCGCAGTCGTCCTCACATAAGCAGGGTGAGCAGTTTCATGCCGATGTTATTTCAGCCATGCTGTTTTTTTATGATGAATAAACATCACATTCAAGCTCAACAGTCTGACGGTCATTGTCCGATGCTGACCACATTCTGCAATACTGACTCATTTTCACCTTGCTGTCGCACGCCCTTCCGACCTACATGCTAACTCCTTTACCCTCCTAGTAGGTTCTAGATGATGGATGACTCGAGACCCCACATTTTGTCCCATTGTCTACTCATGTTTCTTGGTGCGCGTCGCTTCACGCCGCAATACTACCGCCATCGACACTAGGTCCAGAAAGATACATGTGTATATTAGAGTACAACGAGATACAGAATGCAATGCGTAAGTGGAATCATAGAGCAGTTCCGCGCTCGAAGCTGGCCCGTATTTCCGTTGTGTACTTGTCGTAGTAGCGGGCAATCTGCAAAAGTCGATGAACAACTTGTCCTGGTGTAGAACTGTGCATATACATGCCTTCTTGTTGAAGACTCTGTTGCGTTCGTTGATGTATGTGATATCTCCCTCGTCTTCGTTGTTCCGCTTTCTTGAGAACCGCTTCTTCTTGTCCACGCTAGAGAGATGTAAGATTACGAAGGATGAAGGACCGAAAGGACATACTCTGTATTGATCTTGCTCACTACTCGGTCAATGGCGTCCTCGCTGGGTTTGCTATCCGCATAGAGCAACGTGTTCGCGTCACGGTAAAGGCTTTCAGCTGCTAACCGCTGTTGCACGCTTGTTGGTGCCAGCTATGGGAGGTGCATTAAAGAAGGCCTCCAGGAATACTATCGTGTGAACACACCGATGAGCCCGAGGGATCGAAGGCCGTGAGTGAGGATGAGGAACTGCTGCTACCGGCCTTCGCGAGTGTTCCAGGCGCAAGACCAAGCGCAATTTCCCTTTGCTTATTATACGCTGCAAGGTCGGGCTTGATGAAGTCCAAATCCTTCTTGTACCGCCTGCGTGCTGCGTCCGCATCATCTAACAAGAGAGCGCATCATCAGCATTGTTCCTGCTGTTCTCAGCACTCGCGACGCCTCCGCGCATCATAGAGACTCACTGTGAAACTCAAAGTCTGCACGTCGCGCCTTCCGCGCCTGCTTCTTCTCCCACTCATCGTTCTCCTCGACTGTGTACTCCCAATTCTTAGCCCGCTCGATGTCCTCGCCACGCTCCTCAGCATCCGCCTTCAGCCGCAAGGTTTCAGCGAGCTTGCGTTGGCGTTCCAGCCGCGCAGCTTCACGAGCTGTGAACTTTGCCTTTGTGCTCTCCTCAACGAGCTGCTTGCGATTTTCCAGTGCGGATGTCCTCTGTGATCAAATAACTTTAATGAGGACGAGTACGGGAGCACGGAGAGCATTAGACCAACCATTTTGCGCCTGAGCTCTTCCATCTTCGCTTTTCGTTCCTCCATGGTCATCTTTTGGCTGCCGCTGTCCCCTACCTCAGGAGAACCGGAGCCTTCTGGCTCTTCCTGGGTGTCCGTCATCTTCTCCACGAACTCTTGCGCAGCTTCGGTTACTTCGCTCATGCTTGTTACAAAAACACTCGTGGTTTTTACCGGTGTGAGAAGGAGGAATGGGAGGTGTGAAGATACGTGACAGGTGCTGGGAGCTGCTGGTGTCCTGCGTCAACGAGCGCAGTGCAGGTGGTTGGACTAGGCGCTTACAGGAACTGCTGACGTGATCAATCGAGACAGGAATGGCAGAATGTTTGTGAACAAGTTCAATCCGAACCTCGACTCCAAGCTCCAGTCCCGGCCGTCCGTTTCACACACACTACTTTGCGATTCGCATGAAAAATAGCACATTTGTCCTGTAATTCGCCGGGCTTGAGGGATGCACGCCACACTTACCACGACACGCATCGCATACTCTTCCACGGTCACGCGTACTCGAAAGCCGAAGCGTCGTGACTCGGTTGCATCCCGCTGCCCTGCGTTCTACGACCCGCCATCCCCGAGCCAGTATGACGAGCCGCCGTCTGCTGTCGTCGAGGACCTCACACTAGTCTCGTACGATGACTCTACGCTATCTGCGGATACGCCTCTCGGGCGTTCCCCCCTGAAATCGCCACGGACGCCTGCCTGGAAAGCGTTCCCTGCAATCGAAGAGTCTCCGAATCTTTCCTGGGCGGAAGACGTAACGCTTACATCTACTCCGCAGTGCGGACGTAAGAGCTGTTCTCCGCAGAAGCTGTGGTTGGACGCGTCGATGCTGAAGGAATATCCGAAGTCTCCTCCTCTTAAGCGTTTCCGGGCGGACAGCCTAAGAACGTTCGCCTCGTCCATGGAAGCCCTAGAGAAAATGTCGAATTCGGCTGCCTTGATGACGACGTTGCATCCGGAGTGTCCAGTCGAGAAACGGGGCCGAAAGAGAGCTATGGAAGCGGAGCGCAAGTCGCCAGCAGTCAGGGGCGGGAAGGCGAGGACCTCCACTAGCCCACAGGACACCGAAAACCAGCCCGTCCATACTACTCAATCTTCGCGAAAGCGTGGCCCGGGAGCCAGCCTACGCGAATCGCACGTCCAAAATCTACCCAGACACCAAGATCCCATGACTTCACTCGACCCACGCTACGTCTTCGAGTACCAGCTCACGCTCGGTGTGCTGGATGCCATGGACCACGCCCCACTCGGCCACCCGAGATCCGCTGAGCAGAGCGAGAAGAAATCAAAACGGCTATCGGCATCATTCGCGCAGACTCTTGGCAGCCTGAAACGACGCGTACCCTCGCCACGATCCTCTATCCCGGGTCTCTAGCACCCGACGCCGCTCACAGTGAGTTGCTTCTCGCTGGGGTTGAAAGATTTAGCGCATTCTGACTTGGTCGCTTCTGTAGCCGCGGAGTGTTCTTGTTTCACTAGACTAGTTTATCTCGTTTTGTAGCCAATAGTAATATATCTGTCGGCAGGAAGAAACTGCACAATCATGCGTGCAATGTGCGCGATCATTCTGGCTAAGTGATTGCACGTCTACCTGTGTGATTGTACAGTTGACGCGTGACGCGTGACGTCTTGTCTCTACGCGTGGACTAAATGAATATCCTAGAGCATGTCGGCTTGCAGTAAGTACATGCCAGAAAGCCTGTAGGTCGGGCGCGTGTCGATGTGAACCCGAGGCTCGGGCGACAGGGCGGACGACGAGGCAGTGTTGCGCGAGTTAATGACTAGTTAATGACCAGTAAATGACTAGTTAAGTAGTTAATGACCTGACTAGACGAACTGTAACTAAGCGGTTTCGGGTCCTGATGTCGGGAACTGCCGAGGACCAATCAGAACGCAGGAGTCGTCGAGAAGGCGAGACATGCTTGCCTTTAAGCGGATGGTCGATGAAATGCCTCCTCCACCAGCCAGTTCTTCCTGGTTTCCGCCCGGACATGGCACACTCAGCGCAAAGGAGACGAAGAGGGTAAAAAAAAAGTTGCGTTTGTTCAAACTATAAGACGGAGTCCATGCGCAGACCTCGAGGAGTCGCCGAGGACGCAGCAAGCCATTCGGTTAGTAAACGCCCAGTGCGTCTCAGGAGGTCACGTGGATGAACCCGGAGAGCCGTTTAGTTAGAGTTAGCGGGTGACTAATTAACTAGTCAATGACTAGTCACAATAGTCAACCTTTAACTGGTTACTTGGTTCGTTAACCAACCAACACTGCGACGAGGGGAGGGGCGGTCGCGATGCCGACGAGAAAATAATAATGATCCGAGGCTTGAGAACGGAGAAAGCGCGTCAGGGACCAGAACAAAGTGAATCAATCTCCGCCAGTCTTTCCAGAGTACAAATTTCAGCCGCCGTGGTTGCTGTCCTCTCACCTTCCCCCCTTGCTAGTCGCAACAAGACTTGTCGCTGCCCAGCGCACCCTTCCGCTCGCTCACCAGTCCATTCGTTTACTTTTTAATATGCTCTTCAAGACTTCTCTTGTTGCCCTGGCCCTCGCTGCCATCCCCTCCGCCTTCGCAGCGGTTTCTGTACGTGGCTATTTTGGCGGCCAACATACGCCTGAATAACGTGCCTTGCGACTTCTAGATGATTGAACCCGTTGCCAGCACCTCTTGGGCTGCTGGCCAGCAGCAGACCCTCAAGTGGATCGATGATGGCACGTCCCCCAACCTCACGAGTTTCGGTAATGCCAGCTTTGGCATCTATACTGGCAACGTCAACCAGCAGGTATGTACCTAGCTTCCCAACTGATACTTCCAGTAGAAGCTCATGTTTGTATTCTCTAGACCCTGCTCCAAATGATCGCGCCCAGCGTCAATGTCTCGGCGACCGATTCCATTGTTTTCACCCCCGACCCGACCATAGGCGAGGACGGTGCTTTTTAGTAAGCTCCCATCGCGGCTTTTGTTGTGTTATGTCGCTGACTCGTGCTCACAGCTTCATCCGCGCCCAGTCTCTCACTCTCATGGACCCGAAGAATCCTACGTTCCCTGCTGAAGCGTTCTCTGCATTGTTCACCCTGACGGGCACGTCTGGCCAGTTCAATGCCACCGTCCAACAAGAGATCGACGGCACTTCGACCGCCCCTATCGGTGGCCCGACCCCGGCTGGCTCGGCCGTGGGTGCTACCCAGTCCAACACCGCTGCTTCGCCGACCACGGTGTCGGTGACGGCCGGCTCCCAGACTGCATCTTCTGCGTCCAAGAGCGCTTCCCCATCCACGACTGGTGCGGCGGCGAAGGGGAACGGTGCGCGCGGCGTCCTCGCCAGCGCGGGCCTCGTCGGCACCGTCGCGGCCTTCATTGGCGCTATGATGCTCTAGAGAGTGATCGTCTACCAGCATACCACCTTTCGCTATTTGTCCTTGTCTAGTCGTCTCGCTCTAGAATTCGATGTTTGATTTTATTCTTGAGTCCCCCCCCTCTCGCGGGTTCGTAGTATCCATCCGACCTATGGTCCACGACACCGAACATGCTGCCTTGTCGCGTAATACCCCTGTACCTGCCTGCGTTCACGGCTCACGATGCGACATGTACATACCCGACTGGCCTAGCCAACACTCTTTGATACCCCGCGCTCGTGTTGTTGTGATTTTCATATTGGCGTATAATCGATGTAATTTTGGTCATGTGCATTTTTCCGCGTGAATGGTCTGATCATCCCTTGCGAGGATACTACAGCTGCTCTTCGAACTGCTGAGGCATGCCCAGCTAAGTTACCGTTGACGACTGAAGAGTCTTCGCAACACAGCCAACAGCACGACGCTCATTAGTTGTTGCGCAGACTGCAACCGCGTGTGTGACTATGGCTACTGTACATGTTGTTCCCGAGTCCCAAAATATATGCAATAAACAAAGGACACTAATGCTCTCACCCTTGCTCACACCGCACCGCGCTCTTTGGCCTTGACCATCTCCCGCGCCTCCTCGTCGCTCACCAGACGGCCCTCGAGGGCCTCCGCTGTCTCTTCTGCGAGCCGCCGTATGACGTCGCGGTCGTAGCCGATAAACGAGACGTACACGCCGTGCTGGAACAACGGGTACGACCCGATGCGGATTCCGTCCTCCTTCGTCCGCCCCTGCAGCTCGGTGAGGTACGGCGCGATGGAGGACTCAGGTTTCCTGCACATGTGAGTGTGTGTCAGCGGGGCACCCGGGCAGGCGGAAAAAAAAGGGACACGCACGATGTGAAGACCTGCTGTCGGCAAGGACGCTCGTTGGGTGGCGGGAGGGGTAGGTACGGGGTGAGGCCGTCGAGCATGCGCTGGAAGAGCCGCGGGATGCCCGGGAAGATGCAGAGCTTGCCCTCGAGGCGCACGACCGGCTACGGGTGGGATCAGCTCGGACGAGCGGAGCGACCGCATAGAGACGCGATACGCACGACCCAAATCTCAGAGGAGGTGTACAGGACTTCAGCGTTCGCTGGGAAGAGCGCCATGCGCTCGCGCGCGACGCGCTGCTCCTCGGTTTGATTCTTGATGTCTGCACGGTTCCGCGACGTGATATCCATCCGGCGCAGGGTCTCGGTGTGGTGTGCGAGGGGTTGGTTGAACGCCTTCGCGAGGGACGCATACGTGATGTCTGTTTGCATGGTCAGAGACGCGAGGAAAGATTGCATAGATGCGAGACACACCGTCGTGAGTGGGACCGATACCGCCGGAGGTAATCACAAAGTCGTAGTTTTTGACCATTCGCCGGCTTGCTTCGACACTGCGCGGGACTTAACATGAGCACGAGAGCGCAGGAATACGCGGCGGGGACGTACATCTCATCCTCGTCATCGGCAATGACCTCTATGCGCTTCCTGCGCTCTCCCCGTCAGCTTGCCGCATCTCCGTAAGGGCATGGCATGAGACTCACAGCTCAACGCCCTGCTCAAAGCAATACCGTGCAAAGTAGTTCGAGTTCCGGTCAAGCGTCTTGCCGTTCAAAATCTCGTCTCTGCCCATCTTCCCGTCAGCGATAGGCTCTCCACTAGAGGAAGAGATAGTGAAGGCACCCAATGACCAGCGCCGCGGCGGTCTTGATGTACCGCCCTTCGCCGAGCGGGTTCGGCGGGAAGTCTGACACGGGGAAGTTGTACGTCACCTTGGGCTCCTGGCCGGCGGGGCCGGGGGCATCGGGGGCAGGCGGTGCGACCGCGCCCGTCGTCTCGTTCTTGACCATGGAGGACATCACTCGTCGTGAATGAGCGAGGTAGTGGACGGGGTTATATGAGGCGGGCGATGGGCGGGCGAAATGACGTGAGAGTAAGAGTAGGCGTGCACCCGCCTGGGTGCCCGGGTGCATCTGGTATGCAACGCGGCAGGTCGGCGGATTCGGGCTCTGTGGGCGAGACTCAGCTGGTGCGTTCAAGTACTGAGGTAGTGCGCTCTAATCCGGGGACGAGTATGTGAGGCTCAGGAGGAGGAGGTTGCACGGTACATACGAGGCTAGGCTTGGGGATGGCCGGCTTCCGTCATAGCGAGACTCACAGCCCCAGGGATTCGGACGATACAAAACGTCACACGACCAATGAACGTAAACCGCGCAAGTAAACTTCCGCGAGCTGATTCTATTAGGACTAATCACGAAGTAAACCCATGGATATTTGAACGTCGAACCATCCTCGGCTGGTAAGAGGAATTACCTCATTCGTACACTTCATATATCGTCTTCACGATATGGTCTGCCTTCCGACCTGTGTGCTTCACGAAGCCCATATAATCAAGCTCATGCAGCGCCCGAATGAAACGCGCTTGCAGCTCCGCCTGCCACTCCTCGTCCACCTCATCCACCTCGTGCCCCTCATCCTCTGCTTCAACCCGTTCCTCTCCCTTTGCCTTTCCTTTCCTGCGCCCCTTCTTCGGGCTCTTGCTGCCGCCTTTTGTGCCTTTACCCTTCTGCTTGCTATTCTCCTCCCTTTCTTTCGCACGCACGCGCTCCCGCTGCGTCTCGAGCACTTGCGCGAAGCTCTCGTACCAGTCGTACGCGTTCACCTTCTTTGGCGCCTCCATGTATCGGTGCAGCAGGATGCTGGTGTCTGGCAGGTCCCAAATTGTCGGTTGCTCCCCCTGCGCTAGATCAGCCTCGGAAGAAGCGTCGATCAGCCTCCGATGCGACGCCAGTACGGCGTGTGGGTGTAGCAGCGCGTGCACGATAGCGGGGCGCGGGGCAGGATTGATGAGCTGTTGTCGAACAGAACGTTAGGAAGCGATGTGAACGTGAGTAGACAGACTTACCTCAGAGGGGAACGGAGACGCGCCAGTCGACCAGACCTCTGATAGAACGCATTTGTCAAGCGACTCTACGCGTTTTCTGCGATCACGAGCCTATTGAGACAAGCTGCTGAGCAATACGCTACAGGAGAAACTTACAAGAGGTACGTCGATAGCCACTCCGCGAGTTCTGCCGCAGTCTCAGCCACGGCAATTCTCTCATCGCCATTAACTTGGTTATCACCATTTGTCCGACTGCCAGGCGAAGGAAGCATGTTACGGCATCGAACAATGAGCTCCCTATTCTCGCTTTCTGCGCGCCTCAGTTGCGGGGGCTCAAGTTCGTAAAAGAACTTATACATCTTTTCGAGGAGCGCCTCCAGCTGGTCTTGTCTTAGTTTGCTGTAAACAATAGGGCGTTGGGTTCATTTAATGTTTGCGGGAACACCGCAAGGAACCGTGCTCACCTAACCATCCTAACGAAATGCTGTACATCTCTTGTCACCTTCCCTTGCACGACACGGGCCATGAACCTCAGCCGCGGCTCGTTGGTTCCGTCCTCGCTCGTATACGGCGAGGGCCGGTAGCCGTAGGACGACATGAAGTCTTGCAGGAGACAAAGCATTTTGTATGCTAGCCGCTGCTGCTCTGCGGCCGCCGCAAAGTCGGCACGCGCGTCGTCAACGGCTGACAAGACCACAGCGAGATCGTCAGATAAACCACTGAGGTATTTTTGGAGCGTCTCCACAAAATGTTCACTGGAAGGACTCTGGAGCTTCTGGTACGCGTCCTCAGCGGAGATACACCCCAGGAGGCTGTCTTGGATGAACACCGCAAAGGGCTCTTCGATGTGTTGTAGATGTACGAGCTGTGTGGGTAGCACGGCTGTCAGCGTGGTCAACTTGATCAAAGCGGGAGGACGCACCTGCAGAACAGACGTCAACGCATCGAGAGAAGCTGTATGCCGTTCGCTGAAGTCTGCGATGAAGTTCAGTGTACCGGAGCCTAACATGATGTTTGGTGTCCACTCGAGGTTAAAGAACGTCTAACAGCACAAATGTTAAAACAAATCCTCCAGGTACTGTCTCCGCTCTCGTACCTCCTCTATGACTCTTTCAACAATCTCGACACCCGAAGGTACGCGGTGAGCGTGCACACAGAGGAGTTGCAGCGTGCGTCTTGGGAAAGCTGTGCGGAGGAATCCAGACGGCGATGGTGCAGACATCGCCAGCAGGAACACAAGTGGGAGATCAGGAAGGAATTGGCTGTAGTAGAGAGATCAGAGTTTCAGACGTGCATAAAAGAGTGAAAAGAGCCGACCTGCATATGCTGAATACGACCTCTATTACCGCACTATCGAATTGTTCGAAGGTGTTCATGACAATAACGAGCGTAGGACGGTAATCTATAACCAACTCAGCAGCTACTCGGATCCATGGAGGAGATTGTGCACCACACCGTTTAACGCCGTGAGAGCGTCGTACCAGGCTTTCAGCAGGTTCATGTCGTGGGTGACCAGAGATGTAGTTGCTCTTCGGCGTACAACAGGAGGATCTGTGACATTCGACGTAAGCTTTGCGAGATGAATTGGGTCAAGAATCGAGGCTCACACTGAATACCATGCGCCCCTTCATTATCTTCGTCTGCCTTGTCCACAAAGTTAGTAATGATGCTTTTCATCGCGGCCGTCAGGTTTGAACATTCTGTAGGGTACAGATGCGAAATTACGCATGTTGCTTGAGCATTCCGCTCAGAATCCTCCAGGGATGCGACGATATCGGAGATGACTGAGCTGCTGCCCCCGGGAGCCGAGATTGCGACAACAGGTAGCTCTGGGTACGGCAGGCCTGGAATTTGATGACCTTCTGTATGGGCTGTGCGTACACTGAAACAGACCGCTTCGACCACCGGGCTATGTAGAGAACGAACTAGGGACTAGCGTGCCGTCAGCGAACAGCAAGAGAGACGCGATATAACGCGCACCTGGACGCGTTCCAAGCATCTAGACCATGCTTTTCGATATTCTTTTAGCCTTAGCTCGTAACCGTCTGGGAGATCGCGAGGCGCAAATGGTGTAAGGGACGGAAAGTCTATGACCTTCGACGCGTCTTCATCCTCAGATTCTGTGGCGGTTCTTGAGATCTCGCCATAAGATTCAGTTATCACACGCACCGACAGCGTTATCCGCAAGTAGTAAGATGCATTTCTGGGAGAGATGAGGCAGTTGTTAGAGAAAGGGGCGAACCCGGGCGTACCTTGTTGGGATCGTCCAGGTCTTGCCGCGAGGTCATGGTCTGTTTCACTCTTGCTGCCACCAGCGTTCCACACTTCTACAGAGCTGAATCTTTCCGTGCCCTATTTGGCCCGCTAGATAAATCGAGAAAACCCAAGTTTTAATCAAGCAGGTAGAAGAAGTGTGAGTGGTGAGTTTGAAGCATTCGAGTCCACGACAAAGCACGTCGGGCCGCAAGTTCGACGCAACAGTCACCAGAGGTACGTGTAGTCCCGCCTCAAGAACACAATATTGTTGACCGATGATTCCTTCCAGTTCTAAATGCTATCTCCGTAGGTTAGTGAGCCGTCTGAAAGTCATTTTACGATTCTAGACATTCTCGTCACTGCGGGTGGCTTGACGCGAGACGTCGTAAATCATCCCGCCAACTCCGTTCAACGTCATATATTCGGCCCGAATGTTATCTCTTATACGTACAATGCTATGTGGAACGCCTCTGAAATGTCCAAATATTCACGTTCATCTGCGATTCTCCATGGAGGATACGCGAATGCCGGAGAAACCGGACCTCTCGGGTCCCTAATTTCCTCCAGATGATACCTACCGGCCTTCTCTGCATGGCCCATCGTGACCAGCGCGCATATTCAGCTACGTCGGCCTTACCGCGGAGCGTGAGGATCCATTTGCCTTCTGTGACTTTGGTATGTACTGCGCCCGCCCGCTGTCCTTCGTGTCGTAACAACTCATGTTCACGCTTCCTAGGCTTCCGTAGAGAAGGGTAGTCCCATGATGGATCATCTGCTAATCCCGGGCCAGATGCAGACCACAATACCCGCGAAAGGCCAGTCAGTCGCATATATTTACTGCGTCTGCGCACTGAGTCTTCAGGTCCTCAGCTAAACGACTCGCTGCAGTGCGCAAAGTCCTCATGCGCCTGCTTGCATACACAGGTCTACTTTCGTTCCTCTGCCTGGCCACGGCCGACACGGTCGTTGACCTTGGCTACGCGAAGTACCGGGGCAACCTCAGCTTCCCGAACACAGTCGCGTACTTGGGTCTCCCGTACGCCGAGCCTCCCGTTGGAGAGCTTCGTTGGCGGGCTCCTCTTCCGCTGAACACGACACGCGTGAGCCAACAGGCTGGCGGTACCATTGTTGATGCGTCGTCCTACCCTGAGTTCTGCATTCAGGGTACAACAGGCGGTGAGAAGCCATAATTGCTCTGACGCAGATCCTACGCTCATTAGACATGCAAGACGGTGATGCCGGAGGTGCAGGCAGCGAAGACTGTCTAAAAGTGAATGTTTATGCGCCAGCGAACGCGAAGGAGGGCGATAAGCGTATGTTTTGTTTCGTTCGCCTCCATAGTGAGGAACTGACGCGAGCCGCTGTATCAGTCCCAGTTCTAGTGTATATCCATGGTGGTGGCTACGTTTTTGGCAACCCCGCGAACTGGCCCTTCGATAATTGGGTACATCAAGTCCCCTCCGTCGTCATTGTCTCCGTGTATTACCGCCTCGACTCGTTCGGCTTCCTCTCGCACCCAGCATTTGCTTCGTCATCCTCTCTGGGCGACCTCAATGTCGGGTTCTCCGATCAGAATGCTGCGCTGCATTGGGTACAAGAGCACATTAATGCCTTTGGCGGCGACCCCGGGCAGGTGACGATTAATGGCCAAAGTGCCGGCGGCTCCTCTGTAGAGCTGCATCTCGTTGCGAGCGGACAGCAGGGTTTGTTCCATCAAGCCATCGCGCAGAGCGTTTATCGAACGCCGTTGCCCAGTCCAGAGCAACAAGAGGTAGGCTTCAAAGAGTTGCCAGAAGGGTTGACAACGCTGAATTCGTGCACAGCCGCTGTTCAACTTCTATGCAGAGAAGGCTGGCTGTGGTGGCTCGAGCACAGTTTCTGATACCATGGCTTGCCTTCGGAAAGCACCTGTCACCGCGCTTGCGCCGGCCCAAGATGCGCCTTTGTGAGTGCTCCTAGTGAGACTAGCTTGTGGCAAGCATTGCGTTCTGATAACACGAATAGCAACGGATCATATAATGCCTTCCATCCTGTCCTCGATGGCAAGATCATTCCCGACCGTCCAACACCCGCAATCCTCTCCGGTCGCTTCGCAGACATCCCGCTGATGGTAGGGTATGCATGTTCCCCTCGTTCTTCTTTCCCATGCGATCAAGAATTAATTGCTTTTGCACGCAGCGCGACTTCGAACGAGTCGCTCTCTCTCGGTGCCACCAGCTTGAATAGCGGCCTCCAAACCTTTTTCCCAGCACTCACGCAGGCCGATCTCGCCGAGTTCAACCAGGTGTACGCCGTTTCTAACTTCGACAACTCTAGCCAGCAGATCCGTGTTGGCACAGGCGAGAGCGAGCTGCGTTGTGCGGTACGTTTCTCCCGCATGGAATACCCTGAGCACAGTGGCTGATGGATATAATTCACGAAGGCGGAGATTATAGGCGGGGCGTCTGCACAGCAAAGGTCGGGCAAGACCTTTGTGTACAGGTATAACACGGCCAACCCGACGGGCGGCGATCCTCTGGTGGAACACGCCGCTGAAAACTGGATGATGTTCCGCGGGACAAACACAGGGTACGTCCCGTCGTTGGCCCCTCATCTTGGTATTTGCATGCTCAATCATGGGCACCCTTCAGGTTTAATGGCACAACAACCTTCTCGGCTATGACACCTTCCGAACAGGTCTTCGCATCCGAACTCATCGCCTACTGGCTCTCATTCGTACGCTCAGGCAACCCGAACACATTCAAGCTTGCGAGAGCACCCACGTGGCCTGTGTACACGACCGGCGGAATACAGCGGGTTGTTCTCACGGAGGGAACAGTGACAAGCAGTGGAAGCACTATCGAGACAATCCCATCAGCAGAGAGGCAGAGATGCGCGTTCGTGGTAAGCAAGGTGACGAGCCAGCAGGCGTGAAAAGTAGCGGCGTATAGTGTGAATACATGGAAGTCATACAATACATAGCAAACAGACTGGACACATCATGAACGGAGCCGGAAAGAACGCAAGACCTCCAAACAGAATACTATGCAACAGTCTTTCACCCACATCTAAGGTTTATGCACCCTCGACTCGGCGAATGACACGTCTGTCACGCTCACCAACGACCTTGACGAGTCCCTCCTGCTCGAGCTCGCGCACGACTTCTTGGAACTCAGCTACCGGAACCCGGACGCTACTCTGGCCCTCAAGAGTCTTGAACGCGTCGGACCAGCGCACGCCACGCGTGCCACCGGCGCCTTCGAGCAAGTTGAGCACCTCCTTGCGCATATCACCGCGCAGCCGGCGCTGCGTACGCCCGATGCCGGTGTCGAGCAAGCCCATATCAATCTCGCCCGTCGTCGGGTCGCGCGCGCTCGTGTTGATCGCCTCGCGCATGAGTCGGAAGGCCTCGCGCACATCTGAGAGCTCGACGAGAGGACTGAGGCGCATTCGCGAGTGCGCTTCGCTCAGGCGGATCATGCTCTCGAGCTGACGCGTCGTTGCTGTGATACGCTTCTCATTCGCATTGCCCCGCGGATCTTCGCCCGCTTTACGGAGGGTGACGTAGCATTTCACGAGTTCGTTACCTGCCTCCTCGGTGATTGTCGGATTGACTCGCGTGCGCGCATAGTTGATGTACGCGGAGAGCTCATCCATAGGCTGTTGAGAGGAATAATATTCAGCATGAGCTGGAAGCTGTTAAGGCGAGGCAGCGTACCAGGATGTCTTGCTCAGTGGAGTTAGGGCTGTCCTCCAGGTAGAGCCCAACCAAGTGCTGTGCAAGCCGGCGGTCGAGCTGTTCGTCGACGTTATCCAGGACGAGATATAGCAAGTCAAACCGCGAAATCAAAGTTGGCGGTAAGTCTAGATTAGTGGAGATCGTCTTCGCCCGATCGTAGCGTGAGCCAATTGGGTTTGCGGCCGCAAGGATAGATGTTCGCGCATTGAGCGTGGTGATGATGCCCGCTTTTGCGATGGAGACGGTTTGTTGTTCCTGTAGACCATGTGAGATAGAGTAGAGAATTATAGTGTAGGGTGGAATGCAGACCATAACCTCATGGAGTACACTACGGGTCGCCTCGCTCATCTTGTCGAACTCATCAATGCAGCACACACCGCCGTCACTCAGCACAAGCGCACCACTATGTTCCTTATTAGCGGCACTATCGTCAAGAGCTATGCCGTCACTGACCTCTCGAGGACAAGCTGTTTCGAGTCCGGATCCCTCGTCACGTATGCGGTAAGACCGACCGCACTGGAGCCCTTGCCGGAAGTGAACACTCCTCGAGGCGCAATCTTGTGCACATACTATTCTCCATCGATTAGCCGCTTGTCGCGCACGGGCACCATCCGCGCTCACCGAGAGTATTTGAGACTTTGAGACACCAGGATCACCAACAAGCAACACATTGATGTCGCCACGGTATCTCGGTCCGCCCGCACCTCCACCACGGGCAATGCTCTTGTTCGTTCCACCGAACAATTGGAGGAGAATCCCCTTCTTGACATCCTCTAGTGACCAAATACTCGGCGCAAGACTCCTTGCCAGCAGTTCGTAGATATCCGGGCGCTGGCTAAGCTCTTTAAGCTTGTTCTCTATTTCGGCACGCCTGCTCTGCTGCCGCTGCTGCTCGAGGGGATTTTCGTCCGACACGTCGCTGAAGAAGTCGCCGACGCCGCCGACGCCTGGGATACGGTCCCCGCCTGCGGGGCGTGTGCTCTTGTCGAGCCCAAGGCGGTCGTCAGTGCCGAGGCGTACATGAACCACGTCGAGAAAGGTCTTGAAGAGGCTCTTAAGTGTCCTCTGCCTCGGGTTAACTCGTACAGGTACGCTACGGAAGATACCTGTGACGACGAGCCGGTCACCGGGTTTGCTGACGTCGACAAGCTCGTCATACACGCTAAGGGTGACTGTATGCGGTGTTTGGCCATCGGGCACTGCGTCCGGGGTCTCCTGCAAGCGAATGACTTGGCGATCGGCAAATTCGCATCGGTTGTGTACCAGAGACATAGTGCCCACGGAAGCACAAACGTCGCGCGGACAGCGTTGCGGCTCGTCGATCTTACCACGATCAATCTCGACCTGGACAGTGTGATTGCATGTCAGGCAGCGGAAGAAGGCCACCTTCATGTCAGGAATCACGGGCGTCGCTCGAATGACGAGACCCTTAATGCACACTAACTTGTCAGTGTCTGAAGACAGGCGAAGTTAGTCCCCACAGAGATGACGCTCGAAATGTTAGAAGTTGACGTACCAGTGGGGTTGAGGTCTCGCATATTCACAGACATTAAGCCGAAGGGCCGAATCTTGTAGACCTTGCCCATGATATCCGCGATCTCCTCTTCGCCTTCCTCGCCTGTCATACCCTCTTCGCCTGCTCGCTGATCTTGCTCCGCGATCTCAAGCATGAGATCTTTGAGAACCTGATCCATAGCGGGAACAACTTCTTGAGGATACTTGACAAGCTGACTGTGTAGCTTCTTGCTAGGTGGGTAGGCAGCAAGGTTGTTCAGGTCGAGGTTCAAGTTCGTTTCACCGGTTTGGCGCATGCGACGTAGGTATGTCTCGTAGAGTAATACCTCGCCTTCCTCCGGTGAAGTCAGGGTACGCGTACGCACGCCTCGATTCCGGTCATAGGAGATGCGGTACTTGGGCTTGAAGCCAAGCATAAATTCGCGGAAGATCTTCATCGTTTCCGCGAGGTTGACCGTCGTACCCCAAATGGCACGGATTTCGGCAGGTTCGTCACTTGGCACGTCAGCAGCGCTGAAGCCTGCACCTGCAGATGACATCGGCATTTGCAGGTTTGTTCCATCGCTCATGGGGTCATCTGTGTTGAGGTTTTGTTGACGGCGGCGGCGCGCAACAGGTGTGAGACTCAAAGAGCTATGGATATCTCCACGACGATTCTTGGGAGTGGCGACAGGACTCCTGCATAAGCATCAGTACTAGCAACGTGAGAGCTGCTGAGGAACGTACGAGGGGAACTCGAGCGGTTCAGATCCCCGAGGGCTCTGAGGTGGCGAACTCGAATTTGCAAGGAAGTTTGTACGCCTTGGCGTCGCGCCCTTCGCGGGACTCGAGCTAGGAAATGCGAGAGGAGAAGAGCTACCCGCTTCCGTTGGAGTGCATCAGCCAGGTAATCAGGATGCAACGTGAAGTCGCGACTCACCAGCGAAGAGAGGCGTCTTTCTCTTAGGGGTATTAAGCCCGACAGCCCTACGCGCAACCACGTTTCCAGGAGAGCTCGGGGGCGCGGACGACTGCTGACGTTGGGATCGACGAGGGGTGCCTGCGACTGAGGGCGACGCGGCGAAAAAGAGAGGTTGCTGGGGAAGCGCATTTGGGGTGTTCTGCTCCCCGTCCGCTATGTCTGCGTCGGGCGGGTCGGATGATGGGAACTTGAACGGTGAGGACATGTTTTACGAGCGAGGGACTGTGGACAATGACGAGAGAAAGATAAAGTGCGTGACAGTCACGTCGTGTTCGCGGTCATGTTCGCGTACCGTCACGTCACGGTCACTAGTAAATTACTGCGCGAGGGACAAGGGCTCTAAATCTGGATATGGTGAACCATCTACGAGCGAAAACAAGTGCCACGTCGGCGTGTATTGCAATATAAAGAGAGGTGTAACGATCTAACGGGATGGCAGGGGGATTCAAAAACTACAAAAAGAAGCTATAACGACGAACAAAGCCCGAGGGTGGAGATTGCAACTGGACATAAGAGTATAAGTCGAAATCTGAGGTATCGCAGTAAATGGGTATTCCAAAAATACTCCGCATAGGTTGTGAGCCTCCGCGAGATCATCAGATAGTTGTGTTCTCAGAGCATCACGACGAAAACAGTGCCGACAATCAAAGCAACAGGGAGTGCGAGAGTCACGGCAACCGTTGGGATGACCCGAGTTGCTGCGGAGGTAGCCGATGCAGAGGCGGAAGATGAGGGAACCACGCTGCTGCTTGGCGAAATTGAGGATAGTGCACGGGAGGTGGTGAAGGTGGCTGTTCCCGAAAAGCTGGAACTCCCTGCCGGGCTTGGAGAGGGAACAGCGGAGGTCACGCCGGGGGGTGAGACCGAACTGCTCAGTAAAACGGAGCTGGCTGTCGCAGGCGATGAGCTCGTCACGGATGGCAAGTTGGAAGACGCAGAGGGGTTACTGCCAATGGATATAGTTGAGGCAATGGTATTTGATGGTGCGCTAGCGACCGAGGAGGGCACAGGAAGAGTAGATGTATCGCTTGCGACTGGGGCGCTGAACGATCCAGACATGCCTTCCAAACTATTTGCCACCATTAGAGCGTAGTTTGCATTTGAAAAAGAAGATAACATACGCAAAGAACGGGGAGTACTGAGTATATGGCTGTGGGGAATTGCCAATGGCGTCGACAGATGTGAAATTGATGTAGCTTTGTGTGCGTCAGTGAATTTTGGAGCAAGGTTATCTGACAATATACCCACTAGCCGCTCGAGTCAGGCCCCGCGGTTGGATCGGGCTGCGTTCAGCATAAGCAAAAGCTTATCGCATGCTCGACCTTGGAGACTCACCGTGAATTGCAGAGACCTCGTGCTTGCAACATTCACAGGTTCGATCTGCTGTATGAGGAGACCATTTCCATTGTAGAGACCAACGTAGCAGGCTCCAATGTCCGACAGGGTTGGGGTTTGACCATCCTCAAGCCATTCGACAAGGCAGGACTCTCCGCCTTGGCAGGTAGTCGTCTCGCCTGGAGAAGTAACCTGCCGGCACGGTTAGTGCAACGTAGTCCCCACGGGATCGTACTCAACGCACAAAAATTGTGGCCTGTGCCAACTGGAGGCCAATAAGAATGTGAAGGAGGACCGCAAGAGCAGACATCGCGCAAAGCATGAAAGTCGTGAAACGGGGTGGTGCAGATTACTGGAGGAGATCACAGAATTTATGTAAGTCGTGACGGACGTGGAAATGAAAGGGAGACAGCGTGCAAAGAACGTGACGTTGTTATTTGATCTTTCTATGATTATGTGCGGGAGAGCATGAGGGTGGAGCAAGGGCTGAGACAACTTTCGTCGTCATGAGGACCTATCTAACTTTGTTCAACTTTGTGGCACCGGCGTGCCCGGCGCGTGTTCCGCATCCCCGCTCCCGCTGCCTGTGCCGCCACGCCGCACGCCGCATGGAGGGGGAGGATTCCGATCAGCAACGACACGAGGTTTGCTGTGCAGACCAATGCACCAAAATCTTTGAGATAGTAATGGAATATATTGGAGACAGCTAAAATAAGGATACAACATACAGAGCAAGTTGAGATTGTATAACGATGCAGAAATGACGAACGACATAATCCAGATAGCAAGGACATCTAAGTCCCAACACAGTCCATTAGGATTGGCCATTCCCGATTCGGGCGTTGACCTTCTGTCGATGCTGGCGGTTCTTAAGATGCACTTCATAATTAGTCAGAGTCTCTCCAGGACCGGGGGTATAGAGCTAGCAGCAGGACACCGTCAGCACTACAATTGTCCGCATCAGCAGAACAGAGACGTACTTTTCCAGGACAATCTGTGCACTTGATGCGCCATTCCGGTTGTGCGGGGTTCGGTCCTCTACGAAGCACAGCCTCAAATCTATCATCGGGGTATTTATCATTTAGTTCTTTCATGGCTTCCTTTAACCAAGCGGGAGGGTCCTACATTACGAGGTCAGACGACGCGTTCATCATGGTTGTTCACTTCCTACTCACTCTCGCAGGACGGTTTCCACCAGCGCGCGGTCCGGCCCCGGAGTGGGGTGCGACGGAGGGAAGGACAGCATGCGAGTCCTGCGGTGTATCCTGAATGCCCTCCGAAGATTCACTCTGACTGGGAGCGATGGCGGGTGCGGACGGAGTAGAGTGAACACCATTCGTTTTGCCCCTCGTTGCCAACGGGGTTTCCGAGATGCTGGAAGTGGTAGACATGGGCGACGCGGCCTCGGTCTTTTCGATCTTCGGTAGTTTCGGCGTCTCCAAGACTGTGCTGCGGGAGACGGGCTTGCTGTCCGGCTCCGGAGACGGTTTCCTTGGAGTCTCTGGCTCGACCGTGGGAGCCTTCGACGATGCCTCAGCTACGTGCGCATGGGGCCGCTTTCTCCTGGATGCCGCGAGCCTCGCCATCTCCTCCTCCTTCTTGATGTTTGAATGATATTCCAGGCTGGAGTTGTACTCCACAGGTCGTGGGCGTCGGTGCCTATGCCAGAATTTTCCTATGGAGAATATCAGAAACAGCCTGTTATGAAGCGGTAACACAACATACCGCATGCACCGCACTGTGACTTGTCTCCCAGCGGACCTTTGCGGCGACCAATAGCAATGCTCTCCGGGCAACCACAGTTCGAACAGTGCCAAACGCCATCGATGTAGTTCGGATGCTGGCCGTCCACGTACTCCCGCTCCTTGGCTTCCCGCTCGAGCTCTTTCGTACGCTTTGCAGAAAGTGGCACGCGTGCACCCCGGTTCTCCACGTTGCTCGACACAGGCGGGTCGATATCTAATGGCGGGCGCACTGTCGACGGATCGGCAGCAGTCCCGTCCGTCGGCGCCTTGACATGAGCACGCGGGCGAAGGACAGACGAAGGGTATGATGGTGGTTTCATGAGGCCCTTCGGCTTCTTCTCTTTCATCAGCTGAGGCGCAGCCACCGCAGTAGGAACAGGAGCAGGCATGACCTGTGGCGAGAGCGAGGTGCCGTTCTCCGATGCAATCATATTGGCGATATTGTGCGAAGCCGCAGCCGCAGCCGCGCGGCGGGAGGTAGGCGCCAAGTTCGCGTTCGCGAGTGCCAGCGTGGCAGGGTCGACCTCGGGGAAGCCAATCGCGGGAGTACGGAATGTCTTGGGCGGGTCCCGGTCGGGAAGTACGATGCCTCTGCGTCCGCGATTTGTCTTGCGACGGCGACGATTGAGTTCTTTCTCACGCTCTTTCTCGTTGCGCTCGATTTCACCATCGCTGAGGTAGTCGAGACGAGGCGTAAAGGCAACGACTTGATCCATGGAGCGCGCGCCTGTACTGAGGGACGGTAACAACGACAAACGAAGGTCGTCGTCTTGAACTGCCGAGCCGTCAGATGGGTGACCAACGAGGAAGAGGGATTTTTGATAGGTTTGCACTTGTTCGCGGATCGAATGCGCGATTGCAGTTTTGAATTCGCCACTGAGGCCGAGCTCCTTCGTATAGATGTCAGCGAAGTGCTCCGGGGAAGGGTCGGGGCTATCGAGGTCCCATTCAAACTGGTCCTCAAGTTTGACCGGGCCAACAATGATATCGAGCTGCGGCATTGAGTCAGTAACGGTGGCTTCTCTCACAGCAGAGTCGCCGACGGACCTTGATCAAGATGCGCATCTCCTCAAGCATCTTGTTCTCGTCCTCTTCAAACTCGTCCACTGACATGTACGCGTCGAGACTAGACGCAACAGGCACCCCCTTCGTCTCAACTTCTTCGTCTTTGACAATTTTGCGACGTTTGCGCGTGCGGCGCTCGACTTGTGTCTCCCAATGACGGAGAAGCGTATCGCTGCGGACATGGTTCCGCCACGCGTCCCACCACATTTCCTCATCGTCGGCGAACTGTCCGTGCATGACGACATCGTCGAATCCGTCCTCGCCAAATGTCGCCGTGTGTGCCTTGAAGTCGCTCAGCTGGTCTTGGATCGTCTTCGTGATCACTGCGTGGTAGCTCGGGGCAAGACTGTAATCGTCCACAATGGACTGCGCAAAGATTTCGGGAGTAATGATAGGATCTGTGAGAAATGAGTGAGAAAGTTGATTGCCGCACAAGGGTCGTTACGCAGACACGTACCATTTAAGTTCCACACGAAGGTGTCTCGCATCTTATGATGGTCGACATCGAACTCGAGGCGAAGCGGCACCAGCTGTTCGGGACGGCTGGCGTCCTCAGGGTTGACAGTTCTGGGCCTGCCGCCTATATAAGCTACGAATGCCGCACGATATGACGCAAAGAACTCACAACTTGAACCCCTCTCTCCTTCCCGCCTTCTTCCGCTTCATCTCCTCCCTCCCCTTGAGTCCGATGAGGTCAAACTTCTCCTTTCGGCGTCTTGCCGCCCGGGGATCTTCCAACGGGTCTTTCTCGTACCACGCACGAGGCTTGACGATCGCCTCGCGCACCTCTTCCGTCATACGTTCGCGCATCTGCTTATACCTCGCGTCGTACTCTTCGTCCGTCTTCATCCACTCCTTCACCCGCTCGATCTCTTCTTGTTTCAGCGCCCGGATCGTCGTCTCCGAGTCCTTGAGTGGCACGACTGACACACGCGTCACCTTTGGGTTCAGACTCACGTTGGCCGGCAGCGGCGGGAGCTGCGGGACGATCTGCGTCTGGGCTTGCGCAGCGGGAGCAGCCGCACCGTTCGTTGTCGCCGTGGTGGATGACGTTGGAGCTGAGAGTCCACCGAAGACATCGCCAGTGGACACCCGAGAGAGCGGCGGCGCACCAGCGAGTACTCCGGGGCCCGCCATCTTGCGCTCTGCGCTGCCAGGCATACCCGGTATCCCGCCAGGAAACGGTGAGCCCGCAGCCGGCGTGTGCGATGCCTGCCTGTTTGGCGTAGCAGGCGCACCAGGGATCAAAGGGTCAGCAAGCATCGCCAGATTCGGCGAGCCCGGCACATTTGGAGTAGGTATCGCCATCGCAGAGGCAAGCGGACCAGACATGTTAGGTGTACCCACCAAGGGCATCGGAGCGTTGAGGTTCGGGTTGAGGTTCGTGTTAATGTTCGTATTGATGCTGAGACTTGCTCCAGGTACACCAGGGGTGCCCGCGTTGCTCGTTCGGATGTCCCCTACACTTGGCTGCCGCGCCATACCAGGCACCTGCATACCGTTGACGCCCATAGGACCCGACATGCCGTTCATACCTGGCATGCCCATGTCGGCACCTACGCCACCAGCAGAGAGCTGCGCCTGATTCGATTGTTGCGGCCGCGGGAGGACAGGAGGGCCCATCATGCCGCCAGCACCAGCCATAAGGCCGTTAGCTCCTTGGATGTTCATCATATTGCTCCCCGGCGTACCGCCCGACATGCGCATATGCATCAACTGAGCGGGTGTCATGTTCGTACCAGGCATCCCTTGAGGACCTACACGTATTCATGCAGGTCAAAATGGACGACAAAAGTCCGAAATGAGTGAAACAAACCTTGAGCCTGCCCAGGAGTCTGCGTCTGAATTTGTCCTTGTGGCGTAAACGACTGCTCCAAATGCGATCCTTGAGAAGAGGTACCCGCAATGGAAGGCGGTACTGGGGTTCCAGATGGCCTCCTCTTCATAGACACCCTTGGCGAGCCGGGCGCCGAGCCTGCCGTGGGCGCAGGTGCAATCGGTGGATACGTCGCTGATGTCGGTGTTGAGATGGGTGTATGCGTAGACTGCTGTTGCTGCGCTAGCTGACCTTGTTGCAACTGCTGCTGATTCTGATACTGAGCTGAGCCCTGTGAGGTCTGAGGCGTTGATGGCGCTTGCTGTGGACGGAAGCCAGTAGCAGTGTTGGGTCGGCTGCCAACGAGTGCAGGAGTAATCGCACGCAGTCCACTTGGACCGTGCATGCTCTGGCCAGTCCCGGGACGTGGTATCGGCGCAGGGCTTCCGGAGGCGCGAGCGTTTGGAGGGACGGGACGAGGCTGAATAGGTATTGGCGCTGGCGCTGGAAGACCTTGTTGGCCGGGCTGCTGAGCATTCGACTGTTGCTGGCCGTGCTGGCTCCCCTGGTGGTGTTGTTGCATGCCCATGGAGCTACTGGTCCTCGAAATCGCGGCAGGACCAGGTGTGGCAGCCGTGCCGGCAGTCCCAGGACGAGGACTCTGAGTGTGCCCAAGCTGATAGTGGTGCTGTTGCGAGTGCTGAGGATGTTGTCCGTACTGACCGGGAGGACCCATGCCAGTACCAGAACGAGGAGCAGGGGAAGCAGCAGGCGTAGCCGTAGGCTGTCTCGGAGGGATCGACGGCGGCGGGCCCATTATGCCCGCGTTTGGGTGATGCTGCTGCTGCTGCATCTGCTGGTGTTGTTGCATGTGCATGTTTTGTTGTTGATGAGGAGTTTGAACGCGGACAGGAGATGAGACCTGGGCTTGACCTTGGTTGGGGAAGGCGTTCGGTTGAGTCGGGCTCGCGTGCTGGCTCTGGGCTTGCGCCATCGACGACGTCGGACGATCCTGGCCTTGGGCATGTTGCATCTGGAGAAGCTGCATCTGCTGGAGTTGTGCGGCGCTCATGCCCTGCATCCCACCCATGCTTTGCATCCCGCCCATCCCACCGCCCATGCCTTGCATACCCATCGCAGTCATGTTCAAGTTGTCCATGCCCATCATCCCGTTGCCGTCCATCCCACCCATTCCTCCACCCATGCCGCTGTTGAAGCTGTTCGCCATCCCGCCCATCATGCCATCCATACTCTGGCCCTGCATGCCCGTCTGGGTGCGCTGACCCTGCCCCTGCATTCCCATCCCGCCCATACCGGCCATGTTCAGCTCTCCGCTACTTCGACGCATCTGCATCTCGCGCTGCTGGTGCTGAAAGTTGAGCATCATGAGCCGCTGCATCGCTTTGTGTCGCTCTTGAGGGCTCATGTGACTGAGCTGCTGAATCTGCGCAGGGGTGAGTTGGAGGTTGCCCATACTCGCCTGACTGCCACCTCCGCCCATGGTACCCATACCACCGCCCATACCCATATTGGAGGGCGTACCGGAACCAGCGTTCAAGGCAGCAGGGTTGATAGATGTCGATTGCGTATGCGGGGGTTGCGGGGATGAGACAGAGTTTGCATTCTGTGGACCTATAGAAGCGCAGAGCGTCGCACGATATCCCTAACGAATCAAAGAGAGCACTTACTAGGGCCGCTCTGTGCCGTCATGCTCAAAGCTTGAGGATTAATTCCGCCCATGCCACCCATAACCATGCCACCCATACCCATTATTCCGTTGTTCATTCCGCTCATGTTGTTCATGCCTCCGCCGTTCGACATATTGCTCATTCCCGACGGGCCACCCATATTGCCGGTTCCGCTTGGGTTGTGTTGCTGCATAAGCATTTGGGGGTTGACGCCACCGCCCGTCCCTGGTCGGCCGGAGGCTTGGTTAAACTGCCGCTGCTGTTGAGCGAGCATCTGTGGGTTGAAGCCGGGGTTGGAAGCTATAGATCCTTGTCCGTTCATACCACCCATGCCCATGGCGCTCATGTTCATGCTGCCCATGTTCATCAACGCTTGTGGATTTACGCCCATCGAGCCTGCCGTGCCTCCGCCTCCGCCTTGATGTTGCTGTTGATACTGCTGCATCATCTGTGGATTAAAGCCACCCGCGCCTCCACTTCCGCCTCCCATGCCCATGCCGGCACCCTGGTACTTGGCCGCGAGCATCTGCTGGAACTGCTGCTGCTGTGTTGGGTTCATGCCGGCCATGCCGTTCATGCCAGACATGGCGTTCATCATGTTCGGGTTCATCTGGCCATGTCCATGCTGTTGTTGTTGTTGCTGCTGCTGAAGAGCGGCGAGCATGGCAGGGTTGTGGTGCTGCCCTGCTTGAGTATTCATCGCAGTCGTTACGAATAGTGATAAGTGCTACGAGATGTGTGCTTATTGAGGGTGAAGCCAGCGCTGCTGGTGCGACAGCGCGGCCGTCGATGTTGCAGCCTGCGGCGAGGACCAAAAGGATGGGATCGGGAACCTGCAAAGCGAAGGCGATGATGAGCAAGCAAAGTTACGCGACAGAGACATGGACAGCAAAGAGGCGCGTGAGAACGGCGGCGAGGGGGAGCACGTGACGATCAACAAGGGAGCACCCGGAAAGGCAAGGGAATTAGAGGGCAGCGGGGGAGTGCCATACGGGGAGGGAGAGAGCGGGAAGACGGAGGGGAGGGGGAGGGGGAGGAGAGAAGGGAGAGAAGAAGGCGTGGAAAGAGAGGAGGGGACGCTTACGTTGATGTGTCGGGAGGGACGTGTTTGGGGTATGGGTCGGGGACGGCGGGAGGGACGGCCGCAGGAGATGCGGAAAACGGGGCGGGGGAGGAGGAATCGGCTTGGAAAAGGCGGGGAATGCGTATGACGTGTGCCGGCCGAAGGGGCTGTCCGGGCGACGGGCGGTGGGCGGCGGGGGCTGACGGAAGGGATAGTGCTTTGTCTGTCGGTGCTGGATACAGGGGGCAGGGCTGCGGTCAGAAGACGCTGCGAGAGCAGGACACGGGAACACCTTTCTGGCGTGCACAACCAGTCCGAGAGAAATGACACGAACCTCGCCAAATGTGTCCCGACCTCAACGAGAGAGGATCGGTCCCAATCCACACTCAATCTGATCGTCCGTGCGCCTTTCCGTGCTGCTCAAGGTCGCCGCGTGCTCCTCTCACAACCTCAGTGTGTCGCGATTAGCCTCTGCTGCCTTTCGCGCTCTGCAGCAGGTTTCCGTGGGAGGCGAAAAGAACAAGACAACAGCCAGGTCACAGCACAGTCACGTACACCGCCCCGTCACAGCACGTCACACCCCCAGAGACGCGCACGCCCCGCCGCTGCACCCGCCGGCCCAAACTGCGCGGGCATCGCTGCGGATGGCACGCAACGCGGCGGGGGAGACATCGGCAACGGAAGGACGCTACAAGCACAAGCTCGAAACGATTCCGAAATTTGTCTTGAGCGAGTGCGTTGCCTGTATAACCGCCTACAGCTCCCCATGGTCAGATCTAGATCTCAGATGACTCCCCTCTCTCGTCTGCATTCCTCTTCTCCCCTCAGTGTGTCCTTATCGCCGCTTGCATCGCCCTCGTTACCTCATTGCCAACAGCCACACTTCCATCCAGACCGACCCCAAGCTGCATGAGCAAGCGCCCTTCCATGAACGGACGCCCAGCAGCACTGGGACGCCCGCCCGCGCGTCCTCCCCCGCTCTCGCTTCCGCCCTTGGCGATCGGCGGTGCCTCTTCCTGTCTCTCCGCCACCCCTCTAAACCTCCGCTGATGAGAAGAGTACGATCGCTCCTCCTCAAATCTTTCTCCCCGCGTTATCGGCATGCGCCTGGTCCCCATAAGCTTCGCAACGAAGCGCGTGCATTACGCACAGCGAGGTACGAGCGCATTACCGCTGCCCAGCTTAACATCGTGCGTACAGCTACAGTATGTCTCAATCTGTGTGTGATTTGGCCGGACACGCTTGGACATTCGGTCACCAGTCGCGTCATACGGAAGGTGCATGGACGTTCCGCATAGAGTTTGAGAAGACTCACTCGAGCCTGAGGTTGTGACGACTTCCTACTGCAGCGACGAAAACGCGGCATCTCTCACTCCATCAGGCCCTGTGTATGCGAAGTATAAGATTGCGCACATGGTGTGAAACTACAGGAAGTATTCTGTCAGCTTGGGATGACTCTGGACCGGCGAATCTCCTCAGTGTGGCCGACCGTGTAGGGTAGTAAGGATGTTTCAGAGTACAATGGTCAGCGTGTAATGTTGTCTCCCGCTGTCGTAGTAGCGACTACCCAATCAAAATCTTTCAAGGACGCCACATCTTGATTTCCTGCCATAATTAACTGGAGGCGAACCAACCGGACACATAATTTTTTAAAAACGATTTGAGACGTGTAGCATGAGGATGCAGCTTGTGCAATCTCGTGCAGCCCTCCGAGAGAAGATTCGGAGTCAACAGGCGCTCGATACCGACGGCGGATCAAATTGATGGCGGCATGCCAGGCGCGCAGCTTAAACACAAAGCGCCGCTCTCCTTGCTTGCACACCCCTCTTTGCCCCAGGTCGTACGCGATGTCGACAACCGCGACAATGCCCTCAACGAGTACACAGCTGTCGAGGGTGCCTCAAAAGCGTCGCCTGTCTGAGGCGCCAGATAATCGTATCCCGGATTCGAAACGGGTGAGGAGGAATAATGAAGATGACCTTGCAGAGCCTAGTGAGAGCTCGCCGCTCAAATCTGCCGCCGCGGCCACCCCTTCCGCGAGAGACAAGAAGAAGCGCAAGAAGAAGAAAAAGAAACATCCTGTCGTACCACTGGACGCTGACGTGGACGGTGCAGTCCAGGCCTCTGTTTCAGATGGTCCTGCACGCCCGCAAGCCAAGAGTTCCCATAAGAAGATGCGTCACTCTTCTGTTGAGGAAAATAGTACGCCAGGGCCTTCGGGAGTCAAGCGGTCGCCTTCGGCGAGTCATGAGAGGCCGAGAAGTTTTGTGCCATCGTCTAGGACGCGGTCAGAGACACTGACAGTACGTATTTGCGCCGAGTCCTTGCTTGATGGCGCGCTGATCATATGCTAGGCTGTGTCGGCCAACGAGAAAGGCAAGGCACGCGCTACTTCGCCTGTCGATACGAACACCGCACCTCCAGCCGATGCGACTGCACTTGCGTCCCACCGAGCACTACTCGATGCTGTTCTACCATCGCTCATATGCCAGATCTGTCTACTTCTCATGAGCAAGCCTTTTGCCTTGGCACCGTGTGGTCATGTTCTGTGCCACGGGTGTCTCGTCAACTGGTTCTCCAACGAACCTGCCGCCCCTCTGGGCCAGGCGGTCCAGCAAGCAGAACCACCGTCAGCGCAGGTTGAGGGCGACGAAGGAGAAAACAATAATGCAGATGATCCTCCTCTTGCCCCAGCACCGGCTCTTCCACCAGCAGAACGACGTCCCGCTCCCCTCATTCGACGCAAGAAGACCTGCCCCCACTGCCGTGCTGTCGTCCGCGAAAAGCCTGTCGAAGTCTGGTCGGTTAAAGATATGGTCAACGCTGTCGTACGCAGTGGCCTTGCCGATCCAGACTCTGTGCCAGAATATCTTCAAGGCGACACAGCAAACGACGCGACCACAAACCCGTGGAAAGACATTTTCCCAGACGACACCCGCAGGCCGTTCGCCGATGTCCTGAACGAGAGCATGGGCCTACGTGACGACGAGGACGGCGGTATCTACCGCTGCGTGGACTGCCACCACGAGATCTGGGACGGCCTCTGCTCGTCGTGCGGGCGCTTCTACCCCGGCCACCGCATCGAATTCGACTCGGACAGTCAAGACGACGAGGACGGCCTCCAGCCGATGTGGCTCGACTACAGTGACGAGGACGAAGAGGCGGACATGGATTTCCTGCGGCACATCATCGGAAGGAGACTCGATGATCTGCTGGATGACGAAGCGCTTTCGGAGGGGAGCGACCACCGCGAGGACGGCAGAGGCCGCGGAAGCAGAGGCGGGTCGCACAGCAACGAAAGCATTGGCCACGGCAGCGCCCACAGCGACGCCTCGAACGATGAAGAGTACGAGGGCAGCTTCATCGACGATAGCGACGACGTGGCGATCGCGATCTCAGCTGTCCGCGACATCGGCAGATTGTACCGCGCTGGCGACGACGAACCGGTCGAGGTTTATTCAGACGAGGATGGCCGGCCGCCACCGGCTAGACGTGGGCGGCGGGTGATTGACTCTGACGAAGAGATCTCGTTGTCTGGTGGAGATGAAGAGGATGATGACCTCGCGGCGGCGGTGGCTGCTCGCGAGAGGTGAGTCCTTCGATTGCCTGCTGCCCTTCGTCCTCTTTGCTGAGTCTTTCTGCTCTAGAGAAATGTACGGTGACGACGGATCCCTGCCTTCTCGCCACTTCCCACAAACTGACTCGGACGATGAATTCGATCGTGAATACCACCATTATCCTGAAGAAGACGAGTATTAGCATGAGAGACCGTGGTTTATATGCTTGGACACTCTCCGTGCGATAGACCACTAGAGGTTGCCTGTAGCGTACCACTGGGATGATTGGCTGATACTGAAAGCATTTGCTTCTCGGTGCAAGCATTATCTTCAAATATATTGTGAGTGTTTCGGACAGATCTACTATAATATGAGTGCGCCAGTGCCTGGGACCGTACTCAAGGAGTCCAGCCGCGCTTGCGTACACACGAGGCCAAAAATCTTTGAACTTCCCGCCAGCCTCCGAGGCTGATGCAACCCATTCCCGTTATACACCGTGGAGTTAGGGAACAGCGCCGACAGGACCACCGCAATGAGGGACAGCTGACATACGCGTTCGCTTCCACATCTTCCGCTCTCGCTTTCTTAGAAACTTCTTTCGCTTTTCCGGCAATGTTCAGCACTACCTCTTGATGTGAAGGCAGCGATACGTGCTGGCACTCTGAGTGTTACCCCTATTGTCATGCTTAGTACGGGTCATTTGCTCCATATACAATTGTGCAGTTATATGCCACGAACCTATATGTTGTATAGTTGAGGGGTTCCAGCTCGAGAAGCTGTACATGTGTGTCTGAGGTATATGGCAGGGCCTATAGCAACTGAAGTACCGAAGGCCGAAATCAAATGCGCCACAAAGTTCTATGTCGGCAATCGGCGAATGCCAGAGACAGCAAGTATTTCCCAGGCTCGACAGCATCACTTTCGAGCGAGGAATGGAGTAGACTATTTCTCATCCCGGCACCAACCCCCCTCAGCATTCCGCTAACCGCCAGCGACTTGTGCATATCCAGAAGAGATTTTGCACAATCTCTTGCTCTTCAGCTATATCTATACTGCGCAGGGCGCACCGTGCAAGGTCGGCGCGACGGATACAGGTTACCTCGATGGACTGCAGGCAGGCGACACAAACAGGCGAGGGGCAATGGCTATCAAGCCCTGGTACGCACGGATGGGCTTCAATCTCCTCTCCTCAGGTACAAGTGCAAGCTCTGGCGAATTCTTCTCCACGTCTGCGGCACGCCTTTCTGCGAAACATCCTCAGCTACTCGCCCTCGCCGACTCTTGACCTGGACGCTTTTCCATGTCGGTCGTGGAAGAACGAAAGCCATACAACACAGAGCGCGCCGAAACGCGGATCTTCTAGCTCCTCGCAAATCACTGCTGTCGCCTTTGCTTCGACTGCCGCCTCGTGTCTTGCTCGCATGGGATGGGGGTCGCAGTTTTCCTGGCTTTGCCTCTATTTCGCTTTCAACCTCATCCTGACGCTATCCAACAAATCTGTCCTTACCAGCTTCCCATTCCCATACACACTCACTGCAATTCACGCTCTTTGTTCGACTGCCGGTGGACTGTTCCTGCGTTCACACTCTTTTTATATTCCCAAGCAACTGGACCTAAGGAGTGAATTATGCCTAGCTGCGTTCAGCTTTCTCTACTCCATAAATATTGCAGTGAGCAACGTCTCACTAAACTTGGTCACCGTGCCGGTGAGCACCTCTGGAACTACTCGGTATTCTCAGATGCTAACTTTGCCCCCTTGCGTGCTCCGCAGTTCCACCAAGTCATTCGTGCGATTACTCCTTTGCTTACTATTGCACTGTCTACATTTCTATATGGCATCTGTGTGAGGCGCGACCGGTTGTGCTCCCTTCTTCCGGTTATGTTTGGTGTGGCACTCGCGTGAGTCTATCTCTATTTAATGTCCCGCATTCAGTAGCTGACAGACTACTTCTGTAGGACATATGGCGACTATTACTTCACTCTCTGGGGTCTGTTCCTCACGCTCATCGGCACATTTCTGGCGGCACTGAAAACCATCTACACAAGCGCTTTACAATCTTCAGCCAAGAGACCGCCGCCGCCGACTTCGGAGATACCAACTCCTGCCACTTGGGGGAGGTCACACCATGCCAATCACCACACAGCTCACAGTCATATATTGAGCGGTTTGCGACGCTTTCTGGTCCCTCCAAAGCTGGACCTGCACCCACTAGACCTCCTCACTCGAATGTCTCCCCTGGCCTTTATTCAGTGTGTCGTCTATGCCCAGCTCTCGGGAGAACTCGATCGCCTTTCGCGTTTTGGCATTTCGTACCATGAGCCATCTGTCTCCGCGCAATTGTTGAATGCTACTGTGATGCATTCACAGTTACATCTACCAGGCAACGCACTCTTCAACACGACGACAGCGTCTCTAGACTGTCTACATCCGCAACAGCCTCTGAGGGTGGGCGGCGTTCCGCTTTCGCAGGTCGTCATTCTTCTCATCAACGGATGCATCGCATTTGGCCTCAACGTCGTCAGTTTCTCGGCGAATGGAAAAGTAGGGCCGCTGAGCATGACCGTTGCAGGTTCGTCGAGCATGAATCCACTTCCTTGGATTAGAACTAATCAGCATCTTCAGCCAATGTCAAGCAGGTCTTGACGATCCTCTTTGCCGTCTCGCTCTTCAACCTGACCATCACTACCACAAACGCCATCGGCATCTCTATTACCCTCCTCGGCGGCGCCTGGTACGCTTGGGTGGAATATACCTCCAAACTCAACAAGAGGGGAGGTCTCCAATAATTTCTTCTTTTCACATCGCTATTTCCAAGATATCCATATGTCACGCGGACTATGAGCACCTGCGGACTCGTCATTGTACCTCGTTACCCATAGCTATCGTTATACCGGCCCCCCACCATATCGTCCAGTCATAATATTTGTACAGAAAAGAGCAGTTGTCTATAGACAGCCCCTGTTACCAGAGATGAACAGTAATATACATACATCGTTTGACGAATTACAGACATAGTCCGATGACATCTTTGCTGAGTATGCGTGCTTTGAAGAATTCGACAAGCTCACTGGGCGTTCTAGCGATCACCTAGCGGGGTTGGCGGCAGGGGGACGCTATTGCGAATGGTTAAATCAAGTGAGCTGGAGGTGCTATCCACCGTGTTTGTCACGCCAGCTCAAAAGCTAGGCGGATGATCGTCATGTCGTTCAAGCGCATGAGCGGAAGCATTGGCATTCCATCCCCCAGAGGAATAAGAGGACGAAATCTCACGTATCTGCTCGTCGAGATTCAGAAAGTCTGCTTCCTCATGCACCTCCTCGGCCACGCCCTCTGCCCCTTCCTCTTCCCTTCCCGCGACCAGCGCTCTCGTCCCTCTGAGGCGCACCACTCTCGCTCTCTGCCGCTGACTGCCCTTGTTTAGCACCAACCCCAGACGCCGGCTGCGGGTCTCGCTGCAATATCGTCGGAGCGCCTGCAGCCGCCGCCTGCTGCTTCGGCTTGGGCGAGCTCGCCTCTGACGCTGACGTGCCGGGAACGGCAGAGACAGGCGTCGACGGGCCCGACTCCTTGTCCTTCTCGCGCTCACGCCTCGGCCGACCGCCCACCACGCCGCTCAGCGCTGCCTCGAACTGCCGGGACGCGAGCCCAATGACAGGTCGCGTACGCTGTCGGGAGGCCGCAGCGGGTGCTGGGGTAGAGGCGAGTGGCTCTGAGCCTGCAGTCTGCGCGGAGGGTGCAAGCGGGGGGACAGGAGGAGGCGGATTCGCGGGTGCGGACGCGGACGCGGACGCCTGGCTCTTCGAGCTCCGACGCTCGCGCTGAGCTCGGGGTGCTTTGGGCGTCGTCGGTGGTGGCTTCGACGTCCCCGCTTCGCTCGGCTCGGACGTGCGTTGCGCCTGATTCTTCAGTATCGTGGGTGCAGGCTGAGGTTCCTTCTCCTTTTCTAATTTTTTTTCTTTGTCCTTATCCTTCTCTTTATCCTTCCCCTTCTTCGCTGCTGCGGGCGGGTTGGCATCCTTCGCTTGCGCCTGTGCGGCAGCTTTAGCGGCCTTCTTCGCAGCTTTCTTGCTAGGCTGGCCTTCTGCGGGCTTTACTTGTGGCGCCGCCTTCTGAGAGGCAGCTTCAGTTTTGGCTGCGGCCGCTTTCTGCTTGGCTTCTTCTTTCTTGGACGCTTTAGAGGGGTTCGCCGCAATCTCCTTGTAGTGTGCATGTGCGCGGAGAATCGCTTCCTTGTCTTTCTGCGCAGACTTCTCAGCTTTGAGAGCTTCAAGTAGGGGCGTAGTTGTGGGCTGGGCTGGGGCCTGCGTGCTGGCAACTTTAAGGAACCTCAGGATGATGTTGTAGTGGGAAGTAGATGTATGCGTACCTAGTGTTTCGATGATATCCACGTCGAAGGGCTTGGACGCTGGCTCCTTCAGCGACTCCAAAAACGAGATGTAATCTTCGTCTAGGCCAGTACCATCACTGTCTGTTCGGGCGCAAGTACTGCCTCACTAACCTTTCTCAATCGTATTCATACGGCTATCCACCTTCTTTTTCTCTGTGGGTATCTTCTGAAGCGGCGCAAATTCCACCACCGCAAAAGATTCGTTGCCTGGATCACCTTAGCATAACATTAGCCTACGATAGCGTCCGTACTCACCAGCCTTATCCCGAAATACATGTCCGTCATACTCCCTACTGAAAGTAGCAAGCGTCTCCTCATCCTTGAATGCAATGTACGCCCGCGACGGAATGTTTTCCTTGTTCAGCCTGCTCACACCGACACTCAGTCCCCATGCACGCCGTACCCAGGCAGAAACGCGCACCGTTTCTTGAATTTGCCCTGGTGGTACTCCTTCCAAATGACGGTCTCGTCCGAGACCCACCTCTGCACGCTCTGCCAGAAGACGTCCTCTGGGAGGTTCGGTGGCAGCCTGCGCACGACGGTCTTGAGCCGTTCGGCGTGCGACTGCTTCGACGAGCGCGCCTTGCGTTCCTTCTCCTTTGGCTCCTTCGTCTCTTTTGGTTCCTTGCTCTTGCTCTTGCTTGAAGAAGCTTTGCTGGATTCAACGGTCGCCATCGCAGCGGGCGTCGAGGAAGGAGGGTTGGAAGAGATCTGTGTAACGGTGAGTGAGGCGCAGCCGGGGCGAGAGCGCCTAAGAACTACAAGGCGCATCGAAAGGCGCATCAGCGGGTCAAGGATGCAAACGCATTGGGTAACCGCTGTGGTTCGTGGGCACTTACTCCGGGGGGGCAAGAGTAACTGAACACACACCAACAGCACATAGTGGCACCATTTCGAAAACAGACAGTTCGTACATGCATTGTTAGATCCAAATACACATATACGGCACATATATCCAACATACACGTCCCCCTATATGCCTCAGTCTCGAGGACCACCACCTCACGCTTTCTCCTTATCCTGCAGGTCCTTCACTCTCCATTCCTTGAGTGCAACGCCTGCTTCCTCACGAAGGACATCCCACGCCCTATCAACATGCATCTGTGTCGTCCGTGCCGCGCCAACAGCGAACCGGATGCAGAACGTCCCATTCAGTACCGTCTGCGTGAGCACGATGTCCGGGCGGGATGACAGCCGAGAGTAATACGCCCGATTCAGCTCGTTCAGTGCCTCTTCTGCTTGTGCACTGGAGAGGCTTAAATGGAGTGCAGGGCTGAGCCGGAAGACGCTCAGTGCGAAGGAGGGCTCGGTGACGAGCGAGAAGTCCCTGGAAGTGCGGACGAGGGAGGCAAAGTGCTGGTTGAGTTCGACGCCCTATACGTTAGAATGAATTGTTAGAGTTGTAAGAAATACCTCTAGGAGGACGGATTACCTTGCGAATATAGTCGCGCAAGCCGTCGACGCCGTAGCTTCTGAGGACGAACCAGATCTTAAGCGACCTGAATCGCCTTCCCAGAGATAGATGCCAGTTGCGGTAATCGATTACGGTACCTGACATGCCATTCATGTCAGTTTTGGTTTCAGGAAGGACAAGTCAACCCGACCTGCATCGCCTTGCTTAGTGCGAAGGAACTCGGGGGTGACATCGAGAGCGTCTGTTAAATGCTTCCTGTTCCTCACCCAGAGCGTCGATGCGTCGAAGTTGACCAAGCCCCACTAACAGTGTGCGTTAGTAAATAGAGACTAACAGGGTTACGGCATAGGTGACCTTGTGAAAGTTAGTGCAGAATGAATCCGCGTGCTGATTAATGTTGTCTAACTGAGCAACCTCCCGGTATTCCGGGCATGCAAGTGCAACACCAGCCCAGGCAGCGTCAACGTGTAGCCAAATAGAGGGATATTCCTTCACTGAGAATCATAAGATGCGGAGTTATGAGATGATAGACACCAGTAATTGACTTACAGACTTCTCCAATCTCATCCAGATGATCAATAGCTCCGGAGGATGTCGTGCCCACAGTTCCAACTGAGAGAAGTTGAATCGGTCACACGAAGGACAAGTCAACGCCGTTCACTCACCGAGCACGAAAGGATGCTTCCCTCGTGATCTATCCTCCTCGAGCGCCTTACGCAGGGTCTCACCACGCAGTGCAAACTGGTCTTGTGCGGTGACCTCCAGCACGCGGTATTTTAAGCCGAGGACGAGCCCAGCTTTGACCCCAAGCGAGTGTGTCTGCGTGGTGGTGTAGATCACTAGGTCCTCGAGCTTCGTGGAAGGGCGCTGAGTGGTGTAGCGGGAGCGCGCGGCAACGATGGCCACCAGCGCAGAGTCCGAGGCGGTCGTCTATTATAACCCCCGTCAGAAACTTTCGCATGCTGCGAGCGAATATTTTTACTTGGATGACTCCGCCACCAATTTCGGAGCTGTTAAGGAAGTGGTCCGCAAGTCCGAACAACCTGACAGCCCAGTCCATGACAACCGCTTCGAGCTCTGTACACGCCGGACCACATGCCCACTGCCGAGGCAAACTTCAGCTATTAGTGCGACAACGGGCCGAGATATGGGTGCCGCGTACGTTGAAGCCGGGATTTGATATGCTAGTTGCGTACAGATCGCCGAGCATGCCCTCGAAGGTGCATGCGGTGGGGAAGTATGCATAGAAGTTTGGGTGCTGCCAGTGCGTGAGTCCTGCCGCAGCACTACGGTCACACGCTACGTTTTATCATAATTCAAGAAGGTATACCAGGAAGGATGAGCTTTTGGTAGTCGTCGGCGATGGTCTGAAAATCTTCACCCCTCTCTGGGACCGAATCTAGTCGGGTGAGAGACAACAGTGTGAGTTCGGGGTGGGGCGGCTTCAGGGCTTGGTAGATGGCTCACCTGGCAGAAGTTCTCTGAGATAACCGGGATGAACCTGAGACGTGACAGGTTTGTGCTCGAGTGAATAATAGTAGTCACAAATTCTGTCTATGGCCTGGTAACCGGCCTTGCGGAATCTGAAGACGTTGTGCAGATGCTGCTGCCTGTATAACAACAATCACTTACTCCTCGATATCCATACCCAGGTCCGAGCGTGTGCAACGTTGGGGAGCGAGCTGGAATAGTATTCTATTGCTGTCGTGCGACCTGGATTTAGGCGCCATGGCATTGACAACCACGACGTGTCGGCAAGTCGCCGAGCACGCGATACCAGGTATTATCGTCCAGGAACTCTGCTAGATGCGTCGAGCGGTGCCCTGCGTGGTTCGTTTCGGATTGGACCGGACGTCACTTGGTCGCCAATTCGCCAGCCACTGGGGGCGTCATGTCTTCCGTCAATCGCAGCCGACCTCACCCGCTCCAATGGTTTTCTACGCACAATCGAATACATGTTTGTCAATCCCCGTTTACCTCTTGGTCAGCGAGTCAGAACGGTACAAACCGGTTTCTTTCGTTGCTGTGCTGCCACTGCCTATAATATGCGTTTCGTATCAAGTCCGTATACGCTTACCCACTTCTCCCCTGGTTTCATGTCTGCCCTTACCATGCTATCCGTGCACCGAAGAGTCGTAAATGGCGCACAGTTCAAGCCTCTATCAGCGTCATGGCGGAATTTCAGCTCTAGTGCCCGTCGTGAGCAACAGCGTCTGGTCGTCCTCGGCTCTGGATGGGGCGGGTACGAGATCCTCCGCGGCATCGACAAGAAACGCTGGAGTACGTCCGCTCTGTGTTCGCTGGACGACAACTATCCTTGCTAAGGGTCTGTAGATGTCATCGTTGTAACTCCGTCTAATTACTTCAACTTTACTCCGCTGCTTGCGAGCTGTGCAGTAGGAACGCTTGAGTTTCGTACCGCAGTCGAACCTGTATGTTTGGTGTTCAGTGTCATCGCTTTCAACAATTGACACAGTTGATGCAGGTTCGACGTTACACGCCAGAAGTGGTATGTTGCGTAGTATCGCGTGCATCCTCTGCCCTCACTTTGATCTGTATACTAGAAAACTTACCAAGCATGGTGTGACAAAATCGGTGAGTGCTACTATGATGTCTTGATATACCAATGGCTTGACATGTGATGCAGACTTTGAGCACAAAACTCTCAAATGTGTAGGTTGTTGCCCCACTGGTGGAATGCGTGCTACTCTGAACCATGTGTGTACCAGATGCCTGCCACGCCCCCGGTCCTGTCAAGCGAGGATCAAACCGCAGCTCAGAACCACACATTTGAGCTGCACTATGATGCACTTGTCATCGCCGTCGGTGCTTACAGCCAGAGTAAGCCGAGTCTAATTTTCTGATAAGGGGAGATTAACGCCGGCTGCCCGCACAGCGTTCGGCATTCCGGGAGTGAAAGAGCACGCGCACTTCCTCAAGGATATCTCGGATGCGCGGGCGATCCGCAATCGTGTTCTGGAATGTAAGTCTATGAGAACCACTGCCCCCAATGACGGTTTATCAGTAGAACAGGTTTCGAACAGGCGAACCAGCCAACACTCAGTGACATTGAGCGCAGGAACCAACTCCACTTCTGCATCGTCGGTAAGCCTCAAGCAATGTGCGACCCTTACTCGAGTGTCTCACGGCCTATGTTTTAGGCGGTGGACCCACCGGTGTCGAGTTTGCAGCCGAACTACACGATCTACTGAACACGGATATCAAGAAGCATTACCCAACTCTCCACCGCCTCGCGAGGATTACCTTATTTGATGTGGCGCCCAATATTCTGGGTAGTTTCGACGAGGGCTTACAGGAGTACATTAACTATCGCCCATGACAGTCTTCCATGCGAGCTAATCGAGTTACCGCCACGCCTCAGCTTCGCAGTCCAGCGATTTAAGCGTGAAGGTATTCGCATCCTGACTCAACACCATGTTGAGAAGGTCGAAGAGGTATTCAATCTTTCGAGTTCCAATTTACTCCACGATGCTAAGGGTGAAACTTGCACGAACAGGGCAAGCTCTTCGTCAAGGAAAAGGGAGAAGGTGACTTCTGCGTTTCATATACCTCGCCTTCTTATGAAACTTGCCCCAGTTCCCTTCGGTCTACTTGTGTGGAGCACAGGTCTCGCGCCTAACCCCCTCATTAAATCGATCAGCGAGGCAAAGAAGCATGAAAAGACCCACAGGTGCGCCACTATCCTGTTAATCGTCGGAGCCCTTGGCGTCGGGCTCGTCATCTGACTATCCACGCTGCAGCCTCATCACAGATGAGCACTGTCAAGTCCTCATGGGCCCGGACGCTCAGCCAGATCCCAGCATCTTTGCTATTGGTGATTGCGCCATGATCGACGGGACACCTCTGCCCGCCACCGCCCAAGGTACGCCCCGTCCCGGCGCGACCTCCCCCACTCTAATGTGTCTATATCTTACAGTTGCGAATCAGAAAGCAAAGTACCTCACGAAGAAGCTGAACAAGCTCGTCCGCGGCGTGGAGCACACAAAGCCGTTCGTATTCAACGACATGGGCAGCCTCGCGTACCTCGGCGACTGGCACGCCGTGTACGACCGCACGAAAGCCGACAGAGTCAAGACGAAGGAGGCAGGCCGCTTCGCGTGGCTCCTCTGGCGCTCCGCGTACTTCACGCGCACGCTCAGCATCCGGAACAAGATCCTCGTGCCCTTCTACTGGTGCGTCCCTTGCGCTTTGCTCCGCTGCACGCGTTGTCGGGCGGTGCTGACACGCGGAACTAGGTTCATGAACTGGCTTTTCGGACGGGATTTGAGCCGGTTTTGACGGCGCGCGGGAAACGCGTGTGCCTAGCGGGTGGAAGCATATAGTCCTATTCGCTACATGGGGATAACAGGATCGGAACGGACAGCATGTACATGTAGTATACGCCATTCATAGACATGTAGTATCGTCGTATTTAATTTCCCTGCAAGTATTACTACAATCACCATTCTGTCTGCTTTATGATACACGAGCAAGTGCCTGAAAATAAGTTACTACGGAGGAGTGCTAAGGCTATACTTGGGATGGCTGGAGAAGGACGAGTGAAACGAGGCTTGATAGTGGAGCGTTTTGGCGTAATCATAATAAGGGCGAATAGCTTATGGTGCAAACGTGACGACGGGCTTGCGGGGTACCGGACTCCGCTTCTTCTTCTCAGTGCCTGTACTCTATCAGCATGTGGCGTCTGGTCGAGCGTAGTAAACTCACCCTGCGGCTTGGGCTCGACAACGGGCGCACGCCCCCTGGCGGTGATGCCACGGCCTTGGAGCCCGCTGAGCGTCATTATCCATCCAGGCTCGATGTCGTCTGAAGTCTCGATGTCTCCATTGACATTGAATCCGACGTGCGAGACGTGAACGAACGTGCCGGGTGCGGGCGGGGAGACCATCGCCGGAGAGAGCCGCTTCGGCGGAAAAACGAGCTGCTCCAGCCTGCTCTTTCCTCTGCGGCGGGCGCCGCTGGAACCTGCACAAGCACAAAAGCGCTGATGTCAGCACCGAACAGGCTGGCCGCGGGACCGGGGAAAAGGAGGGGGGATGCGGGCTCGCCTTTGACACGGACATGGGACGTAATCTTGGCCATGAACTTGGTCGCCTCGGCGTCGTCGTCGAAGCGGAAGCCGAACTTGCGGCTCTATGTTTAGCGGATCCCCCTTTATCAGCCGAAATGCGCACGCAGGCAGACGTCGGACACCCACCTTGCCTGAGAACGTGTGGAAGAACGGCTTGTCGATCGCATAGTCGAGCGCTCCGGGGATCTGGTGGATCCAAACGACGCCTTTGACGGGGTCGACCAGGCGGAACCAGAAGCCCTGCTCGAAGCTCTCCCCAGGACCGCCACCCAACTTGCGATCCTGGTGCACCGAGATGCTGTTGCGTCCGAAGACGAGGGTTCCACTCAGACCGGAGTACGTCCAGCCGTCGGACTTGTTGTTGAACGGTGTATGATAGACCTTTGCCGGTGCGATTGCGAGCACCTTGGCGTCTGCCGGCAGACATGAGAGGAGTTGATGCGCGGCACTATCGGAGAGCGTTGTCGAGGACGAGGACCGTGAAAACATCGCGACTGATTGAGATTGAAGTGGGGTCTGCCGGGTGGTAGATGGTTGAACGACTGTCCAGCAAGGAGTCTCCTGCTTGCGTGGACAATGGGGGTTGAAATGGACGCTGAAGGGGGAGTCGTATTTGTACCCCGCGCGGCGCACAGTGATTACGCGTGTCGATAGTGCATCGTGGTAAACACATGTTAGGGGAGCTCACAATGAGTGGCAAACCTGAACTCAAGCTGTGCAGCGGCGCGTATTCAAAGCATATGGAAATCTGGAACTCTACGTGTAGCAGAGACACGGGGGATGCGCGACGGCCGGTGACATGAAAGGCACTGTTCTAGCCACGGTGTGGACGACAGTGTACAGGCCATATCCCGTAATCTAGGGGCAGGATGCTTCTATAGCCAACAAAGCGTCAGTCGATATCGCGATATCAGGATTTCGGAGCTGGGACATACGTGAGGCTGTTGTAAAAGGAAACCAGGTATGTTGAGTGTGAGGGACTCAGCGTCCGTATACTGCGGGGAAGGACTGACTAGATGATCATCTCTCTGCCTTGTATCACCCCATAATCTATAGGTCAGATCTAGAGCGGACCGAAGACGAACTGTCTGCAAGATGCCATCCGCAATCCCCACAGCACGCGGTGAGAACAGATATCTGATGTTATGTACACGTACGTAACGAATGTCCAGATTCACAGCTCTTCACAGCTCTTGAGCCCCTCGAGCCAGTGCCTGGCTCATCTGGAGAAGAACCAGGTCGGCACGCAGTCGACTATGGGGGGCGATGGGACACGCGCCAATACAAATATTGTCTGCGTCTGGAGCGCTCCCGTTGTGACGGCATTGACATGAGCTTTGCACGACGCTGCTTGAAGTTACCCAAACAATAGCCGCACCCCTGGGACGAGACATGTATGGCGCGACGATCTTTCGCGCACAGTGGCGGACTGGGCCCAGAGAGCTGCTTCGCTATCTTGGTAGGCGCATTTTAGCAAAACTTTCCCTTGGAGATACACGTTGGCCGGTTCTCGAGCAAGCGAAATGAGACATGGCGCTGCTGCGTGCTGAGGAGGTCAGCACAACATGCATAGGACACGAAGGATGGCGAGAGACAGCGAAAGGCCTGATCTGCGACTTTACGCGACCTACATCGTGGATTCGTGAATCGGTTCGCGCCTCGGGGTTGACGTTGATCCCCGCTTGATCCGGAGGTTCGGCATGCGCATCACGGATCGGCACGACGCGAAGATCAAGCGCGCTCCGTGTCAGAATTGATCACATTTTACCTCAACCATAGTTCTTGTAAAATGGCCCGAGGCAAGGTGTGGTCATGTTCTCCGCTTGCACTCGCCGCATGTTAACAGTGCTTTTGGTAAAGGGAAAAGGTCGCAAGGGTGGCAAGGGCAGGGACACCGCCTCGAAGGATCGCGGCGATGCATGGCGGACAGACGTCGACGTCGTCGACAAGGCAGACATGCATAACGAACGCTTTGAGACGTACTACAAGGCACAAAACATTCTAGGCGAGGACGAGTGGGATTCATTTTTGGAGAGGATGAGAGAGCCTCTGCCGACCACATTTCGTGTGACTGGAAGCCGTCAGTCAGTTCAATCTCATCTCACTGTACAGCTTTGACCGCTAACCTTTTCCTTAGGGTCGCCCAGCTGTTGAATGACATGATCAGAGAGACACACGCGCCCCAGCTAGCAAGTGTTGTATTCGAAGGAGAAGCTGTCTCCCCACCAAAACAGATCCCCTGGCACGTTCGCCTCTTCACGCTGGACATTGAATTCGTTAGATTAACCATGCAAAAGGTACCCGGACGGCCTTGCCTGGCAGCTCAACGTTGCCAAGAAGGTGCTCCGCAAATCACCCGAATTCAAGAGGTTTCAAAACTTCTTGGTGTTCGAGACCGAAGTTGTAAGTACGCCCGTCGATCCCCACGGCCCAATGCTAGACATTAATCGCCGTTCAGGGTAACATCTCACGTCAAGAGGCCGTCAGTATGCTGCCACCGCTGTTCCTCGAAGTTAAGCCTCACCACAGGGTGCGTCAACCTCTCCTCGCTATCCGCGTAGCTTTACGTCTAACTCCCGTCACGTTCTAGGTGATGGACATGTGTGCAGCCCCAGGTTCGAAGGTATGTATGCCGCAAGCTTGGAGGGGTCTCTACATTGCTGATCAGTGAAGACTGCACAATTGCTTGAAGCTCTTCATGCACAGGATACGGTCACGGCGTCCTCTTTCCCTTCTGGTCTGCTCATTGCAAATGATAGTGACTATAAGCGGACGCACATGCTGATTCACCAAGCCGCAAGACTTCCGTCGCCGTCTCTTATGGTCACGAACCATGACGCTTCGATCTTTCCCGCAATTAAGATACCTTCGGAGCAACTCACTTTCCCGGCAGGTACTAAGGATAGGGTCGTCAACAAGCGGCAACATCAGCTGTTCTTTGACCGCATTCTCTGTGACGTGCCCTGCAGCGGCGATGGTACAATGAGGAAGAATCTGGGGATCTGGAAGCACTGGTCACCGATGGACGGCAATGGTTTGCATGGGTAAGAATGTTTACGATACGGTACCGTCAGGACTGCTGACTTGTCACGATCGGTTAATCTAGTCTACAGCTCAGGATCCTCCAGCGGGCCATGAGGATGCTCCAGAAGGGCGGCCGCATTGTATACTCGACATGTTCCATTAATCCCGTAGAAAATGAGGCTGTGGTCGCCGCTGCCCTCCAGTCTATCCCAGGTTCGTGCTATCTGAGTTTACGGTCAGATGATACTTAGTGCCCCACTGATATCAGGGTTTGAGCTCATCGACATGTCAACTCATCTCCCAGGTTTGATTTTCCGCTCCGGGATTAAGACATGGACGCCAGCTTTAGACCGTTCTGTAAATATGACGTTCTCGACCTATCAGGAGTACATTGAAAGCCTCCCAGAGAATAAGCGTGCCGACAGCAAGCTGGTAGAATCTCATTGGCCGCCGTCGCTAGCCGAAGCAGATGCGCTCCACCTGGAGTACTGGCGAGTGTATTGTCGCGATACCATCTCACGGTGCCACTGAAATGCGATTCCTGTTCTAGTATGCGAATATATCCTCATTTGCAAGATACGGGAGGGTTCTTCGTTGCTGTGCTACAGAAGAAACAGTCACCTGCGCCGGCGCGACAGATCCCGTAAGTGTAGCACATGCAGCTAGCCGCGATTTGGCCCCGCTAATTGTCATTCTAGCGACAACAAGCGACAAGCAGATGCAGTAGAAGACCTGGAAACCTCAGAGGTCAAGAAGCCAAAGCTGTCGGCTGAGGACGACGCCGAGGTTACCGAGGCTGAGACTCTCGATACAATGCCTGAGTCCCCGTCTGAACCGGCTCTCGTTACTGAGGCTTCCGCTCCAGAACACGCGACGGACACCAAAGGGAAAGGCCAGGCAGTCAAAGGCGCTGATGTTCATTTTAAGGAGAACCCATTTACGTTTTTGAAGCCTGACGACCCTGTCATCCTAGCATGCATGTACGCGCTCGTCTCATGCCCTCACACTCACCATCATCGCTCACGCTGTCCGGGTTGCCAGTTCTCAGCTGAATCTAGAGCCCGACTTTCCCGCCGCGAACATGCTGATTCGTAATCCCACGGGTGACACGGTCCGGTCGATTTACATGACGAACGATATCGTAAAGCAGATCGCGGAGAATAATGACTACACGCGCATGCGCCTCATGACCTGCGGCACCAAGGTCATGGCCAAACAGGAAGGTGCGGCGGCCAAGCGCGACAATGCCGAGATGCAGTTTCGCATCCTGAGCGAAGGCCTTCCTGTCATGCTTCCATATGTGCAACCCGCGTCCATCTTATCTGCGGACCTTGCAACGCTGACAGTGATGATGGAGACGTACTACCCCGTGGTTTCCCAGTTCCAGGAACCATTTAGATCCGCCATTGAGCCGAGAGGTACGCCAGGCGCGCTTCCCAAGCGATCGGTTATAGACTGAATTACGATATAGGCCAAGGTTGCTACATCGTGAGATTCGCACAAGGCGGGCTCGGTACCGCATCGTGCGTCCATGGTTCCTGTGCGCGAGTCCTGTGTTCCCATAAGCTAACTGCTCGCGTATTCTACAGGCTCACGCATGACCTGGTGCTCCCAATCTGGAAATCGAATGTCTCAGTCACGCTCATGATAGAAAAGAAGGCTAAGAGGTAATGTCGTAATCTTGATAATAGGCGCCGGGACTAACACCGTTTGGCCCTGGTTGTCTAGTGCGCTGAGTTTACGCGTTTTTGGCGAGGACATTACGACTGCGGCCAGGGAAGCGGCCCAAAAGAGGAGAGATGAACAGGCGAAGTCTCAGGCCACCGTTGGAGAAGCCTCCCTCGTAGAAGCTGATGTGATTCATGAGGGTAATGAGGGTCAGGAGGGTGAATCCATGTGTACCGGCGAGCAGTAGGTCTGCAATGAAGCCGTTTCGATCGCACACACTTGCTATGTTGTGTGGCAACTATCACTGCCAGTTGAACTTCCGCTGCCGCGTCGCCTGAGACAGGAGGCCCCGTGTACTCCTCGGGATAATATCCTCGATTGTACGTACGACGCTCGGAGGTCAAGGACTCCTTGTAGGCTGTTCCTGTACGACTTCACTCTTTTTTGAAATTTACTGCTTGTTATTCAAGAAGGTCCTTTGTGGCGCTGAGGCAGTTGGGATGTGGGCTACCACCGAGTATTTGGGGTCACGGTGTGTCGGGATGATGGCGCATCAATTCGGATGCAAGGTAGACGTTGCTCGGCGCGTTTTGACCGTTGCCGCGAGGGGTGAGTGGCCATTCTTTTCTTCCCTTCTTTCTGTTCGAGGTCCGGCTTCGTTGCAAATATTAACGAGGGGTCGACGTCGATCTCACACAAAATTGTGACGGTGTTCCTGACAAGGGCAGTCTTCTCTCGACACTTTTAATTCGTCAAGGTCGGCAGTGCTGGCAGCAAGCACGGTAACTTTCGGAACCGACTGTCGCCTGCGCAGCAAGCTAGGAGACAGACTCCTGAAGTCACGGTAGAGGCGGCGCAGTGCGGGGAGACCGCCAAGTAGGTGGGTGCAATACATATAGCCTTTTTTGGCCATCCGGACTGCGTGTACCATCTTGGGCCGGCAGATCAGCAGAGGTGCCATTTTGTGAAGCCCGACCCTCATTATTTGCGTCTGATGAGTCTTTCGCGAGTATGACGATGACGACCATAAATTAAAACGCTCGCTAGTAAGACCTCTTCTCCTCCCAAGATACTGGACCACCACCACCTCGCCATCCTGCCATGCCGCCCCCGCCCGGCTCCTCTGGCAAACGCAGAGACCAAGGGGACCCGCCCGCTGTCCAGCCATACTCCAAAACCGTCGCCAAAGAAGTCCGGCGAAGCCGAGGAGAGATCGCATGCGCGGAGTGCAGGCGGTGAGTTCGCAATTATCAGATCATTTTCGAAATACTCATTGTCAACATCAATGATCGCGCCAGACTCAAGGTTCGCTGCAACCGCCAGAGTACGTAACGGAGAGCTGGGCCATTTGCTTAGGTCACACTAACGATCTTCTTAGTACCTTGCTCGACGTGCATCAGTCGTGGCTGCGTTGCACTCTGTCCGAATGGTATGTCCAGCATCTGTTTGACCGCACCTAATACTGTTCTTATGTCGTCTCCTCACCGGCAGGGGTGCTGCCACCAGGGGATAACAGCCGGTGAATTGTTCATTGTCTGTATAGAGTGCAGACTGCAGAATGCCGCTAATGGCCTCCCAGATTCGTTTCAGCGGCCAAGGACCACCTCCGGAAGAAGATAGGAAATCTACAGGAGCGCATGTGTGCGCTTGAGGATGCCCTTGCTATCGCCCAGGCCAACGAAGGCAATGAACCCCACCCTCTGTTGAAACGGCCTTTTAAGTTCGACGACGAAAGGGAGCCACCTGCCGATACTGACGAAGGTGAAGAAGAGGAAGGGGAAAGCCAAACAATGCCAGCAGAGGCGTTGGCTGACTCTTTCGGGACCCTTCACATCGACCAAAGGGAAAAGACTCTTCGATTTTATGGGCCAGCTGGAGGAGTGGAGGTGCGCCGCAGAATATTTCTCTATTGTCATTTCTCACCCCACGCTATTCAGAGCCTGTTGGATGTATGTGCAAATTTCTCGGCATTTATTGAAGTCTCTGATTCGTGGTCGCCCAAGGACGAACAATCATCGAGCCTGTCGTTCGACCCGGACGAGAACAACGTCGACCTACGTGTACTTGGTCTTCCGGCCGAACTCAACGCCTTCTACTACGCCTTCCCGCTCGTCCCGACAGGCATTCCAACAGCACCCATCCGGACCATCATCGAGTCCTACCTGCCTCCCTGGGACCGCGCTGTACAGCTCTGTCGCATCCTACTCGAGCACATGTCATGGATGTTCCAGATAGTTACCTTCCAACAGTTTACGCAAGACCTCATGCCCACCGTCTATACCGCAGACGGGCCGGACTCAACGCCCGGACCATCAACATGTGGCTCGCACGACTTGGCCCTTTTCTTCGGCGTTCTCACCATAGGCGCGTTGATCGACTTGTCTCTGCCTCCATACAATAGTCAGGCGCAACTATACTATGTCCTGTGCCGTTGTGCACTGGCACTGGAGTCTCCGATGGCCAGGGCTTCACTATCAACTGTCAAGGCGTACCACTTCATCAGCCTCTACAATGGCATGAGCGGCAGAGAAAGCAACATGTCGAATACCTACACCATCTTAAACTTTAGCAGCCGTATCGCGATGAAGGTTCGTTATTGTCCTTGCCCTCACGGTCGTAATCACGGCATATGCTGATCACCCCTAGCGCAGATCGGCCTCCGTAAGTCTCTTTCCATTACTGGCCTCCCCCTGTTAAGCCTAGACCGCAGACATCGACCCTGACCATTGGAAGCTGTCTCCCAAGGAAGCTTACGCCCGTCGCACATATTTCTGGAACCTCCTGCAAGGAGACATATGGCAGGCAAGCAGCAGTCACTTCCACTGTTCACCCTAGCTGATGTTTTTTCCAGAGTATGGGTACGGGGAGACCTCCTGCATTGGCAAACGCATACGGACACTGCCGGATACCCACAGTGCTGGAGGAACAACAATATCAGCGCGGAGAGTACTCTGCCCTCGGTTGTGAGCCACTACCCCCATCCGCTAATGTCTTGCGGACCTGACTGCACCCATAGTTGGCGTATGGGGCTTCCAAGCAAGCGAGCAGCTGCTCATCCCCGTGATGAAGCTCGTCATGTCGGTTAAGTCTCCGTCATACGGAGACGTCTTAGAACTCGACAAGAAGATACGCTTGTACGGACTTTTTGACACGACGGACACCATGAACTCACCCGGCGTGGCGGCATCGATGGGTTGCTGGGTCCGCTCGCACTATATGGAAGTCAGTGAGTATGCATCTTTGTTCTGTAAGGATTGTGCCGCAATAACAGCAACCGTTGTGGCAGTTCTTCTGGCATTACATCGCGCCTTCTTCGCTCAGGCGATAGCCATGAACTCCCAGAATCCTCTTGACACCCCCTACGGCAAATCGTTCATCACAGCCTACAATTGCGCTTGGCGGGTTATCGAAACTACCAGTTATGCCTTTAAACGCCACCACCAGCTCATGTCGCGGGTTTGGATGATTTGGTCATTCAATTTCGTCTCTGCCGTAAGTCGCTGAGCCCAACGATCCGACCATCGACTGACCTTTGGCAGGTTATCATCGGCGCGGTTGCATCGCGATATAAGAACCTGCCGATAGAGCCACCGCCACTCCCAGCACTGCACCAGGCGTGCATTCTTTTCGAAGGGGCCTCGAAGACGAACAGCCGAGCGGCAAAGGCCTTGGTGAGTACACCTTCTGCACGCTGCGGCACAGCTGCCGTTTAACACTGCCGTAGCCTGTGCTCCTGAAATTGCGCGAGCGCGCCGGCCGTCTACACGGCCCCGCAGCCAAGGCAGAAAACGCGCCAGGCGGAGAGGAGCTTGCGATCCTTACCGGCCAGCCGCGACTGACCGTCGCGTCCTCCGCACACCCTGATCCCACGATTAGCGGGCCCGCTCCCACCTATCCACCGGCGCAGCCATCCATCCGTGGCGGGTGGGACTACAGCGTTCCCTCGACGGGCTCACGCTACACACAACCGGGCACCAGTCACCACCGTTCTGCAATACCGGAGTCGCCTGCTACCGGCCAGCATTTTAATCAGTACGCTGCGGCGATACCGCAGGAAGCCTGGGGGCCTCCCCAGGGCCAGTCATACCCATACCAAAGTCAGGCTGTGGACTTCAACCTAGGCGACGCGTGGACGACGTTCATGCGCTCCGTCGGCGTCTAACGACGCCTAGCAGCATATGCATACTATTGATCCCTCTTCTTGCTTTCGATGCTCTCTGTACTATCTCCACCCGGCTTTCCTAGCATTGTCCACATCTCTACGCAACGACACACTGGTACTATTAGACACGAGGCTATTTGTCACAGCACACTGGCCGTTTCAGCTGTATTTAGTTTGGCATTTCTGTTGGCTAGTAGCTATGCAACGGCACATGTCGCAAATGACCCTGGAGCTCGGGGAAAAAACGATGCGCACGACGTCCACAAAGCTTGCAAATCTAATCTTATCTGACTATACTGTAACCGGCGCGTGATACCGGGCGCTCCGTGTCCGACATTGAACTCTCCCGCGGTTGTAAGCTTGTGGCAAGATGACGATGATCATGCTCCTGCGAAGTCGCCCTCGCATCTTGACCCTCTCCTGGACAACGATCCCCCAAAGGTGTTTGCAACCTGAATTGATATGTCACAAGCTGATCCCTGGCGTCCTGGAGACGATGCCCACCCTGGAGGCACCGGGGAAGAGATCTATCGGTCGGACGTTTTCAAGACGATCTGCGAGGCTGTAGACGCTTTGGACAACGAGCTGAGAGAGCTCAGCCTTGATATCTCTGGTCTGCGTCTGCCCTCCGATGCTTTTAATATGACTCACACGACATCTACCAGCGCATCCGGAGCTCAAATTCGAGGAGCAGTAGGTGTACTTTTCCTTGGATCGATGACACAGATCTCATTTGCCCTGTCAGCTATGCGCATGATGTGTTGACCGCGTTCATGTCGAAGCACGACTTCGAGGTGACCCCGCACTATCTAATGGACACCGCTTGGGTCGCACGGTACTCTCACGGCCAGGGCGGACGCACGATTGGCGTAAACTCTGAGATGGACGCGCTCCCCGGCGTGGGACACGCCTGTGGGCACAATTTAATCGCAATCTCTGGCGTCGCCGTGGCTTGTGCCATACGGGAGGCGCTGATCAAGCACGATATTGCAGGCACCGTGGTGCTGCTTGGCACGCCAGGTGAGTCTCTAATGAGAAGATGCCGTTGGTGCGCTGAAAGGGCTGCTGCTAGCTGAGGAAGGCGGCGGAGGCAAAATTATCCTTCTTGACAAAGGCGCATATGAGGACATGGACGCGTGCCTCATGTGCCATCCAGCGCCTGGGCCTCCTTACTCTGCGAGCCTCAGCTCATGCTTGTCTATCCAGCGTATCCAAGCAGAGTTCCACGGGCATACGTCAGTCCTTCATTTCACTGTGGTAAACGCTTCACTGATCGGGTTGCCCAGAGCTCATGCTGCCTTGTCGCCCTGGGAAGGACAGAACGCTCTGGATGCCGCAGTCTCTGCTTACACTAACATCGCGATGTTGAGGCAGCAAGTCAAGCCGACACACCGTATACATGGTATCTTCGAAGGCAAAGACTGGGCCGTGAACGGTCGGTACCATCATGCTTTGTGCATCGCTTACTCTAACAATATTATCCAGTCATTCCCGATTATGCAAAGACGTTGTAAGGGCCATAGCTTTCGCATGGCTTGATATCACACTGAATCTCCGCAGTTGGTACGTGCGAGGAGAGACGCAGGCCGAGGTCAATGCTCTTCGGCCTCGCGTAGAGAACTGCTTCAAGTATGTACTTGAAGGGCCCGCTGGACTCGAGTATGCTCACCCATCATACAGGGCTGCATCCTTGGCTACAAGCTGCCGGCTCGAGATCACGGACGCGGGGTCTAATTTCGACCTCCGGCAGAATAAAGCGCTTGGTAAATATTCCCCGTTGATTATTGCTTCTCCTTGAGGCTGATTGCGAGTACGTACAAAGGTGATGGGTTCAAGCAGGTATTCGAGAGCCAATTCGGACCAGTTGACTACGTTTGGGGTATCAAGAGTGCCTCCACAGACTTTGTAAGTGGAAGCCTGCATGCGCACTGAAGGCAGCCGCTCACCACCGCCCAGGGAAATATCACATATGGTGAAGAGCTCTTGGAATTCCTTGAATCATGAATGTTGACTAATCATGAATGTTGACTTGGTCGTAGCACTACCTGCTCTGCATCCTGGGTTTGGTAAGACTGCTGCTAAGTGGATTTGGCCCTTAGCTTACCTACCCGTGTGTTAGGGATCCCAACGGAGCTGCAGGGTGGCAACCATACACGAGCCTTTGCACAGTCGGCCGCGAGCCCGGAAGGACATGTCGCATGTCTGAACGTATCAAAAGCACTGGCCGCCACTGGCGTCCGTGTACTTACCGATGGCGACTTCTTCAACCAGGTGAGAAGGAATCAGAATTGCTTGCGGTTGCTTGTTAGGCTGACTTGGTGGCATGTAGGTGCGAAAAACGTTCGAAGAAGATTGCCGTCTGAGGGAAGCTCAGGCTGCCCAAGCATAGGTTCGGAAATATCGATAGCAATAATCAAACAATATCCGTATATAGTTCGTTTGGTACAAAAACGACCTGAGCTTTTTCCTGCGTGTTTGTGTTGTGGCAAACGTGGAGTTGCCTTTTGGGGTGTAAGCACGTGAAGGGCGGAGGAACGGGAATTTATCGCGTTCTATCGTGACTCGTGAAAGAGTCAATCGCATGCTCAGGCGACTGAATCGATCCTTGCTCTGCTCCCGTCCTTGTACATTACTCCTCCATTCTCCCCCTCCTCTCCTCCCCAGACAACCTCGGATTTTAAGGGCAATGTCTGCTGCGCCTGCACCCGTCACATCCAGCTCCCAGCCGGCACAGCTCCCAGCCCTCAATGCTCCTCACGCGGGACAAGAAAAGAAAGCAAAGGAGAAAAAGGCAGCAAAGCATGCTGCCACGTCAGAGCATCCCCTGGAGGTCCGTCTGTCTCTACTCTAGTTTCATCATGGCTAATTTGCACGAAAACTCTGACGTTAGCTGCAACCGCCACCAGAGTTCTTCGAGCACCGTATCAAGCTTTTCGAGAAGCTGAAGGCTGAATACGACGAACGGCTCAAGAGTACGAATGCAACTTACTGGAACATGCATACCCAAGCTGACAGCGTGATGTGACTAGCTCAGCCAAGACAAGAGATTGAGATTACTCTCCTCGATGGTTCCAAACGCCAAGGCACCTCTTGGGAGACCAGTCCTATGGGTATTGCGAAGCAAATCTCACAAGGTCTTGCTGACCGCACTGTGATTGCCAAGGTTCGTCGTCCCGGCCTTTCAAATCGGTGTCGTCTAAGGAAGTACCCCAGGTTAACGGCCAAGTCTGGGATTTGGAACGTCCTCTTGAGGGCTCTTGCACCCTTGAACTGTTGGATTTCGACCACCCTGAAGGTTTGTGTGTGATCCTACGCGTCTAGTGCTTCGTCTCACGCGAAACTAGGCAAGCGCGTCTTCTGGCACTCATCCGCGCACGTCCTTGGCGAAGCTGCAGAGCGTCACTATGGTTGCCACCTTTGTGTCGGTCCTCCTACAGAGGAAGGATTCTTTTACGAGATGGCTATTGAGGACAGGTGCGCTTCTTGCATACCGTAACACCAGCGTTTCGTCTGACTGGCTCGGTAGGCCTGTCACCCACGCCGACTACCCCGCCCTCGAGAAGGTCTCCGAGCTGGCGATCAAGGAAAAGCAGAAGTTTGAGCGTCTTGTCGTGTCAAAGGAGACTCTGCTTGAGATGTTCGGTGTACGTGAACATTAATATCTTCGTTCCGTAGAGATCTCTGACATTCACCACAGTACAATAAATACAAGAAGCAGCTCATTGAATCTAAGATTCCCGACGGTACCTCCACCACTGTTTACCGCTGCGGTCCCATGATCGACCTTTGTGTGGGCCCCCATATTCCACACACCGGCAAGATCAAAGCCTTCATGGTTACCAAAGTACAATCTCTGTCCCATTTATTGAGGCTTTCCCTGACACGACAACCATAGAGCTCTGCCTCTTACTTCCTTGGTGACCCAAAGAACGACTCCCTGCAACGTATCTACGGCATCTCATTCCCTGACAAGAAGCAGATGACCGAATACAAACACTTCCTTGAGGAAGCCGCGAAGCGCGACCATAGGAAGATCGGCAAGGTTCGCCTAGCTTTCTGGCCCGGTCCTAAGTCGCTAACCACATGTACAGGAACAAGAACTCTTCTTCTTCAACGAGCTTAGTCCAGGAAGTGCTTTCTTTTTGCCTCACGGTACTCGTATCTATAACACGCTCGTCGACCTTATGCGCGTACGCTGCTTCTTATACCCACCCCCAATAAGGTAACCTGATTCTGTTACAGACCGAATACTTCAAGCGCGGCTACCAGGAAGTCATTTCACCAAACATGTACAACTCTAAGCTCTGGGAGACTTCCGGCCACTCGCAGAACTACAAGGACGGCATGTTCACACTCGATATCGAGAAGGAAACTTGGGCGCTGAAGCCCATGAACTGTCCCGGTCACTGTCTGATCTTCGACTCGCGCGACCGTAGCTACAAGGAGCTGCCGATTCGCATGGCCGAGTTTGGTATCTTACACCGTAACGAGGCGTCCGGTGCTCTCACTGGCCTGACCCGTGTCCGCCGGTTCGTCCAGGACGATACACATATCTTCTGTATGCCTTCGCAGATCGAACAGGAGATTGGTTCCCTTTTCGACTTTATGCAGCATATCTACGGTCTCTTCGGCTTCGACTTCCAGCTCGAGCTCTCCACTCGCCCTGAGAACTTCATCGGCGACATCGAGACCTGGAACGTGGCTGAGGGCGTGCGTCTCACTCTATACTACAATGACTGCCTGTAATGACCGTTATTTCACAGCAACTGAAGGAGGCTCTCGACGCGCAGTATCCTGGTAAGTGGGAGCTCAACCCGGGCGACGGCGCGTTCTACGGCCCCAAGATCGACATCAAGATCCGCGACGCCCTCCGCCGGTCGTTCCAGTGCGCGACAATTCAGCTCGACTTCCAGCTTCCCGAGCGCTTCAATCTCAAGTACCGCTCGCCTGAGGAGGCGGCCAACCCCGACAAGCCGCCGTCGCGTCCCGTCATCATCCACCGTGCTATCCTCGGCAGTCTTGAGCGTTTCATTGCCATTATCACCGAGCACTTTGCGGGCAAGTGGTACGTAGCATGTGTATGAATGAGATGTGAAGGGGGGCTGATGATTTCTTGATCAGGCCATTCTGGCTCTCGCCTCGCCAGCTTCTCGTTGTTCCCGTCGCCGTTCCATACGTAAGGCCTTTTTGTCCGTCGGTTTTCCGCGTGCTGAACACCCGGATCTCTAGCAACAATATGCATCTGAAGTCGCTGAGAAGCTACAGAAGCTCGGCCTGTACGCGGACGTCGACAACAGCTCAGAGACACTGAATAAGAAGATCCGGAATGGCGAGATCGCACAGTACAACTTCATCCTCGTTGTGGGCCAAGAGGAACTCGACAGCCAGTCCGTCAACGTCCGCAACCGGGATGACGTCGGCACCAAGGCCAAGGGCGAGATGATTACCCTTGAGGAAGTCTCGAAGAAGTTTGCTGCACTCAAGGAGAGCCGCACTCTTGCGAATAAACTGTAGATTGTGCTTGATGACTAGCTTTATATGTCCGAAGGTAAATTATGCCTGTGCGTAGATCGCGGTTTCAGAGAGCATATGAGGATAAGACACATCCCTAAGTGTACACGTAGAGATAGTTCGTATACAGACTCGGTTGCGAACCTCTTATGCTCCGGGAGCTGGCACGCCAAATTGTTTTCGCTGTAAATCTCGCATGTTAGTTGTATATATGCGCCGACGATCGGAATGATCTACCAGCTGGTAGATTTGCTCGCGCTCAGTTGGGGGTAGCGAATCAATTTGTACCTGAGTCAGGCTAAGGACCTGCATCAGCATGTCCTGCGCGCATTGTTAGCGCATGTCTTTTATGTAGAGTACGGAAGTAAGGATACCCTAGAAGCAGGGTCAAACGCCTGTGTAGCAGCGGCAACAGGCGCAACAGGCGCAGGAGCCGGTTGCGCGGGAGCCTGCACTGGTGTAGGAGGCGGCGGAGGACGATAGCCATATGCTCCGGCAGCGGGCGGAGGCATGTGCGGGGCTTGCGATGGGTGCGGAGGATACATCGACGCAGTGGGCACAGGTGGGGTCGGGTGGTGCGCAGCGCCCGCAGGCGGGGGCATATGCATTTGTGGAGCCCCGTAACCTGCTTGTGGCTGGTGCATCGGGGGCTGGCCATATGGTACGGCTTGTGGCGGAGGAGGAGGTGGACGCGCAGCTGTTTGGCCGCCAGTGGCCGCAAGCATGCGATCCAGAACGGCCGTGTCGACAATTTTGTTCAGAAGTAGGGCTTGGAAAAGAGCATAGCCCAATTGCGGATGTGCCATGAGCAGAGCACGGGCTTGTTCAGGATGCGTAATAATGAACGCCTATGCATCTTGTCGATTTGCGTACGGAGACGGAAAGGCAAAGTGCCTGCACGCACCTTCATCTGAGCGAGTACTTCCAGAATCTGACTGGGTTGTGTCGTGGCGAGCACATTGCTAATGTGGTCCATCGCATTCGTTCCTGGTGGAAGGGGCACACCCTGAGGCAATTGGTGCAGGAAAGCATTTGGGTCTTGTACCCGTTCGCGGTCATGTTGTCGTTCACGCCACTGCGCTCTCGTCTCGCCACCATCCACAATCTCACCACGAACTGTAGTTTTGCCTTCAAGAAAAGGGTCTGAATCTGCTAGGTCGATCCGCAGAGGCCTCCCACCAATCTCTTGCCCGTTGAGGTTGCGGACCGCAGACAGTGCGGTTTCGTGGTCTTTATAACGTGACATTCAGACACGATGTGTTGAGAATGCACAACGCATACATCCAGGGAGAACATATATACGCATGCAGTCAAAGGTTCCGTTGTCGCGTTCAAGCCGTTGAAGCAAGGTCGTTTGAAGATAGCCAGTTGTAGTTGGACGAGCGCAAGGTTTATTGGGTTAGATATGTTCGCTTCAAGTGTTCTCTGAAGGCGAGAGACCGTACCGGCAAATTCACAGAATCCGTATCCCTTCGGCTTTCCAGTGTCTCTATCATACACTAATCTGACGCACACATTCAACCATGATGGTTGGCGATGGAGAGCGAGCACCATACCTGAATCCCACAACCTGGCCAACTGACTTGAAGGCATCTATAAGCTGCTCCTATATACACAATGTGTCAACACGAGTGGTGATACTGGGTATATTGGAATGCTTACCTCGGCCATGTTGTACGGTACATTGCCGACTGAACAAAAGAGTTAGCTTGACCGTGGTGAACGAGATCTAATGGCGTACCGAAGACAACTTTACTCATTTCCTTTGCGGTCGCCATTTTGACTGATTTGATGAGGTTGTGGGTCGACTTCCAGGGAGGAATATCGAAATGAACCTTCAAACTTGAGGATGGAGAACGGATGAATTGGTTGAGGGGATGCTCGGGCGTCAATACCGCGCACCTGAGATAAGATTAGATCACCCTGCAGGCCCTCTCAGTTTAAGGACAAATACATAGGACCGACAGATCATGTCTTTCACTACCTCTACCGATGAGAATATACACTCGTTCGTTGATCGACATCGCCAGTTACTGCTGAAGGAGCGCGAAGCTGAAATCGAGCGTACATCTCTGCTGCTCACCAATTGCTCGCCTAGCCTACTCGAGCAGAAGGGCCTCGCTCTGGGCTCTTTGGGGGTGGCAAACGTCAGCGTTGGTCTTGGTGGAAAAACGTGCGTCGTGCCTATTTCAGAGCTCTGATCCGTCACTTACATGCTGGGAAAGCGTAGTTTAGTAGAACTCGAGAGGCCTACAGCGTACAGTAACACCCCATTATTCCCTTCACATACGTTCAGGTAAGTATGCTACAATTCAATATATCAGTACATCTGATTTGGCGCGACAGGCCAGGAGATCTTGCGCGCGTCGAGGAACATGTATCGACCAGTGGAGCGAAGAAAGTAGCGAAGACTAAGAAGCCGACCGAAACCAAGAGCTCTCGCTCCGCTGAGGGTGTCGTGTACAAGGTACGTCCGTAGCGATATAGCGCACCTTTTCTCTCATTTTTGTACACCATAGGTGTCGGATGTCCGTATCGTCATCGCGATAGATGTCTCGGAGTCTAGTACCGAGGACCTCGACTTGCCGGACAGATGTAGGGTCGTGAAGCTCGCGAATAGCGTGACTTATGATAGGTCAGCACTGCAACATGGGACTACGAGGCAGCTCTTCACCTGGGTTCTAGGATGGAGAAAGCGCTTGACACACTCGAAAAGGTTGCGGTTGGGCAGGCAGGTGACGTGAGTAGTGTCTTTCCTGCGTTACTTGCCGTTCTAACCTGTGTGTTGAAGGGCAAGAACCTGCCTCCTTTGACACCGCTCATGCGTATTTTGCTCGGAATGAGCGAACCATCGAAGAAGTTCCCTGTACAAGATTTGAAGTTCTTCGACGACACGCTTAATCCTAGTCAACGTAATGCCGTTCGGTTTGCTTTGGAGTCTTTAGAAGTGGCTTGCATCCATGGTCCACCAGGTTAGTATCAGGTATTACTTCAGTGATCGCAGTGACTGAAGCAGGGCGCAAGGGACTGGCAAGACTCATACTCTCATTGAGGTTATCCGCCAGATGACGACTGTCACGTCTTCGAACCCGAAGCCTCTGCGTTTGCTTGTGTGCGGAGCGTCCAACCTTTCGGTTGACAACATATTGGAGCGACTGCTTGCCCTGCCACTGCCGGAGAGCGGAGAGAAGCTGAAGATCACGCGAGTCGGACACCCGGCGCGTGTCATGGCCAACCAGGGTGTGCTTGATGTCACACTGGAGGTGAAGGCAGGCAAGACCGATGCTGTGCGTTGCATATTCAATCTCCTCGCTGTTTCTGCTCATCTGTTACCAGGCGGCGTTGGCGAAGGATGTCAAGAACGAATTGGAAGCTGCGCTTGATGTTCTTGCAGGTAAAGGCAAGGGTGCTAAGGGCAAAGCACCTCGTGGCTTAGAACGCAAGAAAATGTGGGAAGAGGTACGGGCGTTGCGCAAAGAGTGCGTCCTTGTCCAAACGCCAGTCTCTCTCTCTCTGACCGCCTCTTCTCGCTAGATATCGACAGCGAGAAAGTGGCGTTGTGGAAGGCGTGCTTAGCGAGTCTCAGGTATGCGTAACTGGACGATACATTCGCATGGAGGACTAATTATCAATGTTGCAAAAATAGGTTGTAATCGCTACGTGTCATTCCTCAGGAGGTCATCAACTTAGGAATCACGAATTTGACGTTGTGATAATCGACGAGGCGACGCAAGCCCTCGAAGCTGTATGTTCGCTGTCTTCTGCAAGATTAGTAGCTTACAGTGCGCATAGGTATGCTGGATACCCATCTTCAAGGGCAAGAAGCTGATCCTTGCTGGAGATCCTATGCAGTTGCCGCCGACCATTCTGTCTGCTGATAAGTTAAGCAAGCCTGGTAGCTCTACGAAGGATGGAGCAAAGGTGGACACTAGCAAGAAGGTATCTAGTGCTCCTACGCCAACAAAGTCGGCGAGAGAAGCGAAAGAGGAAGTAGACAGTTCCGATGCGCCCCTACCGCCAAATACGGCCATATCCTCTGACTCTAGTGCAGACGAGGAAGAGCTGTCCGACAACGAGGAGCAGGAGCTCAAGGCACCGCTCAAGGAGCCTACTGCGAAGAGAAAGCGTCCGCAGAGGCCTCGTTCGCTCCGTCCACCACGGTCATTGGAGACGACCATGTTCGACAGGCTGGAGAAGATGTACGGACCTGACATCAAGCGCATGCTCAATATTCAGTATCGGTCTGTCTTTCTTCTTTCTTACAGCGTATCAAAACTCACTTCGCTTTGAAAGTATGCACGCCAAAATTGCCGAATTTCCCTCGAAAGTGATGTACCACAACAAGCTCATTTCACATGCTTCCGTTGCCGGACATCTGCTCAAGGATCTTTCGAACACCGGTGCAGCATCTGAGGACGAAGAGACTGAGCTCCTCAGCACACCCACAGTCTTCTTCGACACTGCAGGCTGCGAGTACTTTGAGCGACTCGAAGGAGACGGCGATGAGGGTAGCCGCTGCAACGAAAACGAGGCGGTTGTGGTAAGGCGATGTATTGAGGATTTAGTGAGTCTTATGAATCTGCTGAATCGGCATATCACTTACGTCCTTACAGGCTAGTGTCGGGGTCTTGCCTTCACAAATCGCAATTATCACCCCGTAAGTCTTGGTTTACTCAACTCTCCGTGCGTTTTATGAACTGCGATCTAGCTATCAAGCCCAGGTCTCACTTCTAACATCCATGCTCCGTCCAATGTACGGCCCTGACCTCGAAATCGGCACGGTAGATGGTATGCAAGGGCGAGAGAAGGATGCCGTCATCATTAGCCTCGTGCGTAGCAACGGCAAGCGGGAAGTCGGTTTCCTCAAGGACAAGCGCAGGCTGAATGGTGCGTCAACTTAGACTGTGCTTCGTCCACTCTAAACCCTTATTAAACTCTGTGGACAGTGGCAATGACCCGCGCGAAGAGGTATCTGGTGAGTCAAGCTCTAATCCGCATGGGTACCGCATTGTTGATCTTAGGGGCTGCGCGGTAGTGCGTTGTGGGCGATTCATCGACCGTGCAACATGGCAGTCCGTTCTTAAAGAAGTGGGTTACGTGGTTAGAGCAGAACGCGGATGTGAGGTTTGCTGGGCTTGAGTAGGGTACCTCTTCGTCTGTGAATGCTATTCTCGTGGGCTGTTCAAGGCGCACCCTGCGCGCTAGTTTACATGGAAGTACATCTTGGATCCAGAATTCCTTGTATGGTGTACGGACTATGTTTTGCGTCGCCCACGGAGTAAGTGGTCTTGCACAATGAGAAGCAAAGCATAAATCGTCTCTATCCTCTACAAACGGGTTACGTGTCAGTCCATGCGACGCGCATTCCACACAGGGCTTAGCTCACCGGCATCGCAGTGCCCGTCTTCCTACCCAGCCTCACCACCTCCCCTACGACAACATCTAGCTCCATCGGTCGGCCCATCTCAATGTCAACAAGCATGCTCGCCTTGTGCGTGCTCTCCGGAATACAATGCAGCCGCGAAGTGTTCTTCAGCGTTCGCGTCACAATATCGGGGTCGAGGCCCGGTCCTTGTCCCGTGGCAGGGAACAGGGCCGCCCCGAGATCGTACATCTCCGTCATAGCATCGTGTAGGAGCGGGATGGTGTGCTCGCGGATGATCGGTGAGCGGTAAGGTATGTCAGCCGTCGCCTTCTGTGACTCTGTCAAGCCATCCGACGGGATTGCGGCTTCAGAAGTGGGTGGGGCTATACCTGGGGCACCGGGGTCCATGTGTGGCGGCCTGAATATCGCTTGCAGCGGGAAGCGTGACAGCGCAGCTGCAGCACCCAACACACAGTTCCAAAAGTTTTTCGAAAACTTGATACGCTGAATTTCGGGGAAGACGGTCACATCACTACCGCCTGCCTTCAGGATGTCGGCAAACTCGCGAAGAAGGGACTCTTCTTCGGGCGTGTTCTTCGTCTGGATTGTGGTGGGTCGGTACACCCCCATTTGGATACGGTCCTGCGGAGTGCCAACATCAGAGACGGGAGCAGCCACAGGCGCTGTCAGTTGCACTCACGAAGTCGCTGTGCTCGCACAAATCGGGTGCAAGTAGGGTAGTGCCAATCCATACAGCTGTACTGATAATCCTTGGCTCCTCTGTAGCATTGAGTTTTTTGAGTGCATCGTACAGGTCACGTTCCACTCCAAGGCCGTTCTGCATCAGCACATAGGTAGGTTGGCGGTGCTTGCCGGCGTACGGCTGGGACAACAACGGGGCAAGCAAGTCTGGAGTCCTTGTCAGCTCGGGGATGGCCTTCGTCGTGACTACCACGTGAGAATAGGGGCGGTCTAATGCATGATCCAGCTTTGAGAATACTAGATATACGAAGATGGCGTTCAGCACTCTGCAGCCAGGTGTACGTAGTATGCACGTACATCTATCTGGCTTCCAGCCTTCTATATCGCCATACTTGCCGCTTTGAAATCGCATGCCATTTCCTACAGAAAAGTAAGTGCTGGAGATGTGAGAACTCTCGTCGATACGAACTCGATACGGTGTCGTAATTGCTTCTCGCTACCACAGTCACAGATGCCTGAGCACTCCTCTTCAATATGAGGGAGTCTCAAACTATGGTAAGACTGAGTGAAATAAAGCATGTTGCGCTTATACATACATATTGCTCCGACTGCACCGAACCCCACCAGCAGGATTTCCTTGGGCGCAGGCATTGTGTTTCGTCCGCGAGTGGTCTAGGCGAAGCAGCGCGACTTCAAGCGCACGCACGCCGCATGACGTGATGGCGCATCAGTCGCATCAATTTGGTCACAAGCGACTATCGATTAGAGTTCAGCTAGTTCATGACGACTTTCGCAGCTTGGGCCAATGCAGACCTTTACCCTGGCGATTCCGCCGGCGTGTCTCCCGCTCGCGTCCATCCATCCAGGCAGTCCGAGTTAACGGACGACGACGACACAGCTTTGTTCGCAATTCGGCACCCTAGGTTGAAAGTCGCGCCCCTGCCTCGTGTGCAGCTCACTCCTCGCGTGTTGCGCACCATCATTTCATTCAACCATGAAACAGGTGCCATGCGTCTACAACGACGCACTACGACACAGCCGTATCTTGCACTCAAATAATTTGCGTCCGGCTGGCACCAGGTTCGCAGCACCCCATCCATCCTTTTCCACCGATCTCTATCTCTCGTGCATGCAAAGGGCCTATCGGACGCTATCGACATCGACCGGTTCTTTTCATCTCGCATCTTCCTCCACTGGCATGACACGCACGCCAGGCGCACATGCCCCCAACGGCATTCTCCATAGGCATAACAGCCAGGCCCCAGTACAACGCGCACGCACTTACTCCCAATCGCAGTCACGCAGGGCGAGCGTGTACAGGACAAGTATACACGGTTCATCAACGTCAGCGACTGTTCACCTCTCCTGGCTGTTTCGTTCCAACGTCTCTCCCAGAAGGAGTGGCATGCGCCTGTCCGGTGACGTGCAGAAGCGATATTTCTCTGGTATCGGTGAGATTATCAGCGTCTTAGCTAATGTGCGTCCCCTATCCCTACGATTATATCATCGCTAACGTAGACTGATACAGCCTTCGGAAACTCTGCGTTCCTTGGCCGAGTCGAAGAGAATGCTCGAGGAAACACGAAGGGAGCTCGCCGAAGCTCGCGAACGTGCCCAGCTCAGTCCAGCGCACACATTCTCTCCTTTGCCCAACTTTTATCGACGGCCAGCTGAAATGAAAGCCATTGAGAGCGCTCTGCAGGGCGATCCGAGCTTTACTGTGCTGTTCGGTGCGAGCAGCGTAGGAAAAGTACGTCCTGGCCGTTACGCGTCTCACTCGCTCGCTCAGTCCACTTCGCAGACAGCCTTGTTAAGGCAGGTCCTCACAAGCGACAGATACTATGTCCTTCACTTCGATCTCCGCATCGCTGGATTTGCAGATCTTGCAAGCTTATATCTTAGTCTCAGGTGCGTCAACGCTCTGTCACGCGACCACTATATTCAACCTCTACTTTCAACAGTCAACAAATGGAATCCTTTTTTATGGAAATCTCCAAGGACCCAGGCCACGAAGAGTTTGAGAAGCAGGCCTGGGGTTTCAAGGTTCGTTGAGTTGGATGTACCGAGAATCAGAGTGACCATCATATATCATACCGTGCAGCACGACCGCCTTAACGTTGAGAGACGCATCACAAATTCCTCCCCCCAAGATGGGATTAGCGCGGGTGTCCTTGGAGATATCAAAGTCAGCGACGTCGCTCGGCTCATGGAGCTCTATCAGGTCAATACTTTGGTATCTTCGTTGTTGCATGAAGCTTACAGAGGCGGTATATTTAGAGTTCGCTTCTGCACTACCGGAACTTTAAGCCAGATCCGGAGAGCGTGCGTAAAGAAAAGAAAAAGAGGGAGGAGTCCTCGCAGCCATCTCGACCAGCGATGCCGGAACGCCGCCCATCAAGAATGCGCTTCTCGTGGCTGCGACCCAAGAGTAAGCAGCCGGTGCAGCTGAGTGCATCGCATGGGGGCAGGTCTGTGCAAATCGAAGAGACAAAGCCAAATGGCGATGCAGCCAAGGACACTGAACAGCCTGCCAAGAAAATGCCTGTCTTATTCATCGACGAGGCGCATAAGTTGTAGGTTTTGTTGCGTATGTCGTCTGTGCGTTGTGGTACTGACATAGAGTTTCGTCGTAGGCCAGCACTTATCCGTTCGACGGACGCCATGAAATGTCTTCTAGACGCAATGCTCGTGCTTACGAAGCAGGATCGCCTATGCCATGTCATACACGCGACGAGCGATCCTTTCTACCAGACCTGGCTCAGGCAGCTAAACGTAATGCAGCACTGCAAGGTATGCTTGCCTTCGATTTTTGCCCTATCAGCCATTCACATCAACCCTCAGATCATCACAGTCGGCGACTACACCAAGCACGAGACGCGTCGTTACTTCAGAGAGGTGATTCTGCCAAATGTTCCCGAACATCTGCGATCGGGGCTGGATTTTGAGCGACTATACGACGCCTTTGGTGGGAAAATAGCGCATTGGCAGGATTTTACAACAGATTATGGTAAGTCGCAAAGTACTCGAGGTACGCTTTAGGTTGATCGTTCGACCTAGTCAATGCGAATGGAAAACTTGATAGTGAGCGTCTTTATCTCGTGTCTGGAGCTGCGTGCTGACAATGCGCTAAGTTAAGCAAAGCTCCCACTTCCTCCAAGCGCACTCCCTGCTCAACCTGCATGTCATACACGCTGCGCAGGCTCCACCCCCTAGCGATGACGATGCCGGCCCGAAGTCGCCTCGTAGTCCTGTCCCCCCCGGGAACGGCAGCGGGAATCCGCTCCAACGTACACCCTCGAATCAACCTCTGAGCACAGGGACCGGTTTTCGCATCTATTCCCCGCTCACCCTTAATGTCGACCCCCATCAGTCTCCATCTTCATTCACTCCCGCCGGAGTAGGTTCGGACAGCATGGCAGAGTTCACCGCTATTCAGTTATTGAAGGTTATGGACAGGCTTGTCCAGCCTGGCACTCGCGCTCTGTCCTATTTCCACCTATGTCGCGAGATGGGTGCGCGCGCGGTCGACGGGATGGTGCGCGGGCGCATCCTCGACTTGCGCTGGACAGACCCAGTGTCCAAAGAGGGCTGGGACCCCCGCGTGCTGAGCATGCGCCCGCGCGAAAGCCTGCACCCGGGTCGCGTGACCGGCGCCGGGAGCAGCGGCACGATGGTGAACGAAGTCCCGCTGGCGGCAGAGGTCGACGAAGAGATGATGACGGCACTTACCGACGAAGAGTTCATGCGTGAGGAGCAACGCGTGTATGAGCTTCGCGCGGTCGAGGAAGAGGAGGAGATCGTTGGCCCGAAGCTGGTGTCCACGACACCCATCATGCGGTTTGCCATGCGCGAGGTCGTGCAGGAATATTACGAAGACGACGACAGGACGGTGTCGGAGTATGCGTCATTGTCGGAAGTCGAAGAATACTAGGTTAGCTTCAGCTTCTTTCAAGTGGCATGTTGTGCAGCTGTTTCTTCTTCTGCGTTCCCCCCCTCAGCATTACTTCCATGTTGGCTTCATGCGTTGCCTCATGTCGCTCTCGTGCTTCTGGTACTAATTTATCACGCAGGATCGCTGTACATTTTCGAGATATGTCGTCCTAATGGTTGCTGTAAATTTGGACATTATAATACGTGTATTGTAGTACTGCAATCATGCAGAAAATAACCATTTATTCCTTTGTAAACTGCTAATTCGGCGAATGGGCTTTCACAAATTATGTTCGATTTCTCGTCGATTTCTCGTGCTAATGTTGTAATTTGTGCAAGTCTTCCGACATGGAGGATACTCCTGTCGAGACGGACTCATTCTGGGCTCATCGCCCGTCATAATAGGCGCCCATTATGTATGTTCCGCGCAGCCCAGGAGAAACATTGCCATCAATCAGCACAAAGGAACGCTCCGAAGCCTCGAGTATAAGAGCACGTATGTTGTCTGTGCCATCTTTCACCACAACTTTCCAGTAACCTACACCTCTCAGCACCCTGACATGAGCTATCGAGGAGACCGAGGCCGCGGAGGCGGCGACAGAGGACGCGGACGCGGGGAATTTAGGGGCGGACGTGGTGGCGGAGACCGTGGCGGGTATGGCAGTGGCGACCGCGGTGGATACGGCGGCGGGCGTGGCGGTGGCGACCGTGGTGGATACGGTGGAGGACGCGGCGGCGATCGCGGTGGCTATGGACGAGGTGGTGGCGACCGCGGGGGCTATGGAGGCGGGGATCGTGGCGGCTATGGACGAGGTAGTGGCGACCGCGGTCGAGGGTTCGACCGTGGTCGTGGACGCGGAGGGCCTAGGGAACAGGGCGGGTACGTGTGTCTCCCCTTTACACAAGATGAGAGATATTTGACGACGCCACTTGCGGTGTTTTTAGAGTCTTCGCGCCCGACAAGCCCGCGAGTGTTGACACACGACTGCAGGGCAATTCGGAAGACCAGCTTGTGGCGGCTCTGCAAGGAATGCGACTACAAGACACTGACCTTCCTGTGCGCCCTGGCTTTGGCTCGGCAGGGACACCTATCAAGCTACGCACGAACTTCTTCCCCGTCAAGGTCCCCAAGGGCCCGCTTCATGAATATGACGTTAAGATTACTCCAGAGATAGCCGTCAAGCGAGTCAAGCGGCGTATATTCCAGCTCGCCGAGCAGACTCCAGCGTGGGAGGGCGCCGGCTTGAAGGGAAACGTTACTCATGACCACTCTGCGAAACTCATTGCGGCAAAAGCGCTGCCTCAACCTCTCGAGATCGTCGTACCTTTCACGGAGGACGAAGAGGCGGAGATCTCCACGAAGCCCAAAGGCGGGAAGAAGGACGGGAAGTCAGAGAAAAAGGAATACACGCTGACTATCAAATTTACTCAAGAACTGGAGACTCAGAGTCTCGTCAGGTACGTCCCGCTTTCCAGCACATGTTCTGCACGAGGATATGTAAAGTACCTGAGGGCTGAAGAGTTCGAGGTACCGCGACTCGAAGCCCCTCAGGCTTCAGGCGCTTACGTCTTCTCGTGGTTTTTTGCTTATTTTCTTCACTGCGTCTCGGGCTCTAATCACGCTAATTTAACTCTTGCCTTTCAAGCTACCTCAATGGGCAACCCCAATACCGTGGCTACGATATCTTGCCGATCATTGCGGCTCTCAACCTCATCCTCGCTGCCCATCCAAACAGGTCGTCCGCCGGTGGTGTCATGGTAGGGAGGAACAAATTCTTCCATCCATCACCTCAGGAACCTCCTGTCCCTATCGGAGGTGGTCTCGAAGCTTGGCGTGGCTTCTACTCCTCCGTCCGCCCGGCACACAAAACCCTCATGGTGAACGTGAACGTTTGCACAACTGCATTTTACACACCGGGGAATCTCGCCGATGGGATGTACGCCTTCGCCCAAAGTGGTGCTGGTACGCGAGTCGGGGCTTTCGTGAGAGGTGTGCGCGTGAAGACGACGCACCTTGGTCGGACAAAGACCATCAAGGGTGTTCACCAGAGTAACGCTCGAACCTTCAGCTTCCAAGCGGAGGGTATGGGCACCGTCACGGTCGAACAATATTTCAAAAGGAGTAAGCAGTGCCGCCTATATGTCGCATGACCGTTATTGACCACTACTCGCCAGAATACGGTATTACGCTAAATTATCCTGAGCTGCAGCTCATAGATATCGGTGGCCCCGGCGGAAAACCCAACCTGCTTCCCCCCGAAGTATGCGAGATTCTCCCGAATCAGCCATATCGCGGGAAGCTGCTCGATGATCACACGGCGGAGATGATCAAGGTTGCCTGTCGGTTCCCCAACGTCAACGCTGCCGCTATCGTCAATCGTGGCATTCACGAATTGGGCTACGTCGGCAAGAATGCAATCCTGCAAGCATTCGACACTGCTGTAGGCAACGAACTGGCGGTGGTCCCTGGGCGCATTCTTCCTCTACCGGTTGTCAAGTACTCGAAAGGCAATACAAACATTGACGAGAGGGCTAGCTGGAACCTGCGCGACGTCCGGTTCTCCATCCCCGGCCGGTTTGACGAGTGGGCTGTTCTCCTTATTCAAGACAACGGGAGAGACGAGTTCCAGGGCGAGAATGACCCAGCGTTGGATAAAATCATCGCTGACTTTTCGAGAATGTGCGCCAAGTCGGGTGTGAACTTTTCGAAGAAGAATCCGCAAATCCACAGCGTGCAGCTCGACCGCAAAAGCAACTCTGACCCTCTCCGGAAATCGTCTGTCACAAAGATCCGGGACAAGCTTCGTCAAATGCGCCCCAAGCCCGATTTCCTACTTGTCATGCTCTCGAACAGCGACCGGCACATTTATTCGGGCCTCAAACACCAGTCAGACGTCTTCGCGGACATGACGACGATATGCGTGCAGGTGGCCAAGATCCGCAAGGAGCGCGGGCAGCCGCAGTACTTCGCGAACGTTGCGCTCAAGTTGAATATGAAGACTGGCGGCGTGAACCATACGCTGGAGGCGAAGCACACGACGTGGCTAAGGCAGCGGCCCACGATGATGGTTGGCATTGACGTTACGCATCCAGGTTTTGGCACCGTCAAGAGCACGCCATCCATCGCGGCGGTTGTTGCGAGCATTGATCAGCATTTCGGCCAATTTCCTTGTAGTCTGCGCATGCAGGAGTCGAAGAAGGAGGTAAGCTTTTGGCGAGGTGCATAGCCTACGCGTTCGCTAAGGCTACGAAACAGATGGTATCCGACCTAGCCGATATGATGGTTGAACGTCTCCAAGCCTTCCAGCAGACAAACAAAGGCACGCTCCCAGACAGGATCATCGTGTATCGCGACGGCGTCTCAGAAGTACGTTCTGTCTCTGCCTTCTTCATATTATGTTCTGACTTCTTCCATAGGGCCAATTTAACATCGTCATTAAAGACGAGATGCCTGAGATCAAGAAAGCGTTTAGAAAGTTTGATAGGCAGCAGTCATACATGCCCAAGCTGACGATCGTCATATGCGGCAAGCGTCACCACACGCGTTTCTTCCCGACAGACGCACAGAGCGCCGCTGGCGATGGCAACCCTAGACCTGGCACCGTTGTCGACCGCGGCGTGACTGCCGTCTACGAGTTCGACTTCTTCCTGCAGGGTGCGTATGCCGTTCATCCTTAATCATATATCCAGCTAACATGTACATCCCAAGCGCACGGCGGACTCCAAGGCACGACCCGGCCGACGCACTACTACGTCGTGCATGACGAGATCGGGTTCGCGGCGGACCAGCTACAGACGCTCACGAACGACGTCTCGTTCCTCTTCGCGCGCGCGACCAAGGCCGTCTCGCTCGTCTCGCCCGCGTACTACGCCGACCTTGCGTGCGAGCGCGGCCGCTGCTACCTCCACCCGCTCCTCCAGGGCATCACCGAGCGACGGGTGCGGACAGGGCAGACGGAGGTTTCTGAGGAAGACGTATGGAGTGAAGCGAAGGAGCTCTGGGGTTCTGGTCCCGGGGCGAATGTCCGGAAGACGATGTTCTACCTCTGAGTAGATTCGGATCAGATGTGGCCGGCTTGTGAACTTGGATGATTGGAAGTCGCACATCCTGTTGCGTTAATATTGACATCAGTGTAGCCCTTGGATCTCGTACATTTTGTGTGTAGATGATACCTGGACCAACTTTCATGTAGCGAAGTGACGGAGTGGAACGAGATACAATGTATTAGTATTGAAAGGTATCAATCTTTCGAGGCAAAAATAACATATAATAAACTTGACTTTGAGTGCGTCTCCGTTATATGGCCTAGTTGATTCGTGGCCACTTGTTCTCTGCAGCTAGCGAAGACCGACAAGCGCCGGGGCGCCCAGACCCACGTGTCTAGCGCATCAAAAACGCGCGCCCGCACCGATTCTCTTGTCTCTTGCCAAAGCACAGACACGAGAGCGGATTCAAACACAGGTGCGTGAGGACACTTCTGCTTCGTAAAGCGGGACCATACCTTTGCCCCGGCACTACGCAGGTGATGGATGCCAGCCCCACATCGCTCGGCTCCAGCGCCAGCCCAACGGCGTCCACTCAAAGGGACGCATACAGCAGCACTGGGGAAATATTATCCGGATATGCCCCCGTACCTGCATCTAGTTCGACAGTTTTGCCGTCTTCACCAGTCATGCAGACCTCTCCTTCTGTACTCACATTATCTCAAGAGTCTCTCGATACTCACCAGCCTGTCGCTGGTGCCCTCGCCGCGACGAAATCAGCGGGGGAGCACGTCGCTCTCAAAGTAACGCAGCCCAACGAGCATCTGACTTCGGGGTCACGTCCGCCTCAAAATGATGGAATAAATCTTTCGGAATCAAGATCCAGTCACGACTCGTCCTGTCCGTCTCCTGGGTTGTGTCGAGATGGTAGACACCCGTCTCAGGCGTACTATCCTATGGATACTGCTGAAGCCCAAATCCGCTTTACTCACCATCTCGAACGGCGTCTGCTGCGTCTCCGGTCTCAACAGCAAGTTAACGCACATTCTCAATCGCAAATTGGCTCGGAGTCATCTCGCACTGTGTCCTCTACGACGAGCTCGATGTATGCGGCCGACATCTCTTTGACACAGTCTTTTGGCGACTCTGTTGTCTCTCCTCTTTCTAGTTCTCGCTCTACTTCTTGCTCTGTCTCTTTAACCGCCTCTCTGGCAGATATTGACGGCACGAGCGCATATACCCAGGACACCGACGGTCTTTCCCCTACCGTTTCGGAGTACAACATTGAGACTCCCATGCGCTTCGCCTCTCAGCTTGTGTACGGGTCTGTCAGCGATGGGGACGATGCAGACACTGTGGTCGATTTGAACGAGGACTCACCTTCTACTCAACCTGAGATTCCTTCGATTATTGCTACTGCCAACAACAGGCCTGGAACACCATTCCCTTCGAACGACTTGAAGACTCCTCCGGCCCCGAAAAAGACTCAACGCCACTTCTACCCTCCCGTCTCAGATAGACAATCTGTTCAGCCGCCTCGAAAGCGACTTCGCATTAGCAGCTCTGATCAGCTTGGCCAAGATTATCTCAAGACTGGTGAATGTCTACGCGTCGAAGCCTCTTCCGCGGACTCTTCGGGCAAACAGGCAGCATACAGTCGCCGTAACTCTTCTCACGACTCTGAGGTTCCCGTCTCTGCCAGCACTCTGGTTTCGGAGGAACGACAGTCGTCTCAGCCGGTCCACAGACGTGAAGCCATGTTATTTAAACCTTCTTCTGGTTTTGTCGCTCGTGAACCTGCTAGCCTCCGTCGCGCGGCCTCCCTTCGTTCGGATCCCTCTGCGTCAGATGTATTGCGGCCTAGTATCCCCGACGCGACAAGAACGGTTAAATCTTCGCCACTTCCTGCTGGTACATCTAGGGAGCTTGACCTCGCGACTTGCCCACCAACCCTACCGGCTACACCTGTCTCGAAAGACTTGACTAAGCGAAAATTGCCTTTCCTGTCCCCTGTCCCTGTGCTGTCACCTTCAGCTTTCAGCCCTGCATCTCGCGCGCCAGTGTCTACTATGGATGCTGCTGAGAAGCGCATCAGGGCTCTCGTCAAGAGGGAGCTCTCCGACAGAGGTTCGGACGGGCTACTCACCCTGAAGATGTTCTCGCATGAAGCTGTTGCCAATTCTTGTGAGCCAGTTGACTCGGACGCAGAAATGTGGCAAGCCCTTGGCGAACGCATCTCAGACGGCACCCTCAAGCCCCGCAACGAGGTCATGCAGGAGGACGAACTGGAAAGCACTGACAACAGCCAGCATGATATACCCCTAGTATTGGGCATTGAAGAGGATTTCCGCATCAAAGTGGTGGAATGGATCCTAGATGTATGGCGCCGCCACTACTCCCGGAGTGTTCGACTGATGCAGGGTATTCTACTCAGGTTATGCCTCTAGTAAATTCCACTAAGAAGAACGCATCCGCACACCTCCACGCACAGCTGACAGAGTCGCCCGATACCCGTTGGCACGCAGCTCATCTATTCACGAGGTACTTCTTAGAGATTGGAACATCGACGCCGCCATCTCCTCTATTGGGGGGTTCATCAGAGGACGCGAAGGGTCCTCGAGTCCTTCTGGGTAGAGAGGCTGTAACGTGGGACATCGGAGTCGCATGCTTGGCCTTGACAGTAAAGGTCAGCATGCAAGTTTATGCTGAAAGACGTCGTTAAATGACTCGTCTCTGCCAGTTCCATCGCGACTTCTTGCACCCGCTCTACCCCGTCGTGGCAAATGATTATCTGGCTGTCTCACCGCATACCATGGAGTTCGACGACCTGGAGGTGCGCGAGTAGCCTTTCATCGCTCATCGCAAATTTGACGTCGTCCATTTAGGCTGCACACCGAGACGTTCTTGGCGCTCTCAATTTCTGCATCGGTAGCAGCACTCCAGGCGCATATATGGAGGAACTTCTTGTCGCTTTACCTTCCCTGCGGATGTTCGTCGACGCACGAGGAAACTGGGAGTCCGCGCACGCTGAGACATGGGAGGTGCTATTTGATACGCTCGTCGGTATGTGTATCTCTCTGCGTTCTTCTCATGCAAGCAGGTCTTGACCAACATTGACAGACGTCAATTATCTGCGTTATCCGATCTGCGCCATAACTGGCTGTGCACTCGTCCTTGGCGTAGTGGAGTCGATCGTCTTTAAACGCAAGACCGACGCGGCGATCAGAGCGAAGTTTGCGCCAGAGTCGGCTCTCAAGAGGAGACGAGGCCTGAAGTGCGAGTGCGATCGCCTCAGAGCGAAAGCGTACAAAGCCGTCCAAAATGTTGAAGAGGACATCCGTGAAGTATTCGGAGTCTCAGAGGTAACGTGCCTTGGTCCTATCGCGACTAATCGGATGCTGAGACCGACGTAGGTGACCTGGACGCAATGTATGAGGTGGCTAAGGTCTATTGAACGGTAATTCCTCGTATCCTGAGTTTTCTTTTCTTGCTCTGAGTCTGCTGTCCTGCTCCGTCGTGCCCGTTTTTGTTGATCTCCTACCATGTCCTTACGCTCTCCTGCTGACCATCGCCCACGAGATGGGCGTCTATCCAGTGTCTCGTCGTGCTCTCATTTGCTTCGCTTGCTAGTCTCATGTATCTTCTCTGTACCCTTGACCCCGTGCTCCGATAAAAAGCTCAGAGCTTTCTCAAAGTCCGTCACGAGAGCCCCCAGACATGATCAGCAGAGCGATAACCAGTACTGTGCGATCCTTTCAGGTGCATCGTCCACTTTGCCTCGCTCGCCTCCCCTCTCGCCATGAACGTCCTCGTATACACGGGCCCTGAAACGCTGCAGGGCTCGGTTTCGCTCTCGATCACCTCACTGCGCTCGGCGCTGTACCCGAACTACACTGTTCAGCCCGTCACGCTCCAGTCGCTGACATCGCACCCGTGGGCGGCGTCCTGTGCACTCCTCGTGTTCCCCGCATGCCGCGACCACCTCGCGCTGCCGTCCGCCGTACAGGCGTCCATCAGGTCCTACGTGGAGAACGGGGGCGCGTTCTTGGGTCTACGAACTGCCGCGAAATGCGGCGGGATGCTCCTCGGGTCGGGGGACTACACCCTGCGCTTCCAGAGCAAGGCAGGGCCCACGGTCTACTGTAGTTTCGTGACCGGCGATGAAGACCAGGCGCGGAAGCTTGGCATCGTCGTTGAACACGGCACGACAGTGAGCAGCGTTCTTGCAGGTGCCGTCGCGGAGTTCGAGGGTATCGAGAGCTGTCACAGTGCACGGGTCGTTGCGCGGAACGCGGAAGACCACGCGGTCGTGGCTGCTGAAGTTGAAGTGGGGACCGGGAAGATCGCGTTGTGGGGTGTGCAGCTCGAGGTTCCTATCGTTGCAGAAGATGGCGCGTCGGAGGTGCGCGTCGCGGAAGAACGGCGGAGGGACGTCCTCAACAAGACACTCGCATCGCTTGGGCTCCAGCTCCCGATGCCTCCAGGGTCGCAGCCTACCCACTCATTGCCGCAGTTCCTTGTGGCTTCGCCATCCCGGCCGGACGTCGTGGCCCGCATTCTGGAGAGCCTCGCCGTGAAGCCGCCGGCGACGTTGAAAGACACGAACGACACCTTTGCATTCCACGATGCAGCGGAGGCGGAGACGTTGCTGCAACAGTATCGCACAGCCGTACCTCCGGACGAGACACGGCACGTCATCGCATTCGAGAACGGTGCGCTGCCCCCGACCGTGTTCACCCCCCTCTTCAACGTACAGCAGTTCTTCGAAGACCTCAAAACGGCTCGTGGTAAGGCTCATCTAGCTACCTCTGAGCCATGGGGAATCGGCGAGGCGCTGTTTTATGGCGAGGTTGTGACAAGCACTCAAACGTTGCTTGATAAGTGCGTATACGACCTTCTAGACTATGTTCTAATCTAATAGCATATATCGCAGAAACTATCAATTCTTGTCGTCTCTGTCTTCCCCAATCGTCTCCCTCGCCACGCATCAAATCGCAGGTCGGGGCCGGGGAGGCAACTCCTGGGTCTCTCCGCTGGGCTGCCTCCAGTTTTCGCTCCGGCTGCGGGTACCCGCCTCTCAGTTCCCCATGTCGAAGCTGGTGTTCGTGCAGTACCTCGTCGCGCTAGCGGTCGTAGATGCCTCGCGCGACAGCGGCGTGCTCGGACAGCTGGGAGACAAGGTCAGGATCAAGTGGCCAAACGACGTCTACATCGTGGGCGACGGCGGCGAGCAGAAGCCGGTGAAGGTGTCGGGGAATATCGTGTACACGACCTCGGACGGAGACCATGTCGACATCGTAATAGGTACGTATATATGCAAGATGCCTCTGGAGGTTGCTGACAGATGTGTGCAGGCTGTGGAATCAACGTCCTGAATCCACCTCCCATACCCTCGCTGGCTAGTATCCTCTCTCTTGGTGCAGAAAGGCCGACGATGGAGCGGACCGCAGCTGTTGTTGTCACGAAATTCGAGTCGCTCTGGAGTACCTTCATCTCAAACCGCGGATCTTTTGAGCCCTTCATGGACAGGTACCTTGACAGCTGGCTACACTCGTAGGTTATCCAAACATTTCGAGTACAAACGCGTTCTAACTAGCACCTTCAGCGACCAAGTGGTGACGCTCACCGCCACTACGCCTCATCAGCGAGTACGCATCATGGGTATAACCAGTGACTACGGCTTGCTGCGTACCATTCCTGAGGGCGGAGGATACGGTGCATCGCAAGACTTCATCGACCTCCAGCCGGACGGGAACTCGTTCGACTTGATGTCGGGGATGATCATGACCAGAGCTAAGTGAGCTGTGGAGAGTTAAATTGTATACATATAATGCTTGTTTATGTAAAATGCCACGGATACTCGCCAATATTTACAATAAATTACCAGGATAGGGTCTCCCCTCGACATAAGCACGGTATCGTAGTTCGCGACTCGCGAGGCGGATGCTGACAGATGTCCCCAGCCCAGTAGAGAACCATTGCCGCTTCTCGGGAGATCGAACGACCTATTCAACTCGAGCTTGGCTGTACACGAGGACTGAGACCCACAACGGAAATGAGACTTGGCGGCGGTCAGAAGGGGCGTGGTACATATCGCTGTGACATCTTACGGTATCACCAGGAGAGTTTTGAGTGGTTCACCACCATCACTGGACGGTGTGGAGTCAGCTCGCATTACGTAGCCGCCCACCGTAGCCGCCCACCCGCCGGCGCTATACGTCAAAGCGCAGACGCAAGGTTGACATTGATTCACGACGACCGCCACTCTGCATGGCCGAACACACTGGGATGTGGACTGAGGAATGGAGTGCTAGGGTAAACAAACCGTATCGTGAGTTTGTTCGACGCGACGCGTGGAGTTACTACTGGAATTGACCACCCTGAATAGGCAGTGCTTGTATTCGCGCCGCATGTGACGTTATCATAAGAGGTTAAACCGTTCATATCCCCCGAGGGCATGACCTGGATGCAGGGCCGCCTTCGGAGGGTCTGATACTCTAGATGATAGAAACACTCTGTTCCCTAGACCATGCGGACCGTTCCTGCACAGCGATGTCTCTCACCCATCGATTGGACATGCAGCAGGTCTTTTCACATGTCCTTCACCCATGTGTGTATCTGACCTTTCTGAGCATGAAGGTGTGCGTTCGCGATGCCTAACCATTCAAGGTCATCTTCGATGCTTGTCAGCGGCTGTCTCTCTCGGGGCGGCCTGCTAACGGGCGTATCGTCGGCATCGGCGGAAGCGTCGCTTGTTATGCGCCACAAAGCTGGATAGTTCAGCGCCGCGACCTTGTACTCGCCTCGTTGTTCTCTCCGGGCAATGTCACAGCGTCGCCACGACACTCGTGGTCTCGCTACTGCCGCGCCGGGCATCAGCACGAATATACTGCGCGGTATCTCTACTTTCAACGCTGAACTACCCGTCTGGCATGCCTTCATCCCATCTGTGGACTCTCTGGCCTCTTATATTTTCATGACCCACCTCTTTTATCCCTTCCTCGGACAACAAATGTTTCTACAGGTACCCATACACCAACTCACTTGTGCTGCGTACGCAATTAGGTGTCTCACGACGTCGCCTATTTTTGGGCCGCCCTCGGTGCCCTCGTAATCCGTAGAACGATTTACCACGACGTTCTAGCTTTCTGACGAGGTTGGCGATGTCAAAGAAAGCCTCGAGGACGGAAATACTTGCTGGTCGGCTGGTCATGCCGCACAGAAAGCGCCGACATTGTGAGTGAGGCTCACCCGGCAATCATCGCATCACTGAACTTTTCTGCTCTAGCGCCGGCGCGGAGGGGAGGGGACAAGCAACATTCCAAAAGCAGACTCGATGATGGAACCTTGGCCTATCCTTTTCGCGAGTGAGCTCTCGCAGGGACACAAGGGGACTCCCGCAAACGGGCATAAAGAGGGATCCCTCACACGTTGACATAAAATGTCCACGGCAGGACTGCCTTGTGTCGTCGTCGTCCCCCCTCCCTTAGCCTCCCGCACGCTCAGGCTGCGTGCTGACGATCTCCTCCCACATCTCCAGTGGTCTCAAGTCTGACAAGGATGGTGCCCTGGCCTGCCGAGCAGGCGCTCATGACAGCGCTGTCTTTCATCAGCTTCTGCTTAGTGTCAATTCCTCTCTACTGGCACTTGGAAGGTCAGTGCGATTGCCCGTTGCGATACGAACGCTTCAGCTCATTCATATGCAGCCTGGAATGTGGGGTGCATCCTGTACATCTTCTGGATCGGCTCCTGCTCCCTCATCAACTTTGTCAACGGAGTTGTCTGGAGGAATGACGCGATTATTCGGGCCCCCGTCTGGGGTGACATTGGTACGTTTGTACACTGCATATTCCACATAGCAGGTTTTGAGTCTATTTGCAGCTGTCCGCATTATTTGGGCTGAAGCACACGGTATCCTCGCCGCCTCTCTCGTTATCAATCGCCGTCTGTACAAGATTGCAAGCACCACTTCCGTGTCTATCAGCAGGGTACAGCGCAGGCGAGCAATGTACACCGACCTTGCCATCGGGCTCGGGATCCCCATCCTCACTCTAATCCTCAGTCAGTCGTCCTGAACTCTCTACGATGCCTCCGGAAGACTAACCACGTCTACAGTGTGGTTTGTACAGGGTCACCGGTTTGACATCTACGAGGGCATCGGCCCTCTCGCTGCCATTCCCAATACATACTTCGCAATGGTCCTGACCAATGGAATGTGTATTCTCATCGGCTTGATCTCCGCGTGTTACTGCAGTAAGTTGTCGCAAATTCGCTTTGCCTCGCCCGGCTAACGTCAAACTAGTTGGCACTCTCCGTGCGTTCACACGACGCCGCAAGCAATTCAGCGAGCTGCTTGCTACGAACAACAACATTAACTTGCATCGGTACATGCGGCTCATGGCCCTTGCCGCTCTCGAGCTTATCGGCACGGTCCCGCTTGCCATCTATCTCCTCACGATCGAACTCAGGACGCCTGTGTACGTTTGGCGCGGTCTTGCGGACATCCACCTCGGATTCTCGCGTATTAACCAGTACCCATTCCTCCTCTGGGATATGGACCCCAGTAACAAGGTCGACCTGACGATGCAACAGTACCTCACCGTCTCGTGTGGCATTCTGTTCTTCCTCTTCTTCGGCCTCGCAGAGGAGGCACGCACGCACTACCGTCTCGCCTTCACGAGCGTCGCCAAGCGGCTCGGCATCAGCACCGCCGGCACCTCCTCGGGCAGCTGGTCGCCGAGCAAGGGCTCCAAGCTCGGCGTGTCGATCCCCTCCTTTGTCCAGCGCAGCTTCGTCACGGCGCCCGCGACGAGCCTGTCGCCCGGCGGCGGGCGCAGCACGCGCAAGCGCGACTCGTTCGGCTTCGACTCGTTCGTCAGCGACCGCCTCTCGACGCAACTCAGCATCGGCGAGTTCGGCGAGTTCGAAGACAAGCAGCCGTACTCCCCTGCAGACACCGCTGGCTCGAGCACGTGCGTCTCGACGCCCGTCGATGGCAGCGAGGAGAAGGCGCTCCCGCCGCTCGTACGCCCCGATTCGGGCGTCGTCGTCAACGTAGAGGTCATTACTGACCGACGGTCCTTGGACGTGCCACAATCAGTGCGCGACGAGTCTCACATGGTTTGAAACCCGTATCCACCGTTATTTCTCTCGTCTTTACTACGATGTTCCCCCACTACTCAAAATCCAGTTACATTTTCCCATGTTCATTAGGGACCGTGTTGTGCTTCTTAACAGCCACCTTCGTTTTTTCACGAACTGTTCTTGTTGTATATTTGATTCCACTGTATCCCTAGGTTCTCTTGCGCTACCTCTGGTTGCCCTCCACATATACCATTATCACTAACATAACATCACTAGTAGTACCTTCGTGTATCGCTACCGCCATCGTCGATGTAGAGTCGACTGGATAGCTCTTGTGCAATAGACTTCGCAGCTTATACAGATGACGTCCGCTCTCGTGTCTTCTGAGAACTTGGCTTGTGTGTCTCAGACTTTGCTTACTGCGGGGCCTAAACGACCTGTACGCGAGTGCCGCGGTCACGCAGCCCTTTGCAATATTATCCATTAATCATGACATGCGTTGCCCCAGTCCGTACGTAGCGTATGTAGTACCATGTCCTCTGCCTTTTTCTGGCAAGCTTATTACATGCAACTTTATCTGTTTAGCGTCACTGCAAGACTGCCTAGTTTTGGTCCTCGACAAGAGACTTGGCAGCCTTGAGATCCGCCTCAACCATCTCCTTGACGAGCGAATCGAAATCGACCTTGCGCTTCCAGCCGAGCACGCGCTCAGCCTTGGCGGGGTTGCCGAGGAGCAGGCTGCGGAGCATCATGAGCACAGAACACGATAAAGTGAGTCACAGGGTACGTACTCGACTTCGGCGGGACGGAAGTACCGCGAGTCAACCTTGACGACTACCTTGCCCGTCTTGGCATCGACGCCCTCCTCGCTGACGCCAGTACCACGCCACTGGATGTTCATGCCAAGGATGGCAAACGCCTTCTCGACGTACTCGCGCACGGGGTGCGTCTCGCCCGTCGCGAGCACAAAGTCCTCGGGCTGAGGCTGTTGGAGCATGAGCCACATGCCCTCGACGTAGTCGCGCGCGTGCCCCCAGTCGCGCTTGGCGTCGATGTTGCCGAGGTAGAGGCACGACTGCTTGCCGAGCGAGATGTCCGCGGCGGCGCGCGAGATCTTGCGGGTCACGAACGTGCGGCCGCGGCGCGGCGACTCGTGGTTGAAGAGGATGCCGTTGCAGGCGTACATGCCGTACGCCTCGCGGTAGTTGACGATGATCCAGTACGCGTACAGCTTCGCGACGCCGTATGGCGAGCGCGGGTAGAAGGGCGTCGTCTCGCTTTGGGGCGACTCGACGACCTTGCCGTAGAGCTCGGATGTTGAGGCCTGGTAGAAGCGTATATGCTTCTCGAGACCGCATGTCCGGATAGCGTCGAGAAGACGGAGAGTGCCAAGACCATCGACATCGCCAGTGTACTCGGCCATCTCGAATGAGACCTTTACATGCGACTGTGCTCCGAGATTGTAGACTTCGGTTGGCTGCACTTGCGCGATGATATACACCAAGTTCGTGCTGTCAGACAGATCACCATAATGGAGCTTGAACTTGTTTGGCCCTAACAAGATGGGTCAGTTTGGCTTGCAGCACCCTAAGAAATGCTTGGCGACATACGTTCATGCTGGTCTTCGTAGAGGTGGTGGAGACGACTTGTGTTGAAGGAAGACGAACGACGGATGATACCGTGAACTTCGTAGCCCTTGGACAAGAGAAGTTCAGTCCTGAGAAGGGAGTCAGCGGTTCGCACTCAGGGACACCCGGATGCAGTTGTCCAACGCAGCCCGGCCATAGACTGTCACGCGACAGGGCACGCTCCGTGTGTGTAACAAACACTCACAAGTACGAGCCATCCTGACCGGTGATACCTGCGAGCCACAAGAGGTGCTCGTCAATTGCTGCGACGTGGCACAAGACTGGCGTGGTACTCACCAGAGATTAGCGCGACCTTGCGCTTGAAGTACTCCTCGGGTGAAGGCAGGTCGAGCTTGACGAGCGGAGAGAAGGCGGCGGGAACGTCAGGGATGTTACTGGAGGACATGGCAGATGGAGGAAAGGAGGGGGATTGCAGCGAAATGCGGGTGATGGATGCAGCCCTAGATGCAGACTAGCGTGGGCTGATATGCAGTAGACGACCAGACGTCGTTAAGTACCCAGAAGATCAAGAAAAATGCCGTCAAGGGTGCAGCCAACGAATGCACGAGGATTTTTACCAGATGGGAAGATTGAAGAGATGAGGAGCCCAGAAGGCCAAGGGTCGCCGCGGCTAGTGCTAACGCTGCGCTGCACGCTGCTGCCTGCACGCCAGAAACATGGGCGTCAGAACGCTTGGCCGCGTATCTTGTGATTCTCGTCTGTCCCTCAGCAGCTCGTGTATCTTGCGTGTTGCACGAACACCGCACTTGGAGCCATGGGTGCAAACGACCGCGTAGACGAACCACAGTCCTACTATGAGCAAGGCTCCACCGTCGTGCGACGCGCCGTTAAACAGTGAGCCATTCCCCCCGCACGCGTTTCCGAGCTTCACGTCGTCGCCTGCTTTTGCAGCGTCGGCGAGACGTATACAAAGCCAGGCATGGACCGTGTCGGCCAGTCGTTTGACAGACGCCCCATCTTCACGGTATGTACCCCTCGACTGCGCATACGGTGCTAACATGACCGCGTTCTCCAGGCTTTTGTGGTTATCTTCTCCTTCCTGAGCCTCATTCCTGTGCTCTCCTTCGCGTATGTATCAACATTCATCCTGGCCTTGGCCTCGCTCACAAATATACGTAGTGCATTCACCGTCTTCGTCTTCGGTCTCTTTTTCTCGCTCGCGTTCGGTGCCGCCCTCCTCGCTTCCCTCTTTGTCGTGCTCATCGCAGGTAAGCCCACGCGCACTTCGCATGTCAGTGAATTCACATGCACACTCGGTCCAAGGCGGCTTCTTGGCATGCACCTTGCTACTCTTGCTCCTCGTCGCGTCCTTCCTCACCTGCTCTGCACTCGGAACACTCGTCGCCGGGCGACTCGTCTTTTATATGCGCGTTCACGGACTCCGTGACGGACTTGGTGCTTGGGCGCAAGAGATGCGAGGTCGTCTACTGTCGTCTGCGGAAGAACCGGCAGAGAAGACAGAAGATATCGTGATTAAACCCGAGCAAGGCAAGCAAGACGAGCACCTCTCGGACTCTAGCTCCACTGTGGTCGTCGAAGGTGCTCCCCATAACGACGCCACGGAGCTGTGGAAGCAGACTAGCCACTGAGCGCCGAACCTTAGAAAATCCCAGGATATGGATAACGATCTCCCAGCAGTGGTGTAGCGATAAACGCATGAGTTCACCTTCAATGCCCAGTCCTCTCGTACTCGCAGTCCACACGCATCCAGTCAGATACGAAAATTGAATTCCAGACTTCTAGCACTACTTTTGACAATATGTGTAAAATACTATATCACGAAATTGGGCCATTCTTCGCCTGTAATTTCAGGACCATTTTACCAGTTATTCGATTTTTGGAACTTTCATGAGGATATTTAGTGTTTTTGGGCTTTCATAAGGCTATCGGTGTGTTTGGTGTGATGCTGAACGGATGGGAGGGATGGGTCGCGGAGAGGTTGCTAGCGGTCGCAAGGTCAGCGAACATAGACAGCGATGAGTAGGCATCGACTTACAAGGTGGTTAGGAAAGAGAGGAACCGAGACATCTTGGTCGCGCAAACGGTGAGTCTCGGGCACCGCAATGAGCCTCCGCGGTGGAAGATGTTTGCTTCTAACTTGCTCAACTTATTAGCCCAGCGCAGGCTCGGATAAGGATAGACGGCTCACCTCAAAGACCAAGACGGCGATGCGTAGAAACCAGCCATGCTGGACGACCGTTCAACTTCGCTGGGCGCCGTCGTGGCATAAGGTCTAGGTCGGACTGCTAGTCGCAGCGGGAGCTCAGAAGCGGGTGCAGCTCGCGAGGAATGTCCCGAGAGACGAGAGCGCCCGATACGCTCCATCTCTGGATACAAGGGGCAGTGAAATCCGCAGGACTGGGTACCGGGGATACTAGAGCGGTCGTCCATAAAAGAGGTGTAAGACCAGAGCGCCCCCCCGGGATCTCAAGTCCTTGAGAGGCAGACAGTCTCAACCGAGAGCGGGTATACCAGAGTCGAAAGGAAGAGGAGGACGAGTCCTAGAGCTTGATGCAATGGATATCGCATGGTATGTCGCGGCGAGCTACGTACGTCAGCGTGGGGCAGCAGGCGGATTGCAGCTATCTGCCAAGAATCAGCCCATATAAACTTGCATGGAGGATCAGGACGCTTACCAGAGGGCCAAGACAATATCAATAAGTCGAGTAAGTCCTATCCGACGCGATAAATGGGTGTCGTGTGTGGAGTGTTCGGCCAAACTGCTTTGTAGCAGCCGGAGCTGTGAACGCGGTGTAAAGCGCGTGAAGTGGGGAGGACGTAGAAGAACCCCCGTTGGAGTGTGCGAAGGACGTAGTGGGGGCGAGTGAAGAGAAAGCCGGAGGGGATGCGAGAATAAGGGAAGAAAGGTGAGGACAATGCAAGAGATAGAAGAATGCGAAGGCAACCCCCGTTGGAGTGTACGAAGGACGTAGTGGGAACAGGTGGAGAGAAAGCGGGAGGGAATGCGAGAATAAGGGCAGAAATGTGAGGACAATGCAAGAGATAGAGGGATGCGAAGGCAATAGATAGAGAGAAATGTGAACTGCGAAAGACGATTAAAATTTGCGAGAAGAGTTGTGGGAATGGGGTAGTGCAGTAGACATGCCAAAGTAGTGGAAACGCGCTAAAGGGAAATTAAGATAGACGATATAGGAGAAGACGAATTGCGGATAATAAGTCAATCTTGAGCTGATAATGCAGATTGTTGTTGTCTATTGGTTTTTTCTTTGGCAAATTCGTGGATCTTAGCTGTTGATGCGCGAAACAAGCGGACTGCGAGGGGTGAAGGACAGACTGCGCGGAGTAGAGGTCAGTATAAGAGGATAAAGATGATCAGCTGACTTACTTGGCAAGGATGTTGTCGACGCTGACACTAAACAAAGAGTCGTCGACGACATTGAAATTCTCTTTGCCTCGACTCTTGAAGCGAGCAGCGGGGGTGGAAATAATTGCGCACTGCGAGCAGTTCGCGATGCGTTCGGTATACACGCCAATGAGCTTCTTTGTCTCGTACAGCTCCGCCGACTGAGGCTTCTTCAGCAGCGCAAGGCGCAGCTCGATGTTGTCCTTCTCGAACGAGTCGATCTTTACCTGAGACTCGCGCCGGACGCGGACAAGCTCCTTCTCGGCTGCTTTCTTCTCCGCCCGCAGCTGCTCCTTCTCCGTCAGGACAGACTCAAGTGTCTCGCAAGTCCGCTCCTCAAAGTCGCTCTTCAGCTGCCGGACCTCGTCGATGGAGACCTCGCTCAGGCTCCGCGTCGTCTCGTGCTCCTCGTATAGCGCCGCGAGTTGCTCCCTGGCGTCCTCCATCTGGATGCCCATCTTCTGGTTGACCTTTTGGAGCTCGTCAACGACCACGCTCTTCTCAGCAAGCTGCTCCACGACGATTCGCTTCTCCTCTAAGACCGCGTTGACCCGCGAGGTGACGTTGCCCAGCTCCTCGTCGAGCTTGAAAGACGTGCGCTCTGCGGTCTCGAGGTGCTCATTGAGGCTGACGTTCTCCTGCCGGAGACGCTGGATCTCGCTGTTCTTCCGAGCCACTGCCCGTCGCTCCTTGGCCAGGGCAGCTTGCGTCGCCAGATGGACCTCTTCTCGTTCCGCGAGGGCGCTGGTCTGAACGAGGACGTGGTTGAAGGCGGTGTTGGTCTGTGCGAGGAGGTCCTGAAGTCTTGCAATTTCCGCCTTGTACGCGGCTTCCTTCTCCTTGGCGCAATTCTCCGCCGCAGTGAGTTCCTCTTGATGCCGAGCCTGCTGTTGGTCAAGACGTTCTTGAACTTCGCGCTCGACCATAGTGATCCGGGCAGCAGATGACTGGCGTTCGTCTTCGAGCTGAGCCTCGAGCTGGGTGTTACGGCCACCAGAGGCAGAAAGTGCAGCCTTGGTAGTCGCAAGCTCGCCACCGAGTGCCTCGACTTTGGCATTGAGGACGGAAACAGATGCTTGAGCAGCTTCGAGATCGTGCTTGAGGTCGACCCCGTCGCGCTTGGCACAGTGGAGCGCAGAGCGCGTCTCCTCCAGCTCATGTGTGACTTCTTGGACCAGGGCGTTTGTGGTGGTGAGAGACGCCTTCTTGATTACCAGTTCCGCCTCCAAGCTGCCGTTCCGTCCTTCTGCCGCGCTGAGCTCGTGTTGCACCTTCCTGGTCAAGCGCTCCTGTCGACAGAGCCTGTGTGAGAGGGTCTCGTTGTCTTGATATAGGGCATCATAAGCCTCTGCAGCTTCAGCCGCCCGCTCCTCGAAGAAATGCGCTCGCCCAAGGGCATCGGTGACGAGAGACCTCGCCTCTTCCAGAGCGACCTCAATCTGGTCCTGGCGAGTGACCGCTTCTCGAGCACAGGCGGCCTGCTCTTCGAGCTGGCCCTTGAGGTCCACGAGTGCGTTCTGGACCGCCGCCAGGTTGCCCCTCGTCCCCTGCGCGATCTCCCTCTCCTCGTACATCTGAGAACGGAGTCCTCGATTGTGCGCCTGGACGTCTTCCAGTGCCGACTTGTGCTCGTCCAACGAATGCGACAACGTCGAGATCATGGTGTGTGCTTCGTGATGGTCGTGGTGGAGTTGTTGCAGCTGAGTCTCGACGGCTGCGAGCTTCAACTTGAGCTTTGCGATGCGGATCCTATCTGCTTCAGTCTTGACTTGAGCGGCGGCGTATGCGGCCTTGACCTTTGCGAGTGCGCCACGGAGTTCGCTGCGATCAGAGGTGAGGTCGTGCACGTCCGCCGAGAGGGCGCAGATGCGATCTTCACTGAGGAGTTGCTTGCTCTCGAGGTCGAAGAGAGCAGAGGAAAGGCGGGCCTTGTCGGCCTCGAGGTCGTCGATAAGACGGTTGAGAATGTTGATGTGTGCATCGTTGCGGAGTTGGCTTGCCTCGTGCGCGACATGAAGGGCTTCGCTGCGCTCGTCGAACTCTTCGTCGTCGGTGAGGTCGATGAGCGCAGTGAAGAGATGGACTTCATTGGCGGGATGGCCAGGAACGTCGCCGGAATCGTCAGCGAACTCGCCCCCCCTGGCGTCCTCAACAGCTTCTTGGGCCTCCACAAACTCTGTGAAGTTAGTCGTCCCCACATCGCCCCTATCGAAGTCAACAGCAGACGCAATAGTCTTCGGGTACGGTAGTGTCTATGTCAGCAACGAACGACAAGTGACAAATATAGTAATAAACGTACTGTTATGAAACCGACAGCTGGAGAAGGCGCGGCTTTGACAGTTTCGGAAGAGGTGGAATCCGAGAGAGCACCGAGATCGTTGTTCAGGGAACCGGACGGCACAATGTCGACGGACTGGCCAAGACCATCATCATCGATACCAGGAAGGAGGATCTCTGCGGGGTCAGCAGTGGTAGTCCCAACTTCGGCGGGGAGAGTATCAGTGCCCTGGGGCTGAAAAATGTCCCAGAGACTAGAGACAGGACCGGAAACAGGACGTTCTTCGCCAGAGATATTGATAAAGTTGAAGATGCACATTGTCGAGTCGGCTTGAAGGTTTGTTGGACGGTTTGGGCGAAGTTGAGGGATGCGATGCAAGGGTAAGAGGAGCAACGAAGATCTACTGAGCAAGCCCTCGCTCCTCCAGGCGGGTTGAAAAGGTATTCCAACGCTGACTGTCAGCCCTTCCGCTGTCGCGGCTAGTTATCCTCGTATCGCTGTTGGCGAATTTTCCTTGTCTTCCATCGGCTTATTTTCTTCCGTTTATTTCGTGAATGGAGGCTCACAGCTGAGGGGAGGACATTGGAGGGAGGCGGAGGTCTCTAGGCTTCGACGCCGAGTACGCTTTGATAACATGCGTGTCGCGGCACCTGTGTGCTACATTCTCTAAGCAATGATGCGGTTATTAAGACTTCAAAACTTACTAAGAGTCAAGCTCACACGTCTTCCCCCACCATGACTTTCTAGCAGAGCTCCAGGCGACCTGGTCATCTCTGACTCTTTGGGAGCAACAGCCCTTGTTCGCTTCCCGCCTGTTCTTGCGCTCCTCCTTCGCCCATTTCTTGTGGCAGCCCCCTGCTACAGTATGTTCGTCTTTTGGAGGTTAAAAAAATCTGTTGGTGGCCGTCCACATAGGTGGAATTGCCCTCAGTGGCATCATCGTCCAGCACGACGCGAGCAGCGTTTGCGAAAATGTACCTACAATCAAGTTCAAAATGAGGGCTGAGCCGAAACCTCGGTTCTACATGCTCAGAATTATGGTGGCAGTCCCCGAGGGTATAAATCTGCTGTCCGTTGGCATTTGCGTAGAGCGAGAGTGTCAGGACTCAGTACTCAGGAAGGATCGTTGATCCAATTCTGGAGGCGCCGAAGATAGATTAGATTGACCATTGTGGCGTAATGTTAGACGAGAACGCGGAGCTCAACGAGCATCCTGAACATGGCGGCGATGAAGAGGGTGGCGACCGTGACGACGCCGACGACGACGATGAAGGCGGAAAGAAGGCAGGCGTCATTGGAAGTGACGCCAACAGCTAAAATGGCAGAGCCCACGCCATACCTGATCTCCTATAAGTGGCTCGTGCGCCAGAAGAGGCTCTCCAAGGTTCTCAGACTGTCCCCTCATCATCTCCGTGTCTCTCGCCCACCTCGTCAGCCCCGCCACCACGCACACCAGCCCCACAGTTCAACCGGGAACATATGAGCTCAAACATGCCTCCGGGCTCGCATTGAACTCCCAAGATGCGCCCGTCTACAACAGGCAGTGCGACGACGCGTTGGTTCTCGAAACTTTCCCGCCTCGGCTCGGAAAGGTAGGCAAATACGCCGTCATTAGATTTGCTTCGTGTCTCACTCGCCACTCTGTTGTAGTGGGAATTCGATCGCGTCGGTGACGGATACACAATCAAGCAAAGAGAAACAGGCCTCTATTGTACTCTTCCCCAGGTAGAGCAATTTCGATCTCAACCAGTTGTACTAGGCCCCATTCCAACGGTATGAACCGTTGACTACAAGGATACGCAAGAGCAGACCATAAGGTGGATTTAGCTTTTTTGAAATTTTCATTGTATCGGTAACGCGTTCATTATGCAGCATTTCTTGGTCTCCTGGGAAATTGCTTTGGAGTTCGCCCCCAAATAATGAAAACGTGAGAGCTCTCCCGAAACTCTATCTTCATCGTCTTGAGCTCATTGCTAGTCGCCGACGTCAACTCAGGCTGGACCAAAGCTTGACGCTCCGGGCTGTAAGGCGTCTGCGTACATATGGCAGCTGAAGCGCACCGGACCGATATCCGCCCCTGGAAATATTGCTCCTGGAGTATATGCCCTCAAGAACAAAGCGAGCAAGACATACGTCGCATTGGCCCCTGACGAGAAGACCATCCAGTGTTGGCCGGAAGCCGATCTGTGCACCCGCGGCACCAAGCTTGTGAGCTACTCCGCCTTGTTACTTTGATCTCAGGCGTGTTCATACATACTGTTTTAGTGGGAGATTGTGCCTTGCGGTGGTGGATACACGATCAAATTGGCTGGCACCGACAAATACTGTACTCTCCGGGAATCAATCTCTTGGAGATCCAAGGTCTCAGTCTCTAGTGTCCCTGCAGCTTGGAAGATCGTCCCTGCTGATGGTCATTCAAACGAGGGGTGCTTTCAGTGAGTCTGGCACCCTTGTTATCGCGACCCCTCTCATCTCACCGGAACTCGTGCTTGCAAAGAATTTTCTGGGCAGATACGCAGATGTTGTGGGATCTTAGCGGGTATGGCAGCTCCAAACCAGGCACCCCTGTAAGTATATCTTCTTCTTCGACATACTGCCCCCACTTCTTACGTCCGTTTCTGGTCAATAGGTCGAGATTGTCCAGAACAAGGATAGCCGAGATTGCCGCTTTTTCTTCCTTGAGGCTTGAGTGTCTCGCGCTACGCAGCTCTTCAGGCTGACCCTGCCATCGTGACATTCGCATGGCTGGCTCGTCTTGAGGAACTGCGCCGGCCCTGAAATACTTGCTCTTAGTTACTTGCAATGATATGTGCTCCCTCGGGTGATCAAATGTTTACCGATTCAGTGTAAATTAGTGTAGCAATATGGCCTTCAATCTGGTGCTTACTATTATCATACCTTCCTGTTACAGAGACACGGCAATCACTGAGATGTGAGTCCATCAGTTGGTGCCACTCGACGTCACTCTTCCTCCAAACAAGTACATGCTAAAGTCGGACGAAGCTACCAGCCGCAGCGCAGCGTATCAGACAGGTGAGTACCACTTATGCGTCATGCGATCCCGCCTTTGCATTGCTATAGGCAGTAGGGAAGCCGATATTTGTACTAGGCATTTCGCGGGCCCAAAGCGGAGCACTGGCAGCAGCAAGTCGAGGTATAGGGCTGCTTGATCCTGCGCTGGGCTCGACCAGACACTCTACCTACATATAGGTGTCTCTTTGCAGATACGTCCACCGTCCTAGACTGCACTCTCCCCCCACATACTGTGACATCCAGAATGCGAGTCGTCCAGGACGGCAACTATCAGATCCAGGCCGCGATATCTGGCCTCTACTTAAACTCCTATGATGCCTCCGTCTATAATTTCCAGTACGACGACGCTCTTATCCTGGGTAGCGTGCCTACTCGACTAGGCAAGGTAAGACCTAGCAACACCCTCTTTGTGCCGGTGTGCGTCTTACTGAAATATGTGCAGTGGCAGATAGCCCGTGTAGGGAGCGGGTACACCATCAAGCAGGTCTCGAGCGGGCTGTACTGCTCCCTGAGTCAGGATGAGGATCAAAGGCATCCTTCCGTCGTTTTGCGCCCGGTCCCGGCGGTATGGGTCCTGGATTTTCTGGACAGGGAGGAAAATACTGTTCGGCGAGTCATTCATCCCCGTGTGCAGGCCACAAGCTGACATGTAATGATAGCATCTCTTGGCCAATTACTTCGCAATGCTTAAATGCACCCATTCCAGACCCTGAAATGGGCGAACGGGTAGCAAAGCTTTATTCTATCGCCAGCACTTTATAACCCACTGACAAGGTTGGACCGATCCTCGCTGAGATGGAACGTGGAGGAATGACTCTCCAGACTTGGTGGCTCCACCTCCTCAGACCAAACAGTGAATCTGGCTTTCTCGCGGCTGGCGTGTACGCCATTCAGAATAAAGCTAGTTTCACGTATGTTAGCTTGGCACCCAACGAAAAGACAATCGGATGCTGGCCCCCGTCTAGCCTGGTGGACAGCGGTGTGAGGATGGTGAGTCTTCCTCATCCTATTCTACGAGGAGAACTCTTGCTCATATGCTTACTACTAGTGGGTCATTGCTCCTATGGGGAACGGTTACACCATAAGGCTACAGGGAACAGACAAGTACTGCACCCTGCAGGCTGGTACAGGAAATAAATGCCAGGTCTCGGTGTCATCTATACCTGCGGCGTGGAGGATTGTTGCGTCTGAGAGTCCGGTCAACGGCAATGATCGCTACTACCAGTATGTATTGCTTGCCGAACTTGGAGGACACGTCTCTTTCTTACACAAGGATCTCAGAATATTCTGGGCGGACACCGACATGGCCTGGGATCTCGCAGGCTTTGGTAAGCAAGACCCAGGGACTGTTGTAAGTCCGTTATGCCACTAATGGCTGGGCAAGGTATCTTTAACGCGATGTGCCCACAGATACAGATGATGCATAACAAGGACTACCAAACCTGTCGTGTCTTCAAGTTCATCGCTTGATCTCGGGGCTTATGATAAACTGCGGCTTGCTTGCAATGCTTCAATAAGACTCTACCGCCACGTCTTAATGGCCGGTCGGCTCATTTTGAAGCGCTGCACGCCAAGTCCGCCAGCGACGCTTTTCTGACGTTTTCCGCGTGTGTACATGGGGAATCCCGATAACGACCGCGAGCTGTAAGTCTCATGACTGGTCTCATTGTACTATAGCCATCTTTCACGACCGCGCATGCGCGATGTTTCCTTGACTGTGTCTGTTGCCGCTCAAATATGTATCATATCCCCAGATAAGACCAAAGACGGAAAGCCAGGTTGCCACATAACCTCTGAGCCTGCGCATAAATTCTGGCCACGACTACACCATGCACAACGACGAGTTCAAAAAAAAGAAAAACTCCACCGCATGATTTATCCAGGATTGGAGGAATGTTGCGAAGAAGCCCCGCCGTTCTTCCCGAAGACAGCTAGTACGGGCGACAGGCTGCGTATTAAGGAGCTTGTGAGTTAGCCGTACCGCGAGACGCCAAATATCGACGTCAAGAGCTGGGATGATAGGGATAGTGCCAGAGATCGGGCCGCGGCCCTATCGATTAAATTTTTGTGCACATGAGTTTGATCGAAGTCCGTCGAGGTAAGAGACAGGAAACCGAGGCATGAATATAGTACATTGCTAGGTTTGCAAGAGACGGGTATCAACGATGCATAGTATAACAAAGATCAACCACAGACCGTCAACAGTTCCTCAAAATCACTGGGCTACGACATGGCGCTTCAACTCCTCGAACTTGGCACCTTCCGCCTCGGCCTTCTCGATGCTCTTCATGAGCTTCTCCTCACGATTCTGCAAGCGTTGCTCCATGCCGAGCACAAGCAGCCGCACCTGTTCGACGAACGCCTTGCTTGGCTGCGCATCGCTGGGCGAGGGGTCGAGCACTGGCTGCAATTTCGAGATCGAACCAGATCGCGTGTGGCCGCGCGCAGGGACAGTCGTCGTGGAAGAGATGTCAAGGTTGTCCTATTGCGAGTCATGTTCAGATTAAGTGCATGCGTGACACAGTTGCACACACCTGCCAGTTTGGACCTGCCAGCTTCGCCAGTTGACTCTCGAGAGCTTTTTCGCGCTGCTTTCGACTGAACGCTTTCAATGTGAATATGCAGAATTAAGAGCACAAGATGTGAAGACGCACCTCTCTAGCTCCGCCATGCACCGCTCATTCTCTCGCTGCGTCCCATCGAGCAGGATCTCCAGATTCATGTATTCTTTCTTCAGTGCGTCGATGGCCTCGAGTGACGGTCGTTCAGCAAGCTGGCTCTTCAGCTGCGCAATCTGCGTCCTTAGCTGCACACTTGCGTCAGTATGATCCCTGCCTCTCGACTGTGACAAACTGACCTTATCGTTTTCCTTGTCCTTTTCGAGCAAATGCGCCCGAAGGATCTCTTCCAAGTTCTGCTCGTCCTCCTTGACAACACCAAGGTCGTCTGAGCCAACCATTACTGCTGGTCTGTGCTGGTTTCGAACGCTTTGAGATCGCCGCATGATGAGGATGAGTGTTTGGTCGTCACGGGAAACGTTGTGCAGGCGTACTTACGGCGCTGGCCTGCGATAGTTCGCGACGCGATGGACCTGGGCACGTGAATGCACCTGGTGATTCGCTTATCTCATCTACATCTCTCCTTATCTAATCTATGTTCTACCTTCCTCGAGCGCCCGTGAATCACCCCATGTATACGTAGAACTAACTTCAAATACTTGTGCCTGCCTCACTCTGTCTTCTGCTTGGGCACTAGCGTCATTTATCGCTACTTGTTAAGTATATTTGGAACGCCGCGAACGCGGATTGTCGTTGAAAAAAGGACACAAGGCGATATTGATCTATCACACCACCAGCGAACTGTTCAAATTGCACGCAAGTGTCGCCTCTGGAGGGTTAGAAAAGTACATAGGCAAGTCGAGTCTTATAACGTTTGGCTAGCATGCCGCACCTTACGTACTCTCAATGTGCAATAATTGTCGAACATTCTTTCTCATGGCACTGCTGACTTGAACATCCAAAAAGGTGTAAACAACCAGTACGCGCAATACTGCGGAAACGTACGCACACATAGCCACTGAATCCTTAAATGTCTCGACTTGGACATTGACTAAGTTCAAAAGGCGGTGGCCGCCTCCGACGCGCGCGGGGCAGCGCCCCATGATCAACGCTCATATCTCTGGCGTGCTTCTCAAGTCCAAAGTGGATGGCTGTGGAATTGCGGGTGAACTGCAGCAGTGGTCGAGACTCGACTAAGCAAGTATAATAAGTATCAGATAAGCAGATGAGCCCGTCCCCCGTTAACACTGTGTAACTAAGTGAAGTATCATCATTCCGGATCCTATAATTAAACAAACTTACGACCTACAGTAGATTACTCGACTGTAAAGAAGCTCTCTCGCTCTGCAACGCAAAGAAGAATCTACATACCCCATTGCCGACTGTATCCTCCCTGCTGCTGTGCAGGCGGCTGTTGTATCCAGCTCGTGAACGGGTTGGCGCCTCCAAACCCAGTCTGCGTCGTGTTCGTCTGTGGCAGGGCCTGCGTCTGAGCGAGTGGAGACGGGGATCCGCCCACCGACTGTGCACCCATGAATGGCGACGGTGTCTGTAGATAGGGATTTCCAGGTGCTGACGTGTGTAGTTGTGGCTGTGGCTGCGCAAACTGCATCTGCATCTGCTGCTGTTGAGTATAAGATTGCGCCTGCGCATGCTGCTGTCCGAACTGTTGACCAATTGATACGGGTTGATTGAATGGTGTCTGTATGGTTTGTGTAAATAGAAATTGGCTAGGTTGTCCAAACGAAGCCTGATTGGGTTGTCCAAACGGTGTCTGAGACTGTCCGAAAGGCTGGCTGAACGCTATCTGCGATTGATTCGTCGTAGTGCTCTGAGTATTGATACCATTGGGGCCTATGGACAATCCTTGTGGTGAGAACGGATGGGGGCTCGGCGTTGAGCTTAGCGGTGCAGCGCCAAACGGCGAAGCCTGGAACGGCGACAAATTCGTCCCGGAGAAACTCGAGCTCATGCCTGTGCTACTGACACCAAGTCCGGGCGAAACGCCCGTGGTCTGGCCAAAGCTGGACTGGGGCAGGGGTGCCGAGCCGGTTTGGAGATTGTGGAATGGATTAGCGGCAGAGAGGTAAGATGGTGGAGGAGGCGCCGACGCAGGTGGGAGAACTTGCAAGGGCAATGTGGCGTCTATGGTTTGCGGTCGGCTGCTGGTGAGAGAGCTACCAAAGGCTGACTGTCCTTGCGCGCCGGCAGGTATGGACGACAGCAGCGGCTGAGATACAGATCTGTTCTGGGGCCGCGTGGGAAGGGCAGGTGCAGATGCGGGCGGAGTGGGCTTATCCTGCGAGGACAGCGACATGTCGACAAGTGGTGCCGTGTCTCTGGGTCTGAAGGTGGACATGCTCGCTGCACGGCTAGCAGCGGATCGCGACGGGCCCAACAAAGCGGTCACGGCGGCAGATCGGTCAACGGAGCTTGACGGAACAAGCGGGGACAGCTTGGGTTTCCCTTCCGGGGTATGCCTCATGAACGACCTGAACTCATACTTTGCTGAACTTCACGTTTAGTTGGAGACTTCGGAGAGCTTGGAAGTCTAACGCACCCCGAATGTACTTCTCAAGCTCGCTGTCCCGCTCCGAGTCAATCATATTCGTAGGAGGAGGGTGTCTCTTCTCATCGGGATTATATGTCGTGTTAGACTTGAGGTTTCCCGCCTGCTTCATGTGCTTCATGCATGAAAAGGAAAAGGGGGGTCAACATGGGTCGCTGCAACCTACAGAAGGATGGGATGCGGACTTCGACTTGCTCCTTGGTCCATGTGTCAATTGTCAGGCTCTTCCTGGTAGCGAGCATAAGAGCAGTGACCAACGCTCGGAAACATGTCTAGCATACACTTTTGTGATATGAGTCCCTATCTTCCTATGGATACTTGCGCAATTCATACTGTGACGAAGGTGTGAGTAGCGAATGACTAGCCCAGGTTTGAACCAGCGCACCATATGAAGATGCCCAGATTGTGGGAAGCCCACCTTGGGGTTCTCGTCTTGCAGTCCGCGCATATATCTGGAGGGGAATGTGTAAGCTGAAGTGCAGGTCAGCACGTAGCGCGCCTTGGCGTCCTTACGCACCGTTACCTGGCTGGTTTACAAGCTCCAGTAGAATGCGCTGATTCTTGTCCGCTGCGAGCTTGCTAGTTCCAGACATCCAGCCAAATTAGTACTTTTGTACCAACGGTCTAGGCGTAGGATGAGGGAGAGAGCACGACACAAGCCAGGACGAGGCGGTGGTATGACAGCTGGTGATAAGTAACGAAGTGAAGGCAGTTAAGAAAACGTCACTTACAGCTTTGTTTACCCTGGTTACAACGCTCGCGTCATGGCGCTCGCTTCCCGCGTTTGCACCGCTTGTCCCAGCCACCGACAGCGGGCCGCATCGGTGTTCGTTCGCGCACAGTAAGTTTCCATTCTCCACGTATGAGAGAACTCAGCGCGAGTCATCTCCAAGGATAGCGACAACCATTGGAAAAGCTGCGGGGGCGAGAGAGCGGGAGAAGTCACCGGACGCGTACAACGATATCAAAATACGGCCCCGCCTCTCAGATCTCAGGGCCTGCTGTGCAGCTCGACCATACTGTACTTGGTTCCTCAGCGTCACCTGAGGGGCCGCTCCCGCGCAAGGCTGCGCAGGTTGTCAAAACCCTAATATCCCAGCTGCTGTGGTGGCGCGTCCGCGCGCGTAGACGCGCTTCTCACTCCGCTACCCACTATTACAGTATAGCCATGCCTCCCTCGGAGGCATATTTAATCCGTCCGTTCTTTCGCTCTCACATTCTCTTCACAACCCCGTCACCCGACAACCCGCAATACGCACCGCTCGCGGATTATAACTATTCTACTCGTCAAGCACTCCTCCTCCCTGCACCTTACCCCGCATCGCAGTTCACGATGCCGACCGGCAAGCGCGTCCACTGGAACGACGAGCCAGCTCGTACACCGTCACCCGCGTTCTCGACTAGCTCTCGGCAGTCGTCGGTCGGCCCTCACACGCCGCCAGAGGGCACGCGTTCACTGCCGCAAGTCGCTGGGCAGCAGCACTACCCTCGCTACGGGCAATACCTAGCACCGGATACGCCTTACCCAAAGACCCAGCCTCTGCCGCCCTCGCCCTCGTTGAGCTCATCTGGCGGGTCGCCTTTGCCCCTCGTCGTGAATGACCTCGTCTCAACGTCCCGGCATAAGCACGTTCAGACGCGCCCATTCCAGTGGGATCTCCTCAGCGACCCCGTACGCCTCGCTACACCTTCCGATCCTCCTGTCATGGAGTACCTCCTCCAACCCGCCCAGCTCGCCGCCCCTGCCACTACTCCCGCTGTCGCCGACGTTAGGATCATGCACCCCCACCTGCCATGGGTGGTCAACGTCTCGGCTTCGCGCTACTACGGCAATATCTACGTCACTGTCGGCGACGTCCTTCAGCAGCTGTACCAAGCATTGCGCCTGAGCGTCTCCCAGCTCGAGTACGACACTACGGTACGGCTCAACACTGGCCTCGCGCCACGCATCCAGGGCGCATTCGAGCGCAGGGTGCAACGGGCAGCCCAGTACGGGGTGGACGAGCGGAGGAAGGGGCTGCGGCGAGTGGACTTCCTCATGGGCGACACGCAGTTTGCCGGGTTCAAGGTCGTCACCGGCCAGGACGGTGGGTTGCTGCTGCTGCTGCATGTCCGGTGAGCGATCTGTCATCACCAGTGGCATGGTCGCCATCGGAGCATTCGCCCATCCCCTCTCGGCCTCCCGTCTCTCCAGCCCACCTTTATGACCCCGACAGATTCCCCCTTTTTTCGCATGAACGACCATCATATGCCCATCAGGCTCGCAATAATCACATACTGTACCCATCATCATCTGCATTGTACCACTCCTTCTTGATACCCACTGGCATCTGTACTCATACCCCTTACTTGGCATGGCTTACCGCTTTTTCTACCTTTTCCCCCTCCTCCCCTTTTTTATTCTGTATTTTGCAGGGAACCTTGTAGTCATATTGTTTTGGGATTTGTATCCATTGCGCGCCTTGTACTAGGGCGATGTCACAGCCGTAGTCTCACCGTAGTCAGCATGAAAAAAAAATCGAAATTGTAGCAGTATTCCAGCATCACGGCTATGATCGTCGGATTTAGGAAGTGGTGGCGATCACCCGCTCCGTGTGCACCATTGTGTGCGGTGCACAGTATACACTGCCAAGACACCGCCGCCGCATACGAGTTGACGCCAGCGTTCGCGCCGACGTCCGAGTTACTAGTCTCTTGCTATCAACCGCCATGGACGCGCATGCCACTGACGTGAAGGACGCAGTCCAGAGGTTCTTGATACACTCCTTCGACACGGATGAGACGTATCAGGTACGGGTTGTTGAAATGGTTCACCGCGAACACGTCCTTACTGTTCTGGGGCCGTAAGCAAGGATTAGCAGGTATCCTCAATGGCAATACGTTGGACGAAGCGAGTAGGCAGGATGTATTACTGCGGTCACGAGTATTCTATTTCAATCGGTGAGGCTAATCTTCTGTGGGTGTCGTTCATTCATTTACGATCGAGCGAGATAGGATAACAGGATCCTCGTTGACTGTGGACGATGTCCGGGAACACGTTCAGAAGACACAGACACCGAACGCCGCCACGAGGCTGGAGTCCGCAGCCCCTCGTGCCAGTCCTCCAGCAGAGGAGCATCGAGTACTGTCTTTCGCAGAGCTAAAGGAGCTCATCGAACAAGGCAAAACGGACCAAATCCCCAACAATCATATTATTCCGAACGAGTTGAGCGTACGTGCTCGTTGTATTGAGGAGGACGATCCCTATTCACCCCGCACCCCGCACCCCGCAGAAGGACGCCCCAAGCATGTCTACGGTGCCGCCAAGGAAGAAGCCCTGGGAGGCGTGAGACAATAGGCTTCATTCCAAGAACACCAACCCTTCGGCCCTGTCCCCACCGATGACCCGCTCATTCTGAGCCTCACAGCGGACGACCCGCCGTATCCGTTCGAGTGCTGCTGCATCATCGGCATCATGCCCCAGTGCGACTATCGCCTTCTCAATGTCGCTTCGACGTATGCGACGACCCCAAATGGACTCCCCGTATGCGTCTACCAGGCGCACCAGCTCTAAGTAAGGCTGATCTTCGAGGCACACCATCGCAGCGATAACAGTTGGCGGGAGGAATGTCGCCTTGCCAACATGGAATGAACGCAGCGAGGGCATTGCTGGGAGGAGCGGGGCGTTGGGGTCGAGGGGCTCGCTCAGCAGCGATAGACCCATGGGAAACGCGATGTTCGTGATCGTTATGTGCTCTATGTTGGTCCACTTTGATATCGCCCGAAAGAGATGGGACGTCGCGGCAGGGACAATCTGCATTTCACTTCAGCGCGCATGCTCTTGTAAGATACCAAAGATCTAGACGTACCGCAGCGGAGAAGTGATGCTCTGGGTCCGGCCCAAGCCAGACGAACTTCTTCGGGCTGAGGTTTGCTCCCCCTTGAGAAAGCGTCACCTTGCTCAGTGATAGCATGCAGACTCACTTGGCGAGAACTAGCGCATCGTAGATATCTCCGAGATTGGGATTGCTCGAATGCGAATTCAGCCGTAGAAACAGGAGCTGAAGCTCAAGTGGCAATCTCGGCAGATGCTGTGCCGACGAGTGGGCATTTTGAGCGCATCGGAGGAGAGCATGCCGAAGGTATCTGAAGACGTCCAAGTCGATTCTCCCACCAGGCAGTGCGACTCGTATTGATTGAGGTACACAAGGCAGTGGTTTACACCCTTGTGAGAACCTTAACAGCTGCTGCACGGAACTGAAGTGCAAGCGGCTATATATGACGTGGCTGCCTAAGATGTGCAGCCGCGAATGCACACAAAGCACGTCGGCAGGTCTGTTATGGATATCTAGGACGTAGGTTAGAACTTCAGACAGCAGTTCTGGAGGAAGTTGGAGCATGGCAGTCACGGGTCAGCCTGCGGCATGTCTGATTTCGACGATGGAGTGGAGACGCCGGAACCTATGGCAAAATGAGAATTTTAGCCAAACTCCAGTGTATAGTACATATAGAAGCGGAGGTAATGTCGTGTTCACAGGACAAGTTGGCTTCCCAGAAAAAGGATGCGTAAACCCTCGGTGTCGTATGGTATTGGAAAGGGACCACAATTGTCGTGTAGAATATTGAAGCAGATGCTATCGACCTCTTGCACGATAGATTTGACTTTCCACGGTCCAACCTCCGGTCCACCAAACTCACTACCCAGAATGGTAGTGGGGTTCTTGATGTAGTTGTCCACTTCGACGGGAGACAAGGGTCACATCTCCACCAAAGGCGAAGCATACGAGGAAGGAGGGGCGGGAAGACACTGGCCTAGGGTTCCACCCTCCAGGTTTAAGTTGTGTGCACGAGCAAACATCCAATCTGTGAACCTGAATACATATAATAATTTGTTCAATTGGGGTGAGTAAGATCTTGGGGGGAGGGCAGGAAGACATACTTACAATCTGTCCACGTTACACATGTGAAGATTGTCGTCATCCGATGGCACCTTGTGGAAAGCGAGGACTATTGCCGCGGTGGCGGCTGCACAGACCCGGAGGACACGACTGCAGTCCCAATACTATATTAGTTAATGGCCCATCATGCATCAGCATTCGAGTCACTCGCTCTTCGATTGTGACCGGGGCCTTCTCTAAAAGAGCGTCCAACTCCGTAAGATGTTTCTCAGGGTCTTCCTCCGGGGTTAAGGGCCCCAGGCAGCGCCTGAGGTTTGCGGTCTTGACAAGATTGGAATATGCTTCGTCGTGGGCTGCTGGGTTTTCCGCAAGGAGTTGTATTTCCGTCGCATGGACCTTCAGGTATTTAAGTTGCCGTTCGACGCAATCCATGGTGGGTAGGGAGACAATGGTTCGAACATACTGTACAGGAGGGTATCTGTCGGAGTCTGAAGCAGGTGGGTCTCGGAGCTTCAAACTCAACATTGCTCCAGTCCAATGCTCACCCGGAATACTCCGGGCGGACTGCCTGGCGGACTTATATTAACCGCCGGTCAAGAGGATCCGCTCTAAGCCAAATCACTGATTCCCTTTGGGGAATAGCGAATTGATTCCGGACATAAGATTGGTCAATACACAGCCTCAAGAACAAGACAGGCATAAACGCAGCGTCGCAGGGCAGGAAAACATATCGGGCAGCCAAGGACAACCAACCTAGTCATCGCTGTCATCAACCTGGAACCCGAATAACCCGAACTCAGCTCAATCTGTGGGACAGCTTTGCTAAACACTCACAACTTCCGCCGTCTTCTTTCTACCTCGGGTCGCAGCGGCACGAGGCGCGCGCTGCGAAGGTGCAAAGCTAAGCGTAGCCTGTTTTGAAGAACTGGCCGCCGCCTTTTTCGCCGGTGCCTTCTTCGCTTTGGTTGTCGCAGCCGCCCGCTTCTTTGTCTTCTTTTCTTCCTCCTCTTCTTCGTCTTCCTCCTGCTCAAAATTGTCCTCCTCGTCGTCTGAGGACTGTAGAGTGATCAGCACGCAGGTCATTCTTTAGCAATGCTGCACCTACCGCGGCCTTCTTTCCTCGCTTCGCGGGTGCCTTTTTTGCTGGGGCTTTCTTCGTTGGCGCAGCTTTCTTTCCCCTCGTTGCCGTCTTCTTAGGCGCAGCTTCTTCTTCTTCCTCCTCGTCAGAATCGGGCTGTGCGTGAGTCGCAACGCCCATGTCCATCAACATGGAGTCGTCGGAGTCGCCACCCTTCTCCTGCTGTGCCTTGGCCTTGCCCTGCGCGGTGATTAACGTTGTGCTGCAAGTATAGAGCGGAATTTCTGGCGGACCTTTCCATTCGCAGAGCTACCTACATTCTTCTTGACGTACTCTTTCTCTAGCTTCTCCCTCGCCTTCTCAACCAGCGCATTGAGATCATCCTCCTCGATGTTGTCTTCAGACACGTCGACCTGAACACCTTTCTGCATGTTCTTGAGCGTGTTCCTGTAATGGCTGAGGCAAGCAGGTCAGACAATGATGTCCACAACGTACAACGCTTTCGAACACACACCTCTCGAATGAATGGATGTCGTCCTTATTGATAAACATCTCGAGCGCGTCAGACATACCCGGCTCGGCAAGGACCTGTACCTGCTGCGCTTCGAGATATTCCTGCACGAGCGTGTGCATCCGCACCTTGTGCAACTTTTCCTGGGTTGTGAGGTCTGGGTCGTCGATGCTTAGATCCGGTTCTTCCATGTGAACTTTCGCCTGGCGCTGCTGCTTTGCACGATTGAAGATGAAGACGTCCCGCGGATTCGCAACGCGGCCCTGGAACTCTTGGCTCAGCCGCACAGGGTTGATCGTCTCTGTGACGCCAGTGGTGTCAACCTTGAGGCGGATGAGAGGGAGCATGCGCGGGATTTCGGGCTCGCCAAGCTGTAGCGCTTGTTCGTTCCGCTCATCCCAGGCCTTGTACGCTTTCTCGATTAGCGCTTCTACCTATTCCCTTTGTTATGTCTTGAGCTAAAGTGCAGTAGGTGGCAGGACTCACTGCAGACTTCAGGATTTTGGCTGTTTCCATCCGGTCGTTTACGTTTACGCCTTCTTGCTCTGCGGCCTCTTCAAGTACGAGCTCGTCCATAATGAAAGGCCGCACTGTCCGTAGGGGTATCGGAGTCAGCCTGTACTCCTTACCGTGTATCTCCATCAAAGCCACATGCCTGTAAAGAGAGGTTAATTCGCATGCGGCATGATGAATTAGATGGAACCTACTTTTCCAAGGACTCGCCGGCAGAAAGGGATGTCGCGACCGAAGAGCCAGGCTGACAAATCCGGTACCGCTTCCCTTCGACTACCTCAGGTTCAACGCGACAGTCGTGTTCGTGCCCCCAGATAACGAAGTCTATGCTGTCATCAAACATAGCCTCCGGGACGGACTGTTGAGGACCGTGAGGTACACTGTTCCAAATACCTGGTCAGAATATTCGCGATTGGATAGGGACTGACTCACCGATTCTGGTGCAGAAGTAGGATGTTGAACCAGTCATCCTTGTCCTTGGGCATGTACATCTTAACACGGTTGCTTCGAAGTTCGAAGTGCATTCGTGCGTCCTTGACATTGCCGACGCCGTACAAGCCCAGTCGTGAGTTACCCTTGCGAAGCAGCACAGGCTTGATAATAATTCCATTATCCTCTGTGCTCGTCGCACTGGACGAGAGATCGAATTTGCCGATGTAATTGACGAGGCCGCCCACGGAAAGCATATCAAGAGCAGCGAGGGCGCCTTTCTATCATATACGGTTAGGAGATGCAAGACACTGAGAAACCACCTCGACATGACGTACTGGGCCTACACCTTGTGGGTCGTCATGATTGCCATGTATCGAGAACACCGGCATTCCGATATTTAAGTTGGGATCTTCGTAGTTTATAGCCGGGAAACTGGCAAAACTTGATTAAAAAATAAGCCAATAGAATGCCTTAAAAATCACGTACGAAGCCTCGGGAGCCTTTCCTTCTTCTGGGTCGCTCAAAAGCTCGATCTGAATAGGGCGATCGTTCATACAGTACTCCCGGAGGAGCGCCATCACCTGGTATAGTGTATCTCGAGAGGGACGGTTTTCGTGGAAGAGATCTCCTGCAAGTAAAAGAAAGTCGACCTAGAAGATAGCTCAGTCTGATATAGTTTATGCAGTACACAAGCTAGTATCGCGCTTTTGCGTTCATGGAAGCAGACGCGTCTGCAGACACTACTCACATCGTTCTTGACCGCCAACTGCAATATCTCTCTGAAAGTGTCGATAGAGTCCTGGCCACGTATGGCATCTCGTTCCATGTACCCTATGTGGTTGTCTGTGGCGACCAATATCCGGAAGGTATCCTCAGAAACTGCGTCGTACGCCACATTGTCAGCCTTCCGAGTCACGCTGCTACGGAGTTACTCACAGGCGTTCCCGCCGGACATAGTTCCTGTCACTCCTTGTGTGCTAGATGGTAGATGGGGAGACATTGCTGGCTGCTACTCCTTGCGTTCAGATACGCGCAAGCGAGGACAAAAGCTAATTGGACTCGCGTGGCACGCGTCTCGCGTCGCCTCGCGGTTGTTGATTGACGCCAGAAAGGGGTCCAGACGCCGGTTTCAAGGCGTCTTGTGCCCGCCTGTGCACCGTTGGCTCGCTCAAGAGTCAAAGTCTTGATATCTTTCCCCCACCAACCGCTACCTAGTCGCTTTCACTAGCGACTCTCTCCTTCACATACAGCCAACAAGTCTCAAGGCCCTCAAACCCAAGAATATCCGGTCGCTTCGTGTAGGACTTCGGACAGCATGGCTCAAGGAGGTCCACAAAATGCCCATTCACGGGCTGCAGTGGTATGTATCGTTGCTACGAGGCTTCGGGACTGCGCTGACCAGTAGTTAGATTGGCACTGTTTTGTTCTATCTGGTTGCTGCTCTAGCGGTAAGTTGTTCAAACCAGTCGACATGTACCTGTCTTACTGAACAGTTCCTGCCACTATCATAGATGGTCATGGCGTGAGTCTATCCATTGCACGATACCTCTCGTTACCTGACAGATCGCCTACAGGAATAAATGGGTTTTGAACACAACGGAGGTGCCCCTCTTCTTCCTGTTCACGCAGCTCATGATCGCCGTGGTTCTGTTCGTTGGCGCGCACCTTGTGGGTCTTCTGCAGGTGCCCATGGACTTCGACCCCGCCGTTCTGAAGGGCTTGATTCCAATGGTCGGCCTAAATGTTATCGGCCTTAGGTTCGTTACTCCTCTGTGTTAAGCGGGCCCGCCCTGACACTTCCCTCAGCTTCAGCAACTACACCCTGAAGTATGTCGATGCGTCTTTCTATCAAGTTGCACGGGGCATGGTCCTTCCTTTCACTGTCATGACCTCCTGTATCTTCCTCCACTCTCGTCCCTCGTTAATGGTTCTCTTCGCCTGCTCCATCGTCACCTTCGGCTTCTTCATTGGTGTCTTCCTTGATGGCACACCAGTCTCGATGGTCGGCATCTCCTTCGGCGTCGCTAGCTCTATGATCACCGCTATGCACTCTGTCGTCATTAAGAAGAGCTTGGATGTCGTCAAGAGCAGCGCTCTCAGCCTCTCCTGGTACACCAACCTTTTCAGCGCCGTTGCCCTACTTCCCGTTCTCCTAGTTGCTGGCGAGGGACCTGGAGTCTACAGCCTTCTCTCCGGTCACCAAAATCCTCTTGCTGACGGTGTCAGTCCCCTCAAGACCTTCCTTTGGGGCTCTGCTATCACCGTCCGTATTCTCCTTACAAAATCGTGCTCGCATAATACTGAAATTCAGCTCTTAGGGTGTCTTCGGTTTCCTCATGAGCATCGCCAGCTTGCTCTCTATCAAGGTCACCTCTCCTATCACCCACATGGTCTCATCGGCCGTCCGTGGTGTCGCGGCATCGATGCTTGGTGTCTGGCTCTTCCACGATATCATCAGCACGTACGTACCCGTCACCCCCGAGCACAGCTTTCCGCAGCACTGACCCTATCCTCTCGTTCGCAGCGGCCGTGGCAGCTCCATCGCTGCTATCTTGCTCGGCTCCGTCTTCTACACGTGGGTTAAACACCAGGAGTCCCAGCCCCAGTACGAACGTGTGCCACTCGAGAAGATCGAGGAGGGCAAGGGCGATATATCGCCCACCAAGCGTTCGCGGACGCCTGAGGACTGAGCGTCCTGTTCGTTGATCGGCCGAGAGCTGATTTAGCGAGCTTCGTCGCTTGCGCGGCGGGCAGCACGGATAATGCGTCAAGATACCCGCAAATACCTCTGGGACTCTTCGCGGAGCGAGCTGGTGTCATAGAAAGAGGTAGACTAGTCGTAATTTATACCGGGCAGGGCCCATACTAATAGGTGGCCCTGAGATCTCCGGTTGTCCTAGTTATCGGTAACTATCCACATATGTAAGACTCTGCATCTCTTCGCGGTGGTAGCCTGCCTCTGTCCATGAATGGTAAGTCCGGATGATGCTGCGGATTTTTCAAGGGAGGCGACAAAATGCAGTGGAGCTCGCACTTATCACGAGGTAGGTGAAGAACTGATAACGATTCTACGGTGAGAGTGCAGAATTACAGTTGACTGTAGCTATATATAAATAAGATGAATGCGAAATAGTCCCAAAACGTTCAAACACTATAGCAGTACAACCTATCCAATGCACGACACGAGGCCGTCTATGTATGAATTACTCAGGAAATTTTAGTTTAGGAGCTTTGCTGCTTCCGCTGCATCGCCCGCTCCTCCATCAGCTTCGCCGTCGTCTTCGAGCTTGAAGCGCGGCCGAACCGCTCGAGGCTGCCGTCGGCGAGCTCGTACGCGGGGCGGAACCGCTCTTCGTGGTTGCACGGCGGCTCGAGGAAATCGGCGCTGTGCGAGAAGCCGTTCGTGCCGTTCGTCTTGCTCAGCGTGCACTCGCCGTCGGCGGTGCACATCTCGGCGTTGTTGAGCTCGAGCCGCACGAGGCCGTCGGGGATGCTGTGACACCCGTTCGTGAGCGACGCGCCGAGGATGTCGCATGGCGTCGATGCGCAGCCGTTCTTGAGGGCCGAGGCAACCGTTGGTGTCCTCGCAGAGCCATTCTGTGGTGTCACGGAGTCCGAGGAATCGTCCGCTGAACCGTTGGTCGCCGGCGCCTTGCTGCAGCAGGGTGAGACGCGCAGCGCCGGGTTACGGAAGGTGTTGTAGGTCGAGCCGAGGGAAGTGTATCCCTGGTCGTAGAGGATGCAGTAGGGGACCTGCAGCGCACGCAGGAAGGTCCAGACGTCGGCGTAGGACCAGTCGATGATGGCGTTGATTCGCTGGAAGCGTGGCCAGCCAGGGTCCGTCGGGTTCCGGAAGCCAAGCTTGGCTGCAAAGGCATCAGCGATCCTGTAGAATCTCATGAAGCACAAGGACGCACCTCCGTGGGGATCTGTCCGCCGAGTACCGATCACAATCGCTTCAACGTTGGGGAACCTCTCCTTGTAGAGACCCAATGCGGCCTTCATACCATCTCCACCCTTCGCCCTCGCCGATGTTGAAGGCGTCATCATCTTCTGCTTATGCTCAGGCAAGGTAGAGAAGGGGGCTTCTGGCGAGCTCGGCTCGGTGACACTCTCGATTTGGAGCGATCCATCGGCTGGCGGTTCGCAACGGTAGAGGTCGAGGTGGTAAGCCTTTGCGCATTCGTAGATGAACACTTCGAGCTCGGGGAAAGGTGATGCGACAGGTATGTAGAGAGAGGGTATCGCCTTGCTTGACTGCCCCTCTGAGAGGCGGCGACCGAGTGCTGCAGTTATGAGATGGAGGAGGACAGTGCCTGCACGGAGGAGAAGAATTAGTAAGGGTACTTAAGCTCTGCGCACGCTATGCCTTGAATGGACTGCAGATCTACCCTGGTGCAGGGCCTCGCGACCCCATCTCCGACATAGCTATGCTAGAAGAAGCTACTTACAGTCCTTGCCCCCGTTGAAGCTGATGGCAACACGATCCTCGCTATTGTCAACCAATTAGCTGTGCTGTAGGAGCTCGCCGGGGTAGGCACGTACCCAAAGTCATCCAGGGCTTCGTCTATAACGCCCAGTGCCTCCTTGACGAGCGGGGCTAGTGGGGCCTGCGAATCGGCGAAACCGTACACTTGCTTTGCGACTGCGCGGTGGTCAACGGGCTTCATGTTGATCGATGGGAGCTGCATTAGAGATCGAGTAGAAGGTTGTGTACGGCTGAGAGAGGGTGCGGTGCAGGGAACTCGGCTTGAGACGCAGCGTCTGATTGCAGCTCGCTTATATCCTCCGCCCGTTACCACGGAGCCGTCATGCACTCCAAATGGCGACAGGATAATTCTCGCTCGACATACTGGCAGCAGTCTGGACATGCTGTCCGGAATCGCTAATCGTCATGGCGGATCGGGACGGGATGAATTTTCTGCGCGACCTGACACACCCGCACTCTGGACCTGCGTACGGCCCTCAATCAACAACTGCCACGCAAACCGTTCATGCTCATGCTTGCCACCTCTTAACCAGTTTATGGGTATGCTTGTAATCCCCTTAATCATCTACATATTTGCGATGACCACATGGGTGAAGTTTTGGCGCAGTCTGGCATGGTCCCACGGTCGTGGCCCCTACGTAATCCCCATGGACCGCTCTGCTGCGCCGCGACGCTGGACATGGGTGCGTCATTAGCGTTTTGCCTTTGCAGCGGAAGAGTTTATTCCTGTGCTATGGTTCAGTGCCTCGCCGCTTGGCGGTGTTGCTCCGTCAGAGCCTCACGGCAAGTTTGAGCCTCTTGCACACGTAGCGCTTGCCATTACCGCATCGCGTACGGTGTACATTCACATCAACAGACTGCATTGTAATGATGTATCAGTTGGTCAGATTCCACGGTCTTATCGCCTCCCGATTGCTTCTTCAAGCACGGAACGTCAACATTTTCTCACTGCAAGTAACAGCTGCTAGAGATAGGGATTCATGGCAGATGCTCCCAGGGTGCGACATATGGTGCCCTGTTCAGCGGCCGTCCGTTTAGTGTGAACGCACCGTGAACGCAGGACCAAAACGAGTTCGTTATAATGAGCGATTCTCTCACCATCGGGTATAAATAAGGATGAAAATGGCGGCGGATGCTGCAGTCTGATTCATCAGCGAGCTCTGGGATTGACTCCAAGATGTACTCCTTGCTGTGGATATTCGCCACTCTTTGGATTTGGACCGCTGCGGTCGTCGGAGCAAGGAAAGTTTTGCCTGACTTGTACGAAGCGTCCATTTCCGAGCTTCAGGTATGTCTGATGTCCCTGGTTATTCGCTTTGCCAGTAAATGAGCATTTGTAGGCGGGGTTAGATGCGGGGGATTTCACTAGCGTAGACCTGGTCAAGGCGTACTTCGCGCGCATTGACGAAGTCAATCTCAAAGGGCCTCAGCTTCGTGCTGTACTGGAGATGAATCCATCTGCGCTTACTGAGGCCGCAGCCCTCGACAAGGAGCGCAACCAAACAGGGAAACGCAGCGAGCTCCATGGCATTCCAGTTCTCCTCAAAGACAATATCGCCACCATCGCATCTGAAGGTAAGTCAGATCTAGGAACGAAGTACAGACGGCCTTTACTGAAGCTTGGCAGGCATGAATACCACGGCGGGGTCGTTCAGTCTTCTTGGATCTGTGGTACCCGATGATGCCGGTGTCGTGAAAAGACTCCGCCAAGCTGGAGCGATTATTCTTGGTACGCAAGTACCTGAATACATCCCGGTGCTTTGCTAACTGCGACCCATAGGGAAAGCCAATCTGTCGGAGTTTGCAGACTTCCGGGGCAGTAGCCTTCCTTCGGGATGGTCGGGGCGCGGTGGACAGTGTACGAACGCCTACTTCCCTCATGCGGATCCTTGCGGATCATCTTCAGGCTCAGGTGTTGCCTCTGCTATCGGTTTGACAGCAGTCTCTCTTGGCACGGAGACCGACGGAAGCATCACTTGTCCAACGAGTAATAATAACTTGGCGGGCATCAAGCCAACAGTAGGGCTCACGTCGAGAGCAGGAGGTAGAGGATAATTTTTATCACCCCGCAAATTTTGCTGATCTTCTCGCAGTGATTCCGATTTCCGAACATCAAGATACAGTTGGGCCGATGGCGCGTTCCGTTTCAGACGCTGCAATCGTGCTATCTATTATTGCAGGTCCTGATCCAAACGATAATTTTACGCTGGCTCAGCCCAGCCCGGTACCCGACTTCACCAAGGCACTTGACAAAAATTCTTTGAAGGGCAAACGCATCGGCGTGCCACGTCGGGTGTTCCTCAATGACACTATCACCGGCAACGACCCTTTCGTCAACCAAGAGTTCGAGAAGGCTTTAGACACCATCAGGAACCTGGGAGCCACCGTCATTGACCCCGCGGATCTACCTTCAGCGGACGAGATTGCTGTCTCAAACAATGAGACAATCGTCCTCGACGTGGATTTTAAGGTGAGTTAGCTCTGACGGTAGTCTGAAAATGCTGTGCTTACGCCAATCTTGACGTAGATCCAACTCAATGCATGGTACACTTCATTAAAATCAAACCCTTCCGGTGTACGCAGCCTGGCAGATCTCATTGCTTTCGATGACGCAAATCCTTCCCTGGAAGAGCCTCCGCGGTTCCAGGATCAGTCAACGTATGCTGTCAACGCTACAAATTCACTTGTCATTGACAGAAAGTTTTCCTACGTCATAGCTTCATTGAGTCAGAGGCAACAACCGGGATGAACTCAACGTATTTCCAAGCGCTCGCGTTTGACAAAGATCTGGGGGCAACCCGGGGTATCGACGCAGCTCTGCAAATGTTCGGTCTAGACGCTCTCGTACTTCCTGCACCAGGCTTTACGACTGTTCCAGCCGCCATCGCAGGGTATCCTATCGTCACAGGTATGCAACTGCTCATCTGTCGGGCCCCGCGGTGAGGTCCGCGACTCATCCCGCCTTTCTCTAGTTCCGCTCGGCTTTTACCCGGAGAATGTCACCATCGCGCTGGCAGGCCCAGAAACGGTCTATCCCGCGCCTGGCGTTCCCTTCGGCTTGTCGTTCTTGGGTACGGCGTTCAGCGAGTTTTCGCTCGTCGGCTTCGCGTTTGCATACGAGCAGGAGACGCAAACCCGACTCGTACGCAAGGCATTTGCGGAAGCGATCCCGAAGACACAGCTGCAAGACGTGATATCATGAGGCACTCGGGGTAGTAACATGACGTAGTTGTAGGTAGGAGCTTACCAAGGCTAAACAGCGACACGTATATCTTGGTGTCTTTATGCAAGCAGCGACGTTCCGTTAGGCATCTCCTCCGTGTGGGGGACGTTTGCAGGTGTGCTGCTGGCTCACAAACGTTCTCGATCTCTCGGAACAAACATTCATCGGTGCCTCACCGGACGCGGCCCAGGAATGACTCTAAAGCCGACAATTGCGCCAGCAGTGTCCTGCGAAGCGTCAGAACTGCCGACAAAGCTGGGCGCATTGTTCGAAACAGCGTATTATAGCTCCTCGGCTCATCACGAGTGTGAGTTGCCTTCCGTACTTCTGCCTGGCTCGGTGATGCCTGCCATCAGAGCTGTCCTCATCTCCCCCGACCGACAATATCCCGACTTCACCTCGCCTGCCTGTGGCGACGCGATGTCGAAGCGCGGTCATGTGCGCACCGAAATATAGGCTATAGCTCGGTATGACAGAATATTGTTCCCACATATAAGGTGAGCGATGCGTGGTATAGGTTGCTCGACTAGTTCCAAACAAAGCGAATCATGACCAGAGCTATTCTTGCCTCCATTGCTGGTGCTCTCTGCTTGGCTGCAGGAGTCGCTGCGCAGACAACTGCTCCTCAGTGGGGTCAGGTAGGTAGCTGCACTTACATTTCATCCATCCAAATCTTACGCATGTTCTTTAGTGTGGTGGACAAGGATGGACTGGTGCAACGACTTGTCCATCTGGCTGGGTTTGCACAGTCTCCAGCCCCTACTATTCGCAATGTCTCCAGGGCACCGCACCACCGTCAAGCGCGTCCTCTGTCTCTTCTGCTCCTGGAGGGGGATCCCCTTCTTCATCGAGTGCCGCACCAGGAACTACTCCTACTCTGATCCCTGGTTACTCTTTCATTCGTTCTGTGGTGTGTATTCTCGACTTAACTTCCCGTCCTTGTGATTGTTCTGACAGCTGGCGCAGGAGGACCCCAACTATCATCAGTACCTCAGATCTGAGACAATCAATACCGTAGGAACCGCAGTCCTCGGCGACCCTGTCGACGCCGCGCAGTTCCAGATCCTCAACGGCCAGCTCGAGCAGATGGTCCCGGACGGAACTATCCTGTACGCTAATGTCGAGCCGCCCGCCAACTCGTCGGTCGTGAAGCTCGGGGTATCTTGGGACACTACGCCGGACACCCTTGGTACCTTCCTATGGGGAGGAGACACCGTCGAGTGGAACAGCGCGACAGTTACTCGGCCGCAGAACAATGTAAGCGAAAATTTTGTCATTTGTCCTATCAACGAGGGCTCATATGTATATGTCCAGGCGTGGCTTGTCTGCCCTGATGCCGCTGGCAACAAGTTGCTCTTCCTCAACCTTGGACCTTATGACTACGATACGCCGACGGGCTGCGCGGACGAGACCATCCATGCCTACACGGGTCCCTACCCGACAGACTGATTGATCGGTGCGCTCCGGGGACATTGGACGCGAGTTGCGAGAATATTTCTTACATCAAAAAGAAGCGTTATTCGGTCGATACTTATGAAACTGTCTCTTCTCAAGGCTCCTTCGTCGCAAATACCAGTGATTTTACAGCTGAGGCGGGCGAGTGCGGGCATCGTGTTGGCGTGTGCATGCGGGTCAAAATCGTACTCGATTAAAATCAAATTTAGGTGAAGTCGACATCGAAATCCGCGCTAGCCTGTGTAAAATGTGATATTCACAGTGGATCTGCATGAGGAGGAGAAGCTTGAGTAGGAGAAAAACTGCAAATTGCGATTCCCCCTGGAATCGGTATCTTGGGTTCGAGGTAGCAGGATAGGAGGGTAGATAGAAGCCTAACAGACGTGCGCAAGGTGCGTTGTACACCCAGCCAACCGGAGGTTGGCGGTGGGCGGCGCACCTTGCGCACGACATACTTTGAGATCCAGTGCATGGACTACAATATTATTCAATGTTGCAGTCTCGCCCGCAAAAGCACTACTGTAGAGCTACCGACGGTGTGGATAAATGGCATCGCGGCGCCGCTATGTACAGCAGTCCGCAGCAGGTTTGACTGTCCCAAATACTTCACGCTTATGTATCTTCTCCTTGGGGGTTTCCGAGTCGCACCTCGGGCGAGCGCTGAGCTCGCCATCACCGAACACGTGAGAATGGCGCATCGGACGTTGGCGCCTAATCTTGAGCGTGCGAGTCTGTTTCGTTCGTTCACAGGTGTGGTGCGCGTTGCATTTTTTGTCGCTGTTCACCAAACTATGTAACAGGATATAAATATTATTCTTCTGGTATCCCTCGCAGCGGCTGCATTCGGAGAAGCGTGCTGGACGCAACTTAACCGTGCGTTTACCTCCGAGTCCGAACTCTGATGATGTGAACCTGATTGGTATTCCCTCAATAGGTGGCACACCTTTGCGACCTTCTGAGGCTTTGAATCAGCCGATATGAATGAGTGCAATGTGCATTCTCTGTAGCCTACAGGACATCGTGCTATGACGAGGATGCTGTACCGTCCGGTGCGTCACGCGTCGCATAGCCTCCGGCCGCCGTTCTCAAGAGCGGGCGCCGCCGCTTTTCACATTCCTTTCTACTAAAGTCTATGTTTAAGATCGTTCGGGCCTGCGGCGCAAAACTTACGAAACAAAGTATGCATGTCTTTATTGCCGCTCTGTACACTACGGTACGGCCGCGCCTGGGCTGCCGCCACAGTTCCACCACAAGATTCCTGGCCGGTATCACAGGTCACCGTCAAGCTCCCCGTTCCCCCGGCCTGTTGGTATATTATCACATCACGAAATTGTCCCACAGTGACCGTATGGTTTTCATTATGTGCCTCGGCAACTGCTCGCCGGCCGCCGTTCTTGGCCACTCCGATCTTTTTTTGCTTACAAAGCTGTAATGAGGAGGCGGCAGGTTTTACTTACAACGCGCCTCAGGCGGTGGACTGTTTCATCCGCCCAGGCTATGCCGCAGATGCTTTCTAAGCTTGATGCATCAACGGTATAGCTAGACCGCGATGCAGTTAGTGAGCGCGTCGGGGCTGTTGGATGCAGTTAAAAAGACAGGACCCGGATGCCCTTCCTCTAGTCAAGAGCAACGTCTCACCATGCACTTCACACGAGCTTTCTCTCTACTCGCTATCGCTCTGGCGGCTCCAGGCTTCGCGTTCCTCGCTAAGCGGCAGCTTGGACCACCAGGGGGTCTACCAATTACTCTTTTGGATAGTCCTGGAAGCATCACTGCTCCTACAAATGGCACCATCATAACTGCAGGCCAGCCATTTACGTTCGACGTAGCAGTCCCCGAGTTTGGCCACTGTCATCCAGACTATACGCCCGTGAGCGTCTATGTCCTGGCCGGTCAGCCAACTACATCCGACTTGAATTCAACCTACGGGTTCAGCAACTACCTGTACTACTTCGGGGACTATGTGGTCAACAATTTCCCTGGTTGGTACTCCATACACCTTGGCATCTTAAACATAGTGGCTTACAATTTCTCCAGGAGGTCCACTCCCGAATATGGGTACGCCGCCGCCATCCAACTTGACATTGCCGGACCTCGGGAAATCGTACTCTGGACAAGCCGTATATCTGGCTACCATTGAAACCATCGAAGGTTGCCCGGTAAGCTCTGTCTCGTAGACTTCATGACGCGTATCTTGACCCATGACATCTATTTCAGCCCAATGGTTTCTGGGAGTATGCGATTGACTCCATTGCGCTCTCTTACATCGAGTAAATAGTCGTTATGGCTTGGAACGGGACGAGACGAGACGAAATGATGCTTGATTATTAGTGACCATCAGGAAATGTATAACGGCGCTGTTTATCTGTCCACCCACAATATCTCTCTTCTGTTCGCATCGCATGCCATACGGTAAGATTTGATTCGTGTGGTACTTACATCCCGATACTGTGGGCAGCTTCGTGGCAGGATAGGAGGGTGGATAGGAGCCTAATAGACGCGCAGATTTTGGCGCCCTGTCTTGCCGCGCCGCGCGTGCAAGGTGCGCTGCACACCCAGCCAACCGGAGGTTGGCGTTGGGTGGCACAAGCTTGCGCAAGATATGCTTTGAGACCGAGTGCACGGGCTACAATGTTATTTAATGCTGCAATCTCGCCTGCAAAAGCACCGTAGAGCTACCGACGATGTGGATAGATGGCATCGCAACGCCGCTATGTACAGTAGTCCGCAGCGAGTTTGACTGTCTCAAACACTTCACGCTTTTGTATCTTCTTCTTGGAAGGAATCGCACCTCGGGCGCGCGCTGAGCTCACCATCACACTCAAAGCATGGACGTGGGGCGCTTACACGTCGCAATGCGCCGTCACGTGCGCGGTTCATTTGCGAACTGATGAGGCGCGGCCGCCGGCCACCCGTTGCTTTCAACCACTGCCGACATCTTCAAAGTCGCACAATATGGAGGCAATGTGAGTCTCGTGTCTTTACGTATAGCTCACTCTCTACTCGTGAACCAGGCTGTGCGCGTCGTTCTGGGCCGCAGCCTTGCTTTCTTTGTGCATGACACTCCTTCAGCAATACATTACGGATTTCACGTAAACTAGTACTGAATCGGGCCTTCAGGCGCAAACGACTTGCTGTACAAAACGACTTATTCCCTCCCGGTGCCGCCGTTACCAAATCCAATCAAAGACGCGACAGACCCCCTTCGGTAATTGTACGTAAACGCGATGGTCAACGTTACAGAATTTTCATATATATAAACTGGCTCTGCAGTCGATCTCGTCCGATTCAACAAGCAGTAGCGTCGCCTCCACAGGCTCCGCCGAAGCAATGCTGGAAAAACGGTCATCTACTCAAGCCACCACTGTCATAATCTCTGACTCCGAGGACGGGAACGACGGGTTCGCTGATCCACGCTCGATCCATGAAGGGCATATTATTGATTGCACGAATAGACCTGTTCCTCTCCCTTCTCTGCAAGATGGCTCTGTGACTTCCAAGACGCCGAAGCCTGCAGGCAAGGCCACGCCGATCGCTGTGCCCTCCAACCCGAACCGCATACGCCCTGCCGATGCCCATCCTTCACACTCCGTTCCTGGTAGTTCGAGATTCACCCCAGCTGCCGCTACTTCAACTGCCGTCCCAACAAGCCGCGACATTTCGCGATCGACGTCAGGAAAGCCTTACGAAGACTTCGATCTGCATGCTGCCGATGATACATTCGAGTACGCTGTCTCAAAGGAAGATGCAGAGAAAGCTTTGCAAGATCTTATGTCGGATGTTGGGAACGACATAAACCAGGACATCGACATGTCTGAAGCCATTGTGCCCGGCTTTAGAGATGGCATCAAGCTTCTGCCTCACCAGGTCGTTGGGCGAAAATGGATGGCCGAACGTGAAAGCGGAAAACGCTCCGGTGGTATCCTTGCTGATGATATGGGGTAAGCATACCATCAAACATCTCGCTCTACTTCTGACCCTGCATCTACTAGTCTTGGTAAAACGATACAGACCATCACCCGGATAGTCGAAGGCCGAATCGATGATGCAGGTCGGAAGGCGGGCTTTGCTAGGACCACTCTGTGAGTCTCTTCCTGCTTTATTTGCTTTGTTTTTCATTCGCATCAGTGTCGTATGTCCTGTGGCTGTTGTGACTCAGTGGGCCGCAGAAATCAAGAAGATGGCTAATGGCCTGATCGTCATTGAGCATCATGGACAGAGCCGAACTACTGGTATGTATTTGATGCTGTCGGCACTCGCTTCTACTAACAAGTCTGCGCCGAAACAAGATCCGGTGAAACTGAGAGCAGCCGACGTCATCATCACGTCTTACAGTGTTGTCGCGAGTGAGCATGGTACCTTCGCTCCGGACATCAAGGACGAGGGCAAGGGTAAAGGAAAGGCTACCAAGACCAAGTCGGCAGTGGAGTCAGAAGATGATGACGATAGCGAGGACGAGATTGCGCGCCATCTTCAGAGGACTAAGAAGTCTGCTGCACGCGCACCTAAGAAGAAAGATGCGCTCTTTCACGTCAAGTGGTGGCGAATTGTCCTTGGTATGCTCCGCTTCTGCACTATATAGCCTGTGAACTCTGACTTAGTCTAAACAGACGAAGCTCACAACATCAAGAACAAGACGACGAAGAGTGCCCAGGCTTGCTACGCTCTGGATGCGAAATATCGCTGGTGTTTGACCGGGACGCCTATGCAGAACAACGTGGAGGAGCTGTTTTCGCTCTTGAAGTTCTTGCGTCTGCGCCCGTTGGACGATTGGAATGAGTTCAAAGTGAAGATCGCGCAGCCAATCAAGAACGGCAGACCTCAGCGGGCCATCAAACGTCTGCATGTATGCAACTAACCTTGTTCTCCCTTACATACCGTGTCTCAGTGGTTTTTGCAGGTGGTGTTGAATGCATGCATGCTCCGACGGACAAAGAACACGATTCTCAACGGCAAGCCTATTCTCGATCTCCCGGACCGTATCGTCAACAACGTTCATTGCAAGTTCGATACCGAGGAGCAGCACTTCTACGAGAATGTCCAAACACTTGTCCAAGACCGTCTCGAGACATTGCAGCGCCAGGGCGACATGTCCAAGAACTACACCAGCATGCTGGTTTTGTTGTTGCGACTCCGCCAAGGTGAGATGTCAGCTGGCTCTCTCGTGACTGCCGTTAACGGGGTGCATTCGCAGCATGCAATCATCCTTCGTTGGTGTCGCAAGACTATAGCAAGGACAAGGAAGCTGTTGAGCCGAAAGCAGCGAAGGATGACAAGGACATCGACGATGACGCAGACGAGCTCGCTGACCTCGTTGGTGGCTTGGGCTTGTCGGGGGTGACCAAGCGCTGCCAGATGTGCCAAGATATGTACGTCAGACGTGCTTTTTCGTGTTGCTTCTACATCTGACAGGCAATGTAGATTGACATCTACCAACAAGAGCAGCAATGGCGACGATCATTGCACGAATTGCGTCGAGCTCGTGACAAAGGCGCGCCGCAAATCCGTTGCAGCGAACGCACAGTTACCTCCAAGTTCCGCAAAGATTCGCAAGATCTTGGAACTACTGGATGCCATTGAGGAACGGGGGGAGGGAGAGAAGACGATCATCTTCTCACAGTTCACTTCGATGCTGAATCTGATCGAGCCGTTCCTCAAGGCCGAGGGCCTCAAGTATGTCCGCTGTAAGTAATTTAGCTTCTATCTGCGAGATTCACATTTTGATTCACTTCTCTTAGATGATGGCTCCATGACGAAACCAGACCGTGAAGAGGCCCTAACGAAAATCAAGACGAGCTCAAGTACGCGGATCATCCTCATCTCGTTCAAAGCCGGCAGTACGGGTTTGAACCTGACTTGTTGCAACAACGTCATCCTCGTCGACCTGTGGTGGAACCCTGCATTGGAGGACCAGGCGTTCGACCGCGCGCACCGGCTAGGCCAGAAGCGCGCAGTGAACATACATAAGCTGTCAGTGCCCAACACCGTAGAAGAGCGGATTATCGGGGTGCGTGGACGTCGTCTGGCGGTGTCTCTTGGACCTGTACTGATTCGTACCATCAGCTCCAAGAGAAGAAGCGGGCCTTGGCCGCCGCCGCGTTGTCTGGCGACAAGATGAAGAACATGAAGCTGGGCCTCGACGACCTCATGGCCCTTTTCAGACACGGCGACGACCACGACGACGAGTCGGACGAGGATTAGACGTCTGGATTTTCTGGCTTTCTGCTACTTCGTTCTGCCTTCTGTGCGCAACGACCACAAGTGCACACCGGCACTGCATCCGGCCAACCGTACCGTCCATCTCCCAGCCGCACATTTCTTGTTTCCATTATGCATATGCTATTCGCCTGCTGTCGTGTAGACTGTTTGATTTTCTTGTACAGAGTCAGGCCTAATCTACATTCAAAAATATCAGCGTCCCAGCATCGCGGCGTCGTGCTGTGGCTCCTCCTGGGGTAACACCTCGAAAACGCGCATCAGAACTCGTGGAGGTTCGCCGCTACTGCGCTGCTTCTTTCACGCATAGGAAGCCACATAAATTTCAAGCTTGAGGAAGATCCTATACACCCCCTGGTCGGTTGAAGCGGTATGTTTTAGCGTGTCCGGGTACAGACCGTGTCAGCGCATATTGCAACAGACGACGTTCGGATATCATGCGGCCGGCGGTACGCTGCGTGCTCCTCTTTCTAGAAGCGATAACGGGGGAGGTCTGCCGGACGCGGTCAGCCGCAGGCCTGCGCATCGAGCGTCGTCACCAGCCGCAGCGAGGCGACGCACCTGATTGGACGGGGGGAGGTCCGGCCTCTATGAAGTGTCGCGATCGGCAAGTGATTTTCACGGACATTGGCTTCAAATTCAGCTCGTGCGCGAGGTCAGTTACGCGGAGGGCCCAGGGCCAGGGCACGGTGCATCACATGAGCTAAATTTCATGCATGCACAACGATGATTTTTCACAGCTACACGACGATATCAATATGCACACGAAGACGAGAGATACGTTAAGAAAAGGAAGGGGGAGACCAAAGCGAGAACAGAGGCGCGACAGGTCCCTCGAGTCCAAAATCCGAAGGTGAAATCCAGCAGCTTGGATTCTGACATTGGGGAAAACGAGTGTGCGGGATACATTAAAAAGGATAGATAAGTCGCCTGGCCCTCCTGGCCGGCGGGAGCGTAATTGTACATCCACACGAGTCCATGAACGCGTCCAGAGAATAATTACTGGGAGGTGCGGGCTGCGCAGGGCCGGGCAAGTGCGCGCAAGCGCGTTCACACTGCGACGAATTTCTCCGGCGCGTCGTGTGCGCTCTTGTCCGAGTCGGAGGTGACCATGTCGGGCCACTCGGGGTCGTGCTTCGACAGGGTGCCGACGTCGACCATCTCGTGCGTCTCGACGTTGATCGTCACCTGCGGACGCAGCGAGCGGTTCGTCTGCACAAAGTTGGACATGCCCTGTAAGGTGCGAAAGAGCGCCGAGTCAGCACATCTTAGGGTGGCTCCAGGATTAAGAAAACACGTACAGCTCCGTCGTCCTTGCGACTCGAGCCTTGTTGCGAAAGCGAGTTGACCCATTCTCTCCTGGAGTTCAGACTCGACATGACCGAGTTGGTGTAACTGGTGCGCAAGGCATGAGCATTGACGCTGCTAATAAATTCTATCATTGTACTCACAGCTTGACAACACCATAGTTGAAGACTACAAAAAAGCATTCTGAGCCCTGAGCTTATTTGGCTGAAGCGGCGGGGTTACTTACTCATGTGGATGCCCGTTGGGGAGGCGAGATACGCGACAATGTGCGCGATGGTGAACGATGCGGTGAGCATACCGTTCTGGACAGTGGCTATCAATCAAGTTAGTATTGCGGGTACCAAGCGCAGGAACCACAGTGGCTCACTTCGGATGATCTTGTTAACGACAGTGTCTGTGTGCGCAAAACCTGTCTTGTGCTTGCGCTATTGCAGTCGTGAGATGAGGGTCGGGTTGATGGTCTGAAGCCGGTACTCACCAGATACATCGAGAGGGATAGAGCGATGAGCACGTCGCACAACGTGCAGGAGATCAGCCATGGAAGCGCAATGACCTATAGACGGCTGTCAGGACGCGTCGCGAAAGATAAAAAGCCTCAAACGCACGTCCAGCGACTGGAATTTACTGAAATCCTTGACAATCGTGACACCGATGGCCGTGCCGATTGCGCAAGCTGCCGGCGGGTTGAGCGGGCGGTAAGGAGGGAGGAGGCAGACGAAGACTCACTGCCGGAGACAAGGGAACTCAAACCCACAATCACTACGACCCACCACTTCTTCGTGAGGACCAGAATCCGCCACGCGTAGAAGCATTGCACCATCACGGCAGTAAGGCCCGCCATGGACTCCTCGGACGCGAATACTGCGGCGAGCGGTTAGCAAGCGGTCTCGGGCGGACATGTGGTATGGCGCGACTCACACCAATCGGCACTAGCGAGGGCATCAACGTTGCCAAACTGGTTGACGAGCGTGTTGTAAATCCAGGCAATGTTGAACGCGCTGTTTACGACATCGGACACTAGAAGGATGGCAACCTGGGAGAATTGTCATAGACTGTCTCGGGCTCGGCAAGCAGCATACTTACAAAGAGTTTCATCCATAAAGGATCCCTGATGAGAAGCTGCACGGTTAAGGGCTGAATTTTACGACACAGTGAATGTACTGGCGCACCTTGGAAATGTGTTGTAGTATGTGTTGACCTGAGTGATCATGACCCCGAGTAACCTAAGCGATTCATTCAGTAACAGTCTCCGGAGCGCATCCACTTTGAGAAATACTTACCCCACATTAAGGAAGATACCAATTAAACTAGGGCCAGCACTGGGGACATGGCCGAGCGTAAACGAGCGCCCAGGGGAAGACACGAATGGAATACTCACAGGACCTGAGCGACCTCTCCTCCTGGTGACAATCCCATGGTGGTTCTGCAGTGTACGACGGGTGGGCAGACCGGATCCTACTTGGATCAGCGGAGGGTCTGAAGAGTAATTATGGAGGGGGAGAAGGTAGAACTAGAGCCGGCCAGAAGAAGACCGAGCACTTATATCAAGGGTCTGAAGATGCAGACGGAGAGGGGACAATTAATCTACCGCTCGGGCTGTTGGACTTCATCAAAAACATATTTGAAAGTTGAACCAAAGCACCAAAAGGCATCGAACGCTCTGCAAGGGGCGTCGATGCCGTAGTCCACAACCCTATCTGGTTCCTACGCGACAGGGACTTGCACCGCCATCGGCGCGTTGTGTTGTTAGTGCTCTCAAGTCGCATGCTGCATGTGGGACAGCCTGGGACGAGAGATGGAGGCTCCGCGGTTTTCGCCCCCGCACGAACTGGCGGAAGAGAAAGGTTGCTGATCCTGATCGGCCACCGTCGAATATTTTGCCTGCATGTTTTTCCCCGCCGGTCCAAGTCCAAGCGGGCGCCAAACACTTGCAAACATTGTTCCACAACACGTCGGCCTGTAGCAAACGCCTGCCCGCGCGAGAGCGGAGTGGGTGCGGACGCGTCACTCGCGCATTGATCGTAAACTTCCAGATGTTCGTCAGGCTAACAGCCGCGCTCTTTCCTCTTGGCTTTTCTGCGTTACCGCGCCCGCCGTCACGCCCGCCGCCGCGGTCCTCGTCGTGGCCAGTGAAGAGGGCGTCGCCGGCGACACACCCGATCGCCCGACAGTCGCAAGCGCCCTCCCTTGTGGCGACAAAAAAAATCCGTGGCGCTTAAATTATGGCGGTCAGAAATTCCATCCTGTCCGCTGATTTTACTCAGCAAAAATCTCCTGGGCTGCAAGGCGTACCCGCTACACTTCGCTTCCTTGCACTCCTCGTCAATCGCTCAGACGTGTCTCGGGACACGTCGCGTCTGTAGAGACAGACGGTCGCGAACAAGTGTGCGCAATAATTATAAATAACAAACGTCCCACGCACCCTCGGCTTTCAGAGCTTCCGTAAAGCTCGTGCTTCTATTTGCCACGGCGTGCAGCGCTGACGTTGTCACCTTCCGCGCACCACGGGGACTGAGAAATTTTTGCGCTGGCCGCAGCTCACGTTTAGGCGGAAGGCCGGGCCAGGCCTGCCTAAACCTCGCGCTCTTTTTGCGACGGCCGTTTCCGAAAGAGAGAGGGCGACGGACGGCGTGACGCACCATGCAGACGCAACTCTTCTTTGCAACTCTTCTTTGATGGATAGTCTCGGCGCACGGGCTACATTGGGGTCGCAGGAGTATGTAACGTAAAGGGGAGAAGACCACAGCCGTGGTGGGTCAAATAAAATACACGAATGTCCGTCCGGAGAGACAGCAGGACGACCTTGGACGAGACCGGATACGGGGGAAGGCAAGCGAGTCCGACGCTGAGGAAGCAACGCAGGGTCCTCTTGGGAGGCGGTTTATCGTAACGGGAGGCCTGGTCGTGTGCTCTGCCTCCTGCCTGAAACCCGAGATGTTGACTTACAACTGCCGTTCGCATCGTATGACGCCTTGGACATCAACCCTTGGAAGAACCGGTAGGCACTCCCCGAAGAGCCACTCGAAGATCCATGATGGAACAACAGAAGGATCGTAGGCGAGCCATCAGTTAGCCAGAGTTGCCCCAGATACGAGAGGCTGCGGGAGCACCGCTGTACGGCGGAATAAACGCATGCTCGCCGTCCATGTGGGCGGACCCAGCGAAACGGAAGTGGTCTGGTTGGAGGCCAGTGTTGGGGAAGTACGACGGCCCACCCGACGGAGTAGTGAACACGTCTGCAAAGCCAGCGGGGCCGAGACGGTTGTTTACACTACTTCCAGGCGCGCCATACGTCGCATTCAGCACTGAGGAGCCGACAGCAGCTGGTGAGTTCAACGGCTCGTAGCGGTGCGCCGTCGGTAGCATGGCAGGCGGCGGAAGCGCCTGCGCACGTAGCGGTATCAGGGTGTCCGACGGGGCTCTCTGGTGACCACTGTTGACGATAGACGGCTGCTGAGGGAGCAGCGTGCGAGATGGGCTATTGGCGTAGCCCAGGTGAGAACTTTGAGATGGGAGGGGAGACTGCCAGGTGTATGATGAAGACGACCACGAGCTCTGCGTCGGTGGTAGCGGGGCGGCCGCACCGGATAGGCTCATAGTCTTCTGGGTGACGTACTGAGAGCCGTTGCCCAGGGGAACCCTGCCGCTGGAATAGTGGAGCGATGAGCCGCCGTTCGATGACCATATGCTATCGCTTCCCATGATAGGTACAGCTGGAGTCGATAATGTGGGTCGGTGGCGAGATGTTACCGTGCCAGGCGGAAGGTGGCCCAGGACATCCTGGAGTAGGTCTTGTGCCGTGAGCGGAGTAGCATTTGGTGGAGGACGCAATTCCGCCCGCGCAAATGGCGGTGACCGCGGCTCTGACCGACGGGGCGTGAATCCCATGTGGTTCCCGATTGGATCAAGCCGCGGGGGTGTGGTTGGCGGGGCCGTAACTATGGGATCTTGACGAGGAGACAGCGGGCTACTAGAGCAGTCGTTAGTTAGCACTATTAAAACGAGCCGAAAACAGTCGATGTGGAACGCACTTCGGTTGCCAGACAACCACGTCTTCGTCGTCGTCGTCGTCTTCATCCGACGCCCTGAGCGCTATTGCGAACGCATCGCGGACAGGATCATCATCGGTACGCGTGGTCACCGACTGGGCATCGTCTGCAGCCTCTTCGTCAACTTCCGGATCGCGCATTGCTCGTGATTGGGGCGCTGAGAAATGATCGACCCGTGCCGGTGGCTCATCTGTCAACACAGACTTCGGACGATCTGTTGCACCAACTGCTGCCTTTTTCTCTCCGGATACTTCTGATTCGGACGCCTTTACTATGGCAGCTGAGATCGACGCGTTCAGGCTGAAGTGTCCTTCAAGGAACGCGATAGGAGTATACTGCAGTGATGCTTCAGCACGTCAAGCGCAAGTCCACGCTACCAGCAGGCTTACTTCGTCCTCGGCGACCGCCTTCGCATCCGTCAGAATGTCCGCGATCCTCATCAGCTGCTCCTCATTTGGGTGGACTTGATCACTGGGCTGCACAGTACTGTCCTGTGAAGCCGGCAGTTCACCGTTGGCCTTTCCATTCTCCGATGTCGCGTGCTTTGCGGTTCCAAGCGGCTTGCCGTCTGGGCCAGCCATGTACTTGCGTAGAGGCAGAAACCCGGCCATGTCGACGTCCTCTTCCAGCTGTGTCCTCAGTTCCGGAAGCTTCTCCGCGGGGAACGCGTTGACTAAGGCTTCGCAGAAGCGCAAATACTCTCGCCAGAAGTCGTAGATGCCGCCAATAACAATCGCCGAACCGCCGTTGCGCTTATCCCTGCCCCTGGGCGTATCCTTCGTCCCGAATGGCTGCTCGTCGCCGTTTGCAGTGTTCTTAAGGCCCTGTGACAAGTATCGAGTGTTAGACCGCAGCCATTTTCCAGCCATGCGTAGAGCCGGAAGCGTTCGTCTAAAGGTGGCGGTTATACGCTGCGCAAGGTCACCCTCTTCGGCATCCTCAGGTGGCGCTTCAGCCAGCTCGACGGAGCCGTTTTCGAGAAGGACGCGGTGGGTGGCAAGCAGGTGAGTGACAATGTTGGACTCGGTCACGGCAAGACTTGACGGGCGTCGCTCGGCATTTGAAGGACGGCGAACCATGCGATGCTTCCAGAGTGCGCCTTCGGCGAGCACAATTATCTTGGAAATCATCTCGATGGGAAGGATGCGGTCTGCCACTAGGCTGGCGAAGTCTTCAATACCCTTCTCGCCCATAATCTTCGCCCTGCGATAAAGGAATTAGTGTATTGCCACGCGAGAGAGAAAGTGACGTACTCATCCACATTTCTACACCACTGTGCGTGCAGAACTGCCACCTTCTCCTTGAACGCTTCGACTCGCAGCCTTGGTGAGACGGTCTCGCTGTTGGCCAGTTCTTCCTGTGCTTCTGCCTCCCTTAGAAGACCTTTTGACTTGTACTGCTCCAGCGCCTTGGAAAGGACAGTGCCCAGATTCTCCGACGCGGTCTCGTAGGGCGTCCGCACACAAAGCGCACGGTAATAATGCAAGATAGAGCTGAGCGTATCTTTCTGATATGAAGACAAGATCGCCAGTTGGTGTGAAGGATTCCCATCGTGCGGAAACAGCAGTCGCGCCTGTTCGTAGCAGGATTGCGCACGATCATAGTTTCGGAGGCGCGGCAAGGGCATGTGGCTCGCCCCAGCCGCTCCGCCCCTCCTGCCACGCCCACCCCGTCCGGACATGGCAGCAGGAGGTCCATCCTCGTGGCCAGCACGAGGGCGTCCACCGGCTTCGTTGTATTGCTCCTTGTATCGTGCGATGTCTCCGAGGCAGACGAGCGCTTTGCTCAGGATGGCCATACGGCTCTCGCGCTGGGAGGGGCTAGCGGGAACGAGTGCATTGGTCGCCCCATGGTCGCTCTCTGGGGGAAACTGATGTTGGTTTCGACGAGGATACGTGGCACTGTCAGCTGCGGGCGCCTGGTCGTCTTCAGGAACAATTCCCAGTGTGGTGAGGGCTGGCTGAGCGTCGTCGAGGATGAAGTAACGGCACAGGCGGAACACGAGTTGCATCCAGAACTTTTCCTCATCGGCAAGAAACTGACGGAAGCGTTGGAGGAGCTTGCGATACTCCACGGTCCGCGATGAATGGCCGTTCTGATGTTGAGCTCCTCCTTGCCGTGAGGGATTGTGGATCGCGCGGTCGAGGGTAGCGATCCGCTGCTTGTAAATTGAGATTATGGCGTAGGAGGTTTGCATCCATAGATGTGTTTCGGCATCTTTGGATTCCTTCGAGTAGGGATGGAGGAACAGTAGACGAAGATACTGCCGTCGTAGACTGGCGAGCGGGTCAGTCGCTGCAGGGAGTCGCTGTGCGAGAATACGCAGCATACGCACTTCTTCCTCTGAATATCAATTTCTCTGTCTGTTATTTCGCGAGTCTTGAGAAGGTCTTTGAGTCCTTGTTGGAGGCCTTTGGCCTCCCTGACGTATTGGAGTGGGCAATTAAAGTCTCTCTGGACGCGGGTAGGGGGACGAACCGTGATATGTGTGCTGCAGCGTCCGACATACACCTCAATCAGGCGTCCTCAGCATGAACATTACTGGGGGAAGTGGGTGTTGAGAGTGAGGGGAAAGTAGAAATCATCGTCGTTCAAAACGACGAGCGCACATCCAGCATTGATTCAATCATGGCATGTAACCGGGGTATGGCGCCTAAGGCGCTTTCACAACTTGGTCTCTACCGCGGCGGGACCGGAGGCGAATTCACACAGCGGACATACTGATTGCACAGCACTATACATAATACAATATCTAGCGACAGAAAAAACACAGCGAGGAGCAGAAAGGGCCAAGCTGGAAGTCCAGATGGACCTTTCACAAGGATGAAGGGGGAAACAGGTAGGTGGAAAATGTAAAGGCGGAAGGCCAGACGGTCTCATAGGAGCTTGAACAGCCGGCAAGCTTGATAGTCCTTGTTGAACATGACCTCAACCTGTGCGTTGTGAGCAAATATCAAGGAAGGAGTAGCAATTTGACGCACCGGAGTACCAGCCGCCTTGCGCCCATACCCAGACAGATCCCAGCAGATCTCGGTGTCTGACCAGAATATCCTACAGGTAAAAAGTCAGCGCGACATTGCAAACCAGCGAACTCAATCATTGCTCACTGTACGTATCCTTCATTCGCCAACAGAGGGCTGTCCGCAGGGACGATTCTCCATGCTGCAGGCAGCTTCGAGACAGTCACCTTCGACCTGTAGCCCATGCCGGACTGCAACGTCGCGTACTTGTCCGTACTGTGTAGCTTTATCGAGTATCCATCTCCAAGAGGTAGTATCTCCCACTACAACAATATGAGCACGTGTCCCCCTGTTGGTTGAATGTACTCACCAGCCTAACACCAGTCTTTTCGAGCTTGATCTCGGGCCAGCAGCTCACCGTCTTGTTGTCTGGCGACAAACTAACATAGGTTCCGCTGGCCTGGTTTTGCAGCGCGTATACCCCAGGAGGTATTGGGCCTAGGTTGTGGTTGGGCCCAACAGACTCCAGGTACCATGTCACGAAGGCCGCAGCCTTCGCGGGGTCGTTGGGCACCTTTCCAAGACTCACTAGACGACCCTGTCCGCTGGGCGGAGTATCCCAACAGTAGTTGGAGATAGACCATGCAACCCTGAAACAAGAATTCAGAATAAATTACTCAGCAGCGGTCGTTTTTATCTCTCACCTGACTGCCTGGGTTGTATGGTCTGTGAAAGTAATAACCCAGACCGTGGGCACTGGACACAGGACCACCGTCTGCGACTGAAGCTGGTCGCCGTCCGCTATCGCACAATACAGTCCGCTAGATACTTGTTTGATCGTGTATCCCTGACCAACGCGAGATATCTCCCACTGGCATAATAAACGCGTTTATAAGCCCGTTAATGCTATAAGCTGGGGCGACGCTCACCTTGCCGTACCTCGAGGCCCTGTCCTGCAATACCAGGACATCGTCGCACAGCCTATTGTACACAGACGCCTCGACCGAATTCAAGTACTGGCCTGACACGGAGTCCTTGATCTCGTATACACCCTCTCGGATGGTAGGCGGGTTGGTTGTGTCCGGAGTAACGAGCATACTGCCTGCGTCAGAATAGTTCGTCCGCAGCGGGGGAAGAGGCGGTCTTGGGACTGCGCGCAGCATGCAGGTACTAGTTTATATGCATGACCTTCGCTGCTACTTGGCTGCTCCGCCTGTTTGTACGTACTCGACATGCGCAGCATGGCGAGACAGGTACAGATAATCAGCAATATAAAGGCGCCGTCAGATCAGGAAACGGTACCGCAGCAGCAGAAGCAAGACCCTGACGGTCAGTCCTGACCGTAACCTGAGCTGCGACGTGCGGGATTCACGCGGCGAATGAATCGAACTTCACAAATAAGTGCAGGCCTTGTGGACATAATACATGTTGGAGCCGCAGTAGACACAGCTAACGAAACATCGCGCATGCGCAGTCGAAGAAGATGGCTATAATACAAAGACTAGTCATGAGACTTACAGCTCGCAGTCGTTCTCGGGATTCTCCATGTACACACGCGGGAAGCGGCCCCATACTGACGGGACTTGACATGCAGCGCTTCAAGTCACCGCCCGTCTGTAGGTCGGGAGCCGTTCGGCGACGGTAAGGAAGCGGCTTGATGAACTGTTGAGGACGAAGGTAAGAGTGCCAGTTACAAGCTGAGCACAGGAGGTACGTACTCGAAGGGCTGTGTTTCTGCCGTTTGCGGTGAGGCTGAGCATCGCTGTCCTCTTCCTGGTTGCCCACGTTGTCCGGGGGTGCGCCTTGGGACAAGCATTTTCCCTTCTTCCGATTTGCTTTCTGCCTGGCATGTAGGCGGTCTCGTTTATTTTTGCGCGATGCAGAAACATTGGGGCGATCAGTGCTGGAGGGCAGCGGTACAGATGGCTCGGAGGAAGCTGTATCAGGCTGCGAACCAGTTTGCAGATGTGTACTCGGTGCCGAAGTTGTCTTGGAACATGTCTTACAAGAGCAGGGTGTGAGATCAGATTTGCCGTAGTCCAAGAGCAAAGACTGCCCCTTGAGAATGAACTTCTTGGTGGCCAGCAGAAACGCAGGAGTACCTGCCAGAGCAACTAACTACATAAATTCTGAGTAATTCACTGAGTTTAAACTAATATCATGATACCCACCTCACAGTTGGGGTTACAATCATGATTGACAAATCGAATGGGCCCAACCAGCAGTCTGGGGCCATTTTGGGGACCGGTGCTGCTGTGATGGGCATGAATCAGAACGAGCTTGAGCTTGGTGTGCTCTTCTGCAACGTCGTAGGACATGACCCCAGACAACTCTAGAAGATGTTGCCTTGGCCAGAGATCCTTTTTTCCACAACGGCAAACTCTCTGCCCTGGCCATGGGGAGATTCGTGTCGCTGGAGATTCACCTTGCGATCAGCCGCGTCGAGCAATGCATAGAGCCTTATAGCCCTGCAGCACAGATGTTAGAGAAAAAATACCGTAAGGTCACGGTACTTTGCACTTGCCATAATGCTGCTTCCCTTTTCCAGAATGGATCTCGTGTCCCTGCGTCAGTCCAAATCTGAAGTGTCTCTTCGACGAAGCGCGTCTCGGGGTCATATATTGTGAATTTTCCATCGAAGGGCTCCCAGCTAAGGAGAAATGCTTTCTTGCGAGCGATTCGCTCTAAGATATCCACGGGGATATCGGAGAGAGCCAATGGCGGCGGCTTTCGCGCGTTATACACGGTCCTAAGTCTGCCGTAGAGACTGTCCACGACGGAGAGGTCGACTTCTAGGATGTCATGATCACGGCAGCTGAAGTTTTTAGTGAAGATATGTTCTCGAAGCATGGTTTGGAGAGCGCCGTCAACGTCCTCCCAATCCATAACTGGCACTATGTTAGAGTAACGATCGGCCTGAGGGAAGAGCCGCTCACTTGCCGCGGTCGTATTCCCCTCAGTGCGACCCCACCCCGCAGTGGGCTTGAGCTCGTCGTCGGGCATGGGATGCAGGATTTACGCACAGGCTCAGAAGTTGCGTGGCAACGCCTTGGGTTTCGACAAAGTATATATCATCTGACCACTCACAGTTGAGCTAGTCTCCCAGAGGCAGATGCTTACGAAATCGAGCTAGCGCTCCAAGTCACTTCATCCGTTCTACTACTCCAGTACTCGCTCTTCTCACACGTAGTGTATTGTATTGACGTGTGGCCGCGGGGCTCTTCGATCCGGTCTTTCGAGCCTTTCACTCTCTGTCTTTTTTGGCATCGCAGGCTCGCGCCCCTCTTGTCCAAAACAGAAAAAGTAGACGTGCATGGAGGCTATTGCGGCAGCACCCGAGCGCCGTTCCCACGCGCGCTCTTCACACAGGGTGGTAAGCACGGTTTTTTTCTTGAAGAAACCTGACCAAAATTGGAGAAACAAGAACCAATTGTTCCCCGGTTGTACATTGGGGGAAATTGGTGTGTAAATTGGTGCAAAACCGGCCAAAAGGGGCTGAAACGCGACAAAACTAGCGGAAAAGGAAGTTTTGTCTCCAAGTGTTCTCGAATGAAAAACCGGTTAAACACAGGTTCTTGTTCACCTAGCTTTTGGTTGATTATGCAAGCAAACAAACTGCACCTACCACCTAGTGTCAAGCTTCATATATCGCAAGCTGACCAAATTTGCACATCGAGCAACCAGGGGACAACTAGGAGTTTAGGGCCATTTTGGGGGCCGGTGCTGCTGTGGGCATGAATCAGAGCCAGCTTGGTGTGTTATTCTGCAAGACATGACTCCAGACAACTCGAGAGGATGTTGCCCTTGCCGGCCACAACAGCAAACTCTCTGCCTTAGTCATGGGAAAATTTGTGTCACTGGGGGTCCACCTTGTGCCGGTCAGCTGCACGTAACGACACATAGAGCCTAATAGCCCTGCAGCACAAATGTTAGAAGAAACACCGTAAGATACTTGACACTTGCCATAATGCTGTTTCTCTGTGTCCTGCGTCAGCCCAAATCTGAAGGGTCCCTTCGATGAAGTGCATCTCGGGGTCATGTAACCTTAATTACGTATTGTGAAGGGCTCTCAGCCAAAGCACTTTGCTCATAAAAGCCAATGCGAAATTGACGAGATAATGCCTAGAGTGCAGTAAAACTGGCAGAAGGTGATTTTTTTTCAAGTTCAATGAGGATAACAAGCAGACTCCTGACCAGCGCCTAAGGGACGGAAGGTTTCTCAAGGAGATTATCAGGGTTGCTGATTATCTGCTATCACATAATTTCCATTTATATGTACTATGTCAGCAGTTTTTGCATCATTTTTCAAAAGCCTCCCGTCCCAAGGCAACTGGCACACAATGTTGGTGTTTGAGCTCGGCAATGTCGGCAGCCATCAAAAAATGATTTTGCTGTTTGAATTATCGAAAAGCAAAGCAGTTGGCGCCTCGCCGCCTGCTCAACCCTAGACAAGGGTTCAGTGGCCTTTCGCTCTTGCTTGCGGTATCTCATAGACTGTATCAGTTATCGACTCAATTCCTTCAGATTCAGAGCTGGCATATCTACTACAGCATCACACTGGCAGTTGCCTCCATCTTCTGTCCGCAAGTCAAGTGCTCTTGCTGAACCTTCGGAGCTTGCAACTTCTGCCTTGCTGCCACACAAGAGCCGGCTCTCTCTGCAGTCAAGATCTTGTACCACACTGCACCTGCCACAAGTCCGAGTGGAGTGATGCATAAGAGAAAGGAAGCAGGAGTGCAGAGAGTTAGCTGATGACACCTCTCATGCACTTTGCAGTGGCCCCTCGGCAGCATCCTGCCGCCATTGCGTTCGGCCATTTACAGTCTGGTGATTGCTACCGCCATCTTATCTAATGCCTGACCATGAAAGACGAGCATCCACAGCAATGACCGCAGCTCTGGACAAGGTCTTTCACAATGTCTTCCATTTGCACACATCTATGCCACACCTTGTGCAGGATCTCTCCCTTCTCAAAGATGTCTCTGCCTCCACCCCTTGCTGTTACATGTCGCTGAGAATCTCTGAGATAGAGTCAACAAACTGTTGCACCTGCTCTCAATGTTCTAGAACCTTGTCAGCTAATTTACCAATCTTGCCTAGTGCCAATACAGAAGTTTTAGTTTACAACTGCCCTAAACTACATTCCCTATATTCAAAGGGTTGTGAAAGAGCTCATGTTTATTGAGCACAGTGGCAGGGCAGATAGCTGAAGATGTACTCCCAGGTTAGGGTTGAGCAAGCGGCGAGGTGCCAACTGCTTTGCTTTTCGATAATTCAAACGGCAAAATCATTTTTTTGACGGCTGCCAATGTTGCCGAGCTCAGGTGCCAACATTGTGTGCCAGGCGCCTTAGAACGGGAGGCTTTTGAAAGATGACGCAAAAACTGCTGACATAGTACATATAAATGGAAATTATGTGATAGCAGATAATCGGCAACTCTGATAATCTCCTTGAGAAACCTCCTGTCCCTTAGGCGCTGGTCAGGAGTCTGGATAACAAGTCAAATCAAAGGTAAATGCCAGTGAGGGAAGCTCGTTATGTAATAGGCACCACAACAACAGTGTGGGCACTCCTATTTGTATCAGCCATCCTCCCTGGATTCCTACCACCATGGCCTTGCCCAATTATACGCCACGCAACATAATCTCTCATTCATCTGAGGATCTCAATTTCAATCATGACACGCTCCAAGGAGAGCATGACCTAGTGGCCTCGCTCAGGGTGTGCACTCTTCCCTCAAGGTTATTCGAGGTAAGATCCATGAAACCCCTGATGCCAACAATGTTCTAAGAGTAGGGAGTACAGGCAGCACGTTGTAATCTCACCTGTCTCAATCACTCAGCACTTTTGCAGTTGCAGGAGCATCTAATTAAGATGCTTTCTGAAGCTGACAACAACGGGGCTCGAGGTCTCGTAGATATCATTCCTGCCATTGTATCCTTTGTGCACGCAGTTCAGCACTGGGTTGCTACTGTGTTTAGTTCCAGACCATCTTCTGATAGCTTATTGCACCATGTTATGACCTTCATTGAGACCTGCTTCAAGGCTGCTTGTCCCTGCGCATTCCTATTGTGAGCAGCCTCATTTCTGATGCCCTGGCTAGTTATTCATCCTGAGAATACAGCGTGGATGTATGGTTTGCACTATCAAGACCTGATGGTGCCTTCAGTAGCCCTCTTGCACAATTTCTGCCCTGTTACTCCATTGCAATGTTTGGCTTCATACTGGCAGACCATCTAACAGACAGTCAGCTGGACAATGACTCAAGCAGGTCTAGCAACAGTTCAACAGATGAATCATCTTCACCTGCAACCCCTCCTACCCAGGAGCCTCTTCTGGCCTCTGTTTATGCGTCCAAAAAGCTGCTCCACTCATTACCTTCTACCTATAATTGGACACTTGATGAATGGTTTGATCTGCAAGAACAGCACAGAGTTTTAGAATATGAGTCCGAGGTCGGTCTGGACCTGCAAACATTTGTGTCTTCCAACACTGTTTTCACCTTGGCGGCTGATAGCTCAGCAGCTGAGGAGGTCCTGAAAACTGAGTTGTTAGCACAGCATGGGAGGAACAAGATCTGCAACTTTGTCGTGGCATCAGCCACTACTATCATGCAAGCGCTGGCAAGTGCACTGTATCATCGACACACTGTAGGGGTGACATTGCCTATTTTGGGCCTAGTTGTCGAGCCGGATAACCTGATGATACGGCTAGTGGTAGCCTGGGTTGATGACAAGCCTGGGACCCTATTTCTCGACCATCTGGTAAGGTAGTATTGTACATTGGTAGGTTTTGCTACTGAGCTTTTATGCAGCCTAGGGTCCATATTGCATGGGCTGCACAGACTGGACCAGACAAGCTACCATTGTTTGGACAGTATGACCTTGGTGATCTCCAATCTACATTGTTCTTTGCAATGTGCATGTTGGAGCAGAAGTCAGGGCTTGACAGCAAGATTTCTAATTTTGACTGTGGCTCGGCTGCTCCTGACATTTTCATGTGGTGAATGGACAGCGTACACCCAGTTGAGGGAGAACCCACTTTCAACCTAACAACCCTGTCACCTCTTGGGCGAGAAATGTCTCCTACACAGACTTAAACAATCTTGAGTTATTTTCCAAACCATACACCTCCAGATATTAATGTACCCCTGCTAGCGTGCTAATGGTATCTTTACACAGAATCCAAAACAACATGGAGTATGGTAGACATCAGCTCAACAATCAGACTCAAGGACAGTCACAGTATGTCAATGGTGCTGACGTGCTGCTTAATTTTCTTCATCAATTAATGGTGTTCCACAGAGCACAGGCTACTGCATCTCAGAGCCATCTCCCATTCAAAACCACTGGTGGTCAGCTGTCACAGTTCACCAGATTGCGCAAATGATCATCACATGCAAAACCACTTTTGTGCTTAAGGTGAGTCCATCTGTCTATCAAATCTACACATATAATCAGTGTGTGGTCTCAGGCTGGCCACTAAGGCTAGCCATAGAGACATTCCAAAACCAACATGGACATGGCTTCAAGATCAGTATTGCCTCACTATGTTGATCCCTCCCCACTGGGGGTACTGTCAGCCTACAACTCCATTCACCTTCCGGCTGATGAGCTTGCATGTCAAATGCTACAACTAGCTTCTAACACTGAAGACCACTGATCTTGTTCTAGTATGTTTGTTTAGTTATCAGCTCTATGCAATGATTAAAAACGGCGAAAAGGAAGTGCCAAAATTTGAACAGGAAGCTTTGCAACATATGGGAGAAGAGCTTGCATCATTTCTGCATTTCACAGGTATCTCTGATGATGGCCCACCAGAGATTGCAGAGAATCCACTGTCGACGTTTCTGCACAAAAACTGCCATGACATTCTGTGTGCAGCTTTGCATGCTCACAGTGAAGCAGAATGCAACAGAATGTGCTGTCACAGAAATTCAGTACAGGCAATCTTGGGATGACCTGTTGCACCTTTGCTTGAGCTGCAAGGAGTACTTAGTGTCTACACTGTGGATCTTTTTATTCAACCATCTGTTTTGTTGTGATCGGCCTGACATTTTATCCATAGGTATGAACATATCATCCACCTTTCTCGGAATGAAGCGTACAACCACACAGTATCAGATAGTTCAGCAATCAAATGGCCGTGGCAAGTTCTACAATAGCAACACTACCAGCCTAATCTACAACAAGAGTTTGCATTTTACAGTAATGTTCCGCGATTGGCTAACTTTCCATATGCTCAATGTGAGAATGCCCACGCTCTGTCCACCCTAGTTAAAGATGCTAGCTTGATATTCGCAGAAGAAAGCAAGAAGGATTTTGAAGCTATTAAGCACCAGACGGCCTCTATTATCCTCACACAACATATGCATGACGATCTGCTTACAGCACAATGTGACGTCCTCGGAGTATTGACAGTGCCTGGAGTCTTCCCATCTCCCACATTGCTCCTTTCTGCACCTCTTTGCATTGTAAAGACATTGAAAGCCCAAAGTGCTAAGGGCAGTCAGTTGCATAGCACTTCATCAGAAAACCCTCAAAGGTACAGACAAAGGCACTTACTCCTGGAGGTCTCAGAGCATGCTGGACCTTGATGGGATGATGGTACCTAAGTGCTTGAGCACCAGTGTGTGCTTAGCGCGCCAGGTGAGGCTTGTTTTGTTGTATTGGGAGCAGAATGCTTCATTTATGAGCATATATACCCATTGTATTTATTATATAAAGGTTCGTTGTCCTATCAGTGTATATCTGCGAGTGCTGATTGGACTCACTGAATGCGCCACTTGTCTCAGTATGAGTCTGCAATAATTCTTCGAGTTTGGTTGGAGGTAGAAGGCTCTTTGGTGGGGATTGAACAGTAACACTAATGTGTTACTTGTACCTGTCATTTGTATGCTCAGCTGCCATACCTCACAAAAATATTGCAGCTCACAGCTGCACCTCCATCTGTGACGAGAGCAACAGGTTGCTTACAGCTTGCCCTAAATTAAGATGACATAATAATGGATAAGCGCTAGTAAGTCATTTTGATCAGCGGATCGCGGCACTTCTTGAATCCCAACTTCAACCCAGACTCCTGACCAGCGCTTGTGAACGGCAGCTTTCAAAAGATCTTATCTGCACTAGTGTTATCTATCCCTTATCTTGTAATTACTATTTTTATTTACCATGTCAGCAGTTTTTGCATCATCTTTTGAAAGCTCACTGTTCCCAGATGACTGGCACATTATGTGAAGCACCATCAATCAGCAGCTTTGGCAGACCTCAAGAAACTTTCTCATCACTTTGATTTCTCAAAAAGAGAGAATGGTGCTTGCCACTATTCTCAGCCCTAGACTGGAACCTCCAGAGTGTGCCATCAATCTCATTGCCATTCCAGAGTCCAGCTTCTTTTAGAGTCAAGAAATTATATCACATGATAAATACATAGTAAATCCAGCCAATATGACACAAGAAAGAAGGAAAAAGCTAGAGGCAGTGAAGGTGAGCTGAAGTTAGCAGTACTTGAGTGCCGGATTGAGACTTCGAGAGAAGGTGAGAGAAGGTTTGTGGGAAGCAGCCGCTAGTGTGAAGTGTTGGCAGCCATGCAATACAATATGTCGATGTGTAGAGCACCTTCTGTGTGTGGCGTCAGGCAACATCATGGGAACAGAGGCTGCGGGCCTCTAGACATGGTGTTGGTAGGCACCTCAAATGCACATCACTTACACCATTGGGCAGCATCAGCCTAACCCAGCTGGCATACACCTCTTTTGTGCATCTTGAAGGAGCTGATTTCTTTCTGCACTGCTCATAGCCTGTGTCTTGACAGCTGGAGACCATGGTGCACTGTTGTTCCTTACAATGACACAGCCCAAGATGACTCCAACAATGGTGCAAATGCACCCATCGTGCTTGAACAGGGGATATGCTGATTTTTTCACAGGCCTCATAGCTGTGTACTCACAAGTCACATTCATGATGCAAGGATTGAGATGGGTTTTTATTGTCTAAGCACATCTTCTGCGATAGACACCCTGGAGGTTCCAGTCTAGGGTTGAGGATAGTGGGCAAGCACCATTCTCTCTTTTTGAGAAATCAAAGTGACAAGAAAGTTTCTTGAGGTCTGCCAAAGCTGCTGATTGATGGCGCTTCACATAATGTGCCAGTCATCTGAGAACAGTGAGCTTTCAAAAGATGACGCAAAAACTGCTGACATGGTAAATAAAAATAGTAATTACAAGATAAGGGATAGATAACACTAGTGCAGATAAGATCTTTTGAAAGCCGCCGTTCACAAGTGCTGGTCAGGAGTCTGACTTCAACCCTTCCTCCCACATCCACAATGCTAGCCATGTTGTGCTGTTTGGGGTCCATGGTCAATGCAAGCAGTGGGCAACATACCGGATGGATGCACAGACCACCAGCCTGCCAGGTGCATGTCCCACCAACATCACTGTAGAGCTGGTGCACACACAAGGCTGGTGTTTGACATAGGGTGCCAGAAGTTCAGCAATGCAGCAACACAAGAGAGGTGCCATCTTGCACAGAGGATTGACACTCCATAGGAAGGTATGTAGTATTAAACATGTTGCAGTATGTTGTCGGCTAATGCTTTCTGCTGTAAAGCTGCGGAAATTTTGGCCTCGTCATTACCGTTGCATCTGTAAATGGCGTGTTGGCATACTATCCCCATGTCACACTATACTAACACTAGCACTTAGATTGTGTGACATTCTCATACCCACCTTGTCAGGCAGAGAAGGTGATCAAGTACAGCAGGTCATTCCATCACCGTGATACCCGGGTGCATGCAACATCTCTGCCAGCAATGCCAGCAGCCAGAGCTCAACTGACTTTGAGCACATGCTGCTCCCCTGTATCTGGTGCATCACCTATGTTTTATACAGCTCGCATAAGGGCTTTGTGTATATATACATGTTTGTAGATAGCTTGTGCTTAATATAATGTCTCTTACCCTCTATTTATCTGTAATGCACATGTGAATCTTCTGGAGCAATCAGGTAGGTTGCATCACTGTCTACATAGTGATCCAAATCCAGTTAATTGTCATGCAAAGTGGTCCGAGCAGGTCCAGATCAATAGCCAGTGGTCCGAACCACTTGGGATGGGGGGACTCTGGTCCAATGCTCTCTATGGTCCAGAGGGTCCTGTACACTCGGGACCATTGTATTTTTTCCCTGATGTTCAATTACTGCCCATGACCTGGATTTAGGGCACGCATCGCGGCCCGATGATTCTAGGGACTCATTTGCAATCAGGCGTCCGACATTGCAGTGTATGTACTCAAGTCATATCTTGCTGGCCGTCCTGCCTAACACAGGCATGTTGTGTTGCTCTCTCCGCGATAAAGACCAGACCTAGATTAGCTCTGATATTGAGATGAAAGATATGACGATGGAACCAAACATGGCCCATATCTCACCAGGCCTTTGTGTTAACAAGTCAGGTAAGTCTCCATGACATATACATTATACGACAGTCCAAATCAGTTTTGGATATTGCAGAATTAGCATTGCATATCGCCAATCAAGAATTGTCTCATTGCAATTTAAAAGGTATATATTCTCCTGATCTCAGCTTTCGCTACCCATGCTGACCTAAGAGTTAACAGATAATTCTGATGAAGATCTTTCGTCTAACTTACTTGTCCCATTTTTTGTGGTCGAGTACAAGAAGGACATATCGACTCCTAAGTATAAAGGAGCAAATCAGCTGCAGATACATAGTGCTGCAATGTCCAAGTTCCTCTCACGTCTGGGCATGACCGACCTGCCAGTGTTCAAATTGCTCACAGATGGCACAGTCGGCATCGTCACATGCGCATTTACTGTCAGTAGATCTATCAACAGCATGGGTGAGCAGCACGATGTACATTCTTCTTCTTGCATATACGGCATGCTGCTGTTGGCTCAAGATCCTGTTTTCAGCTCCTCATTACACATATCATGGACTGCAATCTGTTCACATTCAACATCTCAAAGCCCAAGGATGCACTCATCTTTGCCGTGTTTCTATTCAGGCTGTCGCATGGCCACGTACCAAAGCTTGTTGAAGCTCTCAAAGTTCCTTGTGACGGCATTCGCTATTGCAGCCACAAGCTCCTCAAGTGGACGCAGACTGCCCAGAACCCTAGACCGGCTACTACTCTTGATCCAGTACTTGAGATGGAGGATATTGTGTAGAGCGATCTCTTGCATTGTATAACAAGTAGCCTGTAATCTGCCACTGGCTTTCTCACTATTCTGTAGTAATTATCTTCTCAGTTAAAACTTATGTGTATATATCCACTTGTCCATAGATTAGAGGATAGTTCTCATAGTCTAGCATTGGTACCCCTTTAATAGCAGTTTGCACAGACACAATGGGCAAAACCTGCATCCAGTTCTGCGCAAGGTGCAACTGGACACCATCTCCAGTAGCACATCCAGTAGCATATCCAGTACCACACCCAGTCATGCAATCAGCCATGGGAATTACTGTTCTGATTCCCCTAGAATCAGGTTGTGGACTGAACCGTGCAGGCCCAAAAGTCACGTGACTATCAGCCATTGCACCCAAGCTTGCGCTAATAATGTGCCAGCTAGCATCTATGAGTCTAATTCCCAAGGCACGAGCAAACTCGCCGTTGCTCACTCGAAACCCACAAGCGTCACGAAATTTAAAAGATTTATTGCTCTTGAAGGCGCATTGAACATGTCCATATATAATTTAATGCTTACAAAATTGCCCCTTACCAGCTATGCTGCTGAAAAGTCATCCACTCTCTGGAGTGGTTCTGGTCATCTGAAAGTGGCACGGCTTTGTAAGCAAAGCTTCTGGCTGTCTACTGCTTCTGGCCCACTGCACCCATCCTATCAACCGTCGTAAATATAATCATTTTGTTGACACGTTCTGGCACCTATGTGTGCAGTTCCCAAGGCATGAACAAACTTGCTGTTACTCACTCACAGCCCGTGAGTGTTATGAAATTCCTTCATTTTATGGCTCTCAAAGGTGCATAGAACATTTCTGTACAAAATCTGATGCTTACAAAATTACCCCTTTCTAGTTATGTGGCAGGGAAGTCATTCAGTCCCTGGGGCACTTCTGAACATCTGAAAGTGGCACGTCTTCACCAGTCTGTCTAATGCACCTGGCCTACTGGTTGTCGCCGGCAACCCTCAACTTGGTAGCAACCTGCTGCCGTGCACTCATCCACCACTCCCTTTTTCTGGGGAGGTGTGCAGCGCACTGTGCTTTGCATAGCTAGTGAGTGTCCCCATGCCATATTTTACCTTGCTTTTCTAACCACTTCTGCTTCCATCACAGGGCCAAGACCAGAGCCACAACCAGAGCAGTGAAGGCAGGGAGAAATGGGCTAGGGTCAAGGACAGCAAAGCGCTCGCAAAGTTGAACACCTACAGCAAAAGGCCAACGCCTTCTGTCCGCTCTACTGTATCTGCCATTAGTGAGCGAAAAGCAGTAAGTGCAGCTCTTGTTTTTGTTGTGACATTACACACATGATAATTGGCTACTGCCTTCCGCTAGCCCTGAGCCTGTGCCGTGCCTTGCTCATGGGCAGCAATTTGGGCCCGCACTGCGCTGTGTCACAAAAACACCTATTGCAGCACCACTCGCTTGCACAACTCATGCCCCAGCCAGTGCAGAGACTGTTTGCAAAATGCAACCTGTTCACCTTCGCAACCCCAATTGAATGGTACACTGGCCTCCTTATTGTTTGGTAGCGACGATGTGCATAATGACCCTCTGTATATGTTAATACTTATGCAACTACCACTCTCCAGCTACGATGCTGGAGAATCAACCTGTCTACTGCATCCGGCCTACTGCACCGAGCATTGGACATTTTGCAGCTGTGTGTACCTGTACCCTGTACCAGACCATGTATGACTATCCACCATTGCAAATATGAGGTCATATTCATTTTAAGTGCTATGATTGTCCTGAACGACACTATGCAGGGGAATCGGCAATGGGCGCTCGACGCCCATCTTCACGGGTTCCGATTTCCCTAGAATCGGGTTATGGACTGAACCGTGCATGCCCAAAAGTCACGTTGTCATGCACCATAACTATAAGTATAGGAAAACTAAAGAAATAATAGGTATTCAAATCAAAAAGAAACCGCTTACTCAGAGCTGCAAAGTAAGCATAAACACTTAAGCTTACTAAAAGTGAATCAATGACTAATAATATGACTCAGCTTCTTAGTAATCTAGAAACTATGCTTAGTAAAAGTGAATCAATGACTAATAATATGACTCAGCTTCTTAGTAATCTAGAAACTATGCTTATTAAAGGTCTATGCTCAACAGCTATAAATTACCAAAATATAGTAATACTCTAACAAACATTAGTAATAGCTTACCAATACATTAGTAAAACAGACAGAAGGCTGACTAATACAGACAAAATGCTTATTAATAAAAGTAGAAGTAGCTTAGTAATTACAGTAGAATAGAAGAGCCAGTTTTGCTATTGGCTAAGGAACAACAGGCTGAAAGATATAAATAGGAGAGGTTCTCTGAGAGCAAAAAGAACATGAACACACCAACCCACCAAGCACCACACACACTCTCAAGGATTTAGCTGGCAGCAAACCTGCAGTTAATCCCCTGAGCTCTTTAGCTCTCAGAGAATAGACTCCTTTTTTTAAAGCCTAGGAAATTCCTTAAGCACAGTAGAGCCTCTGACTTTCAAATAACCTGAAGGGAAACGCCCTTGGTATAGTGCACGAGTTCACTATTTGACTAACCCTAGACTGCAAGAGCTAGTGGCGTCATTATTTGAGACTGTGGTACGTCTCCTGTAGAGCTTACAGTAATTAGACTAGCAGTAAAGAGATTAATTCTATTCTTGATCTTCAACTCTAAATTGGAAGCTTCAGACTGCTTCAAGTTATACAAATCCTCTAAGGACATTAAATTGTCCTTACTAGCCAAAGCTTACTAAGTTAACTAAGACATTAACTTGTCTTTGTTACCCTCTTATCTTACTTATCTAAAAACCCTATTCTATTAACCCAAGTAGCTAGTCCTTAAGCTACTAACCAAACCTTTTTGCAGCCCATCTTCTAAGATTCCTTGAAAAAGTCCCTTGTAACAGGCAAGTGAGGTGTTAGAGTACTTAAGCAGATTAGTAGGTGGTCTTTGAATTAGTCCCCCACGAACACCAGGATAGCTTGGTTGAAAGGCTAACTCAGTGAACCCTGGAAAGAAAAGATTGGGAAAACCAAATCTAAGTATTCCATACTATACCCTTCTTGCTTTTAGTTTAGAACAGACCAAACTCCATTCTCTTTTATTAAAAAGTAGCCTTCTAGGATTTCTCCTAGAATCTTCTTTATACCAAACCTCATTTTTATTTTTTACTTACTTTTCTTATTCTAACCTTTTCTTTACGACAACGTGACAATCAGCCATTGCACCCAAGCTTGTCTTAGTGCCCCAGCCTGATGTTGCGTAACCTGAGCTTGCGCTAATAATGTGCCAGCTGGCGCCTATGAGACTAATTCTCAAGGTACAAGCAAACTCGCCGTTCCTCACTTGAAATCCACGAGCGTCGCAAGATTTAAAAGATTTATTGCTCTCGAAGGTGCATCAAACATGTCTGTACATAATTTAATGCTTACAAAATTACCCCTCACCATCTATGTTGCTGGAAAATCTTCCAGTCCCTAGGGTGCTTCTGGTTGTCTGAAAACGGCATGGCTTTGTAAGCAAAGCTTCTGGCCATCTACTGCTCCCGGCCCACTGCATCTGAGCCTTTCAGGCCACCGCCCTCGACGACATCCTATGAACCGTCACTCGCGAGACTGATTAACTTCAACAACGGCCATGATTGGACAAGTGTAAGTGCCTCAGGGCTAAATAAAGGTCCAAAAATTAATTGGTGAGCAGATATCAAAATTGCGAGTGACATGGTCAGGGCCTCACCGCACGAGAGAGAGCAGAATGCCACACTCATGAGAGATGGCTTGTGCTGCCATATCCTTCATGTCATTGGGAATAGCATCGACAGGCATGGTGCGTGAGTGGTGTACTGTACTGTTCAAGGTATTGTTAGCCATTGCAGAACTAGCAGATCACAACTGGAGACCTGACCTTGTGCGGAGCAAAAGGGGAGTAAAAAGAACTGTTCACTCTGCCTCCAGCTTATAGGCATTGGCGGTGCGGGCACAATTGCTCCACTGCATGGAAAAAGATGAGCCGTCCAATGAAAGACCCCTGTTCCAATTCCCCTGAGCTCTGGTTACAGATCTGCTGGCAGTCAGCCCTAAACAGTGCATGTCGAAGTATGGTCCGTTCACGCTCTTGGGCCAGCCTGTTAGTGTGTCGGCTGGGCAATCTCACTGTGCAGAACATTGCATTGACTGTAAGTTGGTTGCTGTCATTGGTACAAATGCTTAAAATTGTTTGTAGCTGCACTACAATAAACCTGGTTCATTGGCTACTTCCAGTATGCTCTTGTCCACAAAAGTGATGGTAACAGCTCCTGAATATGCTGTTAAAATATTGACCATGTAGTGCTCTGTAAATGAACCTGCAATGAAGAGATCTAAGAATTGTGTTATCGCTTGCTGTATCTCTGAAGACCATCTGAAGTGTTGCTTGCCACAGTTTACGGCAAGTGCAAGCCGTACCTGTTTGATGCGGGCTGTAAAAACAACATTGAAAATCATATACCATGGTAGACTTCTGACTGCGTGGACAATCACAGTAGGTGCAATGTCCCCTGCTACCATTGATGTTGCAAACATCTGAAAACAAGCTGCCTTGCCCATTGCGCTCTTCCACTCCATGACTGTCATGAACTATGTCTCTGTGGACAGCTTCAATGTTGCGTATCCTTACATGTTATTCTCTGGTGTCAGTGTCAAAGCCTCTCGCCACTTGACCACCAGCGACTTGCACAGCCTTTGCAAGTACCATGAACATGGATACATTCTACTCGACAGACCTCCTGCTTTTGTCTTACCTGCTGCCAGCACCACCTGCTTGAACGATGGTTACTGAGTGCAGTCCATGCATCGCTTTGGTGATCGCTTCTCTCTCAGGTTTTCCTTTGAACGTGAAGGACGAGGCAGCCCTGTCTACGAACACGGTCCACATCCCGACACCATTGGTTGGAGACGTGAAGGTCTAGGCTGTGGTTCTTTCAGTTGCCAAGGTGCCATCCACCCTTTGACATACTCTACGTTGATCATAAACTAGTTATCTTGACCAAGTGTACGTAACGATTTTTGCTTAACCTGGACAACTATTTGATTGTGAGGGTGACCACTTTATTTGAAGCTGCGTGACATCTGCGCTGCCAACCATCCTGAGGCCACAGCCGTCATCGCGTCGGCCTGGACTTGGGTGAGGTGAAGGGTTCCTGTTTGGCTGATATTGCGCCTGCATGCGACATCTGCTGTCTCAAGTTCAAAATCATATATATTTTGAGTGCTATGATTGTCCTCAATGGCACTATGCAGGGGAATCTTTTGCACCTGCGTATACCAGTTCAAAATCATATTGATTTTCAGTGCTATGATTGTCTTCAATGGCACTATACAGGGGAATCGGCAATGGGCGCTTGACGTCCATATCCACGAGTCGTGATTGGCAGAACCCCTTGCATGGGATCATGTGATGCATGCGCCCAGCGCTCAGCACGCAGTGAGCAGCGCCGCGATTTCCGGGACCACATCCTCGGCGAGCAAAGAGCTATGGCGAGGAAGGGTTGGACGTTCCCTTCATTTGACTAACGGCCACAGTGTCGATGTGCACGGGCGGAGGGGTGCTGGCCCCTGTGAATTCAGCAGCCAGCACACTCGATGTCGCATGAAAGCCTCTCAATCTGGCAGATAGCCTTGAGAATGCGCGCGGAATATTGCTTATCTCCCATCATGCCATCACGCTGTTCAGCCGGCATCTGAGAAATAAGCTGGCGAAAGAATCTGAGAATTGCTTTGGACACTGACACAACTTCAAGGGTGGACAGTGTCGGGCACTGGGGCGGCGCATCACTTCTATTTTTAGTAGGGGTTCAGCCAATCACGACAGTAATTCCCACGGCTGATTGCGCGACTGGGTGCGGTACTGGATGTGGTACTGGATGCGCTACTGGAGATGATGTCCAGTCGCACCTCGCGCGGAACTGGATGCGGGTTTTGCCCGTTGTGAGAGTCTTAATGATTATGGCTTTTGAGAACACGTACGAGTTCCAGACTCATAGCATCTGCCTCTCAGTCTGATTTCGAGAAATTACCTCCGACTTCTCGCTGCAACAGCATGTTGCAGGCGAAACTGCAGTGGTGTCGAGATGTGAGGCTAAATAAAGAGTACATGAGAGCTACGCTAGTACAACACAGTCCAGTGTCTGTCCGGGGGTGCCTGAATGACCAGCCTATTACTAGTGAGATGTAGGCGAGATATTACACAGGAAAGATACCAATACAACCGTGCAGACTACTCCTTTAAATTTCCGTCTCCACGTCGGGCTTCCTGGTCTTCATCGCAAACCTATCTTTTAAGTGGTGAACGCTGTCTTCGACATTGTCTTTCACCCACTCAGCCGTCCGCGCGGGCTTCAGCTGCATGACACCCCGGTGCTCTTTGTGAAGCTCTTTCTCGTGCTGGCGCCACTCCTTGAACTTCCCAACGACACCCGTCTTCTTGCCGCCTTCATCGTCGGCGTCGTCGCCACTCTCTTCATCGCCGCCACGTTCAGGATGCTCGTTGAGCTCCTCGTTCTCGACCGCCTCGGAGGAGACCATAGTGTTGATCCCTGGCTGTGAGGCGTCTTCCGGACGATCTCGGCTGCCAGGCTGAGACTCGTTGGTCTCATAGCCTCCCGAAGGACCATTCGCGACAGGTTCTTGGCGACCGTTGGCATCTGCACCGTGGACTGCACCGTTGTCGCTCCCCTGCCGCTTCTCCGCCAGGTCCTCTGGCCTCCTCTCCGGATTGCGATGGTCCTCGCTAAACTCGCCGACGCTCTCCCTCAGCCCGCCCTCGCGTTCTCTCGTGAACGTCTCCCACGCCTCCTTGCGGTGCGTCCCGCCGCCGTCCATGAGCCGATGGTGGAGGTCCGAGATGCCGGGCTTGAACACGAGGTGGACGCGCACGCTCCCGACGCGGCGCACCTTCTTCCTGTCCTCGTCCCACGCGTCGAGGTTCCCGTCCGGCGGGCTGTAGTTCATCTTCAGCCGCGAGTAGTTGCCGTCCGTGACGTTCCACAACGGGAGCTCGAGCGCGCACTCGTCGTTGTCCGCGACGTCGCGCAGCCAGAGCACCGCGAGAGCCTTGCGCCCCGCGGACCGCGCGCCGAGCACCGACGCCGTGGACTTGAAGGACATGAGCAGCGCGGAGCCGTAGCGCATGCGCACGGGGATGCGGGTCAGGTTCGTCTCCTCCGAGTCCCAGCGGACGGAGCCGTCTTCGTGCGGCTGCGCGTTCTTCCTCGAGACCTTCTCGTCGGCACCGGACTTTGTCGTCTTCAGCCTCACTCCGCACTTGGACAAGTCGAGCGAGATGTTCTTGTTGAGCTTCGCCGATAGGTCGCGGACCTCAAGAGTTCCGGTGTCGAAGCCACAGAGAGTTGGCGGGAGCTTGGCCTCTACGGGGCGGAAGAGCACAGATAGGCGGATACGACCGTATCCCAAGCCTTGCTCGAGCGAATACAGTCGTGTCAGCTGCGAACCATTGACGAGAAGCTCGGACAGCTACGAAGAAGATGAACACGACGCCAATGAGAACCATTGGCACTAACTCACTTTCAACATGACAACGCCAAGGACGGCATCCTTTTCCCGGACCCGAGAGTCCTTGACCGCCACGGTAACATGGGCAGTCCTCCAATCTTTGACGAAGCGTTCAGTACCTGCGTTGAATATCGGTGTGCTTGTGATCGGCTTGACCCGTGTCTGATAGGCCAATTCATCATTCAATGAGCTGCAGAATACTGTCAGTGAGAAACTCGAAATCGAGTAGGTGGTTTGCTTACATGGTGCAGTACGAGGAAGGAAGACCTTCAGCTTCTTCCACTTCCTGTGCTTCCTCGTCCTGACCCTTCTCGCCTTCCCTGGAGCCCCCCGTCTTGGCGACGTTCATTTCCCGGCCTTCCTTCTTGATACCAAGCCCGCGGATCTCGTGCACCTGCACGCTCAAGATTCCACTCGGCCACTCCGGGTCTGGCGGCGTCACGAGCACAGCGGCCTCGAGGTCGTTCAGCGCGATCTCCTTCGCGTTCTTGAACTCTTGCCTGTCGCGGAGGTCCTCGGGAATGCCGGGGTCCTGGCCGTCGCGCTTGAGGCCCTCCGTCGGCGGCCGCTTGGGGTAGTAGCCGACCGTGTACTCGAGCACGCCCGGCACGTGCTTGCTGTGCGGGTCGCCGAGCTTCGCGACGCGCCGGTGCGGCTGCCCGCCGTGCCGCACGAGGTCGATGATGTCGGCCTCGGCGATCCCGAGCAGGTCGTCGACGCTCATGCGGTCCGAGTCCCACAGCTGGAAGCTCAGCTTCTCGCGCAGTCGGATCGTGTTCACGTCGACGAGCACTGCCGCGGTTTCTTCGAAGACCGGGCTGCAGTCGCCTTTGATGATGCGTGTAGAGTAGAGTGGCTTGCCGAGGCGCGAGTACGTCAGCGTCAAGTATGGATCTGCTATACAGGGCACAGTGAGCAAACAGTATGTGTTTGCTGATAAGTGAAAGTACGAACCCGAGCCACCGTCTGCGTCCGCGCGCTTGACATCCTTTGCTCGGTGTATGTGTACGATGAACACACCGATCGCATCTGTGTCTTTCTTAATGTCGTCTCCGCTGATGAGCCTCTGCAGATCGAGAGTCAAGCTCTTTGGAGCAACATATTCGGCAACGGCGGTATCGATAGAACTGGAGACGAATCCGGAGATGAACGGAAGGTTCATGACATTCGGAAGGGCCCTGCTGAGAGCAACAACGGAAATCGTGATGCGGGGCAAGCCCATCAGTGAGATCATGGTCTTTTTCACGCTGTGTGCACGTCAGCAGAGGTTTTTGCCACAGTTGCAGAGGTCATACTCACAAGGGCGGTTCTGAAATGAGCTGCAATCGAGCTCGCGACGTGCCGATCATACCGGTGACTTCCACCCAGACAGCTAAAAGTAGTCAGACGGTATGCCTTAGCGGCAAACTATCTCAACTCACGAAGTTTGAAACCGTACCATCCTTGCAAACCGAGGAAAAATTCTACAAGTAAACTTATGGGGGTATTCAGCATCGTCGTCGACAGCATGTAGAGTGCTTATTCACTGGATATTGCGCGCCTTGCTCTTCGCACTTTTTCCGCTTGGCAGGCCCCGGTAAGCAAAAGATACTTCTACATTCACGTGTTGCTCGTCTAGTTCTTCCTGCTCTGAGGGATCTTGCTGTTGTTCGTCTTCCTGGTTCACCTGTTCGCGAGGCTTTGTGTCTGGTAGTGAGCGGACGGCGGTGATGCGAGCTGCGTTTTGACCCAAATCGACATTCGCGATGCGGACAGAATGCTGTGCTCGTGAATCAGCAGTTTGCCTTTGAGTCGCGCTGGGGTCAAGGTTAGAACGTACCACGAATTTCGGCACAGAGGCTTGCATAATATCCTCCAGCGTGTCAATCAAAGAGCCGAATCTATGTGGCATTTGTTAGCATCAGAGGAAGGGGCGATACGCGATGCACGTACAGATCAGGGTTCATAATTGGCCAGACCCCTCGCAGAACGGCATTCGCCCATTCGGCACTCTCTTTTGTCCTTTCTTCACAGCCTACTTGACCATCTCCGTCCGCGTCATCACCAGCACGCATTCCGCGAAGTCGCTCTGCATGCCAGACACGATCGTCGAAATCCATGCGGGCGATGCATTTGATCCGAAACAAGAGGACGTATGCCAGGGCAGTAGGAAGAATGAGGGCTAGCGAAGATGTGACCAACGAACTTGCGAAGATGTGGGTCAAGATGAACGTTGCTGTGTATGCTGCGGCGATAGCCATGACGCATGGAATGACTTCAGAAAGGATGCGCTGCTTGTGCTTTCCCCAATCTGCGAAAAGTATCATGTCAGGATAGGCCAGAGTACAGGAGATTGAGCACGCACTTGGAGGTGGAAAATCGTTTTCTAGCACGTTCTCTCCTCTATTCCTGGTGTCCGGCTCCTCGTCTGCGTTCCTAATGTCCATCTCCTCCCCCGTGATGGGGTCGACTACGTGCATAACGTAGCCCTTGGCCAGTCTGTGGGCGCGCTTCTCTGTCTGCTTCTGGTCCTGCGCACCACTCTGGTCTTGCAGTTGCGCTGCCTTTGCTTCCGTGGCATGTTCTGGGTTGATGAGAGCAGACAGCTTTGTGGCTATCTGGGGCACGGGGTTCTTCCCAGAATAAGGCTCCCTGAGCTTGTGAGCCATCGTTAAGGTCGTGAGTCGTCTGTGTTGCAAATATTCAGTGTTGGGCAAGCCTCTTCGGGGAGAGCGACGCACGAAAGTGTGTTACAAACGAGCGATGTGATAGGATGCGGAGGGGGGCGGATGTGAAGGTGGTAAATGTGTGGTCGCTTGGACACGACGATGAGGTTAAGTCATGGTGGATAAGTGGTGAACGCATGAGTGAATAAATAGCTGATGGCATCACACCGGTGGAGACCTCGCTGCGTGTTTCGTGCACACGACAACGGTGACAACGGTCAACTGCGCCACAAAGCCGAGTCTACCAGCAGTGACGTAGAGCGGCGCTCCTAACCTTACTTCCGGGTTACAACCCGGCCTAGCGTCCGCCGCCGTTCGCCATGCAATCCTCCACCGGGGGCACGCTCCCTGCAATGAGTCGGGGGACCTGCAGGCACATTCACTACGCTATTGCCAGTGGTCACTGCGTCAGTCAGCAATTCAGCGGTTGTACGCACCCGTGAACTCAGGTGCCTTAAGCTGGTAACATGCTGCCGCTACCATGGGCTTGAACTCAAGGCGCATGGCGTACAATCAGAGAGCTTTAGCCTAGAGACAAGGTAGCATTAACATTGGAACTCTGGGCGCCCGCGCTAGTGCAAAACGTCGAGCGCTTCCGAAAGTGGGAAGAGGGCGGAGCGCCCGATCGCCATCAAGTTGTATGCGGCGGCGGACTCTGGGTGTCGTGCCTCCAACGTTAACGTTCAACTCTCGCTCGTCAGATCTCCACACCCTCATAGCTGACTTTCATACCATGCCCGACGTTATCCTTGTTACCGGCGGCACTGGTCTCGTTGGCCGTGGCATCAAATGGGTGATTGAAAACGAGCCCGAGGGATCGCGCTTTGGCAAGCGTCCTGGCGAGACCTGGATCTTTGCATCGTCTTCTGAAGCCGACCTCAAGTGAGTATTATATCAATTGCGGACACTCAGTGCATCTGACAATCTGTGCGTAAAAGGGATCCTGAGCAGACGAGGAAGCTGTTCCAAAAGTACAAGCCTACTCATGTCATTCACCTCGCGGCTCTTGGTATATACGTCGTTTGATTTCTAGATGCTCTGTTCACTGATCCCTCGATACAGTGGGCGGTCTATTTAAAAACATGAAATACAAGGTGTGCAGCCGTGACTCCCTGTCGATCTTCCCCCTCGGGGCTTACCAATTCCGTACAGCTTACATTTCTTCGTGACAACAACCTCATCAACGACAACGTTCTCCACACATCATATGAGACGGGCGTCAAGAAAGTCATTTCCTGCCTGTCGACATGTGTGTTCCCCGACAAAGTTACATACCCATTGGACGAGACGAAAATTCACCTTGGCCTGCCCCACGACAGTAACTTCGGTTACGCGCACGCGAAGCGAATGGTTGATGTTGCAAACCAGTAGGAATTACTTGCCATCTCTTGTTACTTTTATTCACTTTATATAGTGCCTACAAGGACCAATTCGGCTGCAACTTCACCTCTGCTATTCCCACCAACGTCTTTGGCCCTTACGACAACTAGTATGTCTCTGACTGGGATGTTGTTAATCATTCTCTGACTATCAATCAGTGATCTTGAAGGTGCACATGTGATTCCCGCATTGGTGCACAAGTGCTATCTTGCGAAGAGTATGTTCGCTTGTCTGTCTCTGCACACAAAGGATATTAATCTTCCATAGAAAACGGCACGCCCTTCATTGTTGGGGGTACTGGTAAGCCCCTCCGGCAGTTCATCTACTCCCGCGACCTCGCCAAGCTCTTCATCTGGCAACTTCGCGAGTATGACGATGTTGAACCTGTGATCCTCTCAGGTGAGTGTCCACCATTTTTTGTGGTGCTACTGTGTCTCATAAGGCTGCGGTAGTTGGTGAGGATGAAGAGGTTAGCATTAAGGATGTCGCAGACGCGATCGTTAAGGCCGTGGACTTCCGGGGCGAGTACTCTTTCGACACTACCCGTGCGGACGGCCAGTTCAGGAAGCCTGCCACCAACAAGAAGCTGCTAAGTCTCATCGGCGACTTCGAGTTTACGCCTTTCCAGAAAGGTATTTGTCATGCCTCTGCCCATGAGTCCCAACTGCTTACACTTCGTCAGCTCTGGACGAGTCCGTTCAGTGGTTCCTGCAGAACTACGACACTGCACGGACGGGGGTTAAGAACTCGACTTAATCCCGTGAAGGAAAGCCATACATGGCTGGGACCTTCGTATCCAGCTAATAAGCGGACAGCGCCATTTGTAATTTACCACTTGCACAACAGACGATACGGGCACTTTGGATACATGGGCGCCTGTTGCGTCAGTGTGACGCCTTGTCTGTGACCCCTACGATGCCCACAATGCTGCATATGTGCTGACTATATGCTCTTGCCAGAGTTCATGTGTGCAATCACTGACGTTCTGCTCATATAGGTTGTACGGACCCCGCCACGAAGCCTCGATAGCACGCATTGCGATAACGGCTGCCAGCTCCTCCTGTCGGCCTTAGCTATAGGTCAATCTCTCACCTCATCTGTCAAAAGCGAGGCAGATGAGACCTGCATCATAGAAGTCGAGTCAAAATTCGTCGTTGTCGAAGCTCACTGGCAATTACTCCACCGCGATCTCCATGAAATCTCGATGTTGTTGTGTTCATTGGACGAGCACATCCATCATGTTCGAGGAAAAGGTGATCGTGGATCAGACCACACGTGCCCGGGATGCAATCGCACGCAAGGATGAGCTGGAGAGGAGGAGGCGTCTCGCATTGCTGATGCCCTTGGTCTAGCGCATTGCTTCAAGGAGTAGGTAGCTAGAGCTGTTGAAGCGTGCGACGCGTTGTATTAGGATGATGTAACTCCTCTCGCGTAGGCTCTGTCATTAAGATATAGCTTGAGAAACACAATAGTACACTGGGTTCACCGCAGTAGAAGGGCGGAGCAGCGAATTGGAGACGGAGTTGGCGACCGCGAAGACACGGTCTGCGCATTACCATGCCGAGAGGCGAAAGAGTCAAACTAGTACTCATGCGCGGTCTCAGAGGCAGGAGAGGACCCAGTCTTTTACTGGCAGGGGTCCTGTCCCGCCAAAATCAGGGTCAGTTTTCGGGTCATAATTACCTTGCCGAATCCGATAAAAAATATACTAAATCTCTCATTTTATGTCGCAAGTATGCTCAATATAGCATGCAGGCACCCAAAAATAGTTATATTCTGGGTCATATGGCCCACGATCAAAGCTAAGCCCGAAAGTGATCGGTTTTTGGGTCATATGGTCCACGGTATCAAAAAGAAGCCTAAAAGTAGTCAAATTTGGGGTCGTATGGCCCAATCAAAAGCCCGAAAGCAGTCAGGTTTCGGGTCATATGGCGATGCGAACAGTCATCCATTCGCATCGCCCTGCCAAAGCCGAAGACTGCACTCAACCTCCTCATACATAACTTCGGGCTGCTTCAAGAACATGATGATAGCTCACCTCCTTCTTCTCCCCCACTACTCGTCCCATGGAACGCCTCAAAGTGTTGGCTAGAAGCATTAGTCGCCGCGCATACAGTCCACAAAGTTACCGACGATCACATACGCTTGACGAGGGCAGAATAAACGGCTCACCTTCCAATCTCGCTGAGATGTCAACACTAGCTGGTGAGGCCCTCCGGTGCGTGTGTAACACCTCTGACAACTGGTCCTCTCGCAGAAGCGCCGACGAAGTCAAAGGCGTCCGGTGCAAGTACACGCAGTTACGGCAACAAAATCTTTTCATGGATATGCTTCTTCGTGGTCGCCTGCTGCAGGTTCATGTATTACAGAGGCCTCCTGATGTCCGTTCCATCTTTCCCGTCATTCACCTACGCCATTGAGGACTTCAATGCCACAGCGAAAGCCAGGCTGAGTACCCAATCATCCGCCAAGCTTGATGGAGACTGGAAGAAGTTCGTCGATCATATGTCAGAGGACTGGGCCAATGTTACACGGCAATGCAAATGGGCTGCCTTGTACGTTGTTTACACTACCTGACCACCGTCTCTGTATTGACGGTTGCTGCATCAGTACATGCATTACCGTCGAGCGATTCATGGGCCCTGTGGCGGGCTCATCATTTGCCGTCGTGACGGCGTTCTCATTTATTGTATACTTTTGCAGTGGTTTTGCTATTGTACTCTGCGCGGTGATGAAGAGACACGCCGTCTTCCTTCGCCGAAGCCCAGAGGCATCATGGAACTGGCATTTAGTAACTGAGCGCAACGCTGAATCCGCATTCATCGCTACATCCTCGTTGCTTGCGTCTCCTGTCGCTTGGAAGAACTGGTCAGTGCTCTTGGAACGTAGCTCTAGGCGTGCAGCCCAGCTTACTCCCTTCTCCAAAACAGGACCTATATCTCTTTCGGGACGTTCGCAATCAGTCTTCTATGGTGTTTCTCATCGTCCGGGAGCTCTGTTACATACATGGCAGATACCATGTCTGACTTGCAGAGCAAAGATCCTACGGCCGAAGTGGACGCCGGTCCACTAACGGTAGACACACGAGGCGTGCCCATCTCCACGCTTGCTCGGGCTCTATTCATCGCCGTTGGTGTGATTGGGCTCTTACACACTGCGTTCGTCTGGGTCCACTTCTATCAGCTTGGCTACCCTTCTCCGCGCACGCCAAAGAGACATACGAGGAATGTCGGCTGCCGGTTACACTCTCGTTATTCGGAAAGGTCTATGTACGAGGAACCTGAAGACTATATCAGCTCTGTGAGTAGCTACCCTATCATCAGTCGCCTTGTCTCTGACTAGTACATTAGATCTCTTCTCTGGTGTAGTTGCTCAGGCTGGCAGTTCAGCTCGTCTATAGTTATACTCACTCTATCAACACTCTGCAGTGACAATACTCAGCTGCCACTGCTCAGGCTCATTATATATGAGTATGTTGTTGCACTATTATCGATCCTCGTGTAGTGTGGAATTCTTTACCCAGTACTCCATATCACTGACTTCTGAGAGCCATCGTATAACGCACACAGCACTATCATTCATGTATGCAAGTAATTTGCTTCCAGGCTTACTTCCCGTGCTTTGATTAGTGGCAGGCCTAACGCCACACAGTTCTATGGCCAGGATCTTATCTTATCTTGAACGCTTTTGAGATGAGATCAGTGATTCCCAAACCAAGCTGTCCCTGTGAGAAACTCGAGTCTCTCACTTCGCGCGACATGTCGTCTGGCACCACATCGCTATCGGGGACTGCTCCCATAAAGCCCGAGTGTGTACAATCATGACCTACAGTTCTCTCTTATTTCTGAGCCCGTGTGGAGGTACATCCTTGCGCATTCTGCTCGCGCCGTTCCGGATGATGATGCCGCTGAGGGCAGTACCAGCCATGTGAACGGCCGTCCAACAGACCAAATACCTCCAGACGATGGCCAGACTAGATCAAGGGGTGGCCGCAAGAAATGGTCGAAGGAGGAGCGCAAGAATAAGCGTGGAGCAAACAAGGGCCGTCGCTTCCAAAAGGTCAGAGACGACCTGGAGCTCTGTTGGAGAGTCGCGGTGGGGAAGACGTGTGAATTTGGCTCCGAGTGAGTTCTGGATTCTTGGTGACTACGCTTTAGCTTAGGCAGCGTCGCACGCAGATGCCGCAACACGCATGACATCAAAGCGTACCTGGCGTCGAAGCCCAAAGACCTTCATTTGCCTCCAACGCCTCTGTTAGACGCTGTCCTCGCTCGCTCGCCGACCAAAGTGAGGTAAGATGACATACGAGCTGATCCACTGCCGGTCTTGTAGACCAAGTCGATCGGACATCCGCAGTTGAGGTCAACGAAGTCGAGGTTGCCTTCGCATACCTTTCCCAGAATCTCCGCTGCTGGCACGAGTAGCTGAGGTTTGCTGCCCGCCACTTGGATGCCAAACGTCCTCTCTTCCGGATGTCGCCGAATAAGAGAGTATTCCTCCTTCGAGCCCTGGAGGAACGAGTTCGCCAAACCCACTAGAGTAGAGTTAGGTGCGTGATCAGCTTATATGTCGTGCGTACTTACTCTCTCCGCACGTGATGTCAGCACCATAGTCCACACATAACCTGCGGAAAGGCTAATAGCTGTTTGATGCGCGTTGCATGCGATGGCAGGTTACTAGAACTTACCAAATTTCCTACGGTGGTGAGCGGAGCGAGATCTATGCATAGCTGAGCACACATGTAAGGTCAGAGTTGTATGGTACTCACATGTCTTTCCCTTCCAGTGTAGCCGCTTCTTTTCAGCAGCTCTGAGGGGGACATCAGGCGTATCTGCCTGGGACAAGCCTTCGCTGTTCTCACTAGGCTTGGATGTAGACTCCGGGTGGGAAGCATCCTGGGTAGGCTCAGAGGTTTCTGTGCCGGCCTCGGCAGTCTCGGCAAGAGCTGGTTTTTCAAACTTCGCGCCATTCCCCTCATTCTGTGCTTCTTGCAGCTCTTTAAGACAAGCATCTGCAATGGGATGAGGGAACTAAAGTCCAATATAAAGCACTTCACCAAGATGAAAGACGCAGTGCGCACCTTCTTTGAACGGATTTGTTTTAGGGTGTCGCCCGTCACAAAGTTAAGCTCAGTCTCCGCAACAATGTTTCTTGCTTTCTTCTCTTCATCAAGTACAAGCTCTATCTCACTGTCGTCCCTTTTCCTGACGTGTCCGCCGAGGTAGCGGCATCTGAGACCGTGTCCGCACTCTCCAGTCTTCTCGAAGACCGGGCATGTTGTAGAAAAATCAACGGACGAGTCCTCTGTGTTTTCCGCGGACACGTCTGCTTCCGCATGTTTCACGAATGGAGGTTCGTCGCTGAGGGCAGAGACTCAATGCTCTGTCGGGCGAATGTCCGTCTACTTGCTAGCGCGACACTCGATTATTGTTGCCCCAGAACACTATTCTGAAGTACTTGTACAGTGCTAGATGCCGCTGGGAAGCTAGGTCGGATTGTGGTTGGCATGAACAGGGCTTTGGGAGAAGTTCCCGTAACCGTCAAACTCAGAACTGGCGTGAAAGACGGCCGGAATAATGCCCACAAGATTATGCCCAGGCTGAGTACAGAATGGGGTGCAGCCGCTCTAACAGTAGGTCGTTTCCGTCAAAACAAACGAGGCTGCTCTGATTCCAGACGATATGTCCTAGCTTCACGGGCGGACAAGACAGCAGCGATACTCCAAGCTTGCAGATTGGGACTACATCAAGACTTGCGTCGACGCAGTTCGGGCTAAAGAGGAAGAAGAGGGTCGTGAGTGCACCTCCAACGTCCACCTTGGCACCGTGCTTAAGTTAACCCTTCAGTTGCTACTGTGCCCATCTTTGGAGGAGGAGACGCCTTCTCTTCTCAGGATTATTGGGAGAAGGTGAACCACAGCGGCGTTGACGGTGTCATGGTGGCTCGAGGAGCGCTCATTAAACCATGGATCTTCACCGAGATCAAGGAACATCACGAATGGGACATCAGCTCGCGGGAACGGCTCGAATTGATCAGGAAGGTATGGCATACACTCTGTACAATGTACGCTTACAGGTTACTGACATGCTGTAGTATGCGGAGTACGGACTGAGGTAAGTACTAGCATTACCTTTTGCATTCTCGCTGCTTAACCGTTCTCTCTCCAGCCATTTCGGCTCAGATACAACCGGTGTTAACACCACCCGTCGCTACCTCTGCGAAGCTTTATCCTTCCAGTACCGCTACGTCCCCATCGGCCTCTTGGAGGTGCTCCCTGGTCGTCTCAACGATCGTCCACCGGCGTTCCGCGGGCGCGATGAACTCGGTATGCCTAAACAATATGGCTCACAGAGCAGACTGGCTCACGCTCTCCCCTTTAAGAAACGCTGCTTGCCAGTAGTGACAGCCGAGACTGGGTCAAGATCTCGGAAATCTTCTTGGGCCCCGCTCCAGAATCGTGGATCTTCACGCCGAAGCACAAGAGCAATGCGCATGGCGCTGAAGAGAGCCAGGGTTAAACTCGTATGCTTTGTGGCGAGCATAAGCACCATGTAGATGCGTATCGTCCTGTACTCTACATGTACTTCGACGCGATATCGCCGAGGTCGACTGGCAGGGCTGGTAATCTTCCCTGTTCCCCCGGGCAACAGTATAGGAGTGCGTTTCTGCTGTTTGCGACGCTTGTTTAAGAGTCTATGGATCAACCAGGACCGGTTAATGTTCTGATTTCAAGCCATACAACACAGCTTCATAGTTTGCACCGCGAATCGTCCAGCTGGGATCACTGGGCATGATGGACTTCATACTAAACATTGTGGCGGCTTATTGGTTATGCAAGAGCTAGGTCACAGTCCGAACGAGACATCCTGAAAATGTATGTTGTACAATGCATATGTGGGGCCCTCACAGCTTCGCTGAGATCACTTCCGCCGCGCCCCCATCGTTCTCGCGCTCCTTCTCGAGATGCTCCCTCTCTCTTCGGGCTAGAATTGCCTTGCCTGCCCTGCTCGCGTTCGTTCGTTGTAACTTCTTTGAGATCCAGTCACCAACATCGACGAGAGCGTCGAGGTCGCCATCCGTAGTGTACTTGCTGCCCTTGAGTGCATAGAGCACGTCTTCGGTCGCGACGTTGCCCGTCGCGCCGGGCGAGTACGGGCAGCCACCCAGACCGCCGACGCTCGCATCAAATGTGCGGAGGCCCATGTCAAGCGAGGTCATGATGTTCGCGACGGCAGTCCCGAATGTGTCGTGGTAGTGCCCGGCAAGTTTGTTCGCAGGGACCGTGCCCGCGCCGCCCATCACAGTCTCAAGCATCTCGCGCACTGTCGCGGGCGTACCTGTGCCCACGGTGTCGCCGAGACTGACCTCGTAACAACCGATATCGAGGAGCGCCCTCGTAACCTCTTTGACCTTCTGGGGGCTCACTTTGCCTTCGTACGGACAGGATATGACGACACTGACGTAGCTGTATGCAATGTCATAAGTTCTCGCGCTTTGGAAAGCAAGCGTCATGTACACACCCTCTGACGCGCAGACCATGATCCAATGCCTTCCTTGTGACGGCATGAATGCGCTCTAAGCTCTCTACAATGCTGCAGTTCGTGTTGGCCTTGCAGAACGCCTCCGTGGCGGCGGTAAACACTGCAATTTCGTTTGTCGGCGGCGGCGGACCACCCGCGCTTGGCGGGTGCTTCGCAAGAAGGTCGAGCAGCAACTCCAATCCCTTGAGGTTCGGCACCAACACGGGATAATAGTTTCCAGGAAGTCGCTCCATACGCGATATCACGTCGGCCGTGCCAGCCATCTATCGTCCGACGGTCACTCGCGTAAGCATGATATTTCTAAGGCATATGCGCACCTGGGGAACCCACTTTGGACTGACAAAGCTGCCCGCCTCGATAGTCTTGAGCCCGGCGCGGTTAAGGCGGTTTATAAGCTCAATCTTGACTTCTGGCGGGATAACCGACTTCTCGTTCTGCAGGCCATCGCGCGGACCGACTTCGACGATGTTCACGTGGTCTGCGTTGGTGGTTGTAGCGTATGTCCGCGAGCAGCTGGCCCTGACCGCGAGTGTCGAGCGCGCGTGGGAGACAGACTTTGCAAGACGTGGTGAGAGTCTATGAGCAAACATGATTGCGGGCTCGGTTGAGGAGGCCGACTCCTCCCCGTGGGGAAATAGACTTTATAACCGCCTAGCGAAGGTACGGCCTCGGGGTTATTCGGACGGTCTCCTCTCTTTCTTCTGCATTCGACCCGGTTTCACGACACGCCAGCTCACCGTTCTAGTTTGCAGCTACTGGCTCAGCATCGTTTGAGGCGACGTCACCTCCAACACGGAACGCGCTCCGCGACAGCAGTATATAGCCCCGCTGCATCTAACTTTGTCTGGATACACACACGCTCTCATCAGCCAAATCTCCGAGCTCCTTAAATTCTCCTTGGCATGTCCACCAGACTATTTCAGAGCTCTGCCTTCCGAGCTGCCCTCAGGTCCAGCAGAACCGTCTCCCCTCTCCACCTCCGTCTGCGGCTCATGTCCACCAAGCAGTACGAGTACATCCTCACCTCCAAGCCTGCTGAGGGCGTCGCCCTCATCACGCTCAATCGGCCCAAGGCCCTCAACGCGCTTTCCTCACCGCTCTTTGCAGAGCTGAACGAGGCCGTGGCCGAGTTCGATGAAGACCATTCTGTTGGCGCCATAGTTCTGACCGGCAGTGAGCGGGCCTTCGCAGGTACGCGACAGCGCGGTATGGTGGGGCGAGCTACTGATCGAGACGCGTGCAGCGGGTGCCGACATCAAGGAGATGAAAGACAAGACCCGTACGTGCCTGCGATCCTTCTGAGACATACGCACTCACGACACACGCAGTCAATGAGGTCTACCAGAACAGGTTCCTCGAAGACTGGGGCAAAATCACCTCGCTCCGCAAGCCCATCATCGCTGCCGTCAGCGGATACGCGGTACGTCTCTTCCGCAGCGGCGCACATCCCTGATGCTGACACGCTCCGCAGCTCGGCGGCGGCTGCGAACTCGCGCTCATGTGCGACATCATCCTCGCGTCCCCGACAGCGACGTTCGGCCAGCCCGAGATCAACATCGGCGTCATCCCCGGCGGCGGCGGCACGCAGCGCCTCGCGCGCGTGATCGGCAAGTCGCGCACGATGGAGCTCACCCTCACCGGACGCACCTTCAGCGCCGCCGAGGCCGAGAGCTGGGGCATGGTCTCGCGCGTCGTCGGCGAGGGCGACGGCAAGGTCGTCGAGGAGGCCGTCGCCATGGCCAAGACCATCGCGAGCAAAGGCCGCCTCGCCGTCCAGGCCGGCAAGGAGGCCGTCAACGCTGCGTACGAGCAGACCCTCCGTGAGGGCCTCAACACGGAGCGCAAGCTGTTCCACATGCTGTTCGCGACTCACGACCAGAAAGAGGGTGCGTTTTGGTGGCTGTGTGTATACCCCATTCACGTCGGAGCTGATACATCTGCAGGTATGAGTGCCTTTGCTGAAAAGAGGAAGCCCGTCTGGAAGAACGCGTAAGTCTGTGTATGCGGCGAATGGAATATTATGTACACTATCATAGCGGGACTTTCTGGAAATCTGGAAAATAAAATGTGGCCTCGCGAAAACTCCAGGCGTTGGAGGGATGATTGTCGCGTTTCATTTGCCTTGAAGACGTCTCAAAGAAACAAGATCGGTAACTAGAATTACACGATACTTTACATCGATATCATCCAGGTCGTGAAGAATCGAAAGGAATTACAACTTGTAAGGTAAGGAAAGATATAAACGAGTACAGGAGAAGATAAGAAAAACGATTACGTAGAGTAAGACAGATATCAAGTCGTGGTATCAAAGAAAAAAGAATAAGGAACGAAAGTGTTCATAGGCAGTTGACGGGAAGAGATAGAACGTAGGGTGAAATCGAAATGACAATCTAGACGATGTTGAATGCCTCGCTCCTCCAGTCTTCGCCGCGCGTTGCAGCCTCAGCGCGCTCCTGGGTGCGGTTGACCCAACCAGCAGGGTGCCCCTTGCCCTGGAGAATCTCGCTGTCGCGCTTGCTGACGATCTTGAACTGCGCGTTGCGCTCCTCCTTCTTGGCCTGCCCACCACTCTTGACGCTCTCGGCCTCGTCCTTCTTGCGCTGGAACATCTCCTGCAGCACCTGCGTCCGGCTCTTGTTCTCGTCCGCCTTGGCCTCGCGCATGCGGTCGCGCACGCCAACGAGCTGTCCGTCGACGTACTCGAGCGCGGTCCGGACAGAGTCGGCCACGGCCTTCTGGATCTGCTTCTTGATGAGCCCGGTTGCGAGCGGACGAAGTGTCTTGTAGAGCAGATCGTGTTTCGAGTCGCGAATCGAGAACTTCAGCGTGTCAATCTTGACAACGACGTCCTTGACATGGAAGACGCTGCTTGGGTCCTTATCCGCACTATGGACATGTGCAGTGACGGTCATACCATGGCCACCGAGAAGAACGTCCGCGATACCGGAGTCGCGGAGTTTAGGCATGCCGGTCTTCTTGTGGAAGTAGAACGCGACATCCTTCATGTCGGCCTGAATCTGCGCGAACGTGAGGGTGAACTCATGGCGGCGTTCGTCGGTGATAGCGTTGTACGGCGAGAACTTGATGAAGTTGTGTGCCTCCATCGAGACGATATTCGGGAACAGGTTGCGACCAGAGAACGCGAGATTTTCAATGACGACATCAAGGGCATCATCGGTGTACTCGACGCGCGGGATGGGAACATAGCCGACCTGTCGTACTGTTAGCTTGATACATTTGAACTTAAGATAAGCAGGCTTACCTGATCCATGAGGCTCGGTATGATGACTTTGCGTATGTCCATCCACAACTCGGGCTTCCACTTGAGGCTACCCTCGCTGTCGAAGAGAAGATCGCGGGTAAGACGGGCCCAGTCGTCGCCAAAGCGCTGGTTGAGAGGATCCTCGGCGAGAGCCTTGAACCAAGTCTGGGTGCAGTCGATGAGGTTATCGAAGTGGCTCTTATACTTGCCATCGTAGAAGCGGCGACCACCCTCCCTGAGGCGATTTGCCTCATTATTGCAGTCGGGCTCGAGGACGTAGCCTGGTTCGATGAGAACCTAATGTCAGGTGTCAACATTTGTGGCGAAATAGCCTTCAATTTGAAATCTACCTTGCGAATATATGCATCACACTGCTTGAACCAGTCACGAAGCTCGTCGTCCTTCTGGGCGTCCTCGTAGAGGTCGTGCACGGCGTCGCCGATAATGCCAAGGCTCATTCCATTAGCAAACCGCTCGAGGAGCGTGCGAAGCTCAGAAGTGGCCTGTTGAAGCGAATTATCGGAGGTGAGCTGCTGATGAGAATCCTTGCCGTGACCAGCAATGGTACGTCCATGCGCGGCGTACTCCTCGACGAAATCGAGGAGCCAACGAATAGACTCCTGGTAGTCTTTGTGCTTCTGGCATTCAACGACGACCTGAAAGTATGAGGGTGAGGACATGATCTAAGCGGCACTTGATCACAAGACGTACCTTCTTGCCGCGGAAGATAAACTGGTCGCGGCGTTCCTCGGGGAAGTATTCGTCAGCGAGGAAGCGTTTGGTACGGTCGAAGTGCTCGTTCGCCCTATCCTTTTGCTCATTGGCACGATCCTTGTGCTCCTGAGGAACCCGATCGAAGAAATTATCGCGGGTATTACGGAGCTTGTTCATGAAGCCATTCTTTTTCGCCTCTGCTTCTTCGCTGTTATCAGGGACAGGGTCACCGCCAACAGCATTCATAGTGTCATCCTTCTGTCTCTGGGCCTCATCCTGCGTTGAGATGAGTGCGTGTAGATTGCCCTCAGACAAATGAGCGGTAACATACCAAAGCACGATCCTGGGCTTCACCCTTCATCTGCTGAGCCTGGTCGACGACCTCATCACCGCGGCGGACGGTACCGTCCTCTTGCTCGACTACAGTGCCAGTCTGGGCGTCGCCCTCACGAGGATTGTGCTTAACAGTTGCGTTGATACCTGGGACGTTGGCCTCAAGAACCTGAAATGTTAAAGGTCAGAGCTGACTTCGGCCTCAGCTAAGAACAATACTCACCGGCGTCTCGTCAGGACCCGCATGGCGACCATCCTCGGTGTGGAAGGTGTCGTTCGGAGCAGTATCATCCACAGTGCGCAGGCGCTCCTCATCGGGACGAGCCATCTCAGCGGCCTTCGCGGCACCACGAGCAAACAGGTCGCGACCAATGACCGAGAAGTCGCTGAGGAGCTTGCGGACCTCTGCATTCGTAAGAATGAGCGAGAGGAGGGTGCGGAGGTGTGCGACAGCCTGCTGTGCGTCGCTTTTCGCCTTCTGCTGGTCGACGGGAATGACCTCGTTCGGATCCTTCTTCGCCTTATCAAGGTCGGTGTCACGAGTGTGCCAGATAAAGTTCTGGAAAAGCTCGTCCGCGTTCTTCTCCTTCACGATGAGGCGCGCGGTCTCGATGATGTCACGGGTATCGGCGATGAGCTTCCTGCCCTCGGGCGAGAGCTCGTTCTCGGGAACGGGGGAGTGGTTGACAACATACTGCATGGTGTGGTCGATCTGCTCGTTGGATGGCATACGTGACTCCTTGAAGGCGTTGATCACGCCATAGAAGCGGAGTTTGCGGTCGATGTCAGCAGCCTGCTTCTGCTTGTCGACGGGGTCGACGACGGAGCCCTTGGCGGGGCTGTCAGAGACGTCTTTGGGTGCGTTTGGGAGAGACATGATGTTCGTTGTAGAATACTAAGAAACTAGGTCGTCAACTGTTCGTAAATGGGGAGTGGAGATGGTCGTAACGGGAAGAGAGGGCGTGAAAACCTTGAGAGGAGGGGAGGGCGCCCCCCTGTGTTTATATTCACGGACAGAAAGAGCGATGACATCGACCGCCTGGGTGGAGCAGCCTCGCCCAGTCTTCGCGTCCCTGGCAGACGTACTGTCTCTTGCCACTTTGGGCTTTTGGAATTCCGACGACAAGTCTCTGCTCCACTCGATTTTAGTCCCGGGGTGGCGTCCAGCCTCAGGCGCGTGACGTCATCTCCACGCGCCGCGTCCGTCCGCCACACCAGCCGCCCCAGTCTCGTACCCAGAGCTTGTATTCACAGTGGTACACACAGAGCCTACTTCTCTATCTCGCGCCTGACAAAACGCTCCCAGTTCGTAGGCTCGCGTCCAAGCAGCCAACGCACTGTGTTGTTGTTTCCCGGAATACCCCTGCGACACACGCCAAACCATCGGCATCAACTCCACAAACAACATCCTTAAGCTAAGTCAATCCCCACCTCTTGTCATAGTAGTACAGCATGCGGTCGAGCGCGTCTGCAGCATAGTTGCTCTCCACTTTCGCGTTGATGGCGCCCTTGAACCTCTGCAGGATCTCACCGCGCGGGATGAGGTGACAGATCACACCCGAGACATCGGCGACACGTTCGATGATTTTGGCTACGTCTTCCAGAGAAATATTCTCGCCTACGAGGTCATACCGCGCGCGATTGTGCGGAGCTGCATCCAGGAGAACCAGTCGAGCCACCTGAGCCAGGTCCTCGAGGTCGACAAATCCTTGGAGCGTCTGGGGAGAGTATGCGCACATCAAGGCGCGATTCTCGATGGCACCTTTAATATTCATGTTTTGCATGTACGATGTCGGCTGTTGGGAGTCAGTTCTCCCATTTCAGTCAGATTCGCCACGCATACCTCAAGGATGGTGTAGTTCAAACCAGACTCAATGAGGTACTCCTCCACTCTGTACACCTTGTTAGCAGATCGACAAAAAGCAAGAGGCTGCCTTACACTCGCTTGATGTCGTGGTTCAACAGCTTGCTGAGGACGGGGAACAGCACGCTGCAATACACGAGATGCTTTACTCCAGCCTCCTTTGCGGCGTCGATGAGAGCAATGCCCATGGCGCTTTCCAGCGGGCTGAAACCCGGTGCATTATGGAATGCAATGTCGACGCCCCTGAGCGCTGGACCGAGAGTGCTTGTCTCCAGGTAGTCTGCGACGACGAACGAGCTGCGCGGCAGCTGCTGGTGCCGGAACTGTACCTTCTGGATAGCATCCTCGGAGCGAACCAAGAGACGGAGGTCCGCAGGTTTGACGTTGTCAGATGCGAGCAACGCCTTGAGCACATAACCGGAAGTGCGCCCTGCCGCGCCGGTGATGAGGATGGTCATGCTGTGGTGCAGAGGTATCGACCTAGGTGACCTGGATAATCGAGACCTTGATATGCAACCTTATATCATATGAATGCTCACAATTTGGGTTCTAAAGACACGATTGTACGAGGCAAGGAGCTCTAAGCATATGTGTACTGATTCTCGTCGGTTGCTTGCTAAAGCTGTTGCGTCATGCCGCCTGGCCGCCTTGGTGGACGAAATACTCACGGTGGTTCGGGGCATATCTAGACCATCCGATTATAGGTGCCGAAAGCTTGTAACTGGCCCTGCACTAGACCACGTTCGAGAGATCGCTGAAAGAGCACGCTAGTCCGAGTCCGACAACGCGCGCGAAGTAAGGAGGGCAACATCACGCATAACGTCGTGGAAAAAGGTGACAAGCGTGCGCGTGACATGTCGTGCAACACGTGATCACTCGACGCGCTGGGCGTTTTCGGCTCTGTTTGATGTTTTGTCCCAGACAATTTGTCTCTGATTGTCCTCCCTGAAGGGGGCTGGCTGGAGTCTGGAGATGGCCTTCAAGAATTCTGCCGCGCTCTGCAGCAGGTTTTCCCCTCCAAGCTCGCCGTCACGAAGGGCCTCAAGCACCACCGCTCAAGTTACTGCTGGTGTGGGTGGCGTCAAGTACAGGTCTCGGCTCCTGACCGTGCTGGACGCTGGGATCGACGCAAATATGTCTCCGAACTATGGCAGGGATGTATCCGAGAGCAAAGAGACTTTGAGAAAGACTGAGACCAGTAAGGAGAACGACAGAGCAACAATAACCAAACCCGGATCCGCTGGAGCAGCAGCGAGCTCGAGCGAGCCGTTGACGAATCCGTATGTCCTCCTGTAGTACATAATCTGATTTTAATTTTAAAACAGATTTTTTCCAGCATGCAGCCGCTCATGCAGAGGTCCGCTCAACAATCGTGGGTTCCCTACACGAGAAGCGTGGCCCGCAAGCTCGATTCCCTTCCTTTGCCTACCGTTGCACCTTCCCATGAAACTGTTGACCCAGAAGCTCCATCTTCGACCAAGTCTGAGGCGCGAAGGAGGACGTCTTCGTCGAGCGTAACTTCCGAAGCAGCCGCATCCAAGGCTCCTGAAGAGAAACTGCCAGCGTACTCATACAAGGACTACAAGCCCGCCCCGACAATCGTGTACACCAATCAAGAAGAGGAGGCCAATGAGCTCGTGACGAAACTCAAAGGGCGCGTACTCTCCCACTCCTGAAGCTAACATAGTCTAATATTGCCGCAGACCAATCGGCTTTGACATGGAATGGCGCGTGTTCTTCCGGCGAGGCGCGTCAACGACCACGCGCCGCACCGCACTCATACAGCTCAGCAGTCAGAACACTATCTTGCTCGTGCATGTTTATGCTATGAAACGTACGTACACTCTCTCATATACGCATGAATCGCCGTAATGTGAAGGAACAGGGTTTCCGCAGAAGCTCAAGGTAGGGAGTTAACTACGATCAAGACATGTCTCAGCTAACTGGCATCCGCAGGAACTTATCGAAGATTGCTCCGTCCCCAAAGTTGGCGTGAATATTCGCAGTGCGTCGCTCTGTACAATCACGCGTGTTGCCGTCTTCGCTCATACTCAGCGCCAGACGATGGCTTAAAGCTTTACAAAGATTACCAGGTCGCAGCACGGAATCTTATTGAGCTGGGTGCCTTTGCGAAGCAAGCCGACCCTTCGTTTTCCGCGCCACACAAACGGAACATTGTGAGCCTTGTAACCATGGTGGGCATGTACGAGCGGCGGGAGGTACACAAGGGAGACGTGAGGACAGGGAATTGGGAGCTGCTACCGCTCGCCGAAGATCAAAAGATTTGTGCGCGGTTTCCCCTGGTTATGAGCAGATACGGGGAACGCTGACGAAGTACACAGATGCGGCGAACGACGCGCATTCGGCGTTGATGGTCTACCTCACCTTGTGCAAGATTAAAGAAGAGAAGGAGAGCGTGCTCGACCCCAAAGCGTTCACGAGCAGCATCGCGGTCGAGTCCTACCCCGAACCGACCACCGCGGCCACGGGCGAGCTCGCTGAACCACTTGCGAAGGCGAATTCCACATCCTCTGCAACGTCGGAGAGCGCGATCACCGAGTCAGCTGCCTCTACGCCAACCACCGTCTCAGCGAACGAGACGGCGACGTCACCGGCCACGAGCACCGCAAGGAACTCGACAGATTCCGCTGCCGCACCTATATCCGCTTCGCTGCCTCCTGATACCACTCGATCACCGGTACCCGCTTCCCGACAGGCCAACATCGACCGCCTCGCCGCCGAGATCGAAGCGGACAGAACCCGGCGGGCGCCACAGTTGCAGCACCGACGCGCCTACACGCTCTGGCACCACGACAGGATGGCACTTGCCGACATATGCGCCGAGCTCCGGAGCAGAGAGAACCCCCTCAAGGTAGGAACTGTCATGTGCGTTACCCGCTTCTCCGTCCCCTTTTCTCCCGCTCTGTAGGCAAAAATGCTGACGCTCCGGGTCCGTGAACGGCAGATCGTACGTTGTGAGAGCGCTCCAGGAGGACGGGAGCTTGCCGTACTCGCCCGAGGACCTTAAGGCGCTCGCGCGATCTGAGGCAGATAGCTGGAGGAGGCATGGGTGGTGGATACTGGAGCAGGAGCGCCGCCAATGGAGAGGCTCTGGGCAAAGAGGGTAGAGCTGAATTTAAGTCAAAGGAGACATGCTGGTGCGTTTATGAGAGAAGGGGATTTGCTAACCTTTTATACGTCGATATATGCGTCGATCTAGAGCGTATTTAGGTCAATTTATTGATAAGCTTGCTGATACCATCCGGATGGGCATCCTTTCCTGCTCGTTAGAGGTGCGAATGAGATGATCAAGCCTCAGCTTACCTTGGACGCACTAGTACTCAAGTACACGCAAGGCTCCAATAGGCTCGCTCGGCCACCGGTCACACTCCTTGAAGCTTGAAGGGCTGGAGCTAGTGGCGATCGAAGACACCATCTACTTTCAGGCCTCAATATTCAACTCACCAAGTCTTGAGCGGGAATACGCTTGTGAAAACAATATTGTGGGTGGTAGTAGTCAAGCTTTATCCATTTGAAACCAAGGTACATCATAATCCTTATTTCCTCGCAAGCAAACAGGCTAGCCCATATTGCTGGTATAAGTCACGAATTGTCGTGTTTTGTCACATCAGTCAGTGGTAGCCGCTTCCCTGGACCACCCCAGCTCTGTGTCCTCTCCCTTAACCTCGACTTACGCCCTTTCGTCTTGCAGCTTCGCATGAAGAAACTTCATATGGTAAAGTAATATAATTAACAATTTTCAGTATTTGTACGCGGGAAATGTGCGAGAGGGAAGCGGATATTGATCGGGTGTGCCAAGTAGTGTGTACTGTTGCTGACCGGGAGCAATACTCGCCAAGAAATCACACCTCTGGCGTTGAGCATCCGGAATGCTTTCCATCCGCGTATGGTTGGTCTCAAACAGAATCCGGTGCACGTTGTCGTACTTTGTCCACTCCGGCGTCCCACTCGCTCTCAAGGTGTTGGGATCCAGCGTGCGGACGAAGCTCGTCCAGTAGCCCTGCATGACGGGGATGATATTGGCGTTTGTTGTGAAGTAGCTAGCAGGTGGTTTGCCGGTGGTGCTGTTCAGCCCCCAAATGGCGCTAAGCTCGATCGTGTGAGGGACACCGAGACCTTTTTTGAGCTCAGCCGGGTCTGTCACGTTGTAGCTACCAGACTATCAATACGCCCGTACTAATCACGTGGTAAAGGAAACTTACTGATAGTTCCAGACGGGGTGCGTGTTGTACTGGAGGAGCGAGTCACTCACGAAGATGCCTGGGCAGATGTAGCGGATCTCCCCGTAAGCAGAAGCCGCGTTAAAATAGCACTTTCCGTGTTGAGGGAACTGGTCAGCGACTGGGTAGTTGATATCGATAGTGGACAGATCATCCCCGGTGAGCAATGGGAAATTGTCCAGCAGGAAGTTGTTCATCTCTTCCGTCGTGTTGAGGTCGTGTGGAGTGAAGATTGTTCCTTCATTTGTATCGTCGCTAGCATCATCGCATCAAATGAGCTACGGATACCAGAGAATGTTGGGGACCAAGCTTACCCGAATACGGACGGCACATCGACAAATCTGCCCTGTGCGAAAAGGCTGTATGGAATGTCCGGAATCAGGTCGCCGTCCACGACAGCGCCACACAGGTAGTTTGGACCATGTTTCCTCCCGGGATATGGAATCGCGATACTCGCATTCTGGAGAGTAGCGATATCCAGTGCTCGGAGACAAGCCAATGTGTCCGAATCATTGTTGCAGCCAGTCCTCTCGACGAGCGCGTCGTACATATACTGATTACCTGATACGTTGAAGATGGGTGGGAAGGACTGGGACTCGGCTATGACACCATGGAAGAGGTCTGTGTGTACACCTCCGTACGCAGTCAAATGGATGGTGATAGATTGGGCGCCGGCGCTGTCGCCACTGAGGACAACATGTTCAGGATCACCACCAAACTGAGAGGCGATCAGCGTGAGGTATCGCATCCAAAGGCTAGTAACGAACTTGTTCGATGTTGTCTTGCACCCACTGCATCGCCTTCCTCTGATCTAGGATCCCGTTGTTGATGCTACCATTGGCCTGAATTTCCGCACTCGCCAAGAACCCGAATGTACCGACGCGGTAGTTGTGAGTTACGACGATCATATCGAAGTCGGCGGCCTCAATGAGCTGCGACCCATTATAATTTGCATTCGCGAGTTCGTTGAGGCCACCGCCCTGGATGAAGAACATCACGGGTAGTTTGGAGTTTGTCGTCGCATTTGAAGGGGCGTAGATGTCCAGGAAGAGGCAGTCTTCGGAGTGGCCTGACTGAGGATAGCCTGCGCCGGTGGTGAAGCACAATGGCCCATGCTATGACATCTTCAAATCAACATGTGCTAGAAGTCGGCCGTAAGATGTGAGCGTACCGTGTTGGCTATCTGAACTGTGTCATTCGACGGTGGGTCGGCGGGTGCGCCGAACCGCAAGTCGCCTGTGGGTGGTGCGGCGAAGCGCATCCCGAGCCATTGACTGACGCCATTCGAGAGCGCGATACCCTTGTATTGAGTATATCCCAAGTTGACGAGTGGATCGACGGCCAAGGCGAGCTCGAGGGTAGCTGCAAGTGCAACAAGTGTCCGGCGCATCCCATTCAGTCGACAATGCGGAAGTGGAAGAGAGAGGCCTCGGGAAGACGTCCATCGAACAGTGTTCGCCTTGTGGTTTATATGATGAATTTCAGCTGTCGCTAACAGACCACCAGACCATGACGGACATGGTGGTGGGGCTCGTGAGGTGTGAAGCGCAGCGTGGTAGGCTGAAGCGAGAACTATAGGCTGAAGCGAGAACTATAGGCTGAAGCGAGAACTATAGGCTGATCCGATGGCGTTCAACCAGCCCAGTACTAGTGACTTCCTTCGGCCTGCTTCTCGGGGCCACCCAGCTCGGCCGCTTATCACACCAAAAAATGTTACCTCTCGTTTGAACTAGTATTCCGCTGGTGCATGTCATCCCAATTAATGCAAGGTTATCTTAGCAACGGCGTACTTACTTGAAGCTCATCGAACGCAGGCAGAAAGTTGGGACCCCATTCAACAAGGCGCACGGCCCCGGCCAACGTGATGAATACCCACGGGAGTGGTGCCTGGAGGCGTTCGTCTCGTATCGGTGCTGTAATTGAGAGAAGCCAAGGGCACTATCCGTTGATAGTTCGCACTCCCATGGCTACACTTTCTCGTTGAGATTGAGATTATTTGTTTTGACAGTATGAACTACTACGAATGTTACAGAGCAAAAATCAAGGCAGAATACTAGAGGACGAGCGAAAGGAATTTTGAACATTCCAGATGGACGTCAGAGCGTTCATTGATGGCTGGATCCCACCAGATCTCCGCTTTCGACAAGACCGGCATTGCGCTAGCGCCTGTTGGCTCGCAGAGAGCAGCATTTGCAAATGCAGACCGCTGCCTCGGGTGTCGGTGGTCAAGTGCTCGGAGACGGCCTGACATGGCTCGACTCCAAAGCGTTCACGAGCAACATCGCGGCCGAGTCCGACCCTGAACTGACCACCGCGGCCACGGGCGAGCACGCTGAACCACTTGCGAAGGCGACTTCCGAGTCCTCTGCAACGTCGGAGAGCACGAACAGCAGTGTCACCGAGTCTACTGCCTCCACGCCAACCGCCGTCTCAATGAACGAGACGGCGACGACATCGACCACGAACACCGCAAGGGGCTCGACGGGTTTCGCTGCCTACCTATGCTTGCTTCATTGCTTTCTGGCGCCACTCGCCCACCGGTATCCGCTGCCCGACAGGCCAACATCGACCGCCTCGCCGCCGAGATCGAAGCGGACAGAATGCAGCGGGCGCCACAGTTGCAGCACCGGCGCGCGTACACGGGCACTTGCGGACATATGCGCCGCGCTCCGGAGCGGAGAGAACCCCCTCAAGGTGGGAACCATCATGTGCGTCACCCGCTTCTCCGTCCCCTTTGCTCCCGCTCTGGGTTCGTGAACGGCAGATCGTACGTTGTGAGAGCGCTCCAGGAGGACGGGAGCCTGCCGTACTCGCCCGAGGACCTCAAGGCGCTCGCGCGATCTGAGGCAGATAGCTGGAGGAGGCATGGGTGGTGGATACTGGAGCAGGAGCGCCGCCAGTGGAGAGGCTCTGGACAGAGAGGGTAGAGCTGGATTCAAGTCAAAGGAGACATGCTGGTACATGTATGAGAGGAGGGACCTTTTATACGTCGATATATGCGTCGATCTAGAGTGTTTCGGGTCAATGTACTGATAGGCTTGTTGATACCATTCGGAGGGGCACCCGTTCCTGAGTGCTTGCTCGTTAGAGGTGTGTATGAGACGATTAAGCCTCAACATGCCTGTAATGCACTTCAAAAGTACAATAAGGCTCGAACAACAAATGATCTGCTTTCAGGCAGCCCGTGAAATTCTGAGCCGGAGTGCATTTGTGAAACTATCATCGCTATAAAGCCCTGTCCGTTCGAATCCATGGTAGCGAACAATCATACTCTACTGTTGCTGACTGGGGGCAATGCTTGCCAAGAAACCGCACCTCTGGCGTTGAGCATCCGGAATGCTTTCCATCCGCGTATGGTTGGTCTCAAACAGGATCCTGTGCACGTTATCGTACTGTGTCCACTCCGCTGTCCCGCTCGCTCTCAAGGTGTTGGGATCCAGCGTGCGGATGAAGCTTGTCCAGTAGCCCTGCATGACGGGGATGATATTGGCGTTCGTCGTAAAGTAGCTGGCGGGTGGCTTGCCAGTCGTACTGTTCAACCCCCAAATGGCGTTGAGCTCGATCGTGTGGGGGACACCGAGACCTTCTTTGAGCTCAGTCGGGTCTGTCACGTTATACCTACCAGGCTATCAATACGCTCATATCGACTGGGTGGTGGAGGAAACTCACTGATAGTTCCAGACAGGGTGTGTGTTGTATTGGAGGAGCGAGTCGCTCACAAAGATGCCTGGGCAAAGATATCGGATTTCCCCGTAAGCAGAAGCCGTGTTGAAGTAGAACTCTCCGTGGTCGGGAAACTGGTCGGCAATTGGATAGTTGGTGTCGATCGTAGACAGATCGTTCTCGGTAAGGAACGGGAAATTGTCCAGCAGAAAATTGTTCATATCCTCCGTCGAATTGAGGCCGTGCGGAGTGAAGATTGTCCCATCATTGGTGTCGTCGCTAATCCAACATGAGCTATGGATGCCAGAGAATGCCGGGACCATGCCTACCCGAATACGGACGGCACATCGACAAACTTGCCCTGTGCGAAGAGGTTGTATGGGATGTCCGGAATCAGATCGCCGTCCACGGCAGCGCCATACAGGTAGTTTGGAGTGTTGTTCCTTCCAGGGTAAGATATTACAACACTCGCATTCTGAAGTACAGCGATATCCAGAGCTCGGAGACAAGCCAGTGTGTCCGACTCGTTGTTGCAGCCAGTCCTCTCGACGAGCGCGTCGTACGCATACTGATTACCTGATACGTTGAAGACGGGCGGGAAGGATTGAGACTCGGCTATGACACCATGGAAGAGGTCTGTGTGTACACCTCCGTACGCAGTCAAATGGATGGTGATAGATTGGGCGCCGGCGCTGTCGCCGCTGAGAACAACATGTTCCGGATCACCACCAAACTGAGAGGCAATCAGCGTGAGATTTCGCATCCAAAGGCTAGTAACGAACTTGTTCGATGTTGTCTTGCACCCACTGCATCGCCTTCCTCTGATCTAGGATCCCGTTGTTGATGCTACCATTGGCCTGAATTTCCGCACTCGCCAAGAACCCGAATGTACCGACGCGGTAGTTGTGAGTTACGACGATCATATCGAAGTCGGCAGCCTCAATGAGCTGCGATCCGTTATAATTTGCATTCGCGAGTTCGTTGAGGCCACCGCCCTGGATGAAGAACATCACGGGTAGTTTGGAGTTTGTCGTCGCATTTGAAGGGGCGTAAATGTCCAGGAAGAGGCAGTCTTCGGAGTGGCCTGACTGAGGATAGCCTGCGCCGGTGGTGAAGCACAATGGCCCATGCTATGACATCTTCAAATCAACATGTGCTAGAAGTCGGCCGTAAGATGTGAGCGTACCATGTTGGCTATCTGAACTGTGTCATTCGACGGTGGGTCGGCGGGTGCGCTGAACCGCAAGTCGCCTGTGGGTGGTGCGGCGAAGCGCATCCCGAGCCATTGACTGACACCATTCGAGAGCGCGATACCCTTGTATTGAGTATATCCCAAGTTGACGAGTGGATCGACGGCCAAGGCGAGCTCGAGGGTAGCTGCAAGTGCAACAAGTGTCCGATGCATCCTCCAGTCGACAGTGCCGAAGTAGACAGAGGGGAGCTCCGGAAAGACTTTCATCGGATGTTGTTCGCTTTATAAGTTGTATAGAGCTCCAGCCGGGACTGCGAGCGACAACGAGGCCACGGTCATCTGGTACCCGATCTAAATCACAACGTAAGACTTGACATATTTTCAGCTGTCGTCAACGGACCACCAGACCATAGCGCACATGGTCGTGGGGCTCGTGGGGCGCGAAAAGTGGTCGCGCACGGCCTGGGTACGCCGCAGCGCTGATTGCAGCTAAGGACGGAGCAACCTGCGCATCGAGGCCGACAGCTTGAAGCTCTTCGCGTACGACGAAGCCTGCACCCTGTGCTGTACTGCGGAGGAAGAGGCAATTAGTATGACCGGCTACGTCGTGCTAAGCAATGGTTCCAGGGAGCAAAAAGCTGCAGTTGATCGCACCTTCGTCTGAAAACAAGCGAAGATATTCATAGAACGCGCGGCAGTGGATCCCGCTTTTTGAGGCTCCTCTACCGCTTCTTGGAGCCTTCTTGAGTCTCGGCCTACTTGTCTTCTTCCCGCTGTGAAGGATAAAATTAGGCTGCGACGTCCAAGAGGGCCGTAAGTCAACGTGGGCTTTATATGCTACCCGCGCGCAGTGTGACGGTCACGGTTTCGCACGCCACGAAGATATCCTGTTCAAATCCCGTGACCGAGTCGATCCCGGTGCCAGTGGGCGCGGTCCATGTTGGTCTGTAATACCAATTCGCGATGTTAACGTACAGTCCAGGTACAGTCCTAAAGAAGTCCGAGCCCGAGTCAAGCCGAATCCGCATGTGCCTCGTGGGCTATCACTATAACGGCCTCCGTACAAGGAGCACCAATGCCTTGTTAGTCTCGGGGGCCGATCGGATTCCTTGCGTGTTAGTACACAGTGAGCCTGACCATATCGATGGTGCGCATCCGGTTCTTTGAATTTGTATTACAGCGCGTTCGTGCAGTACTAGTACCATTCAATCCGCGAACACTGGCACGCCAATCACGAGCCCATGCATCAGTTTCGGAATGCCACCGTCTGCGTGTGTCGCATTGGTTTCGGCATCCCAATTTGATAGAACTAGACTCAATGTGTCGTGTTCAAACACTGATACTCGTCCTGCGTAAGGAAATCATTTGATTTATCCCTGGCACGTCTACGGCCGCCGTGATGACATCTAGAATGTATCATGCACCGTCACGGTACACACGGACCGTTAACACAGGCCGTATATAACCCTGCGTGTAGGCCTCAGTCTCGTTATCGACACTCCTCTCCACACATCTCTCGCAGTAAGCCTCCATCTCTCTTTGGCCGGCCATTCTCCTCACACCTTGCTCGTAGAACTCCCCGGCACCGCTGTCATGCAAACCAAAGCTATTCTCGTGCCACTGGCCGTGCTCGCCATGGCGATGTTCGCCGCAGCTGTACCTCAAAGGTAAGCGAATGGTCGCACTATCGCAGCTGTCGCGTCGTGACAACCCGACCGATCTGCTCCAGTGGTACCCAGACGGAATGGAAGAGGGAGGTGGCGGCGTCAGCTGATCAGCGAGCTGAGCTCGATGCCTAGTGAGGAGACGTCCAGCATCGACGCCTGTGCCATGACCTCAAATCTGAGCCCATCAGAGTTTATTCCTACGAGAATTTTGCCTTCAACATGGCAACCTCTGTATAATCCGGGATCCTGTAGTTTTGTATCTCTGAAACCGTGTGACGGTATTCCGAACCCGCAACCGAAAACACTCCAAAGAATTGGCACTCTTCCATAGGGGCAGCCTACAGCCTACTAGAGCAAACTTGATGACTGGAGGCGTCCTTCAGTTGCGTGATGCGCAGCATCGGCGATTCCACATAGATCGTTGCGCGCAGCATTTCGCACGCCACAAAGTCTTTCGCCCTCCGCAGCTCCCGTGAGGTCGACGCTGGCTGCGCATGTCATATTGAACTCGCGAGACGCGACACCGTCTTTTGTCACAAAAAGGAACAACCCCGTTGAACTTGATTCCCGAACTGACATGTAGATTAAAACATGACGCCAGAACCCCAAAACATCCTACAAATACACACACAAAACCACACCGTACAACTCTCACGAGTCATGAGAAACTATCATTACATGCGGTAGCGTACGTTGCAAAATAAATGCGCAAGTTATACGTTAAAAGGGCCTCGACGCCCGCCTCAGCCCCAGGTCGCGGGACCGAACGTGCCATTCGGCCCATCGGGAGTGAGCAGCGGCGTGCCAGCCCAGTCCGCCGTGTTCTGGTACACGGTGTTGCCCCACCACGTCTGGATGCTGTTCGCGCCGATAGTGCCGTCCTTGGGGAACTGCAGGCAGAAGAAGATGATGATCGTCGAGATCGCGAGGCCCGAGTCGAGGCCGGCGGACAGGACGTCTGTGCGAAGGCGCAAATTTTGTCAGCCCAAAGAGTCAGAGATTAGAAAGAGAAAGGTGACACTGACAGTTGTACTTCGTCCACCACGAGAAGTTGCGGCGGCGGACGACGTAGTTGAAGATGAACCCGACGAGGCACCACGCGATGTAGTTCGTCGGCGTCGCAGGCGGGATGTTGCCCGTGCCGGTGAAGATGACGGGCCAGTTGACGTACTTGAGCCAGCTGCCGGGGTAGCGCTTCTGGATGAAGTAGCTCGCGATCGGGACGGCGGCGCCGACGAGGAAGAACCACATGAGCTTGTTGTAGATCTGGCCGCCGCTGTACTGGCGCTGCGGGCCGATGACGCCCCAGATGATCGACGCCGTGCCGAAGACGGTCGTGTTCGGGCACGAGAAGCCGTCCTTCTGGTGCGGCGTGCAGATGTCGGTGATGTTGGTGAACACCCAGCTCTGCACCGCGAGCTGCACCGTGCCCGCGACCGCGGTCGCGATCACCTGGCACCAGAACATCGGCCGCGGCGGGATCTTCATGTAGTGCCCGAGCTTAAAGTCGGACGTGAAGGTGAGCGCCTGCGCCATGGTGATGTAGCCCCAGGTCTTGAACATCATCATCGCGATCGGGCGGCCGGGGAGCGCGTAGCCGATGATGAGTTCCGTGATGACGTTCAGGCCGACCTGCTGGTTGGTGATCGCCTGGATGATGCCGATGGGGAGGACGTAGACGAAGGAGACGATCAGGGCAAGGATAAACGCCCAGACGGGCATCTCGGTGTGCCAGACCTCGATGCAGACGACACCGAAGACGAACATGGACATGAAGACCACGGCGTACCACCAGTCGGGGACCTGAGGGTACCTGGCCATGAGACGGGCGTGGACGTCGCCCTGCTCGGACATGGAGCGCCGCGACTGGACCCAGATCTGCTTGCGGTAGTACATGAAGCAGTGCGTGATCGTCGCGGTGACAGCTGCGAAAGAGAGACCGTATGCGAGCGCAAACGTCGTCGAGAGGAACAGGGGAGAGTATGCCTTGTACTTCTCCTCGTCGAACGTGCCCTCGGGGGTGACGATCCTGGTGACGTCGTACTCCGCACCGGTGTTGTCGTACGAACTGTCGGATGAGATGGGCAGGTACTTGGAGTACCAAGTGTTGGTGTAGTAGAGGACGGGCGTGAGGAACCAGAAGAAGAACGCGATCGAAGCGGCGATGTTCGCCTGCGCCCACCACGGTGTGGCAAGTGGCGAGCCGATGAAGGTAATCTGAGCCCAATCGAAGGTGAGCATGGACATTCCGAGGCCGGACGCAGTACCGAAGAGCTGGTTGACAACGATGTCGTTGGGACGGATCCAGCAAATCCAGCTAAAGTACGAGAGGGCGCCGAAGAGGTAACCGGGGAAGAAGTACCAGACAAAGGAGCCGAGGAAGACGTAGACGAAGAACCTCTCACGACTGACACCTCCACGGGTACCGATACCAGCATACTGCTGTTGGTGGAGGGTGTTAAAGAGAGTGCAGGTGACGAGGTTGGTGGGCCAGATCATGGACGGGGGCTGTACCAAGAAGCGACGGGCAATGCCTCCAATGGAGAACCCGATCTGAGAGTTCAAGGCGTCAGCAGCTGATCAAGCGGGACAGCGTGGGAGATGTCTCACCAACTGAGTGGACATGACCAACAGCCATGAATAGCCGAAGGGCGGGTCCTGGTTGTAATACACGCGCTGGACCGCAACGATATCGGTCTGAGAAGGCGCGTGACGCTCGTAAGCCGTGGGTAAGACGATAGAAGAAGCGGAAATGCTTACCGCATAGGCAGAGCCCGAGCCGACGTTTGCCATAACGGTGATAATAACGTGCTCCTTGATAGTGAACGGACCAGGGTTGAGTGAGACACCGAAGATCTTGACGCGCGGGACGTATCGTGCCCATGCGCGCATGAGAGGGAAGGAGATCAGCTGGGCCACAATCTGCGAAGAGCACATGGGTCAATGTATGCGGCGTTGGAACGGGTGGAAAGAAACGTACACCGGTGATGGTCACGGACGGGTAACGGAAGAAGAAGAACTGGTCGAGGCCGGGGATGAGAATGGCCCAGATCATGCCGACGAACCAGGCGCGGAAGGTGGCGCAGGGCATGTCGATATCATCGGTGTTGGCGACGGCAGACCGGACCTCGGGGTAGGGCGAGTCATCCTCTGCAGCGACAGAGGGTGAGTGTGGAGAATATAGCAAAGCAGAGGGAGATGCTGACCGAGGTACTCGACATCGTCACCCAGGTTGGGATCGTCAAAATCCGACGTCGGGACGACATCTAGCAACGGAGTGTGGAGGTCAGTGTGGCAGGAGGCGTAGAAGAGAGCAGGGGTACTGACGGTGTTTCTCGTCGAACTTTTCCTTCTCGTGGATGGAGGAGGCGGACGACATGGCGAGCCAAATGGCACGAGGGCAGACGTGTGAGGGCGCACCAGACGCATGACCTGGAGTGCTTTATAGCGGCGGGGGAGGAGGTCCTGCGAGCGTTATCTGTGTACCTGAGAGTGGAAGGGCAACACCAGGGATATCTCCACGGGATGAAGATGATGGCGACAGCATGGAGTTGTCCCGCCGAGGCCGTGGGACTGTTCGGGGTCAGAAGGAGGAGGACCATGTGGACGGAGAAATGTCAATTGATAGCTCCCTCTCCGTCCGCCGCCCCATGCCGATCCCAGTCCGCACCGGGCGAATTTCTCGGGGCAACGCGGCGCATGAGACACGCACAAGGCCAGCACGCTTCGCCCGTTCGTGAGGCACGCCGCACCGACAGCGTGACCTTGGATGAGCGGGGCCCTGCGAGCTCGAGAGCGAGAACGAGAGCGAATGGCTTATCGGGCGCTCACCTGACTAGGCGCCTACGTTGCCGTATCGAGATCGACACGCGCGTGGCACATCTGAATATTGCTGCTCAAGTGTCCATGTGCGCGGCGCCAACGATATGCCCGTTTATTCATCCGTACCCTCGCCATTAGCGAAGAGCCGCGGGGTATGAATTGCGCCGTGATAAGACGAAATCCTCTCGAGCGGTGTCGTGTGCGGCCGCGATGGCGCCTCCGCCCGCATGCTCTGTGCTGTTGGGAGCCTTCCAGGCACCTAATCGAATTTCCATAATTAACGGCGGAAAGGGTGTCGTTCCTCGAAGAACAGAGTCCCTTGCCGTCGACGCGGTCAGATCGCAGAATTCAAGCGTTGCCACTTGTGGCATACTCCGAAAATACACCAGTTGCCGGTTGCTGGTAATCCCGTCTGCCCGGGACGCACTAAACGTATCTCTTCTTCGAGAGCCGCAGCAGCCCCTCCCACCGCGCATCAATTTCCCCAGACAGAGGACACACGCTATCTGAGACCGTGTCATCTGCCCAAATCATGTCAGGCGAGCCTGCAAAACGGAGAGTTGGCGTCGCATACGATAACGCTGACAGCGAGGGGAGCACATGCTCCTCTGTCCGATGCCATTTCGTGAGCAAAGATGCATCTGGCGTACTATGTAATTGCAGTCGCACCTGAAAACGGCCCAATTTGAATTACGCCCGCTGATCCAGGCCCATATGCACGCCCAGCATACTGGCAATGCGACAGCTGCGGCCAGCCCCGCACAGAGCCCGCCCATTAATGAGAGACACACGAGACCAGCCCGTGCTAGAACGTAAGCAGGGACGACACGCGGGGGCACCTGTCGCGCAGCATAACGCCTGCCAGCGGCGCACGGCTCGCATCAAGACAGATGAACGTCAATGAAAGGTGCATCCATACGGGGCAGCTCGAGAGGGAAGCGGCTTCGGCTCTTGTGCAATGATGGAGGGGCGGCCTTTCTCGGGGTCCCAACCAAGGCCGCCTCCCCAGCGCGCATCGCAACGCCGACACATCGCGCACCAAAAAAACAATTGGCAGATCGAAGGCTGGGCCAAGCCTCGCACGCCGTCCAACACAATCAGCGCGTGCGCTGGCCACCGGCCTTCTGGAAGTCGCTCTGGAACGTGACAATGAAAAGAGAGAATGCGACGAGTTGTCCTCAGGAACGGGTCGGATGCCGATATGTCCGTGAGAAGTCGGGATGGGGCCCAGGGGCGGCGTGGATTGCAGAGATAGAGGGCAGAAGAAGTTCGCTCCTTGAGCGTGCTTCCCCGCCATCGTCGTCATCGTCACAGGAAATAAGCTCGGCGCCGCATCAGAGATATTCCCACTGGCCGCATAACCCTAGTTGCAGCCCCCATCCCCCTAGCACCTGCTTTCACCATGTCAAACGGCATTTTCAATTATAAAATAGAGCGGTCAGTACGTACAGTGACGACACAGGTCCTCTCGTGCGATCTTCCGCATGAAAAAAAGCCGTTGAGCCGGCCGGGCAGAGGAACGCCGTAGCCCGTGAACATATGCTTCACATGGTGCACCGTGCACACAACAGCCTAATCCCCTACAGGACGGAGAGGAGATCGCCGCGAAGCCCACATTTAGCTACTGTCGCCTCTGAGAGAGACGACCAGGGACATATCCGGATGTTTTTACTCAAGCGTACTGACTTCGGCAGCCGGTGGGGAGACGATAAGCGGTTTCGGCGAAGCTTTTTTGGGCGCATGATGCAAGATATCGGCGGGCGAGCTCTCGGGCGCATGATGCAGAATGGCGGGCCGAAACGATAGGGAAAAGACGGGACGGGGCGTACGGCGAGCGCGAACGCTGCTGAAACGGATGGGATTAGATATTGCGGATGATAGCGGGTTGATGCTCCCAGGTTGATGGCGGCCCCGAGAGTCGTCCTTCGATAAGCTGATCATGTCTCAGGCAAATCCAAGCTCCAATATATTAGTCTAAGATTTCTGGAGGTTTCTGACCTCTTCGCCTGGGAAAAGAAATCGCGAGATCCGCGGGAGGACAGGGGGAAGACACAGAAGAATGCACCCGCCCGCTTCGGCCGACGCGGATGCATATTTGCGAAGGGGTCGCGTGCTGCGGTACTGCTGCGGTGTGGCGTCGCGGACGAACAATTGCCACATAATCCTGTCGGCCATCGGGGAGCTTGGGCGCTTAGCCTGCACGTAGCGGGGACGACCGGACGTCGTGATACGAGGTCAACTTATCGATAACCTTGCGCTGACAAAGTCTGGATATTTGTCCTGTACATGCTGCTCGTCGCAGAGGTCGGGCCAGTCGGGTACGCTGTATGCTTCCGAGAAAAAAAAGGGACGTGCTGGCAAGCACGCGTGGGCAGGCACAGGCAACATGTACAGGGAGACGTGTGGGACAGCCGCCACACGCGTGATCGACGGAGCGGGGCGCATGGAGCCCACAGCGGTGGCGAATGAGCAATAAAATGGTTCCGTGATAGAGGTTTCGGTGGAGACTCGCGACAGCCAACCAAGCACTTGCGTATCTCGTCCGCGAATGGCGGCAGTAGTAGTACCAACACAACTCGGCGATGACGACCCTTAAACAACGCTCGCAAGTGGATCACAGACATCGAGGGTCCTGTGCCTGAAGGGCCGTCTTCTGCTCGCCTTCGTAAGTCATCTCGTGTTAGAGATCCCCGTGCCGGAAAGCTCGGGTCCAAATGGGGCCCGTTCTTGGCAGAGTGCATGATTGTCGCGCCATAGACAGGACCCGTTATCGTCCTCGGTGTACAGATGGCGAGATACTGGTGAGATGTCTAAGATATATTGGCTAGGCGGGCGTATGTCGGCATGTGGTGTCGTGTGCGCATGAAAGCAGCGGCGAATCGTTGTAGGTAAAGGCTCAGGATAAGAGCTTGGAGAAGACAGGCGCGTTGGTAAGTCTGAGGAGCAGTAGTGGCTGAGCGACCAAGACTGGGGTCCAGCTGTTCAAATGACGGCACCTGTCATGCTCGAGCTTGGGTCGCGGTGGGGCTAGCGGTCAGACTCGTCTGCGACGCCGCTCAAGCACACGGGCAAGTCGGCGGACTATGGCGGCCATATCGAATGACTCATTAGAGGTGGTCGTGGGTGTGAATGAAGGACTAGCGCAGGCGGTTCGGTTTCCCAACCGAATAGCAGGGCGCATCAAAATGCGGGCATCAATGATGGCGGGTACAGTGTAGGACCACCTAATCAATGTCTATTTCCCATTCGTACATCTCTCAGACATAATACTACAAAATTCATACTATATTACTTTAACATATGTAGCTCCTTCGTGCGAAGCTGCAAGCCGAAAAGATGAAATCTGAAGTCGAAAGGAAGGATACAAAACTGAGATGGTCCGGAACACCAGTTGGGACAGCGTGACTGATATGACAAAATGTGACCTACACACACGGGGCTAATTTTATACTATTTTGCGCGGATAGAGGTGCAAAAGCACATTCAGTTTGTTTCATAAATACACTTAAGCTATTCCCCCATGGGGATGTTATCGTTTTAGTGGTACAAAAAGATACACTGCTTTTACACCTTTTGAGGTATTAGAAGAGTCGAAATATTCTTAGGGCGAAATCATCATCATTTCTTTCTTCATGTGTATTACTCTATATATGGATAGCCCAGCGGTAGTTGCACCTCTTTTTGCTGCGAGCTGACCAACTTTTTACAACAAGATTGACTAAAAAAAGGCGACTTTGTTTTACTCTTATTTTCAAATTTTACCTATCATATATTTTCGCCGGAAAGTGTTCAGGCTTTTTAGCTTCTTTTCTCACGGTCATTTTCGTACCTCTGTCAGCTAAAAATATTTACTAATTAGCCCCGTGACAGCGACCTTGGCTGGCGCGGCAGTCACGCCGCGGTCAGACCTGTCACGCCTCAGTCACGCCCAAGCCCTGTAGAAGTATGTCCGATACATCCTGGCTCGGCACTCAATATCTGAGTACTATATACATTTTTAATATACAATAGGAATAAAATTGAGTGTCCTTGAATATTTTAGTGAATTTTAGGCTCACTGTGCGGCTTGGGTGGCAATCTCAGCATTGGCGCGCTCGACAGTTTTCGAGACTTTTGCTCCTCCACCTACGCTACGTCACTGGAGGACTCTGATTTTTATGGCACATAGATGTAGATGTATTATATGCAGAAAAGTGGTAGCAATAGGCCAGACAGGGTGTACGAGGGCAGAAAGTGGCATGCCCCAAGTAGTGGTGCTGTCCCAAGGAGTGCACCTACGCTGTACTGTCACGGTAGCGGGATGAATAGCACAAACCGGCTAGCGAAGCGTGGCAGGTTGACTTGCCCTCCATGTTACAAACCGGCCCTGAGCTCTGCTTGGCATGTCAGTTTGTAGGGTGAGATATTGGCTAATTATGCGCTTCCGACAATCCTGTCTGTAAATACAGCCATTGCTGAAAGTCTGAAAAGACTTAAAAGGCCAGAGAAAGACCATACTACCTATACTAATCAACTTGGGTTCCCTTCAAACTCTCGTTAGGCCATGTGCACGAGGCGTGACAACAAGACTAGAATTACAAACCAGTGGGGAGTACGTTGTGCGGTTTGTACCGTTTGCTATGAGAATTGCTTACGTAATGCACTGCCAGATATAGACCAGGGCGGCCAGTCGCGTTGGTCTTGTCGCTCAACATCGAAACGACCCCACATCCCAGACTACCTACCGCTGCGCGGGCAGTACTAACGACTCGCTCTTTCATATCACATCTCTACCGTTTATTCAGGTCCTGGCGTTCTCCGTGAGGCGATAGCAAGAACCGACTCTTACGACCCGGACAGCTGCTGCACCTATCGTCCTGGCCTCTAAGTTGACTCTCAGGGACACAAAAATTGTATTCTCTCTGGACTAGACACAAGATAGCTGACATGAAACTCCCAAACTTTGGCCGTTTCTTCCACAAGCGTTCACGCTCGGACAGTGTCCTCTACCGACGCGCACAGCCGGAGGTGCAGCTGCCTCCGCGCCCGGTCTCGGTCTCCTTCAGCAATGGCACCATTCTTTCCCTGGACACGGAACGTTCTATGCTCTCTGAGTTGCTCTCTGGCGTTCCTATCACCCCTCTTGCGGTGGCTATTCCGCGACCTGTCTCTACTAGCACTGTCAGCTCGGGGAGCCAGATCTCCGCCGCATCTCAGCCTGTGGTCATCGACACTCTGGCTAGGCGCATCCAGGAACTCGAAGACACGATCCGCACGCAGGAACAGAACCAGACTTCTGTGTCTTCTCTCGATAGTTCTTTGGAGTCGGCTCAGAATACGATACACGACGCGGGGAAGCGAAACTTGGAGCTAGTGGACGAAGTGACCCAACTGCGGTCTGAACTCGAGCTGGCACGAATCGACCTGGACACTCTCCGCAGCGACCACACGCGTTACAAAGCCCTTCTGGACATCCCGGTCCTGTCCGCCGTGCTCGCGCACTTGACTGCTGGTGACGACCCCGAGGAGGCTCTTGTCGACGCGATCAAGCAAGCCATCAACGAACCCGGCAGTACTTGGCGTACGCTCCTCGAACCCGTTACAGGCCCGCGTTCACCCGAAGACTACATCGCGCAGGTGAATTGCACGCTCCGCGCGCGCCGCGAAGGGCGCGACTGGCAGAAGCGCGCGGCGTTCTGGAGACACAGCGCCAAGGAGAACGGGCGTCACAAGGACACGGTCACCCCGTCGGCGTCGCAGCTCTCGGACATCATTGTCGACGCACAGGGTGCCCAACGCCGAAGTCGGGCGCCAACTTCGCAGAAACTGGGCGATTCGGGGACGGTGCTTTCGCTTGTGCAGGTCCAAGTGGAAGTCGTTAGCCAGGTTGAGGTGGAGAAGGCCGTGCCAGAATCTGTCGAGGTCGTGCCTGCTCCTCTGCGGCTCATTCGGGAGAGCTCTGGGTCTTCATCACCCGGTCTGAATCGGCCTGCTGCGGACGATGGCAATGTCGAACGCAAATCTACCCTGCAAGCTTCGGAAACTATGCAAACGGTCAAAGAGAACCGCAACGCGGAGCGCGCCGTGTCTCAGCCTTATGCGAATCTTCCGCCACTGGCCAGCGTTATCTTTCGGGAGAGCCATTCCATCCGTAGTATCTCGCCAAAGAAGGAAAGTGTTCTGGTTCCGTCGTCGTCTACTCTTTCGCAAGGCAGCCGAAAGTCGGTCAAATCCTTCAGAGCATCAGCAGACGCCGGGCCGTCTACGCCAAGGCAGAACCCTGTCGAGAATGATGCACATATACCTGGTGATTGCTCGTTCGAATCCCTGTCTGCTGGCGTTTCAATCGCGGAATGCGCGCCCGCGCCGCCGAGTGCACTGTGGCCTGTAACGGAGGCTAATACAAGCGGGGCAACTGCGGACTCTGATTTTAGTTCAACATCCTGGGACATGATCAGCAACTTCATCAACAAGTCGCTCTCGTTCTCCAGCCTAGCACGAATTCCCGGTTCCAGCCCCGAGGCAAACTCTAAGTCTACAGAATCCAAGGCCGGGCCAGCGGAAGCACAGGAACAGAAAGCCCCGGCTCAGCTGGCGCATTCTCCGATCCGAGAACCCAAGCCTTCGCGCATCCCGAGCCCGACCTCGAGCGCCAACAGCACTCCGACGTCGAGCCCGGCGAAAAAGTCGCGCCTGCCGCTGCCGATTGCAATGCCGCGGGTCGTGAAGATTGCGATGCCGCAGACGGCGCGGCTCATGCGCCGGTTCTCACGCCAGATGATCTCGAAGCCTGTTCTCATCGACAGCACGAACGCGGCCGCGGTCGGTGACTCGTCGCCAGACGCGAAGGCACGGTTTGACGCGAGGGGCGATAGGGGTGCGAGGAGCGTGGAGAGGGGCGACAGGGGGGCGAAGAGTGTGGATAGGAACGGGAGGGGTGCGCCGCGGAAGATGAACGACGCGCCGATGCCTGCAGGGATGGCGAGGGGCCTTGGAAAGGAGAACTTGCCTGCACAGGCCAGAGGGAGGAGGTCGACTCTGGTTGTGAGTGGTGGATCGTCAGCAAGGACGGCGAGGGTGCGTGCATGATGACGTATCGCGGACCGGGTAGTGGGATCGTGGCTGGTGGGAGCGTGTATAGTAGTGGATAGCAGCATCGTGTACTGTCTGCAGGCCTTGGACAACATGACAAGATCATCTATACCTGGTTTCGGTCGTTGTATGCTGCTGAGTCGCTGAGCGAAGCCACAGTTGCGATGGCATATGTGGCGAAGGGAATCGCCTTGGTGCGTCGAAGATCCGACTCGTCAGTGCTCTCTGGTGGATGATATGCCAGAGATCAAATGAAATTTGGGCATCAATGAGACCCTAGAAGTGCTTTGATGGACGAGCTGGCTTGGTCTAAGATCTGTTTGCCTGACGCGAGATGTTTCCAGGTCTCTTGAAATGACGTTGCCTTGCTCTTCAAAAGCTGCGACAGCTGCTCATACAGGACCGATCGACCGACATTTGAACGGTATGAGGGGCTGCATGCTGTCTGTTAGAACACGTCTACGGCAAAGTTAACTGTAACTTTCAACATACCTAATCCTGGGCGCCTAAGCGCGAGACGAGGGGACGAGATCCACGACATTAGAAGCCCCGCAGAGCAAGAATGCTCAGGCGAAATCTGCCGACATTGAGGGAGAATGAGCATCGCACGCAAGGCACGATGGTGCGTGATCGCAATGAGTCGCGAAAAATTGCGCACTTCAGTTAGAGCCTCCGACGCGAAGGCCAAGGAATCTATACCGATTGGACGGCGGCGGGGCAGTATCACGACGGTGCACATGGAGGGAGGAGACAGCATGTCTTGCGTGGGGCATTCGCAGGCAGCTATCCGCCGCTCTGAGGACGCTTAAGTGTTGCAGCACCTGGTAACTTTCCGGGCGCGCTCCAACCGTGAGGGATTTTGGCTGAGTGGCGATAGGCCCGCCGGGCGCAGACCCTGGGCCGAATGCCACACAACGAGGCTGGGCGAAGGTCAGCCGGATCTCAGACGCGGGAAGGGAGAATGCGAGGGCAGGGTCGGGTGTGGCATGAGAAGCAGCGAGAGTGTGTTCGGAAGAGATGGGCGAGGTGTTAGATGGTATCGGTGCGGTGAGAAGGCGTGAGACAGCCCAGCGTGCTGTCGTAAGGCACTAGATGGAAATTGAACCGCTAACTCTTGCGGTACGGGTGCCGGTACCCCTTAAGAGAGGGCATCGATTGATTAGGCTTCTGCGACACGATTGGGAAGCGCAGCACGGGAGTACCAGCCGAATACTAACGGAGCGACATCGCTACCGTCACCTGGCACCGGTGAAAACTTCGAGGGTCAGGATATGCCCACATGCAGCGATTCGGACCGTAGAACGAATCTTCATAGGCTCTGCCCTCGGACGTGATGTGACCGCCCGAACACATGCTGCAGAGAACGCTTGCATGAAGCAAAGCTATTACCGACCTCTATGAATCGTATTTCAACTCATACGAGACGAAAAACTGCGCACCTTCCGACGAAGTTAGGAGGATGACGGCAGGATCTGCGGTCGCCGGGGCCGTTTGGCTGGAGGTGAGGTCGTAGTGCATGACGCTGGAAGGATCACTTTTGCAAGTATTCTGGTGTACGGAGAGCTGTTAGCGGTCGTGTATGGTCATTGGACTTAGCGATATACCAGCACCCTCTGGCACAGACTCAGTGCAGCGTTATTGAATCCGTGGATGGAGGTGATTAAAGCCTCGCGATAGAAGAACTTCTCTGGAGTGATCGGTATACTTGATGGCATGCTGCACGAACCGTGTCATCTCAGGCCCGATCTTCGTTGAACAAGCCTTCATGTATCATCGATTCTCAAAAGCTGACTCAAAGTCACCAATCAAGACGCAGACGTCATTATGGTACACGATATAGATGAAAGTCTCGTTCCTGCCTTGTGTCAGCATTCGATAAGGATCGCAAGAATAGCACAGTACGCACCTACTTCTATCGAAGTCGTTCCCTTTGCCCAACCCCGAACGACCCGTCACAGTTCCGGGTTCTCCAAAAAGCCTACACCGCTGTTCTTGACTCTCGACACGAACGATTCGTACCATCGAATGATCGTCCCCAGGGGGATCGTGACCTCAGGCGTGAGTGCGCTTCCGCCAGCGAAGCCGGAGACGTAGTTGAAAAGGTGTTTGACGATACGCTCTGCCATGAGCGTTGCGTCAGCTACGGGGTCGCGCCGTGTGGAGACTTGCGACGGCAACGAGGAGACCTGCTGCACGATCTGATCCAGAGGTTCAATTGCAAGTCCGAGCATGGCGGTGACGCCATGTGGGCTGACATCCGCTATAGGTGTGCTTGCGCCGCTGAAGATTGCATGTGTGTCGGAGGATTGTGAGGAGAAGTTGCCTCGGAGGCGGAAGATCGCCGAAGGTTTTTCGTTCGTGAGCCTAAACATAGGCACAGGTAGAGTCAGCGAACAACTACTCGTGGAAGTTATTGCACGTACATTCCTAGAAGCTGGAAGCCCTTCCCAGGCCAGAAAAAGTGCACTGTTGCCCCATAGCCATCCGGGAAGGGTACTGGGAGCGTTGGTCAAAGAGGTGTAAAGAGCGAGCAAACTCAGTACGCACCTGTACCCAGGAGGAAAACACAGATGTGATTTATCGTCTCCGCATTCGGAAGCTCAAATGCAGCGTGTGTCTCGTCCAATTGTTGGAAGTTTGTCTGTAGGAGTCGTCCTGCGACGCAGCAGCCGAACATAACGAGTTGATGAGGCCTAGGTTAGAGGCGAGATGAGGAGATGTGTGTGTCACTGCATGAGAAAGAGATTCAGGAGCGTCCAGAAGGGGGTAAAAGGGGGGATCAGGACCGTCGTAAATGTGGCCGTCGCGAAGATGGATGGGGAAACGCAGGAAGGTTCGAGTGCTCCGTCGTACTGTCGAGAATCGTCTTCAAGGGTCGCTCTGTGGTCAAGCGCACGATCAACACCCCGGCACACAATCTCGCGCTGGCCAGCACTCCGCCGCACCTACTATGTACACATCTGAATCCCAGACAGGTTATCGGTGTGGTTGTGGCGCACATAGAAGTGTGTTGAAGCACGGCCTCCGCATCTTGTCTATAACCAGAACCAGGCCATTCCATCACCACATCAACGTAATAATGCATAGCGTTGTCTATAGTACTATAGGTACAAAAGAAAAACATAAACATGTTACAAAAATCAAGAAACCCTTTTGGTGCACACTCGAGACCAAGTACGCTAGACTTGAGGGAGGCTGTGACGTCATTGCAGGCGCCGATAGTACTGCGCAGTGTGGAAGCGACAGAGCGTGTAGATACGAGCCCGGAGGCGAGCAGCAAAGTTCAGCGTTCGGGTCCTACAGAGCTCCGTGGTCGCCGCTGCCAGGTCGATGTTTCGCTGGGGAAGTCTCATAGTCCGGCGAATGGTGGCATCGGACATTTGCTCAGCTGCGGGGCTCAGCAGACCGTATCGGGTCGAGCACGTTTGCCGTAAGGAATTGTATTTGTATCTCCGTGCTTGGGGTTGCGAAGTATCAACCGATGTCAATCGGGCATCAACCTGGCTTCTGAACGGCGCTGATTGCTGGGAGCCCGTATTTGACTGCAGCGTTGCATTTGGATGAGATAGCAGCGAGCACGGGCTGTTGGAGAAGGCACTCACCATGCTTTGTCCTGACGTCTGTACGGCACTATGTACAGGTACGCGAGGACGAACAGCCACCATCGTCATGCGAACATATGTACCAAGTGTAGATGGAAGAGGGTGCTGTGTTCTGGAATGATAACAGAGGGAGGATAAAACACCGGAGAGGAGGTTGGAACACGGCGTGGAAGCGAAAGAAGGGTCAATTTCGTCTCATTTTCACCGCAAAGGAAGTCGACAGTAGCAGAAACAGCGCTAGCCCTAAGGGAGAAGGCTAGTGAGAGACCGGGAAGCCCCAGCGAGGGTTTGGCACCGCCGCCACGAGCTGCAACTGCCCTACAGGTTTTATCTGCGTAGATCGCTTGTGTCCCAATCTCTCCTGGGCATGCTGAGGGAATTTCGCGACTAGGACGACGTCGCTCCCGCAGCCCATGGCAGCGTGTCCAGATTCGTACCGAGTTGCCCTGTTTGGCCCTATTTGCAGCGCTCCGCAAGAGCCCAACTGTTGTCGCCGCCCAATTCGGAAAGGTCTGGCTGAGACACGCACGTCTGGGCACGAGGTCCGCTTTATAGGTGTGGACCGTGCTTTAAAGCATTCCGTCTTCCCCTCTCATCCCCTCTTCGCTGCCCATGTTCGTTATCCAGCATCTCTCCTACGCAGCTGTCCCCGTGTCCCAATAACGCACGCTTGAGCGTCGCGGGTGCACGGGAGTTCATCTCCTGAACCGCATCCGGGACGTGTATTAAACCTACTATCCATCCGCTGCTCCCCATCGCTTTCAACCATGGTGCGTGCCGAGGGCAATGCTCAAGTTGATCAGACGCTTACTTGGACTCCAGGTTCTAGTCGGCGACAAGAAGTATGCTTGGTATGCCTCTCTACCCCCTGCAACCGTCGGCAGTGGTCTCACGCTTTGCTCCCCTTTCTCAGCGAAACCTGCATTAAAGGCCACCGCTCGTCGAACTGCAAACACGTCGACCGCCCCCTATATGAGATCAAGAAGAAAGGTCGCCCTGTCACTCAGTGCGATCACTGCCGCGAGTTAAGGAAGACAAAACAAGTTCATGTCAAATGCATCTGTGAAGTAAAGCAAACCGAGGTGGATATAGAAGCCACCCTACCCTCTACTGCCACAAGCGCAAAGAAAGGTGAATTGTCTTAACATACTGGCCGTCACCGACTCGTCTGACTGTTAAGGTTTTGCTCGGGGGTGGTCACTTTAGGCGGCAAGAAGGTACCGACGAGCCCTGCGTTTCCCGGTGGCTTACCAGAGACTCTGGAAGCGTCGGTGACGTTGAAGCTGCTGTCGGAGAGCTCGGACTCGGAGCATGGTATGTAGAATCACATCTCTTTAAGTCGCCATCTCATAGCTGTGTATATAGAAATGCATGCGTCCACTTGTACGTGCAAAACGATTGGCGTATGCAGCTGCTTTGTCCCTCGCGCTGCGGCGAGTCGGTCTAAGAAGACGAACAAAACTCGTGCTCCCGTCGAAGCTCTTGACGACGAGCCTGTGATGACACAGCCTGCCGCTCTGGTCGCCAGCGCGAACAGTGGGCGAAACCGTCCGGTACTACCGCGCCCGGCTCCCTCACCACACAGTCGATCTTCTCCCCCGCGCTCCGTTCAAAACCCTACTGGGGTACATCATCAGCGTTCACAGGCGCATTTCAGTCCCTACGAACGCGCGTACGAATACGCACACGGCTCGGATGTCGGGGCGGAACTCTCGATGCCTTTCTCACAGCCTTCCGGCGAACAGTACCAGGAAAATCCTACTCGTGACCTTGATCCCCGTTCTCTTCTCAACCTCCCTCGAAACCCCAATACCGACGAGTTTACAGCCTTCATGAATTCCTGGGTCGCAAACGTTCAGCCCTCGCTTCAACCTTCTGACGTGCCTTCCGTCGCCTGCGACTGCGGGCCGAATTGCGCCTGTCCTGGGTGCATTATTCATCGAGGCCCGTCAGCAGCCCCTCAAAGCTTCGAGTCGTGTGTCAACCCATCGACTTGTTCGTCGTGCATGGACTGCACCATGCTTACCGCTATCGATAGCGCTCCCGTCTTTGAGGAGTGGTTCCGCCGAATGAGCGCGGCCGACGGTGCTTCTGACAACTCCAACACCCTGCTGCCTAACTCCACCTCTTCCCCTCCTCCTCAGTTTGACCCGACTTCCGAGCGGCACAATCCCCAGTCGCAGCACTTCGACCCGACCGTGTGGCAGTCCTACGCCTTGTGGCCCAATCTTCAACATCAGTTCTCCGGTCCGCCACCTCTTGAGGATGGAGCCAGCATGTGTTGCGCCAGTCAATGCAAATGTCCACCTAAGATGTGCGCTTGTCCTGCGGAGTGCTGTTCCGGATGCGGCTGCTCGACATGTAGTCACGAAAGCCGATCGACGGGCACGAGCAATGGGAAGACGCTCACTTTCGCTGTCTCGGGGGAAAGAGCTCCTTGCTGCAGCAGGGAAAGACAGAACATGTCACCCAGCTACAATCAGCAGGCTGAACCTCCCAGTGCGGGAACATCCTCGCGGAGCCCAGGCGAGGTTAACTTCAATGCTAGCCATAGTCTGGACCTTCGTGGCGTCTACGAGGAGTGGAGTGGCCCTGATGCGTCGAACATGGAAGTCCCACGCGTGTCCCTCAGTCGCGCCTCATCAAGCTCTTCGCGTTCTTCCAGCCAGCGCTCGCATCGTTCATCCTCCCAAGGCTTTACTCCTTCACCCACTGCCCTCACTCCGGACGGTGGCGTTGGGGCGTGCTGCACATCCATGCAGACCCTCAGCACTTCACGCCCAGAGTCACATCATTCCAGCTCTAACGCCAACTCTCCAATACCCCCGTCGTACTCGCCGTCTCACCTCGAGCAGTTTTCTGGTGCACCGTTTGATATCGACGATGGCAGTCCACGGATATTTTAATGTAATCTTGGTATCGCTTGCTATGGCATGTACTCCTTTCTTGCCTGTATTTTGTACCACGTATTTCGTACCGTCTCTACTTATATTTGGCCGAATCGGGCCAGTACTTCTTAGCCTTGCGTTGTCTGCTATTCTATCTAGGCACTAGTAGTGCTTTGGTGATCCCCCTATGCTACACGATAATTCTGCTGTATTACAGGGCCTCTCAGCTGTTCGTTTGTAGGACGCTGATTATCCAATGTGTTCAATCTTGTGCAACTTCGTATTGCCATTCGTCGCAGAAGCAGCCCCTCGTACTCCAGCTCGACTTCGATCGCGGCCGCCGGCGGACGAACGCGAGCACGGAGTGCTGGTGAAATCGAAGCGGACCTTGTGCTTCGTCTTCTTTGTGGACATTCATTCGAGCTTGAAGCTCACAAGGCTGTAGAACATCCGGTCAATGAGATCGGGGGCGCCGTCGCTGTAGGCCGCTATCTGTCCAAGACGAAAACCCTAACCCTACGGACCTCTAATGGTGATATGTTTTCTCACGCTCATTGAGGACGATTCTCGGTGAAGAAGACCACTTGGTATTCCGCCGTTGCCTGCGAATGAACTTGTGCTACACTCGCGTTTGCGATGTGCTGTAGGTCTGCTGTGTGCTCTCCAGTCATTCTCCGCGCGGAGCAGCACGGGGCTGCGAAGACAAGCCGTTACGCCCCGCACATATAGTCCCGCGGCTAGCCAAGCGATGTAGTAAACACCCTCGCCTTCCTTCACGGTCCTCCGTGTCCTCCGCACACATTGAGGTGATTCAGTGGGCACCGAGAAACGCTCTGCAGTCTACAATATTGCGTGTCACGTCTTCCAATGACCCGAGTAGGGAGGAACGCACTCGCCTCGTTATGTCCCGGCCGTACGCTTCTTAACCCCAGATCCCTCCTTTCAAATAACACCCGCCTGCTACTTTCTCCCCCACGTCTCTCACGAAATATGCACAATCTCACCGTCGCCGACCTCAACCCCGCTGTACTCAACGTCCAGTATGCCGTTCGTGGCGAGCTCGCCATCAAGGCTGAAGACCTCCGCAACAAGCTCGAGGCTGGGCACGACCTGCCCTTCAAGCGAGTCATCAACTCAAACATTGGCAATCCTCAGCAGAAGGGCCTTGACCAGCCCCCGCTTACCTTCACTCGCCAGGTGAGTATCTGCAGCCGTCTTTGAAGCCGGGGGTCGTCCTTCTGCCACCGGCGTCCTTACGGACAGCATGCTAACGCAGCCCTCAGGTCGCGGCGTTGATGGAATACCCTCCACTAATCGACCTGGTGAAGGACAAGTGGCCCAGCGACGTCGTCGATCGTGCGCGCGAGCTGCAAGAGGCGATCGGCTCCATCGGAGCGTACTCTCACAGCAAGGGTGTCCCCTACATCCGCAAAAGCGTGGCCAAGTTCATCGAGGGTGCGTGCTATGAATCCTTGTTGCACTATACACAGTCTCTGACATCCCACAGAACGCGATGGTTACCCATCTGACCCTGAGGACATCTTCCTCACTGCCGGCGCGTCCGCCGGTGTCTCGCTCCTTCTCAATGTCCTCATAACACCGCACCAAACCGGCATTCTGATACCCATTCCTCAATACCCCCTCTACACCGCTACCTTGGCTCAATTCAGCGGTACTCCTCTGCCGTACCATCTTTCAGAGCCCGATGGGTGGTCCACGAGTTTGCACGAAGTCGAAGCTGCGATCGAAGAAGGCACGAAGAAGGGCGTGAAGCCCCGTGCGCTGGTCATCATCAACCCCGGCAACCCCACCGGCTCGCTGCTCGACCTCGAGACGATGGAGTCTGTCGTGCGTCTGTGCGAGAAGCACTCGCTAGTGCTGCTCGCGGACGAGGTGTACCAGTTCAACCTGCATAGCCCGGAGACCCATCCGTTCCACTCGTTTAAATACGTCGTCCGCAAGCTCAACTCGCCCATCCAGCTCGTATCCTACCACAGCATCTCCAAGGGTGTCAAGGGCGAGTGTGGCCGTCGCGGCGGCTATTTCGAGTGCACAAACTTCGACGAGGACGTCAAGGCGGTCCTCTACAAAATGGTCTCTGTCGGCCTCTGCCCGCCGCTTTCAGGTCAGATAGGCGTCGACAGCATGGTGCGCCCGCCGAAGTCCGGCCAGCCGTCGTACCCGCTCTACAAGCAGGAGACGGACGCGATCCACAGCGCACTCGCCCAACGCACCAAGCTCATGGCTGAGCGCCTCAACTCGCTGCCCGGCGTCTCGTGCGTCCAGTCCCCCGGCGCGCTTTATCTCTACCCCAAGCTCGAGCTTCCTCAAAGCGTGGTTGACGCTGCGAACAAGATTGGCAAGACGCCCGATACGTTGTATGCGCTCGAGCTTCTCGACGAGACGGGCATCTGTGTCGTCCCCGGCTCCGGCTTCGGTCAGAAGGAAGGCGAGTCGCACTATCGTCTCACTTGCCTCTGCCCTGGTGTGGAGGAGTACGTTACCGCCCTTGAAGAGTTCCACAAGAAGTTCATTGCCAAGTACGGTGGCTTGTAATCTGGGCTTCGTATAGACACTGGGAGTAATGGGAGTCGAGACAGCTGCAAAAAAGGTTCCATTGGTAATACGTAATGTTGCAGATTCTTGGTCATCTTACGCGTAGCGTCGCAAAGTAGTGGGAAATACGCACTAGTACAATAATATTTGCAGTTTAGACACCATATTGTTCGTTGAACGGTGCCAGGTGCTCGGGGTCCGACTGTCTTGGAGGCGCCAATCAATTCCGCTATGATTCGGAGGCGCGCGTCACGCGCTGATCCAAAATTCCAAAATTTCTGGCTGCTGAACTTATAGCGCCTTCGGTCATCCGCCGCCTTTCTCGCCATGCCAGACGCATTCTTCCAGAGTAACAAGAGCAGGAAGCGCAAACGTTCCACCATAGGCGGCGATGGTCCGTCTACCTTCAAAAAACTGGCGCGCTCGGGCGCGCCTGGCAAGTCTCAAGGCCGAGGAGGCAAGAAGGTCGGTGCGGCGCATCCAAAGCGCAGTGTCAGAGACGAGGAACTCTCGGACGAGACACGCGATGAGGAGGACGGCACAGACATCGACGACATGGATCTGCGGGCGCCCGACGTCGATCCAAATGCGTACGAAAGCGCAGAGGAAGACGAGGACGAGACTCCGGCCGAGAAACGGCTGAGGTTGGCTAAGCTCTACCTCGAGGGTGTCAAAGAGGGCCTCGGACTTGGTGCGTTCTCTCTTCTCGTTGCCCTCTGTCTGCTGTGTTGAACACTTTGCAGCGGAGGGCGAATTTGACGCGGCCGAGATCGACAGGGAGCTCATTTCGGCGAGGCTGAAACAAGACGTGCTCGAACATGCGGGCAAAGTCCATCTGTTTGTCGCGGACACAGTGCGTAGGGGTTCATAGTATCTGACTGTTTCTTCTCACCTTCTCCGTAGTATGACCTGTCTGGCCCTCCGATCTTCCGTACTCGGGGGCACCGGTTCTCTGCAACTTCTGCCGTTGCATCTGAGGACGCACGGTGGCTCTATACCTCCGGCAAGGACGGCTGCATTATCAAATGGGACTTGAGCACTGGCAAGAAAATTCACCAGTTCTTCAAGGTCCGACCTGCGAAGGACAGTGGAAAAGGGAAAGGGAAAGCGAAGGCGGAACCAGTGGGCGAGCTGCGGGGTCATACAGACGAGATCTGGGCGTTGGCTCTGAGTCCGGACGGCAAGTTATTAGCGAGTGGTGGAAAGGACAGGCGAATAGGTATTTGGAATGCCGAGACAAATGAGTGGGTGAAGGGCTTTGGGGGACACAGAGACAGTATATCGGTAATTAGTCTCCTCGTATCCCTTGTTCGTATGCGCTTATGACACCTCAGGCTCTGTCCTTCCGCAAAGCACCCACAACCACGAACACACCCACACAGTTATACAGCGGGTCGTTTGACCGGACACTTAAAATTCATGACCTTTCTGTTATGGGCTACGTTGAAACGCTATTCGGCCACCAAGCACCGGTTCTCAACATTGACTCGCTCATGAAGGAAACAGCTGTTAGTGTGGGTGGGCGAGACAAGACGGTGCGATTTTGGAAGGTGCCGGAGGAAAGTCAACTAGTGTTCCGCGGTGGAAGCAAGAGCGGCTGGGAGGATGCGTTAGAAGGTGGTAATTTGGAGGACGGGATGGATGACGACAATGGGAAGAAGAAGAAGCAGAGCAGGACATCGGAGAAGTTCATAGAGGGCAGCATAGAGTGCTGTGCTATGATTGATGAGACGACCTTCGTCAGTGGTGGCGACAGCGGGTATGTGATCCATTTCTGAGAGTAATCTCATGTGGACTTATCTTCTACTCTAGCTCTATCAGCTTATGGACGACGCAAAAGAAGAAACCGATCTTCATACAACCGCTTGCGCACGGTGTGGACGAGTCGCAGGTGGAGACGGAAGACATGGACATTGTCCGTAAGCCACGCTGGGTCACAGCCCTCGGATGTCTCCGCTATTCCGATATGTTCGCGTCAGGTACGCGTGTCGCGGAGAACGGTTAAATAAATGGCGCTCACTACTTTCATTCCTTTCAGGTTCATGGGACGGCGAGATCCGGGTATGGAAGCTCGACCCAAAGCTCAGATCCTTCTCCCTGGTTGGCAGCATCCACGCACTTGGTGTTATCAACACACTACAGTTTATCTCTGTACCGCGGAGCGAGATCGCGAATTATAGCTGGGCTAGGCACGGAGACACGGAGACGGTACCGAACGCCCGAGAGGGTGTACCCTCGCGTGTGCCACGAATGTCAGAGCCGAAGTCGGTACTGCTCGTTGCCGGCATTGGCCAGGAAATGCGCTTGGGCCGGTGGGTACAGAAGAAAGGCGAGGGCGTCCTGAATGGTGCGCTTGTCGTTGCGCTAAATCCACGGACATCCACCTCTTCATCATAACTTGCATTGCCGTGACCCTGTGTAATTCACCTCGTCAGTTCATACTTGGATCGACTCACATCCTCATTGCGCCTTACGTCCATTAGGGGTTCGGGAGTAAGTTACACAGGCAACCGGGAAATTGAGTAGTTTCACAATTGTAGGAATTCCACGATATCGAGGGAAAAATTGGCGATACCGAAATCGCGCTGACCGTGGTCAGTCGAGACGCAGATTCTGTCCTGTCAGGAAACCGCATGGGCGGATCTCAGACCTACGATCTGAGCACCTGCACAGACCGGCCATTGCCGCCCACGAGCTCATTGTCGCAACGAAACAGTCGAGAAACCTCTGTAATTTATACTACGCAGAATACAGCATGCTACATATCACTTCCGTTAGATAGACTGGCCGCAGGTCCACCAGCAGTAGGGGCGGACAGGATTGCAGGCCCTTCGTCATCGAAACGTGACGGGCGTCTCGATTTCGAGACACGCAATGCTGCACGTGCGGCGCTGAAATCCGCTATCTCTTCGAAAATCCTTAAATCGTGAAACTGGATGCCTTTCCACAGCCGTCTACAGAGCTTTGTAGGCTAGATTTTAGAATAAATCGGACATGGCATCACGGCAGATCTTACTTACCACTGTTTCGGTCTAAACAGCTGCGTTTACAGACTCGAAATCTGGAAGGGGGGTCGGACCCCCCTTACAGACCAGATTCTACGTTTACAGACCAGATTCTACGTTTACAGACCAGATTCTACGTTTATAGACGTGATTTCAAACTCCGCATGCGTCGTTGCACTTGTTCCCCCACTTACGCCGCCCTCCGTCTTGCTAGATGTGTACAGTGATATTATAAATGGAACATATGGTATTGCCTTTCTGGCCTTTAGGTGAAATCGGGACCGAGGCAGGTATGTGGTGAGCTCGTCGACGTTCAATGTATACGGCGTGATTGGCCGGTGACCAAGAGTGATGCTGTCCCAAAAAAACGGTCCCTTGGAGCACTTCATTGGCAGCAGATTCGTGCTCATCTTCCAACTACTGCCAGAGCAGTGTTAAGTTAGGGTCTATCAGCGATACACAGAGCGAACGCATCCACTCGAGTGTGTCAGCCCGCAGTCGCACTTTCAAACTCCGCTTACGAAGCGAAATATTCTGTTTCTTCGCTCTTGGTTGCTGTGGCTTTATAGATTGGTACCATTAGATCCTAGACTGTAGTTTACACTCCGCACTATATTCTAGAATCTGAAAAAACCCTGTGGAAAGGCATCCACTGACTGAATTTCCCGTTTCCCTGTGTAGCCGGTTCGGCCCAAGATGATCGTCCGCGTCGGGCTTGGTCACCTCTCGTTTCTGATATGAATGACAACAACACAGATGTCTGACAGCCTAGGGTTCCACTTCACTGTGTTCTTCTATGACCATGTACACGACGAGTCTGAACTACGAATCATACATATTTGATTCGCGACCAAGGTATCCTCTCCTCGTACGTAGTCCTCACTTACTAGCATCTCGCCTGGCGCACCGCTGATCTTCGACATACCCGTGAGGACTAGATTACTGCCAAGCGGTACTGGCATCCCGAACACTGCTCCACTGAAACCGACGCGGTCACGCTTATACTTGCACATGGGGCGGGCTTTCACAAGGAGCACTGGGAGCCAACGCTCGAGCATGTCTATGAGCGTCTCAAGGAGCCGGAGAACGCGTTCGGAGTAAAGGTCCGTGAGGCATGGAGCATCGAGTGCCCCAACCATGGTGATGCGGCGGTGTTGAATGAGGACGCACTGACGTGGGGATACTTGCCTACCTGTGAGTTGCACAACGGAAGTGTTCGCGGAGCTAAAATGACGATGTACCAGTCTCGTGGGAGGAGTACGCGCGAAGCATACATGCCGTTCTAACCGGCCTTGGACAAGGCATAGATGTCGACTTTAGTCGCAGACGGCTCGTAGGCGTTGGGCATTCCATGGGTGCCATAGCGCTGTGCGTTTCGACGTCCTCGTATGTTCTTGCAATCTCTTACATTCGCCTTTCTCTACCAGGATGCTTGCCGACACTTACTTTCCAACACTTAAATTCGCTTCACTTATCCTTGTCGGCCCCGCGCTCCTGCATAAGCTGCATCCAGGCGAGCTGCAGCCTGATCCTGCCACCCCTGCCGCTAAACGCCGCGACATTTGGCCAAGTCGCGAGGAAGCCTTGAAGGCGCTACAATCCCGGCCCCCCTTCAAGACATGGGACCCACGGATTCTCGAGCTGTATGTAGAGCATGGAATGCGCGAGCTCCCGACAGCAGTGTACCCCGACAAGGCGGACGGCGTGACACTGAAGTGTCCGAGGAAGCAGGAAGTGGTAAGTTTACCTTTTCATTGACGTGATTTGGGGTAACTCGTAGGTAGGCTTGCTACCTATCGGATATCGGGCGCGCCCGCGCGTACAACTATCTGCATCACCTATGCGTGACACTGCCTGTGCACATCATCTTCGGTACAATAAATGATCTCTTGTATGTTTCTGCTTCTTCTATAGTTATTAGAGTACTCACATGGATACTTGCAGCTCGGTCGCCCACCAGTACATTTTAACAGTCGCCGCAAAGGAGAAGTATGCTACTGTTTCGAAAGTCGACGGAGCTGGCCATCTTGTACGTTTCAGACGCACCTCACTAGCATTTCATTAATTGATGCACATCCTCGCAGGTACCACAAATGCAACCTAAGGGGCTTGCCGACGCAGTATTTGCTGCTATGAGGCACGACATCTCGACTAGCTTTGTCCCAGGAAGTAGTCTCTCGAGCAAGCTTTAATAATATCTCATATCGCAGTCGCTCTTTGGCTGTGATTACATGAACTTATCCCTATCTTACTCTGTTTAGAGTTGACACCGTAATAGAACCTGTAGATTTTAGATGCCCCAAATGATTGACACAGTTGTTTGTGGCTGTAATTATTGATGTGGTAGCCTGGCAATGCTTTTGAGAGCTGAGCGGAAGCATCATTGAACCACGATGTGTGAATTCCTTCTAGCCCCCTTCTGCCTCTTAAAGTTTGGGTTGACCCGCTGACTTTCTTGTACAACGACCTCCACCTCGTGAAACTTGTCTCTGAAGGACGTCGGCTCTCCACAACCTTTCTCAAAGGGAGAAAAATGAGATAGCACGCGGCTTCGCTGCTAATGATCCTGTACGCGGGCGGGACGACGCATGGTCTGTACTGTGGCTCATATGGGGACTATTGAGCACCTGCTCACTCGCATCAAGGAAAGCGAGCGTTACGCCGTGAGATCTGATCTTAGGGAAGTTTGGCAGCCACCTTTGTGGGACCTACTTGGCTCTCATGAGCTGAAACTTCTTACAGCTGGCCACGCTCTAGTTCTCGGATGTACCGAGGTGGGCAAATCACCATCATCGCAAACAGATACTTTGAGTGTGCATACATTATCATAGGGCTATGGCGATGTACCTTTATTGCAGCTACGACTCAGACTCGGTCTCCTCCCGACAGCGGTGCAATTGGCGAAAGAATCAGTACAAGGTTTATTGTCGCATTTGACTACTTTTCTGATCTAGAGCGGATTGCTAGCCGAATTCAACCTACCAAGCACCGTGAGCGTCATGTTCGAGCTCAGAGACTTCTTCACTATCGGTACTTGTTTCTGAGGAAGAGAAGCCGATGGCCTCGCATACAATCGTACGTACGCTCCCCCTGCAGCAGTTATGATAATTCTCTAAAATGATTGGGGCAAAGCAAAGAGCTCACACTCTATCTAGAAACTGTCAGGTTGTGACTTAACCGCCCCGGGGCTCGTTTCACCTTGCAGGCGCGTCGCGAGAGCTCCTTCCTTTCTCGGACACTTGTGTAGACGCGCTGCCTCCGTCGCGCTCCTTAGCTCACGCAACCACGACGAAGTCGCCCATTCTCTCCACGGCCTGGTCGTTTCCTAATTCATGCCGATTTACAGGTCGTACTAATTGCATGTTATACTACTGCACGAATATTGGGGACCCGGTCTCTGCGTAGACCTTGGTAGTCCCTTTGCGATTAGAGGTCAGGGTGTCTCATTGCGAAAGGGCTACCGAAGTCCACGCAGCCTGGCTACAGCAAGCAACGTCTAAGATTTCAAATGTCGGACACATCGCACTATCAGCGTTGTGGTAGGGCTAGCACCACGAAGGCCGACCAAGAAGGGGTTCATCACACGTTTTCTCTCTCCCTACCGTAATCATGGCGTTTGATCAATCATATTCTTATATGTATCGCTACACTAACAGCATCGATCTAGATCGCAACCGGACTACTATAGTTTCAGACCCACTAGGAATATATTGCCTCGCGGGGCAAGCAGACCTCGTGCCTACTGATTTGAGAGCTCTGGCTTGATAGGACCGGCCTTTGGCCACTTCTGGAAGTGACCAGCGGCTTGATGCAGGAAGCTGTAGAGTGTGCCATCGCCCTGCACAGAATCCAGGTTAGATACAACTTGAACAGCAGACGCACAAGCAGGGCACTCACGAATTCAGTATACGGGAATCCCTTGTGGAACGGCACAGCGCTGTCGAGGCGCTGAATCTGCTCGTCGCTGAGGTGGATCGACAGCGCATCGATATTGTCGTACAAGTGCTCGACCTTGCGGCCGCCAACAATAGGGAATACGTATGGCGCCTTCTGCATAATCCACGCGATCGCAACCGACGTGATATTCTTCGCCCCGACCTCCTTTGCGACCTGCTCGATCTCGAGGCAGACCTTGCGCTCCTCGGGCGTGCGCTTCCAATCGCCGGAGATCTGGCGACCGTTCTCGCCGGACTCGAGGCGGCGCTGTTCCTCAGCATCCGTGCGTATCTTGCCGCCCGCGAGGACGTTCCACGGCGCGACGGCCATGCCTAAGAACCAGCACTTAGCGTCACTCAAGTCGAATACGCTTCAGACCAACATACCTTGGGCGATACACATGGGCAGGATGTCGCGCTCAAAGTCGCGATCCAAGATGCTCCATTTGCCCTGGTAGATCGTGAAAGGCGTCTTGCCGGTCAGGCGAGCGTACGTGTTCGCCTGAGACACGACCCACGCGGGCGTGTTGGAGACACCGAGGTAGAGGACCTTGCCCTGCTGGACGAGCGTGTGCAGGCCGTCCATGACCTCTTCCACAGAGGTGGCATAGTCCCACCAGTGGAGGTAGAGGATATCGATGTAATCGGTACGGAGCTTCTTGAGAGACGCGGTGACGGAGGTATGCATGGACTTGACGCTGTTTCCGACGAAGGCACTGTGCTGGCCGTTCTTGCCGCGGCGGAAGTCGGTCGTGTACTTGGTGGCAAGCACGATCTGGTCGCGGATGCCGCGCTGTTTCATCCACTCGCCAATAAACTCTTCAGAGGACTCGTCTTGGCTGTAGGGAAGGTCAGTCACCGTTGCACGCGCAGGTCGTACAACTCACTAATTGTTCGCGGTATCAATGAAGTTACCACCGGCGTCGTAGAACGCGTCGAGCAGCTTGAAGCTGGACTCTTTGTCCATGCTGCCCATGCCGAACGGGTGCCACTTGTCGCCGATGCTCATCGCACCGAGCTGGATAGGGGAGACATGGACACCTGCGCGGGAAGCGAGGGGCCTATGGATGCCGAGCTTGGTGGGAGGAAGAGGAGGTGAAGCCCAAAGAGACATTGTGTGTAGTTTCTGGGAAAGTTACTGAGTTTAAGCAGATGTGTGGAAGACTGGATGGTCGATGCTGGCCATGTCGACGAGTTAACGGTTTTATACGCTGCCTGGCAGTCGTGAGCGTTCTTCAGTTAGGACATAGGAGAAAAGGATGTCTGCTGAATAACAAGCTAGGTCAGATGGTGGAGGTTGACCGAGGTTGACCTGTGGTCGGCATCCTCAGACAGGATGTGTGCTAAGAGCGACATTGTCTGAATGCTATCACCGATGAGGCGGTAATCACGGAAAAAGGAGCGCTTGAGCATGCACTGACATATGTATGCCGAACCTGCTGAGAGACGCGAAGGAACATTACAAACTTCGCCATCCGTGACTTTGATTGGCTGCCAGCGACTACGGTATCGCCGGGTGGCTTCGGGGTACCAGGGCTCGGGTTAGCGCCACAAAGGCCTAGCAGAAAATGCCCGGTTCTCCTCGCGTCCCCTCTTTCCGCTACAGCGTTTGGCCAGCGGTGCCTACATACCTAAGCATTGGCATCAGCTACTCGACGAACTCTATTCTCACCGGAAAGATCGCAGTCAACGGCTATGCTAGACTCAATGACGTGTGGCTGGCAGTGTTGACGAAAATGGTGATAGCACCGGGTCTCCGGACGGCTCTATCAGAATTATACCGTCCTTCGAGCTGATAGAATAATGCACACAAATCATGCCACAGCTTATCTTCGCCAACCCCAAGCCTGTTCAGACTCCGACAGAGGTGCTTGGCTAGAAACCGGGCTCTGAAGCTACACAAGTCCGGGTAGCCAGAAAAATGAAGAGCGGCAAGACCCCAATTGTTTCATTCCAGAACCGGCCTGCGCAGTGCAACTGTGAAGCTTGTACGTATGTAAGGTAGGGGTCGCCAGGGGCGGGCACCCCTTATGTAAGCAGACGCCGGCTGACAATGGCGGCCTTAATGGCGGCGGGCGCACCCCTCCTTTGGTAAAACTGCTCAGTAGGAAATGTCAGAAGAGGCTCTGCCTACAATTCCTATTCAGCAGAACCTTTGTAAATGGCGTTGTCATCGAGTTATTTGGGAAAAAGTGGTCTCAGCAGAAAACACATTTTTCAGCCAAACCAGCAAGATTTTGTGAGGTCGAATTTTGCGCAAGCGCCCATAGTCACGTGATTTACCACGCGAGAGCGCTGATGCGTATAAGCTCCATATTGAGCAACATCCCGCCTGCCCATTGGGGCGCTTAATTTCTGCCCCTTGGGAATTGGCCTCGAGTGACTTCTCTGAATGAAGTGGCAAACATAAAATCAAAGTCAAGTTATAATTACACTACTGCCACCTGCTAAGACATTTCTCAGCCTACCCTCGACCTTAAACTTGGTACGGGCAAGCGAAATCCCTTAGGATTTTGTGCCTCCCACGATCACGTGATATCGCTTATGTAAGAGTGCCCGTTCCTGGCTCGTACCCGTGGTCGGAGGCAGTGTTTAACGTTTAGCCGCAATGTTTAGTGACCGTGGGAATCGGCTTCATTACAGTTGGCCTACGCGTCCGCGCGGCTTGACTTTAACTTCCCCTCCACCCCGAGGCTTCAGGTGTATAAAATCACGTAATAATATGTCTACTGTCTTCTCTCTTTGCTCGAGTCACCGACCCACTCTCAGCTTCAATTCTAGACTTTGACCAAGATGCTGGTCTTGAGCCGAAGTGCTGCGCGTGCAGGCACGCGGGCGTTGACGCGCGTGGCGGGGGCGAACACTGGCGTAAATGTGCAGGCTAGGACGTTCCTCACCATCGTTGAACAAGGCTATGAGGCATGGAGGCTGACATTGGGGTCAAACCCTGTGAAGCTCGAGCCAGGCCTGAAGCTTTCTGTGCCGCTTCTACACAAGGTACAGCACATCAACATGAGGGAGAAGTCGGTATGTCCGAGAACGTTTCCTCTTAGACTCAAGCTTAATGTTCAACTGCATGTGCTAGGTCAACATAAAAGACCTCATGGGTTTCACAAGTGACAACGTCCCAGTCGTCATCTCTGGGTCTCTCTTCTTCCGCGTCAGAGATTCATACCATGCCTGCTTCTCGGTGGACAACTTCGAAGCAAACGTGGCCAACATTGGCACATCTGCTATGCGTTCAGTCATCGGACACTTTTCTGTAAGTCAATGAGTAGGATCTCTATGTCTCGTGCTGCTGACATCTCGTGCTGCTGAATCGTGTCAAGTATGATGAAGTTATTGGCGACCGCAACAAGACCAACAGTAAACTGCATGAAGTTATCGGAAACAGCATCAGCGTCGGCCCCTTCATTGCTATCGTGTATGCCGCGGCTAACCAAGTCATTCACTGTATAGAGATGGGGCGTTGATTGCACTCGATTCGAAATCCAAAATTTCAAGCCGTCAAATCGGGATGTCGAAAAGCAGCTCGAGCTTCAGATGACCGCAGAACGGGACAGGCGCAAGCAAATTCTTGACACCCGGGCTCTGGTCAATGTCGCCGAAGGTCACAAACAGCGGGTCATCCTCGAGTCCGAAGCAAGCAAGTCAATTCACTGATTTCCCTCTGCCGTGTCTCACCTCCTCGTCGCAGGTCTCCAATCCAAGCTTAACGAAGCCGCCGGCCAGAAGCGCAAGCTCGTGCTGGAATCAGAGGGCATGCTCGAAGCTGCGAAGAACGAAGGCGAGGCACTTGCTCGCCAGGTCGACATCCTGGCTCAGTCATTGACTGAGCCCAAGACTACTCCTTCGGATGCCGACCGGGTCAAGGCACTCGATGCACTCTTGGAGTTGAGGCGTCTTGAACAGCTGAAGGCCATAGCATCAAGCAACGGCAACTCTACGTATTTCTTTGGCAATGCTAAGGGCACCGGTCGCGACTCTTACGAAGTTGACAATGTTGAACGATGGAAGAGAACCCTGCTTAATCAGCAACGCGCCATGAATTCTTCAGCAACTCCACTTTAGCCATCAGCTACCGTCGAGTTGAGGCCTATACCTATCCCCTACTCATATCCTTCCATTCTAAGAAGCATGTACACTACCTCACCACTCAATCACTTTACATTGCGTTATCTCTCAGCCTTCCAACTTAAGCGGTCTTCCCACCCCTCGTACTGCTCATTCTTTTAAGGTTCTCCCGCAGGAAGAAAAATGGAGACGCTGAAAAAGGGATTGTTCAGCATGTACGGTGAGTTGATCAGTCCACAGTCTGCATTGAAAACTTGGTCCCCCCTGGATGTTTGACAGATCTTGACAGAGCTAACTCTTGGTTTACGAAATAGACTTGACTGCTCAAGTCGGCCGGCCCAGTTGTTGAAGGGCGAACTGCTAGGTAGCTGTGGTCTATGAATAGAGCCTACTAACGGGTTCGCCTCCAGCTGATTGGAAGCCGCAGCCTGATTAGCCCGGGCACCTCAGGATCTGCAAGACCGACTGGCGCATGCGACTCGGAGTGAAGTGATCGACATGGTGGATCCGGTAAGCTTGACAAGGTGAACTCCGTGTCAAAGGTGCTGTGTGGGGGTAGAGCTGGATGGTGATTGATGGGCCGATAACGCTCAGTGGCCATGTCGAAAATGACTTGTTTGAATCTGCACCTGTGCCCGCCCACGTCCTGAATGTCTGAACCACGCGGATTCGTCCTTGCCTCCTTCAACTTCGTCGCCGTCTCGAGCTCGCGTGTACGTGTCATGCGACGTGTGCTTCGTGGTGAAAAGCTTTCTGAAGTGATATATCTACTGGTTTTCCATACTAGCGGTGTTCGGTGCTGCGAGCACAGAGGTTCATTAATATTTGCACAAGTATCAAACGCAGAATTTCTGACAGACCGTGACGGACTCATGCATCACGAGTCTTTGGTGTTTAGAATATTAATACTGCCAGATTTTCGGATGGATAGTACTGTCACGCGGGCGGGAATGGATTCTGTAGCGTTTGCTTTACGTGGTATGAACAAGAGGTAGCTTCGCTGCGCTCCGCGACCGCTGTTTTCGTGGCTGCGGTTCTGCGGGTGTTGAATGACACAATCAAGATTTTTGGTAATATTAATCCTGGCTTAGCTAGCGGCAAGGCGCGCTGCGCGCGGCGTAAGCACGATCAAAGAGAATGACGAAATGAGGGTAGCCAAAAGGTATATAAGACGAGGGAGGAGAGAGAGGGGCGCCTAGAGCGAGTAAGACATGGATAAGAAAGACATTTCTTACTTTGAGGGCATCTGCGTTACAGTATAGAGAAAAAAATTAGATTCTTTATTTCGCCGGACTGGGACAATATGCCCATACTTCGTGCCTCATGCACATGTTCTACTAAATCCACCTGCAATATATTCCCATTTGTGGTTCATGAAAAGAATGCGAATCTACTGGATTACGATTACTACTATTACTATATTACCATAATAATAATGGCTATAATATTACGCAGATGCCCTCAAAGTAAGAAATGTCTTACTTATCCCTGTCTTACTCGCCCCAGGAGCTCCTCTCCCTTCTCCCTCGTCTTATATACCTTTTGGCTACCCCTATTTCGTCATTCTCTTTGATCGTGCTTACGCCGCGCGCAGCGCGCCTTGCCGCTAGCTAAGCCAGGATTAATATTACCAAAAATCTTGATCGTGTCATTCAACACCCGCAGAACCGCAGCCACGAAAACAGCGGTTGCGGAGCGCAGCGAAGATACCTCTTGTGACGTATAACAACCAAGGGGCGGAGGCAAGTGCAGTTGGGGGATGCCTGTCGAAAGTTTCGAAATGGTAACTCATTTGGACGACCAAATTTAAAAGCCCCTCATTGCAATCAGATTCATACCACATACTTCGTCAGGTACGTCCTTTAAACTTTTGCTTTGCGTCTGCCATTGACCGGGAGGCCCCAAGTCATGGAACAGACTGCCTTGCCACCAGATTTTCGTTCCATCTTCGAGGCTCACGAGGATGATGCGGACATCATATTGGATACGAGTGACGGCGGCTGGCTCTATGTCCATAAGCTTATCCTTAGGAAGGCTTCGTCCGTGTTCGCCATAATGTTCGACCTACCTTAGCCTTCGCGCGGACCTAGGGACACCCTCCTCGGTACGGAGAACTGTGACCTTCCCGCTATGCCGGTGACAGAGGAGAAGGCCGTGTGGGATAGCATCTTGCGCATGCTCTATCACCACGAAGTTCCCGACTTCGCTTGCGTCGCCCAAATGAGGGACATCCTCGAGGCCGCCCGGAAGTACGACCTCGAGTTCGTCATGAAAGACATCGAGCATGGCCTTCTGTGTCCCCTGCGCAAGCAGTGGGATGCGCTCGACGTTTATGCCCTCGCCTGCGCGTACGGCCTGCAGAGCGTCGCGACACAAGCCGCCCGTGCCACGCTTGCGACGTCACTATACCAGCTCTCTACACGCGAGCTGCACGATGTTCCAGCTTCAGTCTTCCAGAGACTGCTTGACTATCGCCTGCGCTGTCAGGACGCGGCCGCTGCAGTCGCGGGCTTGTCAAAGCAGGGCGGTGGCAATCTCTTCAAGCGGATCGATTGGCTTCCGCGCACGACGTACACCTTCTTCGAGTGCAACTGCACTTCTGGTGGCGTCCCGTGCTCTGTCAGGCTCGGCTCCGACGCGCACTCCCACTGGGGTCGGGGTTACTGGAGTAGCTACTTGGAAAGCGCGGAGCAGGCTCTGAGGGAACGTCCGGTCGGCGACGTGGTTAAGGAAACGGCCATTATCGTCCCCTCGCTCAAAGCTGCAGGGTCCTGTACGTCCTGTCGCCAACACATCTACGAAGACTTAACCGAGTTTGCCGAGCACATGGCAAAAGAGGTTGACAGGGCTGTCGCCGCAGTAAGTTATGAATTGACTGTCATCCACAATTGAGGCTAACCAAGAATCGTCAAAGGTCTCTCTGAGATTGTAACATCGCCGCTTGCCAATGTGGAAAGCACACGACCACCATCGAGGTCGGGCCTCAACAGAGCAACGGTTTTCTGTATATTACAGACCCAAAGGGGTCACCTTGTAGAGTGTTTACAATTCCCGTAAGATTAGGAGCACGTCGTTGTAAAATAAAAAGGTTAAGTGCAAAAAGACTCTAATCTGCAGTCTATTTACGCAAAACGGTATCGGGGTGGATATCATGAAGAAAGACGACGGAGGAAAGTTTAGCGTCCGCCGAGTTGGTGAAAGTGGTCGTCATATAATATACCGAGAGTTTCAGAGACAGCTTCCGGATCCACGTACGCGAAGATTTACGACTCCTCCATATGAACCAGCTCAACCGCACGCGCCATAATCTCCTGAAGCGGCCAGCGCTCACCCACACCCTGCTTCAGGTCCAAGAGATCGCCAATCTCGTCGCACGCTACGAGGATCGTGTCGATGTCCTCCTTGGTGTGCGACGCACTCAGGCAGAAGCGCACGCGCGATGTTACGAGAGACGTAGCTGGATACGCGACGACGACGACGACAATAGGCGTTGGACGTGTGCGCATGAGCCGGCTAAAGACAGCCATCTTGCCTGGGTGGAAAAGGAGGAGCGGAACGACGGGTGAGTCGGCACTACCGTATGTGATAAAGCCTAGCTTGCGGAGTGCACGGTTGAGGTAACGGGCGTTGAATGCCAGGCGGCGGAGCCTCATCTGACTGTCTGAACCGTCGCACATCGATTGGGGGGTGGGCATCCATGTTGGCAGCCAAGCAGCCAATGCGGTACCGCGCCAAGCGGGAGCTTCCTCGGCAATGACGTTCAAAGTGCTGTCAGAGTGGCGAGTCAGAAGGGAGCGCGTGGATGATGTTGGCTTGTCCAAGCGGGGAAGAGTAACACCCATGATGCTGGCCATACTGGCGACGACTTGGGTGAGTATAGGCGGGGCCATAGCCTCAGCATATGCTCCGGCGTGACCGGAAAGACGGATACGATCAATGAGACTTCTGTTGCCAGCGATATAGCCACCCGCAGCGCCGAAAGACTTGGTGAAGGTCCCCATCAAGATGTCGACGTCCCGAGGATTGACATCGTAATAGTCGCAGACACCACGGCCGTGCGGGCCGATTGCTCCAATGGAGTGCGCTTCATCGATGAACAAGTAGAACTGCACCACAATCAATAGGCTGCCAAGCAGAAAATTAAGCAAGTCGGACTCACCTTGTATTTCTTCTTAAGCTCCATGATCGCAGGCAATTCGACCAGAGTGCCCTCCATACTGTACAAACCCTCAACAATGACTAGGATCTTCTTCCACGGCCGGTGTGTCTTCGGCTGCCCCTGACTGATGACTTCTCGGAGAAGAGCCTCGAGAGACTTCACATCGTTATGCTTGAACATCCGGACGTTGGCACCGCTGAGACGGACACCGAAACGAATCGAGGCATGGTTGAGCTCATCGGAGATCACCAGACAGCCCTTGCTCACGAGCGCGGGGATGACAGTCGAGTTCGTTGCGAAACCCATCGAGCTGATTAGCGAATCTTCCATTCCCAGGAAGCGCGCAACAAGCGCCTCTGCTTGAATATGCAAATCCGAGGTTCCACCCTCCCGACGACTTCCGCAGGCTGAAATACCATACCGCCTAATGGATTCGGCACTGGCATCGGCGCACGCACCCTTCGACTGAGCGAAACCGAGGTAGTTGTACGATGAAACGTTGAGACCACGCGTTTTCCCGCCGGTGAGAAGGATCGACTTGTTGTGGTTAGGAGAGTAGCGATCAAGGAGGACAATGGTGCGACCGGGCACGCCAGTAACAGGGTGCGAGAAGCAGTCATCGATACGGAGCTTGAGACGACGCGTGTAGAACGAGTCGAAGTCCGAGTTCAATGCAGCATACCCCTGTCGTGCGCGCGATGGGTCAACGAGAATGTCCAAAGCGTAGATTACGTACGCCGTGTGCCAACAGGTGTCGATAATCCGTAGCCTTGAATCTCTTGCCGAAAAAGTCGCGGAGATGACCAAAGAGGATGACCAGGATGTACGAGATGTAGGTCGTTAAGAGGATGTAGTACGGCGGGTCCTGTTCTCCGGCCTTAAGCGGACGTGCGGGATTGTATCTGGACGTGAAGCGATAGGAGTCGTTGGCACAGTGCCCAAACTCGGCGTGGACGGTCGTGAACACCTGCTCGGAGGTAGGAGGGACCTTGGGGTATGCAAGCCCGTCTGAGTTCAGCTCTTCACGCTCATGAAGGACCGTATCTTCTGAGGAGGACGTGACGGACGACGAAAGCGACAAAGCCGGTGTCGAGTTAGGCGTGCCACGGGGTGCCCGGGCGCGAGCATCGGCCTCCGACACAGCAGAGAGGTAGGATGCGGCAGTGTTCAGCACAGGCGTCGACTTCTTTCTGAACATTGAGGGCGTCGGCGACGCTGACTGGATGGCCATTGGGGAAGGCATCCCGGTCGTCTCAGTCGTCGTAGATCGTGACAAGGAGAGGACGGGGTTGCCGCGGGGGATGGTGGAAATCAACGGAAAGCGAGATTACCCTTTATGTATCAAAATCATTACTTAAGCACGCTTACTCCGCTCTTGCACCTCTCCTCGCACCGCCGGCGGTCGCATGGTGTCGCAAGGCCGTGCCCACGCCGGCCTCGGTATTCAACAAGAGAATAGGAGGTTCAGAATTCTGTTACATAATGATTGTGGTATCTATAACTTCTAGCCGTCACATTAGAGCGTCGTGCGGATTATGGTCCAGGGAGTGTCCAGAAAATACACAAAGGAAGCAACAAGGAGTGTAGTAATTACAGTACTTCCCCACGTCCAATAACCTTGACCTGTAAAGGCACCGCCAGTCAGTATATCATTATTCGTGGAGCCTCGTGAGAACTGACCTTGAAGCCAATCCGCCTCAGCTTGTCTGCGTCGACAAGCAGACGCCCATCGAAGACGAACGCAGGCTTGGTCATGTTGTTGTAGACAGTCTGCCAGTCGATCTCACGGAACTCTTTCCACTCTGTCGCAATGACGATAGCCTCTTTCGACTTGCATGCCTCGAGGGCAGAGTGCACGATAGTGACCTGCCTCTTGACTATGATATCACTCCGTGAGTAAGCGGAACCTTATAGCCTGAGAATTGATGACATACTCTGGTCCAGCGTCAGGTGGGGGCAAGCCTCGGAGAGGTCCATCCAAATCTGCGCCTCCTCCACTTTGGGATCGTAGACGGTGATGTACGCGCGCTCAGCAAGGAAGTCGCGGATGAGGCTGATGGCAGGTGACTCGCGGGTGTCGCCAGTGTCAGCCTTGAACGCGAACCCGAGAACGGCGATGTGCTACACGGCAACGATCAGTTAAAATCTATCAAAATGGATATAATCAAATAAGAACACACCTTGCCCGTGATGGTGTTGAAGAGGGCGTCAACAACGATCTTGGAGAACCTGCGTTTTTGGTACTCATTTAACTCAACAACCTGACGCCAGTAGGCCGCGACCTCGGGCAGGTGCAAACTCTCGGAGAGGTACACCAAGTTGAGGATATCCTTCTGGAAGCAGGAGCCACCAAAGCCGACAGATGCGCGCAGGAACTTAGGGCCGACGCGGGAGTCGTATCCAACAGCATGTGCGACCTCGTCAATGTTGGCACCAGTTGCCTCACAGATGGCGGAAAGGGCGTTGATTGATGAGATACGCTGAGCGAGCATAGCGTTGGCGGCCAGCTTGGAAAGCTCCGACGACCACAGACCGACAGTCAGAATGCGCTCTTTACTGTGATGATCTGATTAGAAGAGGGCAAGGAAAAGCAAAGGGATGTTCGCTCACGGAACCCAGTTGGCATAGACACTGGCGAGGGCCGCGCAGGCATCTTTGCCCTCCTGTGTTTGGAGCGAGCCAATCAGGACGCGGTCAGGGTTGAAGAGGTCGCTGATGGCAGTTCCCTCGGCGAGGAACTCGGGGTTCGAAAGGATGTCGAAACGGCAACCAGGCTTGCAGTTGGCTTCAAGGATGGTGCGCATCGACTCCGCTGTCCTGCAGGGAACAGTCGACTTTTCAACAACAATCTTGGAGGAGCTGGCGACAGCAGCAATACGACGTGTAGCAGACTCGACATAACTGGGTTGTATGTGAGATTAAGGGTTATATCGCTGACCGCGCTTGAAATACGCACTGCAAGTCCGCACCGAAGCCTGCGCCGACACCGCTCTTCTTCGTTGGGGTGTTAACGGAAACGAAGATCAGGTCTGCCTCCTGAATGCCCCTGTCAACGTCTGAGGAGAAGAAGAGGTTCTTGCCACGAGTAGCCTTTACGACGTCGGCAAGGCCTGGCTCGTAAATGGGCAACTCGAAGTCCGGGCTGTTCCACGCGTCGATACGCGCTTGGTTCAAGTCCACAATGGTAACTTGAATTTGAGGACACTTGAGTGCAATCACGGCGCAGGTAGGACCGCCTATGCCACGCGTTCAGCATACGGGACGGCCGCATGACACGTTGGAGGGCTTACCGACGTATCCAGCACCAACTGCCAAAAAATACCCAGTTAGAGAGGTACACCTGGAAAATGCGAGTAGAACTTACTGCAGCAGACCTTTTTGACTTGGATGGGGGCCATTGCGACTGGAAAGAGAGGACTAGTGGAAGGAGGGACGAGGATGCTGAAATTTATCGGCGAGGCCAGTGGCAAGCTAATATACGGGACTCTTGACGGGACTAGAAGTAGTTGCCGGCTGCCGCAAGCTGCAGTAGTGGATGGTTTGATTTCCCTGGAAAGGCAACTCTTGGCGCTCCGTCGAGGCTTGGCAGCAAGCATCCGTGTCGACTTCACCCTCATTACGCGTAAACGCGGCCCTTGGAACAGCGTGTTCTACTCTTCCATCCCTACTGCTCGCCCGCCAAACGAGAACCCCAAACACGCCCAGACAGCTCCGAATTTTAATCGTTCTGAGGGCCTCAGGCGGTTCGACGCGGCCAAGTCACTCCGAACGGCTGAGTCTGACGTCGAACATCGGTCCGGATTGAGTCTAGAAACGGCTCTAGAGCGAATGAACGTTCGTTAAATCACAAACCGGAGACTCACGCCAGGATGGTCGGACGGGTAGACGACAGGAGGATGACTGCGTGGTATGGAAGAGAGCACTAGGAAAGCTAAGTATGACGATATAGTTGCGTTCAATGCATTCTTTCGTCTCCCTACCACTGCCATATCATTGATATGAAGCCCTCCTCGCGTCCTCAACATGTCCTCAGTCGTACACGTTGGGTTCAGTTACGTGTAACTGAGTCCAGCGACCCCCATTTATATCGTACCAGAGTCACCATATCCCAGTGCTTTAGCGTATACTACGCTTCTTGGCAGATTGTCCACGATGCATGAGGCTTGGGGCTGAAACGGAGGAAATGAAGTACTGACCGGCGGCCGTCAACCGTCGTCGTGGAGCTGGCCTCGTTTCCAACATTTCTCCACTTCAGCCCGCCCTCTACCTTCCCGGCTCGGTGTAGCAGTTCAGCATCCGTATGTCCCTTGACCGTGCTAATGATCCCCGGTTGCGGTGGCCACTGCTTAGAACTGCTAGACAGTGTACTAAATCAGCCAATGGTGGCATGCGTCACGGCGTAGCTTTGGCGCGATATGGAAAGATCTGCTAAAAGCGCGAAGCGTGGACGAGCACCCTCCATCGCTGTCTTTTTCTCAGCCATCGACGACTCTTTGAACTTGTAAAAATGGTGGCACCTAAGCAGTTCCTCGACTATGTTGAAGCCCACTCGACGAAGTTCATCGATCGCCTTGCCGAGGCTGTCGCGATAGCCAGGTAGGTTGCATACAAGTTCTGACATGCGAGGGTTTAATCCTCTGTGGACGACTACAGCATTAGTGGAGATGCTTCGCGCCGTCAGGACGTGCTCAGGATGGCTGCCTGGGTCAAGGCCGAGCTGGAAAAGTTTGGTGTAAAGACCGATGCCATTCCTTTGGGTAAACAGGAAATCGAGGGGCAAGTTCTTGACCTTCCACCGGCGATCGTTGGTCGCATTGGCGAAGATCCTAAGAAGAAGACAATCCTCATCTACGGGCACTTCGACGTGCAGCCCGTATGTTTCGCAGCTTGCGTACGATAGCCACGAGAGCTGACTGCGAGGAATGTATAGGCCAACGTCAGTGATGGCTGGAACACCGATCCGTTCAAGATGCATTTTGACAGAGAAACTGGCAAGATGTTCGGACGTGGTACGACCGACGACAAGGGCCCCATCATGGGCTGGCTGAATGTTCTCGAGGCCCACCATAAGCTCGGCCTCGAGCTCCCTGTCAACATTCGTTTCTGCTTTGAGGGCATGGAGGAGAGTGGCTCCGAGGGTCTCGACGAGTTTATTGCTTCTGAAGCCAAGAAGGGCGTGAATGGCTGGTTTGGTGGTGTCGACGCTGTCTGCATCGTACGTGTCCTTAATCACACTATCTCCATGCATGATATTGATGGCGCGAATGTGCCAGTCTGACAACTACTGGCTGAACGACCGCACACCCGCTCTTACCTATGGTCTCCGCGGATTGACCTACTTCAATATCGTCGTCTCTGGCCCTGGAGCGGACCTTCACTCTGGTATCTTTGGCGGCGCCGTCTTCGAGCCAATGACCGCGGTCGTTGCACTTTTGGGCAAGCTCGTCACACCAGATGGCCTTATTCTCATTCCTGGTGTCTACGACGGCATCAAGCCCGCTGCCGCTGACGAATTGTACGTCCTGTCTCGACCAGTCCCGAGGGCATCTAGGTGGCTCAATTTGTTTTGTCTAGGGAGATCTACCAAAGTCTCGACTACTCCGTCGCCGATCTGGAAGCCGCCGCAGGTGGACACATTGCAATTTCTGATGACAAGGCTACGGTGATCATGGCCCGCATGCGCAACCCGTCGCTCTCCATCCACGGAATCGAGGGTGCGTTCTCGGGCGTCGGTGCAAAGACCGTCATTCCTGCGACCGTCGGCGGCAAGTTCAGCTTGCGTCTCGTTCCGCCGCAACGGCCCGACGACATCCGGGCCAAGGTCGAAAAGTACCTCAAGGAGGAATTTGCGAAGCTCAACACGAAGTGTACTATGAGGGTTGAGTATCTCCACGGTGGTATCCCATGGGTCGCCGACCACAAGCACTGGAACTACGAAGCTGCGAAGAATGCGACCGAGGTGAGCCTGGGTTTAGTTCTCTTCGTCTGCACAAGTTGCCTTGAGGCCCGAACTTGTGCTTGCGTCCCTTCAGTACGGGTACGGCTGCACATGGCTCCTTCCCTTTTTCTATTCTCTCATAATTTGGAGTGGTGACTGACCAATCTCAACAACTCACGCAGGCCGTCTACCTGAAGAGTCCCGATTACACTCGCGAAGGTACGTCTGCGTCCAATTACATTACGACCGCAAATCTTATTCTACGCATTTAGGTGGTTCCATTCCCGTAACCCTGACCTTCGCCGAGAACTTGGGCGTTAACGTCCTCCTTCTCCCCATGGGCCGTGGTGACGACGGTGCTCAGTAAGTGTAATCGCTGCTTCCAGTAGAGAAATATGACCCTGAAGGTTCCCAGCTCGACGAATGAGAAGCTTGACGTCTCCAATTACATTCAGGGTGTAAGTGATTTACTAACCATATGGAAGCTGTCCTTTTAACTCGATGCGTTATCAGACTAAGCTCCTCGGCTCATATCTCTACGAAGTCGCTGAGATTACAAAGGCATGAAGCAGGGAAGCACTGCCATGCCGCAACCCTATGTAAATGTAGCATTACGCAATGGGATCCGATGCGAGAGGTCGCTCCTTGTCCAATTGCTGTATCTGTATCAGTACCACAAGCTGTATCCTCGAAAACAAACGAAAATTGTACTATGCTTGACTCTCGCAATCTTGCAACTCACACGAAGCGCGAAAATGCAAAGCTTTACGGAGCGGGAGTAGTAAGACGTTCCATACAGGTAAAATGAGATCCGGAAACTAGGTCGGTCGTCCTCTTGTGGAAGTATTCCTAAGATTAGATCCCCGGAACCCCCTCGAAGCTCCAGCACCTCTAGCCGAGGAGCTATTACCACCAGAGTCTGGTCCACGCGGGTTGCGGATAGGCTTCACGGCGAGCTCGGGCGGGGGATTGGCTGCTGAGCCGAGAGGCGGAGACGAAGGCTCGCGGGTCTCCGCCGGGGGGCTGGACGGGTTCGACGAGCTGCCAAAGATCCTCTCTCGCGCCGCGCGGTACTCTGCCTCGCGTTCTGCGAGCGACTTCTGCTGCGCCTCGGCAGAGGACGCCGTCGCGAGCGCCGGGCTCGCGGGCGCGGAGGGCCGCTTCAGGATGCGCAGCGACGGCTGCAACGCCTGCGCGGGCACCGCCGTCGCTGGCGCGGACGTCGCGGACGTCGACGAGATAACGAGCTCGGGCATAGGAGCCTTCTTGTTTCTAAGCGGAGCGGAGCGTGTCGAGAAAGTGCGTGTCAGGGCCACTTCTGGGGGGTACATGGTGGAGGGCGAGCTGCTGCTGTGGGGGGCACAGCGAGCAAAGGGGGGGAAGCGCAGGGTGCTTACTCACGCATCCTCCCAGACCTTCTGCGGGTCTTCATCACCGTCGGATTCGTCATCGTCGTCCCAGTCGTCTTTCACAGACTCTGGCGGCCTGTGCGGCTGCGGAACGACAGCTGGAAACCCTGTCTGTGACAGATCAGAGTTAGACTTAGTGCATATTGCATCAAGACCTGCTACACTTACAGACGGGCTGCCCCAAGAGTCAGATGGTGCCGTGACCGACATGGCTCACGATAGTCGGCGTGAGCAACCAGTGGTGAGACATAGCACAAGCGCCCACAAGCTCGGGACCGTGCGTCAGGCGCTTATGAGGTTCGCCTCGCCTGGTGTGCTTCAATTTGAGGTTCGTGTTTAGTTAGATCGTTCACGACTTGCCGACGTGGGGAGAAATGAGCTGAAGAAGATCCGAGGACGTGGGGTAAAGACGAGAGTGTTTGGTATCTCAGAATGGCCTGACCCCAGCAGCATCGAGCCTGCCGCTCAGTCGCAACAGCACCCGCCGGCGAGGCGCGATCATGACGCTGGGTCCGGCGATGTGCTTGAGTGTGCTGGTGAGTTCATGAGCCGTGTCAGCTGTCTGGTTTCACCCTCTAGCTCGTTTAGTTTCCAAAACGCGCATCGGCGCAAGGGACAGATGTCCTGTCGCGCAAATCGACGCCTTTGCAAACACACCCCGCGTTAATCTAGCCATAACCGACGGGTGGAGCGCGACATCTGCCTCGTTCAACAGATGGCTCCGACTGGGGATCCACTGCTTGCAGTTCTTGGATGCGGCGTTGCCTTGTCCAATGACAGTTTGTCTACTTGCCACGCCGTGCACTCGCAAGCATAGTTGGCCATGGACAGATGCAGGACACCACCCCGATCGTCGCTTCATGGGTGACCCTTTCACGTCTTACGTCGGCCCACGCTGCTGGAGCGAGCGGGAAGCCCGGGCCACCGCGACGCGCTTCACTGTGTCACACTGAACGGTATCAACACTGGCAGACGTCTACAATGTAGGAAAGCGACGCGGACGAACCGAAGATGGCGTCGGAAGCACCGCAGGGGCCTCGATGAGTCTCCATCATGTCTTCTCTAAAGTGGTGTTTGTCTATCACAAGATTGAATTGTAGCTGTGCTCGACATGGCCGTAACGTGTGAGGTTCGTCGTACGATGAATCTGGACCTATCATCATCTGACTGATCCGATATTCGCACAGCGTGTGCTCTCCGCTCAAGTCCAAGGAGTCCTAGGCGACTTGAACGCCACACATATCGAAAGCAAGAGAAGAGAACCCAAGGTGCTGCTTTCTTCGCCGCTTCTCCGGGTTCGGCAGCCGTGTCCAGAATAGAATAGAATCCAGCCCTCCGTTTGACCAATCGCTTTTGGGCGCGCTATCCAACGACTCGTGCGCTCCGTGTTTGCTATCGGACTTCAACTTTGCCATCCCTCAATGTTGGGGATGTTCTCCGCAGTCACGACGCGATGATACCTGCCGAGGCTCGCTGCCACCCAATCAGATTGCAAGCACTCCGATGGAGCCTCGTAGAAGATGCACTCGGAATGGGCATGTGGGCTCGTGGGATGTGTCAGTGCCATTGACAGGTCTCTACTATTGTTTCTGTGAAATTTTGTCTGCCTTCTCCGAAACTTTGATTGCTACGAAGGTTGTCCACACAGTCCGCAAGCGAGGCTGCCGCGTCCCTCACGATTCTCACAGGGCGCGGAGCATCAAGACCCCCATAAGCACAGTTCCATGATATTCAAATGAAAATCAAAGTAGACCGGGATGCGAGGCTGATTTTATTCCGCTCTCCGGTTGGCAACCTGGTGCCTCAAAGATGGGATTGCCGAAGGAGCTGCTGACCGCGAGTTTTCCTGCTCGCCGGCACGGTTGGAGCTCCGCCATCGACGACGTCTCAGCCGTCATTTTTCTCAGAGACATACCGTGGGGACATTCTGATTCAGCTTTATCTTATTTTATCCATTTTATTTAGAGATTATGCTTGGGGGCGTCGTGGCAACCGCCACATGGATCATATTGACGCCCATCTCCCATCTGGCTCAATCTCCGATACGATCTTTCCCCTTGCGGAAAGTACGCTGACTGGATTGCGATCGAGCCGCACTGTCGGGCGAAATATTCGGAACTGGTTTCTCTCGTCGAAACTCGGGATGCACCCTGAGAAAGAGTGGAAAAAACAAGCTTAAAATGCAGCTCTCGCACATTTTAGTTTGGAACAAAGCTGCGGATAGTGGGCTACATGGTGTATACATCGTCATTTCCGCGAGATGTCCGAGCACAGTTTGCGTCGCCACCCTTCACGGAACGCATACCGCTTAGGCGGCTTTAGTCGGGTGGCTTCTAGCACCCTGGACGAGGGAAGGTCTTGAAAAAGATCGTGGCAGATCATGCCGTGCCGGAAAAGAGAGAGCATGGTCATCGGTCGTCGCCACCATCGATCGCAAAGCTCTGGGGACGTTCTCTCCCGCCTTTTCCGCGCACTTCATCGATGGGAGAGGCCATTCGACTTCGCGGCGGCCGGTGCCAGAGGCTGCAGAGAGACCTGCCGCGAGTCGCCCCTGCGGCTGGACGACGCGTGAAGTGACGCGGGCGGTAACGGCCCGTCGGGCTGAGCGAGTCGTGGCCGACAATGCGATCACAACTGAGACCTCTGGAAAGTTCACATGGAAGAGGGTGACGGGCGCGCCTCTGACTGGCGATGAAACGTACCTGGTTCCCGCACTAGCGCGGCGGCGCGAGGGGGCGTTGAATTGGGGGAACGTCGGGGCTCCGAGTCCCACAAGGCAAACGGTCACGTCCGTATTGATTCGCGCGAAACGTCTGCGAGGATCACCACTGATACAGGTTTGGCGGAGTTTGAGCAGATGACATGCGAGATCGCCTCTTTGTTGAGCTGAGCTGGAGGAGGAGACCTACGTAAGAAGGACGCAGGAGGCTCGACCTGTTGCTGCCCAAGTCTCCGGTCTGTACGTCATCCTAGCAGTGGGTGTCCATCGCGAGTTAAAGGGAGATTGGGAAGCCCCGATAGAGTACGTAGCTGGTGTCTGTCTCTGGGCAGGGCCTGGTCTGGTCAGCAAGTGACAGACTGCTACCGTGACAGGTACGGAATGTCCCACCCCACCGTGCAGCCGTGATAGACGACGGACTGTCGCGGGAAGGTTCCTGCTGCCTGAGGGGGAGGAGGAGCTACGACCGCCCTCGACCGAGTGAGAAGAAAGGGCTGGTTTGGGTTAGAGTTTGCGCGGGGCGCGAGGACACGTGCAGGTGGCGGAGAAGGAGAGAATGACCATTTCTGTGATGGACAAGCGGCAGCGCAAGAGTACTAGAACCGCAGGGTCTCGCAGCCGCCTCTGTGCTGCTCATCGTCGTCTTTCCTGCTCTCGCTGACGAGTGGAACGAGGATCAGGTCCCGGTCACATTGTCGGCAGGTGCTGTGCCGAAAACCGGTCGACGGACGATCGTCGATCGCATCAAGATTCGCTGCGGTTCCAGCGGTGGCGACGAAAGAGGGAACCCTAGCGGGTGGCCTGTGGTTCGCGACCAGAAAAACAAACAAACCAGAAACACGAAACAGGCCCCCCTTAGCCTGCCTCAACACGGCGGCACGCACTAGCCACGCTTCACGGCGCTGCAGCCGAAAGTCTCCTCCTCTGCCGCGGCTCCTGCCCGAGAACACTTAAATTTTAGGCCTTCATATTCCGCCCGACGCTCTCGCCATACCGGTTTGTGGTCAAATTCACTTTATCCTCTCCATTACTCCATCGCTGACCCCTCCTTTCTCTCTCTCGTTCTCGATTTTGCTTCCGACCTCCCTCAACCGCACCCACCGCCAACGCTCTCTCCCTTCCTCCCTCTCTGGACATGACCTATACCGATCCTAATTACCCTAATCGTCGCTATACCTATGTCGACCAGTATCGTGACCGCCCATTTACTCACACAGGTCACGTCCAGCACCACCCCATCTCTGTCAAGATCGAGGACGTGGACTCTTCGGAGATCCTTCCTGCGCCGCACCCGCAGTACGCCCAGCAACCGTCTCCCTCTTACTACCGTTTCGGAAGCTCTGCCGGCTCCAGCCAACTCCCCAGTCCGTCCACGAGCACGCCAGTCACACCGTTTTCTTTCATGTCTGGAGCGCAGTGGCCCCCGTCGTCCTCTGGCCATGCGGGTGCCATTCCTGGCACATCGTACCAGCAGTCGTACCCTGCCAACCGCATGCACGGCTACAGCCTGCACAGTCCCCTGGACACACACGCGCACCAATCGACACACGTCCTCCCCCCGCTACAGGACGACTATGACGACGGAGAGGATGATGGGCTGACTGAGCTGCCGTCAGGGGTCAGCTTGAGCGGATACACCAGCGCGGGTCTGGATAACTCTGGAGGGATGCAGGGGATGTCAAAGGCAGGGGACAAGCAGGTGCGCCGACGGAGCAGCAAAGCATGCGACCAGTGCAGGAAATCCAAGTGCAAGTGCGAACGCACCAGCATGCAAGAGCCGTGCAAGAATTGCGTGCTGCTCGGCACACGTATGTCCTCCTTTCTTGAAATCTCTCTTCCGTCCCCCGTTGAAGTGGCACGGTGGCTGACTTTCTCGTGCTGCAGCCTGCACCTTCCTTGGCCCTTCGCGAAAACGCGGTCCCCCCAAGGGCTATATCGACGCCATAGAGGCTCGGTTGCATCAGACAGAAGCACTCATCGGGATTCTCATCTCCAGCAAGGATAGCCGAGCCAAGACGCTACTGGAGGATCTCAGCGAGGTGAGTCTCGTCTTGGAATGCCTATCTCTTCGCATCACGTCGTAAGCGAGAACCTGCCATGCATGTTCCGTGCACAAATTTCTCTGTGTGCGCCCCTGCGGCACCGCTTACCCCGGTGCCACGGACCCTGGACACGGCTCTACGCTATTTTTGCGGAGGAGTGGTTCCGCAGCTGACAGTTCTCCTTCGTACAGGACCCGCTTGCCAAAGATATCATCGACCGTGTCAACAACTCGTCGTATGGTCACAAGGGCCGGAAGCGAGGCGCGACGACGAACACGCGATCGAGACCAGCCCCAGTCGAGAGCAAGGGCGGCGACACTCCGGCCCTTCAGGCGACCCAGTGTGTCTGACCTTCCAAATTGAGACATTGATCCAACAGGCTCATGTTTGATCTTTAGCCCCTCGAGCGAATGGCAAGACTCACTCACGGCTCGGCTGGACGCGCGGGCAGCCCAACGGAGCACCTTGGTTGAGAACGGCGAATCCTTCGGCGAAACCGACAACGGGGGGCTCCCGCCGCTTACTTACCCTCCTTCGCCTTCAGAGTCCGGCGGGTCTCAGTCAGATCGCAGGGCACCCCTTACTGTTCCATCATCAGATTCTCGTCCCACTTCGTCTGGGGCCGGCGCCGACGCCTCGCTTTTAGCCTCGGCGGAGGCGGCCGCCGGCGACGAGCACCGGCGACAACGGCGGCGTGTCGATCACGAGAGCGGGGCCCGCTCGCCGTCCAGCACCTCGATCTCCGGCCGTTCGCAGTCCCCTGCCCAGTACACCTGCCTGCCCCCTCACCCTGCCCTCCTTCCCAAGCAGCCCCCTGCGTCCGCGTCTCACAAGGCCAAATCGGCGACCCCAGAGGCCCCAGACCTTGAGATCGAGGGATCCAGCGAGGATGAGTTTTACGGCTCTGGCGAGGACGAGCTCGCCGTCGCCGTCGGCCAGCTCAGCATGAACGAGGACGACCAAGTGCGGTACCACGGCAAGGCCAGCGGTCTGCACCTCTTAGGCAACAGAGAGCGTGAAGACGGCCGTAACGAGGGCGGCATCTGGCGCTTCCCGAAGGCTCGGGTCTGGCCTCCTCTCCCACTTACCGCGCGGACGCCTACCAAGGGCGAGGAGGACTTCATCGTCCGCCTACCTCCGCAGGAGGTCCAGGAGCACCTGCTCGAGCTGTACTTCAGTTACGTTCACGCCCAGCTGCCGATCATTCACAAGCAGACCTTCATGGAGATGTTCCGTGCCCGCAATATTGGCTCGGCCAGCTCGCCCATGTCCGACGCCTCGTCGCCTCCCCCGTCGCAGTCTAGCGCCGGCGGCCGACCCCAGCGGATACCGACCTTGCTTCTACTGGCGATGTTCTCAATCGCTGCGCGGTACTCTGGTACAGGGGGTCCTGCGCCTGCTCCCGGAGAGATGTGGAACGCGGGCGACAGCTACATGGAGGACGCCAAGGTGCTTCTCCACAATATCTACGCCCAGTCGCGCCCCACTACCTGCCAGGCTCTGCTACTGCTTGGCTATCGGGAGGTAGGCATCGGCGCCATGGCACAGGCCTGGGTGTACATTGGCATGGCCGTGCGCATGGCCCAGGACCTGGGCCTTCACAAGAACGCGGACAAGTGGTCGAACGTCGGCAAGGTCCTCTTCACCGACACTCAGCTGCAGGAGCGGCGGCGAATCTGGTATGGTTGTGTAGTACTGGACAAGTACATCTCCGCATACATCGGTCAGTCGCATCGGCTAAACGCTTGCCGACGTGTTGCTCACCGCTCTCGCAGGTCGCCCGGTCGCCATCTTTGAAAACGATTTTGATACCGAGTTGCCCAGCGACGGTGAGCCTGACGAGATGGAAGGATGGCTTCCTCATCCCTCGCCCGTCTTCGTCGGCGATGTCTTAGAAAATCACCCCCCACGCACCACGCCTGTGACGGGTCACGTCATCTCCTGTTTCAACGAGTCGGCAAAGCTCTGTGCGTTCTCACGACATCTCCGCCGATGCCTTACTCATCATCCCCGTTTCTAGCGATCATTCTCAGCATGATCATGCAGGCCGTCTACCCCATCCGTCCGCACACTTTCCGCCAGCCCGAGTTCGCGCGCATTGAGCAGCTTCTCGACAAGTGGTACATCGACCTCCCAGAGCATCTGCGGTTCGACCCGTCGTCGCCGAAGTATTACACGCGGCCGCCGCATGTACTCACGCTCCACGCACAGTACTGGTGCACGGTCATCTTACTGCATAGGCCATTTACCCGCCACCTCACCGCGATGTCCAGTAGAGGGTAAGTGTAGCAGCTCGCTCGTCGAGGAATAGAGGGCTGATCGGTGGCTGCAGATTATCGCCTTCGATTCGGGAGCAGGAGCTTCGGGCGAATGCCCGAAAGAATTACGACCAGTGTGTGAGGGCTGCGAACCAGATCACTGCCATTGTGTCTATATACGCTGAACACCACTGTCCACGACGAGCCGCCGTTTTCCTGTGCTTCTACGTGTTCACCGCAGCAATCATGCACGTCTCGACTCGTAAGCTCGTCAACTATGTCTCTTTCGGCACATGTGCTTAAGTTTTTCCTAGTCACGACATACGCTGCCGATCCCCAGGCCAGCGAGGGCCTCCGGAAGTGTATGTTCGTGCTCAACCGAATGCATTACGTCTGGCCGGCGGCTTGGCGTGCAAATGAGCTGTTGCATGGCGTCAAGGTGCTGCCGTCGCAGGGTGTCCCGCTCAGGATCTCGACATCGGAGCGCACCAAGCGCATCGCCGACACCATGGAGGAGGGCCAGACGGCCCAAAACGCTCCGACAAACGGCGGTGCCTACCGGCAGGGACAGGGCTTCGGCGAGAACGGCTCCGGCTCGTCTCAGCCGACGTTCCCTCTCCAGCTCGAGATTCCCTCCGCCGAGCCGCAGCCGTTCTACCAGTCGTACCCGCGCTGGAACGCCGAGAACCCGCTTCCGACGCTGACGAGCAGCCTCTCGACGTCCGTGCTGCCGCAGCAGTACAGCACAGGGATGGTCGACGACCGCGCGCAGCGGTCGCAGGACCGGCCGGGTCGGTACCCGCAGTACTGGAGCGACTACACAGCGATGGGCCAGATAGACACGAGCTTCAATATGCCTGTCATGGGCGGCATGGTTTCGCCGCAGTCAGCCCAAGCCGACCAGCAGATGTACGCCGCGGACCAGTATTCCCTCTATAGTGAGTCATTCGACTTATTCCGCGTTTCCCTAGTGGAGAAGCTTACCCACCTTTCACAGATGACCTATCTCAGACTAATCAGCAATAGTACAAATGACATAGTCATTTCTCTTTCTCGGTCTCCCGACAAACCAAGTATGTAATCTCGTGTCTTGAGCTCTTGTTTCTCCTTGCCACGCAGCTCTTATTTCACACTCTGTATCACTTTCGTTACACTCCACTGTTGCGCGCGCATAACACATGGCACATTGTAGCTTTACAGCTGGGACAATATCATTCACACTTCTTAATGCATGGACGACTTTGATTGCTGCCCGGAAGAATAATTTAGTCTCCGTGTTCTACCTTACACGTGCGTGCGGCCGTCATCTTTGCCAATCTCCCACTGTGCAATCGAAATTTCCGGTTTCCTGGATCGTGGACCCTGGATTGGCGCGACGGTTGCTGGCTGAATGGGGCCATCTGAGAAGACTACCCCGCAGCTCGGGAGGTCCAAAACGTCCCACACCTCGGCTGCAGCGTGCTTTCTCTACTGAGCATTCGCTGTGAGCGTAGCAACATTGCGCGGAAGATGGACATTACCTTGGCGATGGCCCGCCTCGCGCTGCTGTATCGACTCCTCAATGACTCGAGTTCGAGCGCGGCGACGTCATGATCGTCCCCCGTGCCGCCACAAAGCTTGTCATTTTGGATTACCGGGCGAGATATCGATCGGACAGGCGGCGTGCTGCTCCTAGCCGCGAGATTCGTCCCGCCTGGCGCGGAGGACTGAGGACCGGAGCGAGGCGGAATATGAGATGAAGCAAGCTTTGAGTTGCGTGCGATCGACCACGCCCCTGACTCCAGGTCGTGGGCTTGATCTTCATAACGGATCAAAGGATGTGGCGGGGACGAAGCGTCGTTTCGTGGGGGAGAGAGGCAACTGGGCATTTCAACATCTGTCCGAGATGCCAACAGGTAGCGATTAATTAACAGGGCAATAGACAGCATGTGATTGCAAGTCTTGTCCGGCTCCAAGAGAAAGCGACACTCTCACCGGCTTTCGCATCCACGACCTTGTCCACCCCGAAATCACGCCCGAGTCCTTCGAGAGCATCCTGCAGCGAGATCCGCGTTAACTTCCAACGTTTATGGACGGGCGTCGTGCGCGTATTGTTCGGCTCCGACGTTGTCTCGGCTAACTGTGGCGGCGGCGGCATATACAGCGTCTTCTTTGGTTTGGCTCCCGAGGCGATCTGGACCGGCTTTTGGGGAAACGCGAGAGGCAATCGAAACTTGCTGACCGACGCATCCTGTCTGACAGCTTTTGCCTCAGACTTGCCTTTCTTCTTTGCAGGAAGTGTACACCATTCAGAGTCAGGCGAGGAGGGAAAGGCTTCGCAAGCGTCTCGCTTCGTGCTGCCATGAGGACCTTCGGCGGGAAGAGGGGAGCATGTGGAAAATTGTTCTTTGCGATGAAAGTTAGGAGATGGGCGTAGAGGGCTAGAGAAAGCTGGAGCATTGTTGCGCTGGAAGGAATCATCCGCTGTCCGGGGCTGTGATGGAGGGCGTGGCCTGATATCGTAGCTGAGACTCGGTTCGGGGATGATTGAGTGCGCCATAGTGGGGGTAGGGGAAGATATGTGTCGAAGGTGACGTCTTGGGTCCGTTGGCTGAGTTGATGACAAGATGCCGGTAGGAGAAGAGTAGACTCCTCGCGCCGAACGGTCGTACGTAGGGTCGCGAAGAGCAGGACGAGAGATCGGACTAGATGCTGAATGCCCATGAAGACTTGTGTTGGTGAAGTTTGGCGCAGTCCTGGATGTGATCGCGGCTGCTGGGCCTTGGCCGATATGGAGTGGTCTCGAAACAGTACAGAGGGGCCCTGATATGAAGATATAAGTGAAGAAACAAGGTTTCCAGAGCGTGAGATGACGACTTGCTTGTACAATCCGTTTCTTCGGCGTATATTTGCGAGTTGCAAGCTGTTTGACCACCGGCCCTAACTCGCTTCGCACCTACAAGATCAAATTTCCGTGAGTGAGCAAGAATGGTATAGTGATAATAAATATATCTGCGGGTTAGTCACACACGAACCGGCACTGAGTGATTGTGCGCAAGGTGAGGATGCTAGCATGTCTTCAATAGCTTCAATCCCTCGAGAGAGAGTATTGGGATACGCATCATCACACCCAGGAGAGAGGAGAGAAGCTGAGCCCGCTGCAGGCGAAGACGGTTGCCACCCAAGCGTGATATTGGGAGAGTTGTTAGGTTCTGGAGGGAGCAGAGGCAAGCATGTGCGCATATATGCGGGGGATACAGCAGAGACAGCACTTTCAGTGAGATTTCTGGCCGCCAGGGATGACTTCTTTGCCGATTGCTTGTTTAGTGCTGTGGCATCCTTCGCGGACGGTCTCGCGCGAGGTAGGTCAGCAGGATTGTGAAGAGAACGTCCAGGAGTCGTCGGTTTTAAGGAAATAGCACCAGAGTCTTCTTTTAACTTATTTCCTTGCTTCTTGAATGCTTCTGCAAGTGGGCCGTTGGAAGACTTTGCGCTCGTACGGAGAGTAACCTGGTTATTTGACGGGGGTCGCTGAGGGCGGACAGCAGCGTTGACCTTGGCTATAGACCAGGGATTAGGCTTGAATACAGCTTCGTCATGGCGGGAAGACAGGTCCAGGTCTTTGATGAGTTTAGCATCTCCAGAGATAGGTGCACATTGGCTCGAATCGTCTGAGCTGCCTAGACCAGAGTCGCGATCCGGCGGCGAGTCGTCGTCGGAATCAGAGTCAGGAAGATGGGCATTGTGGCGAAGGTTATGAGACCAGCAGTCAGTATGTGCCGCCTTTGTTCGCTGGTTTGGGGACATGTTGAGAGCAGGCGTTGGAGTGGGTGGTCCGGACGAGACGAGCACTTGTAGACCAGACGCCCATAGTTGTGGCGGGGAAGTGCTGCGAGTGACGCGGGCTTGGGAACGCTTTGAACAACGAACGAGATCTCCTCAGCCTCCATCACATTTACCGCTGTCGCTTCGCTTTTGCCTCGCTGCACAACGGTCAGACGTATACCAGGGCCTCTCACCACGCAGAAACTCTGTGAACAATCGCGAAATTGCATCGAGCCGAGCCGACGCTACCATGACCGCCACCGCTGCGGAGGGTCCCTTTAGGCCCGCCCCTCCGACGCCTGTCGAGTCTCAGAAGATGAATCAGGTTCTAGAAGTGCTTGCTGGTGCATGTACGGAGCAGCAGGTGTTGAGCCTACTCAGAAGGCATAGCGGGAATATCGAGCGCACGATCCAGGCACTACTGGACGACCCGAACAGTGGAATGGACACTACGCCCACAACAGATGACTTCCTTGGCTTGCACAGTCTCCGTGAAGCTGACATGCAGATGCGAGCCCAGGCACCGCCGCATCCTCGTAGTCCCCCACGTGAGTGTATCTCGAGACTCGCGAGGAACGACCCGCAGCTCATGGATTACACGGACAGCTTCGAGGCCAGAGAAGCCAGAAGTTCCTCCAATAGACCTTACAGCCGACGACGAATCTGAAGACCTCAAGAGAGCAATGGCCATGTCCCTCGAAGAGTCAGGACCGACCTTTGGGCCAAGTACTCGAGCACCAGATCCCAACTGGGCGGTTGTCCCTTCAAATGTTCGCCGCCTTCTCTGGGTCGTACGCATCTGACCTGGTTGAAATTTGCAGGTTGCCGTCTCTGCGCTGTCTCAGGATGACCAGGACATGCACCAAGCCATAGAGGCCAGTCTAAGCGAAACACTGTCCACGGAACAACCTTCCAAGAAGCCTCTGGAAGAACGGATTAGGCAAGGAGAGACGTACGTAGTGTCTCTCGTGTGTGGTTGTCCTATAGTCTCATGATAATTCATATGATATCAGTCCTGTCGCTCTCCGAGTGTCTAATCCCCGTCACATTTATGCTGCGATGGTGCTACATGCCCTCTACTTCGTACCACAAGTCCGCAAAGCTATATGCAGCTATTTTCCGATATCAACTCCCGCAGAGATTAGTGAAATCACGCTAGATCCGGATAACGCCATTGTGCCTCCGGGCGGCGGGCCAGGTCTGCCAATGAATTGCTCAAGGCATGCGGCCTTCTGAAGATTTTCATTACCAGGCCGGAAAGTATGGGCACTATTAGAAACCTTCGTCTACATGGAATATTCAAGGTTGTCCGAACTCCATGCTGACCAGCTCATAGAAGACATTGCGGTGGACCCATGGAGTAGACCAAACGAGGGCCCTGGAGATCTCGCATTTGGTAGGACATTCCTTCGTTTGTTTTGGCTATTTAATGATTGATTATCTAGCATTCTACGAGAAGATCGCCTTAGCTGTAGAGTCTGCCTTACACGCTGACGCTGCGACAGATGCCTTGAAGCAGGATAGTTGGCAAAGGTGAAGTCTAGCTGGTCGTCTAGGCGCGGTTCATATCTTATGTGTCAATTTTCAACAAGACTATTCTTCTTTCGCCATGGACCCAGCAATCTCGAACCCTATCGAGGGCCCTTCACTCAGAACTGTGACTGCGCTATAGCTAAGATCTCGGTGTATGGCTTCCTGGACGCTAACGACCTCGTCACCTGTCTGGCCAAGGAGCTGAAGGAAGCATCCGATGATCCCTTAGCACCACAACTCATCCTGAAGCCGTCCGATGTTGTCGCGTTCCAACTTACCCGCAGTTCGAGTGACAGACTGCGCTTCAATTTTCCCGCATACTTCTACTTGGACCGGTTCCTGTACGACAAGGCCTCTATGGCTGGCGAGAAGCGGAAACTGCAACAAGAATTACTTGGGGAGGTCGTGCAACTGGAGGCAACGAGGGCCGCACTGACGAAGTTTGAGGTAATGTTATAGTTGGACTCACGACGGAGCTAATCTTGTTTACAGGGTCGGGACATACTGGCAGATTTGCGGTCGGCGGCCTACTACTACGAGAACGTTGTAGAAGATGACAGCGACGAGATGCGGAGGGGCACAGTGCAGGATACAGCAGCAACTTTGCGTAAAATCATCGGGCAAATCGAAGCAGAACTTGAATGTAAATCTCGCGCTGATCTTCGTCGTGAATATACCCCTGATGGATTGACAGCCACCGAGGCATCCATAGAGAAGTGCAAGGCCGAAGCAGAGCGGGCCTTCGACTGTCCGGGACTGCAAGATTTCAGGGTACGCATGACGTGGGCTCCACTGGACAGATAATTGATATGCACTCTCAGTATGAGCTACGTGCTGTGCTTATGCACGATGGATTCTACGGCCGGAGCCATCTCTACTCCTACGTCAAACGCAGAGGGATATGGTGGAAGACCGCAGAGAATACCACAATCGAGGTAGGCATGTAACGTACGTGTCTGTGTCTCAATCTCACTCTCGCAACGCGTAGGTACCCGAAGCGGAGGTTCTCGAAGACCCTGCCGGTCTTCACTTGGGTGCCGGACCATTCTTGCTGATCTACAGCCGCTCTGTCCCGCAGGAAGAAGAGAGCGTTAAGCTGCCCTGGCCCGAGGGAATCAAGGTATCGTGTTACGTACGAACTGCGCTTATGATAAGTCTGACGTGTGAACCCGCAGAACGATGTGAAGGAGAACAACATGGCATTTTTTGAGGAACTGGGTCCTGAGGCGCTTGCCAACATAGAGGATCCAAATTCCCCATTGACGACGATTCAGGCCATGGCGATTGACACACCGACTGACTCATCATCCATGGTCGTCGAGCCGCCGTCGAGGGCAGATCCGATGGATCTTGATAGCTAGATAGCACGCATTGAATGATGTACAGCTAATGGCGATCTGTAAGTAAGAGCAGTCTTGAACTCTGGGTTACACAGGCAGGACGCAATGTGTTGCACAGCAGAAAGCAGTAAGTGACGTGGCATACAGTACTGATTGTGTATATCCGTTTCAGGACTGCCGTGAGTCTTTCCCTGCCTCACAGCATCCGCATGGATATCCAACACTAGTACTGTGGGCACAGTTAGAGCGTGTCATGATAGACCGGCAGGAGCGCGCTCGTGGACTAACCTAAGCCCTATCAGGACCCGCAGAGACCGCACTGTGCCATACCATGGCAGGTCTTGCTGTAAGTGCTGCGTTCGGTCTCTTGACTAATCGTCCACTGAGAAGAAAACCCACAGATATACTGGGGCTTCATAATGCAGTGTTGATTGTGGTTTGGCACATGGACACCGACCCCACGCCAGCTGATGCAAGTACTACGTAAAGCCCATTGTCAGCAAGGCTTATTCTTGTCCGTATAACGGTCCTGCCACATGAACCGTATGGTTCGGCATACTCGGTACGGTCCGATTAAGCCTTCAGAATCATGCTCAAGAATGCCCATACAGCAACGTCCCCTAGTCCTTTTGGTGGCCACATGTAGGCTGAGGCAGAAGACGCCGTCAACTAAGTCCGTCGACGGACAGATCAGCACGCCGAGGCTAGCTGCAATTTAGTAAGTGGTGTACAGCTGTCAATATCCACCGTACGTAATATGCGTGGTGCCCGTAGATGATGCAACTGGGGGCGATGCTCAGGGTCCCATCCTCGGGTTTAAGCGCCTACCCCCATGTCTAAGGAAGATGTCTTCGTTCGAAGCAGCAGGAAGAACATCATACAGTCTTGAGCGATCTCGCAGTTGCTATTCAGGTCTACTGTGTCGCCGTATTACGCTGAGCGAGCTTCATGAGATGCTGAAAGTTCCTGCGCGCCTTGACCTAGGCTCAGAGTCACCGGGCTGTGTCAAGTCGGCATTGTGAAGGTGGGAAAGGATCTCAATTTTTTGATATTGCACAGACTCTCAGCTGCGAAGCTAAAGGTACAGGTTCAGAACCGCAGTTGGGGTCGGTATAAAACTTGGGTTTCCTTCCCATCTCTTCACTAGACCCTCCGCAATGTTGCGACACCTTCAACGTCGATTTTCACGCAGGGGGAGAAGCTGTCGAGCTGCTAGGGGTAGCGGAGAAAGTGATGGAACACCCCCCTCGGAGCCGACACTGGCCGCAGACACCCCCATCCTCGCGTCGTATGAGAGTAGATCGGCTTCCGAGGACGACCTATGCGACTCAGATCACAAAACAACCCCTATGGAGACATGCGCATCTTCCCTCGAGATTTTGGCGGCGTCGATGCCAATTCCATATCCTTACCCAAACCATCCAACGTTGAAGAGTGATTCGGAGCCGTCACTGAGCCGTCTCGTTCCGATAGCACCTCAACTGGATCGCGGTCCGCTCTTCTCAAGGGCTGAACGCGTGCTAGATGGGCAAGGTGCTTCAATCCCTTGCAATATACCACATTCTGCTGACACATTTACTTGCGCAGGAGAACGTATTGACGATCTCCAGCCGAGCAGTGATACGATCTCGGATACCACCGCTGCGGTTCAGATGCTACAGAAGGGCATTAAGACTTTTATGGACGACTATCATTGGTTCATGAAAGCTCTGGACGAGGTCGCTAAGATCCATCCGTTTGTGGCCGGTATGCTTCACGGCTGCGAACCAGAGACAAAGACTGACAGAGGCTAGCGGCGATCTTGGCCTTTAAGGCAGTATACAGTATGGAAAGGACACGTCAAGAGAACGACAAAAGAATCATCGCGCTATACGTCGCAATGAAGGACATGATCAGGGTCTTGGTACAGTCAGTGTCGACGTCCGCTTGATTAATTGATTAGCTTAAGCGTGAAGAATATAGGTTAAGAACCATCGAAGATCCTCACCATTTAGGACCAGACGGTGTCACTATAGAAGGCCGACTGCAATCTCTCGTGAGGCAAGCAGCGGAAGATATTAAGGACTGCGCAAATGCCTGCGATACTTACTCGAAAAAAAGGCTGCTAGTGAAGGTACTCAAAGGTCCGATCTGGGAGGCACGGCTTGCCGAGCACGTCGCCCGCTTCCACCAGTTGAAGAAGGAGCTGAAGTTTGCGCTGTCGATCCATACCGCCACAACGACAGAAGGAATGAAGCTCACCTTGAACGCTCAAAATGACAAGTAAGGTTACAGACGGTATCTTTAACTTATCGTGCTCACATCAGCTACTAGTCTCGTAGTTCTTGTCAGCCTTCTGCAGAGCGCGCTGCACGAGCTGAAGTCACCGGAGGAGATTCTCATGGAGGCCAAAGTTGACGAACGAGGCGGTCCGCTATCAGTACAACACAATGACAGCGCGCTCCGCGAACTGCTCGAGTTCGACTATAGCCTCGAGTCCTTGAGGAACAAGGGGATCCGTCGCATATGGAGCGCACCCAATCTTCAGCTTGATGTAGATGACGCGAAGCTTAGACCGGACATGAGCGAGCGAACCATGTTGAACTCCGCCGTCGTCCTCAATGACGTCAAAGATGGTCTTCAGGAAGATTGGGAAACCGCTCTACAGAGAAATATGGTTGTCTTTCAACGAAAGTTCGCGCTTCAGCGACGCCTGCAAGAGGACCTCTCTGCTATTATCCACGAGGGTAACGATCGTGTCATACAGGAGCTGAGAACGGGGCCGCACGATGGCATCTACGACGAGGCATGTTCAAATTCTTTTCGCGAATTCAATAAATTGACAATCGCAATCATCAGGAGTTGAGAGAATTGTGGAGAGAGATGGTTTGTGCGTTCTATTCATACGACACTTGCGTCTTACATTTATTTGCGGCAGGGATGGAAGACCAACGTACCCTCTAACAGGTTTGCCGTGACCCTCCGCGACCATTTTCAGAATAAATCCAGGCACCACGGACCGTTTGAAGAAACATCGAACTTGAGCAGAGACAGCTGGACCACCGATTTCATCGAACTTCTGTATGTTCAGCGCATTAAGGAGGCCTTTGACGAAGACGGCTCCGGCTACGTTACTGTCGCAGAGGTGAACAGGTTCACGGAGCAGCAGCCGAGAATCTTGGGTTGGAGGTGCGTTTTCTTACCACGTCCTTGCTACATAATAATGAATGCTACGTCTAGTCTGCGCCATTGGCTCGCTTATTGGACTATCGGTGAGTCAGTTCAACAGGCGAATGTCGGGACCAGGACAGTCATACCGTCGCAATATAGGTTGGCACATTTCAGCAACGTGGTATCGAGACAAAATACGCCGAATCTTTGCACGCATGTTCGTACTCAGGCGTCATGTTCTTCCACGAAATCGCTCCCTGGTGGACAATTACCTGCATCAGACATGGACGGACAGTGCGAAGATTGTGGAGTCACTGCAGCCGGCCGCCTCTATCTTGCGCCACTTCGACCATAAGTTTATCGACTACCTCTCTTCGGAAGAGAGGAGAATCAGGGAGAACCTGGAGGGCATCAACTACAACCTTGATGCGGTAGAGACCATTGTGACTGTCGTAGGTTCTGGAAGAGTGGAAGGTGTACGTTCAGTCACTCGCTCCTCTTCCTTCTGAGTCACGAGCTAACTTAGGCCAGTATATTTTTCCACTGCTTTATCTATTACTTCGAAATCACTTGCAGCTGTTTAATCTGGCTCAAGAGCAGGCAATGTGCGAACACGTCTTCGCGGTGTCCGTGAATAGCCTACTTCATGTACATCAAATATATTCTCAGCGCTATCAGCAAATCTCAAGTGAGCTAGCATTTTCTGAAAGTCCTGCTCTTTACTAACAAAAAGTGAAGCACTACTTCTGCATAGAGGCCTGGATGTACCACAACATATCAAGAGATTTTCATGTGAACTAGTGCGTGCTTTGTCATTTTGTGGGCCTCCTCGACGATGCCGACCAGAACTCCCATTCAGTTTGAATACTATCATGATGCGATACCCATGTGGAAAGCACTCCGTATGCAGATAGATGTAGACGACGAAACCGTGGATACGCACGACCCACCGCCTGCGACTGAGCTTCCTGGATACCTTCCTTCATGCCAACACGTCCACCAATTACTGATCCCACTGCCGCGCGTCTCTGGTGACTCGACTAGGGTTCAACCAAGGGAACAGGGCATTCTAACTGAAACCGGAGACATGTACGTGACGTTGCTATCCAACCTATTTCTGTGCTCTTATAATGCGTGTAATCCATTCGCATAGCTTTGGCCAGTGGAACGGATTCGTATACAGTCACACAGAGTACCCAATCTTCCTCATGACCTCATTCCACGCACGCCCGAGTCATTCGCAGGAGCACCATTTCGAGGATCACGGGACACATTTCGGTGCTACGTATCGCCTGCTGGGCCTTTGCTCGCAGACCCGCAACCATCTGCGCGTCCAATTCAGCATACATTACTCCCAAGAGTTTCGATCTAAATATTTTTCCGGATATCTGAAAGACGAACATACCATCGTTGGGTCCGAAGGATGGACAGAAGATCCTAAGACTCATCAATATCGCTTCATTCTCAAGAGGATCCCGGCAGAAGTGATGTGCTGCCGCCCTTCACCCTCAGAATTTCGGCAGAACCGAATTGCAGCTTTGTGGAAGTACGCCCGCTCCGCGATCATCTATCACGTCCGAAAGGAGAGTTGTTCTAAAACCTTCTTCGCCGAGCGGCGTGAAATTCGCAGCACACTCATCGAATTCGACATTCGCAACTACACTTCATATGGACGCCCGCTTGACCAGCGCGAGCGTCTTCTCTGGACGGCGAAACGGGGAGCTATTACAGCTGAAGACGCAGCGTTCTATCGTGCCATGAGAGACGCACAACTCGCTCTCGTACCGAAGCATCTGTGAGTTGTTGACCAGACGACGGTTTTATGTCGTATTGATCACTCTTTCGCCTTCAGCGGAGTGGAGTGCGCAGGCTGCACTTACCAGGTCAGAGGTGCACGGATCATTTGTTTGGACTGTCTCTCTCCCGATGGTGATTATACAAATACGGTCAACTTCTGCGACGATATGCGATGTCGGTCAGCGAACATCAAGCAGCAAAGAGCAGGAGCGATTCTTCATCACCCTTCTCACGATGTTGTCAAGGTCCGGACCGTCCAACACCTCAGGGACATGTATGCTCTAGAAGAAGTTTCTCGAGCCGCACTTCTCTCAGCCAAGCACGTGCTGAAGCATAGTTTTGCTCCGGGTTTCTCTGTGGACGAAGAGTCTCCCGTTAATGGCAGCATTGTGGAAGAATATACCCAAGCGAAGTCGAAAGCTCAAGGTCCTGCAATTTCGCCGGTGCGCAAGACCTTGTCTGGGAAGAGTAAACGACCTGTGTCGCCTCAGCGGCGTCAGTCTCATTCAACAGTCGCGTGTGGTGTCTGTGCCGCCGGCCTCGACTTGTTGAGCAGCTGCTGGTTCTGTGTAAACTGCTTTGATGAAGGTAAGGTTTTCTTACTTCTCTCTCGGGATTTACTGACAGTGGCACAGACTGTCGATTCTTCATTTGCAACGATTGTGAAGCTGGAATGCTTCTACCATGCGCAACGTGCAATAAACCATATAAGCAGCTATCGTGGTACCATGGCTCTCGTCCAGGTGCGCAACCATCCATCACTTGCGATGAGCCCTCCTTGACAAATCGTTTTGAAGAGGATTCCTTCGCATGCAGTGCCTGCACTGCCCTCCGCGACGGCGCGCTTGTCTCTTCACGGTTTCCTCATAGCTATACGCATGCTCTCGTGCAATGCAAACCAGCCATGCTTGGGAGTAGGGCAAGTTCGGTTGATGACGCTGGCGCGTACACTTCAGAAACAGCTATATCTGAGCTGCGTCAACGCGTGCAGCAGCTGGACAATAGGATTGAGGGGTTAGAGGAGGGCCAAAGTCGGCTAGAGCACATGGTTGGACAAATTCTGTCAAAGCTGGCTGCGATGTCCTCCTCCGTTCCAAGCTCAACAAGCTCCAAGGATTTGTAGTAATGCTTTCGCTATTGAATACGTTGTACATGAAGAGCAAATGGATGATAACGTAACACTATTATTTTATAGAGATTGCCGCGATACAGATCGCTATACAGATGTCAATACGAACGATGCATGGGTTGTATAAACGGGTGGGGTGGAGACAATTGCAGCTCTATGCACGGTTCAAAAAGCTGTAAGCGGAATGGGTCCTGCTAGTCGCAGAACGAGACTGCGAGGGTCTTCCCGTGGCTTCTCAGATTTTCTGGATCTGGATTGTCCAGCTCAGCCATGCGCCGCGCAATTCTGGTCTGGTCGCGGCCTAGGAGCCAGGTAAGCTCTAGCACACCCAGGCCGTTCACGTGAGGCCCGTGTCTGTTCGGCTTGGGCCAGGGTTGTCTGGTGAGAATGAGCGCGATGAAGAGCATCATCCCTGAGATGCCGGTACCGAGCCAGGGCTGTACGAAGTTGTGAGTGTTGGATATGATAGCTTGCACCTGAGCGGACGTACCTGCCAGTGTCTGATCTTTATTTTTGGTGTCTAATCAGGCCGGGTGGAACTTATCAGACCGGTTGCGCGGGACTCACCTGCAAAGAATATTGAACCTTCTCGGATCCTCCCTGAGATTGGTCACCAACAGAACGCACAGCAGCTGCCACATAGCTCAGCGACTGAGACAAACGAAAAGTACCACATGGAAGCTTACCTCGCCAGAAGACTGCTGCGATAGCCTGCTCCAGTACCTCTTCTAGTTGCGTGATATTAGGATTCATGACGTCTGTCTGATAATATCCAAGTGCTTCCATAACATTACTAGTCAATGAATATTAGAAGCTCGTTGAAGCAAAGGTTCAGCGGGGATGCTCCTTACTCTTCTAGCAACGTAAGCGTGTAGTTACCGATTCGACTGCTACCTGGAACTTGGAAGAGCTGAGTGGCGTGACTCGGGGGGGAGATGGCCCCAAGAGAGCCTATCTACGGCCCGGTACAAGTAATCAGTATGGTAAGGTTATGTAGGAAGCTGACAGGCTTACATTGGATAGAGTGGGATCTGTCGGCGCACCTGGGAGCGTCCAGTCACTCCAAGACTCTGTGTGGTTGAAAACGAAGGACGTGTCCGCCTGGATATACGGGAACGACTCCGTCAGGACCTGGACCGAATCAACGAGACTCCGGACGCCGACGTTGCAAGCCACGAGTTGGATAGTGGACGTCGGCGCTATAGCCGGTCAGCGCAAGGTACTGCTCCTAGGTCAACAGAACTTACCGCAGTCTGACGAAAGTATACAAGTTCGAGGGTCGAGGGTCGCATTCAAGGTGATGACAAGGTTTCCACTCGACCCCGTTTGGTCAATGATGGGTAGGGTAGAGCTCAGTAGCAGCACGGGAGGCGGCACAGTTCCAAGAGATGCATTCCGCCAAACTGCTGATCGAATGTTCATCGTCCTCGGAACTAGAGTATAGCGAACGTAAAGACTGCGTATGCAAGAGCGGTGGACAACACCTACGAGGAGTGACATCGATGTCCATGAGCTCGTCGTGAACATGAATAGGGAACGTCGAGTTTACAGCGTTAAAATTACCCGCCTGCGAGCCGCCTGGTATCAGCTGACATCCAACAGTGAAGGCAGTGCCGTTGGCAGGGACCGCCGAGCCGCTTATGAAGGTAGGAATGTCATAGATGAGATTGGCGGAAAGACCACTAATGATAACGTCTTGATCTGTAGAGAGCACCGGAAGCAAGTCCACCACGGGGAACGCATCCTGAGTTCTGCAACGCTCCAGTAAGCGGACGATGCCCTACTATCAAGTTCGTGTCACTCACTTATTGATGTCTTGTCCGATGCCAGGTAGAGCGGAAGTCAGCTTCTCAAAGCTGTTTTCGTTTCCTATCACAGGTCCTGCGGTGATCAAATCGGGCGCAATGATCGCCAACACCAAGCCGCCTATGAGGTACAGAAAGACAAACACAATGCTCGCCAGTGACGCTAAGTCCTGATACCACGTGTCGCGATGGGCCCTGCGCGTGCGGAAGATGTCCCGGTACTTCAAAAGGGTGACACCGGTTGCGCCCAGGGATAGCCATGCCTGGGACTTGTCGTGCATAGCAGTGAGAGTCTGCTCAATATGCAGGTCGCGTCTGAGCGCGAGAAGCTGTGTGAGATACAGCAAGGGGACGAGGTAGATCTGTAACGATCGAGACAATGAAGTTCAACGTAGAGGTTCATCCAAAATCTGACTCGCCTTGATGATTATGTTAGGGAGCAGTGATACTTTCTCGAACAGCGAAGCGGTGAAATAATTAGCGGTAATGATGGACGGTACCGGAATCTTGAACGCAGTCCCGTCAAGCCGATAGTGAAAGACGACCAGTACAACATGGAAGCCGACCAGGACGATATGCATCAGGAGGCAGAGCAGGAAGAGCAGCAGACCGACCCAGGGTGTTGTTACCGACTTGGCGGCGGGGAATGGTCGCGCTAGGAACTCCTCGATGTCCGATAGTCCTGGAGTCGCGACCACCTTCTCGGCTGCCGAGATGTCTGGTTCAGAGTAGGGAGGGGCAGGGCCTGCATCCTTGTCGGCCTGAATAGTCGCCATACTTAGCTGGCGAAGGGCGAGAACTAGTAGCTAAAAGGCTTACCTGTGATTTATGTACTCTTTGCCCATCATGCCTCAATATTGTTCCACGGTCAGGTCCGGTTATACAAAAGCCCAGAACATGCCCGCTGTCATACTATATACGGGAACGGAAGATAATTGTATAACATCTGGAAAATAGGCATCCCTATAACTGGAAGATAAGCTTGATCAATGAGCTCCGACTCAGGTATGCTTCGCGTCCGAGCCTACGAAGCTTCATATCTGAGTTTTGGCCGTAGACCACAGGCAAGTGTGAGCAAAGAAAGGGGATGGCAGAGTGAAGAGAGTAAACATACGCAGAGCTAGGGTACAAGAGACATGATTGATGCTCGCTGTGTAACAGACGGCTGCAATTGGTCAGAAATTGAGTGGGAAGATCAGCATACATCAAGAAGTTCTCAAGCCGCAACATGTAAGCCGCGTGTGCACCTTCCATGTCTCCAAACAGAAGCATTAAACTTTAGGAGGGACTACACACGCGCTAGAGGCAGACAAACTATGCATACCATTCACGTGGAGCATGGAGAAATACGCAACAGGGCACATACTTGGTCAAAACCACCTGAATGGCAAGCAGGATATGCTCGCAGCGGGCTTCAGATGTGTGATACGTGTAGCTGCACAATTAGGCATGAACCCTGGATGGCTCATTTCCACCATGGAACACCGCCTCATTGCCAGCTGGCCGACAAGGGTCCTTGAGCTCAAAATGCTCCCGGGGTTGAGCCGTGTCATGGAGTTCCATCTTTCGAGTTCAGGCTTAGCTCAGATGCCGGGTGGATCGACCTGAATGCTGTGAGTCGACAAAACCTTACGGGAGAAAGCGAGGGGACGAACTCTAACAGACTTCATCCCAGTCTTGAAGCACCGCGAGATGTATGCCTTTCAATGAGGCTGCTGTGGATCAACGTGGTAAGGCGTCGTGATTCGGTGCTTACTTGCACCAAGTCCACCAGTCACATAACTGTCTCAGTAGAACATCTTGCCGCAGTGCTTCCCCAGTAGTTTACGCTTTCAACGGCGACAGTTCGGTCTCGCTTGACTTCGAGATGGCCAATAAGCTTGCATGATATACTGGCAGGTCGTCTTCAACTTCCGTTCTTTTCGTAGACAGCTATAAACATCAAGAACCCCGTAGTCGGACATATCGGTACCTGCACCACATGTACAGCTTGTAACCTAGGGACCAGTGACAATATAAGGCCTGAGGTACACACCACCAGTTCGCTTCAGCTCCCATACTGGACAGAGATACAGCCCTCTGTGACTTCCTCTGCTAACCTGGATGGCATCTCAAGCAGAGCACGGCTGGAACATAAGCGCTAAATTACTGCATTTGGTTTATCGCAGATTAGCCCTAGAGCCTGTCTTAATCTTTTACCCATTCAAGAACAAAAGCGTGGCTACGACTAATTTTGCGGCCAGCGTATAGTAACATGCCATGAAGGCGGAATAGCAGCATCATTACACAAGATGTAATACACTGCCAGTTACTCAAACTGAGGTCCGTAGGGACACACTGGATGCTTTCTTGTAAGGATCCGTAGACGCTTAATGTCGGAAAAAAAAATCCGCTTGAAATGTCTTTCAAGGCAAGTCAAGGCGTCGATGATATCAGGACCTTGTCAGCCCTGGAGCAAAGAACGTTGGCATTGAGAGACGCCAACTTTCTATTCCGAGGTGCCCGCAATGTCTGCTCAATATACCATTTTGGGCTACCGAGGCGCCGGATAGGCGGCCAGGCAGCTCATCCTTGGGCTTCATATTGGGCCGTCAACTGGCCTCAATAGCACTCAATTCTTTTAGAATACACATATTATGATATTGTCTATAATGTACTACACAAACAGCAAGGAACAACATACAAGTATAACATAGGGAAGCAATGGCTGGCTGCATACTAAGCAAAATGTCATGGTGCTGGGAATGCAATTAGCTCAGCAATTTGATAGTGTGATAGCAGGGGACATACCTTTTCCAATATAGGGATTGCTACACCCTTCGGTGGCACCTAGCCAAGTTGGAGCGCAGGCACCGGCTGTCAGCTGCTTCGACAGCCACCCAGGCACAGTCGGCGACGCGTGGGGCTCCAGGATGCTACAGGTGGCTAGTGCATGACGCATCGCTCAAGCAGCTCTCGATGTCCGAACATTGCAAGGGGGTCTAGAATTTTCCGACATTTTACAAACCTGCTCGGCATGTCCAACCCGTCTTGAGAGCCGTTTTGTCTGAACAGCAGACGCAATTACAGAACAAGGGATCTGGAAGAGGTTTTGGCCCCCCTCTCTTCCAGATTCTATGTTCACAGATGAGGCAACTGCCCTGCAGTGACGACCAGTCGCCTCGTCAATACAAGCATCGAGAAAGCGTGTCCTGTCTTTGTTGCTTGATGGTGGTCATTTTGTCCATCCCAGTCATGCACACGTCAGAGACTGTTATCGGCGTGTAACCTCCGATTCACTTCCAAATTGCCCACAGGAAAGCGTCTATTCACTCACACCCCAGATCGCAGATTACGTACCTCCGCGCTCTGTCAGCGATCTGGGACAAACGCAAAATGGGAATGTTGGACTCCGCGAACACATCTGCAGCGTCACCCTGGCAAGCTTCTCCCGCACCTGACCCTCAGGCATTCAGTCGTCGTCTGCAAACCTGTGCTGCTTATCCTTGCCCCAGTCATGCAGGAGTTCGAGCGTCGGGTCGCTCACGTCCCTTGCGACATTGCGCGAGAGGCTGTTCTTCTCCTGACCGAGGTACCACATGAGCTGCAACACACCAAAGGAGTCCACCTACGGGTGCATCTCGTCATTAGTGTTCGGCTTTGGCTGCCAGGTGAGCAACATAGCGACGGCAAGCATGACTGTAGAGACACAGAGACCGAGGATGGGCTGTAGATGCGTTAATACATAAATTAGCAAGCGACGATGAAGGATGGCAGGCACTTACGATCCATTTACTTATCTACGAAAGGAACCGGATGAGAGAGGCTAAGCGGACGGAATTACTGGGCACACACCCGAACGGTAGAATAAAAAGATTCACTGGTGCCATCCTCTCCGAGCGGGTCATTGTCCACTGCCCGAAGGGCGGCTATAAAACAGGTTAGCAGGCGGCAGTCGGGTCCGTCGCCACCAGGAAAGCTTACCCCGCCAGAAAATTGCAGCAATGGCCTGGCCTAGGGTGTCTTCGAGATCAATGAGATCGACGGAAGCTGTCTCGGGGTCATAATAGCCTAACGTCTCCATGATATTACTGCAAGGTTCGAGACATATGTCAGCTGGAGAGAGACGACGAGATGAGGACGGAAAATGCTTACTCCTCTAAGATGCTCAAAGTGTATGTAACCGTAGACCCATCGATTGTACTGCGTAGCGTTGTGCGGCTGCTAGGTGACTGCTGGCTGAAGTTTCCGATCTCTCGCAAGATATGAGTACTATGGCCAGCTAGCGAGCACAAATTGAGGACTGACAAGGTCAAGAGCCGGCTGCTCCTCGACTGGTGGGCTTGGAAGCGACTAGTTCGACCACAGTTGGTTCAAGGGGATAGGGGGAGCGTTAGCCCAGAAAGGAAATACGTTTGCATCTACACGGACCGGACCGTAGTCCTGATGTCCATGACCGTAGTCCTTGGAAAATACATTGCATGCGACAACCTGCGTTGCGTTGATCGGGTCTACAGAGATTATAGAATGATCAGTCGCCACCCACAAAATGTGCTTGCGTTGAGTCCTTACCGCAGTCAAATGGGCACTCCACAGGAGATATTTGAGTATTCAAGTCCACACTAGTGGCACCTGTGTTGCCGTAGGAGTCTGTTGATCGGGAAGGCAGATGCAACGATGAGTGTTGCAGGAGGTGGAAGTCCGTTCGACGTATTCTGCCACAAGGCAGGGCGAATATTCAGTGTGCGCTTCGATGCTACGTCCAGTCAGTATCGCAATTGTAGAGGCACCGGAAGTGACAAGCTGACGCACCTGGGTTGATGACCACATCTTGAAGCTGCTCCTCGACATGGATAACGAGGGAACCTTTGCTGGACTGAACTTGCGACGCCCCTAGAATCTGCTCGCAGTTCACCCCAAAGGCTGTACCGGTGACAGGAAGAAATTGGGTGACTCCGGATAAACTAGGTACGTCGTAGATCAGGGTATCTTGAAGACCAACGGTCACGATATCTTCGTAATATGTCACCAAAGGCAGCATGTCCACGATAGGGAATGCTTCCTGAACGCTAATACCCGTCGTCCATCAGCAACAGTAATTGTATGGGAACAGGCGATACAAACGCATTGTTAGTAATGCCCTGGAGCTGCGATGTGAGATTCTGGAAACTAGGGCCAGTGACAGTACTGCCAACGATGACTAGATCTGGAGCGATGATGCCGAGTGATAGTCCGCAGCAGAGGTAGATGACGATCAATAGGACTCCAATGAAAGCGGGTAGCTCGCTTCTCCTGGAAACCCGGCCTTTCTTACGGACGAAAGCAGTGAGGTATCGCCACAGGACGGGGACAGAAGCACCTAGTCCCAGCCAAGCGGAGGATTTATCGTGCGTGGATGTGAGAGTCTGCCCGACACGAACGTTGCGTCTGAAGGCGAGCTTCTGGGTAACATAGAGTGTAGGTACCAGGTACACCTGAAAGTATGATAGAGTCAACGGGGAGGCTGTCTCGCAGAGCATATGGAGAAGAAACTCTACCTTGACGGTAGTGTTCGGGAACGCTGTTATAAAATAGAATATGCTCCCCGAAATAATTCCGCTTAGGTGGTTTGAGAGAATAATTGTACCTTTATGCAGCGTGAAATGCAAGATGACGAGCACCACGCATGCAATGACGGGGAGGACATGTAGCACGAAGCAGAGGACGAATAGAAATATAACAGACAGCTGTAAGCTGGCAGCTTGAGCGAGATGATCTTTGGAAGGGAGAGAAGCAGAAAACTCAGGTTCCGACAGTCCTGGAGTCCTGACAAATTTCTCGATTGGTGACAGCGCTGGTTCAAGATAAGAAGGAGTGGGGCAGGCGTTGCTGTCAGCCTGGGCCATTTTGTGAGCGGGAGACAAAGAAAATATCCAGAAGGTCGATCTGCGACCTATGTAGTCTTCATCCATCTTGTTCCAGGATTTTCTCAAGGTTCCATCCGGCCGTGCGAAAGAACAGAACACGCTCGTTGACGCGTTGCGTGCAGGGATGGAGACGCTTACGTGCCAGCCCAAAAACAAAGCCCTTCCCCCAATCGGAAAGGAAGCCTGACTCAGGGGCCTTGATTTGGGGGTTGGACTACTCTGAACTCAAGCATAAGCGGAGGATCATGTGCGGGCTGAGGCCCGAAGCGGCTAGAGAAAAGAGGAACGGTCAATAGTGAAGTTGTGAAAGGAGCACACATACGAAGTTAAATTTTAGTTCAGGGGTCAGTGCTGCATTTCACATCTTCCATTTCTTCTGACGAGTACAGACCTTGTACAGCATCGACCCCCACTAGGCGCTGCACACACGCTGCCGAAGGTGATTGTCCTATGGTATCGCAGCGATCTACTCAGAATAAAAATCAGCTCGCTGGTGGCTCGGAACATACCCAGCTAAGATTGAGGAGAAGGGTACGTACCCACGAGGAGATGCTACCTCAAGGCTGAAAAGGGTCCTTCGGAGACTTGAGCTTTGTAACAAAGTTCTGTCTTCCAAGGTTGACTTCAGGGCTTCGGAGGATTAATTGTAAGTCGACAGAACCTTGTAAGGGAGAAGGTCCCAGGCAGGCTTGGTCCCAGCCTCGGAGTGCTGCAAGACATGGATCCTGATTCGGAAAGTGTTGTAGATCAACGCAATGAGGCGCCTTGGGTGCTCAATAATTTGTCCACTTCAACCGATTCCGAGATGACCCCGACTAGATGACGTTCTCCCGGGTCATCTATGGGGAAAATGCTAGGACCCTAGCTCATATTCCGAGCTTTTACTGAAAGGGCCAGGCTAGTCTCACAGTCACCGGGCTCCATGCTTGTTGATAAGCTTGCACCGTGGCCTGTGAACAAACCAGTCTCTCCAGCGCCCCGACCATGTGCAGCTAGTCACAAGCCCTAGTATTTCCGTGCTTCATTAAGCTTCAGTGCCAGGGCCGGGCATATCGGGGTCTGTACTAGTAAGTATGGCATCGTGGGCCACAGTCTCCACATCATCCTGCATCAGACAAGGAAATTAGTGTCCGTAAGTTATTAGTCGCTGTGACTCTGGGTCGGCAGAGAGTTATCTAAAAGCTCACGAAGTCAGATGAGTCGACTGTCTCATGTCTCTCATGTCTCTCAATGGGCTACTGGATTAGGCGCTGAAGCGTAAGCGCCGCATTATCCCAACCGGGCAATCGCGGATTACCTTGATACTCAGCGCATCTTGCCCGTAACCAGATTGCAGCTTTGAAGGTAGCAAAGCAGAACTCACTACAACAATCAATACGCTGAAACCCTCTGTTATAGGGCAACACGATGATAACATCTCTTTCACCCGAACAGACCGCGGCTTACCTCCGCACTCTGCCAGCGATCCGCGAGAGGTGCTCGCGGGTGCATGCACTGGCGCAGGAGGGCAAACTGCAGTATTTTAACTATCATCCCGAGAAGGAGGTCGATGTCGCCTCATTCTGCACTGAGATTATAAAGGTATAAAGAGAAATCTTGCAACTATTATGCATAGCACATGGACTAACACCGATTTATCCAGCGCGATTTCGGCACCAGCTTTGCATCTGTCAGTAGGCTTCATCCCAAAATATGCATATTGTAAGCTCACGCAGCGCTAGATTCCACCTCACGGACGGTGGCGTCATCTCGATGCGGGCGCACCGCGCGTCGAGCCACTGATCAGCCAGTGGAAGGCATCAACGAACCCTCCGGATACCAAAGAGATCTGCCGACGTCTTGTCGACTTGTTCCTTGTCTCTGTGCTCCTGGATGCAGGTGCGGGTGCATCTTGGTCCTACCACGACGCATCCTCTGGAAAGTCCTTCAGCCGCTCAGAAGGACTGGGTGTTGCCAGCTTCAGCATGTTTCTCGGGGGCTTTTTCTCCGGGGATGCATCTAATCCGCATCAGGTAGATGGTAAGATCCAGAACATACAATGTTTTGGTAACATGCTGACGCTTTGCGCTCAGCTGAGGGCCTTAGCCGCGTTACGACCGAGAAGACCACCGCTGCAATGCAGGTTAGGACTTCGAACCCCATGGTGGGACTCGAGGGCCGCACGTCGCTTCTGCGGAACCTGAGCACCGCGCTCAAGTCGAACTCGACGTTCTTTGGGGTCGACGCGCGCCCGGGTGGGCTCGTCGACTTCCTCGAGGCTCAGTCCATTTCCAGCGCCGACGGTACCCGCCGCGTCCCTGTCGCCGCGCTCTGGGCGGCGCTCATGGACGGGCTCGCCCCCATCTGGCCGAAGACGCGCGCGACACTCGGAGGCACCAGTCTGGGCGACGTCTGGCCGTGCGAGGCCCTGCGGCCGCAAGCCGCGCACGAGGGCGACGAGCTTGTGCCATTCCACAAGCTCACCGGGTGGATCACGTACAGCCTGCTTGAGCCGATCGAGAAGGTACTTGGATGGAAGTTTGAGGGTGTCGAGGATATGACGGGTCTTCCGGAGTATCGCAACGGTACGCGCCGCGAATAGTGTCCGAGTGCACAGCTGATGAGACGCAATGTAGGCGGGCTATTAGTGGACTTTGGTGTCTTAACCCTCAAGCAGGGGGCTCTGCCCGAATCAGCGTACCCTGATCCAGCCTCCGGGATCCCGTGCCTCCTGCCCTCCCACCCTGCTATCGTAGAATGGCGCGCAATGACTGTCATCGAACTGTGCGTCCAGTCCTCGTTCCACACACGAAACTCAACGCTTTTTTTCTTTCACAGTGACCGTGTTGGAGAACGCATCCGCTCAAAGCTCGGCCTTACCAAGGAACAGCTCACCCTGGCCCAAATCCTCGAGAGCGCGACTTGGAAGGGTGGACGCGAAATCGCCAAGCAGAAGCGCCCTGCGACCGGAGGCCCTCCGATTGACATCGAGAGTGACGGCACCGTCTTCTAAGCACAACAACTTATCTGTCTGTAAAAAAATTCGCGTTCTAACCAATCTCAAACATAACTATAACGCAAGGACCAACACAAACTCACAAGGTGCAGAGGAAAGCAACAAGATGTACAAATTACGATAACAATACAGGAATCTCAGGAAGCAGAGAAGAGCGTCCGAAATGTGCGCAGACAGCTTGTGAGAGGAATACAAGGCTGCTCTAGTGACTATGCTGTTGATGTTGCAAGTGTCGCGAGAGCTTGACTGTAAGCACGAACGCGACCACCGCCGCAAGACCTCCCAGGCTGATGAGCGCTCAAAATCAGATGGAAAAAAATAGCCAGATAGGAGAGTTACTCACCGGAAGACATATGCATACGAATCGGGGCCTCCTGTGCGGACTGTCGGTCCCTCTCTGCTCATCAGCTCGACGACCGTGCCGTTGGTCGCAAGGTCGCTGGGGTTATGGTCCTCGACTTCGCCGCTGCTTGTGAGAGCAAAAATAATTGATGATATGCCTGTAATCACGAACTGAGGAATGACAACGAAGATATTGTGGATTCCCTAGGAAGCGAATGTCGTTACAGCTATTGCAGATGGAAATGGAAATCCTCTGGACATACCAGGATGATGCCGGCTTTCGCCGCAAGTCCACCTCCCTTCTTCTCTTTCGGTATGCTCTCTTCGTAATCAGCGTGCAAAGATAGTCTTGAGCTAGACGCATCATTGACGTTTAGGTGGCTCCTCCTTGCGCTCGCGTTGTTCATGAACAGCTCGGCTTTTGCGCGCTCCTGTTCCGTGTCCATGGATACCGACGACCGGAAGGACTGTACCTCATCCTCGAGCCCTTCGCGCTCCTCATCTTCGTCGTTGCCAACCAGGAATTGCCGTTCATATTCTTCGCCACCGCCCCGACCAGAGAGTCGCCGAGAGCGGGTATCGTCGAGGACTATTGAGTTTGCGTCCTCGATTTCAGTGTCATCTTCGAGGATCGCCTCGGCAAGCTTTAGTAGAGATGAAGGGAGGCGAATAAGCATCGTTGTGGACACTCTAATAGATGGTCCTCACAAGAGCGAACGGAGCCCACTGAGTGATAGCCCACGAAAACCCGGCTAGCGTTGTGAAGAAGGTCGCGCCCCAGACGCTGGAATAGAAGCTAGAAGATTTTTAGTAAAGCCGTCACAGTTGACGAGCCAATTGACGTACAACGTTGCCAACATGCAGATTGCGAACAATAGATGCGATGCAGCCCATAACGATGCCAAGTGCATCTTCAGCTTGTTGAACCACCGCACCCACACACTCTGCCCGGCCATCTTGAACTTATTCTGCATGCGCAGTCTGCTCTTCGCCTCGGCAACAAAGAACGGCATGAAAAGGTTTGCTGTTAGGGCAAGGATGGAGTTGTAGAACATTGCGCGCGAGCCGAGGCGTGTGCCCTCCTCCATGGCGGCATCGTAATCCATGTTAGGGTGCGACCGCCGGTGTAATTCCGCGATGAACTCGGTCGTGTTAAACAATAACGGGAACCAACCTATCCATGCGCTAGAGGATGTTCAGCAACAAGCTGGACGAAGTGGAGTAGACACGTACAAGAACTGGATTATACACTGTTTGGAAGAGATTGAGAAGAGACAAAATAAAGGCGAGTCGGATACGCACAATTTGGCGTATCACCGTAGGCAGTGTCCGGATATTGGTCCATATCTCCTTGAATTCTTTCCTCAGACCCTTGTCCGTCTGTCTGACCATCGAATGAGTATTGTACAACACAATGTGAACGAAGACGTACTTTGTGCTGATGACAACCTTCTCTTTCACACTGTACGCTGTCGCACAGTGTGTTAGAACTAGTAGAAACGACCCGATAACCGAGAGAACCTCTAGTTCGGTATCGCCCAGGAAAGGGAAAACCTTCGTCATGTCAACATTTCCCCTGGATAGCATGTGAGTATTGCTTAATGTGTAAATTTTGGATAAGTCGTACACGAAGTATCCCGCAACACTACCAAAACCCAGCATACGTGCCGCCCAAGCATTGCCGTCGGGCTGGTCGGAAGGCGGGAGGGTATCCACAAGAAGTGCGCGGTCCACGGCTTGGACTACCATAGTAGTCAGCATGGCATCTGACCGGGCAAGCTGCTCCCCTCGACGCACCCGCATTGATAGAGAAGTCGATGGTGAAAATGGCCAAAATAGCCAGCCAAATAGTCAGTACCTGGTTCTAATGAAAGCACGCAAATTCAATTACAGTACGAAAGTTTGTAATAAGAGTACACGTACCGCAGCTGACCCCGTAGGTGTAAAGATCGTAGCGAACGGTCGAGTGAAGCCCAGAAGTAGCATGGCGGACATGCATATCGCAACTCCTCCGATCATGTACGGCCGTCGACGGCCAAAACGTGACTTTGAGTGGTCCGCAAGTACACCTACAATCTGAGTTGTAGCTATACCATGTGTGAGAAGCAGGCACACGTACCAATGAGGGGCTGGACGACTAGGCCAGATATTGGACCAGCTAGGAAGACCATGGCCACTGCAGACTTCGACAAGCCGAGTGATATTAGATATGGCGTGCCTATATTATGCAAAGTCAATATCAATAGCCTCCACACAGCACAAGGTGCGTACCATAAGACATCTCGACAGACCATAGCACTTGGACGCCCAGCAGCCCTATCGTCAGAGCAGGTAGCTGGAGCCAACCTGGGCCCAGTATCTTTGAAATCCCGACGAGCTGTACTCCCTCATCCTGGCCGCCTTCCTCCGCCACGGGCAACGCAGAGAAACCCGTCATTATGCCTCCGGAGATATCGTGCTGGAAGTGCGGGGCTCGCTTCACCGTTGCATCAGCTGCAGACGCGAAGCAGGGGTGTTATACGCGTTGGTCCCAGCGCAAATCAGGCAGCGGCCCAAATATTATTTGAAGGCTACAGAGCAAGAATAAAGTTGAGACGGTCAAGCAGGAGGAGGAAAAGCTGCAGGTCTGCGCGAACGGGTAGTGACGTCTCAAAGCGCCGGTCGCGCCTGGCTGCGCTCTGCCGAGCGTCTTATGGCTGATCCGATCAGCTCCACGTTCGCGTCCGTTTCTGGGTGACGGAGTGCTCGTGTTGCGCGAGGCCGTGTCTGTTACCGCAGACTACGACGACGACGGAGTGTTTGGGGCTGAGTCTCTGTAGCACTCGCTCAATTCTGTCTCTATCATCCACAGTCATAACGAGAACGTTGTTCAACGCTGCCCATCATGACCATAACCGTTCTCGCCTCAAGCCTGGTGCTTGCGCTGGTCGTGACTGCTCGCCCTATCCTACCGAATTCCAATGACGCCCCACAGCCGTATGGTTCTGTTAAATGAATTCATTCCACACGAAGCTCACGATCTGATAGCGAAGGGACTTCCCCAGATGTTCGTAACGCTCTGCAATCAGTCTTCCAATCCCGTATTGGGTAAGTCAATTAATTTTATAACGACGACCTCCGTCTCCCTTATAACATCTCCAGACAACCTGTGGAGTGCCTCGGCTGTGAAGGTGACAACATCAAAGTACACATTACATCTGCGGAAGAACAAGATGCCGTGCTCTCCGGACTGGACGACATCGAAGCAATCAAAGCCATCGTGCCTCTAAGTCCGGATGGTACCCTGACCCACGACGAAAAGAAACTCTACGAATTACTCGCTGGATCCAGCTCTTCCTCGTCTGCTACCGCAAGCCTCAATGACCTGGACGGGGACGAGTTAACGTCTCCGGGTTCTGGTCCAGACGCGATCTCAGAAGCTTCACCTGCCATAACAGACTCGATGGTGCAGGAGGTGACAGAGTCAAAGAGTCCCTACGACACACTTGCCAGTTCTCTCTATGACTTTGGATCCGGTCCTCTCATTACCTTGACGATATCATGCCTGGCTGCGTCCCTTGCCCTGGGCTGTCTCGTCGGTGTCCTATACCTCAAGTACCTGTTCTGCGGTTCTTCGGATGATCCTCTTGAACACTTATCTCGTGAACAGAAGGACGAATCCTCAGTTGCTCCGGGAAACGACTCGCAGAGTTCTGGCGGGGAGAAGCTCGGATTATTGTTCCTCGATGTTGAACCTTCGGCACCAGGTCTGACCTCGGAGGACGGTGCCATCAACGAGAAACCCAGTCTGGTTAGTGAGGCTTTCTACAACCAACGCGAGTATTCGTCCGACGAGGAGTCCGAAGAGCTGGGCGAGAAATTCCACGACGCCTTCGCCTCGCCCCACATGCACTCTAACCCGAGCCTTCCCCGTCTCTCTGTCGATTACGCCGACCCGGATCTCCTACCGCTTCCCATCATTGGACAGACCACGCCGTACTCGACGCCGCCGCACACACCCCCTCGTCCCGCTCTCCGCCGCCTGCCGAGCCAGCTTTCCATGCGCGAATCTCGTCCCTCAAGCCCACTCATCAAGCCCGCCTGGTCCCTCCGTGCCACCGACGCTCCCGCACTCGGACTTTCTACTTCACCGTTGTCGTCTCCCATGATGCGCGCCGTGTCTCCCGACCCCGTCTCACGCCCGCTGCCCATTCCTGGTGCGTTTGTGCCTGAAGAGGAGAATGCTGTCGTTGAGCATCCTGCGCCCCGTCGTGCGTATCGTGCGCCTGTGCCCGAACTTGATATCGCGTTTGCGATGCAGCTGCGACCGGGTTTGGGACTTGGATCCGACCCGGCTTGGCTCGTCCGATTTTTGATGACGATGTTTGGATGGATGACTGTGTTAATCGGTGGTAATCCTGCTGCCAGGCAGTCGAACCAACGCGCCATAATGGTGTGATACCCCAACTTCCTGCCGTATCCTGCGTCTCGTCCCCTTGACAGCCCCCAGACCTTGTCAAATACCCCAAACCGCTTCGATCCCCTTAACTACTCCAGTTAGTGTAAGCAAGACACCCACCGTAACGAGTCTTGCGCACACTAAGCTGTCACATCCTATCTGTCATGGTACCTTGTCACCAATTTCCCCATATCACCGTCCCTCCCACCTGTTTCCTCCGTTTTCTGTTCAAGTCATATCGCACACCCCAACCGCTCCTTCATTCATGATCTCCCCTTTTCCTCATTTTCAACCTCCACGTTGCCCCGCCAATCATTTGTCCCCTGCAGTTTCATTCCACTCGGCCCTCTGCATCCAATTCGCACGATTCTGGAAACCTCTGGACCCTCTCGGGCATAGACTACATCATTTGCCTGCGTCGTAGCTCATACCCTCACAGCCTTCTAGTCTCAGTTCCGAAGATATAGCTTGGTTCCGTGCATCAGTCGTGGTTTAGATAGCAGTAGTATCCATCGTATAGTCATACCCAGTCTCGAGGATTTCTGAGTACCTCGAGCATCTTTGCCTCCTCGCTGCCCTCTTCGGTCCCCACGTCCGACATGTACTCCCATCGCGCTGTCTCTGGGAGACTCATCAACACGTTCTCGGCCTGCACTCCCGGCGTCGCCAGCCCGAACTTCGTGCCACGGTCATACACGAGGTTGAACTCGACGTATCTGCCGCGGCGTATGAGCTGCCACCTGCGCCTGTGCTCGTCGACCGGGGAGCCCCTCCGGCGCTCGAAGATGGACAGGTATGACGGAAGGAAAGCGTTGCCGCACGCTTTCACGAACGCGAATATCTCGTCTGCCTTGCGCGGCCGCGGCGTCGAGTCGTCGGCGAGAAGCGAGTGCGGCTCGTCGCAGAGGTCGTCGAAGCGTATGCCACCGACGCCTCTGTGTTCACCGCGGTGTTTAATGAAGAAGTAGTCGTCGCACGATTTCTTGAAGGCGGGGTAGAGCTGCGGCCCGTGTGCATCGCAGGCCTCCTTGAGCGCGCGGTGGAAGTGCATAACGTCCTCCTCGAACAGGTAGTAGGGCGTGAGATCCGTGATTCCGCCGAACCACCAGGCGACGATCTTGGGCGGACTGCCCTCAGGCTCCCCGCTGTTGGCCTCGGTGATTTCAAAGTAGCGATAGTTCGCATGCACGGTCGGCACGCTCGGGTTGCGCGGGTGTATGACGAGGCTGATGCCGCCCGCGAAGAAGGGCAGGCTGCCGGTGCCGCTGTCTGCCCTGTCTGCCAGCGATGCGTGCTCCGTCGCCATCTGCTTGATCGCAGCCGGCGGAAGCTGGCCATGGATCATGGAAATGTTCACGCCCGCCTTCTCGAGCACGCTCGAGGGGTGGTCCGGTGCGGTGAAGGTGCACGAAACGCCACGTCCGCCCTGCGCGCGATCCCAGGCGCGCCGGTTGAACGGGGGCGCGGTGGGGTCGGCGGCCTCCAGCGCGGCGACGATCTCGCGCTGGAGGCTCTCGATGTACTCTGTCATGCGCTCGCGCATCGCGGCCATCTTTGCCTGTGTCCTAGGAAGTCAATTGGGTCAGCTGTTGGATGCCACTTGGCGTGCTGGCTCGAGCAGTCACCTGGTGGTCAGAGAGAAAGCTGTGGAGACGGTCATATCATGATTAATCGCAGCATCTTTGAGAACTCCGCATTTCCGTCTTCGCGGACGTCAGGTGCATGCGGTATCGAATCCCGCCTTACGGAAATGATCTCTTCATCATGATCAGGCATGCGGCGCCGTCGCGCGGTTGTCGCGCGCCACAATGCTCAATCGGCAAACGCCTACTCTCCTGGTGTATCTTTTCGCTCTTTCAGTCGACTTTCAGCCTTCTTTATCCGAGGTCAATTACAGGAGAGACAAGCCGTGAGTGGACATCTGTCTGTGCAAATGACGCTCGTAGATGGCAAGCATTCTCTGTACGTCACGTCGGATCGAGCTCCTGCCTCTACTTATATGCGGGAAACGTCGTTTCTAGGCAAAGGCTAGCACCCTTGATGTCGATCGACCCAACGTACAATGCCCTCCCGGAACTGACGCCACGCCTAGCTCACCGCCCGAGCTCGATAGAGATTTCATATCCCGAATGCGCCGGCACAGCGCGGAATGGGAGCGACCTCAGAGAGCGACGTACTCGGAGCCCACAGGTATGTGCGTAAACATCAAGGCACAAGGCACCAACAAGAAGAACGTGCACGTCCTCTTCTCTATCACGAAGAAGATCTGCTCCTCTGCATGCCTGATCAGCTCTCAAGTATCTCAACCACCTGACACTATGTAGGCGTCTTCTCCCGCTGTTGTCATACTTTCTTGGTACAGGCCGTATCATGATTGGTTGCTTCCTTGGCTCATGATTCGCTGGCGTAGCGACATCGTGGTAAAATACGGCAGCGCGGAAGAGTCTATAAATTCGAGAAGAATTCGCATGGAACACAGTTAGGCGTCGCCCAGCTACTTCTGCGGGTTCCTCATGGCACCCAACGCGTTCGCCGTGCGCGCCGCCCAAACAGCACCCGTGCCCCCGCCGCCTCCACCTGGGCTCAACTACATTGCTCCCCTGCGAATCGCCGTACGGGACCTGCTTATCGCGCACTCGTTTAGCATCCTGCTTGTCTCTCTCTTGATCGCACTGCTTTACTTCTCAACAAAACAGTCGCGTCGCCAGCCGATCTTTTTGCTCAATGTGTTCACCATCCTTCTTGCCTTGTCCGTTGGAGCGCTGATAGACTACCAAACGGTACACCTTACGCTATTTTTCGGAGTAGAAAACTGACGAGTGTTGCAGATACAAACTATCATAGCGCCTCTGGATCCTACTCCACTCTCGTTCAACATAGCTATCGGCGTCCTCGGAGCAGTGCAGTCCATTATCATCGACAGTATCCTGCTCGTCCGCCTCGTCTCTGTATACCCACCGTCGTATGTCGGAAAGCGTATTTTCGCTTTAATCCTCGCGGTACCCGTCCTGCTCAAAGTCGGCCGCATTATCAACCTTTGTCTCTTCATCAAAGCTCTGGCAGACGCCACAAAGGATCCCGCGACCGCGAATCTTCTTATTGCCCGCATATGGGAGAACGCTCCATACCTCAAGATCGAATGGTTCGCCCAGCTATTTGACAACTCGTCAGTTTTGCAACAGCCTTCCCGAAACCACATGGTGCTAATCAGACCTGTCTACAGCTATGCGTCCGGTTTCTTCCTGTACCGACTCATGCTGCATAACAAAGAAGCCAACCGCGTTATGTCAAGAAAGACGTCAGAAAGTACGTGCCATCTGGACACTGTCCCACCCCAGGTGCTAAACCCCTTGTCTAGCCTCCTTCACAGACACCATCCGGACGCTCCTCTGGGTCGCCGCGACTAACTTCGTCGTGCCGGTCCTCTTCTCGCTCGCGCAGATCATCGTCGTGTACCGCGACATCGACGTCCTGGTCGTGAACGACATCGTGCTCGTCAACACGTCCATTGCCGTTATCGGCGTCGTCTTCGCCACCGTCTGGGCGGGCACGGCGCAGTGGGCGCAGGGCCAGAGCCGCACCGCGCTCGACGCCTCCGAGCCGTCGCGCGTCGTCTTCCAAAACACCCTCGGCGGCAGCTCTGCTGAGGGCGTGGAAGTTGAAGACGTAGAGTATGGTGCTGCGTTCGCACGATTGTCACAGACCAAAGACGAGTAGGACTCGTCTCGCGGACTCGGAGGTGGGATACTATTGGCGCAGTACAATCGTAGTTCATCATTGTGCTAAAACGTGCAACCAAGAGTATAAATTGTCCAAACAGAGACGTCAAACTGTACGTCGGACCCCGCATCCCCCTTACTGCCCACAGGAAGCAATGGCTGTGACGGTGAAAGGCGCGGTTTGGGCAAAGATTTCGTTGATGTTGCTATTCCGAGAGTGCTGTATATCAGTATCTATGCACGTACATGCCAAAGGGCGCAGCCTACTCGATATTGACCGCCTGGATGGTGTACGGTCCACTGCACATTCTCTCAGATAGGGTGATAGCTAGAAGAAATGCAACACTTACGCGGCGTTGCTGCCCGGTACGCAAGGTAAGTCCACCGTGATGGAGCCTGGGGTCGTGGCCACGTTGTTCGCGAGGGCGAAAAGTGAATGTGTTTGTGCGTTAGCGAGTTCGATGCTAAAGGTTACCGGGTCATCTGGGGACGTCTCCCAGGTGATCTCGAGCGGCTCGGAGGTGGAAGCATCGGCTGGGGTGTTCAGCACCAAGCTGTGAACGCTAGAGAGCAGGGCAAGAGTGGACAGAATGAAGAGGACGGGCTGCATGGCTGGTTCGTGTTGACAGAGCTGTGACTGACGCTACGGTAATCTTGCGGCCCACCTTTTATAGGTCTACGCGACCGACAGCCGTCCGCGTACGTTGGCTGCCGACGCCGTTTGTGCGTCGAGCACAGACCGCTTTTGGATAGAAGTAACGACTGCGATCTTGCCAGGAGCAAGGAGCGATGGAATCAGGACCCTCATTGCGCACTCGTGACGGTCTATTTTGATGATGCCGTACGTACTTTCCACCCAACTCAGGCGAGAAATAAAGACGACGGGGTTCGGGAGGAAACAGCCCCGTGTCCTGCAACATATCGAGGGTCTCTCGCACGCGGAGGGTCTACGCCGTACCTTTCTGATCCTCAAATTCTCAATAATTTGGAAAAGTAGATGATGACTCTTGATCCATACACATCGGACGGCATACATCTGGCCCCTTCAGTCGCGACAGTCTGGAGAACACGGGGGTGGCAGTCACACAGATGCAAGTGACATGCCACCGTTCTCCACTATGGTCCTCAATAAGTCCTCAAAATGATTATTATCAGCCTCATAAACCGTCATCATACGACTGGGACGGTACTCACGTGTAATCCTCGCCTTTCCACATAACGTACCGCACCCAAGACAAATCCCGATATCCACTCTTCTCCACCACTTTTAGGGTGGCTAGCGGATCTGGATGCCCGAAATTCGAGAAGGCCTGAGATTAAGATCCTAGTAATATGCGGGCTCAAAGCCCGGGCTTGGGCTTGTGGCGACCTCGAGCCGAGCTCTAAGTTCGGCCTGGCTCGAGTCTGGGCTGGAATATGGACTTAGCTATTATAGACTATCTGTTTAAATATTTTTGAAAATGAGTGAGATTATATGGGCTGTATATTAGTATCTGGATGTGACAAAGCCGCGTAGGCGCCGTCGCCGCAAGCGGCAAGCGCTTGTTCAACCGTTTTGAGGGGTCAGTAGTTCATTTGACAACATTATGCGTACATGTTGCCTGAGTACAGGCAAACTTCGATGACAGTATTCAGGCTCAGACGGAAACAATCCCGTACGTCCACAAAGTAGCCTTGTATTGAATGCATGTCGCACCCGACCCATCCTCCCACGGCCAATCAGAGACTAGAAAAGCGGTGGTTATATAGGTGCAAGCGGCGCACCACCGTTCTCCTCCACAGTCCTCAAACTGCGTTGTTTTCAGCATCGCTCTAATCTCGCACGACTAGGACCGGTATTCACCTATAATCGTCTCCGTTTTGCGTAATATACCGTACCCAAGGTAAGGCCTGATATCCACTCTTCTCCATTGCCTTCAGGTAGCGAACCTGAATGCCCGAGACCGTGAAGTAGGGAATTTCAAAGCGGCATGTGATGGGCACGCGTTTATTCGTGCCATCTTGCACTGTGTATACATAGGTTCGTGAGAAAGGTTGAGTCAAGGTGTAATATACAGCTTACCGCTGCGCACACTGGGAAGCCCGAAATGCGCTCGCATCATGTGATCTTGCCCGCCGCCGAGTTTCTTCATCTTCCAAACGAAGCATGATTCCGCTGGAACGTACTGCACAGACCCGGCTCCTGCCTTCACGACGCAATCAGCTCAGGAACAACTCCGTAGACACAGGACGTACCCTAAACTTAGGCGAGTCTGCATCGTCTGGAACTGGCACATGAATCTCGACGTTGTTCGCAAAACTTCGTCGCTTGAACTGCGCCTTGACTTTGACCAGGTACTCGACTCTGCTGCCCTTATGCTCGACGGAGGCTTCAGCCCATACGAGTGGCTGGGTCGGCGTCGAGATACGATACGACATCAGATCAAAATCTCCGTCTGGCGGAATGAACGATATCGTTCGTTCGCTCTCAAATTTGGACAGCCGGACGCATTGATGGAATTTGACGTCTTCAAGTTCGACTGCTTTCCCTCGAGCAGCTGCAAGCAACACTATCAGATGGTCCTATCAAACGATATGGCCAGAGGACATACTCACTTCGACCGGTGGTGTCAAACATGATCTTGTCGTTGAGCCCGAGACGGAGCTCAGGCATACCCGAGAGATAGCACTTGATTTTGACTGCTCCAAGAACTTCTGAGCGCACTAATCTTCCATCAGCATTGGCCTATACATGGTTCAGCACTCGGGCGCATCAGGGCAGGAATGCGACTCTTACGAGAATATTAACGCTCTCGATGACGTCCAGGAAGACCTCATTCTTGCGATAGTGAATGCCCTGCGGTCTCCAAGATACTGCATTGGTGACATCTGCGACGGGCCGGGCTAGCTGCATGTCCAACTTATAAGATTCTTGTGTAATGTATCTGCAGCTTCCGTGAGCAAGCTTGATATACGAGAGGAGAGTCAACATTCACCCTCGAAGCATTTTGCTCTCAGTGACCTGTGGGAAACCGAAGTCCATCATCTCGTCAAGTAGTTCATAGATAATGACAAAGTTGTCTCGAATGGCCTCTTCCTCCAGATGACCAAAGTATTCGACGAGGACTTGCACAAGTCGATGCAGGTAAAGTATAATCTCCGTGCAGTTCGCATTCTTTGGGGAGATAGCCAGCACTAGCCAACCATAAACGAAAGTATATTGTGTGCATAAAGTGCAGACTCACGATACAAGTTTGAATGCCGGATGAACATAAAGCTGACCCCATCCTTCGTGAGGCACGGCGTCTCCATCTTTCCATCGTCCTCGAGCTCCAGAAGCAGAGGGACAAAGCGCCACACACAGTCCTCTGACACATCGTCACGATATCTTCGTTGTATGAGGGACTTGCCTTTCGGGTCGAGGATGGCGACGAGACTGGCCATGGTTGTTAACGCGTGGATCGATGCTGCGCATCGTCCGGCGACATGAAGGGGTTAGGGGGGAGGAAGTGCGTGGGTTGTTTCGTGTTTCGTATCAGAGTTTGACGACTGCAGCGCCCTTCGGGAAATTCCTGGATGTAGACCGGTGATGCAAAGACAAGATTACAGTTGCCGAATTGGCTGATGCGAGCGTCTCTGTTAACGTTTGATGCGCCATCGGATTGATGCGCTGATAATACCGACGATAGGGGATCTTGATGAGCGTGTCTGTCCTTTAACTTTCGTGCATGGCGAAGGAGACGACGATACGGCTCTGTAAGGTGCGTGTATGCTTCTCCTAGGTTTCACACCGCAGGCCCGAAAAATCAATATTGATTCTAGCTGGGAGGAACATGAAAAGTGGTGATACCCTTCGTGACGACGTAACCGTCGGGAGTTATGTGATGCGTGCCAACGCACCAGTACTCGACTGGTCGTACAAGTTGGAGCGGAGCTGTACGCTGCGAGCCACAGCGCGCTGGTCGAGCTGAACGCAGCCGCCCTGAAGATGGGCTAGGCTGCGGCGTATCCAGGAGAAGATGTCGCCGAGGTACGCCGTGGCTGACATATGTCGTCCTCCGGCTGCTGACGTCGCGACAGCTGGTGAAGTCTGCAGGCGGACTCGTTGCACTGTCGAACGACAGCCATGGTCCACACGCCGTAAATCTAAACTACGGGCGGCTGTCCGAGTACGCTCGACGGCTCGCTGTCGGTGCCAACGAAATCCGAAACCCCAGATGCATCCGGTCGCTATGTGTGCGCGCGACTAGTCCCGGAGTGTTGGTAGGAACATCTGTTCTGAAACAATGTTGCGCAACAGCGGCGGCAGGTCTGACCGAGTCGATCGGTCTGACTCGGTCGCGCTCCCGCCTTCCTGCCCATCGATTTTCCCGCTTGCTATGCGAGAGGTTAGGCAGAAAGGGCGTGCGATGTCCTCGTTGCTGCCGTCGAGGCGATCGCTGCTTCTGCTTCTCGCATGCGCTACAAGGGTTGCGACGTCGCCGCCACCGCCACTGTGCTGCCGGACACACTCGTAATGACACATCGCCGAGATGATCGTCTCGTCGAGCACGTTGAAGAGCGGAAATCTGCATTTACAGCTTCAATTTGTTCACACGTAACTCGTTGTTGCCAGGGTCCATCAGTATACAACTTCCGGCGACAGTTGAACAACGATGTTCGAGCGCGCGGTCATGAGATGCTTGCGAGCGGAGCCGACACCGGGTTAGCCTTCGAGTTTCGATCGTGGTGCTTCCCCAGAAGCGGGAGCAGGGCTGCATTCATCACGTCCCAGTATGATTAACTCGCGCTCGGCCGTGATGCAGGCAAGCATGCTGACCCTCTTGCCCTTGTCTGAATGGACGGGAACCTTCTTAAACTCTAGAACTCACTTCTTCGAGGGCGCACAACGGTCATCAGTCAGCCGTCTCACATAACCTCTGGCAGGAGGCCCCGAAAACTGTTCTGCGCAACCAAGCCACATATAGTAAGCGGTAACCGACTCGGACCTGACGCATGGAGGTCTGCCGTTCGACTTGCGCGTTGCGCAAAAGGATTTTAACTAACTCTGCAGCGTAGCAGAGGGGTGTGTATTTAAGTCAAGAATGGCACAAGAGTTATACAGTAATGAAGCTGTATAACCTAGACTGTCGAAGGTAGACTTGACTGCGAACGTGGAGTGTACAGTCCTCGCGCCCAAGACCACCTAGAGGTCGCTGTTTAATGAGATATAGATGCACCCAGGTACTGTAGATCTTCGACCTGAACGGCGGTCACAGGTCACAGGGGCCTCAAATCCGCTGCTTGGAGACTTCTGTCACGTGTCACAGGAGGGCTCGCCGGTCACGTGTGGCAAGTACTATGGGCGGGCCAATTTTTTTGGGCCTGCGGCGCACTCATAGAATATCCCCCAAAATCGGTCGGCCACCGCCGCTTCGCAACGGCTATCACAGGTCACCGAGGCCTCTGCCGCTGTCACCGCCACGGCTGTACATGGCCACAGTCACCCGCCGCCGTTCAAGTTGAAAAAGTACAGTATTCTGCGATTGCCGCGGTCGGGATAACGCGGCGCTTACACTTCGCTGCCCTTTGAACGTGAGGCGGCTAATCAACTTCGTGAGGAGATTTTAAACAGCTTTCCGCTGACCCATAGTCTCAGTAAGTGGTAAATTACGCATATTGACCCGCTTATCCGACATAGGGAGCCGCAGCCTGCGGTGCCGTACTATAGGCCCTGATATTTGAAGTTCTGCCGCGCTCGGGGAGCCTCTGTGTCTCGTGCGTTAGCCTTTCTTTCTTGTACGCAGGTAGTGCTGCGTTTTGTCGCCTTATTTGCAATCGCCTGCTCGCTCTGGCACTCGACTCGCTCGTTATCAAGTGCTGGACTCAACGGGCTTCGATACTCTTCCTATCTTCCGCGAATACGACAAGTTACTTCAGTCAATCTCTCAATTTACGGATGGTCGTGATTGGCTTGCCGTTACCGCCTTGATCGCGCAGTTCACACTGCTCGTCTTTGTCGAGGGTTTCTGCGGAAATCTGGAGGCCTGGGTCGTTGCTCCAGACGATCCTCTGGTTGGTTGCTCGCCGCGTATGCTTGGAAGCGCTTGCTTGCGCGGCCATCGATACCTCGACATTACTGAACCACTCCTGCTTTTGGTGGTGCTTACTTAAACACATAACGTTTCAGCCTTCATGCTTCTGCACTCTGGCTACACGTTTCCCGCGCCCCATGTCACCCTGGCCGTAACGTCCACCTCTACCTCGTTTGCAACACAGGCCACCCCGCGCCACTAAGGCATCCTTTACGGCGAGGTCTATAGCGTGTTCTCATCTGTACTTTGCACTGGCCATCCCAATTCGGCCCATTTCATAGAGAGCGCATCTGTATTAAATAATCACGGTCTAGCCTTGCAGCGCGGAGGCTGTGTGTACTGATAACTACAGCTACCGAACTTATGAAAAGAAGGCGATGATACAGGCTTCCTTTTCAGCTGTCGCTAGCATCATGTAAGCGTCCTCCTCGTCCGCACGCGGCGCCACAATTGGCGTGTTCCGTGCTTTCGCACGATCAGACGGAGCCTCGAAACAACGTTGGAACAAGATGGATGAGGACTACATAAGTCACCGATACGACGATAAGCATTCTGGCTACTACATCTCCCGCTCGGTATGGCCGCGACTCAGGTTCAAGTTGACGGCAACTTGGATGCCCGCCCCTCTCTTCCCTATTCCAAGCCGGCCCTCTCGGCAGCAGAGAAGGTCAATTCTCCTGCTGAATCCGCCAGCCCATGGCTGTATGCTATACTTTTATTCGTCCTCTGCTTCGTGCTACACGTCCTCCTCGTCGTTGCATGTGCGGTGCTCGTCATCTTACGTTACACGCTAAGTCAAGGTACAATTACCCTCTCAAATCACGGATTCTTTTCGGGGTCCATATTCTATTATCTCACAGCGTCCCCGAATACTGCTGTCAAGGTAGGATTCCTCCTACATATTCTCTTCGCGACGGTCCCCACATTAACTCTATCGTACATTCAGATCTACCTTGTACTTACGCTCTATGTTACCCAAAAGCTTGCCTTCAGACGCAACGTTCGTGTCGAGCAGACTCTCACATCCATGCACGACAAATCCTCTGCTTGGCTGGGACTGGGTGCTTCTGTTCCCGTTCTCTGGCGGTACTTCACTGCTCTCGTCCGCAAGAAAGAAGATCGAGCTTCCAGGAGAAGTGGTTCAGAGCTACCCGCTTTCATTGGGGTCCTATTGATCGCCATCTACTTCTGCTGTGGATTATCACTCGGCGTCATCGCTCCAGACCTAGTTTTCGTCGGTGGCACTATCAACGGCAGCCCCAGTTTCCAGAATCTCACATCGAAGCTGCAGGGCATTACTAGCAACGCGTTCGTACTACCCACTTTCAAATGATCCTTCAAGTTATTCATATACTCTGGGTAGCGTTCAGGAAGCATTCCCTATCGTGGGCATGTTACCTTTGGTGACGTATTATGAAGATGTCGTGACAGTCGGTCTTCAGGATACCCTGATCTACGACGTACCCACTATCTTCGTATGGGATCAATCCATTCCAGTCACCGGCACAGCTTTTGGGGTAAACTGCGGACAGATTCCAGGGGCATCGCAAGTCCAGTCCAGTAACGGTTCTCTTATCGTCCACGTAGAGGAGCAACTTCAGGATGTGGTCATCAATCCAGGTGCGCCAGACTGTCACTGTCTAGTGCCTTGAAGCTAATCGGACGTAGCATCGGAGCGCACTCTTAACGTTCGCCCCGCTTTGTGGCGGAACACATCGAACAAATCTCCGCCTCCTGCAACACTCATCGTTGCGTCTACCTTCCCCATCCAAGACAGCAACAATAACGCAGATGCTGCCAGTGTGGACTTGAATACTCAGATTGTCCCTGTGAAGTGCTCATTTGACTGCAGTGAGGGCTCAAGGCAAATACTTATCCTTGCGGCACAGCTGATCATATTATATTCTTTATAGGCTCGGTCAGCGCGGTGCAGGTCGTCGCATGCAATGTATTTTCCAAGGACTTTGGTCACGGGCATCAGGACTACAACGCTGTTAGCCTGGAAACAAACGAATGGCCTTTCTGGGCTGATATTCCTACGACTACTCCCTTGAGCCAGGTGTGGTCGAATTGGTCGCTACCGGGCCCGCCAATCGAGGAGCAGTCGGCTCTCAACCTCGTCAGTCCCCGATTTGTACTCACTAGCTGGCTACTCATGTCCTGCGGCAGATCGGGAACTTCAGCCATCAGTCACCTAGCAGCCACAAGACGCTGTTCAGTACAATTAATGGATCGACGGTCACGGAATACACTTTGAGTATCCTAGAGGAGTGAGCGTTTTCTGTCCTCATCTTGCCATCTCTCCAGCTGATATGCACCTCGAACTTTGCAGTAACATCATGGAGGCACTGGGTTACTATGACCCCGATATAGCCAACGTTACTCTCAGTGATCTCGAGGACATCCTGGGCCAAGCTATTGCTTCAGTCTTCTGGCGGGGTGAGCTTCCCTGGCAGCGACAGGCCCGATTTCCACCTGCTAACCTATTTTTAGCCGCTCTCCGGAGGATGAAGCAAGATCCTCTCGGAACGGAAGACATCAACATACCTCTAGATACCACTGTCCGGGTATGTGCTCATATCCCGTCCGCTTGGCCTCCCTCATCCAGTTCCTTTAATAGATAAGCCACTGGAGCGTAAGTGCCTGCTATCCTTCATCGTTACATGTTAATACATCCATCGACATGTCTACAGCCCATCCTCGGCCTCTCCGTCTCCATAGTCATGCTCGCCGTCGCTATAACGCTCACCTGGCAGCCAAAGCCGAACTCCAAGGACGAGACACACCCGCAAGTGGACTCCTTTGGTGTGCTGCAGCTCACGTGGTACCTCGGTCAAAAGGGGAACAGCCTCTCGCGCAATCTTGTGGAGGCTGTGAACGACCCGACGCTCGATCGCCTGCGTGACTGGGGCAAGCATGTGCGCCACAGGTTTGCGGACGATGACTGAACGCCTGATGGCGCCGGCCAGGTGCAGCCAACATTTTCATTTTGCATTTGTCGCAGGCCGCTGACGTAGCACAGAGGTATGAAAATCTGCGGTCTGTCCCTTTTCCAGATTCTTCGTAACCGCGCCTGCTGCTCCGACGCAACGTCTCCGGGTCGCATCGATTCTGTGGCATTTGCAGGTCCTGATGGGAAGGCATATAATGTTTTCCTCCATAATCAGTTTCAGTTTATTACATCTAGCGAAGTTTTGCTATCGTGTCACCTTTACGGTCGGTCATGTTGTAGTCATAGTACTAGGTGTAGCCATGCTTATTCTGGGTAAAACTCGCCTCGGACTAATAAACTAGAGATTGATCAGGCTGAGCTTTCCGCTAGTTCTACTTGTGTGGAACTAAAACAGGAAGATAGCTGAGGGAAAATTGCGAACTGGCCTTAAACTGGAGAGAGTCGTTATTTTTTCTTAGACGAAGACAAAAGAAAGACCGGTTCGTCTCTGGCCGAATTTGAGAAGGAACCAAGACTAATCTGCGATAAACCAAATGTGGTCATTTAGCGCTTATATCTCAGCCGTGCTTCGATTCTGCACGCGACGACGCCGCCCAAATTTGCAGAGGTAGCCACAGAGGGTTGTATCTATCCATCTAGTATATGAGCAATAGGAGCTGAGGCGTGCTTGTGGTATGTACCCTAGGCCTCATGATGTTACCACTAATCCCTACTTACGCGTGTTCCGTTCGACATAGGACGACAGTGCGAGGTTACAAACTCCAGCACAGGTATCGTTATGTCTGATCACGGGGTGCTCAAAGTTTGTAGCTATCTGCGAAAAGGCGGGCACTGAAAGTGACCCGTTCATATACCATGCAAGCTTATAGTCCGGCATCTCGAAGCCTAGCGGGACTGAACTGTCGCCGCTAAAGGCGTAAGCTGCTGGGAAAGCACTGCACACAGTGTTGACCCACAGCACCCTCATCTCAAGGCATATGTACAGTGCGCGGTGCCTCAGGCCTCAAGGCTCGGATGAAGTCTATTTGAGTTTGTCCCCTCGCTTTCCCCCGCAAGGTTCTGTCGGCTCACAGTATGCAGATGCATCCATCCGAGCATCCGAGCAGAACCTGAACTCGAAAGATGGAACTCCATGACAAGGCTTAATCTCCGGGAGCGGCCCAAGCCCAAAGACCCTTGTCTGCCAGTTAACAACGAGGCGGCGTCTCGTGGTGGTAATGAACCACCGAGGACCCATGGCTAATTTTCTAGCTGCATGTATCATATATCTAAAGTCTATTGCGAGCATATTCTGCTTGCACTCAAGGTCGTTTTGGCCAGGTATACGCCCCTGTCGCGTATTTCTTTATGCTCGCGCTCTATGCGAATAACTTTCATAGTTTGTTCGCCTGTAGCACTTCCTGAGGTCCAATGCTGTACGGGGCATGGAACAACGTTGAGGCATGATGGATGAAGAAGGTGACATGGGTTACAAGTGAGCATTGTAGCTACTGGTCCCCGTCCTCCTCCCACTAAGCATGACCACGACCCACTGCTGATAAGGATACAGACCCTGCCCTTCCCTCCTCCGAGCCTGAGTCACTGACCTCTTGGCAGCCGAGAAGGTCGTCACGACTCCGGGAGCATTCAACTCGGACATCAAGGAGTTCCCAACACGACCATTCCCTGCCACCAAGTCGGTAACGATACCATCGGCCGTCCTGCTGCTCTTCCTTCTCTGCCTAGAGTCCTGATGGATGTCGTCCTGGTCAGTTTCCGTGTTATACTGGTCGTCTTTCGCTATCGGCTCGACGGGACTGCGTTCAGGATTCCAGTACCGTCCATCATTACTGCCGACTGTCCTACCCATTCGCTGTTCGTGAAAGAACCACTGCTTCCTAACGTAGTCATCAAGGCGAGTCAGATACTCGGTATATCTCTACGTTGGGCTTCATATTTCGATACAGATCTACCTCGCACCCTTGCTGTATCTCACACGACTTCTCGCGATCAGACGTGACCTGCATATTGAGCAGACTCCCACCGCTATGCACGACAAGTCTCAGGCGTGTCTGTCTTTGGGCGCAACAGGTGTCGCCCTCCTGAAGTACCAGAATATGATCAGTCGCGACGCATGGTACCAGGACTCAACGACTCGGGCGAGCACCATACAAGTCATTCTGTACCAGGACCCATTGCGCTTACGGCCTCGAATTGTACAGAGAGCTACAATTGTCTCCACCTATACAGCATTGAAATTCTAGTACTTATGTCGCTGTTGTTGATACTTACCTATATGACGACAATTTCTGTAAGATAAAACTCCGTCCCGGTATCGCCCATCCGCTTTTCATGCACAGCGCAATACCCAATAGCGAAAGTATGAACAGATGTCTTTGAAGTCTGTCGAGCTGATAACAGAGCCGGAGAACATTGCAGATAGCTTTGACAGAATTTGTCCAGCCATGTGCTCTAGCCGACTTTGACCTTGCTCTAACCCTTCAAGGAAACCTCCAGAGCACACATGTCCCTAAGGTGCTGGACGGTCCGGACTTGGGCAATATCGTGGGAAGGATGATGAGAAATCGCTCCTGCTCCTTGCTGCTTGACGTTCATCGACCAACATTGCATATCGTCGCAGAAGTTAGTCGTATTTGTATGATTGGCAGCGGGAGGGAGACAATCCAAACAAATGATCCGTGCACCTCTGACCTGGTGAGTGTGGCCTGCGTATTCTACTCTGCTGAGGACGCACGAATGATAAGCACGAAAACCGTCTGGTCAATGACTCACAAATGCTTCAGTACGAGAGCGAGTCGTGCGTCTCTCATGGCACGGTAGAACGCTGCGCGCTCAGCCGTGATAGCTCTCCGTTTCGCCTATCAAAGAGGATGCCCACGATAGTCAAGCAGACGTCCATATAAAGTGTAGCTGCGAATGTTGAAATCAATGAGCGTGCTACGGGTTACGCGCCGCTCGGCGAAGGTCTTAGACTAACTCTCTTTTCGGATGATTGCGGAGCGGGCGTACTTCCACAGAGCTGCAATTAGGTTCTACCGAAATTCCGAGGGCGAAGGGGGACAGCACATCACTTCTGCCGGAATCTTCTTGAAGATGAAGTGATATTGATGAGTCTTAGGATCTTCTGTCTATCCTTCGGACCCAACGACGGTATGTTCGTCTTCCGGATATCCGGGAAAATATTTGAATCGAAACTCTTGGGAGTAATGTATGCTGAATTGGACGCGTAGATGGTTGTGGGTCTGCGAGCAGAGGCCCAGCAGGCGATACACAGCACCCACATGCGTCCCGTGATCCTCGAAATGGTGCTCCTGCAAATGACTTGGACGTGCGTGGAAGGAGGTCATGAGGAAGATTGGGTACTCTGTGTGACTGTATACAAACCCGTTCCACTGGCCAAAGCTATGCAGATGAAATACACACATTATTAGAGCACAGAGATAGGCTCGGTAGCAACGTCACGTACATGTCTCCGGCTTCGTTCGGAAGGCCCCGTTCCCTTGGCTGAGCGCTAGTCGAGTCACCAGCAGCACACAGCAGTGAAGTCGATAATTGATGGACGCGTTGGTATGAGGGGTGGATTTCAGGAAGCCCAATCGCAAGCAGTGGGTCGTGCGTAGCCACGAGGACTTGCACAAGGCGATGCAGGTAAAGTAGTATGATTTCTGCGCAGTTTGCATTCTTCGGCAGGATAGGAGAACCATATGTAAAAGTATATGATGTGCATAAAATGGAGACTTACGATACAAGTTCAAATGCCGAATGAACACAAAGCCGATCCCATCCTCCATGAAGCGCGACGTCTCCATCTTCCCTTCGTCCTTGACCTCCAGGAGCAGAAGGGGAAAGCGCCGCACACAGCCCCCTGGCACATTGTCGCGGTGTGTTCGCTGTAGGAAGATTCGCCTTTCAAGTCGAGGACGGCGGCGAGACTGGCCACGGTTACCGACGCGCTGGAGGGGCTAGGGGGTGCAATAAGGGAGGAAGTGTGCGGGCTGCTGCATGCTTCGTATCAGACGATGAGCGATGCTCGGTGAGTCGGCAACTACAGTGTCCTTCGGAGCAGTCCTAGATGTAGACCCCTAATGCGAAGACAAGATTACAGTTGCCAAATTGGTCGGTGCGAGTGTCTCTGCCGCGAGTAGTTTGATGCGCCATCGGATTGATGCGCTGATGGCACCGACGATAGGAAATCTTGATGAGCGTGTCTGGCCTTCCACTGTCGCTTCTGACATGCCTTACAGCCACCACTCGCACTCCGGTCAGTTCTGCAAACACGCCTCAGGGTCGCTCGAGGACGTCGTGCTAGAAGCAATACGACAGGGCTTCGAAGTGTATGGTCTGACGGAGCACGTCCCTCGCTACCATGCCGCCGACTTGTATCCAGAAGAGGTACGTCTCGCCCCTGCGAATGTATTGCGCGATGAAGCTCATCGTGCTCAAGGAAGGCGTCACACCAGAAGACCTGCTAGAACTGTTCGACCACTTTGTGGCCGAAGCACACCGTCTTAAGGACAAGTACGCAGGCCAGATCCTGCTTCTGGTTGGTCTAGAAACGGAGCACATCACGTCCGACGATCTCGACCACCTGGACGCGTTACTGAGTCGCTACCGCGAGAAGATACAGTACCTGGTTGGCAGCGTGCACCACGTGAACGGGTTGCCCATCGACTTTGACCGCCCGACGTTCGAGAAGGCGGTCACGAGCTTCGGGGCGGGCAACGACCAGACACGCACGGAGGCCTTCCTGTGCGAATACTTCGACCTGCAGTACTCGATCTTGACGCGCTTCAAGCCCGAAATCGTGGGCCACATCGACCTGTGCCGGTTGTACACCCCGGAGCTGCGCTTCGCGGGCTACCCCCAGGCTCATGCGAAGCTGGAGCGGAACATTGCGTACGCCGTGGGCTACGGAGCGCTGTTCGAGCTGAACGCAGCCGCCCTGAGGAAGGGCTGGGCTACGGCGTATCCAGGAGAAGATGTCGTCGAGGTACGCCACGGCCGACATATGCCGTCCTCCGGCTGCTGACGTCGTGACAGCTGGTAAAGTCCGCGGGCGGACGCTTTGCACTGTCGGACGACAGCCATGGTCCGCACGCAGTAGGTTTGAACTACGGGTGGCTGTCCGAGTACGCCCGGCAGATGAAAATTTGCTCTCTGTCGGTGCTAACGGAAGCCGAAACCCCAAATGCGTCCGGTCGCTATGTGCGCGCCCGACTGGCCCCGGAGCGTTGGTGGGAACATCCGTTCTGGAGCAATGTTGCGCAACAGCCGAAGCAAGTCTGACCGAGCCTATAATCGGTCCGACCCAGTCGCTTCCGCCCTTTTGGCCATCGATTTCCCCGCTTGCTACACGAGAGGTTGAGTAGAAAGGACATGCGATATCCACATCGTCGCCGTTGAGGCGATCCCTACTTCTCGCATACACTAAAAAGGTCGCGATGTCGCCGCCACCGCCAATGTGCTGCCGGACGCAATCGTGATGGCGCATTGCCGAGATGATCGCCTCGTCCCATACGTTGAAGAGCGGAATAGTTACATCTACAATTTCTATTCGCTCGCACGTAACTTATCGGCGCGCATGTACTGGGGAGTTTATGACAACCGGTGACTACCAGATCTAAAACTTCTTGTGGTCGCGACTACAGCGGAACTTACTACTGTGAGAGTGCAGGTGCGTCAAGTGATTTTCGCACTGCATAGTCGTCCTCGCACGGTCGCCTTGAAATTAAAACTCGCCGCGTGGACTACAGAGCCCTTGTCACCCATTCGGAAAGCCGGGCGCAATTTATGGGCATCGTCCTAACCTTCTCTGCTTATCACCGCTTTGCCATATCTGGGACGCAGCATATGGCACATACGCGGTGTCGCACTGAGATGCCTGGGCAGAGAACATTGCCAGGCAAACTCGAGCAACAGTGAGCATCATTCTGTGGCTGTTACATTTCGACTTACGAACAGGAGTCCCAGGGTACGTCACCTGCGACTTCCAGTGGAAGTTTAACAGCGGTGTTCGAGCGTGGGATCGTAAGATGTCCGGGAACGGAGCCGACACCGAATGACAGCCTTCGAGATTTGGTCTTGCTGCTTCCCCAGGAGCAGGAGCAGGGCTGCATTCATCACGTCTTGGTATGATTGACTCGCGCTCAGCTGTGATGCAGGCAAGTATGTTGACCTCGTTACCTTCGCCTGAACAGACGGGAACCTTTATAAACTCCAGAGTTTACGTGTTCGAGGGCATCCAGCGGTCATCAGTCGGTCGTTCCACACAACCTCGAGGGCGTGAACGCGGTACGCGGCATCCTAAAGTTTTGCTTAGACCGATGGGAAGCAGAAGTTGCGTTACGGCATCTGCAATGTCCTCCCTTGATGTCAACAGCCGCGAGTTCTCACCACAAGTCGCACAAAGGAGTGTTTTTGGCAGATGAGCAGCATCCGCGACGTCTCCAACCGCCAGCCAGGGTCACCGCGACGGCGGTTTCCTTTATGAAGGCACCGCCGTCGGCTTCCCAGCTGCAGCCAGCATAACCTTGTGCGTTTTGATGCGCTAGTGTTTCACCTCCTGGCGACGAAAATTGGAGTGGAGTGGGAACGGGGCGAACCAGTTGAAATGACACGAGATAATTAAATGAGCATCGGAGGGATCTGTGTCATCACCGGAAACATTGGCTGCATACAGTAACGCGGATCATTCCGCCTTGATGAACGAATGAGAGCGTGGGAAATGCTGCTAACACATGGTTTAGTCAAGTTTAGTCGCGGCGGCAATGATCAGGAGTTTCCGTATCTGGCTAGCTCCATCGGAACTAGGCGCGAGCCCTTCGAAGTCCCCACCGTAGTCTTGGCGCCCGCAGGTTCGAGAGGAAGCGCAAAGCTGAGCCAAATCCCTCTCACCATCTCTTCACAACCGTCCGCGACGGCCGCGACTCCTCTCTCATCGTGTCCGACGTCGTTCTCGTCGTTCACAATCCCCCGCGGACCCTTTGAGCCGGAGTCACGCCTGAGCGGAGTAAGTTCACCTGTTCTCGTGGCACACGGAACGCCCAGCAGGACAATTGACCGACTCACTGCCCAGACTTGTCCATAAACTATACCCATCTCTTACACCCTTCTATTCGCGGTCGACAGTTCAGTTCGCATACCCCCCATAGATCCGTCTGCCCTCCCTTCTCGCTTCACCACACACTTTGTGCCATTTTCCGCCAACACGTACTCTGTCTAGCGGCCCGCCGCGCATAGCAAGTCTGCACTTCTAGAAAAAATAGCTCGGATTTTCGGGCATCGTTAGGCATTTTAGCTACGCCCGCGGAGCAGACGCGGTTGACTCAGGTGTGTCGGCATCTTCCTAATATAGGTTCTGGTCGCTCACGGCGCCTGCCCTCCAGCGACTCGCTGGGGCCGGTGCGTATCACTCAGGGTGTGTGATTTTGATTTTTAAATTATAGAGACAATTATGCTCAAGTGCTCTGAAGCGTACCTTCTACTAACCCCCCCTCCCACCCTGACTTGCCACCACGCCGGGGACGACGATGACCGAGTCGCGCCTCGCTGAGCGCCGTACCCCGATGCCTCTGCTGCTCGACGACTTCCCTATTCCCCCGTCACACATCCCTAATACTCCGCTCGCCACACCTATCTCCATGGGCATTCCAAGCCCCGGCCTATGCTCGAACCCTCCCCTGTCACGGCCGCCATCGACTCCCTTGCCGCCCGTACCGGGGCCATCACCCATTTCAGAACATGAGACTTTGATGTTCATCTCTGCTGAGCGATCACGCCGCTTATCCAAGATGTCGACGGCTTCGACGGTGTCCCAGTACTCAAAGCGCGACTCGACGGCGACTGTCTCCAGTTTAGCGAGCAGTAGCGCGCATCCCAGTATTGCACATCAGCCGTCGTCGCCGACGTCCCCCCGATTTGGCTCAGCCGCGTCTATTAGGTCATTTCGTTCCGCAAGCTCACATGCATCTTCTTCCCAGTCCCACAGTCGTCGCGTTCTCGAGAAATCGCCGATGCTCGAACCCAAGATTTTTGAAGAGGATCCAGCAGAGATATCACAAATCTCGCTGTCTGACCTCCCCTCCCTTTCTTCAAGCACATCGACACTGCCACGTAGCCATCGTGGTCTCAGCGACACAGAAGAAGATGAATCCTCCGAACTCGGAATCGGGCTGTCGCTCTCGCGGAGACGAAGCGGTCGTAGTCATAGAATGGGCCCAGGAATGAACGACTCGATATCATCTATCGACATGCGCGACCTGCCTGCTCTGCAAGAAGATGAGGCCGAGTTGATAGTTGTTCCACCTATAGCGGCTGTCGTCTCAAAATCTGCACCCCACTTGAGACCTGGCTACATTTTGGCGAAGCCACCACGTCCGCCAACAGCCATTATGAACAAAGAATTACCTCCGCTTCCTCTCAATATGCACGGACGAAGCTCTACACTAACTCGGTCTGATACTGCTTCAACGTCAACATCGGCTTCACATTCGCGCAGCGGGTCTTCGCACTTGCGTACACTCTCATCGCACCTTCAGGACGACGATGCTCGTAACGGCGCCGAAAGTCCAGATATTGTTCAGATCATGTCCAGGACACCGCGACCCTCGCGTAAATCCTCGTCCCATTTTTCTGGCTCTAGATCGAGATCTCGACCGAACTCGACGAGGCGCTCTTGTGGGAGCTCACTTCATTCGCACAGAAGCAAGCGCTTTGACGATGGCAACCCTGTTCCTGTACCTGTCGTTCGGCGTGACGATTCCGAGATCGCATACGCTCGGAAACAGCGCGACGACGACGACGAGTCGGACTACGGCGAGGTGTTAGATGGAACTGGCACGGTTATGGATGCGCGCATGCTTGATCGAGATATAGAAGAGAGATTGGAGCGACAGTTGGATGGTCTTGGGAGCGAGGATGAGTTGAGTGACGGTGGACTGAGCGATTCGAGTATTGACATGCAAACGCCATTACCGTGAGTGGTTTTCTTTGGCTTTCTCCCATTTATTTCAAATATCCTGCTTTCGTCCATTCCTTCTGTCCTTTAGACATCTTTCTGGCATGCTCTTTGTTTGAGCTTAGGGGTCCAATCCTGCCTCGTGCTTCTCGGTCGCGGATCCGCCACCGTTCATCGACATGATGCTGATTGACGACTTGTTTTATTACAGGCATCTCATGCTTCGTGAAGGCGTGCTGTCTCCACATTCGAAGCTGCTCGGGAAATGTCTTAGGGCGCCGAGTCCTCAGGATCGCCACTTGAGCATGGGCTCCATAAGTAAGTGTCATACTATGTTTAGCTCCATGTACCTGACTCATTACCCACAGCCGGTTCGGTTATGACGAAGACTGGCATCTTTAAGGATGAGCGAGATACCGTAAGGCGGCGGGTAAGACACCGAGACGGACGCCTGCTACGGGGCGGTCTTGGTCTTACAACGGGCCTTGGATGGAGTGATAGCGAAGACGAGGATGCACCTTCGCCTCTCACACGCCGGGTATCTTCGATGGTCCTTTCAAGACGGGCGTCGGCAAATTCGCTCCACTCTCACACTAGCCAGTTGTGTCGGTCGCCTCACCCCCTTCCCCGATCCGTTAGCGAGACGCAGGCTTCAGACACTATAGCCCGGCATCGGGCTAACATGCGCGTAAGAGAAGTGAAGCCGTCACAGCCACCGACTGCATGGTCGAGTTCAAGGGCAAGCGGCATCTCAACGCTGAGCTTGGCGCCCAGTGTGCGATCGCACGCATCTGACTCGTCGTCTGGCCGTTCCGTCTCGAGCTATGGTGGGCGTAGATCAGAGCGCACACCCTCACTCGACCACATCAGGGAACTCGATGCTGAAAGTTTTAGGGATGAGACCGGTATGGCTACCCCTTCGAGTGTCTCTAGCTCGAGCGTGGCAATGCCCCTGACTCCCGTTGGCGATGAAGACGCAGGATCATGGTCATATAGCACAGGTCCCGCTCTCTCTGCTACACCCTCCGTTGCACGCCGGATACCGTCGCGCTTTAACCTGAAAACTCCGTCATCGAAGACGGCCTCGGCCTCCGAGTCGCTACCCTTTCCCCGAGAGAGGACACAGTCGGCATCTTCGAATGGTTCAGCGAATGCATCGGTCGGTCATATACCACCACCCTCAGCACCCCGACAAGCCTCGATACCCCGGCCTCTACGTTTGCCGCAAGCCACCGGTCTCCGACCGACGGGATCTCAGAGTAACATGCGCCAGCCGTCGACGCGAACTCCTTCGGCTACCTCCACCCTCTCCACGCCGCAGCCTGACCGGGGTCGATCAGTCTCTACGGCCGCCGCGAAGACCTCTCTGCCGTCGTATTCGGCTTCCCCGTTGCGCCTTGCGCGGCCACCAGCTTTGAGCGACCCCCCTTCTCCTTCGCCGGTCTCGCCTTCAGATCGCAAGCCTCGCATCGGCGCCGGTATGGTTTACCGCACGGGCTCCGCCTCGTCGCGACCCAGTATGATGAGGGCGCCCAATCCGGCGACCTTGCGGCCGGTGGCTGCAAAAGTCTGAGCGCCTCATTCATGATCCCTCTCCGAGGATCTCTCTCCTCGGGTTGTATATTTCGTTTCTTGTTATTTTTGGTCTCCAACTCCCGCTCTCCGGACGGAGCTCGGAACTCGGATTTTACTGGAGGCCGCATTAGTACTTATAATCACGTTCAGATCCCACTGTCACTCCACTGTCTCATTGCACATACTTTGCTATTGCCATTATTAACCCCCACCGCCACTTCCTGTCACACTCGCTTACCCGCCGCCGTTATCACTATCGACCACCACCACCACCACCGTCGTATCCTCCTTCGGCAGCCCTTCGTCTTCGACCCGATACCGCCAGCACTGTCTTTAGTACGCCCGTATTACTAGGTTTCTGCTCCCTGCCGCCCTTGTTGGAATACCAGCAGTGGCGCAGCTGGGGGCTCTGTACGCTCATTAGGATGAGATTATCTTAGAGGAGGTGGTTATTAGTTGGAAATAGACTGTACAAATTGTGCCATACTGTTTACCGCCAATTGTACATGTGTTCTTCGTGTCTTGTGTTGGACGGCCGGGATGGCTTATGCTTAGGTCTCGTGGACGTTTGGGTGTCGTGAATTTTCGTCGAGACGACCCAGCTATACCCCAACGTCGCTCCTCCACGAGGACGCCATAGAGTTTGCGAGTTTGCAATGATCGCAGTATATATGCCAGCCATGATGTCGTCGACTTATCGCTGCATAATCGTCGCGCTCCGGCTCAGACTGACGTTTTCACAGCTTGGGTGTTCAATGTCGTGCTCGAGTCACATAACGCAGGGCCAGACATCATGCCAGTAATATAGTACATTCGAATGGAGATATGGAGGGCTGGAAACTTCGCACGGCGCCATTCTGTACCGCCACGTCAAATCTTCTCCTGCGATGCCTTCTCCAGGCTAGCAATGAGGACGTCATTCTCCTGCGATACTTTCCCTAGGCTAGCAATGAGGATGTCGTTCTCCTCTTCGCTATTTGCAAATGCCATCAGCAAGAACTGCACAGTGACGTAGATGCCCTGTGGCCAAATGGCATCGCATTAATGAGCAATCGTGTAGTGCAGATTGAAGATTGACGTACCGTCAGATGCACGAAGACTGAGCTGATGAAGAGATGAATCCCGCGAGCAGTGCACCACCTGATCGTGTCTGAAGCCATTGCCCATGGTGAGTTAGCAAAGATGGCACCAGTAGCGAGAACAGTCTACAACGCGGTAAGCAATACAGATGAGCTTGATGATTGCACGCTACGTACCCAGACCACGGCGTGCAGAATCGCGAGTCTAACGTGGAGCTTGCGCAACAAGGCGGGGCGTGACCCTGCGATATGCGACCCTACGATATACCGAGCTTTGCCGACGATCAAAGCTGCAACCCAGATATTGAGTGGCCAGAAGAAAGCGAAAGTCATGATGTCGCGTCTGAGGAAATATGAGGGAGGCGCAGAAGCGGGCTGGTTCCAACTTTGATTCGCGGCGGCTACCCATGATGAGTACTTGACCTGAGTCGTATTAACACAGAAAACGGGGACTCACAAGCAGTTACAGAAAAGAAGGACAGTGTGAGCATGTGTATAGCAAGCGTCCCGTCCCACATATGACAGGCGAGGAACGACATTGCCAGATTGCTGATGATTGAGGTGGCCGCCAGTGGCATGGGCCGCATGGCGGCAGCGTACAGGAATTGCTTTAGTGCTGGGCCAAGTGGCTGGTCAATTCTGGTCGGATTCAGGGGGCACGCTGCTCCGCGAATTGTATCGTGCAAGCATTGGACTGTTGCATCTTTGATGGCGTGAGACTCTAGCACGTTGAGTACAAGAGTGTAGATTTCAGATCCCCACTGCTGCGCCGCAATGCAATACACGAGAGAACATGTAATGCCTGCGACTGTCCTGGTACGGGGCGACTTGCAGTAGTAGCTGGTAATGGATATTGGCATGGCAGTTTACATGCGAGTAGATAATTTACGTACAATAGGGCAAGCACAAGCAGGGGAATCAGCATAGAAAATGCACCTGTACGCCAACAGTGAGCGCGAGCAACTTGAACTGGCCAGTTTCATCATGACGCTACTCACCAAATAGCACGCTATTCATCAGAAGCTGAGGAAGACGGTTTGTAGCTCGCTTGGTTACATTTTGCACAGCTTGCTCGACACTCTGTAAAGCGACTCTGAGCTCGCGCGGGCTACGGTCTTGGGGCGCAAAGTCTGCCATCTCCGAGTCGACTCTCGATGTTCAGCTCGCGGACGGATAAGAGGTGAGGCAGTGACGGGACATCGTGGGACTTCGCTGGTCTTATATAGGTCGATACTACAGCCAACAGACACCGAGGTTGATTTCCAACTTTGATGAACTTAGCTGCACGGGTGATTAGGTTGGGGAGGATATAGGCGTGGAACACATGTGGTAACACTGCTAGACCACAACCAAAAGAATCAGGGGACTCGTTTCGAAAGATCTGGACCATATTCCAAGCATACAGGGACATAAAAACATCAACTGAAATGCTATTGCTTAGATTGCTGATACTGACCATCCTGCCTCTCGACTCAGACGTGTTGTAAATAATAGTAAGGTCTTGATATTGGATTGGGGGAGAATGATTCAATGGCCAGGGCAGAGCCACCGGAGCCGGCGAAGCACCTCATGTCATAATCGTGGGCCAGCAGCGTATACCAGATGTCAAAGCACCTCCTGTAATACGTCTGACGCATCTTCCAAATTGGCAGCAGAAATACCGTCCTGCACTTCATCGTCTGCGTATACTACCAGCAAAAACTGCGTGGTAATGTAGATGCCCTATTGCCGGTATCGCCACGGTGAGCAATATTGTTACGCGAGCTGAGAATGAACGTACAGTAAAATGCACGAAGCCAGAACTGATGAAGAGGTGAATCCCGAGAGCGCAGTACCAACTGGTCGAGCTCATGGAGGAAGCCCGATATCGAGCGAAGATAACGCCGTAAACGAGGACGGTCTGCAGCGCGGCGATCAGCACAGAGAAGGCTTAGCGGTTACACGCTACGCACCCAGAGTACGCTATGTAGTGCCGCGGCCGCGATGTGGAGTTTATGCAGTAGGGCCTGGCGTGACCCTGCCGGCCGTGGACACGCGGAGTGCCTGTCAGGGCAATAGAGGTGAACAGGCGATTAAGGGTACTTATGGCAAGACATACCGAGCTTTGTAGATGGTCAAACCACCGATCCAAACATTCAATGCCCAGGACAAGATGAAAGTCGCGAAGAGGTCGTGTGTGATGGCGTATGTGCGAGACGCAGAAGCATTGTTCAGGCTGAGGCCCGCGACAACTGTGCACAATAATTTGCATGGATGATGTCAGCACAGAAAACGGAAACGCACTAGTTGTGACAGAAAAGAGAAGCGCGATGAACCGCTGCATGGCGGACTCTCCCCGCAATAGATCGTAGGCGAGAATTGAATTGGCCATATTGCCGAAAATCAAGGTGGCTGCTAATGGCATGGCGGGGATGCGCGGATACAGCTGTAAAGAGGAATCGAGGAGCTGGTCGATTCCGTCTGGACTTAAGGTGCATGTCGCTCCGCGAATTGTATCGTCCAGGCATTGGATTGTTGCTTCTCTGACAGCAAGAGAGCCCAGTACGTTGAGTACCAGGGTGTAGATTTCGAGCCCCCACTGCAGCACTGCCAAGCCGTACATGAAGAAGCATGCACCACCAACGACAGCCCTAGGAAGGGGTAATTTGCGACGGTAACTGCCAATGGTGATCAGCGGAGCAGTATATATACCGGTAGACGAGATACGCACACCACGGTGAGCACAAGCAGGGGGATCAACATCGAGAATGCGCCTATGCACCAACGGTGAGTTAAAAAAGCAACCAGTTGACCGTTGCGTTGCCCACCAAACAATACACTATTCATGAGGAGCTGAGGAAGGCGGTCTGTCACTCGCTTGCCTACACTGCGCACTCCGCCCTCCGCAACACGCAAAGGGTTCCTGGACGAGTCTTCCGGTCCAAAGCCACTCAAGGATAAGTATGATTCATAGTCGTCCATCTCGGCTTTCAACGCTCAGCTCACGACAACAGAGCAGTGGGGGTGGATGAGAGGCGGGGCAGGGATATGTGACATCGTGAGACCGAGTTGCTGGGATTATATAGGTCACTCGACGCAGCCAACGGATCCCAGTATCGCATCACGATCTTGATAACCTCAGGATGCTGCGGGGGGCAACTGAACAATGGGGCTGCCAAGAGTACACGTAACGGCATGTTAAGAACACGACTACTAAAGAACCGATGACTTGTATCGAGAAGTCCAGCCCATAGTCTCGATGCTAAGATACGAATACATCAATCACAGAGCAAACTGTAGAGACTGTCGATACTGACCATGCTGAGTATCTCTCGCAGCATCAGCCACCGGATGTGGGCTTACCATCAGCAAAAAAATCGGTTATAGATCAGGATGAGTTGCCAGGCAAGCGCCTAACAGGATGGCGAACGCTGGCAATGCAAGGACACGCGATACCTGACTGGTATTGCATTGCAAATCGTAACTCAGACCGGTATGTTATTATAAGTTGAATCCTATCCTGATACCACTAAACATGACATGAGTTGCTCGCCCAGATCTCGGTTATGACATGACGTCATCCGTCTCGCTTTCCGAGACGTGTTTCTCGCCGCCCATCGCATCCACGCCGTCTGCCCACCAAGATTCCTTCGACCTCCCCTAAAGTCACTCCCGGCGAGTTTCCTTTTATGAAACTGCATATATAGAAGGCGTCGATGGCCTTCCGTTCTCGCCGCTTCTTCCTCCTGGTCACCACCATACCCCGCCTCTGCTTACTCCCTCCGAACAGTATCTCCGCCGTGTCTCGCTAAGCTCAATATGTCACAAACGTATGTATATGCAATTTTTCTCTCGTGCTGCAGTGCACCTGACTACATGTATTCGTACGCGCGACAGCTGCGGCACCGACTCCTGCCTGTCCATACAGTTTGCAAGGGTTCTTCAATGCGGGGTGGCGGCTCGAGCATCCAAGGTCTGTTGAGATTATCCTGCATATATGTGTCTCTGACACAGGACCCTTCCGTATCGCTCTCAGTGTGACATGTAGAGTATGTGACATGCATATATGCGCTTGATTCCTTGATGTCTCATGTACAGGCCCTCGTAGACATCGCCCTTTC